TTGTAAACAAACTTCAAAAGCTATTAGATTATTAAGTCGTAAAAAACAGCAATAATTAAACAACGGTGAATCAGATTATATTTTGAGAAAAACTCATCAAAAAACAGTCGAGCTTGACAACGACGATCGTGACGATCATGTCCATTCAGAAACATAGGGTAGCGATTGTTGCATAACCATAAGGAAACGCTTATGCAACAACAAAGAAGAACATGAAGAATATGAAAAACAATTAAGAAAAGGATTTGATAAATATCAAATCCAAGAAAGTAATAATGAATGAGATGACAAAAGGATTTGATAAATATCAATTCCAAGAAAATTAATAAATGCTCTAAAAGAAAATTCTAAAGAGCTATTAAATTTTATATTGCTTCACATTTTTAGAATTAGTATAAAAGACGCGATTTGACTTAGGAGCGTCGAGTAATTTTTAAACATCCAAACAGTAACAGTGAAAGAAATATAATAAAAGTGGAGAGTCCACAAAAAGTGATTGTGTTTTAATAGTAGTTTGAGTTTGTGACTTTACAGTGAAGCATCGAAGAGGTAGCTGACTACATCGCGACCCTGAGGATTCTAGCTACTCAATCAAAGGAATATCAACACAATAGTTAAGATTGATAAGATTCATGTATAAATTAAGACCAGAAGAAGTCATTGTCGTTCAGTCTTAGTCTCAAGTTTCTAGAATAAATAAGAAGAAGTTTGAAGTTACAAAAGTCGAAGAGTTTCATCGAATTTTAATCACTTTGCAAAATCCATCCCCGATCATTGGGAAAGATTTTACTTCCAGTTATAAGCGAAATATCTTTACACCGGAAAGTGGCTAGAGATAGAAACGGCAAATTCGACACGACCCGATTTCCCCAGTTAGCATAACAATACTTCGAATTTCAACATCATTTATTTTCGGTAGCCGTCATAAAACTCCAAATAACAATTTGAAAACATAACAAAAATATTTTGCATACATAAACATACAGAAACTTGCTCTCTCAATTCAAAAGACAACAAACGAAGTATGCATGCATAAGCTATCCTTAAATGTTGATATTTTTAAAAAAAATATTAGATTACTTAAAATGTTTAGTCTTCTTATCCAGATTTTGTTTTTTGTTTTCATGTTTGAACACGATTTGAAGAAAATTCTTTTAAAAATCTTAATCCTATGAATTTAGTCTCGTTTCATAGCCAGAAGTGAACAGTTCGGAAATATTCTCACTTAAGATTCTTAATTACAGACTGCAATTAAGTAAGACAAATTATTGAAAAAGAAAATTTGAGTGAACTTCTTTCAATGTTATTTTTCTCTGTAGTCTCTGTGAAGAAATGGATTTAAACTTAAATAACCTTAACAAGATGGAAATTAGTTTGGAAAAGTTTGGAACAATCTGTGCATGGATTTTACTATCAATTTCATTGTACTCAACAATTTCAATTGTTCAGTTAATGAATTTAATTTTCTTTAATGGGATTCCCAAAAATGGTGAGTTGAATTATGTCTAATTTTTTGTCTTCAATTATTTTTATTTCAGGTGAAGAATCTGTAATCTTCGGTGTCATTGGTATATTTGGAGGATTTGTAGCGTTCACAAAATCTTCCATAATTTCGTATCAGGCAATTGATGGAATTAAAAAGGTATGAAAATTCGAATTTATAAATTTCAATTTAGTTTTTTGTTTTCATTTATTCACAGAGAAACCCCGTAAAAGTGAAGAATTTTTACAATTTGATGACTACAATCTTCGCCATAATTTTTATAGCTCAAATAGGTTTGCTTTTCGCAGAAGAATCCAAAAATGTTGCTGCCATTTTGATTATCCCTGAAATTATAATTCTCGGAATCTGTGGCTCAATGTCTGAATTGGAAAAAAGATTTGAGAAGGCAGTTGAGTTGGGAGATGAGAAGAAAGTTGTTTTTATGGCTACTGCTTCAGTCTAGATTTCGCCACTTCAACCTGTAAATCGATGGAATTTCAAGACAATTTTTAGTAAAAAGTAAAGTTTAATCATTAGAGTCTATACTTACTATGTAAAATGATCAAAAGAATAAAAAAGAAGTTTGAAGTGTGGACTCAATTTAATTCTTATTAACGCCGCATATTTAACATAAGATCGTGAAAAACTTAACATTTCAAACAAATCTTTGTGAAAAGTTTATCTAACAACCCCAACAAAGAGAAGTTAAAAGAAATATTTATTAATAGACATCAAGATACTTGATGAGTAACGATTCATAAGATCGGAATGGGAAATGAAAAGCTCACTTTTCCAGGTCTATTAGTCACAAGAAAGACATAAACTTGCACAAACACGTAGAATCTCATTGAAAAAACATCATTAAGAACTATTAAGGAAATCATAAATTATGTTTAGAAGAAGATCAAAACATTCTTTTAATAAAAGTCTGTCAAATGCATGAGTCACAGATTTTATTATTTACAATTATTATCAACGTAATTTGATCCCTTAAAATTCGTGAAGACTAAAAGTAAACGATTATTAAGTCTTTAGGGAACAATCTAATTTTTTAGATTCCATCAGTCCAGTTTTGCCATCGTTAGAGTCAAGATCAGAGATTGAAACCACAAGAAAATTGAGAAACATGTGGACAAGTAAAAGCTTGCTAATATTATTTTTGATTTTCTTTGTTGATTCATCACTGAGTGATGAAACTTTGGAATTCTCTTGCATATCGAACTGTGATTGTTCTTCATATCGTGACAAAATGATTGGAAGTTCATGCGTTAATTATCATTGTCGTTGTTTTCACTTAAAAACCAACGTAACAGTAGCATGCAAACGTCAAAAAAGTATTGACGAGAACATTGTTAGGCTTGGTGATTGTAAGAAAAATTCATGCGTTGTTCCGAACACCCATTGCAGACTGGGAGTTAACAAATGTGTTTGTGATGAAAATTTCGTGGTGTCAGAAGATGGAAAAGAATGTTTACTACAAGCATTTTATGGCGATCCATGTAAACAGACATCTCAATGTTTTTATGAGCTTGGACATGGCGCAGTTTGTGATAGCGGTGTGTGTGTCTGTGACTCAATTCATCAAAATGTCACCGATAATAATCGCATAAGATGCAGCCGTAGGTTAAATTATGGTGATGAATGTAAAGAACATCATGAATGCTCGACTTTTCTTGGCAAAGCAACGATGAATTGCATTAAGAACGAGTGCACGTGTCGAGATGGTTATGAATTGTTCGATGCAGACCAAAATAAATGCGTCAAGATGCCAACTTCCACTGGACGTTTAAGTTTTTTTTCTTCAGTTTTCTTTGTTTTCATTGGAAATTTTGTATCATTCATTTAAATTTAATTCAATCATTTTTCAGAAAAACATGTCATAAAATTTAACATGTTCAAAATTTAATCTATTGCAAAATATGTTAGGTAAGTTTTAAAATAAAAATTTGCCAATATTTCTTTAAATTTGCTGAGTAACAAAAATTGTTAAATGAAAAATGAATAAATTCATGTCCATTAATAGATATGAGAAAATTGAATCTTTTGAATTTCTTTGATGCTACGTAGATATTCTAATAACACTTAGATTAAGTCATTCCAATGCAATTTGTGAAACATTGACAGCAAATCTTAAAGGAACCTTATAAGAAATCTTGAAATAAAAAAGTTACCAAAATCTGAATTCAAAGCCATAAAAACCAACTGAATAGCACAAAAATGTGTTACATAAATATGAAATTCTACTTTCATGGTCAAAGTCCATATTCACAAATTCATTGTAAACATTGAATCTTCCAAAAGAAACAAATTGACGGGTTAGTGTCATAAAATTGTAACATAAAACTTCTTCGACCTTTTCCTCAACTAACAAACGTACATTTTGTATCTCCTTTGCTATTTTCATGTTTGAACAAGAACCCTAGAAAAAGTTTTGCTTATTCAAAGTTTTTATCACACACGTGTGTGCACACCAACAAGTTTGTTTTCAAATTGAAACTTGCAATTTAATCTCAGTAGTGAACTCATCTCAAATTTTCTCATTATTGCTTTTGGATTCTTTTTAGGTAAATAGCTTTGCATCATATTATTGTAAGAAAGGTGAGAAAAATTCACGAATAAAATTTGAGAAAGTTTTCTTAATTTTGATTACTATTTTCACTTTAAGTGATCCTCAACTATGAAAATGTTCAAAATAAACTTTAGTCTGGAAAAATTTGGTACAACTTGCGGATGGATATTCTTAGCCATTTCATTGTACTTAGCAGTGACGACCATTCAAATCTTTAACTACATAATATTTGAAAAATCAACAGAACCCGAAGGTGACTTTAAATGTTTCTTAATTACTTCTTTCTTCAGTTAATTATTCTGATACATATTCTAAAATTTAGATACCACCGAAAAGCGTGTTGTCGCAGTTTTATATCTTTTGGTATGTGTTTCAACATTTATAAGATCTTCTGTGATTTCGTACCAGCTGATCGATGGAATCAGACAAGTATGAAAATTTTATGCCAAAGTCAAAATCAACAAAATTTTAATCTTGATCTTTTTTCTTAATTTCCAGCAAAATCCTCGTGAAGTTATGAAGTTTAACATGTTGATGATTGAAATACTTTTCATAATGGCTTTAATTCAATCATTTTTGATATTTAAAAGAAACTTCGTACAAGCGGCTTGTTTAATAGTTTTCGAAATTATAGTTTTTATCGTCTGCTTTTACATCAATGAATTGAAAAAGAAGTTTGAGAAGGAAATTGAATTATTCAATTGTGAAGGAATAGATTTGACTGCTACCCCTGTCCAACATAATCTTCATATTTAAATAAAGTTTATTGAATTTAAACTGAATAATTGATGACTTTCGAAGCTTTAGCTTCTAGTTCTGGAAACTTATTCAAAAGCTACAAACAAAATTTCTCCAAATACTACATTCAGTTCTCTAATAAGTATTCATAATTATATTTCTTTTATTTCATGCGTGCATATTATCAATTGTTGTTTAACACATTAATATTGAGAATAAATTTATGTTAAAGCCGGATAATCATCTTTGGAGTAATTTTTCAATTCTCAGCTAAAGCACATTTTTCTTTCTCGTCATGTCCTATGCATTCAACCGAAGGTCGATGACCACTGTCCCAAATTCCTGGACCACATCGTCGACACAAAGATGTCAAAGTGCAGGGAATCTTAGGAAGTTGTCTAAATTGATGCAAAAGCCCGCGAGCTTTTCGGAGAATTAATTGCCCATCCATGTACATTGCTGTGAGATGATTTTGTAGAAGAATTTATAGAAATATTTTAAAAAAATCTAAGAATTTACCTAACGAACTAAAATGAAGCAACATTTCGTCAGTACGCAGATCTTGGGCAATAACATCTTCAGAGTAAACAGAAATAATAGCTAAGCAAACAAAAAGATGGAAATAATCAGTTAAGTAATTGGCCCAACATGCTTCCCATATTCTTATAGCAACAGCTTCTGTAAATTCTCGTTTGAAACATCTTCGAAATGAAAGAAGAAACACAAATTAATTTACATTCACAAAATTCTTATGTTTTTCATCTTACAACAATATCCATCGATGACAGAATAAAAGTTCCATAGCATCGTTGTGTTTAAGTAAATGTTCATAAAATTTCGGAACAATCAACCGAATTAATTCCCTCAAAAGTTGTAAATGTTCATCGATGTCATTATCATTTGGTGTGCAAACAAATATTGCACGTTGCATAAGACCAACAAAGCACCAAAATGTTTCAGATTCATTTTTCAATTCACATAAGACTGGTGCCAATAAATCGCTCATGCCTTGAGTGTAACTTTGTAAGAAAAATGTCTGTTAGTGATGCAGATGATGAATAATTTAATTAACTTACCTCATTCCAGGATTATAAGAAGCATAATTTAGTAGAATATTTCGCATTATTTCAATATTAGCATTTCCTTCACCAGCAAAGAAAGGATTTCCACGATCTGTTCTCACGACATCTTTCTCAATGACACTTTGAACATTCCTCCAGAATTGAGCTTGTTCTTCTGGTGACATGGAATACAATCGTCGTTTGGTAATCTCTTCATATTCTTGCTTTCTAAGATTTGCAAGTGCAATGCGATCATTAAATGTTGAACTTGTTGAATAGCAGTGAAGTAAAAATGGCCAAATTGTCTTACGTAAGTTCTTCTCGAGACCACCGAAGAACACGCACTTCTTCAACTGTAAATCATCTTCAATTTGTCCCTTTTCATTAAGAAGTTGTCCATAAAAATATTCAGTTGTTATTTTCGGAACTTTTCCTTCTTCGGGATGCAATTCACTGTCGTGCACTTCAGGACGGCAAACCATGAATTGACGATAAGTTAAATTGGTTTCATCTTGACCTGGTGTAACTTTAATGTTATGAAGCAAGCAATGCCATTGATGGAGAACTTGAGCGAGGTGATCTAAACCTCCATGATGAAAGTGAAGAATTTTGTATTGAGATTCACGACTTGCAATCACCAACTGACCTGACGTGCATTGTTCATCATTAAAGAACAAACGAAGCGCCCTCATTTGACTTAAATCAACAGAAAATCGACGACATTTCATTTGTGACTGGTTGTTCTTTCGATTAACGACTGGTGATGACGAAACACTGTCTGGGAATGTTAAATTATGTTTATAAGCGTACATCTCAGCAGTCATCCAATTCGGATTATTTTCATCTGCTGATGAGACTGAGAGTGATCTGATGATTTGTTTTTTGACGGCGTCATCATCAGGAGAAGCAGAAACTTCGAGGTTTACAATGTTAGGATTCGCAATTGTTATGTTGACTGATGTCATTGAACGATGCTTCTTATAATTCTTTAACATTTGAACTGTTGATTCAGTTGAAGTTGGTGCTGAAATTTGATGAGTCAGAATCTTCTGATCAGATTCACCTTCCTGACTCAACAATGGTTCAAGTTCAGCTGATAATTCTTTCGCTTCTTCATCTTCTTGTTCATTCAAAATTCCAATTTCTTTATGTTCATCTTCTTCCATTAGAATAATTTGTTCGTTTACATTCGAATGAGAGTAGCAACAATCGTTGTAGTTTGTGTAATCTGAACTTGATGAAATACTTGCAGTTTCGGAATAATCTGACTTTCCTTCGTAAGCTTGTAAGTTGTCTTTGTTCTTTTGCTGACTTAAAGCGTATTCTTCTGGTTCAATGTAGTTATCCAAGAATGGATTTGTGGTGTTTACAATTTGTATCTGCGTGTTGTTATTGTTGCTACCTTCTTTTTTCACATCTTCTTTGTTTACTGAATTTCTAGAATGCAACATCATTCGTGATTTGATTTGACTCAATGGTGAACAATTCTCTAAAGGTGCTGGACATTTTCGGAGTGTTGAATTGGGTATCCAAGTCAAGAACAATGTCGGACGTTTAGCAAAATTATGTTGGTCAATAAATGTTTTTGTACATAAAGTTAAATATCCAGAATGATGGATAACATCCGATTCTTCTCTCGCCAAAGCTGGTGGATGAACACAAACGTTGTTCTTGCAGAATAAAGTTTCATTCTCTTCATATTCCAATAATTCTGATGAACTTGTTTCGTCAGTGTATCCAAGTATGTAACTTGAAGCTTTCTTAAGAATACTGGAAATTGGCATTGTGAATTTTTTTAAGCTGAAAACAAAGAAAAATGAAAAAGATGAAAAATATTAATGAAACAAAGTAGTCGTCGAGTCACCAAGGCGGGTCTTTTTTATTAAGTTAAAAACTTCTGACATTTGAAAACTTTTATTGATTGGTAAACTTCAATAATCATGTTCACAAATATCAATAGAAAATTCGAGGAAAGCTTTATGAAACTCTGGGGAAAACATGAAAGATAAAGAAAAAGAAGACCACAAATTCCTAACTCAATTTTCATTTTTATTTGAGTTTCCTTATTGCTGTGCTTCTTAATTTCTACTTACTTTAGATTTCAATAAATTTTCCTTCAAGTTAAACGAAAAATAAATGAAATTCAGTTAAAATAACTTTACTGTATTTAAGATTGAAGTAAAAATATTTAATGTCAAGAAAAGTTGGATCGTTATCAATTTTCGAAAGAAAACTAATCAACGCGCATGTTCACCGAAATCTTCGAAAATTTTCATAGTTTATTTAAAAGTCAGATGTTGTCAACAATCTTTTTTATTTATCAAATGACAACAAATCACGCAAAAATAATTTATAAAAAGAAAAGAAAAAAGCAAAAATCTTGTCAAAATTGATTTCTTTCAATTTAAAAGCTGACATTCATTGGAAATATTTTCACAAAATATTTTAATAATTTGACATGATTTCCAGTCACGATTTTCCTACATTATTTTTCAAATAATCTTTTGTAATTTATTTCATTATTCAAAAAGCTGAGAAATGCGTTGAAACAAAGAAATCTCTTTAAAGTTCAGAATAATTTATTTAATTTCACACATTTTTATTTCATCAATTTAATCATCATTACTGTTGAAGTTTTCTTCATTTTCACACTCGTTAGCATCAATTTCTGATGATTGTTGATTTGGTTCGACTTGAAACTCATCTACAGAAATTTGATTTTGTAGATAAATTTTTTCGACTACTCCATAATGTTTACGTTTGAAATGCCTGAGAAGATTGCTTTGATTTGATGACTAAAAGAATATTTCAAATAAAATTTGTGTAACATATTTTGACATAAAATAAAAACTCACTGTAAATATCTGTTGACATAGTTGACATCTGACTGCATCTCCTCTACCTGGAACTTTATCAAAATAGCCGTAAATGCCAGGCGTGCCTCTTCGAAGTTGTTGTTTAACAGGCACGTCATCGTCAACTTCCATTTTAGCTTCAATCTCATTTAATTCATCGTCATCTTCATTTTCCTGAATACTTTGCACATTTTGTTCTGATTTTTTGCTAACATTTACAGACATATCCGGATGTCTACGATAGAAATGTCTGCTCAAAGTACTTTTTGAATTTGACTATGTAGGTAGAAAATTTTAAAATCTTAAAAAATATTTTATGTTTTAAAAAAACATTCAAACTCACCGATAGATTGAAATTACACAATTTACAAAGGACACGATTAGTTTGACCTTCAATTTCTTTGAAGAATTTAAAAATGCCATTTGCATTGGGTCCAACAGAAGCTTTTTTATATACTCTGTTTGTATGCACTGGATTGTCTCTATTCTGACTTTTGAATTCTTTGTACAATTTCATATGTCTTTGTCTGAGATGTCTGAGAATGTAACAAGTTGAATAATTTTTACCAACCTAGGTAGAGATTGAGACAACATAGAATTATGTATGCTTAAATTATTAAATATCACAGATAAATACCGGAAATGTTCTTTTACATGCTTTACAACTCATTCGATCTTTCACGCCTTCAATTTCGTTGAAATAGTTGTAAGCAGAACTTTTGGCTTTAAAATTTAAGTCTTTGAACATAGAAATGTTTTCAACTTTAGACGTTTCTGCTTCACTCATTTTTTCATCATCGTTATCCGAATAATCAGAAGATTGATTATTGTAATCGAAGTCGCTTCTTTTAATTCTCTTTGACGGAGGAGTCAAATTGCTTACATTTTCTCCATTCTGACTTTTGAATTCTTTGTATAACTCGAAATGTGTTCGTTTAAGGTGTCTTAGTATGTTACAAGTTGAATAACTTTTACCAACCTTGAATAAGAAATAACATAAAATCTCATAATTATTTTATATCACGAATAAATATCACAAATCAATACCAAATATGTTTTGTTACATGTTTTGCAACTCATTCGATCTTTTACTCCTTCGATTTCGTTGAAGTAGTTGTAAGCGGAACTTCTGACTTTGAAATTTATATCTTCGAACAACGAAATGTTCTCAACTTTAGACGTTTCTGTTCCACTGACGTTCTCATCCTCAAAATCTGAATTATCAGAAGATTCATTATTATGATCGAAGTCGCTTCGTCTTGCATCTTTATTCCTCGTTGTCGGAGAATGTAAATTGCTTACATCTTCTCCTTTCTGACTTTTGTATTCTTTGTATAACTCGAAATGTTTTTGTTTGAGATGTTTGAGAATGTTGCAAGTTGAATAACTTTTACCAACCTAGAGATTGAGGCAACACAGAACTGTTAAGGCTGAAATGATTTAATATCAAAAATAATTACCAAGCACGTTTTTCCACATGTTTTACAACTCATTCGATCTTCTACACCTTCGATTTCTTTGAAGTAGTTGTAAGCAGAGCTCCTTCCTTTAAAATTTTTATTTTCGAACAGAGAAATGTTTTCAGTTTTAGACGTTTCTGTTCCACTGAGGTTCTCATCGTCATAATCTGAATTATCGGAAGATTCCTCATAATAATCGATGTCACTTTCATAAATATCGATGTCCTGCTCTTGTTTGACTGTTACAAGTTCAATGTTTGCAATTGGTGGACTGCTGCAATAAATTGTGAGACGACTTCCATCATCTGCTTCTTCAATTGCCTCAACAGAATTATTTTTAAGGAAAGTACTAATAATATCATGTTTATTGAGTGGAACTTGATTTAATATTTCTTCTATGGGCTGCTTAATTGGATTTAACTTTTTATTCGAACCTTTTCGTCCATCAACTATGCAAGTCTTTTGTTTATTTCTTACTTTCGTTTGAAATGTATAAAAGTTTACTGTCATGTCCTTACATTCAGTGCATATTGTCATTTTACTTTCATGTGATGCTTCAACCTGAAAACAAAGCGAGATTATAATTAATTAATTTCTTGTTTTGATTATATTTTTTTTACCTCATAGGAAATCAAGTTTAAATCACTTATAAGTCGTTTTATGGATAAATATTTGGTATGAAATTGAAAGAATGTATCAAAAATTCTATGTTGATTTGATTTTATTTGTACACAAACACAGCATGTTTGGTTTAAAGGTTTTAAATTAATTTTTGACATTTTTTTGTTTATTTTCACTTTGTATTGAGTTTTCTTGTATGGAATTCTAGAATTCATATGCGAATCGCAATTGTTTGAAATTTATTTTTCCGTTAATTTTATCAAGAATGTTGAAATTCGTTATTATCTAAATTGTTGAATTGCATGCTATCAGAGATTCAACCAAACGTTATTTCTTTGAACCCTAAAAACATCAAGATAATTTCCATCATCTTTCTCCCTCCGAAATCAATAATTAAGATTGGCAGTTTTTAGAGTTGTCACTGACAATAATAATTTTTAAGATAGCAAACGAAAGAAAAATACTAAATGAATCTGGTTTGGAAATGGTTTATTAAATAATAGTAATAAATAATTCAATATAGAGATATGTTATACCTAATTAAATATATTTCAATGAAAAAATTCTTTCGAATAAAAGAAATGAAATGATCAATAATTCTTATTGCATTAAATATTTAAGTATTAATTCTTTAAGAAATTATTTCTCGACAAACTACCTAATTTTTTACAAGTGATTAAGATGTTGATGTCAGAAATCGCAACATCATTTCTTGAACTTTTCATAACCTCAGGGAAAAAAAATTGATAAGGAAATAATATTTCAAAAATTATTATTTTCAATGAAGATTGCAGCTAATAATTTCTCATTCTGTTTAATTCAGTTCAATCATTCAGTTCTTTCAATCCCTTTTTTGTAAAGATAAAAGGAAGAAATATTGTGATGAGAGTAAAGTAAGTAACAAATTAATTAAAAGCAATTGATAATAAAGAAAAATATGAAATATTCATTGATAAATTCATGTAGAATTTCATTGATTTTACTGATGATTGTGCGACATTCTTCAAGTGAAGAAGTGACTCAGCCAAGAGAAGTGTCATGTGAGACGATTGATTATTTGCAATGGGAAGTTGCTGGAGTTCATACAACGTGCATAGTGAATACAGCGTCAATTGATGTTAAAGAATTCACATTTGCTTCAAGAATTGAGAACATTACTGGATTGGACTTTGACGCAAACAAAAAAGTTGAATATCTTCCCATTTTTATACACGAAAAATTCCCAAATCTTGAAGCACTGAGTGCTTATGATTGCAGCATAAAAGAAATTTCAAAAGAATCTTTCAAAGAGTTAAATAAATTAAAAGTTCTTTGGCTGAGTGGAAATCAAATTCAAAAAATCGAAAGTGATGTCTTCAAAGATTTGACACTTCTAGAAATTGTTGATTTAAGTAAAAAAAATTTATTGAACCATTGTATTAAATTGCTAAAATATATTTTCATAATTCAGGTTTAAATCAAATCAGTAGCATGAAAGGAGACTCATTTGAAGGTTTAAAACATTTAAAAGCTGTCGGATTGAAGGGAAATATGTGCATTAATCAATTGTTTATCGGCGAAGATCAACTTTCAACAGTGGATGGAATTGTCACTGCGAAGTGTGCTGAAGCTGCAACATCTATCGTCACATAAATATTCACAACATAAATAAAATAAATTTGAATTACCAACAAGAAATAATTGTTTTTAATATTTTTATATGATTGTGTTTGTTTCTTATCACCAATTACGCGAAATACTATTTCTTTCAACTTCCATTCATGGTTTTTATTTTCTTCTTTCGTATCTAAATGCATATTGAGAGAGCGAAGCTTTTATTTTCGTTTGCCATTTATTTAGATTCTCTCCGCAGTTGGTCGCGAATAGTCGTCTTCGATCATCGTTAAGATGTTTAACAATTTTTCTTTCTTCATTATTTTATTACTAATCGATTTAATTGTATCGGCACCAGTTAATAATTTTAGTAGAAAAGATTTTGAGACAAATGTTTCGAGTAATTTTAGCACAGATAAGCTGGTGAGAGTTTGTTAATAATTAATGAAAATATTTCGATTCAACATAGTTTGTGTTAATAGAATTTTCATTTAAATTTCATGGTTTTAATCAATGTTAAACTTGACAATGAAAACTTTATCTCAGATAACGTTCATGCAGACCTTCGGATATTTAGAAAAGCCAAAGACCGAGGGAGAAGAACTTAAAGCAGAATTTTTATATGCGGAAGACGCAGTTGTTCAAGGCATTAAAAAAATTCAAAAGTTCGGTGCACTTCCAGATACTGGCGTTCTAGATGAACAAACTTTAAAGCTTTTGTCAACGCCGCGTTGTGGAAATAAAGATGTGATGAGCTCAAGTGAAAGACATAAACGATATATTGTTGGGTCAAAGAATTGGGGAAAGCGACAAATTACATATTTGTGAGTAAGAATTCCCCAAAAAAAAAATCCTTTTCTGAACTAAACTTTTCAGCATTGCAAATTGGAGCCCTAAAGTCGATGAATCGAAGATGATTGTGTGGGGGGAGATGGCTTTTCATGCGTGGGCACAATATAGTAGATTAAAATTCAAGCGAGTTTATGATTCATCAGCTGATATTATAATCGCATTCGGAAGTTACTTTCACGGTGATCGTCACCCATTTGATGGACCAGGTTCGATTTTTTCAATGATTTTTCACAAATGAAAAGCATCTGATTAAATGTTAATTTCAAGGGAATATTCTTGCACATGCATTTTATCCATACGAGGAGAATGCTTATGGTGGTGATATCCATTTTGATAACGACGAGAATTGGAAAGAAGGCGCACTTACAATGGATGAAGGAGTCGATTTTCTAACTGTCTTAGTTCATGAACTTGGTCATTCGTTGGGACTTGCCCATTCCCCGGTTTATAGTTCGATCATGTTTCCATATTACAAAGGTTTTTGTCCTATGATTCATTCATTTATTTCAATCGAATGTTTTGTAATGATTCATGATCGAATGTTTCTCTCTTATTACGAATATTTTCAGGTGTTACACCCGCACAATTGGACTATGATGATATATTAGGGATGTATACTTTGTATAGTAAGTTCAATTTATTTTTATTTTTGATGTTTTATGATAATCGAATAAAATATTATCAGTTAGTAAAACTTTGGTGGAAAACTCTGACGACATTGAAACAGAATCGTCAACAATCATACCTGAAGACTCTACAAATGATTATTCCAATGAAAGTCAAGAAACAGAAACTGAGAAGACTCATGACGAAGAAGAAAAGGAAGCTGATGTTTCACAAACTAACCATGATGAGGAAGAAACTGTGAGAAAATAATTAAATTACAATTAACTGTGAAGTTAAACGTCTTTCATGTTGATTCATTTTAGGAAGGTCCTGCACCATATTTTTGTGATGGAAATTTCGATGCTGCAACATTCGTCAAAGGTGACATTTATGTTGTCAAAGAGAATTACGTTTGGCAATTCAACAGAGATTTTGATATAATGGAAAACTTCCCGAAACGAATTGATAAAGTTTTCCCAAATCTTCCGAAACGATTTAAAACAATTGACGCAATTTATGATGTTCCTGATGAAGACGAAATTGTTTTCTTTTCCGGGAGTGAATTTATCACTTACGACAATCGAGGACCAATTTACAATGCTTACAATATCACACGATTCACAAATGATCCAGATATAGAGAAAATTGATGCAGCGATGGTTTGGTGTAAGAGTTTAATTTTCATAAAAGATTATCAATTGAATCTTTTGCTTATTTGCAGCAAAGAATAACAAAACTTATCTCTTCTCAATGGATCGTTTCTGGAAATATGCAGAGAATCGACAAATGGAAGCATATTATCCAAGAGTCATTTCAAGAGTTTGTTTTATCATTAGCAATCAAATAAAACTGATTAAAATGTTTTTCTTTTTAGTGGCATGGAATTCCACAAAATCTTGATGCAGCAATTTCTATTCAAGGTGGTGAAACAATTTTCTTTAAAGGAAGTGAATATTGGATTTATGATAATGCGAAAGTTCGTCCTAAAAAGCATTATCCAAAAGATATCAGCAATTTATTTAATATTTGTTATGATTTATGATGATTTAAATTAGATTTTATGTTAGAGATTATTGTGAGACTTCTAAGAGATATTGTGACTGTAAGAAATCAAATAAAATAAATGTTTTCATTATCTTTATCTTGAAAAACACGTGAAGTTTTAAATAGTCTGTGAAAAGAGTAAAGCGAGCCCCAGTTTGATATTCACGGGTCGTCTATAAAGTCATCTTTTGAATGTATTTTGATAATCTCTCTCAAGCTTTAAATCATTTTTGTGTATTTCCGAGTCGGAGCAATTTTTTTCAGTCGAGAATGTAACGTTGCGGGAAGATGAAGATAATTGTAGTTTAATTTATAAAATAATAATGTTAAAATATTTGGAAAATTCTGTCCCACGTCAGCCACAAGATAGCAGAATAGGATGGCGATGCATCTTTGGTGTTTCACTAGTTTTCGTAAGATTAATTAATATTTCCATTAAATGAAAACTTTAAGAACCTTTATTCTTTATTTTAGATCTTCAATGTATCTTTAATACCATCCTTTGAAATAATGTTTGAATCACTATTTAAAGAAAATTATGAAGGATCTGTTGTTGTTTTAAGTTCCTTCAAATTTATCACAAACTTTACAATTATTGTCACAGGATTTTTAATTAAAAATTTATCAGCACGACTGTTTGTGACGATTGGAAGTACTGTGACGTTTATTGGTCTTATCATGACCTCATTTGTCACAACACTAACACAGCTTATTTTCACTTACTCGATCGTTATTGGAATTGGGTTAGGACTTTTAAACCCAGCAGCTTTCATCGCTGTTCTATCATGCTTCACATGTCACAAAGAATATGCAATAAGTGTTGGATTTGCAGCTTTAGGATTTGGACAATGGATCATGCCAATGATTGTTGAGAATATTTTGCAATCTTTTCAATTTCAAGCAACTGTTTTAATTGTCAGTGGTCTTTCTGTGATTGGCCTTTTAGGAGGATTTTTAATCGTTCCAATCAAATGGAGACCTTGTGAAATGGAAGAAGATGATGAATCACAGCCATTAATCCGTAATAGGTCAATCTTAATGAATATTTTTCGAGCCACCGATATGAATTTATTATGGAACTCAACATATATAATCATTGTATTGGGGCTAGGAATAGTTTACACTTGTTCAACGAATCTCAAAGCCATTCTTCCCATCTACTTACAAGTAAGTTTAAATTCATTTCCAACCGAAAGTTTCTTTAAAGTTTTCATTTTTAGAAAAGAAATTTCAGTGATTTTCAGATCAGTTACATGTCCTTGATTATCACATTATCGGACATAACAACCCGATTAGCTTATCCTTTTATTTTGAAATATGTAATTAAGAAATCGAGTCGTTTTACTTTCCTGATTGGAGTTATTGGACTTGGAATAACTCGAATAATTATTGTCAACTGTGATTTCATTAACTTTGTTATATTACTTTTAACATGTTCAGCTTTAGGATGCTTTCGAGCACTTACCGTAGTCAATCAAGTGTTTATACTTTTGGACTTTTGTGAAGATAATTGTCACACTAAGCTTCCTGGAACATTAGGATTAAGCGTTGTTATCAAATCAATTATGCTTGCTTTGTTCAGTTGGATTTTCGATGAAATTCAAAAGCTTTCACAAAACTTGCAAGTTAATTTTTATGTTCATATCATTCTATTTATTATTATTGTTTTAATGTGGTTTTTAGAATATTATAAGACAAGATCACGAAATACTTAGTAAATGAGCATAAATTAATATTTACAAAAATATTCACCACGACCGTTGAAATTTAAAAGTTTTTCAACACAGTTGAGAGAAACTCACCATAAAACGTGTTCAATTAAATTCCAGCTATTCTACTTATCTTTCTATCATTTTTCAACACAATTTTGTTTAAGAAAACTTTTAAAACAGTTAAGAGCTTTTTAAGACATTTTAATAGCAATTTATGATTGAGTTATGAGAGTCCTTGAAAGAAGTGGAAATATTAATGATTCTTTGAAAACAACTATCCGAAACTTATGAACATCTAGAATAATATGAATAAATTTCTTAGGAAATCGAAATGTGAATCATCAAGCCTTTTTAAATGTTAATGCTTTAGTTCCCCTTCGCTTTAAAAATGCAGATTTACAGTCCCGACATGACCAAACACAAATACAACATCCCCACTCAAGTCTGTCTTGAAATCATTCGCTTTAAAGTCTTCAATTTGCCATCAAGCATTTTAGTTTACTTTTGTACGTTCAACAGTTTACAAGTGGAAAAGTAAAGCTTCCGAGACAACCTCGGTTAAGTAAACTCGACAAAAATTAATTTTTTTACTACTTAAATAATAAATCATACTAAATAAAGTGCATCAATACCGAATCATGTTTAAGTTTATGCTGATTGCAGCGCTGGTGTTCTCAAGTGGTAAGTTTTTATTTATGAAAAAAATAAAAATAGTTTTATATTGAAATTCAACGAAATTCGAGAAAAAAAGAAAGAAGAAGAAAAAAGTGAAAATGATCTTCCATCGATCGCGGTGCTTTTATTCAAGAAAATTTAAATTGATTATTGATAATTTATTATATTTTAAGTCGTTGGACTGAAAAATAAAATTATTATCAGTGTGAAGGAGACGAAAAAAAAATGTTAAAAATTCAAATTATTTAAGAAGAGAAAAAGAAAAATAATCGAAAGAAAGTTTTCTGATCGAATTCATCGCATGTGATGTTGATGACGTAAAGTTTAAGCTTTTAAAAATTATAAAATATTTAACTTTTGCATAGCAGAAAAAATGCAAATTTAATGTCGATGAAGTCCGATGATCGGATTAAGTTGTCCTTTCGCGGGGATAATTTCTTTGTCCATCATTTGATGGACATATTAAATCGTCAAACGTATTGTGCCGACATTGTCATTTTTAATCTCTTCCATCCGATTAAAGTGTGTTGTTTTTGTTATTCAAATTCTCATGGGTTAAATGAAAGTGAAGCGAACAATTCAAATGTATTCGACGATAAATATCCATTTTTATTTCCACAAATATTTAAAAGTTAAGATTTCGATTTCGATGGAAAATAAAATGATGTCAGGTCGGTAACAGAGATTCGATCTCCATAAATATGCAAATGTATTCAGAAATGTTCTTATAACTGTCCTTGTTGTAAATTAAAAATGAGTTGAAATTTTTTTGTAATAACATCTGTTGAGAATCTTCCGTATAGCTTCCAGATCATTTCGATAGCAAAACATGACACAGAATTCTGGTTCTGCAAGTTATATCAATAATCTTTCGAAAATTTACATTTTTATCACCTTGTAGAATCGCAAATCACATTCACAATATTTAAAGAATGAAAACAAGCGACGCACTCAATCATGTCTATAACTACAATCTAAAAGATATATTGGAATTGTTGAACAGCTCAAGTTCTTGTTGCTTCGTAACCTTGACCAAGGATTCCGATGAAAAGCAAAAGTCCAAAAACTCATCGCTTTAATTAAATCCTCATTGACGAAACTCAAATGTCAAGATTAAGAAATTGAATCGTGGTTGCTTTTGTATCAAGAAAAGATATTTTTCTGCAGCTACTGCTGTATTAGTTGCTACTTTTGTTTCATTTTATTCGGATGAGTGGCATGAAGAAGGAGCACAACTCATTAAACTGTAGGTGGGCCTTTAAAGCTGAACTATTACGATGTTACAAAAATAATGAACAATCTGCAAATTTGAATTTGAAAGTAGTTTCGCTTAAAGATCAACCCAAGTATATTCTTGCCATGACTTTCGTTTTCCGTTGTTTCGAGTCGAAGACTTAACGCGCTCATGAATAATTTCTTAAGAAATCATAAGGCACAAGTCATTGGAGGAACAATAAATTTGCAGAAGTTATGACACTTTTGCTTTCCTTCATGCTGTCTGTTAAAGATTGAAACTATTTTCATTGACGCTTCTCTTTATGTAACGCAATACTCTTTTTACTGATTTACCGGAGAAACCAGCAGCTGCTTGTCCTTCGAATTTCAGAAATTCATATTCAGAATGTTTATGAGATATCTGCTGAAACTTGCTCGAATGAAAATGTCTTCTAGTTTAAATAATAACCAAGCAATAAAAAAAGAAAAACAAAGTTGTAAGCAAAGTAATAAAACTCTGTTGATTGCATAACAACATTGATTGAACATCTGCATTGTTTTATTGCCGATGGTGAGAGAGTTAAATAAACATATTTCCGTGGGGGCCTTGACCCGGAGTTTCATCGCTTCATACAGCTACAACTTGAACGTGTCGCACTTATCACACTTTATTTGTTACCGGCGATCGCCGACAATCTGTGTGTGGGGGTTTTGAGTTTTCAAAAATAAAACCAGATCAGACAGCATTCCTTTAACTTCTTGTTTTACTTATGTATTTGCACAATAAATCCGCTCGATGGATTTTTACCTCATCTGAAAGCCGCAAAAAATAAGACAGCAAATTAAGCAACAAAAATATGAATAAGAAGACATTTTCATGTTGGCATAACAGAAATATTTCTCTGTTATTCAACGATCCAACAAAAATGATAAGAATTCATGAACATTATGGATCTTTCTTGAAGATATTTGCTTCCATGTTGCTGCTGATGAAATCTTTTACTTACAAAAAATGAAATGAAAATGGAAAGTGCAGAAGAAGAGAACTTGCATGTTATGTTTCCTGATTGTTTATAATGATTTACTGGCTTTGTTTGTGAAAGCATCGATTAATTCTCTAAACAAATAATTGAAGAATAAATAATTAACACAATACAACAAAGGAAAAAAGAAAAAGAAAACTTTTTTCTTAGACTTTCTTAGGTCGTGTCAGTTGTTGGCAAAGTTATTTGAAATGCGACGAAATTTGTTTGCATAGTGAATTAGCAAATAGATGCTTGTTTAGTTGGAAGGGGGCTCATTTACAAATAACGGCACACAAAATTGTTTTTCGTTTTCAGTTCAATGTTGATATCGAATGTAAACAAATCATGAAATTAAATAAAAGCTGCTGATTGCTTCACATATTTCCACGCAAATTTCACCTTCACCTCGCCCAATGATCATCCTCATCACCGTCTTTCTTTTATATCCATTTCCAATTCGTAATTCGTAAGACAGACTGAATGAAAAATATAAAAATTTCTTTATTTAACATTAGCTGTGATGGTTGATGTGTTGAGACGTGAAATGTTTCATTGATTATTAAAACCGTCATTGGACACATAAACCGCTAAGCAATGTGAATGAACCAAAATATTAAAGTTTGGAATCTTCCAATCGTTCAACTTTTTTACGTCTTTTAAAAGCAGCGACTTCATTAGACATTCTCGTTATAGAGAATTCGAGAAATTTTTCTGCATCGTAATGAATGTTTGCCTTTTAAAACGTCAGAGAGAAATTTTTCATGTTTTCGCGACACTTCATACTCGCTACAATGCTGCGTAGGTGATACAGAAATGATTATAAATTACTCATTAAAATTTGTTATGAAATATTTAATAAATCATGAAACATTTTATAAAAAAATTTTGTGATCGTTTTAGCAAACAAGAAAACGACATAATGAATGTAATTAGTTAAAACTTGCTGCACAACATGAATAGCATCGACTAAGTATTCTTGAAACAATGAGAATGTTTCTGTAATTTGTGACAGCTTAAAGTGTTAATTTTCAATGCATTTGACAATTTCTCTTTCTCGTTAAATGAAGCAATGTTATTGTTCAGTAATGTCATTGAAGATTACAACATGATTGTTGCACATTCTAAGGGTGAAATATTCACTTATAATTATCAATTTCCGTGTTTCTAATTCCCTAGACATTATGTTCGTTTGTTTGTTGTCAAAAGTTGTGAAAAACCAAAAAACTAAAACACAAAACCAATTCCAAATATGGTGGATGAAAAAATTGTTAAAATAAAAATTGCACACACCATCAGACTTTGTAAAAAAAGTCGCAAAACACGTCTTATTTATTTCGATTGCATAATAAATACATTAAAGAAATTTGTTTTCAATATTTCTCTGCCTTTGCAAAGTTGTTTGATAAATTTACAAATAAGAAGAATCTTAAATTGTATTTACTTTGATAGATGATTTGTAATATGAAACTTAAGGTGTTACCATCTTGATTGCATACAATCGGAATCATAAATAAATTTCATGCCAGCGACCTTTCATGATATCGCAACCAAAACAACAACATAACAAGAAGACAAGAAATAAAAATTGTAAAAATATTTTCAAAAAATATCGACGGCGTTGTAAAGTGCAGTGCTTTGACGTGATGACTCTGATTGACCTACTTACAGATTGTTGCGCTTTTTTTTTCTCAATTGCAAGAGATTATTTTCTTTTTTCGTGCCTTACAAATCATTCACCTTCGATTGCCTCTTGAATGATGAATTTATGGGATTGCCTCGCATTTGGCATTTGATCTTGAAATAGGCGTAAAGTTTATCTGCTTATTATATGATCACTTACACATTTATTTTGACAAACGTCATCGGTTAAATTCCAAAATAAAATTAGTAAAAAAAACCTTTTGATGATCTTTTATGAAGCTTATTTCGTGATTTTTTTTTTTGTCTTTTGACAGATAGAGAAAAAAACTTTCAATTTCTATGGAATTAAATTTAAATATCAATTTATGCATCATGCATAATTATTATGCATAATTATCGAATATCTTATTCGTGAGCGAAAAGATATTTTTTAAATGCATAATCTTACTTGTTAACTATCACATTCACATAGAAATGTTGTGATTAATTAACGAAAAATACACGACGAATAAGCAAAAATATGATTGAAGCTTTCGCTGTATTTAATTAAATCATCAAAATAACAAATGCATTAACTTCAATCAACGTTTTTCGTCTTTTCAGCCACCGCAATAGTTCATCGTGCAAAACGTCAAACATCTGACGACACCCCAAAGAAGACCGAAGAATCATTTGAGAAGGAATTGTGTAAAGACAAAGATGCTGGAGAATGGTTTCGTTTAATTGCAGGCGATGGTGACAATTGTCGTGATGTCATCCAATGTACATCTTCGGTAATAATTCTTCATAAGTTAATTAATTTTAATTTCCCAACACGGAACTAAATCAAGACAATTAAAAATATTCATAATAAAATATCCAAGGCTGTCATTGATAAATAATCTGTCAATCAAACATTTCTTTTAAAATTTTTCCTTCGCTTTCTTCTTTTTCATTTCATGTTTATCGTCAATAACTTTTTTAGGGTTTGCAAGCTATTCGTTGTCCAGCTGGTTTGTATTTTGATATTGAGAAACAGACTTGTGACTGGAAAGCTGCTGTGAAGAATTGCAAGTCAAAGAATAAAGAACGCAAGGTGAAGCCATTGTTGGTAACTGACGAACCTTTGTGTCAAGATGGATTTTTGGCATGCGGAGATTCATCCTGTATCGAGCGTGGATTGTTTTGTAATGGTGAAAAAGATTGTCCAGATGGTTCAGACGAGAACTCGTGTGGTAAGTTAAAATTATTCGCTAAGTCTTTCAATTACTTTGCACATTGATTTTGCACACGCTTGTCAGTCAAATTAAGCTTTTCATCATTAATCATTTGATCGGCATTGATGTTAATAAAGTCAGTGATTTTTAATAAAAAAAAAGCATCCTAAACAAGTTAGCCCCCGGAAGCGAAACTTTTTTTAATTTCTGTCTCAAGCTGGTTCAAGTGCAAAAGCTTTTTATTTAATTATTTATTTAAAGTGGTCATTTTACCATCAAATGTCTCAATGTTTTGAAAATAAACATTTGAACAGGCTAACGAATAAAAATGCCACTTGCCTCAGACATCGAGTTCATGTACAAGCTCTAAAATTGTCGCTTAAAAATGCGCTCAATTCATTCTTAATAAATATGTTGTCAAGCGGTTTACCTTGAGAACTTGATTTGAAACTAACTCGACGAACAACCAACGTCACTAACAAATAAACACGCCGGGACTTTCCAATTCATCACCGGCAGTTAATCTGTTCAGATCATGGGATCTAAAGTATTAAATAATTGGCGAAAAGTTATTTTATTGCCGGCGCCAACTCACCTTTGATTGCCATCTCAAAAAAAACTTCATAAAATTTATCATTCATCTTGAGCGTTTCTCGCTGCTTATTGACGTGAAAGGCAAAGCTTTCCTTGGGACTTTTCAATAGTTCAGTCCAATTGTTGATTTCTTAATCTGCTGCTTTTTAATCATCTAATAATTTGTAACATAAGCGACGTACAAGACCATCAACTTTTAATTGATGAAGCATCAAAATTATATCATTTAATAATTTCGTCTTCTCTCCGACTTGAATCCATGAATGCTTAATTTCGAAGGTCTGCGCTTTCGACTTTTATCGGCTTTCACCTGTCTTCTTTTTAACTCTTTTATTTCATTTTATGTTTTTCTTTTTTTTTGCACAACTTTAATGATGAGCTTCAAGTGTTATTCTTATTCACTAAGTTGCACAATCACATTTAATTTGATGACTTGTCGTTATTAGTTATAATCAAAATTATCATCATTTATTTATTCATCATCGTAAAATAGACGCAGAAACTGATCCAAACAGAGCTCCACCATGTGATCCATCAGTTTGTGTTCTTCCTGATTGTTTCTGTTCCGAAGATGGCACAACAATTCCTGGAGATTTACCAGCAAGAGATGTTCCACAAATGATCACAATTACATTCGATGATGCCATTAACAATAATAACATTGATTTGTATAGAGAAATGTTCAATGGAAAGAGAAAGAATCCGAATGGTTGCGACATTAAGGCTACGGTAAGAAAACTGAAGCAGAAATCGAGATATTAGTTCCTTGAAATGTAAAGTTTAATTTAATTTACAGTACTTTGTATCCCACAAATACACAAACTACTCGGCTGTTCAAGATACTCACAGACGCGGACATGAAATTGCTGTGCACTCAATTACGTAAGAAAGGCGACGGTGCTTCTAGATAAATGTAATATGGTTTTCGTAATTAATTTTATTTTCATTAAAATTCAGTCATAATGATGATGAACGTTTTTGGTCAAATGCATCAGTTGATGACTGGGCCAAGGAAATGGCTGGAATGCGCATAATATCAGAGAAGTTTGCTAACCTCACTGACAATTCTGTTGTTGGAGTTCGAGCTCCTTATTTACGTGTTGGTGGTAACAACCAGTTTACGATGATGGAAGAACAAGCTTTCCTTTATGATTCAACAATTACTGCACCATTATCGAATCCACCACTTTGGCCTTATACAATGTACTTCCGTATGCCACATCGTTGTCATGGAAATTTACAAAATTGCCCAACAAGAAGTCATGCAGTTTGGGAGATGGTAATGAATGAACTTGACAGACGTGAAGATCCCACCATTGATGAAGATATTCCCGGATGTGCTATGGTTGACTCTTGTTCCAACATTTTGACAGGTAACACAACGCGTTGATTTATTATGAAAGAAAAGAAATCAAAAATTATCATTATAGGCGATCAATTTTATGCATTTTTGAATCACAACTTTGAACGTCATTACGACTCAAATAGAGCTCCATTGGGTCTTTATTTCCATGCTGCATGGTTGAAAAACAATCCCGAATTCCTTGACGCTTTTCTTTATTGGGTTGATGAAATCTTGGCTAATCATAATGACGTTTACTTTGTAACAATGACTCAAGTTATTCAATGGATGCAAAATCCTAAAACGTCTGGAGAAATTAAGAACTTTGAACCATGGAGGGAGAAGTGTGCTGTTGAGTTCAACGCTAAGCCAGCTTGTTGGGTACCAACATCATGCAGATTGACATCAAAGGAAGTTCCCGGGGAACTTATCAACCTCCAGACATGCGTGAGATGCCCGAACCACTACCCATGGCTTAATGACCCAACTGGTGATGGTTTCTTCTAAAAACAAAAAGATTTCAAGACTTAAGACAATGATGAGCGATATTCTTTAGAAAATAAAAGCTCGATCAGCATCACCATGAGTCAGTGCCAGTTAGACTATAAACTTTTTTTCATTCATCTTTCTTAATTCTGCTCATAATTTTTTTCTCTTAAAATTCTTTTAAAAGCTTTCTGTCTTAAGATGAAAAAAAAGAAAAAGTTAGAAATTGATAGATGATATTTTGGATTTATTTTATTGTTATTTATTGTCTTCATGCGCATCAAAAAATGTATAAAATTTCTTTTACTATTTTGATGTCGATTATTTTTTTGCATTAAAATATGCACAAATAAAAATTCTTCTTGAAATAAAAAATACCTATATGTTTTTCTGTTAAAAAAGTTTATAATTAGACATTAAAAGATTAAAAAAACTTAGGGTAAACAAGGTATTGTGAACACAATGTTTTTTGTAAGGTATTGTGAACACACGTAATTTCGAATGCGATTTTCTTCGCTATTTTGCATTCAAATGGATCAAAACTTTGTATAGAAGTAGAGTAGATAGTTCAAACTACTTCTATACAAAGTTTTGATCCATTTGAATGCAAAATAGCGAAGAAAATCGCATTCGAAATTACGTGTGTTCACAATACCTTACAAAAAACATTGTGTTCACAATACCTTGTTTACCCTACTTAGAATCAAGCTTAGAATAAAGCATTCTGACGAAACGATATTATAAAAGTAAACTTTGCTGTTTGAGAGAAAATATTCAAAAATATCCCTTGAAATATTAACCCTGTTCCATTTTCAATTCATTCCACTTTCAAAATTTAAAGTTCCGTTAAATTATATTTAACATTATTTCTTCCAATATGTATGTAACCTTTATTCAAAATAAGTCTTAATTTTAAACTTTAATTGATTAAGTGCTTGCTTATAACTAGTTTGGTACGAAGAATTCAAGGAAAAGCAACGATAAATCGGAACTATTTGTTTTGAAAGTTAAACTATAAATAATGTTTACATGCACAAAAGAAAATTTTCCAAATTGGAGAAATTCTAATTTTGATAGGGAAGCTCCAACATGCAATAACGGCGTCAATGTCGCATTAATCAACGAGAACAGTTGTCCGTTTAATGAAACGGTGTGTCTGAGAGAAATCTACACGTTTATTTAGAATAATTCAATGCAATGAAAGCACATTTAAATGTTTCATCATCATTGTTTTGAAACACGTTTCTTGTACACAATCTTAAAATATCCTTGCTCGTGTTTTGCTGTAAACCATTTTGGAAAAATCTATGTCATGACTCATGAGACATGATTGGTAAATATTTGAAAACAGAGTAAAAACGCATTTACTCCTAAGTACTTATAATATTCATTGACTTATTTTATAGTGCTCGTGAAAAATGAAAACAATGAAGATATATTGATTTCTCTTCCTTATTTATGACATTACCTACTGCTCTCAATCACTGATAAAAATTCCCCTTGGAAATTGATAAAATATAATTTTTTAAAACTTAAAGTGTGCTATGTCAATTTATATACCAATAGAAACAACAAAGTTACTACGCGTATTTAATTCTTACGATAAGAATAAAGAAAACAGAAACAACTCGGATACTATCAGCTGATTGAGTGACTTGAGTGTATTAAGTTTTTTTTTATATGTGGGCTTCAGTGTCTATTAAACTCTTGTTGTGATAACTTTAAAGTTTTTGTTTAAGAAAAATGGGTAAGTAATTTAATTGTGAAAGTATTTGAAATGTGTTTTAAAATGTGATGTATTGATAATTTTAAGTGCATGCAGAGGAAATTGTAAAGATAACCCAAAACCTTATCGATGTCATTAATCGAGGTGACTACGGAAGTTATGAAGAAATTTGCGATCATGAGATGTCTGCAATTGAACCGGAATCTTTCGGACAAATTGTTATTGGATATCCTTTCCACAAATTCTATTTTGATAATGGTGAAACAATTAAATATTTAGACAAAAAAAACTTTCTTCTATGCTGTTAAATATTCTAGCGTTGAATCATTCATCAATAAATAATACGATGGTTAACCCAAGTGTTCATATATTGGGTGAAGATGCTGCATGCATTGCTTACGTTCGGCTGACGCAATATCTTGATAAGTAAGCACATAGATGACAAAAAAGTGCCTTTTGTCTCATTATAAATTCTAAATATTCTCAATCTCATCTAGACATAATCAGACTCATACGCATCAGTCAGAGGAGACAAGAGTGTGGCAACGAAAAGATGATAAATGGCGTTGTATTCATCTGCATCGCAGTTACATCGGAAATCAAGGTTCAATGACACCATTTGAGGGAAAATAAAAATATAATATCAATTGATCAACCTCAATCTTCTTCTACAACCCGCAAGTCATTACGTGTTTATTATTGACCTCTTCGAAAATATTATCAGAGTTCAATAAAACGAAATATTAAACTTCATTACACAATTTTTCGAGTCGTTTCATGTATCGATTCTAATTATGTTGCGCTTATCTAATTATCCATTTATTTACCTGTCATTATCATGAAGCAAGGAGAACTGATAAGATAAAAATAAATATATAATTTATTTACACAATGAATATACTCGTCTAGTCTTACAATTAGCTACAAATTTGGTCAAATGACTTTATGTTCAATTTTATTGTTTCAGAAATTAAAAAAAAATTAAGATAATCAATATAAGGTTGGTGGGTAAATTTAAATTCTCTTCCTTATGTTTATAAATATTTTTATGAAGAAGAAAGCATTATAATGTTGTCCCATAAGTTTTGTAAACAATTCCACTTGAAAATAATATTCTAGGAACCTTTAACGGCACACTCAACAGAAGCCTAAACATTAGTGAACAAACAGTTTAATCTTTTAAAAGAAAATGTATAAAATTTTTATTAATTTTCATAATTTGACATTCAAGATAATTCAACAATTTCTAAATAAATGATTTAAAAATTTCTGGAAATCAAAATTAATTTGTGAAGAAATTTTCGTAAAAATTCTGAGTACGAATTTTGTAGATAGGTACCTACACAAATTATGTCAAAATGTTATACGAAGTAGTGGACAATGCAAATTAAATCTAAATTTATATAATTACAGATTTCTCCTTTGAAACAAAATTTAATGCGATAGTAATAAGTTTTCTGAGAAAAACAAGAAACAACATCGCAGGTCTCTTGTTTGTATGAATCTTTAAATTCTTATCGTCAAGTGTTGCCAACGAAATCAATGAATCATGCCACTTGTCGGGTAGATATCACGTTGTGATTAATTTTTATGAAGAGTAAATTTAATCTTTTCAAATACGTTCAGACGGATTACAATTATGAGTAAAGTTACAGTTTTATTAGTTTCTATTCTGATAATTGCATAACTGGAGTTTATAAGGTGAAAACTCAGATTCAGCATCAAATAACAGTCTAAGAATTGACGTCACAATTTATAGAAGCATTATTAATGAAGACAATTTTTCTTTACTGACTAATTAGGCTAGAGAAAATCAAGGATGCACAAGAAACGTGAACAAATTGTTCGTGTTGAGCTAAATTTGGAAAGTTAACTGCGCATTTTTATCTTTGGCTTTTCTCTCAACTTCATTTCTCGTTGGAAACTTTTCAATATTCAAATCGTCGATTTTAAGAGGAAATTCCTTCATTAAGTTCTATTAAGACAATTTATTTTGTCCATGAATTGGTATTGTATTGACTCAGTCGACTGTAACTTGTAAGATTCATTGAAAATGCGTAAATAACTACTCACTCAGTCCAACTAAACGTTAACATGTGAGTAGACGGGTGGCACGCCACTCACACGCGCCATCGAATTTTCATTGTGAAAATCTATTGATACAATCTTGAGTTTATTTATGGTGACAGTTTTGATTATAAATTGCGTTTTGGCAAATTGACGTCGAAAAGCAACAAGTGGTTTTGTAACAACAGAAGAGATATAAAGATTTTCCGAGTAGTTGGATAATTTTCTGATGAAATTTTGAGTAAAAAAATGTTAAAATTTCTCTTCTTTTCCTCTCTTATTGCCATTGTTAAGGGAAATGAGAATGATGTGTCACAATGTCAAGTCTTTTGAGATAATTGTATATAAAAGCTTGCAAAATTCTCTCGCGAATCATTTGGATAATTGATATCGAGAAAAAAGGAACTCTGGAAAGTTTCCACTACAATTTTTTAATATCTAACAAGATAAAAGAAATTTTAGAGTGTTTTTGAAGCTTAAGTATAATAAAAAATATATTAAGTGACAAGAAATCATCTGAGATATGTTACACGTTCTGAAACAATCAATTTTAGAGATGTCATCAACATCAGTTGAAACGCCACATACTTTGAAGGCATGTGTAAGTCGGAAGATGAATATTGGTGAAACAGTTGAAGTTATTCTGAAAAAAGCTCAAGAAGAAAATCGATTAATTTCTGGATTAAACAACATTTCAAATTTCTTGATAGAAGCCGAAAATTCTGAACAATCGTTGTTCTTCTTTGTCGTACCATCAACAACCAGTGATTCGATTGCACACATGCAGGAAGTAGTTTTGCAGTCATTCTGCTTTGAAAATGACATTTATATAATTAAACTTGATTCAGTTGAAAAATTAAACAAAATTTTGGGATGTGAAAAAGTAGTGAGTTGTGCACTTGTTCAGAAAATGACACAAGCCAAAGACAGTCAAAGTAGATCAAGCAAATATACTGACTTCGAAATGAACATAATTGATCACTGCGAAGAGTTCTGGGATGAACTTGTACAGCCAATAATAAAACTTCCAGAAAAGTGAAAATTCTTCTCATCACAAAATTCATTTTAGGACAATTTTTTAGAAAAAATTTGAAAGTTCTCAAGTTTTGACTTTCAATTTTACAGATATCAGAGGAAAAACATATTTTTACCGATAGATATTTAAAAGCTGGAAAGAAAAATTAAGAAGCGACGTTCAGGCTGCCTGCCTTTAAGAATGTATAAATAATTGTAATGTTTTTTGTTATTGTCACTCTGTACAAAAAAAAAATCTCTTCTCTTGACCTTAACGCGACTTAACATAAATATTTATAGTAAACAAATGTTATTTTTAAACATATTTTTGTATACCAACAAACATATTCATTAATTGTATTTAATCTTCTGAAACCTAATTGAAATGAAATGTTTTGCTGTTACATAAAATGATAAATTAATTCTATTTGTATTTATTTATTATTTATAATTAGATGACAATTAATCATATCTATGTACCAAATTTCTTCTCGTTTCCTTTTCGAGAATGTCAAATTGTGTTAAATGTGTAGAAAATAAAATTTTCCTAAATATTAAAAACATTTGAAATTATTTTGTTTGTGTTTTGATTTCTTGAACTTGTTTTGACTTCTTCAAAATTTTTGATGACGGAAACAAACAAAAACAACTTCAACTTGCGATAATTTTGTGGGTCTTAACAGGTTTCTTCTACTCATCTTAATGAGACCAGCCACACAATTTTAAATTTGCAACAGTCATCGTGAATGAGGATAAATGAGGATAAATTTATCCAAAATTTTAATTATGATATTTAAAAAAACATTTTACAATTAAAAATGAATTTTTAGATTTCTCAAGATTTCTTTATCTTCTTATCTTCATTTTTCTGTCGTATTCAACATGTGAGTTTTTTCTGAAAAATAAACTGATAATGAAGCAAGCTACGATTAATCAGAATTAGGAAAAGTTATAAAGAAAAAAAATGTTTTCGATTAAATAAGTTTAACTTTATTGTATTCTTAAAAAATAAGATTTAATTTCAGATACTACAATTTCTGAAAAAAGATTCGCTTTCAAAAATGTTTAATTCATTTACGAAGCTTCACTGATAATTTGTTATCATTCACGCATTGTGAATGTCCACTCGAAATCGACATGCAATGTAACTCTTGACATTGACGCACGTCCGTGTATCGACGAGTTATTTTTATGACTTTCCCAAAAATTATCGCTTCAATTTCCTTCACGTTGTGGATAATCTGATAATTGGTTGAACTGGTTCACTCCAGAATTCTTCGCAGTGATCGATAAGAATATTTTCAAGTTCTGTGAACTTATCGATGTCGATCTCTTCATCTTCGTTCTTCATGTCCAAAACTGCTGATCTTTGAACCAAAGCACAAGTGTCGCAGTTCTTTGATCCCAAGATTCGGTTGAGTTTCTTCGCTGAATCAATTTTGATGATGTAAATATCGTTCTCGAAGCAGAATGACTGAAGAACGATTTCTTGCATGTGTGTCAAGGAATCTCCAGACGACGATGGGACGATGAAGAAGAACAACGAATGCTCGGGATTCTCAGTTTCCCTCAAATACTTTGACACATTGTTTAATCCACAAATTAATCGAGATTCCTTCTGTGCTTCACTCAAAATCATTCTGGCGACATCGCCGGTATTCATTTTGTGTCCATCCGACGTTTCAATCAAATCATCAACATCAAATATTCCCGAATCAATTGAATTCGTTGATGTGTTGGAAAATGATTTATTTAATTCTTTCACCATTTTGTCTTCTTTGTTGCACAATTTATAATTATTATTATTATCAATTATAATATTTTTCTGTTCAATCGCCAGCTTTTATTTGTTTTGTTTCTGATATTTTCACAATTCTTATGAAATTATTTTTCGAGCGTTTTTTATTTTCACTTCTTTGCTTTGACTGTCAGTTTACGAATGAATGAAATGAGAGAATTTCCACCGATATTTGTAGCTTCGTCGCTCATTTAGTTGCCAAGCTCTCCAAGCTCTTCGCTGAATTTCAGAGAGTGACCGCGATTGTGAATTTCAACGGAAAAAATCACCAGAAAAAACCCATTGAAGTTGCATGATAATGGAATTCCACATCGTGTTTTTTTTCTACGGAAAGCCCAAAGTCCGCTTTGATTGAGAGAATTCAAAGCAAATATCGATCGATAAATAGTGTGAATTTATTTCTCTCATTATATTCATTGATTCATCATCATTGTTCGTTTAATTTTTTAAGATGAAGGAATACTTTGATCTTTGGATAATTCATGTTGTGCAAGGTCGTGAATGGATGAATCATTATCGTCTTGGAGGTCGTTTGCCCCAATTTGGAAGAAATAGAAATTTTCTTGTTTGCAAATTACGTCGCATAAACGAGCCCCCAATATCAGTATCTAGTAAAAAAACAATCTAATTGCTTTGACCAAAATATTTACTTCGAGATAATTTTTGTCACGAGCTGTTTAATCAAAAACAACTTCGTCGAAAATTAACTTCTCCCTTATCCCACATCAACTTCCCACCATGAGTTTCTGTTTATATAATTTCGAGAGAATAACGTCGAATAATTTCTGAGTAGATACGCCTCTTGATAAAAGTAAGTTGACTGATATCGGGTGAAACCCCAAATGAGCTTTACATTCAATCTGTAACGGGAAAACCACCGACAACATTCCAATTCGATATGCAGTTTGCATTCATTTGTAATGAAACGAATGAATGTTTTGCGTAATTAAATATCTAGATAACTAAATATTTTTCCAACCAATTTGTGAGTTTTGGTTACAAATATTTATTCGGAATAGAAAAAAGAGAAATATTTACGCCGCTTTAGATTAAACGCATTTTTTCTTCCAAACAAATTTTATTCATGATTTTTTTTCATTGATGGAAATCCCAGAGTCATATTTTACTATCTCGATAGATTTGATTGAAATTCTTGTGGCGGATACAAGCTAAGTCACTTGTTTGTCAACAAAGTGTAAGAAAAATTGGAAACTGTTGTAAGACGTAAAAAAGTTTCCTCTCGTAAAAGAACTTTTGCACAAACATTTGCCATTATCAAAACAAATTGATTAAAAAAGTGATTTTTGAATGAAAAAGCACTTGACGACTGATGTATAATTGTTTAATCTTATCTCTCACCTGATACTTTCCTCGTTTAATCGGGTTAACAATTCATTCGCTTTTGGCGCCTTATTTATTGAAGACTTTTTTTCTAAGTATTGTTTAACTGACAACAGTGTGCTTTGTTCATGATCTCAATAAATTTTTTAAACTTACATATTATTATTTATCTACAAATGAATAATTGAATGCATTGTTCTATTTGATATCCGACACATGAAACTTTCATAATATTTTGCGCTTTTAACTTAAAATGCTTCGCAATATTAAATTTGATATTAAAAGGCGTGAAATGACATCTCCTCGAAAAGTTTGATAACCTTAAGTGATATAAAAGAAAATAAATAAAGAAATATGAAATGGAAAATTCCTTTTATGCATCTAAAGCGCATTTTTGAATCCGATGATCATTTTTTCAAGGAAAGATTTTTAAGGTACTCAAGAAGAATCAAAGCTCATCGATAATAAACCGCGGATTTCTGACGTAAATAAACAAAGATGACCAAACAATTTTTATGAATATTTTAGCACTAACCAAGACAACAATTTTCGGCTTATGATTATTGTTTTTGCATAAATTTATCAAATTTTCTTTTACTTTGTTTGACTGTTTGTGTCTGAAAATGTATTTCTAGTTTTCCATTGAATTCTGGTTTTCAATTTAACGAGAAAAAAATAACAGAAACGCTCTGATAGTCACCACATGACTCTCGCTCTCTGTAAATTCATTTCATCTTGATGTGCGTTACTGACGTCAACGCAGATTCTTGTTCAAAGGTTTCTACTACTCATGTACAGATTGAATAGAAAGCTAAGATAGAATGAAATTCAAAGAAAACATTGCTTTATGATTTTTTTTTAACATTAATTTTTATTGCATCAAAATCTTTTTCTCAAAAGTTTCTTGTTTACAAATTGAACAACAATTTCGCTTGAATTTGGTTCAAGCTTTGAAATTTCTAGTTGCGTATTTTTTTCCTGCTGTTAGTGACAACAATACAATAAAGAAACTCTTTGAAAGTTTGCTTAAATTGTGATAAAAGTAACAAAGGATTTTTGTTTCCTTTTAAAATATTTGTTACAAAAGACAAAAACCTTGTCATTGAAAAAAAAGTTCTTAAAACTTTAAACATTTATATCCATTTAGTTATGTTAGAGAAATTTCTTCACTTTTCCGGTAATCTGATAATTGGTTGAACTGGTTCACTCCAGAACTCTTCGCAGTGATCGATAAGAATATTTTCAAGTTCTGTGAACTTATCGATGTCGATCTCTTCATCTTCGTTCTTCATGTCCAAAACTGCTGATCTTTGAACCAAAGCACAAGTGTCGCAGTTCTTTGATCCCAAGATTCGGTTGAGTTTCTTCGCTGAATCAATTTTGATGATGTAAATATCGTTCTCGAAGCAGAATGACTGAAGAACGATTTCTTGCATGTGTGTCAAGGAATCTCCAGACGACGATGGGACGATGAAGAAGAACAACGAATGCTCGGGATTCTCAGTTTCCCTCAAATACTTTGACACATTGTTTAATCCACAAATTAATCGAGATTCCTTCTGTGCTTCACTCAAAATCATTCTGGCGACATCGCCGGTATTCATTTTGTGTCCATCCGACGTTTCAATCAAATCGTCAACATCAAATATTCCCGAATCAATTGAATTCGTTGATGTGTTGGAAAATGATTTATTTAATTCTTTCACCATTTTGTCTTCTTTGTTGCACAATTTATAATTATTATTATTATTAATTATAATATTTTTCTGTTCAATCGCCAGCTTTTATTTGTTTCTGATATTTTCACAATTCTGATGAAATTCTTTTTCAAGCGTTTTATTTTCACTTTTATGCTTTGACTGTCAGTTTACGAATGAATGAAATGAGAGAATTTCCACCGATATTTGTAGCTTCGTCGCTCAATCTTCGTTTTTACTCAACTTACAAATGTACAAATCAACGACGAGACTCTCGTAACTAATTCAGAGAGAATTTTGTTTCATGAACTTTGTTACGCATTTGTATTGTGTTGCGTAAAAGCGACATCAGAAACTTCCCAAAACAAAAATAATATCAGCCAATACTCTATTATCTTTTATAACTCACAACCTGCCACTTGACTTAAAGTTGATAACGTATTTGCAAAAATCCGGTTTAGATAATCAAAACTGGGTGATTTTACCGGAATTTGCATTTGATAATTTATTTCAGAAATTTCTGGGGGAATTTCTTGTTTTGTTTTTATTTAATCTGAATAGATATGAGTTTAAAGTATCAATCACAACATAAACAACATTTGATTCTCGTTCTTGTTTGTCAGACAAATTATTTTTAAACTTCACTTGTCCAACAGGTTTTATTTTTAGCTTTGAGAGGTTCGATATTTGTTTATCGCTCTAAATGAATCAGCAAAATTTGTCCTACGATCTTCGCAATTGATTTATGAAATTATTTTAAGAGACTTTCAGGAGATTCAAATCAACACAACATTGAGTGACGAGGTAATTCCAACATTATGCGTCATCAATGCTGAGTAAAACATAAGTGGGTAATTACATGAATGAAAGCAAGCATAATTTAATCCGAAAAAGAAAATGAATCATTCGCGGATTGAAGACAGACGTAAGAAGGAAAAGAAGACGTCGCATAACTGGCGGAATAAGAATAAATGTTAGCAGACGTGATATCGCAGATTTTTATGATAATTATTATGAAACAATATTATTAAATGTCTTATGAAACAACTGATATTGTTTTGAATCTCCTGTCGTGAAACATTTACGTTGTATGTTGTTACGGTGGACATTTCTTCTATTTCTGTTCTTGTTATCTGTCGGCTACTTATGATATTGCAATGAGTTTGATAACATAAAAAGGAAATCTTCTTTACATGTGCGAGTATACATAAAAGAGAATCGACTTACACTTGTACGGAACACACCTCCCGCCATCGATATCGACACTCGTTACATTTTCATCAACAACGTGATAAATTTCATTAAACTTGTGTTGTCTGTTCTCTACGTTAGTTATCGAAAACGTGGCAATAAAACGTCAAAAACGAAGATGAACTTCGACAAATGGTAGATGATTCATTGGAATAAAAATTGGCAACTGTTCAGACTATGAAATGATGAAACAGAAAAAAAATAACAGCGGGACATGCGAAATTCAAAGAAAACCTTGTAGGAAATAAAAAGAGATAATTTTTGTTTGTATAGAAAAAGTTTAATTTTCTTTTATTGTCATTTTGTAGCAACAATGAATTGTGATGCTTTACATGAGTAACATCCACATTTTTATACAAGACTTTTCGTCCGTGGTAACCAGATTGTGATTTCTAGCAAATGTTCAAGTATTTTTCCAGTCAAAATCATGTTTGAGATTTCATTTTTCAGGAAGGCGAATTGTTGAATGTTCCATATCATCCCAATGATCTTCACAAAAGTCGACAAGCTTCTTCTCAATCTTTGTCATCTGGAAATCTTCATCAAGGAAACTTCCTTCACAGTCACTATCACCAGCTGGATTTGCGCATATCAAAGCACATGATTCAAGTCTAGGAGAATCTAAGATTCGGTTGAACTTTTCTAAGCTGTCCAAGTTCATGATGTAAATGTCATTCTCCAGACAATAAGCTTTAAGGAGGACTTCATGGATATGTGTTGCATAATCATCAGTCTTGGAAGGCGTTATTAAACAAATTATTGGAATGTTTACATGATCTTGAGCCAAAAATTGTGCAATGTTTGTTAATCCAACTACTAATCGCTTTTCGATCATTGCTTGCACTAAAGCTTTTTTAATTAGACTGCCGGTTTGATTATTTGATGTATCAATTTTACTTTCAACCACCATTTTCACTTAATTATTTTTCTCGATTTGTCTTCAACGAAATTCAGATTTTAAATGAAGAAATTGTGGTCACACGTATCTCAATTTATATTCGCGTCTCTCCCGCTTTACTTTTCCTTGATGTCTTAAAGTTTTTTAAACCTTTTACAAAGAAAATTTTCATTTTCTATCTCTCGGAAAATTAAATTTGGCTTTCAAAGAAACTGTCTCGCTTGGTGAAATTAATTTTTTACTGAAAACTTTTTGAGTTGTGAAAAAGTTTCTCGCGAAAAATCAAAAAACTGGGTCTATGATCCACTTTCGAATGAAGTTCTCGTTACTTAATAACAGTGATTTAGTGTAGATAATAAACAGCTTGTCCAACATGTATGGGATTTCCCATGAAGTGTACGAATTAGCTTGTAAAGCCACTCGTTATGCTTCTGTCTTTATCAAAACACTTCACAAAGTCAAATGAACCCGTAAAAAGTTGGCATATTGTCAACAAACAAAAATCAAATAACGTCTAACGTTGATTGAGTAATTAAATTGAGAACCAAACCAACCCAGAAAGTGTTTCTACATCCATTAAAATAAATCAGAGAATTTTCCGGGAAAAAGGAAAACTCGTACGTTGCCAAACTCGTTAGCTCTTAATGAGAAAAAAAGTAAAAAAAAACTTTTCTCCCATTTCATGGTCATGAAGACTTTTTTGAACTGCAAGATTTTGTTTTATTTTCCATTTAAATCCTGTAAAAGTAATTGCATTAATTAATTATTGTTCTATGAATGAAGTACGGACAATGACACGAATTCAAAGAAAATTGTGCAACTTGATAGGAATGAATTTAATTTAACACTCTTTCTTACATATCCTGGTAAAAATGCTTACGTAAAAGGTAACTCTTATAATCGTCATGACTCATGACGTGTGGCATATTATCAAGTTTCACAATTATTTATAATGAGATTTTTTTATTTGAACTCTTTCTTGACAACATGGTTGCTTCGTGAACAGAAGTGATTGTCTCATCTTCCTACAATAACAATATTAGATATTCCAAAAAAAGGAAATCAATTCATTGATAACATTTTGCTATTTGTTGACTTTCATTATGATGCAAATTATGTACGAGGCTTTCCTCAAACTCAACTGTGCACTGCTGTGTATTATTCATTTATTGCTTTATTTTTAAGACACATTTAATCACAAGTAAGAATATTCAAAATGAGAATATCAAAAACATACGTTGAAGAAAAGTTTAATTTAGTGAGACGTTCAAGTATTTTATTAGACTTTCATTATTATGCCATTAAATTCTACAAAATTAGATAGAAATTGAAAATATTTACTTTGTTAATACGTACTTATAGAAACATTGTTATCCAAACGTAAATAAATGTTCCTAATAAAAATAGAAAGAAAATATCAGAAATTGCCCAAAAGGCAATTTTATTTCGTATCTAAAATTAAATTCATGTTGCTAATATCAATTTTATACTCTTGATTCAGACAACATCGATACATTTTAATCACGAATTCCTACAAGTGAAAGTTGTTAAAATAAAGATGAAAATTATGCGGAAAATTCTGCGAAATCAACACGTGTCAAGTACAGAATAAACCATAAAACGACACTTGATAATCACGTGTTTAGTTTTGTATGTAACCAGAGCCAAAGAGAAATTTCAGAAAATGTGAATGAATCAAAACATTGTGAATCATAAAAAATTGCTCGACATGACACATTTGAACGCGGAGGTGAACTTTGGGCTTCCCTAGAATGAACACAAAAAACATTTTGCTGAATTTTAATATTTTGTCTGATAATGTTCTTAGCCTCGTTTGGGAATTTTGCTGATAAATTGCTTTTCTACTTACTTATGTTATTCTCCCTGCACATTATCTTGCCTTGATTGTACCATAGCGTTAGCTCTCTGTTTGGATTTCTCAATTTATGAGAAAATATTTACAAGATATTGTGAGCGAAAATGAGCAGAAAAGCTATAAATGCCGGCGTTCTGATTCTCTTCTTGCTTATTTATAAAAAAATTCTCGAAGTGAAAAGGTAGAGAAGAAAATTTCTCTGTTAAACATTTTGAATTAATTTCATAATATGTGAAAACTGAAAATTTATTGAACTCAACAAGTGAAATGGTATATAACGGGAATATTTGATGTTGACGATTTTATTGAAACGTCGGATGGACACAAAATGAATACCGGCGATGTCGCCAGAATGATTTTGAGTGAAGCACAGAAGGAATCTCGATTAATTTGTGGATTAAACAATGTGTCAAAGTATTTGAGGGAAACTGAGAATCCCGAGCATTCGTTGTTCTTCTTCATCGTCCCATCGTCGTCTGGAGATTCCTTGACACACATGCAAGAAATCGTTCTTCAGTCATTCTGCTTCGAGAACGATATTTACATCATCAAAATTGATTCAGCGAAGAAACTCAACCGAATCTTGGGATCAAAGAACTGCGACACTTGTGCTTTGGTTCAAAGATCAGCAGTTTTGGACATGAAGAACGAAGATGAAGAGATCGACATCGATAAGTTCACAGAACTTGAAAATATTCTTATCGATCACTGCGAAGAGTTCTGGAATGAACCAGTTCAACCAAATATCAGATTACCGGAAATATGAACATTTCACCGTGGTATATAGTTGGCATTAAAATAATTGACAGAAGTTTATCATCGTATCAAAGTTGTTCATTATCTAAACATTGTGATTGGGCAACACCGAAATGTTTTCTTCACAAATGTCTTACTGATTTATTCTGAAATTAAGTAACTAATTTATCTAAATTTCTGAATAGAATAGACAGAAAATTGTGTCGATGTTTAATTTCTAACTATCTACATAGAAAGAGAAAGCTTGAAAAATATGTAAAAATCTTTTAATTATCTAATAAAGAAATTTTACTATTTAATTTTTTATTTCTATTCCTGTCACTGAATGAATGTAGTCCAAGTATGAGGCGACCCTGGTAAAAACTTTTGCTTTGCCTACACAACCTGGTGCGCCATAAGATACGATACCGAACACAATCGTTACATCATCAATTTTCGTTATCAAACCATTTCCACTATCACCGTTGCATGTTGTATGGTTGAAGCTATTTAAGCCTTGAGCACAGACAAAAGTTTCCCGCATTCTCCAACCCCACTCATTGCTACAATCTTCATTGCTTACTCCATACATTTCAACATACCGTAAATAGAGATTTGATTGCGATCCATTCTTAGTGTCTCCGAAACCTGGCACGAATAGTGTTGAATTAATGAAAGTTTCTGTTGGAAGTTGATGTCTCGCTGGAAGCTCAATTGGTTGAATTCGGCTATTAAATTCAACAGGTTTCTCAAGTTTCACCAAACCAATATCATCAGCATTGATATTTTTATAATTTGGGTGAATTGATCCATCAATAATCTTCAATTTCAATGTCATGGTTCGCCAGAAAACTGATCCCATGTAAGCTTTCGCTGATCTCATGCCCTTAATGCAATGAGCTGCCTTTTAAATGTTAATAATCGTTTAAACAATTTTACAAAAATGTTAAATTTCTCACAGTCAAAACCCATTGCGAACTTATTAAACTTCCACCACAATACTTCGTTCCTTCTCTCTTCTTTATCGACAATTGCACCATGTGAGGAAATCTTCCTTCTTCAGCTAATTTTCCATTTATAATTTTACTGGCACTTTCACTTGAACTGTCATAAATTAAACAACTGAAGAGAATAATTGTCAACACTGCAGCCTTCATCATCAGACTGTGAATTTTGTGACTTTGTAGAAATATTTTATACTTGACGATCAGAAGCCCTTATTGGAGCGGAAAATTTACATAAAAAATATTGACAAACATTTTATTTCTTAAATAATTCATAAATGTTTTGCATTGACAGTTGATAAATCTATTGAATGACTTTAAAGACTTTGGTTGAATGAAATCCATGGTTTTCAAGACATGAATTAACTGGGAGCTCATATTGTGCCATTTTCAGTAATTTAAGTTCTTTACTCAATGCATGCCTTCCAGGATCTCCAATTAAACATGTTTTTCCATTACTAACAAGTCTTCTTATCCACGGTAGAAGTTGCTTTGCAAAATCTTCATCGTAGAAAACGTCACCGAAGATAATTATATCGAATGAGAATGTCGAAGGATCGTTTATAAGGTTTCGTGTGTCTGTCATGACATGAACATTATTTAGTGCTGCATTAAGCTTAATTGCAGCTTCTGCATTTACGTCAATGTCATTTGCAATGACCATTTCACATAAATTTAGTTTACAAGCGATTGCTGTTGCTCCACATCCAGATCCAAAGTCTAAAACTTTCTTTCCTTTAATTATGTGAGGATTATCGAGAATGTAACGAGTCACTGACATCCCACCAGGCCAATAAAAGCCCCAAAATGGATCTTTTAGCACTGAATTTTCATTTTCCTCTTGCGTTGAATGAAAAAGTCGGCAATTCTTTGTGATGAGTCTTAATTTGATTTCAGGTGTTAAATGATTTGTAGAAATTTCTGTTTCTTTCACTATCAGATCCTTGATATAATTTCTGTCACTTTTAAAACTTCTAAAATGAAAAAACTTTCTAAAATTTCTGTTGAAAATCATTTTAGTTTTATTAATTTTTTTCTTTTTTTTGGATTATTTTTTTATTATTTATAAACAAATTTTTGTTTGTGTGTCGTGTCGATCAGCTGATCAGGTTTACTTCTTACTTATCATACAATTACCATCGGGATATCTTTTTTGAAAACTGTTAATCAGCTCAGGATCGACAAGTTTAACTCCATCAAGTTGATTGCCAATTGTCAGCCAATTTGGTTGAACATTATGTTGTCTTCCGAATAATTCGATTTTTCTTGTTCCTGGTGACAATCTTTCAATAATTCCGTAAACTTCATCGGGCTTATGAGAAGTTGCACGCACTTCAGCAACTATGACATCACAGTCGAGTCCTCGATTAAGATTCTTCGGTTTACCTTTCAAGCCAACGAGACAATGTTCTTTGCCATGGTTAAGCCAATGACCAGTTCGACCTGTTCGAATAATTCGTTGAAGTTGATTTGTCTTCACCCAAATGAGTTCGTCAACTCTTTCATATCCCCAAAGTTTAAGACATTCCCTTCCAAGCTCCATGGCACGACCAGTCACCCACAAGAATATTAAACCATCATCTTGAAGTGCTGGAACGCCCAATTCTCTCATCTCATCATCTGACATTGTTCCATACGGAAGTTCCATGTGAATATCCCAAGGAGGATCAGCCATAATGACAGCAAACTTCCCTAAACAACTCATATCCAAGTAACGTAAATCACATTGAATCCATTGAGCTGGATTTAATGTCACTTCAATGGAACGTTTTGGAATGAGATCTTGACTGTTCCCGCCACTTGCTTCATCTTGTTGTGCATTTTTAATTGTTTTATTTGCAGTTTGTTCTGCGTTATCAACTTGATAATGAACATATTTACATGTCGACATGTGAAAACATGTGTTTAAGAAACTACAATCACCCAGCACAACATCAGTATGTCCTTGGATGATTTTCTTAAAATGCAAACGATTACACTTGAACCGCGTTGCATCTTTTGCTTCGTCGTTGTTTTCCACCGTTTTCTCTGATTTTTCATCATTTTCCTCTGTTGATGTTGCTTCATCAGTTAATTGTTGAGCTTTCATGCATTCAACACGAGTTCCATGTGGACAAAACTCCATGACTTGTGTACCGCCTTGTGATTTAAACTTTTCAGTGAGAAATTTTTCTTTTGCTGTTGGTTTCGAGAGAAGTTCCAAAATTTCTTCACCAACTTGTTTGTTTTGTTTCTCTTTTGTAGATGGAAGTGACAATAATGACATGATGTCAGTGTCTTGAAGTGCACTGCTTTCTCTCGGTTTCTTTTCTCTCGGTTCATCTTCAAATCCTTGCGAACTTTCATATTCGGCCCAAGCATCGTCGCTTTTTTTCTCGTTCAAAATGTCATGATAATGATAATGTAGCTTCTCATTGTGTACTTGAATTATTTCATAACCAGCTTCATTCTTTATTGAAACATTCTTTAACTCAATTATATTTTGCTGCGCTATATTCTCGAGTTGTTGATGAATCTTTAAAATTTCAACAGGTCGCAACATCAACGACGTTACTTGCTCAAAGATTTGTTTGGAATTTGTTGGTAGAATTAAGTTTTTATTTGAAAGAATTTTAATCAAGCATTTCTCGGTGTCTGTATCTAGAATATAAAGAGTTAGTTTAGTAAAGTATAGTTAAATATTTTATGAATAAAATTGATTATCATCTTTCCAATTAACGTCTTTCCAAATACCTTCAATTAAACTCAATGTTTTCTTATCCTCTGTTGATTCCAGCAAGCTTCCTGTACCTAGAATGTCTTGTCGTTCCTTTCTTTTCTTTTCATAACGTTCTCTTAAACTATTACGATGCATATTAATTGTGAATATTTGTTTTGTTTAATTTTGATATTTTTAACTTAATTGTAGAAAAAGTTGTCTCCTCAGTTTGTTTATTTCCTCACATTTGGTCTTGTTGGTTACTTCTAAGGAGACAAGTTTTTGTGTAAATTTTACTTCTCTGAACATAAAAAAAAACTTTCAAATCATTGTAATCTTCATAGTAAAATTTCATTAATATTCTAAAAATGGCTAAGCCGCTTCATATTCAGCGACTTGAGAAAGCTCTTGAGCTTGGTCCTTTCATGAAATACGCTGAATCAATTCTCACTAAAAATGATGATTTTGAGAATTCTTCGGACGATGATTCAGGTGTTAGACGCCATACGTTAAATCAAGATAAAGAACTAATGTATCATACCGAAAACATCAGTGAAGATCGTAAATGGCTCTATAATCTTTTACTTTCCGATACCGAGTCAGATTCGGAAATTTCTGATCAAGACAAATATATTGGAGAAATGCTGAAAGAACATGTTCGTGAGAAGCGATATCGATTGAAATATCATCAGAATCCAAGCGTAAGTATTATAAAAACTATAAATTGTCATAATTATTCATAACGATTCTTGCAGAATGCTCAATATGGATACTACAGTGCTGGATTGTTATCTAATGTCGACATGTATCCAGAACAACAACAATCAGTAACTGGCATCAAACGACGAAGAAAGAAGTTCGAAAGAAAGCCTCTAAAGTTAGAAAAGAAACATACATTAATGTCACGAGTTGATAAAGATGACTCAAACTTGTCAAATGATCTCAATGACATAGACTGGGAAGATCAAATTACCATGAGTATTAAAGAAGAAGATCCAGATTCACGGCCACAGTCTCCATCTAGTAGAGGACGAAAGCGAAAGAGTCTCTTCAAAACACCTGAGCTTATGAATCATCGAAGGAGGAAGATGTGGCAAACAATGGCAAAGAAGGAAGTTGGAAAATATCAGCGAATCAAAGCAAATAATCATAAGGAGTTGCTTAATTTCACAAAGAAAACTGCAAGCTTATGTCAAAAAGTTGCTCGTCAAAAAGCAATGGAATCGCAGAAACGTCAGAAAGAGACAATCTGGCGTGCCAAACGCTTAACACGTGAGATGCTTTCATATTGGAAGAAATACGATCGAATAGAACGTGAAAATCGACGAAGACTTGAGAAAGAAGCAGAAGAACAAAGAAAAATGGATGTTGAATTAGTTGAAGTTAAGCGTCAACAACGTAAACTTAACTTTCTCATCACACAAACAGAGCTTTATGCTCATTTTATGTCACATAAAGGCGAACTTTCATCTCAGGAAGAGCAACGAATCCTCAATCAATTGGATGAAGAACCTTCACCACGTTTGTCTTCAATCGACAATTATGACAGTGAATTAATGAAGTCAAAAGCACAGAAAAATGTACAAGACGCATTTTATATTGAACGTAATCGAACAAAAGAATTTGATAAGATTGCTCAACAACCGGCGTTGTTTCCCGTCATTGATCAAGCTTCAGGATCAATAGTGGAACTCCCTCAACCAGCAATGTTTAAAGGTGTTCTTAAAGGTTACCAATTGAAAGGAATGACATGGTTGGCACATCTCTATGATCAAGGAATCAGTGGAATTCTGGTAAGTTTCCTCAAGTTTTCATGGATGCAGAGAATGTAAACAAACGCGAAAATGAAATGAACGTGTGGAAAATGAATCATGATTCGTTTTCAGCTCTAGTTCATTTCAAAATTACCCTTAAAATCATTTCAATTTTCTCATCGAACTTTTTTTTATATTTTTTTTTATTTAGGCTGATGAGATGGGTTTAGGAAAAACCGTTCAATCAATTGCATTCCTATGTCATGTTGCTGAGAATTACGGTGTTTGGGGTCCATTCCTTATCATATCACCAGCTTCAACACTACACAATTGGCAACAAGAAATGCAACGTTTCGTGCCGAACTTTAAAGTAGTTCCATATTGGGGATCACCAAATCAAAGAAAGATTTTAAGACAGTTCTGGGATCAAAAAGATTTACATACAAAGGATGCGAGCTTCCATGTCGTCATTACGAGTTATCAACTTGTTGTGTCTGATTATAAATATTTTAATAGAATCAAATGGCAATACATGGTTCTTGATGAAGCACAAGCGATTAAAAGTACATCAAGTGTTCGGTGGAAACTGTTACTAGGCTTCAATTGTCGCAATCGTTTGTTGTTGAGTGGAACGCCAATTCAAAATTCAATGGCAGAACTTTGGGCACTTTTACATTTTATTATGCCAACACTTTTCGATTCACACGATGAATTTAATGAATGGTTCTCGAAAGACATTGAAAGTCATGCTGAGAATAAAACAGGAATAGATGAGAAACAAATTTCAAGGCTTCACATGATTCTCAAGCCTTTCATGTTGCGAAGAATTAAGAAAGATGTTGAGAATGAGCTTTCGGATAAAATTGAAATTATGACATATTGTCCACTCACAACACGTCAAAAGTTCCTCTATATGGCTTTGAAGAAGAAAATTAGAATCGAAGATTTACTTAAAGCAACTGGTCAAAGTGATGGACACACAACTGATAAAAATTTCACTTCGAATCTCATGAATCTCGTAATGCAATTTCGTAAAGTTTGTAATCATCCAGAATTGTTTGAACGTCGTGATATTCGTTCGCCTTTTGCATTATCAAAACTTGAATATCAAATGCCAAGACTTGTTTATAATGAACTTCGATTACATAAAATGATCCCAAGCAAGAAACATTTGTTGTACAATAAATTCAACATTTTCAAGGCTGAGAACGTTCATCGACGAATGCGACCAGAAGTTCTTGAAGTTGATGGATTTTCATTCCTAAGATTTGTAAATTTATCATCAGGTGAAGTTGAAAAGTTGACACTTTGTGGTTTACTTGAATTTCTTCTTCATGCAAAACAGAGTGAAATTCATTATCAACTTTTAAACTATCGAAATGAATGGTGGAAAGATGTTGATAAGAGATTTCTGTTATTGACACCGTCGATTAACAAAATTATTGACAAACGATTCATGATGACGAACAGTATTTTAAGAAACTTCATTTTCACAAGTAATAATTCACGTGAAAGCTCAATTTACACTCATCAAAATCAGTTGATGTGTTCAATGCAAGAGACAACTGATCATCGAATCATTCGCAGTCGTCATGCGCCAGCAAATGCTTTAGATGAGCATATAAAGACAACACCAGTAAAATCGCCAACAATTCGTGGATTGAAATCTCCAATGAAGTCGCCAACAATACGAATTGAGCCGATTGAAAAGAAACTTGATGAATCGTGTGGACATATTAAGTTACTTCCTGAATATCCCCACATTCCACAAAAACCTCGTAAAATCATCTGTGAAGCAACTGAAATGCCGAAATTTCTCTACAAACTTCCACCAAAAATTCAAAGCACAGCAAAACGTTTGTATGTTGAATCACGTGAAGCTGCATGGGAATTTAAACGTTTCGATCATTGCGATTGTCTTGAAGGTTGGCAATTAATAAACAATTCAATCAAGCAAATGCATCCACATTCAGGTTGGTCGACTGTGACAATCCCTGATAAGCAAGCGCTTGTGTCGGATGCTGGAAAGCTTTTCGTTCTCGATTTGTTGCTGACACGATTGAAATCTGAAGGACATCGAGTTCTTATCTACTCGCAAATGACGAAAATGATTGATCTACTTGAAGAGTACATGTGGCATCGAAAGCATCGTTATATGAGACTCGATGGAAGCAGCAAAATCTCCGCACGACGTGACATGGTTGCTGACTTTCAATCACGTGAAGATATTTTCTGCTTTCTTCTGAGTACACGTGCTGGTGGTTTGGGAATTAATCTTACAGCTGCTGACACAGTCATTTTCTATGATTCAGATTGGAATCCAACAGTTGATCAACAAGCAATGGACCGTGCACATCGTTTAGGACAAACAAAGCAAGTGACAGTTTACCGGCTGATTTGCAAAGGAACAATCGAAGAAAGAATTCTTCAAAGAGCTCGTGAGAAAAGTGAAATTCAACGGATGGTGATAAGTGGTGGAAATTTCAAGCCCGACACATTGAAGCCGAAAGAAGTTGTTTCATTACTACTTGATGATGAAGAAATTGAAACAAAATATCGACAGAAGAAAGGTGAAGAGAAGAAACCGTCAGAGGAAAGATCGTGGGGACGACCGGAGAAAGAATCATCAGGAAGAAAACGAAAGAATTTCCCACTTGCAAAAGAAACAAAGAAACAAAAGTTGGATTTACTTTTGGATGCTGAAGATTTAGCATTCTTGGAATCGGGTGGTGCACCATCGCCGTCTGTTAGTGAACAGTCGCATGGAAGTAAATTAGCTGGTGGCAGTGCTGGTGTAAACAACGATGACGATTCGAGTATTGAAGGGCTTGTTGTCGATCATGAGAGTGCGATTGGATCGATTTATGGTGATTTGAAGCCACCAAAGAAACGAAATCCACAACGTGCAGGAAATCGAAGACCTGGGAGACCTCGAGGAACGGGAAAGAAACGTGATGGTAAATTTCAGTCTAAAACGCATTTCATGATATAAAATTGAGTTTTTATTTAACAGATATGAAGCCAATACAGCCTCAAGGGCCTAAACGAGGTCCTGGGCGTCCCAAAACAAAACAAACCGGTGGTCCAAGTAATCAAGGCTACAGAAACGTTCCACTGCAACGTGTGACGATGGTGAAATCTTCTGAAAGTTCAAGAAGCTTCGATGATAATATTTAAAGTTAATTCATCTTTAAAATAGTTCTTAATGATGATGTTGAAGATTCAAAATGGCATAGAAACGAAAGAGAAAATAAAATTGGAGATTAAAATAACTGAAATTAATTACTTTATATTGAAGAACATAAAACGGCCTTTCAGACTTATGAAAATGAATGAAAAATCAAATTTCTACTTAGCTTCCATCCGAATAGTTTCGACTTTTATTTTAGTGGGCGGAAGAAAATTTCAAGGAGTCAGATTTGCAAATTCCTGTGAAATTTCCATAAAATATAAATAAATTTCCATCGTTTTCAATTGACTTTATTAATTCAATTAAGAAACTTGCTAGAGCTGGTATATAAATGCGCATTAGACCTAAAGTACTTTTTGTCTGTCTGATAAGTTATCTTTTCCGAAAGGTAAAATAAATAATCAAATCACATGTTAAATTTATGATATTAAAAGATTTTCAGTAGCAGGAGGTCAACTTTCACCCTAAAAGTAAGTTTAAATTCTGTTAGAGAAATAAAAGATAATTTTCGAGAAATAATAAAATATGGAAAGTAAAATAATGACAATGGAAACACATTTTAATTGTTCTCTTCTTTCCCTACAAGTGAATGTTTGATTTATCTTATCATCAAGTTACTACCAAACGCAACATTTAATCACATTAAAATATAAAACTAACGAGAAGGTTTTAGTTTAGAATATGAAATGGGAGAGATCAGAAGTAAAAATTTAAATTTTCCATTCGATTTCAAAGAACTTGACGATGATCTTCAAGAAGAAGTTTCATTAAAATTTCCTAATCAACCGGAAATGATTTTTGTTGGACCTGAAAAATGGTTTTTACCAAAATCTTTCAAAGATTACGCAAATATAATTTATAACTTCGATGTGAGACCATCTGATGTGTTTGTTTGTACATTTCCACGATCTGGGACGACTTGGACTCAGGAAATGGTTTGGTTGATTTGTAATGACTTGGACTATAATACTGCGAAGCAAGTTGCTCTAACTAAGCGATTTCCATACATAGAGTGAGTTATTTCCAGACATCGCTTAGACACAGGGTTTAAATTTATTTCATTTACAGAAATCATCTCGTAACGAGTGAAAAAGCAGCCAAAGAAATGTCGCACATTTCTGGAAATATTAAAAACTTGGAGAATGTATTTGCGCCTATATATGATGTTCTTGAATCCCAAACAACTCAAAGATTTATTAAAACGCATTTGCCAATTGAATTTTTACCATGGAAAATCAAACAAGTTGGTGCGAAAGTTGTGTACGTTGCAAGGAACCCAAAAGATGCCGCAGTTTCCTTCTTCCATTTCCAACAAAATCCTTGGTTTCGTTACAATGAAAATTTTGAACACTACGCGGAATATTTTATGAAAGATTTAGGTGAGTGAACTAGGAAAATTGAGAATCAAAATTTGATTAACTTTTCCTTAGTTATGTATTCGCCTTATTGGGATCATGTTGCTAGTGGGTGGAAGCATAAAGACGACCAAAATGTTCATTTTGTGTTTTATGAAAACTTCAAGTTGAACATGAAACAGTCTTTGATAAATCTCGCAGAATTTCTTGGAAAGCCTCTGAAAGACGAAGATCTTCCAGGTTTGATGAAGCATTTGGATTTTGAAAATGCAAAGAAAAATCCGGCATTTAATTTTGGTAACATTATGCTCCGCCAAGGAAGTGTTGGTGGAAATTCTGAAATAAGTGGAGAAGTTGAAAGGAAGTTCGATGAGTGGATAGAACAAGGATTGAAGACTTCAGGTGTGAAGTTCCCTTGAATTGCCATATAAGGTGATGCAAGTGAATAATTTCTGATTTATTTCGTTACCTGATGCTCTAATTAAGAATCAGTTTTATAATAAATAACTTAATCTCAATCACATTTTAATATTTACATGATAATATGTAAAAATAGTTCAGATAAGATTTTAACATCAAATCTAGTTCGTCTTATCTTCAATTTTATGGAATGAAAGAAAGTCTGAGATAAACAGAATAAACACAATTTATCATAATTAAATTTTAATATTTACACAAAACTTGTATCATTTCTTCAGCATCAAATATTCAGTCGTTGGTCTACTTTTATTTAATTCACCTCGTTTGAAAAATGAATTTTCCCTATGAATTTGAAAATCTCGACGATGATCATCAAAAAGAAATTTCATTGAAATTTCTAAATCAGCCAGAAATTGTTTGTGTCGGACCTGAAAAATGGTTTTTACCAAAACCTTTTAAAGAATACGCAAACAAAATTCATAATTTCAATGTGAGACCAACGGATGTGTTTGTTTGTACATTTCCGCGGTCTGGAACGACTTGGACACAGGAAATGATTTTGTTAATTTGTAATGATTTGGATTACGAAACTGCTAAAAAAATTTCTTTAAGAAAAAGATTTCCTTATCTTGAGTACGCTTTTGTAGTGATTGTTTGATAATTTTTAATTTCTTGAATACATTTAATTATAGAATTAATTTATTAACTTCTGAAAAAGCAACTAGAGAAATGGCAATTATTAACAAAAAGTTCTTAAGTGAAACAAACGCGGAAATTGATATCCAAACCTATGATCCTATTGACAAAGTTCTTGAAGCCCAAACAACTCAAAGGTTTATAAAGATTCATCTGCCGATGCAATTTCTGCTATGGAAGATTAAAGAAGTTGGAGCCAAAGTTGTGTACGTTGCGAGAAATCCCAAGGATGTCGCCGTTTCCTACTTTCATTTTGAAAAGAATCCAATATTTGCTTACAATGGTGACTTTGAAACTTATTCAGACTTCTTCATGAACGATCAGGGTAAGTAAGTTGATAATTATTTTTTTTTATTACATAATGAATTTTAATTTCAGTCATTTATGCACCTTACTGGAAGCACGTGTTGGATGGATGGAAACATCGACACGAATCCAATTTCCATTTTATGTTTTATGAAGATTTGAAACTCAATACTGAAGAATCGTTGAGAAAGCTTTCAAAGTTCTTAGAAAAACCTCTCAAGGACGAAGATCTTCCAAAACTATTGGATCATTTGAATTTTGATAATGCTAAGGAAAATCTTGCAGTTAATGCTGTTAACTTAATGTTACGTAAAGGATGTATTGGTGGAAATTCGGAGATGACTGAAGAAATATCAGCAAATTTTGATAAATGGACGGAAGAAAATTTAAGGGAATCAGATTTGAAATTTCCTGTGAAATTTACATAAAACTTATCAAGATTTATCACAATCTGTGGAAACATTTCACTTATCTACTTGTTTTCGTATCTTAAAACAAATAAAAAATATGTTGTAATGTCGCCATGACGTCATTGAGCGATAAAAGAAGAATTAATTAAACAGCTTCAATAATTATGATTTTATTTCGCTTCAATATCTGTCTACTGATCAATAAATACAAAATCGTGCACATCAATACAGATATCGGCATTAGTAGAACTACAGGAATTAGAAATAAGATTTCATAATTTTTTTCTGGAAATTCCATAATCGACTCGTTGACGATAATCCCTTCATCTTCACTCACATGCTGATTAACGTTGAATTCGCGAAAGGTAAAGCCAGAATAATTTATTGCTACACAAACATAAATCGAGTTTCTTGTTATATTATTCACAATCAGTTTACTTAAGTACAAATTATCGGTGAGTTCTTTAAGGCCTCCTTGTAGTCCAATAATCGGCTCGTAGAAGTTTTCAAAATATTTTATCGAACGCGTACTCTCAATGAAAGATTTATACGATTCGAAAGAGTTTTCTTCACTGTTCACTTCTTCTTCATTTTTCTTCTTAAACCACTTGATGGTTGGTTTTTGCTGACTCTTTACTGAACACTGAAGAATCAATTGCGATTTATTTAATGGCGTTTTATTACTGACATGATTTGTTGCATCATTTAAAGTGTCGTTCAATATCTCTGGGGGTGGCAATGACGACAACGGATCTAAATTCATTAAAAAAATGTTCAAATGTCTTGAATAATTTAAGGGATAAAAAATCTCACCGAAAATTTCTACATGAAAAGTTTTTGTGAATTCAATTTGCAAAATTGTTTCTTCGTCAACTCGATAAGGAAATAAGCGACACAAGTAAAAGCCATTTGATGCTTTATCATCATTTAAAGTGAGAAATATTTTACATTGTCCATCGCAGTCAATTTCCGTCCATTCATTTTCATCCGGTTGATTCCAACATGAACCTTTGCAAGATCTTTTGAACCACCACGTGACAAGTGAATTTGTGTTGAAAGCTTCATGCATCTCAAGAATGGAGCAATTCAAAGTTAAGTCAATGTTTTTGCTTTTAATGAGTTTTGAATGCTTAATCGTGGATGAATCACTTTTCGGTGTCAATTCATAAGCTTCAGCAAAATAAACAATGACAATCACGAAGAAAGTGAGAAAATCTGTGAATCGAAATGTTTGTCATTTCATTCTGATTTCTAAAAAATTATATAAGAAGAAATCTTACCAAGAGACATCACATTGCATTCCATGTGCTTCCATTTATGTTGGAAGAAGTCTGGAGAAAATTCCGTTCGCCAACAAACCGTTTAACAATTAATTAAAACGATATAAACAAATCGCTCACACATGAAGTTAAAGATGAGAGTGAGAGTTCAATTAAAAATAATGAATTTTCAAATATAATTAATTTCCTAATTTATTTGTTTTGATATAAGAACAGATTAAAGCATGCGTTCGTTTAAGATGAAGCCGCAAAAGCAGAACTGAAAGTGTGAGCGGATTATTTTAATTGTGTGTTGAAAATTTTTTAATTATCGTCTGATGTTTGAACTTGAAAATTTCCACAACTTTAAAATCTTTTCTTTTCTTCCTTTTTCCATCCAAACGTGAGAGAGAAAATGTTAGCGATTAGAATATCGTGAGATGAAACATGTATCGAAATGTTGCTCCGTAAAAAGTTTGTTTTTTGTTTTTATTTCGGAATATTTCAAAGAATCAACAATAAATTAAACGAAAGGCGAAGTTTAATTATTTTCTCGCTTCGTTCATTGCTTTTCTTCAACACGCAGTGAATTATGAGATCGCACTAAAGCACTTTGACTTTGTTGTGTTTAAATAAAATGTAAGCAAAACAGTACGAAACGTTAATTAATTCTTCTTTATTTCAGTAAACGGCAACTTTTCCCGAACTCAAAATGAATTAAATTCAGAAGCTAAACTACTTCACTGATAACGATTCCATTTTTTTCTTTCTTATCCATCTCTGTTCACAACAAATATCGAACTATTATATGTTCATTTTCGATAAAAGCATGTCGCTTGGTTGTCCAACTGATAAGAAGAGGAAAAAAATATTTTTTTAATTTATCATTAAATATTTCTCCCACTGTTGGTTGTTATCAATAATGAGTAAATATACAGTCGTCAGGATTAGATAAACATTATTTCTATCTACTTGAATTTATTTTTATTAATATTTAACGTTCGAAGATTCATAAATCAATTTTTACACCCGACAATTGCCTTCTATTCTTTCTTTCCTGATTCACAGAAATAAAATCGAAACTTTTAAACAAATGTAAGTCGCGTGCTTGTATAAACTTCAACAGTTCACGATCGACTGAAAAAGTGTGAGACTGGAAGCAATGTGGTGAAGAAGAAAAAAAATGAAAAATTTTCCCCCTCGATAATGATAAACAAAACATTATTTTTAGAGTTGCCACTTAAGTGTGTTTAGTGCTCACGCTCTTTAAAAACATGCTAGAGTGACACCTCAGTACCCAACAAGCACACAATCTTTTCTCCCTCGATTTCATTCTCAGGTCAGCTGTATTGACTCAAACAACGTTCTTTTTATACATCTTCATTCTCTGTTTTATTTTTCATTCAAATTTTTATCGATGAACAAAAACTATAATTAAGAAGCAACGAAAAACAAATTGTTTTTGTTCGTATTTGGTGATTTATTGAGATTTTGCGTTAAAACATTTCACGCTTTTTCTACTTCTTCTTCTTCTAAGGATGATGATGAATCCAAACAGAGCTTTATTAGATTACAAGTGACAATGCTTCAAACTAAATAAAACAAAGCTTCTTTTTTCAAATGGAAAATTATGTTAGATATTTAATCTTTATGAAGACGCTCACGTTCTTTGATGATGGAAAAGTCGAGTCGCATCCAGATGATGACAAATAAGAAGAAAAGATATAAGAAAACTACAACTAGAAGAGGCTCTTGCAACATCATAATGCGAGAGAAATTATATTTAATGTTGAAATCGTTGATGTGGTTTTCAACTAAATTTGTTTTTCGGAATGTGATGACTGGACGACCAGTGATATCCAAATAGGTGAAATGTAAGGTGTCAGGTTGTCGTTCGACTGAGTAAGGTGTGATGAGTTTAAGGTTTTTAGTGCCTTCAGGAAGAATGATTTTTGTCACCAGTTCATCGACAATCATATCATCAAAAACATGATCAATCAGACGCATTTTAAGCATGTAAGAATCGCCATTATGGAATAAATATTCAAAGCTTGGAACGTTATAGCCAATTGTGTAGTGTGTTCGCCATCCTCCGAATAATGGGAAGCGTGGGCGTAAATCTAATTCCACCGAATCTTTCAATGTTACCATAGCTGATGTAGAAATATTTCCATTTGTGTCGCGATAATAAACTCCTGTTGCTGATGCCGGCAAAATAGTTTTGTATGACTTTACACTGGCTGGACCACTTCGTGAGTCTTTCTGGTAATCATATCGTGAGAATGAACCTTTTAACAAAGCACCAGAATGCAAAATATCGATGGTTTCCTCTACAGCAACATTTCCCCAATGTGAAACTTCGATTGTCCTCTCTAAACGTGTTACGACCATAAACGGAGAGTTGTTTTCGTAATGAACAACAATTTCATTTTGAGTTTTAGCTGAAACGAAGTTTTTAAATTAATTTTATTTCTTATTTGAATTTCAGTTATTTTATAGCTTACCTGGAATGTTTTCATAAGGACCATAAACGATTTGTGTATCAGAATGAACTGATGGTTTAACTTGAGTAAAACTTTCAACATTTCTTGATGCCAAATGAATTGTTGTTTTTTGCGATGATGTTTTGAATGGCGAATAGAAAACAGCATTACCAAAGTATCTCACAAGTTGACGTTCAGCTTGCGTGATTTCTGTCGGATAAGGTTGTAGTGCTTTAGAAAAGATTGTCTCAATGTAGATTACTGGATTAGGTATTTGACTATTCGGCAACGTCATCGAATAAGAACATTCTTCGGCGGTCTTTGAAAGTGTTAATTTCAATTCTTTTTTGGCTGAGTCACGAGCAGAAACATAAGAGAGCTTGTCACAATCAACCGAAGGAATCAAAAACAAATAATTTGTTATTGCTTTCTTCGATTTATGTTCTAACGTGATCTTATATGAAACTTTTACTAATTGTGATGTCAGATCAATTGTGCGATCAATGTTTTTATTCTCAATTTCCACATCGATAGCACTGAACACAGTCGAAATGATTACAACAAGTAAAAAAGCTAAAATATTCAACTTGAACATTTTTTCCTCTATTTTCCGGCGTTTTCAACTTTTTACTGATGTGGTCGAAGGCGAACAAAGTACGTTCAGTTAAGGATACATTCACTGTATTTTCAACTTCAGCACTGTAAATTAAAACGAAATTAATGTTTTTAATATCTGGTTAGAATTTATAATGAAAGAAGCTGCTACTTTTGAGAAAATCAAAATAATATTCTGTTTATTTTAATAAAGCGGTTGAAAGAACAAAGTTATTTAGAAAATCTTTCTAAAGTTAATTAACAGAATTTTTAAAACATTTCATCCCAAATAGGTCATCTCAGTAGTTTTTAACCTTTCCATACAAGGAGAATAACATAAATCGGTGTTTTGTGTTTACAAAAAATATACCTAAATATATTTTTTTCACGAAATATTGCTTAAAATTAACCAAAACTTAATTGAAAACGTCACTACAACATACATATTTGTCACATAATGTTCGGAGCAATAGTATCAGGTCGATTAGTTCAGACTGGTAAGAAATATAATAAAATAAATGTAAGATTTCTTTATGTGTAATTTATTTTGTTTATTTGTAAAGATTTTCAACAAATCGAAGAAACAAAACTTCTTTTGAATATTCCTGATGCTGATAATTTGAATCATTTAGTGATATTTCTCACTGGAACAACACCTCTGCCGCTTGGAACAGCTGGAGGTAAATGTTTTTATTATTATCGACATTTAAAGAATTTAATGGCTTTATTCTTTTAAATTTTGTTTAAGCTGTGTACTGGTCTTGGCCTGATCCTAATAGCCCATCAAAATGGCAATATCTCGGATACATATCCAATCAGAAACCTTCTGCTATATTCAAAATATCTCAATTGAAGAAACTTCATGAAATGGAAACTCATGATTCAATGATGATGTTTGGGCAGTCAGCGATTTCCCATAATGCTCAGATTGGAATTTCAATCGAGCCAGAAGCTACGGTTGTGCAACAGACTCCATCAACAACTAATGATGCAAGCAGTTATTATCAATTTGGACAAAGGATGTTAGAAAAGTATGACTGAATCTATCAATTAACATTACTCCCAATCTAATGACTTAAACTTCTTTCAGTTTCGTGAATTTTGCATCAAGTTTCACCATCACACAAAGTCAAATGGTTCCCAATCCAAGTGAAACTTACGTTCCCCTATCAACTCTCACAACTTGGTTCAACAATTTTCAACGACGACTTGAACAAAATCCAAATTTTTGGAAATGACGAGAAACGTCTTATGCTTAAATGAAGCCGTGAAACTTATCACCCAATCCAAAATAATTATTTAATTTTTGCTGGAAACAAAAGGTTCATAATGATAAAAATAAAAAGTGATTTTTGTTCTCTTGTAATAAAGCTGAGTTGTTTATTTGCCTTATTGAATGCTTATTAATGAATCGACATTGATTAAATATTGTTTATGATCTTGGACGTTCCTTCTTCTCCTTGTAAAGAGCCAAAAGGGAAACATTGGCGACTTTAACGACCTGTAATAGGAAAATAATAGTTGAAGTAATTTTGCTTGGAATACTCTTAAATTATCTTTCTCTAAATTTGATCAGGATCTCTTAATGTTAATCACAAAGGCAAATTTCATTGGATTGGCTCTGAGATAATTAGTAATCATCACAGAAACGTTTCTTAGTGTAACTTTTGAAATTTAACATAATTCTCACCTTAAAACGAACTCCGGGAATGTCACCAACAGCATGACCTTTACGACCGAAACCAGCAACCAAAACTTCATCGTTCTCTTCAATGTAGTTTAAGCAACCATCACGAGGAACGAATGCTGTGATTTTCTTTCCGTTCTTAATCAATTGGACACGTACACATTTGCGAATGGCAGAGTTCGGCTGTTTCGCTTCAACACCACTAGAATTGTTAAAAGAATATTTTATAATTCTTATAATTTTTCACAAATTCATTCACTTTTCATAGCTGCAACTGAAGGGACACCAAAAGCTACTCACAGTATAATCCTGTGATTGGATAATTTAAATGACACCAATATCACAAGGAATATACTGCGAACAGTTATTGGCAGTTCTATTCACGATAGGTCTTTAGTCGAACAAGGATGATAACTTACACTTTCTCAAGGACAATGCCTTTAGCATGAGATGCTCCAGCGAAAGGATTAGCCTTCCATCTTGTACCCAAATGAGCCTTTTTGTAATCTTTATCAGCCCAACGTTGGTCACGTCTGTGGATTTTGTGTTTACGAGCAGTTCTGATACCGCGTGGTTTACCTTAAAGAGAAACAGATTATAATTAATTTTTTTTTAATGCTTGAATATTTTCACGAAAAAATGTAGGAAGAAAAATCATTGAATGTAGAAGAAAAATAATTCTCAAACATTGAAACTTACATTTTCATAAGTTTCAATAAAGAATTACTAAATTTGACACAACAAAATGCATAAGTTTACAGACAATCATGTCAAAACATAAGAAAATTGGAATTGATGCAAACACGTGCCGAATAAATTATTTTTGTTTCATTTTGTAAAATCCACAAGATATATCGACCGATAACCATTAGATAACTTGAAAACATTTATTGAAAAACAATATTCAATAAGATTTTAGCACAAATTCAATGATTTTCCTTAATTTCTGATGATTTTTTTTAATATCACTCCCGCTTGCTTACCCATCGTTCTGGAAAAGAAAGAGTCAGCTCAGAAAATTTTTAATCTCTCCTCAGTCATTGCTGAAGAGAGCAAATTTTTCAAATCGGTTATTCAACCGATCAATTTAAACAATAATAACGGTCCATATCTTCAAGTTTGATAAACTTCTGTTTTATTTTAAGATTTAATCGAGAGATCCTCTACAAAATATTCTCGTCAAGTTAAAATTATTAAGGAAGCATGGAATATATAGAGTATATGCAAAGAAAGGAGAAGAAAAGATTGGATTTCAATCGTCCAACATTTGATGAGCCTGAATTTAAAATTCCTTGTCGTGAGATAACAAACAAGGTCGAAGACAACGTTTTGAAAAGACCAAGTAATAAATCAAGTCTGGCAGATGATGAAGAGTCTCTACAGGATTCGGTTGCATCTAAGGAATCGATATCTGTTCAAAGTAAATTCAATGTTCACCTTCGTTTAAAGCCAATTAAAGATCCACTTCCGGATGTTTATAATTTTGATATTAAGAGTAATTTGGTGACAGTCACATCTTCTATGATGACAATTGAGCGTCAATATACGTTTACTTCGATATTAGATGATAACAAAGATCAAAAAACGTTGTATGATGAATGTGTTCGTCCGATCCTTGCTGATCCTTTTTCAAGCCAAGGTGCTGTCTTTGCATCTTATGGAGTGAGCAACTCAGGAAAGACTTACACAATTCTTGGTCAAGAGAACCCAGGCATTGTTCCTCGTGCTCTTGCGCAAATCTTCTCGGAGAATCATAATCAAATTGAAAAATATCCTGCATGTAAATTAGTTAACAATCAAATAGCATTCCTTGATGATAACAAAGCCAACTCTGAATTAATGTTGTCCATGGACTTGCTAGCAGATGCCAAGAAAATTAGAGGGAAATTAGCTAATCAATGGGTTGCCATCGATGAGAATCATCATTTTACACAACGTGAAGTTGCCGAAGAATTTCAACAGATTTACGTTTGGGTTTCGTTCTTAGAAATTTATAATGAGAAGATTATTGACTTGTTAAAACCCCCAAAAAGTGGACAATCAAAATTCGAACGACCTCTAAAGATTATTTCGAATAACCACGATCCTTACATTCTTGGCTTGACTTGGATTTGTGTGTCAAACATTCACGATGCGCTTCATTTACTGCAATTTGGATTGCAACGAGCCAATTATGCTCAAACAGGGTTGAATCCTCATTCGAGTCGATCACATACAATCTTCACAATCCAACTGATCTCTGAAATTGCAACTGGTAACATGTCAAAGTTTGAAATTGCCAGCTATAAATTTTGTGACTTGGCTGGAGCTGAGCGAATAAGTAAAACTAGCAACACTGGGGATAGAATTAAAGAGGCTGGTGGAATTAATTCATCACTTCTTGTACTTGGTCGTTGCTTAGAAGCTGTACAATATAATCAGAATGTCGGCGTTAAAAGAAAGCAAATCGTCCCCGTTCGTGATTCAAAACTTACGATGCTGCTTGAAAGTTCATTGAAGGGATTCGAGAAGTTCGTAATGATTGTTAATCTTCAACCGAATATCGAATGTTTAGATGAGAACCTTAACGTGTTGCATTTTGGTTCAATTGCTAATAAGATTGTGACTCGCAGTAAGATGCCGAGAAAGTTTACACGAAGATCATCGCGATATAGTCATGTTGCTGGAAGCACTGTCAACAACTCAGTTCAATTAACAGAATCTTGGTGAGTTTCAACTTTTATATTTTCAATCTAGAATAAATTATCAAGATTAGATTAGATTAGATAACTAAAAATGTAATTTCCAGCATTTACGAAGAATCTGACGAATCATCGTTGGATTTGTCGTTTCAAATTGAAAATATGCCATCAGATATGCTTCGAAATGAGTTGCGTCTTAAAATCTTGGAGTTGGATACGCTTAAAGACATTGTTGAGAAGAAGGAACGTGAGTTCTTAGAGCAACAACAGAAATTGCGAGAATATGGAAATGCGATGATCAAGAAGCATCATGAAAATGATGAAATTTACTTCAAAGAACAAATGAAGATTAAAGAAGATTATTATCAGAAAAAAGTAAGATTAAGATCATTCAAAATTATATTTAATTAATTTAATTCAACTTATTTTTCAAAATATTTTTTTAGATGGAGGCAATTGACTTAAAGTACAATCGCAAGTACAACCAGTTTCTTGAAGAAATTGATTGTTTGGAACGTGAAAATCAGAAATTGAAGAAGAAACTTGGAATGAATGATGATATCGCTGTCATTAATATCGATGATGATGACGATGAGGATGAAGAGGAAGAATATGAAGAAGATAGTAGAATTGAAAACTCATCAATATCTGAATAATTTTCCATAAAAAAGTCTTTAAAATTTATTTGTTGTTAGTTTGTAAAAATAAAATAAGAAAGCTCCGGCAAAAATAAAATTCTTCAATTTATAACATCCATAAAGCGAACTTAAATAATTTTACATCCACATACATGACTATGATGATCTCAATACTGACTCAGTAGTAATCATATCTAGGATTAAATTAAATCAAGGTTGAAATTAGATTAATCTTAAGGTCACTTTATACCAAAACATTGTTGATATTTACACATCCAAACTCATCAGTAAAACTTAAATACAAAATAAACTCATAAAAGTGAAAAGCTTATGATCAACTCATCATTTGACAATTGCCATGTTCAACATAAAAATATTTTGATCGATGATTTTATTGCATCTAATAAATATCCAATTAAAGTTGTTAACTTTTTAATTTTGTTTATCTTATCGTAGTTCGTATTAGATTTGATCCACTTTTATTAACTTCGTAAATCATAAATTTTGTTCACCTGTAATAAAAAAAAAAGAAGTCAAAAGATATTTCCTTTACTTTAACGCTTTCTTATCAATATTTTGTTTCTTTATTCAATAATTTTTTATAATGTTTTCTTGCATGTCTTTAACAATTAATTTGTTGCATTTTCATGTTTAAATCTTTTTTGTTTTTAAGTTTTATTATCAATAATTTTCTTCAAGTATAATTCCTAATATTCACTTTTCACGCCTAAAATTTATTATAACGAATGAATTTATCAAAACAGAAAAACAAAATGAAAATTTATCTCCAAACTCAAGGCTTCTTACTTAAGGCAAAAGGAAAAAAAAAAATAAAAAGCATTCTCTAAGTCTAATCATTATTAATTTCATATTCATCTTATGATCTTCAGCGAGAAAGAAGAAAAAGAAAAAAATATTAAAAATAAACCAAAAATTGAGAGAAGAAAATTTCAAATTTCTTTTCTACAGGCTTTGTTGAATTGCTTTTATAATTTTTCATAATATTCCTTTAAAGTTTAAGTAGGTTTTACGTGAACGCTGAAGCGATCCCAGGCGGTTTAGTTTGCGTAAGAAAATGATGCATGTGTGTGTGTGTGTGTGTTCGTTTTTTGTTGTTGTGGGTGGGCTTGTATTTAGTTTTCTTCTCCATTTCATACGGAGATTATTTCAAAAAATGTAAAATTCTACGCTTGATTAAATAACTCTTAGCAGTTTTATCCTAAGAGGCATATTTTATGTAATGCAATGTTATATGTTGCGTTGTGTTCTTGATGTGAAGTATGTGAGTAGATTATCTAATATTAAGTTGTGTTATAATAATAATTATTACTTTTTGCAGGTAGATAATTAATTAATTCATAATGGAAGCTGACGTTAATCCAAAGCACATTTAATTTCACTTTTCAATCCAAATAACAACCACAAAATTCTTTTTTTTATAAATTAATCTTTCCATACAATCAAAATTATTTTTATCAATTAACGGCATTCGTCGGCTTCCAAAAGAAATTTTCAAGAGAAGACGAAAGAAAACAAATGAAGATGATGAGGAGTTTAAGTTTATTAGTGATGAAGCATCATGAAGCTAAATCACTACATCAGTGCACAAAACGATTCTTTTGCGATTAATTTGTTGCATTTCGTTGACGATCCTTTGGCATGAGTTGAGCATGTCGGCGAGTTTCCATTTGTTTTTGCATGAAAATCACTCGCATAATCTGAATCACTTTCACTTTTAGCTTCCTTCTCACTGATATCAGACGCTGTTTCATCCTCTTCTTCATCGTTTCCAAGAAGTTCACAAAGCTTTTTCAAGTTTTGAACATGAAATAGATTTTCAAAAGATTCGTGTTGCTTCGCTTGCAGCCATTTCTGAACAGCACTTGTTATTGGAAAATCATAGAGTGGATTGATGATTGGACTCTTAATGTCAATTTCATCGTCCAATAATCTCAAATTTTCCATAAGATCGCGTTCGAGATCGACAATGTTTGAACGATCGTTAAAATATTGCGAATCGAGAAACAAATCTGAATTTGTTTTTCTTTCTACTTCGACAATTGACTTCGAGACATCAACAACTTCATCAACTTTCTTAGTTGCTGCTGTTGATAATTCCTTCACACTTTCCATTCTACAACAAATGTCTTCATCTCGGATATCAATCACAACATCATCGTCGTCTTTAACTTTCTCAACTTCTTTTTCGAGATCATTCGATGAATTATCAATTTTTTCATGCTCCTGAACTTCAAACTTCTCCACTTCCACTTCATCAGCAACCTCTTCATTCTCATTGTTTTCTGTTTCTTTCGTTTCATCGACAACCACAACGATTTCTTGATTTATTTCCAAATTATTTAGCACCACGTTATCAGTGACCTCTTCAACTGATTCAACAGCAGTTTCTTCTTCATCACTCAATTCTGGCGTTTTATCAACAATCACCTCAACTGTTGAACTTTTAAATTCAGGTTCAATTATTTCAAACCCATCTTGCTTCAAGGACATGTGCGATTTCTTTTTCTTGTTCTTGTTCTTCGATTTCTTTGACTTTGCTGGCGCTGTTGATGTTTTCTTCGTTGGCTCAACAACAGCACTCGATGTCACTGTCTTTGTTATGATTGTATCAATCTTAGTCTCTTCAATTTTGTCTTTTTTATCATTAACATCGTCTTCATGTTGTACAACATCAGACGATGAAAATTCATTTTGAATGTCTTTAGCAACTTTAACTTTCTTTCCTTTCTTGATGACATTCCATTCATCTTTCTTATTTGCATTGTTGAATGATTTTTGATGCTTCGATGCCATCAAATCAATATTTTGTTCTTCCATCGATTTAATACCTTCGATAATTTCTTTCTTACTTGTACGTCCTGCAGATGATTTCATCAGATGACTAGATTTTATTACAACATTTGGAGTATCTGCTTTGGGCGGTTTTGTTGTTGATATTGCTGTCTTCTCCTTTTGTTCGCTTTCAACTGCTGTTGGTTCATCACCACAATTGACTTTTGAGTTCTCCGACTCTGACTCTTTATTAGCTAATTGAAAACGTGGATAAAATTCCTGAACATCGACATTTAAATGATACTCTTGTGGAGTTTGATTAGCCTGGAAAAACGAGAGAGAAATGAAATAATTTTCCAAGTTTTTATTGAAATCTTTACTCACATTTTGGTCATAGTGAAATCTTTGAAACTTTCCATTATGATGATTATTAAATCCATTATGATAACTCCATCCATTATGATAGCGTGGATAATATTTCTTGTTTTGAGGCATGTTGTTGTCATCATCCGAATAGTCGGTGGTCGTTTCATTTGAGCGTGGATGTTGCTGATGATGAGGATTTCGAGAATTTAGGAAGCGCTTTCGACGACGCATTTTAGGGGGACGGTTAACGGGAGCGCCATTGTAATAGTAAAAATTATTGTAATATCCATTCGGATAAGTTGGATAAATGAAGCCATTAAGTTCTTTAAATATTTAAAAGAGAAATAAATTAAATTAAATTAAATTTTCATTAAATAATTTCTTATCAATTCACCATTTGGATAAATAGGAAAATGCTGCTTGCCATCTGAATTATTTGTTTCCTTCAATTCATCATCACATGTAGTCACAATCTTCTCACCAACATCAATCTTCTCATCCTTCATTCAAAAATAAAAGAAAGAAAGTTATGTCAATTAAAAAGTATAAAAACACTTTATGAATGAAAATGAAGAGAAAAAGTTTTCTCATTCTTCATTCAAATCGAAGTTATTTACATTAAGAAGATTTAGATATTTTAAATTTGTTTCTTTGAACAAACAGACCCGTTTTTCTTTTGTGTCTTCAAATATTTTAAGGATGACTTGACGACAAGAATGTTACGTCAGTCGCGTAAGTGAACGAACGTTTCATCGTTTTCTGGCAAACACTTCAAGTTTCAACAAAAATTAATTGTTACTTGGCTATCAATATAGCCATTTGAAGAGCGTAGAAAAATTGCAACAGTAGCAGCAACATTATAAATGACATTTACACGAGATATGTCGCTAGATTAACTAGAAAAATTACAAGTAAACAATTTCATGTTTTGTCACATAAAAATAAATTTTGCAGAAAAAGAACCAAAGTTGATTAAAATGACATTTTTGTTTCACATCTGTGGACTGAACGAACATATTTTCTCATTTCATCAACCAGACATTTGAACGCTCATTTAGTAAAGGAAGTGTCATAAATTCTTCCCATCCCTTCAAATTTTCAGAAATATTTGCCTTCGATCTATTCAATGATCATTAATAATACTTATATGTAAATATCTTTTACAAAATGAAGATCGCATTTGACAAACGAACATTTTTCAAAAATAGAATCAACAGAAACATTTCTTCTGTTCCACTATAACAAACAACAATCTCAAGCAGAAATTTTTATTTTTAGAAGACAATTTCACAGAAACGATCGACTGTGAGTCGAGAATGATTATTTTTAGTGGCACTTCGTGGAGGAAGAAGTATCTGTGTGTGTGTGTTTGTGAGATTAGAAAGTTGAGGGATGAATGAAAATGCGGGGGAGTAGTAAAAGCATAAAAATTCCCCTCAGCCTTTTCTCATCAACATCAAAATAATTTGCAAAGAATTTCAATGGAATGACCGTTAAAACTTCAACGGCACACGCAACTAATCAATTTTCTTCTGAGTAAATTTGCGATAATGAAATTCTTATTCCGATTGAATGAAGCAACATTGCCCACCGAAACAGTTTAAAAACCGCAAAGAATGCAAAGTACGAAATGAAAGAAGAAAAAGAGCGAAGCGATGTTGCTATAAAGATAAGATTAGAGAGACCATCGCAAAGTTTGTTTCGTTTCGTTTCTTCTTTTATTGCCGGAATAAAAACAAAACTGCCATTTGTGACATGAGAAATTCTCCGCTTCGTTTTACATCGGTTGAATGACTTTCACGTAGCATAAAAGAAAGGAGAAAAAAAGAGCATTTTGTTTAAAAAATTGCAATTGAAAATGGGCTTTTGAACAATTGTAAATTGCACATTTTTACTGTCATCAACACATGTCTGACATACGTTTCTAGACGTTTTTTCTCTTCACTTTCCGACATTCATTTGCGTTTGCGAATGAGACTGAATTTTTTTTATTTCATTTGCTATTCGCTTATTTTCGTATATTTCAATTTTGTTCTTGTCTTCAGTGAAAATTTTGTATGCAAACACATTCATTGCCACTTTTGATGGTTTCTTCTTCATTTATTTACATATCTTTAGAATCATAAATCAATCAACATTGAATGGAAAATCTTTATCAGTAAACAATTATGTTGATGAAACGTTCACGTTTTTTTTTTCCCATCAACAAACCCGCAACATGTTAATTTATGTCTGCACTTCAAATCCGTTCCATTTCAAAGGAAAATAAATGTTTGAAAAATTATTCTTCGCATTACCATAAAAATTAATTAGCACCAAAAGACTCACCTTAGTTTCACCATCATGATTGCTACTTGCACCATCTTCGGATGAGCTTGATGTTCGAGCACCCTACAAAGAAATTTCACAAGAAGAAAGAAGGAAAAACTTTAGAAATAGCAAAAAAAACTTTTCTCATGTTTCTATCTATGTCTTTCGTATGGCAACTGAGAAGAAGCAAAAGAAAAAGAAAATCTGTCGAAATTCAAGTGATCGTGAATTGAAAAATAAATAGAAGAAATGTCAATTTTCTATCTTTCAGAGTCTTCTTTTTTGGCATTTTTCTAGCAGCCGCAACAGTAACGTCACACAACATACAAAACTATCTCATGATGAGACATGATAATCCAATAGACAAATAGTCAAAAAGATTTTTTTTTACTCTCTTTGCTTATGTTATTCAATAGCAAAGTCGACCCGCGTCAAATGATCCAGTTTCGTTTTCTTCCTTTAGATAATATAAGAAAATATTTGTATAAATACAGTTTCGACTTGTGTGAGATTTCTTGAGTCTCGTCGTGAACAACGAGGCGATAGATTTATGGGAACTTAAACGAAAAGACTTGCGACAACGATTATTAATATGGCACATGATTGAGTCATAATTTTGTTGTAGTGCATAAAAGCTTTTGCATGATTTTTTATGCGATCATAATTTTTAAGTGAAAACATAGAAATTTACTTAAACATTTAATTTCACTATTAACATCTATTACTGCAGTACTTATAAATAAATGACTAACAAATGATGAAATTATTAATGATATTGCACGCTTTCAATTATGTGCATGCAATTTGGTTGTATAAAGCTTCGTTGAACATCAGTCACAATCATCAGTTTCAAACTTCCGAAGTTATAGAAAAAAATGCCTAAATTCGCTTTCTACTGTGTTGTCGCAATCATTCTCATCGCTGGTTGTTTATGTGATGAAACAGAAACCTACGACGTCAAATACGATAACGTTGACATCGATGAAATATTGAAAAGTGAACGTTTGTTGACGAACTACATCAATTGCTTATTAGATGAAGGACCTTGCACTGAAGATGGACGAGAATTGAAAGAAACACTTCCCGATGCAATTCAAACTGACTGCTCGAAATGTTCAGAGAAACAAAAGGAAGGCAGCACAAAGATCATGCATTACATGTAAGATATTTACACAAACATAAATCAAACAAATTCAACAAAATTCTTTTCTTAGAATTGATAATCGCCCTGAAGATTGGGAACGTTTAGAAGAAATTTATGATGAAAGTGGACATTATCGAACAGAATATTTGGAATCTAAAGATGCAGAAGAATCAGAAGAATCCGAAGAATAATCTAAATGACATGTAATTGATCTTAACAATAATAAATAAACATTCCACTTACATTCTGATTCTCTTCATGATTATTTTCCTTCGCACCATCGGATTCAGTTTTTTCAACATCATCTTCATCGTCACCATTCACTGGATGCATTCCACTTGGTGTCATAAAGAATGGATCGTATTGATAAGGATAAGACATGAGAAAAACAGGCGACGTTGCTGTTGAACCATTTTGGGGATAGTAATTGTATCCATTGTACATTGCTGTGATGAGAATTGTCATGAAATCGTAATTAAAGATTAAGAAATGATCACTTACGAATCACTAGCAATCCATTCTCATCGTAATATCCTGAATAATACATTGGAGCGTATTCCATTGGATCCATATTTCCATAATCCATTGAAGGTGTCGTCGCCGGCGACAATGTACTTACAGATGAATCTGGATCACTTGTTGTTATGGTGCTACTGGCAGCTGTCGATTCCGTTGAATTTACAGTCGCTGATAAGTTGCTTGCAGTCTTATTATTGTTCATGCGTGAAAGGTAACCTTTCTTAAAGAGAACGTCTTGGCGTGGTGTCGTTATGCGAGTGTATTCATCTGATGATTGAAAAGTTGAAAAAATATGTTTTAAAATCAACAAAATTTATTTTGTTTAGCATGAAAGTGTTAAAAAGAGAGAAGAAAAGAATTTTTGTGTTGTGGTGAAATTTACCTTCGTTAAACTTAATTGGTTCGGACGATGAATTGACTTTAACATCATTTATGCCGTTTGAATCATGTTCGTCCGGCTTTCTATCTCTTTCGTTTGTGCTTGAGTTTCGGTAGTTACCACCACGTTGCCAACTTCGATGAACGGCTGAACGACCACCGCCAGATCGCTGATTATAAAAATTCTCTTTATTGTTGTAACCTCGTGGCTTGTAAATGTTTTGCGACGATGAGTTTCTGTTCGATTGATGTGTGGCACTATTCGTATGATGATCACCAAGTATTTGTGAATATTTCTGTGATGTTCCTGATGAAATTGAATCGGACTCCGATCCGTTGATTTTTACATCGTTGCCATTTGTTTGTGTCTCGTCTTTTTTTTTGAGTTTTTCATTTCCGGGTTCAAATGCAGATAAAAAGTTCATGGTAGGAAAAAGAAGAAAAATTCATAATTTATTTATTTCTGTGTGTGTGTTTGTAAATGAGTGGTTTAAAAATCAATAAATTTTACTGTGGAAAACATATTTTGGGGTAAAATGAAGTGCATTAAACTCAATTGTTAACATAACATGCAGAAAAACATAAAACAACAAAGAAAATTTATTTCCAATTTCAAATCAATCGAATTTAGGAGTTTTCTAGAAAATGAAAAAACTTTTTCAATTCAATATTTCAACAGCAGCACTCAAAGGGCCCCTAAGTCATAAAAACATTTTTTTTATGCTTTTTTGAGATACCAATTAGCTAAGAGAGCCTTCGACTCTTCGAGTAAGCAATTAGTTGATTGAAATGCTTTGAGTTAAGCCACCGAAAACTTTCGTTTGAAATTGATTAAATTAACGTGTTGACTAGAGATAGAAGAAGTAAATGATTCATTCAGGCGACGCTAAAAAATTGAATCCATTTACTTTCAAAAAATGTGTTAATTATATAATCGCTCGACAACCGGCATGGCATCTTTTCTTATCATTTATGGCGTCAAAAAAAAGTAGAAAAATTTAAAAAAATAGCTTGGTGTCGTTAGCTGATCGTTCTACTGAGATTATGGTGAAACGCGTAAACTGATAAGTTAACAACACACGGACGAGCTTCTTATCGTATTAATTTTTTACCGAATTTGTTTCTTTTTCTTTCTGTTTATTTCTTCTTCCTTGGGAGACAAATATTTCACAACGAAGTCTTTGGATTGCATGTTCTAGACGAAAATTTAAATTTCATTTCTTTTTCTTCTTTCATTGCTTCATCTCCGTCATGAGAAAACGCGATGCACAGAAAACGTTCAAAGATTGCGGAAAAAAAACTGCTTGGGAAATTTTGATTCAGGAAAATTTCTGGATTTTCAAGGTCAATGAACTTTGAACGATTTGCTTCCCAGTTTTGGAAGTTTCCCAGTGGAAAATTTACAAATCACATGAGAGAAGAGACGAAGAAAGAAAATCTTTTGTCAGCTAATCCCATCACGAGATTTGTTGTTGGGGTCTAAATTAGAATCGTTCACATGATTTTTATTTTGCGCGAGCTTGGATTCAAAACAATTAACGCAAAGCAAGATGTCAGAGAGACGGAGAGAGGGAGAGAGATTACATTTACGTAATTTGGCATCCACCCACAATCTTCATGACGTCATCACGAACTTTAAATTGATTTAAGGAAGTTTTTACTTTTCTCTCTTGTCATAAATAATCATCTTTGTGTGAAAGCGCAATCAGTTTGATTAATGCATAAACGGCATAACAATGCCAATGATCTCTTGCCCTGACCCACTCTACTCTCCAAGCAATGCAAATAAACATGCAGAAATAATGATTTATGTCTCATTCATTAATGACATGTAAGCATGTGACTTGGATTTGTCAAGCGTAAATTTAGACCAAAAAGAAGTTTGTCTGACATTTTTTCTTTCGTATTTTTTTCTTCATCGTCTCCCTCAACGTTATTCACTTGTCACAGTATTGAATCCACAAATGTCATATCTTTGGGATGAGTTAGTTAACCAAAAAACTAATGAAGAGATGATTATTTTTGTTTCTTTTCTTTTAACTCACCTTGCGATTCACTAATCTCAAACGTTCTCCACCGGGTTTTCTTACTTTTCCCCATGATGGAAGAGCGGCTGATGGTACGTTCCAGGAAGTTTTTTTTCTTCTTTCTTGCTAATTACCACTTGAAGCGCGCAGACTCACAAATTGTTTCGAAATGCCGACAGAATGGTGATTTCAGGACGACTTATACATTTTCCATACGTTTCAAATGTTATATTTTGTTTTTTTTCTTTCTCCTTTTTTGTTTGTAGTGAGTAAATACGACGGCTTTTGAGTTTTGCGAAAGTGTTTGTGAGGGTTTTACGTAATCTACGGCTAGAAAAACACGTGCTAAAGTCACTCTCTGTTTCACTCTTCTCACAAAACTAATGAGAATTGGGAAAAAAAGTTTTTTTTATTATCGACCTCTTCTCGTCTTCTCCTTTTTACAGAAAAAAAAACTTTTTTTAATTATATTTCACTCTGTTACTGAGAAATATATTAATTCATTCGATTCTTTTATTGATGTGTTTTTAAAATTCGGTGATATTTTATCTCACAAAATGTATAACTTTCCATCCAATCTAGATGAGAGAAAAAAGGTGTTACATAAGTAACTTTAGAGGATTTAAAAATTTTCTTGCTTTTGTTTCGCACACAAGTAATAAAATTTCCACCCGCGGCGCAGCAATGCATGGAGCATGGAAAACGAATGGTAAGAAGAAAAATTTTATAAAAAGGTTTTTTTGTGCACTTTTTGAATATAAAAAGAAAACTGCGTTTAACTTTTTTTCTTTTTATCGATCAAATGATTTTCCTTCCAAAATTTTGTTTTGATAATTTTGTTGTTTCTACAGAGGAGTTGATTACGACTTCAGAGTAGAAAAGAAGAATATTCCCGAAAGTTGTCGTAACGATGTTTACGCCGTTAAAATTTACCGTGAATTTTTTAGGCACTAAAATTAAATGATGATCTTAGATATTTAGGTAGTTCTTGTAATTTCTATCCTGCTTGATTTAAATTCGAATGATGAAAGATTGAAGGGCGAAGTAAAATGAAACTAAAAATTTAACTCGTGAAGATTTCAAGAAATTTTCACTCCATGAAAATGAATTAACATGCGAGTTTTTCGAGAGTTGTCGAAGGACTGACGGTATTGAGAGACTTTTTCATTTCATCTAATTTCCACCTCGTTTCACCATTTATTTGAATTGTTCTGTGCTGGTGTGTTTGTTTCATTTTCATTTCGTTTCATTCCACATGCTCTCAGGGATACAATTTAAAAGGAAGTGTACACCAACTGAGCACCACAGATAGCTAATTTAGCTTTATTTTAAACCAAACAAATGGAAATTTGCCTTAAAAACAGGGCTTGGAGCAATTTCTTCAATGTTTTCACAAATATTTCAGCAACTGGGGGATACAAGGGGAAATTTGAAAAATCCATTTGGGGGATACCAAGGGGAGGAATTTCAATTCTTCATCATAAACTGAGACCACACACACATCAACATTATTTTCAATATATTTTATTGGGTTTCATCAGAAAAAGTTTCTGAAAAGCTTTTTCAATTTATTCTTTCCGTTCTGATAATAACATGAAATTATATTTAACAAATATTTAATTCTCGTAAGCTTTTTTTCAATGCTGCAAAACCTTTAATCTTCCAAAATGTCATAATTTATAAAATAATATTTCAACATCAGACATGATTGTTATGAAAGCTTGAAAAGCTTTGCACAACTTCAATAATTAAATTTACACTAATGTGTGAGTATTTATGTGTATTGAAATAATTGCCCTTTGTAATTGCTTCACGTTTTTATCGTGAGTAAATGCAATTGTAATTCATGTTAATAAATACTATGTTACACATTGTCAGTCAGCGTTATCGCTTTAAACAAGTCAATCAAAACTTTATTATCATCATGTCATAAACCGATATAATATTCACTGGTGAAGAGAGTTGCGATTAATCTCAGCTGATAAGTTCAATTGAAATAATAAAAATTAAAATAAAAAAAGAAGATTTTACAATCAAGTGTCTTGACAACTAACGCTCACAACAAAACCAGCTTTATGATATTCGTCATCAAGTTGTTTTGCTGAATGGAAGTGGAGGTCAGTCTACCGGGTTTTAGAGGCAGTGCTTATTGATAAATATTTTATTAGATCACATTGGAGGTAATGTTGCTACTTGCTTCATTATCAACAACAGTCGTTCATGGAGAACTTCAAATGTATATTTATGTACATGTATGACGCATGAAAGTTATTACTCATTATTGATAATAACGAGTGTCGAGTACTCTACGAAGTAAACAATTTGTTTATTTTTCTATCGTTGTTGTTGCCAAGCACAGATAAAAGTCTGCCAGTTTAAAAAGGTTTTCTTAGACAAAATGTGCGTGTATCGCGTGATGTTTATACTTTGTTTTTATACTCGTTCAACATTTCAAGTTAATTAATATTCCGATCGACAACATGGTATTAAGATAATCTTTTACTTAACTACTATCAACTGATTTCCAGTAACTTTCCATCGATTTTGCGCATTCAAAGATTTAATTCTTTCCATAAAGTGTGCTAGTAAAGAATAACAAAAAATTGAGAAACAATAGTCCTTCTACTAAAAATTGAGGGCACTGCGAAGTAAATTTTTGGTTCTCATTAAGTCATGAAAGTATTCCTTTGCAACTGTGTCACGTATTGAACGAATGACTAGATAACAGCTGGAATCTACTTTTGCAAAATATTATTGTACGTTAATACAATAACAAAAATTCAGAAGAAGTCTGGTTAACGAGACTTAAAAGTCTAGAAGGAACCAGTTTCGAATGGATCTGAAACTAGTAAGAGACTTTTTGGATTAATCACGTTGTGGGTCAATGAAAGAATCACAATAACACGATTACAAAATAGATCTGGTTTCTTTAAAGATGTCACAAAGAACATTGACAAATATTCACTTGCCATTTATTATAACTCAGATTTTTGAAGTTATCGCATGAATGACAGACAATTATCAATGTGAGGAATACAATATGTAAGAATGTAAGTTTTAAAGTAGTTTATTATCATCAGAAAGAGACAGCAAGCAAACGTAACTTCGATTGTGTTGTTGTTTATTAAAACTTGATTAAAAGTCCACAGTGAAGATTCCCAACAGAGAACATGAAAATGGACAAAACGTGGCTTGATGAATTTCCAAGTCACACACAACTTGTTGCCAGCTGACACACAATGAAACGATGTGAAAAAAAATGTTTTTTTACTCCACTTGTTTTCGAATGCTGTTCAAATATAAATCATCCGAACTTTTCCATTAAGCTTCAGTTTGTGTTGATCACTTCCTACTGCCGAGACGTATCTCGTTACAATCCACAAAAAAAAATAACAATTTTTTCTATTCATATCATCAAGAACAAGTTAGGCTTGTTAGTTGCTAGTTGCACGTGTGATATCCGTGAACTTTTTTTATTTAAAATTAAAACATCATTAAAGTATATGAGTTTTTGTTTGAAACTCTATTAAGGAAGAATAAACAAGAAACGAGAAGAAAATTATTTTTCATTTTCACAATCGCGTGAAAAACAATTTCATAAACAAGAAAATTTATTTCTGAAGATAAAAAAGAGAAGACGAAACATAGTGAAAGATGAGTCGGTAAGAACATAAAAACGAAGCTTCAGTTCAGATAATTTCATTGCTGAATATTCATCGAGTCAACAATTTTCATATCATTGATCGAGTTAAAAATAAAAAAATGAACACAAAAGTAATGCTTATAATGCAATTTATTATTTTAAATTGCAGTTTAAATAAATCACTTTTCGGTTTGGTTGCAATTTCTGCTTCAACGTCAGCAACGAGTGTCGGGAATAGTTCAGTCATGCCACAACTTCCACTTCTTGTTTCTCATTCAGCATCATCAAGTGCCACGACAATCAGTAATAAAACAGCTGATCGTACAAAACGTGTTGCAGAGGCAAAAGAAATCATACGAGCAGCTGATATTGTATGTTTTGATGTAGACTCGACGGTTATTCAAGAAGAAGGCATCGATGAACTTGCTGAATATTGCGGTAAAGGGCAAGAGGTAGCTAATCTTACAAGAGAAGCTATGGGAGGAACAATGACCTTCCAGGAAGCTCTCAGACGTCGTTTGGATATCATTAAACCTTCACAAAAGCAAATTCGTGATTTTCTACGAACGACACCGAGTACTTTGTCACCAGGAATTAAGTAAGTTCAACTGCTTTTTTTATAACGAGAGTCGTAATTTTGTTATCACTTCGGAATTTCGCGGAGACAATTTAAAGCCAATTGGAACATTGCAGACCTTTTTTTCTATGAAAAAATCTTGTGCGATGAAGAACGAAGTCTGAATTTATTTTTTCAAACAAACAAGACAAATTGTTACGTCAGCCGCTTGCCCGAAAACAACTTTTTATTTCTTTTCTCTCGTTATGAGTCAAGGATTTAATCTTTTAATAATTCAATGACCGATAAGTTTTAATTTTTGTTCATTTTTTATTTACAGTGAGTTCATTCAGCATCTGAAGAATGAAAACAAGAAAGTTTACTTTATATCTGGAGGCTTTCACTCACTGATTGATCCCGTAGCCCAAGAGTTGGGCATTCCATTAACAAATTTATTTGCAAACAAACTTTGGTTCGATTACAAGGGAAATTATGGTGGATTTGATGTTAATCAACCAACAAGTAGAAGCGGCGGGAAGGGAGAAGCAATCACACAAATCAGAAACTTTAATTCAAGTCAATTGCAAGCTAATACTCAATCAAAAATTGTCATGATTGGAGATGGTGCAACAGACCTTGAGAGTTCGCCACCAGCCGATTATTTCATTGGATATGGCGGCAATGTCGTTCGAGAAAGTGTTCGTGAACGAGCGCAATATTTTGTTACTGACTTCATGCAACTTATGTAAGAAGGAGAATATTTGAATGAAAAGAAAAACAATCATTTTCCTGTGATAATGCTAAGAATCGACATTGTTATTGTATAATTAATGAGAAAAACATACACACAATAATGAATAAATGAATAGATAATTTTTTAAGATAATTTAAATTGATTTCTTCTTTATTTCTCCTTAAAATTTTTTTTTTCTTCATCAAATGAATAAATTGGCATATTTATTTCACAAAAACAAATTTGAAGTCTCTACTACACTTCAAGCTTTTATTTTTCGGCTAATTTAAAATTCAGTTAAAATCTTTTTGTTTTCTTTTAATCTTCCAGCATTTCAGCAAGAAAATAAAGTACAAAAATACGAAACTTTACAATTTATCTGCTTTTCGTTTCTTTTATAATTGAAGTTTCTTCTCTTTTATCTTACTTTTAAACTTCACAGCTAATTATTCGCTACTACGCCTACACTCAGGTTTTGTGCTTTAAGTGAAAATTTTGTAATTCAAAATATTTGAAAGATGAAAAAAAGTAAACATTTTCAATCATTTACATATCTAACTTGTATTCACAGAGATAAAACCAAATCTACAATATGAACGTCTAAGTGGAGGTTTTTTCATATATATGAATTAATTATTTTTGTACATCACTCGAATTAAGGGGTTCATCAAATACTACGTCACAAGAATTTTAATGTTTCTGATTTTTGTTTTTGTTTTCTTCAATTTTTTCCCACCCACAATATTTAATTCTAATGATAATTCAACAAGTGATTAAAATTTCATAACAAACAATAAAGAAATTTTGTTTTGTGTAAAAAAGAATTCAAAATCAAGTGGAATGATGACTCACATTAGAGACACAACAAATCATTGAATTGTGTTGAATAACAAATGATGAAGCAAATTTACACAAAAAAAAGAGCAAAAATTTAATTTAAATAAATGGAAGCTATGAGTTTGCAACTTTTTCTTCACAGAAAATATTTTCTTTTCATTTCTTGGATGAGTAAATCGTTACGATTATCATTGAAGGGGGAAAATTCCTAAGAGCATTTCACGTAAAAATATTAGACTTTTTGTTATCGTTCACTGCCGTCAGTTCGGTGTTTTCAATTAAAAGTAAATTATCACCACCATTGTTGTGAACGTTGTTTGTTAAAAGATGATCAGTATTGACAAGTGTCTCTAAGTCTTCGTGGTTAACATCTGAAAAAAGTATTTTCTGTTTAAATCTATTAATAATTGTTCAGTTAAATAAATCTTACGATCATTTGGAATATCATCAGTGTAAATCTCACGAGTGTTATGTGGTGCTTCATTGAATTCGTCAAGTTCATCTGCACCTGTTGAAGGACCGGCAAGTAGAAGATATTGTCCACTACGATTAGGCCATAAAAGTCCCATCATCACACAATAAGCCAGACAATCAACAGAATTTGTGACAGCAAGGAGAAGTTTGTATCTCCAGAATACTGAAACCTGCATTGAGATTACAGCAATGATTGGAAGATAAATAAACCAGACCAATGAGGATGCTCCGAAATGAAGAAGAAAATCCAACTTTTTTGATGAATGCTCGTATTTCATTGTTGTTCGAAGTTCATAAAGGAACCAAAGCATAATACATGAACGACTGATCAGTACTAAAAATCCCGGCCATGTTTGAAACTCATCAATGTCTGAAATGACATCAATTTCTGTCATATTCCAAACATAAAGCACGAGATTAAGCGACAAATAAGAGATCCAAATGACGATTAATACAAGCCAACTTATTGATGAGATCTCAAGTCTTGTTACAGCCCATCCCTTGGCCAATAGTAACAAAATTAACATGAAAGATGTTCGACTTAAAATATCAAAAATCTCTCCAGTAACTTTGAGCTCTTCATTGCCTCTGCCATTCGATGCAAATCTTATCAGATGAATGAGAATGAAACAAATGCTGACAAACTCTAAAATAATGCTTAATGTGAAGAGTTTGGTAACTGGATGACTTTGTTTTTGACTTCCATGAATCTGTATTGGTACCAAGAAGATGTAAATGACGAAGAAGATGAGACATTGTTCGAGGATGTTCTGTTGATCGTAGGAAAAGTGATAAACAAATGGACTGTAATAAGATGACTGTCCCCAGAGTGGATTTCCATTCACCAATTGCATGTGATAATTTATCTTCATTGGAAGTCCATCATAATGCTCCCAATCGCATGTTGTTGCATTCCGATAACATGCAACTAATGATACATACCAGAACCTAGGCTGGTTCAAATTACTAATTACGAATGTAAATTGACTTTGTGTAATCACATTTGATGGCGTATCCTCGTCGGGACAAAGTTCTGAACGACACGGTACTCGCCTTAAATAATCGCCTTTCCCTTCTCGATTGCATTTGGCATCAAAAGCTGTGACATTCAGTCGCGAAAACATTTTCTTACATGCTAAATTACGATTGGACACGCTTCTAAAAATGAAATAAAAAATAAAAAGTGGAAGAATGTAAATAAAAAAAGGGAAATATTCAGATTACGATGAAATGACATGAAACGAGACAAGACCTTTTTGTCCCAAAGGGTTAAACTTCCGAATAATGCGTTTTAACTTTGTAACTCATGAAGATATAAATGATGGAAAGTTTTTTTTTCTCTTTTGATAATTTAATCAGAAAAAAATAGCCACGCTGGCCGCAACTACTTACCGATTTCCATAAAACTCTAAGAAATGATGTCTATCGAGTACTGCTAATGTCAATGTACCAGGAAAGTGATCCTCGGTTGTTATATTTCCAAAGATATAGCCAAAACTTGCTTTTTGTTCTGAAGTCTTTTCAGTTTTTATGAATCCGAATTTATTGAGAAAGAGATAAAAGTCACCAGTATTAAATTGTCCATCTATTGTTATAGCGATGGATGAGGAGAGTAGCGATAGAAAATTTAAAACTATTAAACTACGCCAACTCATTTTGATTCGATCACATTTTCAATATTTTCACAAACTTTTCTCACTTTTTGTGTCTTTTTTCTGTAAGAGTTTCATTGAACGCGTAATGCTTAAAGTGTATTCAGTAAAAAATGAAAGGATAGCGAGTTTTCATAACAAATTGTATTGAAGGCATATTTTGTCCACCTGGCAATGAGAAGCAGTTTTCAAACGTTTTGCAATATTTTCTTACTTATCATAGCGTTGCTATGTTGGTTCTTCACACTCATTAGAGGATTTTTACATACATTCTCATTTTACCATATTAAAAACTCATACTTAGTGGCCATTAATTTGCCTACGATCGAAACAAGCAAATGAATAAAGCTCAGAAAAAGTAAATTAAGTAGTTATTCTTAAGTGATTTACAACAAATAAGTTTTTAAGCAGGAAAGAAACAATAATAATAATCAAAACAAACAAAAGATCTCGATTATAACAATGGGTTGTTTTGATTCAAAGCCAGAAAGTCGTCCTGAACCAACAGCCGTAAGAGGCTGCACTGACGTTTGCTGGCTTATCATATTCATCATTTTCTGGATATTCATGGTAAGAAAAATTATATTCTGGCATCAACGTTATAAAATAATATCAACCAACACCTTTTTCTCGCACTTAATTTGTCTTTGAGGAATCATTCTTCAATGTCATCACACAATGATTCTTGTTCTTTGTTTTGGAAAATATTCACACACATTTAAATTGACGAAACAGTGAATTTATGCTTTTATACATTTGATAATTTATTCTTGTTTAATGGAAATGATTATACACACCCTCACATGACTCATAAAATTATCCTCTACATAAAGCATTCTTTAGTTTACATAATAAATTTTTTTGCACGCTAACTCAATCGCTAAACAGTGGACGAAGAAGAAAATGAAAATTTTCATAGACTCAAAGTCGTTGTCTTCTTTTTATTACCGACAATAAAGTAAATATTTTATAACATCCACTTTTAGATCATCATTGCCGGCTTTGCATTTGTATTTGGAAATCCGTTAAGAATAATTAATGGGTAAGCAAATCATGTTTTGATTGTACATGTCTTCACAGAATATTCAATCACTCAAATTATTTATTATTAAATATTCATCAGATATGACAGTTTTGGAAACACTTGTGGAGTTCAATCGAATGAACGTTTTCGTGAGACTGGCCTGCCATCAAATGTTTCAGGAATCAGTACGATTGATAAACCTTACGTCTTCTTCTTTGACTTGAAAGAGTTGAAGCAATCACTTAAAATTTGTGTCAAGAATTGCCCAAAAAAACAAATTGATGATCCACGACAACTTTACAATTATTACCAACAAGAAGGCTCGAAATATTGTCGCTATGATTTCGACATGAACAAATTAAACGAACGCATATCGGAATCAGATGAAATGATTTTTCACTTCACTGGACCATGCCCTAAGCTTCCGATTTACGAAGGAACGCCAGTGTTGCATCGTTGCATTCCAAGCGGCAAAAATGCACCACACAAAGAAGTTAAGGAACTTTACAACTTAATAAGTTCATGGGATTTCGTTGAACAAACATCGAGAGATCTTTACAAGTCATGGCATGTCATTTTAATCGTTTGTGGAATCAGTTTAGTGCTATCAATAATTCTCATTGGATTACTTCATTACTTGACACAAATCATTTCGTGGTTGATTTGCATCTTTGTGGCCGTTGCAAGTATTGCATTAACAGTCTTATTGTGGTGGACTTATTATGATATTAAACGAAAGAAGGATCACGCTGAATTATCGCAACTTGCTCAATATGTTCAGAATGAAACAGCGGTTTATGTCTTTGCAATCATTGCTACAATGTGAGTTGAATTGTGATTGAAAATTGTCGGAAATTCAACATTTCTTCTCTTTCCAGTGTCATGATTATTCTTCTGGTTGTGATTTATTTTATGTCATCAAAGTTTTCCGGTTTGGCAGCACTTTTTGAAGAAGCTGGCAAGTGCATGTACAGCATCCCACAAATATTTGGACCACCTTTGCTTGCTTTCATCTTTTTGGTGCTTTTCTTAGCATTTTGGGTGTCGGTTGTGGTTTGTTTGTCAACAGCAAGTGTTCCTGGATTCAAACCTTTATTGAATTACGCTCAAATCACAAACGCGCCTGTTTCGGCATCACAAACTGCAAATGGTGGAGTTGCAGTTAAGAATGCGTTTGATGCAAAGAAAAGCTTTAAACTCGTCGAATATCAAGAGACACATTACCTCAAGTACATGTTGTACTTCTACCTTGTAGCACTCATTTGGACGAGTGAATTTATTTTCGCTGCTTCTCAATTATGTTTAGCTGGTGCTGTTGCCATTTGGTACTTTAAGAAACCAACAGATTCACCAGTAACTGACTCCATGACAAAGTTAATTAAATATCATCTTGGATCAGTGGCTAAAGGCTCATTTTTGATAACAATCTTTAAGATTCCACGTTTAATTTTAACTTATCTTTATGCGAAGATGAAAGCTGCATCAGTGAAAGGAAATGATTGTGCTGATTGTGGTTTAAAATGTTGCATTTGTTGCTTCTATTGCTTGGAGAAGTTCATCCGATATTTGAATCACAATGCTTACACTGTCATTGCCATTGAGTCAATAAACTTCTGCCCAGCGGCTGGTGTTGCATGGAAGGCGATTTGGACCCACGTCGTATCAGTGGCAACAATCAATGGAATTGGAGATTTCGTTTTGTTTTTGGGAAAATTGGCAGTTGCTGGAGTTTGTGGCTTTATAGCTTTGCTGATGTTGAAGAGCGACCCGGAAATACATTTCTATATGATTCCAGTGTTTGTAATCGCTCTCTTTGCTTTCTTCGTCGCTCATGTTATTTTGTCGCTTTACGAAATTGTTGTCGACACATTATTCTTGTGCGTCTATGAAGATCGACACATTAATGGACCATCAGGACGTTGGAAGGAATCAAATTTGGCAAATCTTTTGGGTGAAGAGCCAGTGGAAGCTGTTGAAGGCAGAATGCAACAAATTGAATTGACACCAATTACCAAACAACCATTCAGCTCACATTATGCACAAAACGATGCCGAACAAGCTTAAGTTAAGTTCATGATTAAGTGAGAATATTAAGCTTTATAAAATTTGTCTCCTATCGACTTTATCCTCATATTACATCACAATAATTTTTATTTAAGACTTCTTTATAATCGTATTAATAATATTCGCTTACTTATCTTCATTCTCATATTAACAATGAGAAGATTCATACAGCTTTGAAACTAAAGTTTTCATAATTTGTCTCTTGTAAGTTTTGATAAAATTCATTCATTCCGATCAGGATCTTTTTTCATATTCTTATTCGCAATTTAAGTATTCATTAATTTATGTGTCGAATGTTTAAAGTAGATAATTATGTTAAAATGTTTAACAAATACAACATTGAATCCTCAATCGTTCAACAAAACGAAGCAGCTTCATTTAAGATTAAAATAACATTCATAATTGGCATGTAATCAAAAAAAGAAAAGATATTCTCATTGTTCAATGTTTTTTAAAAATTTATTAAAAACATAAAAGTATTTGATGTTATACGCAACATAAAGCTTAAAGATTCCGATTGATGGAATGATATGAATGACAAATTTATTGCCTTAACTAAGAAGATATTTACTCAAAAAAGCTTGAATTAATGTTTACAATGATGCATTTGCATCGGATATTAAAATTAAGATAACTTACCACATGTTTATGCCTCACCACCCACATTTTGCAACTTTATTTCCAGTTTCAAATCTTACAAAACAAATTAAAATTTTCTTTTCTTCCTCTTTTTTTTTGTTTTGTTGAAGAAATCATCATCAGATGTTTTACCAAATTAATACTTTATCAAATGTTATGTTTGCATGAAATTCAATATGGCAGATCAAAATTTAATATCAATTTAAGTATTTCACTTGTCGAAGATAAATGTAGTTTCGTTTCAAGTCACATTAATGAACAAATAAATAACAAATCGAACAAAAAACCAATTGAAGTCTTATTAAATTTTGAATTTTATTAATTGAACAAACTATGTCTTTATGAAGTGTAAATTTGATTGACTTTTAGTGTGGTTTTGGAGTGTGTCCATCAACATAAAAGTTCCTTGTTGCTTTAGGTAGTTGAAGTTTTAATCCCTCGAGTTCTTTTGAGAGGATGATTTGACAACCTAATCTCGAGTTTTCTTTAAGAAAAGGAGCCATGTCGAGAAGGTCTTCCTCTTTTTCTTCTGCTTCTGGTAATTTATCCAAGTAGTCATCAAGAACATAAACATGACACGTTGTACAAGCTAAAGATGCTTCACAAGCGCCTTCCATTTCAATTCCATATCGGTGGGCAAGATAAAGTGCGTTATCGCCTATTTTTCCTCTCACGTCATAAGTTTTACCATTTTTATCAATATATGTGATGTTTACACTAAAAAATGAAATGTAAATGGAAATTCGAATTTTAACTTTTGAAGGCTTACACTTCATCTTCTGATTTTGGATCCTTCCACTCATAATCACCGTGTCTAAGGACTATAAAGAAAATCTTTAACTCATTACTTAAAGCAGATAACATTTTGATTCTCACATCTTGATGTATAAATGCTTCTATCACATAATCCACTTTTTGTTTTCCATCTAATTAAGCGTTCTATGTTATTAATACTATTAATTTTTATAATTTTATTCAACACTTGATTCATTTTTTAGCCAATATTTGTAAACAAACTTTTTCCTCTCTTCAAATGCGGATTAAGCTGATTCTTCTCCCGGGTTACTTTCACTTTCCGTAAATTCCTATAGATGGCCTCAAAATCAACTCAAAGTAAAGAAAAGTTTTGTTAACATGAATTTCCATCAAATTTCTACTATATTTAAAGTGTAAAAACATCCATAATGGCCAGTAAATTAAGTTCTGAACTAGATACTGCAGTTCGTAATAAAATTCATTGGATTAATCTGCCAGTCCACTTGAAACAAGTAAGAACAATAATTTTTTTATCGTCTTCAATTCTGCAATGTTTTCGTTGTGATTCATCCAATCAAAGGATAACAAATCTTATCTTTTTGGGATATATTCAATCATTTGAGAGTTTGAAAATGTTTAAAGCTTGATTTTATAAGTTAAAAGTAAATATCCATAGTGACGTATGTTCAAAACATTGAATTGTTGTTGTACTTAAGCCACTGGAGAAATCAAAACTTTTTCGCAACAGTAAGTCTCAAGTCACATTAATGTCTATCAATTTCTAGATTCTTCACAACACACAAAAAGATTACGAAAAATATGTTTTCAACTATTCATTAAAGAATCAATTGCGCTATCGTGGAAACTTGGGTAAGTGATGTCATCAAAATAAATTCCAAAATTGCTGATAAGAAAATCGTGAAAGTGAAAAAAAGGAAGAAAGAGAGAAACAGATAATAATTATATTTACTTTGTCATGTTTAAATACAGTTCACAAAATATTTCGGAATGAGGAAAAATACTACGAGATGCTCATCGAAAAATCCATCGGTACTTATAATTTATTTCCTTATCACCTGTCAGACGTTGTTACAAAAGGCCTTCGTGTAACTGCTTTCAATTACTACGTGGAAGTGATATCACATCTGTTGAAGTTAGACAAAAGTTATGATACTTTGCCAAACTTCACAGCTGCTGACATTCTTCGTGTTCTTGGCATTGGACGAAACGAGTACTTATTGTGAGTTATAAATAATTATGTTTGGTGTGTAGGAAGCAGATGGAAGTGTTTGGAAAATCGATACTCTAGTCGATTGAAATAGAATGAAAATATGTTTCCATCTGGTCTCTATAGAAAAAAACCGCAATTGACGAAATATTTTGCAACATTTTGATTAATGTAAAGAAATTAAATCTGCCAATTTCGAACATTTTATTCATCATTATCACTGATCTTAACCGAAAATTTGTTCCATTTTAAAGCATTCTCAGTGAAATCAAAACAAAAAACTCATCAAAATTGTTTCGCAAGCCGAATCCATCCCAATTCCTGCCAAAGTTTCCCGTCCAAATAAACATTGAAGAATGGTGGCAAATTGAGATTGGTCTCATTCTTGAATCGGACATCAGATATGTTAATGAGAAAGAACGAGCTGTGATTGATGACCTAATTGATTTCGGACCGCAAATAGCGGGAAATCTTGACTTTGATGTTGTTCATAGCTTGTATAGGAAAGGATTGATTTTCTTGGATGTGCCAATAAGTGGAGAAGATTTCATTAGCATCCCACCTCTGAAGAATTTCATCATGAATCGTGTCACTGGTGATTATTTCGAAAGTTTATGTTATAAAATCTTCGTGACAGCTGACGAACACATGAAGATATCAGAATTAGCGACGTTACTTCAAGTCCATCTCGACACTGTGAAACATGTGATATCACTTTTTTGTCGTCTTGGATTCGCTAAATTGAAAACAGCTCGCGAGATTCAAAATGTTCATGAATCGTGGAAATATCGAGCTGAACAGGAAATGGAACGATTACAGATCACTCCATTGAATTATCATGCTTTACTCTTGGATAAGACAAATGAAGCTTTTATAAAGCAAGATTTTACTACGAGCAATGCTAAAAGTCCCACGACACCGGTCAATAACAACAACAGCGTGTCAACCGATTACACTTCATCATCAGACGGAAATGCAAGCGATTTTTCATTCTTGAATAACAGAAAAAGTTCACCTGATGAATTCGGTTCGGAGATTGAAGATTTGAGCGATCGAGCAGCTGAAAAATCTCCAGGAATTCATGAAAAACGAATTGGATTTCTGTTTGATTCAACATTGACAGCTTTTCTGATGATGGGAAATCTTTCACCTGGTCTCAAAAATCATGCGGTGACAATGTTTGAAGTTGGAAAATTATGTGAAGAAAGTATGGACACATTTTTAGCAGAGTTGGAGAAAGTTTCACTCCTCGATGCTGAAGGTGAAGGTGAAGTTTCAAGATATTTTGCTCATGCTGTTATTTTAAGATCAACAATTATCGCATTGAGAAAATATTTCAATGGTTTGGACTTGATTCGTGTTGAATGTCTTGAGAATTTGGATGTGAAAACGCGAGATCGTATGATTGAGAAGAAATATAAATTTATTATATCAGCAGCACCATTGACACTCACAAATTCACTCAACGATGTTTTTTCGATTCCGTTCTTTGGACAATTTTATCGAAGCTCAGAGTACTCGCATTTGTGGTCGAAACTTTTTTATTATCACATCTCAGGTTTTGGACCGCCAAGTCTTCTTCTAGTGAAAGGAACGGTTTTAAAATATTTACCGCGGTTATTTTTGGGATACGGAAAGCTTCTTGTGACAATTGTTCATACAGATTCTTATGTCATAAATTCAGAGAACTTTCGATCGTTGAATGATCAATTAAGACAGAATCATGTGCTTGTTCAAGGCTATGGCATTCGACAACCAGGTGAACTCTGTTATGAAGCTTTTCCATTTGATGGAAACACGACATCAACAACATCGGTGAAAAAAGGAAGAAAAATTCCATGCAAAAACCAAAAAGCTGTTGATAAATTGTCAGAACATTTAAATCTGAAGAATGTTTGTGGCTACATAACATTTTTAAATTCTGGCGTGCCAGATCTTGGCTGTGAAGATTTCAGCTTAGATATTTCTTTACAAAGACCGAAAGCAAAAAAGCCGGGACATGTAATTCCTGTCGTATCAACAACAAGACCAAATACACTTCAGAATATTCCACGCGATATTTCATTCCAAGATTTACAATCACCATTGGATAGTACGGAAATCACAAGTTTCAATAAGAATAAGACTATAATTGATGGATCATTGTCACAGTTGAAATCACCAGATGAAAATTATTTTGCTGTTACTCCTCAAAATAATTCACCTGCAAATATTTTTCGAAGTTCTGACTGCAATGAATTACTTCAACATGAACTGGAAAAGTTGGATTCAAGTGACAAACAAATGGAAGAATGTGCAATGAAAATACCAAGAAATATGACTTCACAAAGTTCTATTGAAATCGAGTTAGTTGATGAAAGCGCCAATGAAAATGAAAAGTTGGAAAATGTAAAGGAAGAAGAAGAATATCTTGGAGAGGTGAGTGGAAATATTTCAATTTCATTAAAAATTTCTAAAACATTTTAATTAAAATTAGAATTGGACAATTATCGACATTCATTTTGGCATTCCATTGTTTGATGTTGATACGAACACACAAATATGTCAGTACATTATTAAAAATTTAGCTAAAGATGAAAAGTGAGTTTGAAATTAACTTTCTAATTTCCTTAATTGAATATTAATCGATTTTTCTTCTTTAGTCTTTCAAAAATTCAGGAAATCAACGCAGAGATGAATGATAAATTCATGAAGTTTATAACACAATGCATGGTGAATCAGTTTCTCATTAAAAATTCAATTATGCTAATTATGTTTTAATGAAAAATTTTCTTGTTTAATTTTTCTTTTTCTTAGTATTTTGATGACGAGAATACAAAAGGCGTTCGAATAGGAAAATTGATTCCACCTCCGCGAATCAATCTCGCTTTTGAGAATGGAAAAATTTCTTATTGGAGTGGGAAGTAAATTAGCGAGAATCTGTTTTGATTTAGTTTTTCTTCTTTTTTCACATAATTAACTTTTATGTAGCAGAAAATATTTAGATAGGTTCTTTTAATTATTTCAAATTAGCTGTACAAAATTATCCCAAAAAAGAATCAACTGAAATATTAAAGCAAGTCAAATAAAAGGCGACAAAAATGATTTTTAGCATTTTGAGAGAAAAGAAAATAATACTTTATTAATTAAATTTCATTCGTCAAGGGAGGATTTGAAAAGTTTCATTTTCCATTTGTTTCAGGATTATTATAGATAATTCAGGAGTTAAATTTATAGGATTTAAGTTAATCTGGATTAAATGCCTATTCTCGAATTTTTCTTGAAAATCAAATAACCTTTCATTGAATAATATGCTCTTAATATCTTCTTTGTTTGTTTGGATGTTTATGTTATAAATTTCAAGAGCTTTTGAATTGATTTAAGTTCAAGGCAAAACTTTAAGAATGTCGAAAGCTTCTTATTATGTTTTCTTCTACTGTCTCTTTAATTTTTTAATAAGTTTAGCTTAGTTCTTAAGCTCGTTGTTTGTCTAAGCTTTTATTTAATAATTCGTTCTGTTTCCCCCAATTTAATCTACATAAATATTTTAATAAATTTTAGTAGTAAATAGATCTTGTTTCGAAAATCCCAAATGACTCTTTTTTTGTGTCAATGAAGGCTACAGTTAATTAAAGTTCTCATTACCGCTTTTCACATTTTGGTGTGTGAAGTGTTCTGTTGAATTTTTATTTATCTAAATAATTATTCTAAAGAAATCTCTTTGGAATTAATGTTTTAACTATCTAAGCGTTGTCGTTTTGTGTCATGTGATATGTCGCTTGTTTTAGATTAATTATTAACAGTTAAAAAAGAGTCAGCACTTGTAAGGCAACGATTGAATTAGATATATATTTGATAAGAATGCATTATTAAAATTGTGATCACTTATTGGTTTTCATAAATCAATTTCTGGTGTTTTATGTATCATCGTAAAATTTATGGAAAAGAAATTTATGTAGAATATCATGCTTCAATATCAGTAAGCGTAAATAAGGATGAAGGAAAATGTAATTACTAATCACAACGCACTTTTACGTGATTCATTTATATACAAAACCCAATAAATTACGGTAAAAAGTACAAAACTAACTGGAAATAGAATTAACGATATTTGATCTAACTTTCCACGTGTTGAACCAGCGTAGAGTAAGGCGACATCTGCTACGTTACGAAATCTGTTGGTTAAAAGAGATAATTAGATAGTCGAAAGAATTTTCAATTTATTCATGAGAACCGTCTGCGTCCCATAATTGATGAAACTTTTTCCGCCGTATTTAAGCTTTCAGCTCTCGATGCTGCTAAATCGCGCATAACTTTGTGCTCTTCTGGATTAATTTTACTAACTTGAAACATTCTAGCTGCGTTTTCAAGACCATTTCTACGTTGTGGTTGAAGTGTTGTCATCTAGAACATTATTAATGCTTGTTAGAAATGATTTATAAGTACATGTGCAATCATATAAATTACAGATTCAAAAGGGAAATGATATCACAAAACAATTTATAATGATTTAAGAACGCAACATAAATCATTAATCAAGAATCGAAAATTAGAAAAAATCCAAAACATCTCACACCTCAAAAGTCAAAATGATTCAAGAACCAAAGTGACAAACAGTCAATCGTGAGGGAAATCATTAATTTATGTTTACTTTTTAATCACAAAAGTGTCGTGAAGTGGAATGGAAGGAATGTTCGTGTAGTGTTATTTGGGAATTTCACGCAGGTAAGGGAGAACAGTTGACATGAACTTTAGTTTCTTTATTTAAATAATTTTTTGAAACTACAGCATGAAGGAAAGTGTCACTCGTGTAAATAGGTTTTTAAATTGAATGCAGTTATCTGAATTGTTTCTTAACCTCTATTACAACTTCCTCATTTCTTGTTTCCGATAATAACTGTAAATAGAATAAAAACAATTGATAATAAATTAAAAGAAAATTTACTCATAAAGTGACAAAACTTAGGGGAAATTAAGATTTTTAAAACGTAAATTAATTTATATTTTTTCTAAGACTTCTACTGATGTATGCATGTAAAAGTTAAAATCAAGAATTCAAATGAAACACTTGAAAAGATCTTACGGGAGTCTCGACATTGGGAAGATTTGGAATTGCTGGTGATGGTACTTGAAGTGTTGCTTGAAGGCTTTGGTTTGATAAGTGAATTCTAGAAGGAGACTGAGATTGCTGTTGTTGTTGCTGCTGTTGTTGTTGTTGATGATGAGCATGAGCAGCTGCTGCGACAAGTTGTGATCTTCTCCAATGTGAATCATATCGGATTCCAAAGAGAACAACAAAGTATTCCATCAACGCCAGAAATACGAAGAATGTACAGCTTAGTAGCCAAACCTTAAAAATGAATCGATTAGTAGACGATAATTTATATTCATGAACTCACTTCAATGCACTTTAATTCCAATGCATCCGGTGAATTATTTCGAACACCATCAAACATTGTAACAAGTGATAAAAGCGTTGTTACTAGCAAAACCATTCGACCTACAAGACATTCAACTGTCATCACATTAAAATGTATAAAATTTCATCTCACACACCAGGCACAATCGTAGGAATGATTAGAAAACTTCCCCACGAAATTACCGTAAAAAGTGTTGAAGGCAGATAATTTTCAAGCAGATAACTTTTGACCTCTCGTGACAAAGTGATGTCTAGTCGTGCTGAAATTCGATCAGCTTTAAAGGAAAAACAAATGAAACATAAAGTTTGACCTTCAAATTTCTTATTCATGTTGTTGTATTTACAAAAAAGAGAGAAAAGAAAATATGAAAGAAACGTCTTAATAATAATATTAAGCCTAAAATTTGATTTTTATTTATTTTGGAAACATATTTTCTTTCGAACAATGGAAGCTTAAAAAAGAAAGAAATTTATAGCGTGCTATATTGGCATAAGAAGCGTGAAGAAAATAAGGCGGCAAAACGGAATTTAAGGAAGTTTTCTTTCACGGGAAATCTCGCGAGGTGAACATGGAAATTTGTCAACTATGAAAGGCTTGACACAATTTCCGTAGTCTAACACGAGTTACTACATAGGGAGGGCTTATAAATATCTTATAAATAGCGTAAAAATTGTTAAGGACACATGCTTCCCCATTACTTTCATACATAGTAGTCAAGTCATTAATAGAAGACGAGGAAACAGTCATCAAGCAAAGGTGCTTGTTAAATGTGTTAATTCTAAAAATAACCAATGTACGGAAATGTGCAAACTCAGCTAATCAATATAAAAAAAAGATGAAAAATGAATACTGCAAATATCAAACAGGAAGCGAAATTAATTTTATAAACTACATTAAACTGATTACATAAAATCTCACACGACTACTAACAATCATAAGAAACTGTTGTTTTTATATTATTACCATCCCCATCTGGATTTATTTTAAGTGGTTCTTCGTGTGTCTGAAAAGATACCACGTACTTTGGTAGACGAAAACCATTCTCACCGAAATCGTTTGGAAATGTTAGCGGATGATCTTTACGCCAATAAAACGCCATTTCATTGACTGTGTATTTATCTGCAGAAGAATGAAGATATGAATGATCTAAAACTGTCACTTTGGTGTTTTTCTTACAACTGGAAAAGTCAACAGGACATGACTGAACATCCAAAGGATACAGCACAAAGTCCATATCACACTTAATGATGATTGTTGCACCTATACTCAAGCTTATTGTACTATTTTCGTAGATTCGTAGACTAGAAATTTCCTCGAATACTTTAAGAATTTTCATTTCTCGAAGCTGTCGAATGTAGAGATCAGGCACCCAAATTTCATTTCTTTGATCCATTGTCAGTTCGCTATAATTTTTCGGTCCAAGATCTTGAGGCACCTTTATTCGTTTATCCATCCATACAACTTGTAGAAATACATCAAATGATATTTCCTGGAAAATTTATGAAAATTGTGATGAGTATGTAAAGTATGGAGGATAATTTGAATTTCTGACCTCTTTATTCTCATCAACTGATGAAATTCTATTTATTTTCAAGGATATGGAAACTTCTGTCAGTTCACCTGCGAACAGAAAAATATGAGAGAGTTACAGAATGTTTCTTACATTTTATTAAAATAGGGCAAAAGTATCTAGAAAAATATTGTTACAAGAAACGCATGCAATGTAGTGTGAATCATTGGAAAACGCGATTATATTTTTCAATTAAAAACATTAAACATGTAATTATGTTGCTTGTAACAAAGTTCAACTTAAAGATTGAATTGAAAAATTGAAAGCCATAAATTTGAATTTAAATTAAGCTTCTTGTAATAATTTAATTTCATGTTAATCCGTACACATAACATTTACACGAAATCTTTTGAGATTAAATGATTTTCCATTTTTTCCTTCCTTACTTCTTTATATATTCGCATCCATATGGCAATATTAGGAATGCTTGTAAATTTCTGTTCAACTTATCAAACATTGTCATGTTATTAAACTTTTGACATAAAATGAACAAAAGAAATGATTCGCAAAAAATCTCCAACCGATATCGTGTGTGAGCTTTTTTCATTCTTTCAATGCCGTCAATCCAAATAAAAAAAAATTCATTCATGATTTTTATAATAAAATGTTTTTTTTCGCTATGGAATACAAAATATCAACTTCTTGTGAAATAAGAAAAAAGCAACAAATATTTGGAAGTCGTGAAATAAACAAAACTTTTGAAATGCGATACAATGAATAAAAAAAATGTTAGAAAATCTATAAAAAGTGCGGCTTGATTAAGAAAGTTTTCCTCTTTCGCTTCGCGCTTTTCTCTCCTTTCGCTTTCATTTAATTATGGTAGTAATTATTAAATTTACATGCGATCAATGTTACAACCGCCATTATTAAAATTTAACAAGGAAACTTTAACAAGTGAAAATATTGTACACGTAAATAAAGTGAGTCGTAACGCAAAACAAATGGATGCGAATGTTTCTGCGCATTTTCTATTTGAACATCTATTTAATGGATTGCTTTTCGAAAGAAAACTATTTCAATTTGTCTGTTTCAAGTATTTAGCTGATATTCCATATTTACAGCTGTCATGATGTCGGTGACGTGATGCTTGCTTTTTGTGACGTCTCTTCTTACAAATATACACTACTAAGACTTTTCAATGTCACGTGCCATTTCTAGCCGTCAAAAAAATAATTTTCATTGTCATTCCTTAGATACCTCGTTAATGTTCTTCTTGTCTATAAAACCTGTCATAATTATATTTGATTGCTAACTTTTACTGTCGTTATCTTGTGTGGCTATTTAAGTACTCTAAATGTTTTTAACTTACTTTCTTTCTTTTCTTATGTCTATTGAAGACAAAAGAAGGCTGAAGGAGATTGAATTTGAGTCTGATTTCATTTGCATAGCAGAAAGTCGATATATCTACTTGCGGAAAAGTATTTCCTGTGTATTTTGTGGCACTTTCCGATCAAGATAAAAGAACTACGTTCGACAATGAAACCCGCACACAATCATAAACTTTTGAAAGCTAATTGATTGTATAAGGTTTGCGATAGACAATAATCGACAGTTGTGAATTTCTTTTTTTAATATAAAAATATGTTTTCCTTCTTATTATATGTGAGTACATATGTATGATGAGGCATTAAAAGCGTTTAAAATGCTAAAAGTGTCTATTTATAGAACTTTTCTACAACGTATGAATAAAGCTTGTAAAAATGAATTAACATTTGTGGAAGTCATAGGTTCTAATCGTCATAGCGCAACTAAAGCAAAACTTAAACTTTTATATTGCAGTTCCTATAATTAAAAAGAAACGTTTAAGTTTCTTCTGTTAACGTTGTTGTTTTTGCGACTGTTAAATGAACATAAGGCAGTAATTATAAAGTAAAAAAAGCTTAAAGGAAATGCTATAAAGCTTATTTTTGTTGATGTCAAAATGAGTTAAATAGAAAAAGCCTCAATGATACTCTCTAGTTAAAGTTATTTTGTTTCTTTCCTTGAAATTCAATGCCACGACATTTAAGTTGAATAAGAAAAATTAATTAATCAATTTAGAAGGTTTGAAAATACTTCATCGTATTATATTTATTGGAATCGCTTTAACCACAAAAAAAACTCATCATCGGTTAAGTACCAGTATCAAGTTTAATCAATGCTTAAAAAATTACCGTAAAAAAGGAAAATTAATTAGCTAATAAAAATTTCCTCGTTTGTTAATGAACATAAATGGAAAAGGAAAAGTTTGCTCATAAATTGAACTTCCTAAATCAATCATCATCAGACACTTTCTTAAATGCAATCATATTTACACTTCATTATAAACTTCCGCTCTAAGGAAGTTCGTTTTTTACTTACTTGGACGTGCATTCTTGTCGTAATCGGTTTCCATTTCGTATTGTGTCGATATTGTAGTCGCGAGTAAAACAAATTTTATTCTCACCAATATTATTGCACTGTAAATAATGATTGAGGATATTTTTCAGTCTCATCAACATGCAATGAAGATTCATAATCGCTTTCAGTCGCTAAATAAATTTCACATACAAAGTAAGTTGAGCTATTCATCGTTTAATCCCCTGCTGATTTATTTTATTTAACATAAAAGCTTGTTTTATATAAGAAATTTATTCAAAGAGAGAGCTTTAATCGTCATGGAAAACGCACTATTCGATGACCTGATTTCGATAAAACTATAAACAAGTTGTTGAAAAAACACTTGTGGTTTCCCCCATGCAGGCAAAAAAACTTTCCTTTTTATGTTTCATTAATATTCTTAGCACTTTGACTGATTTCATTTAAACATGACAAAATATTCAAATAAGTTGGCGTTAAATTTTTTATTTTTAAAGTGATAGAAAATAAAATTAGGAAATTTTTATTTCAACAGTCTCATGGGCGAAAATAACATGGAGTGAAATTAATTAAACACAGAAATTGAAATATTTTTAATGCACTTTTTCATTTTCACTTTGACCTTTAAAAACGTAATTAGGAAAGTTGTGACTTTAATTTCATGCTTTTTAACAGAAAGTATTTTTGGCTGAAATCAATAAAATTGACATAGTTTGTTGGTACGTTAAAATAAACTTAAAACGCACGAAACAAAGAATTGTATAAGCCATAAAGTCGCCTTCTTGAATGAATTAAAGCGCCTTAACTTATGGATCATTTTGCATAAAAAAGCTTTGTCGTGTGCGTCTTGACCTCAAGCTTGAATATGACGGGAGAAATTATAGCTTTACAGAACGTTTTTATTCATAATAATAAAGAAAAAAGAAAAAAAAAAAACTCCAGTAAGTAACTATCAAAGTTCTGGCCAGAAATAAAAGATAAGAGCCAACAATTTACTTTAAAACGTTTTTGTCTGCAAATAAGATTTATTTACTAAGCAAAATTTAGTTTATTGATTTCAAGTGAACAAAAAGGAAAAATGGGTATTTGTTGATATCACGAAAGTTTGCCACGTGAAACAATGCCTGTATGATGGAAAACACGAAATTGAAAGGCGATTATTTACTTCACAATGTCAATGTTGAATTGGCCTTGAAAATGTGATTTTTCTTTATGTTTTTATTTTCGTACATAAACTTTATGTAATGTACAAAAATAGCTATAAAAAGGCTGCTAATTCCATCAAGATCGTAATAAAAAAGAGCTTAAATAATAAAGGATACTTTACTTTGCAACCAAACAAACAATGTACTTCATTGATCGATTAGAACAGACATAAAATTTGATAGAAAATGAATCATTTTGGAACATTTGCTGTTTCTCACGTCGATTACTAAAAATTTAATATAAATTTTAATGTAAATCAAGACCAAGATAGAAGTTTGTGACAATTAAAAGAAAATGAATGTCACATGTCTAATCGGGCAATTGAATGTAGTGCTATGTAGTGTGACATATGTTTGAATATTTATCTTTTAACATGTTTAAATAGAATAAATAATGAAAGTATTACTTATACTTCATGTAGTAACTCAAAAATAATTTTTTCTAGGAGCTTATTCATAGACTTCTTATTTTGCATACGCTTGAAAGAAAACAGCAAATTAAATATTTTTCTTTCCACTGCCATTGCAAGCTCGTCGCCTCTGACATTGAGGAATTTATTTTTTTGTTTGATCGATTAAGCGACTGGTTGATTATGAACCTTCCATCAAAATAAGAAAGTAAAATGATGCTTAAGAACCTCAAATGGTGCTTCTTACCAAAATAATTTAATAGATTTCATAATATCCAATTAATCTTTGTTTATAGGCTGCTCTATTTTATATAATTTTTTATGTTGTTTTATTTACATCCTAAACTTATTAAGGATGGTTTACTTTATATTTAATTATTTTATATAGAATTGAAGCTATTTATTGCATTCAATCGTTATCACAGAGAAAAGCTTTCATAAAGCTTAGATGACGTTCACATTGTAATGAGGTTTAATTGTTTTAGCAACTGTCACACGTCTATGGTTCCACCATTTATCCAAAAGATTCTTTTTACTTGTGAATATGATTAATTTACACATATGACTCTCAAGGGTATGCTTCTCGTGTTCAACCATTGTCGATGCAGAAAGCTATCGAAGCCTGCTTTCACTTCTATTTTTAGTTATTAATTACGCCGTTTTGAATATAATTTATTTAATTATACAATGGAAAAGCACTTTGGGGAATATCACATAAAGTTTTCCCTTCTACAATTCGACATGTTGAGAGTTTTAAGTTCTTTGGTCTGAACGTTTTGAAAGCTGGAATAGAACTGAACGATGGCTGAAGTAGCGCAAACCAAAACTGTTTTCCATTCCGTGAAATGAAAGTGTAGAAACTTTTTTCCTACGTTTTCCTCGTGCTTAATAATATGATTCATGCAACAACGCTCAATTTTATTTTCATATCGGAACAAAGCTTCAAAAAGCTTCCTTCAGAAATGAAAGTTTAAACCGTCATTTAGTGATGAAGCCTTCGTTAAATAAATTTCCCCTTCGTCTCTATTCGCAGCTCTCAAAAGGAGAAAAGTTTTTGTTTTTGTATGTTTTCATACAAAAGTTCTGAATGAAATTGTTAACTGACACGCGATCGAACTGCTTCGTGGACAACTTTTGTGCGCACTATGTGAAGGAAATATGAAAGCTTCTTAGAAACTTGCAAATTGCGTTGATCATGCTTGAAATATCCTGAAAAATCTGTAATATCAAAAATAGTGAATAAAAACCACCTTTCCTTTGCATTTCATATTAAAAAGTCTTTTATTGTTTGTATCATTTCAAAATTAATTTTTTTGAAGAAATAAAATCGCAATATTTCTTGCAAGCTTTTCAATTTTGTGAAACGTGCTTCAATTAGTTTGTTTTTGCTGTCTTATTTTAGATTAATTTAAATCATAAACTTGGCAAATTCTTTTGATTTTTCTTTAATAAATTTGAAAACATTGCAGTTATAATTTTAGAGGAAAGAAAACTTAATGAAACATAGATATTTAAGAAATATTATTTTCGATAAAAATGAGCATATTAATAATTCTTCTTTACCTTTTCATTAATTTCAATAACATTACAATGCTTGAAAAAACTTTTCAAGCAATACTTAAACATTTTTTCTTATATCATTCTCACTTTAGATAGCTTGCAATACATCTTAAGTTACATTTTATTTTTATGAATAGCCGAAGAGTGTGAATCTCGTAACGTTTCATAATTTTCGTAATTCGTACTTATTTTCTCTTCTTTTACAGGTAAGTATAATTAATATCTTAAAGGTCGGGCGAGAATGCAGATATATTGATAAGTTTAACAGATAGACTTAAATTAAAAATACGTTTCTTTTACCATTTTCCGTTTCATTCATTTAATAAGGTCCTACATACTTTCTTAAAGTTTTATACAAAATTCACATTTTTTTCTATCCAAAAGAAGAGATTTTTAAAGGTGGAGCAAATATGCAAGATTGTGTTGCTAACAATTATAATCTAGAATAGTTTCATGGAGCATTCTCATTTAATATTCATTTCTATCATCCTTTCTAATTCAACTATAACTGATGTTTAGCAAAAGCTTTAAGATAATTAGAATTAAATCATTATCGATTTTCATGTGCGTAACTTTTTTAAAATAAATCATCAATTTGGGATGTTTTTCAATTAAAAATTTAGTAGAATTTAAAAAAACTCTAGAAACATTAGTTAAAAATTGTCTGATTGACAACTTAGGTAATTCATTAAAATATTGGAATAATATAATAGCGAAGGGAATTATTTAATAATTTGAATATACTCAATCATAGAATTTTCTTCTTTCTTTTTTTTTTGATTAAGTTAATTTGATATATTTAACATGTCTGTTTACCAGTCCATATAAACCAATTCAATCAAAAAGAAATTATTTTCATGTCTACTTTTCATTTGATATGGACTCGTTCCATCATTGCCTTCTAGTCAATTTAAATTCTTTTCGAATAAACTTCTTTTATCAATTTCCCATTTTTCTACTTTGGATTTTCATGCCAAATTAAAAGGAAAAATTTAAATCTTTTTTGTTTCTTGTTTTTATACGCGCAATGCTTTATAAAAATGAAAGTTTTTAAGTTCATAATAATCAACTGATTTATGTCTAAAAGGCCTCTTAATTATATTTCTCGTCATTTTTCTCACGTGTTTTGCGTCTTTGAATGTTCGCAATTTCTTAAGATGTATAATCAGGCATAAATATCTAGTTCTTTTAGCTCATGTTTTTGACATTCACAATGCGACTTAATATAATTTGATTTCATTAAAGATTAATTTGTCACGTCTTAGAATTTTATTTAGCCAAAAGCAGTCCTTTAATTTAAGTAGAAATATGTGTTTCACGTTTTTTCTTTTTTATTTATCTGAAATTTACTGTAATGTGAAATGACGAAATATTTTTCCTAAATAAAATGCCAAAACAAAATTTCTGAAGATTTCATATGGAAATTTAAAGACTTACATAGTTACTTGCTTGCATTTGGATGATCAAAAATAATTCTGTGGCCCCATAAAAATTTTGATAATTTTTTAAATTTCATTTTTAAAGTCATTGTGTATGCAAAGCAGATTTTAGGAATTATGAATGAAGCTTTCGCAAGATAGTGAAATTTCAATGAAAAATCATTGAAACAATTAGATAGCAGTAAAATTTATAAACTTTCATTTCTTACAACTAATTTAAGACAAAGTCAATAGTGCAAGGAATCGACGTTTCAGAGTTTTTCGATTTTTTTTGGCAATTCATATAATTTATGTTGTTTCTTTTTTTTGTTTTTGAGAAATAAGCACGTTGTCTTAATTACACAAGATAAGATAAATTTTCCGTTGAAAACATAAATCTAATAACAAAATAAGCATAACAATTTATGTAGGTATGTCTTTTGTCGATGATTAGAAAAAGCAAAACGAGTTACTAAAATTACTTAAATATTTATTCTGGATCGGGGGATTCATTTTCGGAATGTTTGTTTTCCTGTAAGAAAAAAAAATTGTTTTGTTTTGAAAAAAATAAAATAAAAGAAAAGAAATCTAAAATCTAATGAAACATAATCAGAGAATAAGATCAAAAACTAAGTTTAATTAAGAAATCTATCACATTCCAAATTAGAAAAAATCGAAATTATCTAATTGAGCAAGACAAAATTATTTACAATTGTCTATGAATTATATTAAATTGGAAAAAAATTAAATCAAGTGTATTTACAAGTGATTTGAAATTAGAAGAAAATATTTAAATTGAAAGAAAAATTTAAAAGAAAAAAAGTTGAGGGATTTTATGTTTCCGCATGAAAATCTTTTTAATAGTTAATGAAGTCAGACAACAGACTATGTGTTGAATAATTTACATGTCTATTTATCCATAATGACAAAAGTATCAAAAATCATTCTTAATCATCACATTTATCTGTAGATATTCATATAAAAATCCTCAACAGCGATTTGAATAAATTTTTAATCTTTGAAACTGTCATGTGTTCGTGTAATGCTTGACCATTTGAGTTGTCATGACTTCATACAATTTTATTATTAAAACATTGCATATAACGTCAAAAGTTTGTTGTCAATTGTGGGTGTTTTTTTATTAGCTTAAGCTTCTTAAAGGTTAATTTTTTTCTAAAGATTGTTGCTGATGTTCTTCTAAAATCTACTCAAAATTATATGAGAAATTTCTTTTAAAAAGTTTTTTTCTCAAATGAAATTTATGTAGATAATTTATACAGAAACTCTCAAAGTTGGCAAAATTTCTAAAGTGCTTAGAAATGTTAAGCTTTTTTCTTAATTAAAAGAGAAAAACGAACAGTTAAAGCTTAAAATTATCATACTTGATCAATTTCATCGAGAGATTCTAGTTTCGCTATAGGTGCAAAAATATTCCAATTCTCTGCTGCATCGTCCATTGGTTGATTGAAAGAAGAGAATTTCGAGCACCTGAAAAATATTTTTTATAAATTCCAAGAATTTCTTCTCATCTTTTTCCGTAATTTACCTAAACAAGCTTTTATCATTGCTATCTGCACACTCAGGTTGTGACACGGAACGTTGCACATTTCTTGACTGTGTCTGCTGTTGTAATTGTGCGGGTGGTGGAAGTGAGTGGGGTTGTTTTGTGTTGTTGTCTGTTGTTGTACTTAAATTGTCGAAAGAGAAATCGCTATGTTCGGACGGTTGGTATGATGCTGCTGCTTGCCTTTAAATTTTTAATAAAAACGTTTAAAAAGGTCGGAAGAGAAAAAGCGATAACAATTTTATTTTACCTTCCAGTAGAGATCACTTGAGATTGTTGCTGTTGCTGCTGCATCTGTAGTTGGACTTGTTGCTGTTGATGCAATAAATCAAGTATCGAGTGAATATCCTTTCGTAAGCTACTTTCTAAATTGTCTAATCGTGTTGACATCTCAGTTAATTGGCTTTTGATAACGCTGGAAGGAAAACTAATAATAACCACGAACGTTTCGTTAATAGTTTAAGTAATCAAATAATTCTTACTCTTTATCGTTAGCTTTTGGACAATATGACGTTGGTGCATGTTGAAAGCTGTCATCCTCTGGACTGCTACTTTTGATACTCGCTTCTTTTGATCGATCTTTTACACCACAACCACAATCATGTTGACTCACAGCACTCAAAGTGATTGTGTCTCTTGGCTGTTGTTCCTCCGAAGCACTTCGTCTGTAAGATCCTTTCGGACTTGCTGTTGGTGTCACTTTTAGAGAAATTTCAGATTTTTAAATTAATTTTCATCAATTTATATGCTTTTTACTTAAACAAATTAACATCTAAACTTTGACATTAAAATTCTTTACGTTTTTTTATCTTCTGGTATTTAAAGTGCATAAATAGAAACATAAAAAATTAAAGCTGCAAACATTCAAGCACTGAAGATTATTTCCATTTCTGATATCCAAAAATTTCTCTCATTTAGTTTTCTTTTATACAAAATTTCGTATCATAAATAAATAAATTTGTAAGGACACGAGCAGCAGGCGACTCATTTGTAAAACACAACACTGCGATAACAAAAGTAAACATCAAAGGCATAGAATTACAACAATCACAATAAAAGCTTTTATTTGCTTAGTTCAGTTGCGATTCTTACCACAACAATTCTCAAGTGGCTGATGCTTTATTGCTCTTAGATCAGGAATGCTTCGTTTAATTTGTGTTACAATACCTTAAATGTTTTCGTATACGCAAAATGTATTATCACATATATGTACAGAAATTTAAATAATTTGAAAAGTCATTGTGAAGAAAGAATGAATGAAAAGATTGTGGAAAAGAATGAGAAAGTCTTTTCACATTTTTTATAAAATTATTTAGACACAAATATTTCGAAATAATCTATGCAAATTATGAGAAAAACAAGAGTCAATCATAATGAATAATTGACGCAAGCTTTCGGAAGCTTTTTTGACATTTCAATTGACGGATTTTGAATATAAAGGAAAATTTTTATGTGAAAATGCGAGTAACTTACCGGATATTGAATATTTCCTATCGTCGTTGTATTCCATGTTTTCACTTATCTGCCCCACCGAATGCCTATCGTGCGATTCGTGTTTACTAACTGTCTGGGAATGATGGGGGAACGGTCGATGAAATTGATGAATTGGAGGGTGGACACTCGTTCTATAAAGTTTACAAAATATTGATTTAATTTACCCATCGAAAATAGAAAATATCAAGTTACTTCGACAAAGAAACTAACATTTCTAAAGTAAAACAGAAAACTTTTCGATTTTCAACTTCTTTTTCAAATAACTCAATAATTTCTAAGTTAGAACTTTCTGAGAATGATTCGATGTTATCTAATTTAATTATTAACATCAAATACATTCATTTGAACTACAAATTATACTCACGCTGCTCTAATTGATCTAGTATCACTATTACGGTCTTGCGAGTTCGATCTCACCATATTTATGTATCTATTTCTTAGTTCTACGCCAGCTTGTTCCTCCTGTTCATACGAATGAATAATGGAAATTATGTTGATTTTGTAGAAAACAAATTTATACATAAGCAAAGTTTAATGAAAAGCATGAAAACTAATTAAACTCCTTTTACTTAAAAAGAAGAAAGTTTTCAACAGTCTAAGAAAATATTCTAAAACTAATATTGACGTCAGACTTATGAATAAGTAAGTTATGAAAAACTTTCAACAATTTAGATATTTTCTCTCATAAGTAAAGAAAGGAAATGCTTTTTACTTACGTCTCGCATGTTAAAAGTTATTTCCAAATTATTAACGAAACTGTCATAGAATTCAGGAAATAAATCAAGAACGTCGAGCATATCATCGCGAGTAATTTTATGTAAATCGCAATAAGTCAAAGCTCGTACGTTGCTATTAGATTTGCCAAGAGTTGAATGAATGCACGGATTTTCTCCAAAAATATCATCTTTTCCTAATGATTGTAGAAATAAGCTTGCGAATCACATGAAAATGTTGTTTAATCCTTACCCAAAATTGCCATAACGACATCATCCTTCAGTATTTCTATCGACCCACGAGCAATGAAATAAAGACACGTTAAGACATCACCCTTGTGTACCAAAGTGTCACCGGGAGGAGCATGAGTGGTTTTAAACTTCAACGATAACGCACGTAAACAACCGGGTGAAGCGCCCTCGAATGCCGAACAACTATCTAGCAAATTCCGATTAAGATGAAGGCAAATATCGGCTTGTAAGCACTCAGGAAATCCTTTTAAAACTGAGTTCATATCGATTCCATTCGTGTATGTCCAAGCATGTTGGAAATATTCTTCTAATCTTTGACGAAGCGGATTTGGAATCTTGACAGAGTGAAAAAATAAATAAACACAACGTTGAAGGTCACATAAGTAGTTATTTAGTGAGTCAACTTACCTGATGAAATCTAATAAACTCTCGTACACGAAGCATTTGTGTATGATAACGAGCAGTACCGGAATATAGACGTTGAATAATGGCAGAAACATTACCAAAGATGCTAGCATACATTAGAGCTGTTTTAATATGTGAAAGAAATTTTATGGGATTATCAAGGAAGCTAGCTAATTGTGAAAAAGCAATTTATACTAACATCCAACTAGCATGACGCATATTGTAAATATTTTTTCTGCGTCTGTGTTCGGTGCAACATTTCCAAAGCCAACAGACGTTAACGATGTGAACGTGAAGTATAATGCTGTTACATAACGCGACTGTTGGGAAGAAAATCAAGATTAATGTGAAAATTTTTCTCTCTTTTATAGTTTGTCGTTGAATGCTTCCGAAGTGATGAGTGAAACATGTCGGCAAATTTTTATCATGTCGAAAGTTTTGATACCGTTTTTCGTTATGATATCGTTTCTTAAATGTAAAAATCTCATTTAAATGGCTGAGACGTTAGGGAAGACTAGGGAAATTTAATTTGTCAGCTTCGTGTTGACAACGAAGGAAAGAACGACGAGAAGCATTCTCAGAATTTGAATGTGAATCTACCTGTATCGAGGGACCATCAGCAGTGCCGTTTACATACGGTCTGTTGATTTGTTCAGAGAGCGCATCAAGCCATCCATATGTTGTCCCTTGTCCGTTTCCTCTTTCAGCGTGCCCGATAGCGTACCTAAGCAATCACATTCATTTTTCAATATAAAAACCAAAATATTATTCTTCAAGCGCAAACATATACGGCGGGTAGCGCATGATGAAGCAGAAAAAATGTAAAATTTACCAAATGCAGGCGAGCCAATGAGCTATGAGAGCGAAGGTTGCCATCAATAATACCAGAACAGCAGCTCCATATTCTGAATATCTATCAATTTTCCTAGCAACTCTCACGAGTCGAAGTAAACGTGCTGTTTTCAACAATCCGATCAGAGTTGTAGTCTAAAATTTTTCGAGATATTAGAATTAATGATTTTGTAATTCTCGTCATCTCGTTTGTGTCTGTGTCATGTTTTAGATTTGTTTTCGTGTTCTTTTGAAACTGAGGACAACATAAAATGAACGACTTTATTTAGAATTCAGAACTAGCTTGAATGTCCAAAAAATTCTTGTTTAGTTTCGTAATAAGCTAATTCCGATTTCTCTTCATAATTTTTTTAATATTTATCGTGCCAATGTTGGTCAACCTTTAATCTTTTTCATGGCAAAATTAATTTTTTTGTTTTTGATTTCAAACAAAAAGTTGCCCAACTGTGATAGATTTTGAGGAAAAACTTTTCGTTAAATGCATTCAAAAATAATTTCGCTCGCTCTCCACGTTCAATATCAATCAATTTGTTAATTTAGGTTTTCTTCCTTGTTTGTCAATTTGTAAATTGATTGGTATTTGAACGATTAAATGAGGAGAATTCGATAGAAAAACTTTTGTGCGCTTGGAAACACAACGAAAAAAGTTAAAAAGGAAAATAAATTAAGACGTTAAAACAAATATTGAGCTCTGTCATCTAGAAGTTTACTCGTATTTAGGGAAAAACATGAAACAGAGTTTTGTGGTGTTTTCAAAAACATCACTTTGACATGAATGGAACCATTTAAGTCTAACAAAATTCACTAATGAATGAACAGCTTCTAAATTCTAGCGAAGCAAAGCGGAAAAATTTATTTGACGTGTCTACAAAATGTAAACTTTTCATTGAAATAATTTTCCTACATACTAACTTATTTCACTAAATATATTTTAATTTAAAGTATGATCAATTAAAGTTACAGTAATAAGCTTTTGATAATTATAAACAAACATAAATTAGATAAAAATATATGTTTGTGTGTTCAATTGTACTTGGGGTAGATATTTATGTTTTAAATTTATTCACTTAATTGGATAATTAAATATTTTTGTGGCAAATTAATTTCTTTCAGTCAATAAAATTTAGATCTGAATTTAGTTTATGCTACCGCCAGTTATATTTATTCTTCTCTTCATCATTAGATATTTGTATAACTAACAATATTTCACATAAACTGATTGATAAGTAGAAGAAAACAACAATGAATTTAAAGAAGTTAAAATAAAAATAAAGAAGTAGAATGGATAGATAGTTCCTGTGTACACAGAAAAAGATTAATAATCATCTGAGAAATGTTTCTTTGTCATTGTCAACTTACCTCTTCCATATCCTTTCAATTATTTTTCGGAAACATAACATAATTTCAATTTGAGTTGAGAGAGAAAGAAAAAAAAAACAAACAAATGCACAGAATTTAATTTTTCTACGGAAAGTAAAAACTCAAAATGATATTTTTTTTTGGATTTAATTTTAAATCGATTGTTGAAGGCTAAACAGTTGTCCTTGCCGATGATTTTGGATTTGTTTTGGGCTTCATGTCTTTTGTGGTTTTATTTTTCGATATTTTTTTGTTCAGAATTTATTTTTGTTCACAAAAATGTTTTTCTCTGGATGTTATTTCTCTCGAAACTACTAAAGCTACAATTATGCGATAATTAATTGTTTAAAAATTAGTTGAAATTGACAAATTAATAAAAATGTTAGGAAAATGAAAAGTTTTAATCGAATTAGCTTTTAAATTGAATTTTATCGCATAATGAAGCTTTCTTCAGCTTAAAAAAAAAAATAAAAAAATAAGTTTCATTTAAAGCTACAATTAATAACGACAGGTATACAATAATAAAACATAAGATAGAAGATCTACGAAATGATATCAACTAAGTTTGATTATTAGATACTCATTATTATAAATATTTATGTACATTTGTACAGCAGGACTCTTAGATTTGTTGTTTTCATCAACCATAAAATGTCTTTTGATTTCTTTTAATTTGCCACAAGTGGTCCAAGTTTCAAATTATTTAAAGTTGTCTGAATGCTTTGTTCATATTTTTTTATTCCTTTTTGAAGAATGAAAGTGTTACGAAACTTCAAGTTGAAGTTGATAAATTCTTCTAAAATCAAAGATTTACATAAATTTTATTTACATCAGAAATTCTGTATAAAGTGAATTTTCTATCATTCAAAGGCTCTACGTGAATCGTCTTAGACTTATTTAAAAGCTTCTACATAAGTAGCTTTAGCATTTAGTTGATTAAATAAGTGGCGTGATTGCAGCATTTTGTTATGTGCTTTGTACAAGTTTTTTGTTAAGATTTCTAAGTTTTGAAAAGTTTTCTTTTTGGATATTTGCTTTTGATTAGTTTCTGTTAAAAGGATATTTGATTACATATTTACGAAGTGTACATGACAAGGCAAACGATTCAAGAGCGCAAAACAAAAATGTTACAAACCAATGGAAGCTTAATTAGCTTATTTGCATCATTGTTTATGCGGACAGTAAATTATGTTAAAAAATGATTTCTATTCGCATCACATTAGAAAATAATAAAAATTTAATGAATTGGAAAACGTGTTCATCAAGTGTAAACTATTTTTTTTCTTTTATTTTTATTCACAGATTTAAAATTGGTTATACCTCGTCCTTGCTCAGGCCTAGCTGTAAAATACAAAACGGGATATATTTGAAAGTGTTTTAATGATATTGGAAAGCATAATTGATTCTCTGCTGTTTATCAATCATTCTTTACATAATCACAAGGATCTTTTGATCTTTTCATAAGTATTCATAGATATTTATCATGTGCCGTTTAATGTTCATAGCATTTCAATGTTTTGTCATTGCATTATGAGTTTGTGAACTAAAATATTTGAATATTTGTTTGCGTATACGACGAACAAGACAGAATTCTGCATTTGTGTAAACCGCGCTTACGGTTAGTTTTTTTCTTCATTAATGATAACACATAAAACATTTATAATTTACACAGACATCAACATAAAATGAACATCCAAAATATTAATCAAGAGAAAAACATGTAGTTAGTTTTTGGGGCCAATAAACATCGCCCCATTCGACACTATGATTCCCACATGATCCATTAGCCGACATCACAAACTAAATTCTTTCAATATGATTTAAATGATGTTGAAACAACATAATAAGCAGGCTTGATATGTGTTATTAAATATCATTATCAAGTTACTTTTCCATTATTATTTAACTATAATTTTCAACTTTTCGAATATTAGAATGTGATGATTTAAAATTTATTTAATTAAATTAAAATGAATCAATATGAACAAATTATCAATTACCTCATCACTACCACTTCCCATTAACAACAAATCAAATGGAATGGCTGCCACTAAGTCTATGAGAAACCATCCGGTCAGATAATGGATTGCAATCCGTCCTGGATGCGATACGACTTCATCCTGACCGTTCACGAATGTTGTACGAAAGTTTATTAGAATATCTATCACAAACGTTACATCAACTGCAAACGGAAATTTATAAAAGAGAATTTGAATTGTAAATTTGTGTTAAATATGTCTTGAAGTGTATAATTTATTTACCTATCAAGTCTACTACCTGAAGATAATCATCACCAAAGGAGGTGCTCTTTCGCTTATTATTGCGCCTATCAGTCGGTTCGTTGAGCAGAAAAGCAGCATAGTAGGGCGTAAAGATTGCTGTATACATAACAAGGAGAAGAATGATCCAATCCCACACTGCCTTAAAAGGCGAATAATGAAGAATTGTCCATTTATGAACCATAGGACTTTGTAGTTTATATTCTGGTAGCACATCTGCTCCTAGAGACAGCACCTAAGAAACACATTTAAGAACGAAACTCATTTGAATTATTTCTTCGCAGCATGATAATTTTGTTTTCTTTATTTCAAAAAAATGTTAAAAAGAAAATTGTGAATAAAAAAAATTAAAACAATTTATCGTCGAGTAATTATTTGCTTTTCTCAAATCATCAACAAGTCAAAAATCTCATTAATTTTAAGTTCAAAGCTTTGACATTGTATAGATATTTATGTACAAAAGGAAAATTATTTTCTGATGGTGAAAAATGTTGGAAGAATTGTTTTAAAGTTCAAAAGTCGGAAGTTCTTTATTGATGATTAATTTAATTATCATGAATTATTTATAAGAATTTTTGATAGCCATCATTAAGTTTATGACTGTGATCACAACGCCAGATCAGTAATTTATTCCTTAATCCTATCAAATTCCAATTAAATGAATAATATATAAATGAAATCGCATCCAAACTGATTTGATTCGAATGATTTAAACTTTAAATCGTTCTTCGATGATATAATTTCATTAAAAACCTTTTTATAATTCTCGTCATCGTGCGTTGCTTTCAACGGATAATTTTCATCGTTCTGGAAGAAAATAATACGAAGAGCAAAAGGAAATAGAGAAAAATAATAAAAACGTAATATTTAAATTAGAAAAAACGAAATATTGTTGCAATGTGAAATGCAACTATGAAGAACTATGAAGCTGGCTTGCTGTGTGTTAACATGAGAGCTTTTAATGGATTTTAACTACCGGTAGTAATTTTTTTTTGCATAACATTTGACTCAATCACCATCGTAACTTTATGGCATTAAATTTATGAGGAAATTTACTGGTTTTTCATTTACTTAGTTGTATTATCATCAACCATGGAAATGAACATCGAATTTCAACAACTTTGCTTTGATGTAGTAAGAAAATATGAATCAAGCTTATTCTTTCCTGAAGATATTTTTCCCTCTAAATACAAACACAAGTCTAAAGTTTCTTCAATTCGTCACATAAATGTAAAAAATGTCGAGATAATTAAAACAAGTGTGGGTGTTTTATTTTATGAAAGAAAGAGATTTTCAACTGTTTAAGATTAAAATTTAAGCGTCGTTGTGCTGTTTTCGAAATGAATAACAGTGTTTGATGGAATTAATTTAACGAGCTCTGACATGACATACAGGATTAATTTAACATTTATCTTGTTGAATTGTTGTAAATAAACAATGATTGAAAATAAACTCTTCATCCAAAAGTACATTTATTTGTATCATGAGCCTGTCATTTGTAATTCAATTTGTTAAATTTGTAATTTTTTGTCAACATAACTTTCATTAATGTATTTTTGTACATTCTTTTCCCATTACTGATCATTCAAAAATCAAGTTTATTGCTTGAGGCGATAAATAATTTATATTCTTTGTTAATGTACTAAAAAGTGAAGCGTCAGATGATCTGTCAAGAATTTAATTGATTTATCTTGGTTTTCAATTGTTCTATAAATCATGAGTTCGGTTAATGAAATTATAAACAAATGAGAATGTTCATTTGTTAATATTTTGACCCTTTCAATGTTACCTCTTTTCCAATGCCAACTTTCTGTTCCGCGGGACACAAACCATTCAAGTTCAAATTTGAATGTATGGAGACATGATTTTCTACTTTCATTGAATTCTTTTTCGAGTCTGTAATTCTAACACTTGACCATTTTTCCTGTCCCTTTTTATAAAAAACAATACAGCACAATTACCACATCATATCTAAATATCAACAGATTGATTTGCAAATTCTCATTTCGGAAATGAAACGTGATGAAACACAATGCTCAAATGTACAATGATAGGAAAATCTTCTAAGTTTACCGAAAAAAAAGTCAACAGTTTGATTTTGCATTGTGTCAACAGTTTTTTAACTTTTCACGTAGATGAGTAAACTTCTCTGCTGTTCATTTTTCATCATACACTTTCCAACCACACATGCGCGCTTATTCAGCAAAATCTTTTGCGACACAAAGAGAGAAGCTTAGAGAAATAACTTCTAAGGAATTATGGCATAGCACACAACCATTTAATCATGGATGATGGATTCAATTTCTTTTTTCTTCCTTTTCTCTCTTCAATTCGTTCTTACAACTTGACACGTAAATCTCATTGGGGCCTGAATTGGTTTTTTTATAATAAGTTACACAAAATCAAGAAAATTCCCCTCAATGATTGAACTTGTAAAAGTATCTTGAAAACTGAGAACTTTCTTATTGAAAGTGTGAAAAGAGATGACGAGATGCTAATTGGTGGTTATTCTGGTCTCACTTTGAGGCTATTTAAATGAACACAGTTTTGGGAAAATCATTTTTCTCTACACATGATATTCACGCAATGTTTCGTGTCAAGGACGAATGATTTAAAACATGCAGGCGTCCACTTTCTAAGTTTGAGATTTTTATATTTCTTCTTTTTCCCACTCATGTTCTTCTTCTTTCAATACAACAATTGGAGCTTTGCGGCTTAAGAGCTTTCTTTAGATTACATTCTTGAGGATAACATAAAAATTCTATAGAAATTTCTTTGAATGTCGTAAAGCGTTTTCCAAACAATTGTCATTTACATAAATTTCTTGACTGACTCGTGTCAGCTTTTAAAGCAAAACGAAAATTTTGTAGCTGCGAATATTGGTAGATTGTTTGGAATATTTAATTTAAGTCTTTTCAGCTATTTATTACATGACTAAGATATTTTTTTGTATTTACCATGAAAAAGCCGCTAAAGGAAATTTTTGTAATATTCATTAGTTTGTTATCATCAAAACATCTATCTAAATACTTCCCACGTAGGTCATTTCAATCGATTTTTTTTCCGAAAGCTCTTTGTGTTGGTCTTGATTCATTCATTCATACATTCTATTACTTTGTAAAGCTTTGCTTCATATTTTTCTTTCATAATGTGATTTCCATGAAAACTGTCTGTTTGTGTGAAGGAAAAAAGAAGCAAAACAAAATTAATTAGAATGGAATGTAAGTAAATTCAAATGGAAAGTTGATGAAAGTATTCTGTACAAGTATCGTAATGGATGAAATTAAATTATAGTCACAACAACTCATGATTTGGGTAATATTTTTCTCCTTCATTCGCTAACAAAATGTGAATAAAGTTGAAAGCTTATGTGAACATGATTTCTCACTGGAATTATGGGTACATAAAGAAAGCATTGAAACATTAATTTTTCATGAAGCTTTAAACCTCCCGTTTCATTTCTTTCACTTGAATAATGCAAATCAACTATAATTATAACGATGTCAACCGAGTCTGATGTTAAACTTTGTTTTAAGCTTTATTAAAACAGCAGACAACAGAAAATTCTCGGTTATCGACTTTTAGTTTCAGGAGTACCTGAAGATTATACGGCACTGATTTATTTCGATGTTCACTATTAAGTTTTTGCGATCGCACATAACTTCGCGATGATTTCGCTTTGTAACTTCCTGAATCAAACGAAGTGCCAGTTGATGATCGCGCTGTTCCCGCATCATTCGTTGTAACTATCAACGGGATGTTGGTTTGGTCTTGTAATGAATGTCTACTCATTTTTATTAGACTTAAGTATGGCATATATTCCGATTTTTATATCTTTCAACTTCACAGTTCACACACAAGCACGCATTGTTTGATGATTATCGGATAAAACCGATTTTATGTGTTTTATTTCTTTCTTTCTTTCTTTGACGAGTTTCGAGTTTTAATACAATGGAAAAATTATCAATTTTAATAAAACGAGCTCATTCCGTGATCATCTCGATTCCAATTTGAACAATTATTGTTTTTCTGATTAATTATTCATAAATTAAACCAATATCGGTTTGTTTATTTTATCTTTAGAAAACATCACGTTTAGCCTGAGTGCTTTATGTATATGTTGGAGGATTGTTAACCTCCTGGGTAAAAAGCTTTCAACATAGCCACTCAGCTTAGTTGTACTTGTTTCGACCATTAAATCTGTTGAACACTTCGTGTCTCCATTATGTCTGTTAGCTTTTATAGAAAACTGTAAATCTATTTGTATCCCACTCGGAAAACATAAAGAATGCACTTTATTACTGACACAGAAGGAAGAGAAAAACTAGGCTAGGCTTTTGCCGTTGGAGTCAAAAATTCTCATCTGGGAGATTTGTCCGAAAAAAAATATTTTTGCGACGTTTTTTTTACATCAATATTTGTTCTTGATTAAGAAGAAAATTGAAAACATTTCGTTCACTTTTATTTAAGACATTCAATCTTTGCACTATTTCGGTTGTTTTTTGATAAAATTTTTATTCATTTCGTTATTCTTTTCCTGCTTTTTTTTTCTTCTAGTCAGGAAGAAAAGTTTTTTCTGGTTACTCCATTTTTGAGAATGAAAAAAAGAAACTAAGCGATTTACAAATTTTACATTTTGAACTTATTTCCGCAGATTTTTTGTTAATTTACGACTCTTATGAATGATTCATGAATGTAAATTGTCTCTATTGAAAATGATTGAAAGTATGTTTGCTCATTTTGATGGTAAAAAAGCTATTTCACTAGTCTCGACTACCGTTTTATATCTCTTATTCGTATAAGCTAAAAATCGACTGAAAGGAATTTGTGGAAAAGAATTTCTTCTCTTCTCCTCCAAGTCCTTGTTCAGTGGAAAGCTGCGAGTGTTTTATTTTTCTCGTTTATATATGATTGTGTGTGTGTGTTTATGTTTCCTTGCTTCTGAAGCCTGATGCTATATCGCGGACGGATTCCAATGATTTTTATTTAATGATAATAAAGTGATTCTCTCTATCATAAACATTCTCTTTCAGAAAGCTTTTCTCTGTTTCTCTGTCTCTCTTTTTCAATTTTGGAAAGCTCATTAAAAATGAAATGTTAGAGTTTATTACATGTAATGATCAATATTTGTAACATTGCATGTTTGATGATTTCCCAAAGTCCATAAATTATTCGCTAAGGAAGTCATTAAATGTGGGAACTTTGTTAGATGTTATTTACTGCCGCTATTGAAGCAAGCTTAATTGCTTATCTCCCAATCATTCCAGTCTACTTTCCAGTGAGAATGAAAGCTCAACGAGAGCTTTTATGTAGAAATATTGGAAGGGTTATGTATAAAGTTTCACGTCGCCGTAAATTTCCGTTTCGTATAAAAGTAATAAGTGAGAATATTCAAAGTTTCTTTTATCTATGTGTGTATATCAGACACAAAAAAATGTTGAGACTGTTTCAATGAATCAATAGGCGCCAATAACATATTCCCTTTCAAAGTTCTATTAAGGAGAAATAAAAACCAAGATAAAGCATTATGACTTGCCCCTAACAGTGTCAGAAGTGTAGCGGTCGTTTAAATAAGTGATCGTGCAGAGAATTGAATCTTTCTCTTCACAGTTTTATCCCATAATGAGTGTTTAAACCGATATTGAATTAATATTATATTTGTTCTCAAATTGAATCTAAAACGAAGATATTTAAAGAAACTAAATAATGTTTGTCATTATAATATCAGCCAATATCGATTAATAAAGTCATTTGACTTTTTTATTTGGGGTTTTCCTTGGAATAGATTATCGAGGCTCGATTGGATTTGCATTTTAGTTTGTTTGTACCATAAATGACTAATTTCCATTTCTTCTTTTTGGTTTTGTGATTTAAGTCAAGCACGAATTCACGAGCATGAGTAAAGAAATTTTGAAATGTTTATGGATTACAAGCCGTCATGAAGCTTTTGCCAACCTGTGCATGTGAGAAATTAATATTCCCTGCTTTATATTCATTCATTTCAAAAGAAAAAAAGTTGTTTACAAAGTATTTCTGAGCATGACGACGTGGAGACTTCCACAAGAGTTCCAAAAGGTGTTGTTCTTAATGTACAAAAGCCACACCGCATTGTATTTCTATTTCTCTAAGAGAATAAATAAGTTGTCGTTGTTCTTACTTTGACTTTTGTGTTAGCTTTGTCGAAATATGCGAAAGCTTTTTTCTTGTTTTACCACTGACTTTATTGATTGTTTCATAAACAAAACAGTTTCATAGCTTTGCTTATGTAGAGGGTTGGATTGAAGAATTAATTACAATTTTAAGTCATTATTCGAGGGAAATTCTAGTGTCGTTCTGAATTCTAATTACTTACAATGTTAAATCAACACTCGGTCTCGTGAAGTGTTTTGCTTTACATTTAAATATCGTTAGAATCTAGCGTTGTTTAAATTTAATGTGTCAAATTTAAAAGCCATAAAAAATGGAAAAAACAATCATGTTGTCGGTATGAGAGAATGCACATCAATTTAATTTTTTATGCATTTATAGTCCAGTAGGATATTTAGCAGACACGTTCGACCATGCTGTGAACATATCGCGATTTATATTTCCGAATAATTCAATCAAGGCATAAAAAATCTTTTCTCTTCTCCGTTCGTTGTTGAACTGCTGGAGTTCATAAACATTTGTTATATTCGTGAGTATTGTTGGCAATTTAATATTAAATTTAAGTCGATTATGTGCCGCCATTTGAAACAATGTTCTCAATATCATTCTGTCCACATTATGTGCTCGTTTTAATTATTTATGGCTGGTATAAATGTTTCAGTTAAAACGATTGCCAGAAAACGAATTTTTTTATTGAACATTTACTGAAGGAAAAGGAAACTTTCTAGAAACTGTTGTTGAATCGGATGTAGGCACGAATTTAAATGATTTGTGAATTTTACTTTTTCATTCTTTCGACTTTTTAAGAAATGAAGTTTGCAATATTTCGTGCCGACATTACTTCAATTGCATTCAAAAAAGATTATTACAGCGAGGTGAAGTCAATATTTCAGAATGAAATGTCAGGCAAGAGAGAAAATACCAGCGAAATGGTGGAAAATATGTTTATGTAATTTATAAAATTGTATAAAAATCAATAGAAAGCTTTTGTGAAGCTTAGGGCGAAAGGCAAAAATGAGCGAAAACTATGTCAGGAGTGGAAAAGTGTTATGCGGACTCTTAATTCCTGTAATTTATGTTCATTCTTCCTATGTCTATTGGAATGTGATGACAATTTTCCTTTTTTTGCTTTCCTTTTATAAATCACTTGGATTTTCAAACAAACAATGAAAGCTTTTTTTCCTTCTTAATGTTATGTATGTTTGAAGAAGGAAAACGTTTATTATTTCTCCATTGTAAGGCGATCTTAAAGAAACTCGCTAATGTACCTGTCAGAAGCATTTTGCATGTTGATATTTATTCAAAATAAACATTGAATGCTTTAACTCAACATTCAGAGCTTTCATGTTTCCAAAACTAATTCAAATTTAAATAAACTAAAATACACAAACTATTTTTCAATTTTAATTATTGTTTCTTTTCCCAAAGCTTTGACCTTTAAGCAATAAACATAAAAATAAAGCATACAAAACAAAAAAGAGCATTAAGCAAGCGAAGCATTTCCTTTACCGAGTCACAAGGTAGCATACACGGAGGGAAGAAACTTTTCAACATTCATTCTGATATTATTTGAATCTAAGAGGATTTTCATTATTAACATTCAATTACTTTTCCCTCCGTGCATTTATAAATTCTCTGCCAGAAGGAAACTTTCAAACTGAAACCGGCCTCTTTTTTGGTCATTTCTGGCGTTGAAACCTTGATGTCTGATATGAAATGTTGTAGAGAAACGTGGAACACATATCAGTTTTTTTATTATATTTATTTTTCACATCGTAGGATATTTCTTGCTGTGCCGACTGTTTTCAATATTGATCGCATTAAGACTGGTGAGATAACAAAAATAAATCGAAATTATAAAAAGAGTAGAAGGTCTGGGAGCGACATTGAGGCAACAAAACAAAAGTTAAGGAAAACAATAATCATTGGCTTACAGTTTCCACGGGTTCTGGTAATTTCTTTTCAGACGATTTGCTTCTTCCAAGTAATGACTCCTTGACTCCACCGGCACCATCATCTTCGCTATTTAATCTCGATGTTAACTTCTTCGATATAAAAGAAGGCGAGAATTTCGATCGCTTCGACTTCTGACTTTGTGTATCAGACTTATCATTATGGAGATTTGTGCAAGTGCCGCGTGGCGATCGTGAGAATGAAGAATTTAAAGAGATTGGAAAAATCTCGACAGATTTTTCATTTATGTTAATGACCCTGTTTTCATGACACAAATCTAAATTATAGCCAATGAAATTCTCGCCCATCCCACCACATTCATCATCATCCATTGTCATATTTTTCTGTTTTGTAATTCGATTGTTTCGTCTATTCGGGGATTTATCATCGCTTTTATCCTTTTTCAATTGTAACAATGACTTTTTAGGCGGCGTTGAACCTTTCCATGATGTTGATCCTTTCGATGTGGGCTCAATTATCTTAGGATGGTGATTGCTCTTGTTAATGTTAATGTTGGGAAGCGTTGTTAAAGATGTTTCACAGATATTTGTATTCTCGTAATTACGACACGAACATTGTTTTCTTCTCGTCTTTTTCCTTTTATCTGATGTCTGTTGTATCTGATTTTTGTTACTAACATCGTTTGACAAATATTTGTCCGGATCAATTTCCTCTTTATGGCCATAAAGGTCGTTGTAAGATGTTTGTATTGTTTTATCACAACAATTAATTGTCACCGCTGGTGAAAAGTGATGTGAGAGTTCGATACATGATTCCACAAAATCTTCGCACTTATCATTATTCAGTTCACAACATTCTGTCAGCTGTCCAACTGCCTCAATAACATCTTGCTCCTTCGGTCTTTTATTATCGATGAGTTTAATAATTTTTGTGTCATTCTCGCGAATGCCAAGAACTTTCTTATGTGCCCGTCTTCGTATCGAGTTTTTTGGAAGAATCTTATGGAGTGCAGATGTCGAAACATATTTTCTTTTAGTGGCATTGCACAAGTCATAATTATAGATTTCATCAAGGAGCAATAGATTATCACAACTGATTGATTCGCATTGATTAAGAAGACTGTCAAGCTTTCTAATGTCGGCTAATTCTATGCATGAACTTGCTTTGATACAACCGCACGATATGCTTTTGCCCAATTGATGTAATGTATGACTTTGGCCATTACTTGACGGTTTCGTTGAATTCATAATCTCACTTACAACTTCGCTTTACTTTCTGTTTCTTGCCTTTTATTCCCCTTTCTGTCTCTATCAATGTTTTACATTTGAATAAATTATTTTTCACTCGTATTTAGTAGTTTAATGTAGATTTGATTTAATTTTATTTGATTATAATTTAGGTTTTTAAGGCATTCACGATCACTTCACAATTCTTTAGTACTAACAACACGACACAACATTTGATTTTATATGTTTTTAAAGGCTTTTTCTGTTGACCTGAAGCCTTTGAAAACTTTTTTCAAAGTCGTTTCCTTTATAATAAACTCACAAATTATTATATTTTTTCGTCTCTCTAGTTAATGTTTAGTTTGTTGTTCATATTTCTAATGTTACGCTTTAACATCACTAAGAAATCATATTTTCCTTTTTCTTTTCGCTGTTGAGCCGATTAACTATTTCGTTTTGCTTTCTGTTTTCATTCTCATTTGTAAAAAGTAATAAAAAAAGAAAGAAAGCAAAATAGGGAACATTTTAATTAAAGTGAAAGGATTTCAATGGCGACTTGAAGAGCTTTTTTTCTTTTTTTTTTATTCCCTCTCCCTATAGAACAGCGTTGGTTCATTTGCGTAACTTCGTTTAAGTGGCTTGGGAAAGTTTTCGATTTATTCAAAGCCTTGATGAATAAATCAAAGTTTTCTATTCAAAATAGTGACTTAGACGACAATTGATCATGAAGTTTTATATTCAATTATAGTTCTACAACAATCTTACAGCTTTTCAAACTTTCCAGAAGTATTTTCAATTTAAGTTTTTTATCAGCATACTTTGAATGAGTTTGTAATCATTCGAGAGTTTATTTCATTTGAAAAAGGCGAGAATAATTCTTTCCATATAAACATAACAAAGCTTTGACTTTAATGTGTGTGGATAGTCTCATATCAAAAAACAAGCGATAAAACTTTTTTTTCTTGTTTTACAAAGGGAAGCGGAAAGTATCATTAACACACTTTTAAATGAGAAAGACGGGAGAGGCTTTAGTCGAATGAACATTTACAATTCAAAGAAGAACTAAATATTCAGAGTCATCTTGACTTTGTAATGATTCATACTCATGAAAAAGTTAATAACAAAGAAGTCAAGTGAATTTTAAGAGAGTGACACTAATCCCGACTTAAATTTATTATCAATTCATTGAGATTCGTCTCCCATTTTAACTCTTCTTCTCCTACCATTATTCTTCACCGACAATGTTCTGTTTTTAATACAACAAAATTGATTTTTTATGATAAAAATTTCAATTAAATGCCACTAGTCATAAAAGCATGTGTGTGGCTTGTATTAAAATGTACGTAAAACTAAAGTCATGCTTGCATTTCCTCGGTATTTGCCTCCAAATGTACATATGATACATGAAAATCCATATTTTCTTTCATAGTCTTTTTCTTTACGGAAAATATACACATGCCCTACTTTTTCTGCTCTCGCCAAAGCCTCTTTTCCCAAACGTATACATTGCACATTAGATATGGAATTGCATTTTTTTTTGCTGTTGAATAAGTGTGCTAGACAATGGAAATATGTTATTGATTTGAATATTAATAAAATAAACTTCCAATTAAGTTCACTTTATTAACTATATTTGTTTACTTCATTATATTATGCCAAGTATGTTGGTGAGTCTTGTTTTTCAACCTCTAACAATATCACACGATATTTAATGTTATTTTCTATTTTCTTTTGTTGCCATCGTCTTTTGTTCAGTTCGAATTTCACTCAAATAATTATTTTCTATCAATGATGGAAAAACTTTCGCCTCAATCGCATTCCGTCGTCATCCTTTGTTATTTATTTCTTTTAAAGATCCTTGAAGAACTGATTTTCATTGTAGTCATTTAATAATCTTCTAGATATATTTATTAAATAAAAACTAACATCTTTTATTCACTTTTCAATTTTGTTTCTAAAAGTTTTTACACAATTTTCCTCTCAACAACTTTTCAGTTCAATTTGATAACAACATTAACAATTTAACAGCTTCGACTCTGGTCGATGTTTCGAAGTATTTCCCAATTGGGAATTATTTAAAAAAATTGGAAATTTTTATTTTAAGTATGCCGTTGGATATTTTTGGGCGACTTTGAATACGAACAATTTTCATCAAAGATTGATGAATACAGAAATTCAAAAACACAACATAAAAATATTCCACTCGACATTCGAAATCAAACTTTACACATTGGTGGTTCTGTTTGCACTGATTTCACTCTTTCATGCTTTTTGCACTTTTTCCACAATATTCACATACAGTTTTTCTTTTCCGTCTAGTGCCGCTGTTTCAATTCGCCGACATGAAAGACTTTGTATCCTAACAGCTTTTAAATGTGTTTGTTTAATTATTACATGATGTCACACATACTTCCTTACACTTCGGAAAGCTTTCATGAAAAGAAAAGCTTTTATGAGTATGAGTGCAGCGAGTTTTCATTATACTTTTCCAATACCAACAAATATTCAAAGTAGATTTTGCGAAATTTCCCGAAGTCTCACACATTGTTACACAATATGTATACGAATGATGAAAAGTGCATAAAAGCACATGAAAATTTTTCTTATGTATTGTTGTTGCTATTTCATGTAGATTTTTTTGTAAAAGAATTTCTTTGTTTTCCTCAGTACACTGATTATGAAAATATTTAATAATGTTGAAGTAGTAAGCCTTCTGCGTTTCTTAAGCTTTCAGGTCAAATATTTTTCAGAATTTTATGTGACAGAACTTTGGCATTTGGTACTTGTTTTGAACTGAAAGATTTACATAAACCTATGCCATATTTTTTACTGATTCAGAAAGACTTAGATAGCTTGTTCAAAATCATATATTTATTCCTCCCAAACAAGCCTTACATGCAAACTTGTTAGATAGATTTCTAATAAAAATGTTTTATATATCTACATTTTTGACATTTGTATGTTGATACGGATTTGTTCAACTTTTGATAACTCATGCTGCTTATTTTTTTTATATGTTTGTTTTTACATTTCTTAGATATAATAGGTAGACAACAACAGACATTTTTTGTGACATTTTAAATAGATTGATTCGAGAAATTTCAATAATGTAGAACATTGTTTGCCTTTTGTTTTTATTCGAAAGTTAAAATAACAAAAAATGCACTTAAGGACTTTTCAAGTATGTTTTAGTGCAATATTAGAGTTCTAAAAGTTGAAGTGCCTGACAACATTTATTAAACCTTTCATGTTTATTGCTACATATTTATGAAGACGTTTCATGATCACGGGCACAAGGGAAAACAACACATTTAATAACAACAAAGCCGTAGAGGAATGTCGCCATTATGGATTTTTTTTTGCTGTAATTGAAATTGTTTCCTTTCCCATACATAGGTTGACACGCATCATTTATTAATGACCTGCTTAAGATTAGTAACATGATTGACACAATAAATGAAACTTGATAATTATTATTTGATTGAATCAATAAAATTATTGATTAATTATAATTGATTTTAAACACGCTGTGCTTTTAATAAAATTGAATTCAAGTTAAATCTTGATGCCAAAAATGTATTACGATTTATCATAACGATAAATTTTTTCGCTCGACATAAATTAATATTTTTGTTGTCTTCTGTCAAAACAAAAACACTACAAGGTGTAATTAAATAATTCTTTCGTAGCCAAATCGGACATTCATTAAGAATATTAATGTAATTGTACTACCTTGACTCTCATTTTTATATTTTGATTCATGATTCAAAATCTCATTTAATTCTTTTCCTCACAGATTTTAATTCTCAGATGCATTGGAAAAGGATGAAAGCGTGAAGGACTTTTGTTGATGCTTTTTGTGCAAAAATCTCATCGTTTTTAATTAATTGTTGTCGAGCTTACAAATTTCATTTTGTTTCAGCTCCAATTTAAGAAAATATTTTATTATGCGATGAAAGGTCGATATCAAAGCTTCTTCAAGAGAAAAGCAAACTTATGTAGATGGATTTAATTAACGAAAGGGACTTAGTGTTGTTGCAATAAAATAATACAAGTCAACTATGTTTAGAATGAAAAAGAACATTTACCTGTGCTACTTTCTCCCCAACATGCCCCGTTCGCCCTGTTCTCGTGCCCTGAAAGTATTTAGCTGAACCATTATCCTGTAATAACACGGCAGAAACAAACAAAGTACACAAAAAGAGAACATTCTTAAGTCCACATTTCGTTTTTCGTTTTTTTTTTTCATAACAGGCGCTGCCTTCTTCTACTTGTTATTGTCATATAATTTTTTACATACAAATATTTGATATGAATGATGAAAAACAAATTGTCTTAAAAAGCACTGGTTCGGTCAGCTTTTGTCATGTTTTTTGTGTGTTTCTGTTGCTGTTGCGGAAGAGAATTAAAATTGCTGTTACGAGTATAAAAGTTTTGCCATGTGCATGGAAGTTTCTCTGATGATTGTTAATCGCATTAAATGAATCTTCTTAAAAATCTATATTAAATCGCTTGAGCACAAAAATTTTGAAGCATGCAGTGGGTTACAAATTTCTTGCATTCTCGATTGAGGAAATTTTTGTTAAGCATTTAAATGCAAAATGTTTGAATCAAAAGTCAAATAAATTTACCTTCGTTTTCGCTGAATCGGAAGGCACATTTGATAATGACGAACTCGCTCTCGTCTCGTTACTTGGATGCTTATGAAGTGTGATTGCTTTGTATCGTTGCAAGTCACTCTCACTGGAAACATAGGGGAAGTATTGTCGTACAGCTTTGCCACTTGGACCTGCTTGTTCATGAACAAAATGAAAGAAGAAATTGAAAAAGAGAAGAAGAAAGAATTTTCAAGTTTAATTACAACTTTAACTAGACATGAGATGGATTAGATTCATACTGGGAGATTTAAAGAAAAGTGCTTTTGACATTCTACGATTTGATCAATCTTAAGCTCAACAACCCTTACCTTGAACAAACGAGGAAAAAACTCATAAATAAGCATGCTATTGAAATAGTTATAAAAGTGGAAATATATAACAAGTCTACTCTTCAACAGACATACATTCATATGAAAGTTTCATAAACTTTTAATCATTTTCAAAATCGAAACATATGCAATGAAAGCTGCTTGGCTGTGTATGTAGAAAAAATAAAATTGCGGCGTGCAAAGAAGCTTTCAGGTGTCACTATTTGTAGACGTCGTATGAAGGTTTCGAAGAGTTCTTTATCTTAAGTAACTGCCAGACCTTGACACTTAAATTAAACTTCATCAGAGATTTTACTTTCAGTTAAGTTCAAATTTCTCATTAAGCGTGTTAAGAAACATTTCGTTTTTCCAGACCACAACCAAAAGCATAAAAAAACGATAAAGGAATAACACGAAAAATCGAAGAAATATTTGCTTATCAGTATTATATAAACTACAATCTAGTTTTTCATTTCTACGAGTAAATGGCTTCTAATTTCCTTAACTTTTACTTTCTAATTCCTCACACATAATTGACGTCATCATTTTTTTCTCTCGCTTCATCAAAAGCTTCTTACTGCGTGTTCATTTCCTGCTAATGGTGCCCTTCACCCAAAAAATAATAATTCTCAAGCAGCCAAGGTATAATACACACACTAGTCAAGAAATATTTATGGCTATTACATCGACTGACTTCTGTACATGAGTCGGTACATAAACCGACAAAAGCTTTGACTATGTTCGATTTTTTGTTTTCTTCTCTCTTTCTGTGTTCAGGAAAAATTACTTAATAATATTAATCACAAATGAAATCGTTTTATCAATTAAATATTAGCATATCTACAAACATGAATTATTTATTGGTTTACTTAAAAGCTTAGAAAAAGTTGATTATTTTTTTTAAATTCGGTTAACACACAAATAAGCTTTTTTCATTTTCTTAATCTTCTTAAACCTTTCTGGGTGAGATTTCTAGGGTTTCGGACGAACTTTTTCTTCATTTTAATCTCAGCTTTTTGTGTGCGATTAAATATAAAAATGTGCAGCCTAAAGTTATTAAAAAAAAGTGAAAGAAAGAGAAAAAGGGAACGAAGGAAAATCTAGAGCTCTACAAAATGATGTTTGTGATTTGTTAAAGTATCCGTTTTCAGCATGTCATGTATTCATGCAAAACGTTTTATCCATTTGTTTGTTTCTTTATTTTTTGTTAATTAGAGTTGAAAAGAAAGAATAAGCTTTTTTGATTTTTAATTCTACGGCTAATCTACTGTTATTTACTTTGCATGTTTTTCGAATGAAACTAATCTACGAGAGCCGATCTTCGTTTCAAATCTAACCTGTCATAAAATCATCAATCGTATGAGCTCGAGTTTCCGTAAAAACGCTCCGCAATCGTTTGGTGAGAATTCGTTCGTACGCTGGTAATAATAATTTGGCTTGTTCTGGATCTACATAAATGGGAAAGCACATACACACACATAACATAACATCAAACAAACAAACATACATTCGATAGACATTTCTTAATATGCTTCATCTTTGATCACTTTCCTTAAAACTAAAATATTTGAAGCTTCTCTTAAAGTTATCATCTATCTAAGTACTTCATACGATTCAATCTCTTCCATTTCAAGTTAAAATGAGCTTTAATTTTTTACTCTTATTATGATGAAAAATGGTGTCAAAAAATAGGGAAAGGAAAAATCATCAAATTTCTGATAGATGAAAAGAATTTTTTTACACATAAAAAGCTTATCACAGAAGAAAAAATGAAAAATGAAAGCAAAAACAAAAATATTTGAGCACAAAAATATTACACAACGTCTCCACCACAGTTATTTATAGAGTTAACAGCAAAATCAACATCGGATAATTCTCAATCAAAGAGAAAATGAAGAAAGAGATTTTTACCACCCGGGAGGGAATTTAGATTATTTATTGTTGTTCTATGGGTCAACGTACATGCTTTTTGATATTAAACAAGAAGTAAATTGACCCTTAAATTGAATTAACCTAAGCATTAAATACAAACCTTTCGTCTCGAAATCTAAGCTTTTCGTCTGTTGAAACTCTGGTTTCATAACAGTTGGGTCAGCTTGTGGATAAACCTACCAATAAGGAAACTTAATGCTTACAATTTACTTACATACATCACTCTTAACAAACCTTATTTGTACTAGTTACATTTTTGGTCTCGTCAGTTCTTATAATTGGTTCTTGTTTATGCTCAAAGTCTTTAGTTTTAATTAAAGCTGGTGCCGAATTGTTATCCCAACCCGGTTCAATTCGAAGAACCGTTGTTTGACTGATTTTGTCACTGAAAATTGACATCATCACAAGTGGTGACAAATGAAAGAAAGCATCAGATGTTACCTGTTTGTATCACAATGAACGATAACACGTTCAGAAGCTGCTTCTTCTTCTTGTTCGGTTGCGTCAGATGGCGGTGTGAGATAACCAGCTAATCGGTGGCCTCGGTCGCGCAAAGCCATATTTCCAAAACGAAATGATTGTCGAAAGCTCGCTCGAGCTCTACCGACTACGAGAGGAGAATTACACTCTAATAATGTCGTCAAAAATTAATAGAAAAGCTTACATTTAGTGAGCTTAATAGGTTCATTTTCTTCTGTTGTTGAAGCTGTTTCCCCGGTTTGAGGGTCCGAAAGATCCTCAAAGTTAATTATAAAAAATGAAATATCATCTACTTCGGAACGTATGGGAGCTATTAAGATGAAAAATTTATAAGATTTCCATCAGTTTATGCATGAATTGTCATTCACTTCAACCTACCTATGACTTCTGAGCACAGAAACTTTTGACCTAAAAAAGGGAAGGAAATGAAAAAGTTTTAATGTAAATTTGAAAGAATGAAAAAGAAATTCTTTGACTGCCAGTAATTTTCAATTATTTTCTTACATTAAGCACTTGAAGAATTGAAAATATTCACAGCGGTTTCAACAATGTCATGACGATAAATCCCTCATTTCGTGCAAATGAGTCGAGTGAGAATATGAACGCTGTTGCATTCTGATGCAAATTTATCCAATTATAGAAGGCACAGAATGTAAATTTTGAACTTACCCAACTTACTTGTCAAATCATCGCAATGAGATTTATTCGTTTTAAATTAAAAATTGCTGCAAATATTTTTTTAATTAAAAATTAAAAGTCAGGCAAAATGTCAGGAAAAATAATTTTTTCGTTTTTATTAATCTTTTTCAATATCATGTGGATTATAATTTTAACACGCACACGCACATAAGTAGGAAAATGTTTTTGACTTAAAGTGTTAAAGAATTTAACTTGCTAGACACTTTCGGTTTCATTGTAATTAGAGAGGAAAGAAATTTCATGTTTGGTTCTGGAAAATGTTATCAAAATTTATAAATTTCAGATTTTCACAATTTTCCGTGCATTATCATTTCCTTAAACTTACGATCAAAGTTCAGTTGGTACTAAATCAACAAATATTTCCTAACCTTCAGTCTTATCTAAAATAAATTGGGGAACAATCAAGCAAGATGATTTATTTTATCTAAACTAAGGAAAGATTATCATCATTTAGAGGTTGAGATATGATGTTGTGAATTTAAAGTCAATTGATTTAAGGGAATCTCAATTTTGTGAATTATAGATTGTTGTTTACATGCATGAACATACAACTCTTCAACTTGAAATGAAATAGACAGATTTCTAATCATTTTACATTAATCATCTACATGTGTTTATAATCTAAATTAATAGTTTTGGAACGAAGTTTACATATCTTTTGTTTGAATATTTATTTATTTGGTAACATTAGTCGATATTTTTGCAATAGTTCGATTAGTCATGTTGAGGTTGTCTCGCGATTATTCAAAATGTTTTTGCACCCAAGCAAAGTTTGTGTAACATGAAACCACATGACTGGATTTTCAAACAATATTTGATCAACAATTTATTATTTTCAAACATGTTTTAGCAAATGGTTATTTATCACAATCAACAGACGTTTCAACAACATTAATAACTGCTTTATAAATATTTTTTCTTCCACTTGCTAATATGTCAGATTTGGATCAAAAACTTTTGCTAATTTTTGCAAGTTTCAAATATCATCTCATTAAATTTTAATGGTTTGTAACTCTAACAGAAAAACAAATCAAACAGAAATTATTGTGAATATTTTGATAACAAAATGATTGATAACAAAAATGAAAACATCTTCCCATTTTTTTATTATTCTACTAAATACATGAATTTGTTTTCTTGATTGGCCCACTAAATGATTAAACTCATGAATATGATGCTTTCAATATAGTAAATAAAACATAAAAAATTAAACAAATTAATGTTGTGCAATCATCAATAACCGATGCGAAAAAAAATAAAGAAAAAACGAGTAAAATTGTACTCAATAAACTTTTGGCTAGTAAATCATTATCATTGGAATTAATGTCATCAATTAGTTATAAACTGATGAAACAGAAGGTTTTGGTTGTAATGACGTGTATCCCGATTGTCCAGGTGAACCTTCATCGTCATTATTTCGTCGCCAAAAGCAACACATCTTCTTCAAACTCTCACCAATTGTATCATCATCATCAACTTCATCGCGAAACACTCCATTTGAAAAATCATTTAAGTTAATCTCACCTATAAAGCGACGCAAATCACTTTGCGGGAATCCTTCGATATAATATTTCTTAATGGTATCGTAGGAATCCATAATCACCGAAATGAAAAGCGATAACACGACGTAAATGTAGAGACTGATGAAAGTGTAGAGATAAATACGACAAAACCACCAAAGCACTGTCGATTTGTCTGACATTATAGTGAATGTTGCAAACATATCATCACCGTTAATCAGCGAGAAGAGACATTCGGATGTTGTTGAAAGTGAACGGAATTTTATGTGGTATGGTCCAAGGATTAGCCAACCACAGAATGTGAAACCAGCATAGATTAATAAAGCGCAGAGTAGGAAGCGCCAAATATGTGGTAAAGCTTTCTTCAATGTGAGAATTACGACATTGTATGTTTTAAAGAATCCGAGATATCTCAGCACACCAAACCAAACTAAAAGATTTCCAATGCCAAGTAACAACGAGCAAGTATTCCATTCATCAGCTGCGAAATGTTTTCTTTCAATTTGTTCTTTTATTGCTGATCCTAACACGAGGAGAACATCATTGAAGCAAATCATTATGTACCAGAAATTGACAAATTCCCATCTTCCAGCTCGACTCAACTCTTGTCCGAAGCATTTTAAGAAGAATTCTTCCGTCTTCATTCGTAATTGTTGTGCACGGAAAATTGCACGACCACACAATCCAAATGAAAGCAAACAAATGATGATGACGAAAACATTGAGTGTTGATCGAAGTGCTGAATCAATCTCATGCGTTGTCTTAAACGAAACATCGCCTTCACAAAATAATCGTGTCGGTTCAGCTTCCAAAGACAAAATCACTTGACCATCATGATCAGTATTATCAAATAGAATTGCAATATCAAATTGATAACAATCAGGCGCTGAAATTGGTCCACTTGCTTTTAAATTAATAGTTTTAATCGAAAATTCGATTGTTGTCTTCACAAGTGCTGAGAATTGGATGAAAATGTTTTCCTTATGAAGATAACTTTGAATTCCATCAACTGTGTCGTTCTGTGTCATTATTAAACATTTGACAACAATTTCTGGGTTGAAGACGTAACTTTCATTGAATCCAAAGACAATTCCTTCTTTATATTCATAGAGACAGAACGTAATGTTCCCAACAGTATTGTCATCTGTTGCATAAGAATATGGTCCAATAGCTCTGCTTAGATTTCCAAATCCATAAATTGCATAATCGATTGTATCAAAATAATCTTCAACAGTGTAAACAGACAATGGACCAGTTTCAGGCGGATACGTGCTTACCTAAAACCAAAAAGTAAATTAAAAAACGAATTAATCAAAAAATCATTGACCGTAAAGTATCTTCAAGTTTACCTCCATCTCAGGTGCCCAACCCTTGAGAAAAAGATGCGAGAAAGTGACTCGATTATCCCATGAATAGTTTACATGGTTGTAGCGCGAATGTGCGAACAAGCAGAGCTGAAGTGTGACGAGAATGATCTTAATGACTTGAACAACGAATTTGTAGGGAAATCTGCAATGCGGAAAAATGTCATTGATTTTTTGCTGTTTACATTGTTGTTATCCACTGTTTACCTTCGTTTAGCCTGCCATTTCTCGACTGGATTCATGAAAAAGAACTGAAGTCTTCTTCGCATTTTTGCTTGGTAATGTAGCGAAACTGGGTTTGTGAACAGTGGATTGGAATTAACAGGACTTTCTTCATATTGTAATTGTGATTCAGTCTCATCATCATCGTCTGTATTAATGTTGTTTGTTGTTCCTACTGTATCTTTGTGTCCTTGTGTCTTTCTTTTCCTTCGATGATTTTTTGCTTTTGGACTTTCATTTCGCTTTTCTACTTCATTTTCACTTTCACAACCTGAATTTTCTTCGTTACCAATAAGGTGAGAAGAAAAATCACTCATTTCTAAGTCACTATGCACTTTAGTTTTATATTTTCAATCGAGACGAAGTGAACACAAAGAAACATAAACTCGTACTAACGAATCGATTTGATTGCAAAGTAAGTTCCACGAAAAAATCGCGTTTAAATCAACACAAATTTCGTTTCACAACCTTCCATTAATATTTTTGTGATGTTAATTATATTATGTTTTAATAAATGTTTCGTTTTTATTTGAAAACGTATTGATTAATATTTTATTTTGTTTTCTTTTTTCTTCTACAAACTTAGAAGGAAAAAAATATTTTTACGAATCGGTTTTCTAATCGGTTCAGATAATTTGAAAAACTAAAATCAGTTAAAACTTGTTAAAGATTTTTTGTGACATTTACGAAGTTAGAGTCATCAGAAAAAATCTCGAAGGATGATGTCATAGGCTTTGGATGTGTGAGATTTATTTTTCATCTATAAAGTTTTGCGACAATTCAACTTGTAGGTCGTAAAGCTTCGTGTGATTACGAAATGAGGAAGAAAATTTCATGCGATAAACTGAAGTTGGTAATTTTCTTTTTGTCATCATCTTTGTAAGATAAGCACATCGAGTGTACATTTCACTGGCAGTCATTTATAAAACTATGTACTTCCACTTACCGTCTTTTTTGTAATACAATATTTCAAAATGTTTTTCTTGCCCTTCTTTAAGCGAATCTTTAATATCAGCACAAACTGTCTTCGACGTCAATTCTCTATAAATTTTAATGATAGAAATAAAAGAATTATTCAAATGGAAATAAAAGAAAAAGATTGAATTTACCCATGTAAGAAATCAGTAACTGCATTGCGTTGCATAATCTGTTCAAAATACGATAATAAAACCAAAAACAATCATGACATGAGCTGTCCGGAAACGAGAAAATTGTCATATTAGGTCTCCTTTGGGATACACTCACCTCAGCTCTCGTATAACCTGTCATTTTACAAAAGCCGTCTGAACAAAATATTATGTGACATGAATTCGGTTGATTATTAGCGACAACGAAGCTTCGATCTGTAAACGATAAAATTAATTGTTGATGAACAAAATGTTCATATTAGTTAGGTACATTTGTTTACATTAGAAATTGATTCAATTAATTTCCACAACAATAAACAGGCTGTCAAATTAGAAGAAATAATTCTTATTGACGACCCCGATACCAAATATTTCTCTTGAAGGGACTTCGTAATAAAATAATTGAAACGTTCTATCAGCATCAGTTGATTATTTTAAAAATTTCCTTTTCGAGGTAGTGAAAACTTTCATTGCATGTTTTATTATGTTTAGCCTTTCATTGGGGAATCGTTTGAATGTAAGCCCATTTTTAATATTAATCATTTAAAAAGCTTTGTTTGCAAAGCTTTGTTTAATTCCAACAATCATTTCAACTATATAAATATTGAAACTTACATTAAATAACGCAACGTACATAAAATCTCTTATTTAGGTAAATACATAACTATTTTCACTTTGTATATATGCAGATATCTAACTGTGGAATAAACTTTCTCATCGTTGTCGTGGGAGAAATTTAATTAATTCACTTCGTAGACTATTTGAGGCCAAGGCACTTAGCGATATTATGTCGTTCGTTTCATGTCCATTGGAACGATGTTGAATCATTTAAAATAAAAATGTAGCATGATGTTTGTTATGAATGGAAAATAACTCGTGCAGATGTGAATCGGTATGTATCGTCAATGTCTCTGTCAATTAAAGTTTCTATGTAATTATTAAAACCAGAGAGATGCTACAGAGGTAGGTATTTGAGGATGCAATTCATTTAAATTATAATTTAATGTAAAGGATTAACATCACTTAATCCACAAAAGCAGATTTTCATTTATGTTTTAGTCAACACTGAGCTCCGTCATGTTATCTGAAATTGACCCAAACATAAGTTGAATGTACTTGACATTCGTTGTTAACATTTATGAAATTAATCCCCAAAGTATGCGAAAATATTTATTGATGCATTGCAGGAACAAGAAAAACAAATTGATCGATATCAGATTGCCATTAATGATGCGAACGACGAAACAATATTATTCGCTTTGTTTCAAGAGTAATAAAACTCGAAAAATAAATAAACTTCCTGATTTTATGAATAAATCTAGACTTAAATTTAATGAATGTTCATCCAGGTAATTAATATAATTTGCTTTGCTTATAAATAAATAAAGCTGTAAAGCTTTGTACAAAGTTTCACAATTTCCCTATAAATCTCGGCATTTTATGACACGGATTGGAGTCTCAGTTCTAATATTATTTCGAAGTTTTCACCACATAAATGGAAGTCAAATCTCACGCGCCACTTTGCCCATAAAAGTCTTATTGTTTTGGCATCCACCAACGCACGATTATTTCCAAACGAGACACTCGATGATTAAGATTTTCAATTTTTCGCCATTTTAAGCACATTCTGCGACTCGAAACTTTTCTTTTCCTGAAAAACTAACTTTTGCAAGAAACTAAGAGACAAGACGCTTTTGACACTTATTTTGTTATTAATGCTTCAAATTTCGTGATTTATTAGTTAAAATTCATTCCAACACACAATTTGCCAAGTAGAAATGTAAAATATACATCATTAGGCTTAATAATATTTCTGATCGTTGGAGCGATTTCTTTCGGGCTTCAAACGATATTCTCCTGATTTTGCAAAAGTTCCATCCCTAATAAAGAAGAAAATGTTTAATTTTGTGATATTTCTATGGTTGTTTTAATTTTGATTATGTTACCAGACAACGGGAGAAACGTCAGGTTCATTACAAAAGCCATAGAAATTGTTCGTGCTTGATGCATTTCTATTAGGCTTTATGTACACATTATTCGGATCATATTGGAATTTTCCATCCCAAGCAACAGGAAGGACGGTTGCTTCCTTCGAAAACTCATAATAATTATTCGCATTTGAATCTTCTTGTTTGTATTTTGCATATTCCGCTTGCGTCATCCATTTGCCACTCGATTCTGACCCTTGTGTTTGCTGATCTTGAGAAGTGTTCGACGATGTTTCACCATTGTAGTTTTGCTGACTTTCGGACATTTTTTCTTGATTTTTTCTCTTCCTTTTATTGTTTGTTTTACGAACTTTATTGATCTTTTGAATCAAAATTTTAATTTAGCATTCGCTCTTTGCACGTTTTTATTCCGAGTTGTAAATATTTCAAAAGCACAATAACGACTGAGCGTCGTAGCGAATTGAAAACAGATTTAAAATTAAAGTTTCATCCACCCACCGATGTGGTTTAAAGTAGACTCTCATTTCATCGCCTAATATGGAAAAGAATGATCAACCTGAAACCGCTACAGTGCGAGGGACAAGTTTAACAGCAATAACAACATCATATGCGGAATTGTTAGCATTCAGTTCTGTTGTGTCGCTGGTTAACTAAACACGTTTCAATATCAAGGACATCACATGAGCTAAATATAATTTCGCGCTTAAATAATCGACGAGTACCAAAGAGTAGTTTCGCCATCTTTTCTCATAAATAAAATATCGTCGTGTGATTGAAGCTCTTCATGAATCGATTGTTTACTTCAAATGGCCTTCTCTCCGACTGATAGACCCTCTCCATTACTCACTTTTTTTAAGTAAAGCACAAATACAACGTGATGCAATGTCAATGACGAGTTGAACTTCAACTATCTTGTAAATATGGCTCATTGTGGCGAATGTTTCTCGAATCATATGCTTGTTTGGAATTTTATAATTCTTGTTTACACCCAGCTAGGTAGGAAGTTTTGATGACAAATCGTGGGAAATTATTAGTTTTCAAGCTCGTTTCAAACAACTATTTAACTTCATATTTCATTATGTTTATTATTTATGAAGCATAAAATACATGCTTTCTCCACTGAACATTATTTCCTTACAAAAATTTCCCACTTAGGAATCGTTTAGATTTTGCAAGATTTTACTTTAGATTGTTGGTATAAATCAGGAAATTTTCAGCTTTAAAGAATTTTAATTTAAAATCGTTTTCCAACAAAGCTTGTAAGTGTAACAATTTTGAAGTAATTCATGCAATTGCATGAACAAGTTTCGGTACGAATCATTGATCTTTATCTCAATTTAAAGTCGAGTATATCGTAAATTGAGGATACTTTATTGACATCACACTTAATTATCTGTATTTATGGTGGCAAATATTTACTACTTTAATCCGATTCATTCATGCTGTGAATAATTTTTCAGACCGTAACATGATCGTTTTTATATTTAACAGATTTCTTTTTTTTCGATTCGGTAACAGGTGAGATGAAAATTTCACACAATTTTCTAATAAATTATTATGAGTGACATCATGAATGTTTATCATTAATGTTTATCAAATATTTTTGTTTCATAAAACGAAATTTAAATAAGTAATTTTAAATAAAAAGAAATGTTTGCGTAAACTTGAATCTTTAATTATTTTTGTTTGTTTCTTGTTCTAAATATTTCTTTTTCTTCAGCTTCATAATTTCATGTTTTTTGATTTGCAATGCATGATTGCGTAGATTGTTTTCATTAAGTACAAACAATTTAATTGGCTTCAATCACGGAAAATTGAAATGCGCAATGAGGCGGTTGACAGAAAAGAAAGTTCATTGTGAACCGAAGTTGACGTGAAACCTATTCGACGTTGGTGGTGAACTAGATTTATTGTCCATTTTGTCCCAAATCTATGGTTGATTAAGTTTTTGCAATGCTCTTCATGCAACAATGCATAATTTAGGAATGAACTTTGAGTGTATGGTAGTCTCTGTTTGCGTAAATAAATAGGAATGGAAGTTTCAAAGCAACATGAAAAGACTGAAGCACTCAAGTCTTCCAAACACCATCGCAATATTCATTCCTTCGAATGAAGAAGAATAGCATAGCACGCAATTTGTGTAGAAAATCAATGAAGAATAAATCAAATAAAATAATTAATTATTAGGCTTCGAAGCGGTAATCGAGAGCAAGGCGAAAGTTCATGTAAAGAACATCGACAATGGCGTTTTTGAACTTTAATAAATACATGAGCACGAATTTTCGTGTTTGACTTTTAACATGAAAAAGAAGCTTCGAACCTTGTTGAAGCTATCAAAGTGTTTTCAGCTACCACGAGGAAACGAAATGAAGTTACACTTGTTACAGTCGCAATTTAAGTGTTTTCTACTTTTCATATGCAAAGAGAAAAATAAACAAACTTGACTTGAAAGATGGAATGATCCATTGATGATGCAATCGTTTGTGAATATCATCTGAAATGTTGAAATGAACAATGGCATCCGGATCAATTGAATATCAGATTTCGATAAAAAAGACAAAACATTTGCAGCTGCTGTCATCAATCAATTCAATTTCTATCATAACTTCATTCCTGAATATGAAGTAAATATGAAAACAATGACTGAAAATATCATCAAAAACAAATTTTGTTTTCTTATTTTTCCTACTCAAATTATTCCCCTTTTTTTGGGAGTTTGTCCCAATTTTTTATCCTACGAATTTTAAAGATGACGCAACATATTGAAAAAGTTTGGAAGAAAAATGTATGCGGCAAATGTCTCAAAGGTTTTGAGATCAAACGTAGATGATATGAAAGCTTTCCCTGCAGGATTCTGTTGGTATCTAAATATTTAGAATAAAATTGTCGAGATTACCGCATCATGTTCATTGCTTCTTCGCTTTAAGGAAGAAAGCTTTGGTAGACGGTGAAACAAATTAGAATATCACAAAATGCATTAAAGCGTCTGATTTAACGTTTTCCATTAAGATAAGCAAGTTAAAAAAGCTTCAATCATGAAGTCATGCAAACGATTTTCGATTAAAGACCCCTTTAACGTTTTCTTTAATTTCATTTCATGAAAAAATCGTCACAACAATGCGAATACAAAGCAAAACAAGAATTCTTTTGAAAAGGAATTTTGTTGTTGAAAGTATTTACTGAATAACTGCTTTTTCATATGCAAGCTACAGCAATTTTATGACGACTCGATCAATATTTAACGGATGGTTGTACGCTTTCATCGCTACATAAATCCTTTCACTTTCCTTCTTTTTTAAGCTGTTTTTTTTGGTCTTCTAGATGATGTCGACAGAATTGAAGAGGCAAACTATTTGTTGTTATTTATCGATGTTACAATGTTTACATGTGAATTGTATCGCGTTTTTCTACCATAATGGGTGTAAACGATCAAAGCGTGATACATTTTTCTATTTAGTATTTATTCATCAAAGAGCTTCCATCGAGACCAGAAGGTGAAAAAGGTAATTTCCAACGATAATAAGAAGTCCATTAATTAAGTGAAATTAATAAAAAAACTTTTCCCTCTCCAATAATCATCATAAGTGAAGCTCTAAATGTTTATTAATTGTTTTTCTGAAATTATTCCTTTGTGACTCTTACATTACTGCGATGAAAAAATCAACAAATAAAATAAAAATTATAATTAATACAAAACTGTGTGCGATACATTTGTTTTCGAGGGAATTTCAGTAGAATAAAAAAGCGGCATCGAAGCATTTTTTTCGTCGTCCTCAATGAACACAAAGTCACATGGCGCAAAAAAAACTATGAAGAAAAAATGTATTCAGATATACGTTTATTCAGGAGCTTATATTTATATATTGCGACAAAATAATCAATAGCAGCGGCACGGAAAATTTTCCTACTTATTTCTCTCTCTTGACTTTCTTTTTTTGTAGGAAAAATATTTTTTTGGATTTTCTGGCTCAATCTAGAAACAAAGGAGCAGCAAACAGACTGCTGCAACGATGTCTTTATATGGATATCATTGCTGCATGAAAATGCAATGAAAGGAAACGATACATAGCATTAAAATGTTATAAAATTTATTATGTGCTGCAATGTTGATGGCGCGTCCTTTAATAAATATATTCCTTTTTTTTTCGTTTATTCGGAGCTTTCTATTTGATGATAGATTACGAAAAAAGCAATACTGGCACGAATTTTCTAGAATTTTCTCATTCAAATTTATTGTAACAATTTCCTCATGGAAATTTAATTGATTGACATTTTCCCCTTTTCGATACAATCAACAGGCTAAACAAAAGATCGAATAAATCGAGTTAACTGATTTATGTTTCAATTCAAAATTAGTTTTCATCATTTTAGATACAAATGATCAACTGACACTGATTGATTTTTAAAACAAAGCGGCGCCACATGTTAACAATGAAGAAGGAAATAAAAATTGTGAAACTTTTGTATTGAATACTCAAGAGAAGGCTCCTTAAAGCCTGAGTTGGTTTGTGGAAGTTTTTAACTGTAAACACTACAGAGAAAAGTGTGAAATAAAAAATTAACTCACTGTGGGTGTCGAATTTCCGTATGATAGTCTCGATGAGGGTCGTTTTGGGAGCAACATGCCCCCGTCGAACTCCGCCAGGCATTTTTAAAGCTTACGTTTTATTACAAAAATGGCTGATTGCGTTGATTAAAGCAATTCTTAAGATATGAGATCATACGATAAATTCTGTTGACTTGATTATTCCTTGGATTATATTCTGATGCTAAATAATATCACAAATGTAGAAAGGCAGCTAATTATTATGATTTCTTATTTCACTAATCTTGCAATTCCTTGTTTGAAAGCTTTTAATTTCTACACCAACTACACTTCTTTAATTTTAATTATTCCAAGGAGATTCTCTTGTTTATCTAAGTTTTCTTTCCCATCATGAATTTCACAAGTTAATTAAACATCGTTTTTCACTCTCTTGATGATTTTTTCTTTTTTTCATTTCGATAATTTAACGACTGTAAGTAAAACTGATTGAATATAAAAAGATTAAATTATGATTATTATCTCATGAAATATTCAATGGCACATATTTTTAATGTCTGAGATTTTTATTTTTCAAATATTATATTTTTAAGTGCATACATGTGCCATTGAGAAGATTGCAAAAAATTGGTTTCATTCATTTGTCACGTCACTGTGTTGTTCTTGCTCGTGTTTCTGTTATAAGAAGGAAACTAAGTCAACTTTAGACACGGAAAGCTTTCGTGAAAAAGAATTGTTTCGTTTACTCCTTTTAAGTCAACAACTAAACAATCCGAAAGAATGGCAAAATTCAATTTCCAAACTGTAATTTTTCTTTTGGCAACAAATTGTTTAAAAAAAATCCAACTTTTCAATAACGAAGGAATTTTAAATGTTTGACAAGACATCCAATAAGAATGAAATTTTCCATTTTCCGGAGAATTTCCTTCCGCTTTTGTCTTATGCAAAATTTTATTCCGTCATGAAAAATTTCTTTAAGGTGCTAAAAGGCAAACTCGTAAAACTTTTTCACAATTTTTACCACGTTAAGCTGTGAAAATTTTCTGAAGGAATTCTAAGTAGAAGCAGGCAGTGGAGCGAGGACAGAATATTATATAAATTTCAAACATAAATTTCCACTTTTAATTGAGACATAATTTACTTCTTAAAACACCAGAAGAAAAAAAGCCGAAAAATCAACAATTTAGTTTGTATACTTAAGGATTCTCGTAGAATTCCACTTCAAGGATTAAATTCATATTGTGCAACTTAATGCAATTATAATTGCATCATCTGCGTGTTTGGATATTATAAGTATCAACCAACAAACTGGGTCGTTCTCAACAAATCCACATGAAATACATTTATTGTTACTCTACGTAATGTCACAAATGCTTTTGGATTTACACACTTAAAGCTTCAATAAAACTTAAAATAAAATACTTTTTTGTATCTAACTATGACATTTCAATTTATTTATAATTTTTATTGTACAAGAAACGATAATAAACAATTCTGACCAAACAAAAATTTTATTAGCGACGAAACCAACAAACAAGAATTCTAATTTATTTCAACAGATTTTTTCTTCTCTAAATTTTCTCTCATGTTTCAGGTAGATATAAATTTTATTAACAAGACGACATAAAGAATGAAATGCTTTAAGACAATTTTAAAACTATTAATATGTCGGCAGACATGATCATAAATGGGTCATTTGACTTTGAAAAATTGAACTCGCTCAACACTTTTTGAGTATTTTCATCATGTTCTTCAACCACATGAATTATCGAGAACGGAGAAGCTCCTAATATCTTTCCGCACAATCGCTAAAATCTCCGGTTAAAAATAGAAAAAAGAAATAATTGCCGAAAAATGTTCTCAGATGAGTGTTGAACTATGCGTCAGCTTATTTTCCCTCTACTAATAGTACCGCAACAAACAACACGTGTTACAAGACTTAATTGACCCTTAATAAAAGCTTAGAAATAGATCATTTTCATGATATTATGTATATCAAAATACTGTAAGTCTATTTCATGGACTCTTTCACATCGAGAGTAAACAGCAACGAGAAGGAAGTGTTGCGAGCCTTTCCTAATAAACACACCTCTGTCTATTTACCTCCAACGACGTTACAAAACAGAGAGAGCATGAACAAAAATGAGCAAGAAGAAATCAAGCATACCATTCCACATTTAGCTAATTAACTAACATTGCGAAGACGTACACACAAATGTTTCTTTCGAGTCACGTAAAAGCTCGAGCAAGAAGGTAACGACGAAAAAAGTTTTGCGAAAGAGTGAAAAAGCCGAAGCAAAGTTGAGTCACGCGGCGGCTTTTTTTTCCCTCTATGGTCGGTCAGCTCATAATTCTGACAGATATTTCATAAGGAATTATCGGACGGTTTTTGTTCATTTCACTTTATATTATCAAACAGGAAAAATCGACAATAATGAAAATAACAATCATGAAAAAAAAGAAAAACTGACCTACAAATCACTGCTTTTAAGCTTCTGTTATCGATTAGGACAAGAAATATTTTTTTCCAAAACTTTTCTTTCGAAGCACGAAAAGAAAAACGTTTCTGATTTCGTCTAATTTTGTGTTTTCTTTTAATCTTGGAAATGTTTTGTTGTGTAATAAAAACAAACAAGTAAACAAGTAAACAAATCAGACATTAGATCCCTTAAATATTTGGAGAGTTTCTATCAAATTCAAACTTAATTGCATTAAAATGTGTGGTAAAGAAACTAAGAAAATTCGTGAATCTTAAGGAAAAATAATTTCCTAGTTTAATAAATAATTGTCATTGCAGAAAAATTGAAGCATAAAACTTTCACTTCAAGCAAGCACAAAATTTTAGTTTTCAAAAGTCTTTTTGCATTTTTAATTTCAATTACTCGCGAGTAGAAATGAATTTGAAATACAGTGAACTCTCGTTATAATTTTTTTTCGAAAGGACCGGAAAAAAAGGAATTATAACGAGAGAAAAATTATAACGAGAAAATTTTGTTCCCTTTTTTTTTCGAAATAATTTTCGAAACGTTAATTATAACGAGAGAAAAATTATAACGGGAGTTAATTATAACGAGAGTCCACTGTAGAAAATTATTTGAAGAAATAAAGCAAGTGAAAATATCGTTGGCGTTTTAAAGTTTTAGAAGATTTTCAATTTTTCAAATGTTTCTCATATTTTCAAGTTGAAATGAATTAATTTTTTATGATTCTTTACTAATAATTTCAAAACTATTTCTCACGAACTTTGTTTTCATTCCTGAGTTCTTTGTGACTTGTAAGGAGATTTTCCCTTCGACACATGAATCACAAAGAATTATCAAAGATTATTTTCCTAAGCTTTCAATCACAAACTGCATCATGTTTTGTTGACATTTTATAAGAAATGAGCTCAATTTTATGTTTGTTGATTTATCCTGCTACGTTCCTTCACAATTCATTAAATGTTTGACGTAGATATTTAAAAATCAGCAATATTCAATTCACACATCCCCAACTCGATGTATTTAGTTGATTATATAAAGTTTCCATCAATATTTAATCGTGTTTTTACAACCAAAGCAAATTTGTTATTCTATTCACCTACAAAATTAATATAACTATCATGCCGCACAATTTCAAGATATTTCGAACGTGGAATTTTTTTCCACTTTTCATCTTTTTCCGATTTATTTCCACCGATACTTTTACGCTGAACTATACATAACTTTTCCTCCATCGTTCAATGACCGAAATTACTCAAATGATCGATCTGAAAGCATTTCATTTGCCGTTCTGTCAACAATAAAACGAAAATATTCGCCGCATGATTTCTGAGAAGAAAACTGCCACTTCATTGTCAAATATTGTCAAATTAATTTGAATTTTATGCTCTCTTTCCTGAGTCGTGCCCAGTTCCTCCTTTTCCCAAGCCTTTACATTCTCGATGATAGAAACGACAACATTTCATGGATGTATGCTCGACAAATAAATCGCATGAAAAATGGAAACATTTTCTGTGTTTTTCTTGTGATTTCTGATGGAAAATTTGACGACATAAACACACACACACATGCATAGAATTATTCTCAGCTATAAAGATTTTTCTTATTAATTTTATGATGTTTTTTAATGCAGAAAAGAAAATGTTCCGAAAAATTATTAATAGTCAAGAAGAGAGAGAAAAGCAAAAATTTAAAGTGAAGAGAAAACTTTTTTTTGGCGACCTTTTCACGCCGACGACTACGACTGCGACAGCTATGACGATGGAAAACAACGGCTGTGAGGTTGGAGAACGTGAGATTCGACCAAGACGATAAAGGAATATTTGTAACTGCGACAAAAATAATTTCTTTCTATTGAAAAAAAAGTTTTTTTCCTTTCATTATTGTAAACGGCACGCCGTGCTTGTTGTAGCTGCACGACGACCGAGACCGACTGAAATGTGTACAGAGTGTCGCTAAGGAAAGGAGAATGAAAAAAATGTTAAGGGCTTTAGGGGAATGGTCTTGAAACGATGCGGATATTAAGTCAATGTCATCGGAAATTTCAAACAAATTTTCATGTCTTCAACATGCTTTTCGCGGATTGCAATGTTACATAATATTGAATTTTCACGGGATATCCTTGTGGTCACTTTGCCGATATTTCTTAACTTTCCACGTTTCAGTGTTTTATTTCAGTCAAATATGCAAACAATATAAACTTTTTCTTTATTCCAATTTTGTTGTTCTTTTTTCAACTCATACCTCAAATATTTCGTTTCTTTCATACACTTGCCACAACGAAAACAGCTGATTTTCATAATTCTTATTTATTTTCAGGCTGCGAAAAGCATAATTTCAGATTTTCTTCTTTTTCTATTCAATTTCGTGTCTTCTTACTGTTTTTATTGAAGCAAAAATGAGTTTTGTTGGTGCCATAATTACAAAGAAGATTTTCTGGTCGGCTTTAGCTATTCTATTGTTTGAAAAGGATTCATGTGAAGGGTTGCAATGACATGCAGATGTTGAAAGCGACTTTGTCGTTTCTGCCACCGCACATCTTTCTTATAAAAACTTAAAGTGTTTCCATAACCATGCCAAAACAAATATTCTCGTTTATTCTCCCAAGACTTATGAATAAATGAAAACGATGAAAATACCGAGAAGATGAACAGGGAAATGTTTGACGACCCTGTGAGATTTTTTTGAATGTGATATCATCGTACACAGAGTTCATCTCAGCGACATTTAAGCTGAAGAAAAAGTGCTCATTTAAAGCACTTGGAGACTCTTTGATAAGGTAAGTTTTGAAATGATTTTTGTGGAATTTTCTTCATTTTCTCACACTACATAAATGTAAACATTTTTTATTCGTTTTCACCACTATCCTCAAAACATATTTTCACCGTCATCCTTTCACTCATTTTTCCTTCCCTTACGACTGAGTCTTTTATTTCGTGTTATGCGCCTTTCGAATTAATAAGTTGGCACGCATTTTTTCCTACATTTATCTAATAATTTTGGCCTTTCTTTGCTCTTGTGTGCTGCTACTTCGACTGACCGAAACACAAAACTTGGATCAATAAAATTTTTGTTCAGCAATCTCCTTTTTGCTTCGATGTCTTTTTATGATTTTTTAACTGTTGTAAGGAAGAAATTAATGAATTGAATGAAATATTTGGAATATCTACACAAAATTTTCTTTTTCTTTTTATATTCTAAGACTTGATTTTCATGAAGCTTAGCCAAGAACTCGTGTCGAATCAATTTAATACAATCACTTAGTTTCGCAGAACCCTTTTTCACAAGTTAATTTCACATATAGTTTTTGCCATTTGACAAGTCGAGTCGTGTTGTGAGCGGTGAGCTGTTAACACATACTGCATTGTTTCTTTTTCCAGTAAACACTGACTCACTCATAATATGATGTTTCCCTGCTTTCTTTTCTCTTGAATCTTTAATAATAATATGTTTGCCGCCTTTTTCATTACTAGCATTTATCCCTAAGCATCGAATCTGCCTTTTTTAAGAATGAACATAAAAGTAAATTTTTATTAAATCAGAAAAAAACCTAAAGTGGCAAACACGTTCACCGCCGCTGACGATATAACAAAATTGTTTTTGCGGCTCATATGCCGGAAAAAATACACCATGGAAATGGTTGGATGAGAGAAAGAACGTTTTCAGCACAAATTACTATTGCATTAAACATTTCTTGCTTTAATAAATAGTTAAATAATTTTCGAAACACGACAATAACAACACAAATGAATTCATTTTGCAATCTCCAAGAGAATAATTATTTCCATTGATTTTGAATCGTACAAAGTTTCATAAATTTTTATCCAATTTTCAACTAAGGCATTGACTGAAATTGATGTTTCTTTGTGATATTCATTTTCTTTTTATTAATATTATCATCTATGTAACTTTAAGTAGATATTTTTCGCTGATATATCTATGTAATCATTTATTGCAGTAAATTTTATTTTACGATACGATATTATTTTAAAAAGCACTTTGAATATGAAGCACTAATCACTACGTTGCGTTTTCATTAACATTAAAACTTTTAATCCTTGTCATTGAATGTTGTCCGTTCTCACTAAATATAAAAGAAAACGTTATGCAGCAAAATTTCTACTGCAGTTCTTTTTTTCTTTCTTTAGTTTTTTTATTTTTATTATTTTTTCCTTAAGGGCTAGGTTTTCGCGAACCGAAACGTTCTAATGCAACTGAAGACTGAGTTTTCATGAAAAGAAAATTTTCACTACACCACCAAACATTCTCTCACTCTCGTGATATTTTTATGTTGCGAATTTACTCTCTCGTTCTCTTTTATGTTTTCAAATTCCTCTCACGGGATGTTCATCGCATACATCCTCGCTGGAGATCATCATAGATTTTTAAGAAAATGCAGTCAAATGTTTCAACATATAAACTCAGTTTTAAGGCAAATGTTTATGTACCGGAATGTTTTCAAAATTTCCCATCTTCTCTTATGTTTGTTTAAATATTTTTTATTGCTCTCATTTTCGCAATTTACGTTTTATTTATATTTTTTAGATTCACCGAGATGTTTATTTACGCATAATAAACACTAACACTGAACAAATAAATATTCTTTGTTCCTGAAAGATGTTTTTTCGGCTTTCTTATAGGATTCTCATGAAGAGAAAATTCATCAAAAGAATGACACTTGAAGAAACAATAAACAGAGCGTAAAGCAAGAAGTGAACACCCGGAGACTTTAAACGATACTAAGTAACAAAAAAAAGGCAATTGCGAAAATTCTTCACATTAAATGAATTTTAAATATCAAGAAAATCATTCGCATATGAATATCTGTAAATTCATCATTCATTTTTCTTCTTCATCAATATCTTTATAGGAGAGTTTATAGATCATAATAAGTTGTAATGCAATTTCCTTTTCTTCACTTTTATTGAATGTTAATAGTAAATTTTTCTTAAAAATTATTAATAATTCGTGAACAAAACTTAAAACTAATAATAATAAAAAAATATGTCAAAATTCTATCATATTAGTAACTTCAACAGATGAAGAAACTTTCTTGTTGAAATAATTTGTTTGATCAACGGTTTCGAAAGACCGCTAAGTTAGCAATGTCTTGTCAGTTCTCAATTATGATGGAAATTATAAATAAACATTGTAAAATATTTCAGAAATACCAAATAATTACTCAAATCACTTTAATAAGTAATCTTTCATGCAAAGCGAGTTAAGAACCTTAACTACTCACTGGGAAAAGAGATTCGAAACAGTTAATCTTATTTTCCAAACGATTAATCTGTTATTTTATTAAATAATGAGAGAAGAAATATTAAAAGCATAAATTAAATAGTTGAGGGTTCGTTTGTTGAAATCAAAATCTCGTGACGATAATTCATTTCATAGTAATTTAACCTTTGTGAGACAATTTTCTTTCTCTCGCGATCGCAATCTTAAGTGAGTGAAAAGCAAGCTCCCTGACCTCGGCGAGTTTAATGCTTCGTAAATTTTCTCGATTTTTTGTTGCCTTCTGCTGATTCTCTTTTCTTTGCGAATATTTGTCATAAATGACATCTGAAATACAAAAGGAAAAATAAATTAATTTAATAATTAAATGTGAATCCATTCAAATAACAACGCTTGTCGCAACAATCAATTAAATTTGTGTTTTTGATAATTTGTGAGAGTCACAAATTTAATGATTAAATGAAACAAATTTATTTAATTTAAGGCATGCAAAAAATTACGCTAAAGTTTAATTAAAGTAATCATGTTTGCGCACATGTTTTAAACGGGGTTTATGAGTAGTTCACTTTTAAATCATGATTTATGTTAAAAGAATGTGAACAATCATAGGATTAATGGCTAACAACTGAATCTCATTTGAATACTGATTCCAGTCAAAAATGAACCAAAAAATAAAAAAATCCCCACTAAAAACACGACATGAAAACGCAAACGCGGACAGTTTAGTACTTTTGCGTATCACCGATGGAGAGCTCTTTGTTTCTGCATAAATTTCCACATTTATAAATCCCACAATAACCAAGTGTTATGATGAAAATATGAGAACGTACATAAAAGTTGGGAAATCCATAGCATGGCATAATATTTTAATTAATTAAACAATTATTATTCTGTTCGTTATTAACATTGAAGCTTTTCTCGGATTTGTTTGCTTAACAACACTTTTCTTACTCTCTCAGTTTTGAATTCCTTTTTTATTGTCGTCGATTTATGTTTATTTTTTTTGGGGGGGTTTTTCTGGGAGAAAAATTAAGGCCACTCTCGAGCATAGTTTTAAATATTTTCGAGCAGCGACGTCAAAAGGCTGAGTTTAAGCAATAAACTGTCATGGAAGGGGGGTTGATAGGGAAGAGAGAAAGGAAATTTTATTGGCCACTAAAGTATTGATTAGGGTTGAATAATTATGACCATGCGGAATGACGACGATATGTATATTCATTCAGACGATTTATGTCTTTATGTCATTTTCGTTAGAGATGAAAATGAAATTACCTTCAATATTAAATAGCTAATGGTTGCGGCACATACGAGAAGAAATATGAAGCCAGCACGAAGTTGCGTGTAGCCCAGAAGATAGATGAGTAATGTGAATTGAACATACACTAATGCGACACTTGCAAACGTCACAACTTTCTGTATGATTTTTGATTCGTTTGATGTCTCTGTGGATGTTGCACTAAGCCTTTCTTTCATCTCATCATCGTACTTTGTACTTTCTGTTTGTGCTTTTATTTCATTTTTTTTGAAAGACCTTGAATGATGCTTTGACTTAAGTTGATTTATTTCGGTGATAAATTTGTCCAAACTCTGAGTAAAAGAGAATAATTTCATAAAGATTGACAAACATCAGTGGAATAAAATAAGCCTTGTAAGCCTACCGTAAATGACACGCCTCCGTTGAGCTTCCTTATCAGTTTAACGCAAAACGCCATAGCAACACAGAGAACCTGAACGAATGGAATCACCAAAACATTAACCGGCTTCTGTATAACTTTTCGAGATGAGTTCATAGCGCCATCAAGCAAGTGTATGAATGAGCTATCTTTCGACAAGATCAACCCTGAAAGTCAGAAAAATAAAAGAAAAATCTTATCAGCACAAATATTGAACTTCACAACAATTTCACGTCCAGGCGATTATTTTTAGACGTGAGTACATGTTTTATCAACATAAATTTGATTGATTCCCTGTCAGAAAAAAACAAAAATCTCTTCGACATTTCTTTTCATTCACATTCAATTTAATAAGTAAATTGCTTTAAATTTAAATTTGTAAGTGATATAATAGAAAAATGTCTCAAAGTTCATTCTTATGAAATGCATTTTTATTCACTTACCCAACTTAGGATATGCAGCACAATTAATCCTTTCCATCGGACTGCTTATGCTTCCTTCCAAAGCTTCTTTTGTGAATCTGTGATTTTTCTCTTGAATCGAACTCATGTTTTCACTTCAACACTTTAATAAATTTTCCTTTATTTAATTTATTTGTTAAATATTTTGATCACTTGAATGTTTCTCTATTATTGTCAAATCTTTCAAAACATCAGTAAGTTTTTTCTTGATATAAACATAAATAAAAATGACTTTTCACTTAATCACTTTGTTTAATCCCCAAACGATTGTACTGTCGAGATGATCAAGGAGAAGTGAAAGATTTATAGACGAAAAGTGCTCTTAAATCAACTAGAAACATTCAATGAAATTCTCTCAATCGTCGAGAAACGAGAGTAAATTTCAATCTCCCCTTGAGACGTTTTAGAGAAAGTGCGGCGTGTCATGAACGAAGCACGCAAGAAGCATTCACATAATGAGAGATTATAGCATACTTAGAGCATTGTAGGCCTACCCAACTTATGTCTGGCTGATAACAATAGAAAAGAACAAAGTTGCAACAGTTTCCACCCGTCCGATGATTATCATGAAGTCATTTAAATGAACATCACAAAACAAAAAGTTTTATATTCCAATTGCGAAACAAACAAAAAATAATCAATAAGAATAAGAATAAATTTCTTTTCTGAAGTCAGATCGTGTTGCAAGATAAAAAATATGTTTCAAAAACGTGACAAACTTATCAAAATCATAAGAAACAAAGTCTTTCATATTTTTTACTTTCAAGGAGTTGGTGGCACAAAATAAAATAAAAAAGGGAATTAAATTTTAAACAACATCGCTATCAGAAAGAAGAGGCAAGATTAGAATTATGTCATATCATGAGTCAACTGCGTGACTGCGAAATAAGAATTCTTTTTAGAATCATCAGGAAAGCTTTCTAAAATTTCCAATAAATACTTAAGGAAGATTTTCACATTCTTATCTTAAGGAGAAGGAACGTGCAGGGGTCAAACGATTGAAGATTAAAATCAGTTAAAATTTCGATTCGACAAGTTCTAAATATCTGATTTATTTACTCAAATACGAAATATTTCACAGCATGTTGCTGGGCGAAACGTGACTAAAAGGCATTGCTTGATAAAATATGTTTACAAATAAAGTTTTATTATAAAATGCTTAGTAGAAATCTTGATTTCCTTCTATAAAATAAGGAAAGGAAGGAAGAAAGCTTAGAATGTGTTCCGGGAAAATGTAAACAATCATCAACTATTCCTTTTATCATACTTAAGCACATCGAAAGCTTTTTTCTACGAAATATCGCAATAATTTCTTAATTTTTTGTCATCAAAATTGTTCACTTAGATTCTCCGTCACTACTTTGTAACAGTTACTGCTTGATTTGTTATCATGTTTGAACTAAAGTTTTCCAAAAGATTATTTCACGAGGTGAAAGCGTGTTTTAATCGGACACACTTTATGCTATAAATAACATAAATGTTTGTGTCTCTTGTTTTTATTTAGAGGTGATGCTGACACTTCCTCAAGGTGACCAAATTTTGAAGCGATAAAAAGTATTGACCGGCTTAGTCGTGTGTAATCGAAACCAGAAAAGAACAACAAACAAAAATCCGACTTATTAAACATACACATACATTTCATCATTATAAGTTATCAATAATATAATTAACATGTTATATAGAGGAAATTTCCAGACACAACAAAAGTTTGAAGTCTAAAAGTACGAGTCAGAAAAGTCAGACGAAATTCCCTCACGCATTCAAATCATCGTCAATGCTCTCGCTGTGTTTATAATAACAGAAAACTTCTTTTTATTTGGTTTTATTTCCTTTTCTTTATTATCACATAATTTCTAAATAAAATAGTTTTTTTAATATGATTTTAAGTTTTTAGGAATTTGAACCTATAAGTAGGAAAATTAGAAAATATGATAAGAAGAAGAAGAATTGTAATTAATTAAGTAAAAGCAATGGCAGCTCTAGCAGCTTCTATTATTTTACTTTGATGAATCTCTTTTTATCATTCATTGATCAACTGATTTGTTAGTACAAAAATATTCCTGGAATTTGATTCATCATCACAATTTCCAATCTACAATCTTTTAAGTACGAAGAACAAAGTTCTGTTGGTTGTCAAAAATAATAATATAAAAAACTTAATTTCTGTGTCGAATTTAACATCTTTGGAAAGATGATGAATTATGTCCAGTTAGAAGTTTGTGTGAGTGGAGATACAAAAAAGTTTTATGATAATCCAACATCAAGGCACATCATAACAATGAAACCGATAATGCATCCCCATGTGCTCAACATGCCATTTCCACTTGAATGCGCTTCTGGCAGAATATCATCAGCAACGATGAAGATCATTGCACCAGCAGCAAATGATAAGCCAAATGGGAGAATCATCGTGGCTATTGAAACAGCAAGTGCGCCTGTAATCAACAAACATTATTTGAAAAGTTCAAATGTCGTCAAGTCCATTACCTAAGACACCAAAAATCGGTTCCACCATTCCACTCAATTGTCCATACCAGAAACTTTTCGCAAGTGAAAATCCACTCGCATGAAGGGGAAGTGAAACCGCTAAACCTTCAGGAAAATTCTGAATTCCTACATTCCATAAAGAACGAGTAAAGAACAAAACAAATTGAAGTGAATGTCAATCAATCAAATAAATTATTTAACTGTTCAACTTACCAATACCAATTGCAAGATTACGTGCTGCTTCGAAGGTTGCTTTTGATGTTGAACCAATCGCTCCAAAGCTCACACCAACAGCGAGACCCTCTATGATGTAATAAGCATAAATGTGACATTATAAAATTAATAACAAAATTCAAATTCTTACCCGGAATGTTATGAATTGTAATTGCAGTGATCAAGAGAATTATTCTCTTCCAATGTGTCACACGATTTTGAAGATCATTTTGTGCATTATTTTCATAAGTTTCTTGTTCTGTTGGATGTTTATCCTTCTTTCTTCGCTTTCTTGTGTGACTTGTGTGTTGATCATTGAGACAATCAGCGAAGCTGTCCATCCCAACAGTCATTGAATGTTCATTTAATACACCAACCATCATTGGTGTCTTTCCATGTTCCAAAGCACATTCATCCATGGCAATTGTTGCTTTATCTTTATTTGATTGAGTTAATTGTATCATCATCGATGCTGAGTCTATGCCAAGATAAGTTATAACTTTATCTGTTGCATATACAAAAATTGCTCCAAATAAGAAACCAACAGCAACTGGTATAAAAGCAAATCTTCCATCACTTCCATAATGCCCTGAGGATTCAGCTAATTCTATGGCAGGTGCTAAAAGTGACCAGAAACTGGCAGCAATCATCACACCAGCTGAAAATCCTAGTGACGCATCAAGCGTCTTTCTCTAAAATAAATGAAGAATTTTCATCAGAAATTTTGTTCATTTAGGGTTGATAAACTTACATGATTGCCTCTTAAAAACACAACTAAACCAGCACCAGCAGCAGTCAATCCCCATGTTAACAAAGTTCCCAGCAAAGCCTGAGTCACAGCTCCATATCCTTCTATCATTCTTACTTAAATAATTATTTTCCTCGTAACAGTTTGAGGATCTTGATTGAAATAAAACAGATTAAAGTAAGAAGATTGAAATTTTACAAGCTTTATGTTAATATCATAAACAAAACAAACAGAACTTTTCAGCTAAAAAAACAGAGAATTATCTTGATTGTAAATTGAAGATACTCGCCAGACGTCTTAATGAAACATGTTGTAAATTTCTTTACCCACACACAAGTTTCATATCATTTAACGATTGTATATAATCAACTCGTTCAGTTGGCAAATTAAGGAAGAAATTTAATCTGACGATGATCTAAGCTCAAGGCTGTTCAATGACGTTTTATTAAACTTTACCGGAATTATTTAATGATTACAACTTCTCTAAACTCTAAACTTTAAATCCGATATGGTCACGACATAAACGAGTTATCATCAAACTTATACTTATGACGCGATTTCTTATCTAATTAACAACCAGTATAAGTTACTCAAATTACCGTTTGGTGAATAGTAAAGAATTTGTGATAATTAAAGTTATTTTCTCATTTTCGATCGATCAAAATAAATTCCTCAATTTTTCTTCGTGAAATATCGTCGTCATCAATTAATCAAACCATCAATTGATCATATTTTACCCTAAAAAATGAAAACCAGAACATCATTTTCGATATTCTATGATACTTACCGAACGATAGTAAATTTTTACGTCAGTTTTAGTCAAGAATAGTTTGCGAAATAATTTGTGCTTAAGTAGCGTTTAACATTTTTTGTTACTTGTCTCGGTTGGAAGTAAATTATTAATAAAATAATTCTTTCCGCAAAAATGTATACTAGTTTGACAGTTTTATGCTAAAAACATTAACTAACTATTCGAAGATTCTCAAAACATTGCATTACATAAATATGCTAGGTAGTAATTTATTACATCAAAGGTTACAAACATGTTTCTATGTTTTATGTAATAAGATGTTCATTAAGAACGAGAAATTCTTTAAAATAAGATTATTTAATTTATTTCATGTTTGCTTGATTATAAATTTTTCTTTTGTTCATTTTAGCATTTTAGCAGAAACTTCTTCAAATGTCAAATAAAGCTTACGGGTTAAATTATAAATAACGTCATATTAGTTTCCACCTGTTCAGTCATTGTTTTAATTTTCAAATTCCTATCAAATGGTGAGTGAAATTCATGGAAAGTCTCATCATGTTTCAATGAATTCAACAATATATTGTGACGTCATTTAAAAACTGTCAAAAGTCAGCTGTGAACCAACTGAGTGCTTTTGTCATAGTGTGTGTGAGATTACTTTTCATTGATCTTCGTTTCGTCGATTTTAAATCATTTGAATCGAGAATAATCGACATTATTATTGCAAAATCATCAGTTTAATATATCAAAAGCCTAAAACGTAAGTAGAAAAGTGTCTGAAAATTTGGAATTTTATTGAAATTAAAAATTCCTTTATTGTGTGAGTCTTGAAAAATAAGAAGACCAAAAAAAAACAATCTGCTTTGAATAATTTTTCTCTCCCAAAAAGAGTTTTCAAAATATAAAATATCCTATTGTAAGTGAAGAAAAACTGCTGAGCTAATTGAACAATAGATCGAACTTCGCCATATTTTTGTTCTTTGTTTCATTGAATGGTTGCGTGTTATAAGAATGGGATGAAAATCAGAAACTATTCCAAAGTTGTGTGTTGACAAAGCATACGAATGAATTAATTCGCCTTCGAAATTCGAATAACGAAGAGAAAAAAGATTAACCAAGTGAAAATAGAAGTGATGAGAAAATTGTCAAAAACGGAAAACTCATTAGAGACCTTGAGTCAATATTTAGCCTTAGTGACTTTTACTTTGACTTTGTGTAGAAACAAAAATTATGTTTTAGCATAAAGCTTTAATTGTAGTAGTATTTGTTTATCTATTATGCTCACAAATTGTAAAGTTTTACGTATCTTCTATGTACAAAATATATGTCAATAAAAAACATAGTGCTTATGTACTCGGTATGTTTGTGCCGTTTGCTTGAAGAGGAAGAAAAGTGTTACTTCTTTATTTCACTTCTTTTGTCTTCTTTTTCTACTCGTTCGCTTTACATTGAGCTCATTCGATTACTCGCTTATGGAGAGAAGCGACGTACGTAGTAACAAGTTGACGTCGTACGATAAAGATCGAATGAGTTAATGAAACTCAAAATTAGTTAGAACGTTTATTTCCGAAGTCAAGGAAAGCAAAACGAAAAAGAAAAAAAGATAAATAAAAGTTCGGTGGTGACAACATAACTCCGAAATGTGCGTAAGCTCTTTTTTATTTTTGAGGAAGTTGATGAGAAAGAAATAATCTTTTTTTTCTTTGTGGTTTGTTGTGCGAGCGAGAGCAGATTAGTGGAACGAACGAAACGATAAATTTGATTTTCCTTTCAAAATAAAACTCGTTTTTCTGTGTTTCTTTTTTCATTCACGAAGAAAAAGAAGAAAAAAAAATTAAGTAACTTCTCATGTAATTTCTTACATGCTACTTTTACTGTTTAGATATTAGAAAAAAGAAAAAGTAGTTTTTCCTACCGTGAATGACGCTCGAGCAGTGTCGATACAGAGTGAAGTGAAGCACAGTGAACATTGAGGGCTCGTCTCTCAAACTTCTTCTTTGTTCGTTTTTCTCTAAATATTTTGCGACTTTAAAGTTTCTTTTAAGTTTAACGTCGTTTGCACCACTACAAGTATCGAGAATCGCAACAAATAACTTTGTAGTTCGTCGATAATTATTCACATTGAAGTTTTTTTGTGTGTCAATACCGGTGGAATAATATTGAAAGTCACACATGATTTATTTACTCGGCTGTTCGTAGCATTGCACATTGCAACAGATGTTTTCTTTTGCGTGTGAGATTTTGTTTTGTGATTCAGATATTTATTAAAGATTCATAATCAGATGTTTCTTTCCTGTCTTCCATCATCAATGACTTTTAGTTAATTTCCGAATAATTTTTGAGACACTTGAAGATTTCCTTTCTCAATAGCTGATTAAATTATAAAGAAATAAATCTTTTTTACCTCGAGACGAGAGTGAATAACAAATTTAATTATTTTTCAGATATTTTCTCACCACAAAATCGATCAATATTTAATAGAATAAAATGAGTAGCCCAGTACAAGGCAAAAGACGGATGGACACTGACGTCATTAAACTAATCGAATCAAAGCATGAGGTAGAATTAAATGAATTATTTCAATCTTTTAGTTAAAGAATTTGAAATAATTATTAGGTGACTATACTTGGTGGGCTGAACGAGTTTTGTGTGAAGTTTTATGGTCCCGTAAATACGCCATATGAAGGAGGTGTTTGGAAGATGTAAATCAATAATTGACTCAACAAAAAATTAAAAAGAATCAATTGAAACTTTTATTTATTCACAGACGTGTTCACCTTCCCGAACATTATCCATTCAAATCGCCATCGATAGGTTTTATGAATAAAGTTTACCATCCAAATATCGATGAAGTGTCTGGCACAGTATGCCTCGATGTGATAAATCAAAATTGGACAGCTTTATACGACTTATCAAACATCTTTGAATCATTTTTGCCACAATTACTGACCTACCCCAATCCGGTTGATCCGCTGAATGGGGATGCTGCTTCGTTATATCTTCACAAGCCAGAAGAATATAAGAAAAAAGTTTCAGGTATTTTCTTGTGATTCAAATCGACTCTGTTAAGGGAACCGCAGAACTTTGAACTTCTTTAAAATTTATTAAGAATTTAACACAAAACTTCTTTCCGTCTTTTTTCAAGATTATGTTCGACGCTTTGCAACAGAAGAAGCTCTTCGTGGAGCAGCGAAAAATGATGACAGCTCTGACAGTGATCTTTCCGACTTTAGTGACGATGAAACTAAAGACATGGAGCTTTAATGCCACAAGAATGTTTTAGATTTAAATTACGACACAAAAACAACAACTACAAAAAGAAGCAAAATGCGATATTTTCATGATAAATTTAAATTATTATAATTAGCGATTTTTTTCTCTCTATTTCTATATATAAATACGTTTTCTCCTTCATTCTTGATATCTCTTGTCCTTTTAAATCGATCTTTAACTCCGCTCCGTAAAGAAAATTTCTTCGACGTTAAATCGCAAAGTAAATTGAAAATCAATTAAGATTGTTAAGTTAAGAGAAATTTAAAGCTTTTCGAAGGAATTATTAATGTTTTAGACATTCTTATATTTGAATCAAATGATCATACAAATCATTAACTAATCTTCATTTAATCATAAGTTTTTAGAATGGTAAAGAAAGCAGCAAGTCAAGTCATTTTTTAAAGTAAATATGAAACCAATAAATTTATAATTTGTTTTGCCATGTTTAATAATTCCTTTAACATCATCAATTCAGTTCAGGGTTAGTTACCATTCAATTCCAATTTCTCAATGTCAAGATCACGTTCCACTCATAGCCAAGTGTCTGTCCAGAAAAAATTATTACCAAATAAAAAGAAAAAGAAACTTTTGGGATCTTTTCCCAATCGACGTCACTATTTTATCTATGAAGTTTTAAGCTTTTTCATTTTCATCGCTCGATCAACTTCCACACAAAACCATAAACGAAAAAAAATGTTATTTTTAGAAGAAAAATCTCAAATTAAATGAAAGTCGATAACAATAACTTGTAGTGGTTTGTAGTGGTGATAACAAAGGGAAAAAATCTTTTTTCTGACTCTCCTTTCAATTTCTTATTAGCTTGTAGATGTTGATTGTTGATGGATTAAAATAAAAGGATTAAAATTGGAATTAAAAAAAAATAAAATTAAGGAATAAACCAACAAATAAACACCCGAATTAATAATAAGTGAAAAATGTTATCAAGTAGCTGTTAAGAATGGAATTTGTTTTTCTTTTGGATCGTGAATTAAACATTTTAATTGTACTAAAAAATGAACTTTTTCATTAAATATTAGTAATTAGTTGATGTATAATTCGAAATGCGATAGCAAACAATTTACATTTTAACATTTATGTCGGAGAATTAAAAGGAAGAAAATATACAAGATTTTTAAAAAGAATTTAATATTTCTTTAATTAGATTTTCAGGCGTTCCAAATGTGATTTTTCTTTCCTTTGATGACGAAAATTTCGACTGAACAACCTTCAGTTGATTTGCTGTTGAGTCCTTAAAGAAAAAGGTGATGATTTTTAAATTAATTAATTCAATCAAATGTCTCACTTTGCCGAAACTTCACATTTTGCTTTTTTGGCGTAAAAAACAAATCATTTTTGTCCCTTTCAAGACTCTTCCAACATGTGCAACAAAGGAGCTGAAATAATGAGATTCTAATATCATCTAATCACACTTGTGTAGGATATTAAATATTTAACTTACGATAAATAAGATAACGACAGCAATTACGGACATTGCAAGTGCATCAAACATAAACTGATCCATTTTTGTTTGCATTCAGTTTAAATGATTGACTTTGTAAATAATTCTCCCTTCAAAATCAACAACGAAGTCAATATTGAATCTTATTGCAACAAGCACTATTATTAAATAAATATTTGAGTGTAACTCAAGCCGCTGGGATGATCATACTAAATATTCCGTTTTATGATGGTGTTCAGTTGTCATCATAATACTTATGTAGGGTCGTCCAGTAATCGTATCTCTCATTAAATAATCTCTTGCTTCTCTTCATAATAGAACATAAAAACGAATGAAGTTGAGAGACAAGATAACACAAATGTCCATTAAGTGACCTTTTAATCAGTTGAACTGAACATTCATTCGTTATCAATCTGTTGGGAAAATAAGAATCTCTCACTCATAAATATTTATTAATAAAAAGACAACAAAATTTCTTTCTACTTTAATGAATTATATTTATTTTGCCAATTTCCTTTCTCATTTTCCTTCTTTCCACTTCATCCTTTGATTTTTTACAAACTTCATCCTCTAATTTTCTACTTCCTTGAGTTACAGCTTTCTAATGAAAATTCATTCCAATATATTTATTTTTTATAATTTTTTTTTCATTTTCTTCTTTTTTTTTTGTTTGAGGGAAAAATGGAGGAAAAATTACATAAATTAAAGTCGAGTATTTATTGTTGCTATTTACATTAAAAATCTAAGTTATTAACAATTAAGTCACATGATAAATGTCTTCTTTAAATGCACGAAATGATTTTTTTTTTTCTTTTTTAATATTTATATTTTTTTTTGTTTTCTCTGAGGTTCAATTTTTGGAGAAGATTTCAAATGATGTAAACAATGAAATTGGAAATTATTTATTTGAAGATGAAAGAAGAGAAATTTTGGCGTTCATCAGAGGAATAAGTCTTTGAATGTAATGAAAGACAAGGATTCCATAGAATATCGAAGGAAATATTAAGATGAATAATATTTTGTACATGTAATTAAACTTAAATAGAAAGTGGAAGGTTGGAATGTTGATAGTCTAGTGACAGACACAGCCTTACATCATCGGGAAATGAGGGAAACAAATTTATTAGAATTATAAGAAAAGTTTCAAGTTAAAAGACATTAATCTTGCCATTTAATAGATATTCAGCTTCTTAACAGTTTAAACGTCTTGAAAATTACATGTTTCTCTTTTTGTTTTAATATTTAGGCCATTTGTAATTATTTTTTTATCTTTTAATACTTTGTGTAGATATTTTTTTCATTTTTAAATCAACAAGTTTCCTTAGTAAGTGTCAGTGCATCTTTTTTATTCATTTAAGTAATCATGTAAGTTCTTGCAACAAGCTGCGCAAAGTTTCAAGTTATTTAATTCTTTTCGTGTTCTAAGTAATCACAATCACAATTCTCTAATTACAACACGTTCCTACAAGGAGATTTTTGTCTGATATATGATTGAAAATATATATTTGTAGATTTGTTTCAGAAGAACTACATAAATCTTTTACACTTTGTAAATAAACTATCGGATGAAGGAATTTTGTTATTTTGTCTCTTGAGGAGTTCAAAGTTTACAAAAATATGATTTTTCTTCCTGCTTTTAAAATATCCTGTTAGTTTTTGTTTTCTATTGTTGACCAGCAATAAGAATTTGTCAAAATTCTCAAAAATTTTCTTCTTCATCGTGATAAATGTTTTCTAGATAATAAAAATAACAACCATTCTAAGTAAGAGTATCAAACAAACATCGAGGTTTTTGTTTCATTCTTCTTTTATATTTTTTAATACCGTAAAGAATTCCAATTCAAGGGTCAGTTTGATTACAATTACTTTTCTTGAAATCTTAACAAAAGAATGTTAAAAGTCAAGTCACAAAAAATACTGTTTCGTTCTTTGAGAATGTATAAGAATTTAGTTTTGTTACTGTTGCACATAATTTAGCAATTTGTAATTTTTTTTGCCAAGAATTTCTTCAGCTTTTCCTTCAACGACTGATCACACATTCACACAACGCCGCCACGCTACGTCGAGCACACGAAGCTTTCGCACTTAGCCAAAAGATTATATTTATGTTAAACCTTGTAAATTGTTAAAGTAGATTGCCATTAATTTCATATGTCTTTGAAAATTCATGACACTCAGTTAAAGTTTGCGAAAAAATTGCAAATGTCAAGGAAAATATGATTTTCCATTTTCCTTCCTTTTATCAGTACAATAAGATTATGAGCAAATTGAATTGCTTTGTATGAACTTTTATTATTTTCTCTTTTTTAAACTTATTTTCAGCTAGAAAAAGCTGCTTTTTGCTCAGCGTTAAATGCACTTTAAATAGTTTTCTTCTTTTTCTTTTTAATTCATATCATTGAAACATGTAAGTACTTATTTCCTTCTGTTCTGACAAATTAAATATTTACAAAACTGTTAGTTTATTTCTTTACATTCAGCTTAAGTGAAGTAGAAGGTGGGCAAGAGGAAGAGTAGATAAAAGATGTCAACAACTGGAGTTTCATTTATCCAAGTAAATAGTAGATACTTAAGTACAATTTCATCATCATTTTTTCTCTTCTTTTTTTCTTTTATTAAAGATTGGTGAGATGTCTAAGACCTAAATATAATATAATAGAATTCTTTCAGTGTTTCTTTTTGTATTGTCCAAGAATGTTATCGCGAGTGAACTCAAATGTTATGCTAACAATTTTGTTGTCTCTTTTTTGTGTTAGATTGAAAAGTCTTTTCATTTTTTTGTTGTTGTCGTGTGTTAAGATGAGCTCTAAGAACAGTGGAGTTTCATAAGCTGATGGTGGAAGAATGGAAAAGTCATCTTTACGATTAAGAAAATGGACGATTATCTGCACGTAACTCATTCCACCATCAACTTTTTTTTATAAAAATTGATACTTTAAGTATTTTTTTTCTTTAAACTTATTAAAATATTGTCATCAGATGAAAAACACAAATAAGTTATGAGCTTTTTTTCAATATTTAAATCACTTTTCTTTACTCGTTCTAAACTAAAACATTTAATTGATTTTCTCCATAATAAATATTTCTTCTTGTTCTTCAACACAACGAATCACAATCAACATACAAGAAACATTTATAAATTCGATTTATGTACGTTCAAACACAACATTCACGACTAATAATCAGCTAATTAAGTTATGTCAAAAAAAGTTTTGAAGGAAACATTTTTCAATAGTTTTTGCAAGAATATTTGAAGAAAAGCTTTAAAATTGTTACAAAAGAACAACCATGGCCCGGCATTGAATTACTGAACAGCGTAGCTTCATACACTCGTCCAATTTTATTTCAATTGTTTCGTTAAGAAGCTTTTTAACGATATTTTCACGCATCAGCGCCGGGGTCTGCAACTAATTTTCTAATGAAAGCTTACGCCAATAAGTTTAAAATGAAGTGAAAGAAATTAAAGCTTAGCTGATAATTCAATTGATATGATGAAAAACATTGTCGATGAAAGCAAAAATGCTTTTAAATTTCTACTTCTGTAGGCTTATATCAGAAGTAAATCACTTTTTCTTCCTTATTCTGCTCTTTTCCGTCCTTGTTGTCATTAGTCTTGTTGTTACTATTGCTGTTAGTCAAATGATTATTTGGTGACACTTTAGTGAGTAGTGGTGTCGTTGACTGTCCATGTAATGATACACTTCGTATCTTGCTTGGTGTCGTTTGATTACTGTGACCTTGACTTGCACCTTGTGGTGTTGTTGGCAATGTTCCGTCGGTGCTTCTTAAACGATACCGTTCAGGAATCTTCGGATATGTGTTGGTTCTTTAATAAGAGTTTAAGATATAAATGAGATGAAGCAAGTTAAAATATTTCGTTTTTTACCTTATCGCTGGATTTCCAGGTTGTTGTGTCATAACTGGTTGCTGAATGACTGCTGGACTGCTTCCTGTTCGCGAATGATTTGGTGTTATTGTTGACTGTTGAAAAACATTAAATTTTAATTTATATGAAGATAATTCAAATGGAAATCCACAAAGCACAAAACTCATACCTTTTTGTCAGCCAATTTCAGTGGAAGCATTTGCGCAACGCCAGATGGAGACGTGATTGTGCTTACGTTTACATTAGTTGATGGTTTTGTGCTAGAAAATTTCATCATCAAACAACACAAAAGACAAAGTTTTGTTAGTTTTTTAAAGTGAAATTCACACAGTGAAATTATTGTTCGTGTTTTGAGGCAATTTTTGACTTACTTGCTAAGCGATGAAAGCTTCAAAGGAAGTTGCTGTTTAACTGTTGCAACATTTTTTACTGAATTCGTTGAGCTTCCCATGTTTACAGTTGTTGGTTTTATTGCTAGGAAATTTTTCTTGTTAAATCAAGTTAATTGATAAAAATTATATTTTTACCTGTTGCTGGCTTCCATCGGTCTTTCCTTCGATCAGAAACGTTATTCCCGTCTGTATGATGTTCATCAATTGTTGAACCACTGCTACTACCTCCACCAGTTGCTTGTCCATCAATTTCTGATGAAAGATTCGAAGAAATTTGATTGACAGGAATTGCGACGTTCGGGGAAATCAATAAGCCTTGATTAGATAAAATTTCCATTTTCCTGTAAAGTTGTTCACGTTGCTCTTGGATGTCTTGCTGCTCCTTCTTGATTTGATCTTGTAAGATTTTCTGTTTCTTACGTTCTTCTTCAAGTTCTTTCTCTTGTTGTTCTTTATGCTTCAACCAAGCTTTCTTCTCTTCTTGAAGACGATCTTGAAGGTTTCTCAACTCTTCCAATTGATCATTATGTCGATACATTGTCTTGGGATTCTCACGATAATTATTCAATTGACTTTGAAGACTTTGAATTGTCGTCATTTGTTGTGATATGATGCAAAGTAATGTCTGTAAATTATGTGACACTTGAAGTGCAGCATAATTATTATCTTTAAGCATTTCTGTCGTGACATTCTCAGCATGACCATCGCCAAGATTTGTTGTCGATGAACCATAACACGACACCGAGTCAAGTTCAGATGCATTTGACTCTCGCTTTTCATTCTGATCACGATTTGAGAAGTAACCAGGTGAGAGTGTCGACAAGACAGCGTCACGTGATGGTAGAACATAAGAAGCTTTGTTACGACGTTCATCAAAACCACCAAAAGTTTCAGCACGTTTTGGGAGTGTTGGAGAAATGTAAAGTTCACTTTGTCGTTCACCAACTGAACTGAATGATCGTGAAAATGGCAAACCTGTCGCTGCTGTATAAAGAGACGATGCTAATTGACTAATGTCTTGAACTGCAATCAATGTTCTCTTCCAAATCTCGATTGGATCGCAATCATCAAGCACCAAGTCACGATATGTGCCAAAACTTGATAAGAAAGTATTAACACCTGGACTCAGCTGTTCAGCAGATGCAAATGATCCCTGACGATTAAGCAACAGCTCAAGATGCAATGCAATTTTCTCTTCCAGAACGATTGCTTGTTCAAAGTCTTTTTGGCGCATTTTTCCTAAATACAAATAAATCGTCAATCAATATTTGTTAAAGATTTTCATTTGAATTAAATTTTAAAGCGGAAATTGTCTAAAATTTTCATGATCACCACATTAATAATGAACAGAAAATATTTACATAAATAAATAAATAATTAAATATCTAGCAATTCAGTTCCTTTACCTTCTAACTCGCTTATTCCCATCGCTAATATTTTTGCGTAATGTGACAGTTTTTACATTTTTATATGTATAAACAGGAAGAGATGAAAATGATTTGAGGTTTGGTTAGTTATGTACAATTTATGTTCGTTTTTAACTTTTCTAACTAGTGAAGCTTATCTTTTAATGATGATGAATGAATGGTAAAATATTTGGACATGAAAATGATGGATTAAAGCTAAAGGATTTAATCACAGCTTAAAGGGAATATTTTGGAATTTATTGGGGGATGGGGTGCAATGAACTCACCAATTAATTCTCTTATTGTTGCTTGCTTCTCGTCGATATTCCTTTGTTTCTGATCAGCTGTCATGCTTTCGTCAGCTTTTGAATCATCAGCTGGGCAATCGACAACTGCAGCTCGAATCGACTGAATCCAAACATTTTTGTCTTTTGGATTTTGTACTTTTAATTCGTACATTTCTGGATTAGCTGGATTCGATGAGATGATGTAAATACCACGGGAATCTGATGATCCAGCTTTCTCACGAATAAGAAGCTTCTGAAGTGTCACAACGCCAGCCTAAGATGAACAAGGAAATTAAATTAAAAATGTTTCAAAATCAAAAATTTCCATTCTTACTTTGTTTTCAGGATTGAAGAAAACATATTTATGTGAATTCTCTTGTAAAAAGAAAAGACAATCTGACAACACAACAACAAGCACTGTCAACATCTTCGATCGTCCTTGCATTAAAGTTGCTACACCTTCAAATCTGTTAAGAATTTTAAATTAAATTTTCATTCCAACTTAAGATTAATCAAATTCAACTCACTTCAATTTACGATTTGATGAAATGATGTCAGACTTTTTAAATTTCATTTCTTTAATTTTGATCTCTTTGGAATCGGATCGTTCGTCAATAAGTTTTAAAATTGCATGAGATTTTGCATCGATTCGCTTAAAAATTTCCAAATGACGATCTTCTTTGTCTTTATCAGCGACACGTGAATCAACATCAACTAGAATTTCTTTCACATAATGCATCGCTTTTAAAAGCTTCTCTTGCTCAACTTTATCTTCAACCGAACTTTTCAGCAATGGCTGGATCAAAAGTGGATATTTTGTTAATCGTTGGGTCACAAACAGAATGCATTCTGGAATTCCTTTCTTCTTCAACAAAGGATTCTGCAGACAATGCTTGTACCACTCAGCAAAACTTAAATCTTCCGTCATGTAGTATTTGAAAGTGTTTAATGCTGAACGATGATTAGCACAGAATTCGCCTAAGGATTTAATGAAAATGAACTGTCAGTTCTCACTTGCTTTTGCAGACTACTTAATTGATTAATTCGACACTTTTTGCCTGTTTAATAATTTCAATTGTAAGCAGAAACTTACCGTATGCACTCTTCAATTTTTGTGCCGATAATGCAGAAAAGAATTCGACCAAAATATCAGCTATGCTATCAACGATGTGGTTTTCACGTTGCTTAAGTCGCAATTTCTTCAAGAACCTAATTGTGTGTTGGAATGAAAATGAGTGAAATTAATGTTATCGTCTTGTAGTTGCCATAAAATTGTTAACATCAGTGATTGTCAACATTTTCATAAGAAAGAAATCTCACCCAATATGCAAATCAGTCAACTCTTGAAGACGCGGAAACATCCGCTCCAAATTTAAGTAATTGAAATGCCTCTGAATGCTGTCAGCGAAAACTTTTTGCATGACTAGAAGCGTCTGACAGTGATGTTTCTCCGTTGATATAAATTCATAAATATGCTCCTGTCGTTTGACTTGCTTATCTTTCAATGATTTTACAACTTCTTTTGGCACACTTGGGCTCCATGAGTCGTACTCATCGATAGCGATGCCAAGAATCGGCTCAGCACCCAAGTCATGTGGACCAATTGCTGCTTCATTCAAAAACTCGTCTCGTATCAACGGCGTGTCATCCGAATAGCTATGAAAAACAATTTTCAAACATTACTCAATTAAAAATCATAATTTATCTAAAATTAAATGAATGCATTTTTAAAATTTATCTAAATGATTGGAAAATATTCGCATCTTGCAGCCAAAAACCAATTAAGAATAATTGAACAGAAAAATAAAATAAAAAAAAGTGAACAGAAAACAGATAAAAATACTCACTTTGGATGATCGTTGTGCGAGTGTCCATCGTAATAATCTCGACTATCGTGATGTGAATTGTGGCTAAATTTTGATTTTTTGATTTAATTTTGTTTTTTGCAAGCACAGAAAAAAGTCGAAAAATGTAAAGAAAAAAAAATTACAAAATTAAGAAGAAAAATCAATAAAATTGTGACTTAAATCAAATAATAAACATAATAAAAATGAATTAATGTTGCAAGAATGTTCAATTTTGTTCAACAACAAAGATGAAGAGCAAACATTTCTGTGGCATCCAAAAAACGAGTCTAAGAAAGTTTGATAGCTTCTCAGATTGATTGTAAAAAGTTTTTGATGACTAAGTAAGTAAGTAAGTAAGTATCTAAATAAATGTCTAAGTCTAAGCAGCTTTGTGAATAATTTTTTATTGAACTGTTCACAGGCTATGATGTCACATTCGTGTAAACTCTAACCGGATGTGTGACAGTGACATAACATGGTAACAGTCAATGTCAAAGAGACAAACAAAGAGACAATAAAATAAATAAATTAAAGTTGCGAAAACATCAGACGATAGAGAATGAAAAACTTGCAATAAGTATCTTTGTTACTCCTACGACAGTTGAAAGATTTATGATGGACTTGAGAATATAAAGTTGTCTACATTAACAACAAAAAAAGAACCAAAAAAACGAACGAACTTCTACAAGCAAACGACGAGATAAATCGCTTGCTTTTATAATGAAATTTGGCATGTTTATAGATTTTTTTTATTACTTTAGCAATTTTGTGTTTCGTTAGAGACATGATCGATTTGCTACTCAAGACTGGAAAAGAAGTTAACATTGATGGGAACAGATCGATTTACATGGTGTTGAGATGAAAATCATGTGAGCGAACTTTTGAAAAAAGAAGCTTAAGAAGCTTAAATGAAATAAAATCTGCGCGACTTTAAATGCGCTAAATTAAATGGATAAGCTTGTGTAAGGCTTAAGTAGGATTAATAAAACAATGTCGAAAGACAATTTTTTTTAAGTTAAAACCTAACAATAATTGGAAGATTGATTTGGTAAAGATTTAACAGACTATCAGCAAAGAACAAAGTGAATCAACAAAATGTATTTAAGAATTAAAATCAATGAGACAAATGTGTAAGGAAATTGTTAAACATCTTTTCGAGTGTCAACAGGAAGTACATTTTTGTATAAGAATTAAATAAAAAAAAACAAAACAATCTAACTGTTTAAGTGAATAAATTTTCTTCTTTTTTTTGCATTAATTAACTAAATGAAAACAGAAATTCTTCAATTTTAACAATCAACAAACAAGTGGTGAATTGTGAACAAATGAGTTGAAAGTTTTGCTTTAAAATTCTCAAAATAACAAAAGTTTTAGTTAAAGCAGAACCAAACAAACTCACTTTACAACTCTCAAAGAATTACTTTTTAATTGGTACGAAATTAAAAATGAACACAAATGAAATATTTTCCAATAAACAGAAATATTTCTTTTACTTTTAAATTGATATTAAAAATAAGGAATTGAAATAAAATCGACAACCAAGAGAAATAATGAACAAAGTGAGAAAAATTTCTTCATTTTTTGTGTGTGGATGTGTGAATTTAGATGTCGGTTTCATTTGTTACCTAGCGTGATGCGTCACCACGCCTAATTTGTTGGCTACGATTCTCCACGGTGAGTAGCAACCGGTAATTTTCTTGCCGCTTAATAATCAACACAGGAAAAATAATTTCTCATATAATTTCTTTCCTTATTCAATGAAATTTTCTTTAATATGTTTAATCGTCGTTGAAATTTATTTTTAAGAACAGAAAGGAGAAAAATAGTTGAAGATAAACAAGAAAACAAAATGGAAACTAATGAGGAAGTTTGCAGAGAGCAGAGAATGCTGAACTAATGGAAACTAAATTATGCGAGGAAATTCTATTAATATGCTTGTCAATGAAAATCTTTCAAAGTTTCATAACAATTCAATTAAACATGAAGATTGGTCTTCCAATCACATGAAAAAAAAATGCTTTTAGAGAAGAAACTTTTAGTTAGCATAACATTCACAAGCTGCAGACAAAACAATTTTCAAGCGATGATTATCAAGAGTTTTGTTGCAGGAAATTTCTAAGTGAATTGATTTTCTTTATGAAGTTAAATAAATAGTTAAAAGCTTTAAGTCAATTAAGTTTTGTTTTTAAGAAATCTTGATAATTATTTCACAACAACTTTTTTTGCTTTTTTTTTTGATAAATCAATTTAAATCTTAAATTGTAATGTTCAATTAGATAAATAATTTCTCCATTTTCATTATCAAATTCTCGATAAAGTTATGATTTGAAATCAGAAATCGAGAAAAAGTTGTGCTTGTAAGTGGTGGTTTTATTATATTTCATATCAAAGGTTTACCTTTTCACAATGTGGTCTGTCTGATTTAACCACGATAAAGGTCGACTTAACTTATGTATATTTGAATTAAAAAAACCAAAAATGAAAAATAGTTCCGTGAACTGAACATTTCTCATGATAAGTAAACATAACTGAAATATATTTTTCGTGGTAAGATTATTAATTTAAGACAAAAAAAAAAGAAAAGTTTGAGCGAAACATAGCGCAATGAAAATAAAAGAGCAGAAGCTTATCGAAAGAAGATAGTTTTAGATGTAAAAAGAATTAATTTTGATATTTACCTGCTCGTTGAGTTCTTTTTTCCACTCGATGATTTCGAACTTTGAGACTAAAAAAAATAACCGAAGAAAATTATTGTTGATTTAATGTTTTATTTATTATTTCATGATAATCTTTCTTATTTATGATACAAAGTAAAGAAACTTACCTTAGCTAGTTTCATTTTACATTCTACTACGTGATCTTTGAATGATGCAAGATTTATTGAAGCTCCACAAGCTAATAAATCACAAATGTAAGAATTTCTTTCAATTTAAACTTCAAATTTTCATTTCTCACCATCACAGTTTGTTGATTGTCCTTTTGATTTCATTTTGTCTTTCTTTTTCCGTGAGAACAAAGATCCTCGCTTACGTCGCTTTTCTGGGCCCGTAAAAACTTCACTGTAAGCATTTTCATCAATTTAAGTTTTAGTAAAATATTTTCCTTCCAATTCATAAATTTCAATTTCAAAGCATGCAATGTTAATGATCGAAATTTATGCAATGATAGCAATAAAAGTGTTAAAAGTTCTACAAAATATTTTATGAACATTCGAAGCTTTTAAAACAGAAAAAGCTTCGATAAATTTCTCAACTTAAATGAACTTAAAACCATCTACTTTAACTACTTTCTAAGCTAATTTTTCTTTTTTAAATTCTTATTTCTTATAATCAAAACTTACATTTTATCTCTAACACATAATAAGGATCTATCATCTTGATTATCATCCTCACTATCTGATAGATGTCGTGATCTAATTAATGTTTTTTTATGTTTTGTTACATTAGAAAATTTCGTAAGCATTTTTGATTGATTGTGAAAATTATTATTATTATTTTGTTGTTTTTTAAAAACATTAGGCGCATATTTTATATGAAAGAAAAAGAAAAAAGAAAACAAAAGAAAAAAAATATTTACAAATTAGCATGACACAAAACTTTTCCATACAGTTTATCTTATGATGTTTAAGTAAGAAGCCGAAATGGAATTTTTTTTTCTATTATTATTCGAAAGCATAAATCAAAATCGTTTGTATTCGTGTCCGTTATGCGTGGTCATTGTGCGTCACTTCACGAGCTGTCAGCGAGGAAGAGAAATGCTTATCTTTCTATTTAATTACATAAGTAATATGAAGTCTTTTTGTGCCTGACTCGTAATTAACAAAAAAAAAAAGAAAGGAAAAAGTTAATGTGATTGGTGTGATTGGAGGAATGAAATGACTAAATGGGGAAAATTTATTTTAGGCAACTTTGAGGTTGAAACAAGGAAATTCGTCGTTTAAAAAGGGAAACTGGAAATTCCGGTGATATTAAAAGTTATGACCGGAAAGCTTATGTGACTTTGATGATATCAACAAGAAAACAGAAAATAAATTCATTTAATTGTCGTCAAAGGTTCGTTACTGAAAATGCCTAAAATAACATTCTGAGTGATTTTATCACATAACAATGAATTAAATTTGATTACAAATCAGAAAGAAAGGATTAAAATAATATTACAAACAGATCTCGTGACTTGGACGTTAATTTGTCGTGTCGTGTTGACTGAGTCATAAGCAATGGCTTCGTTAGACTGTTCAAAGGTGATTAACATCAAAAAGAATTATAGGAATTTTAATTATAAGTAGCTAAGTGTCTGTAATATTAAATAATTTGTGTGTGTGGGTGGATTTGGGTGTAAAAAGGCTTTTATGTGATACGGAAATTATAACGGTGTGGTGATTACGTCGCTTAATAAAACAACAAAGTGAAATTTAAGGAAGAACATCAATAAAATGTAATTGATTAACTCACGGTACGTTGTTTTCTTCTTTGGCATTTTGAACGGGTGCGATTGATGGTGTCGAAATGGATTTTTGTAAAGGGATGCGACAAACGGTCGGTGCTAAGTTCCGTTTTGCATTTAGCTTCTCAAAATCTCTCTGTTTAAGTAACATGATCATCAATTAATGAATGATAACTTTGATTGTTATCATCACTTACCGCCAGTTCTGCTTCATTCAAAGAGTGAGTTGAAATACCGCCAGTACTGTTACGATTCGTTCTATTATGAAGCCTTTCATTAGCTCTCAGTGATTCTTGTTCTTCACTATCTAAGCTTGTTAAACTAACGCTGCTGTTAACAATCAAATAATGAAGTGACAAACAATTTAAAATCAAATCATAAATGTTTACCTCTTATGAGAATTTTTCGTACAGTCGGTGAGATCTTCAATTGCCGTCCATGACTTTCGACGATTATCATTTAATGTATAAGTCATAGCATTTTGAGCTGCAAGCCAAATAGCATTAGAGACACTAAGATTTGGTAGGGAAGGGCATGAGTAGAAAATCTTTGATGATGCCAACTACATTAAACGAAATTAAACAAAATTATTTCTTGATTGTTGTTTAAACTTCAACACAATTTATAATTCCAATTACCGTTGGATTAATGATTCCAATATTGCCAAAATTTGTATTTTGAGCTGATGAATTCTTCATTTGAACGACAGTCTCACGAATACTTTGCAAATGACTTAATGAATCTTCCAAAATACTATTGTATTTTGCACCGGGACTATGCGGTGTCACTGAGATAATTGGCACCATACTGCAGTTGTTATGATTGTTATTGATGATGATGTTGCTGTTGTTATTATTGATATTGTTTTGTGTATGACCAGATGGCGTTGTTATGGTTATTGTATTGTTATTTCCGGCATTAAAGTGGTTGTTGTTGTTATTATTAGAACCACTTCCGGATGTACCATTAGCATATCCTAACTCGCTGCTTGACATTAAACTTTTGTCTTTTATATCGACAGTAGATACAAAATAATTTTTGATATTTGGTGTTTGCGTGGGTGTACACGATTTATTAGCCGCTGCTGTTGATGTTGAGTTTGTTGTTAATGTTGGTGCATCGAGATAGTCAGTTACGAGATCAGCATCACTGTCGTCATCTTTGAATCATCAAAATTATTAACATTATTAAATGTGACGAAAATAATAACAATAAAAATAAAAGAAAATGTTGATTGGAGTGTAGAAGACAAGCAACAGATGGTTATTAAGTGAGTTGCTGATCTAACACATAACAGAAATGAGCAAGCACATCAAAAATATAAGAAATGAAAATAAAAGCACGACCTACACCACTAGAGACTTCATTTTCAATCTCATGCAATTCTATTTATTGTTTCTCTTTTTTTTCTTCGAAAGATAATCGCTTTGCATTATGAACGTGGACGTTATGAAGTTTTGAATGTTGGGGAATTTAAAAACAACATGAAAAAAGTATGAAGAACTACAATGATGATGATTATGATGAAATTATAAAGAAAGTTCAACAAACAGAAAAGGGAAAAAAATCGAATTCAACATCAATAGAGCACAACAAAATATTCATGCAAATCACTTGAGTCGATATGAATTTCTCTTCAAGTAATAAATAAACGTTGGAAAACACGTTGTAAGCCGAAATAATAAAAATATCAGAAAGTAAACCAACGATCGTAAAAAAATGTGTGTTCTAAAATATCAGCTGCGATGGATGGCAAACAACATGAAAACTTTGAAGGTATCGATGGAAGCATTCAATGTTCAAATTTGTTATAGACGCAAATACAAGATATTGAAAAAAGTTACTTTTTACCGAATGGTTTGAAATGGAACGAGCTTCTCTTGTAGCTTTTTTAGTTTTTTAGCCTGTACGAGTACGATAATATTTATAATAAAAGAATGATGATTTCATGACGATGTTCATTCATATCTGATGTGACGATACGGCACGATGACGCTGTTCTCTTTTTTCCATCGATTCTTTGTTATTTTATCTTTCTTTATTCTATTTTTAAAACATATTTTTATGTAGATGATGTTTAAATTAAAAACAATGATAATAAAAGTCAGTGGATAACAATAGCATAAGCAAGTTGACTAGAATCATTCATTGTCTCACACAAGCAAATAAACCTTCGTGCACAATATCGTTGATGTTTTAATAATCTTTTTTTAAAGCAATATCGTATTCTCGAGAGATGAATCTCAACTTTTTCCCCCTTACCGCTATTTAATTAACTATTTTTATTTCTTCTTCTTGTGCTCCAGATCAAATGTTCATGAAAAGCGATAAAGCAACAGTTTTTGTATGCTTCACATTTCTTCTTTTTCCCTTTGCTAGGAATTTTATTATAACTTAATAGATTTTATTTTCCTTTGTGCCATTGAGGCTTTGATTGATTTTGCGAAAACAAAAGTTGCATCTGTACAAGACAGATCATTGTTTAAGGCTGTTTGCTTTTGCTGTTAGTCATTTCTCATTTGAGGAATGAGAACGAAGAATAAGCTTCGATAGTCGTCACAAAATTATGATGCAAAAAGTTCAAAATTTCAAGCGAAAATACCGTTCTTTTATGTATTCAGTGTAGATAAAGAGAAAAGCAAAATAAAAATGTCAAATCGTGCTTGCTTCAAAGCGTCACAATTTATTTAACTTTTTCTTTGTCGCTCTTGTCGAATAATGAATGAAGTATTCATTAATTCTTCGAATGAACTGTTCATCGGTTTAAATAAAAAAGAAAGAAGATTATGGTGAGAAATGAGCGACATTGAATTAAATAAGAAAGAAATAAAAGAATTTTTGAAACTTGACACCTAAAAAGCTTTTCGTGAAATTCTAAAAAAATCTTCCTTCCGTTCCACCGCACACACTCTCATACTTTACTAAATTTTCAACCAACTTTAAAGCCATTTATTAGATATGCTAGACTTAAGCCACCAATTCATTGTTCTCGTTTTTAATTCCCGTTTTTGCGATGTTTTAAAGAGCAGAAATTTTCCATTGTTATTTAAGCTTGCGTAGGCTTTACATCTTGTTCATAATCAATCATGGTAATTAAGTCTTTGATCTCGTTAATTAGCCCGAAGAGATAACAATTAGAATGTGTTGCAAAATATTCATCTTTGTAAGTAAATAAAATCGATAAATTGAATAAACTTTTCAATTAATTATCTGATTGTAAAGGGCAAATAATTAATTTTAATGAGACTATTGATAAAATGGTTTTGCAGTGAAGTAAACGGTTAAGTGTGTAGCTCTTATCAACACTATTTATACATGCACATACAATAATAATAATTTCTCACATATTTTGCGACTTCAACTCAGAATCACGTTCGATAGCAAGCATTTCTTTATTTTCGAGACATTACGTCATCACTGGACAACACGAACACTTTTATTAGTCGTGTGAACACGAAACCGTTTACTGAATCCTCTAACATGCCAATTTGTCATGCATTTTGAACGCAAGCAACAAAAAACAAAAATTTCTCCACCCGAATCTAAACAAAGTGAATAATCGATAAACGTTTATGATCCGTTTCTTCCTTTTTTATTATTTTGTAGGTTTAAGAGCCTTTTTTCAACTACATAGACTGATGTTGTCATCGATGGCGAGTGACTTGATATAAAGTAACATCATTGGACATTTTAATATACATTCATTCCCCCATTTTTTTATCCATCCACACTACAAAGGAAGATTTCTTTGTTGAATGGATGAAAGACGGAAAAATGTTCTAATCTGATATTCATGCTTTTCCTTTTTTTTCTTTTCACTACATTGATGCTCGAGTATAAATCGAGTGTGCGGAAAATGAGGAGAAAATGAGGACAAAATCCTTTTATATGAAATGTATGTGGGAGAAGAGACGACGGCGGAAGGAGGCAAAATGTTAGGAGAAGAAAATACGAAAAAACCAATTGTTGCTGGATTTTCTTCTATGAGAATTTTCATCTCATCTCCATCCCCTCACTAGCTTGGCGTTTATTTTTAACGTATCAAGGTCAGGCAGGAGCAGAAGATAAATATTTACGGTTTTGTGTGTACACACTCAATAGTCGAGCTTGTCAATATATTTATTTTGTTATCATATCATCATGTTATAGATTTATGAACCTTATAGGATAAATGTCGGAACAACTGGATCATTCATTACCTGACGACGACTGAATCAGACCTTCTGATGAAATGTTGTTGTCCATTCTTTTTTCTTCTCCTATTATCTTCTTAACAGTTTCGATTCAGTGATTATTGATGGAAATTTTTGACAGATTTTGACTTATCAATCAATAAATATTGAAATGTTAAAACTTTTTCTTTTTTTCTCTCTCTTTCAATTGAAATCGTTCTAAGAAACCACAACGAATTTTCATGCTAAAAACGTCATTTGATACACTTTCAAATTTGCCACACTAAATGAATTGCTGAGGTTCCTTAATGGGTTTGTTTTTCTTCTTCTCTTATTCTTGTTTCTTATCTTATGCTTCCATGTACCTTTAAGCTATAAACATTGATTGCGAAAAACTTATATAAATGAACATTGAATTCATGCTGATAATAAAACAATGATAAGTGAAAATAAAAATTAAAAATCATTAAAAAGTGATGCAGTGAATGAAATTAAAAACACAATGCAATTGCTCACAACACCAAACACTTTTCAATTATACTCTCGTTTAATCCAACATCTTTTCATTTTCTTTCAACATAAATTTCTTCTCTTCTTTGAAAAACTTTGGGCTTCTTTCGTCAAGAAGAAGAACCAACAAGTTCTCACCATTTTAATCAAAAAATGAAAGAAAGAATTGAAACTTAATGTTTCTTATTCGAAAAAAGAGGGCACTTGATGAATATCTAAATATCCGGGTTTAGAGAAAATTTTCATATATTTTAATTGTAAAATTTTAGGTAGCACAACAAAAAAATGTACAGTTAATTAATTTTTTCTTCTTTCTTTTTGTTTTCTAAGCTTATACAGTAAATTGAGAAGCTTCCGAAATTCCAAAGAAATTTAAAGCAGTTTTGTATAAGTTGGAGAAGCCAAAGAAAATCCATAAAATTTTCAGTATATCAAGCTATTCTTTACTCAAGCTTATGTTAATGAAAGCATCTCGAAACTTAATGTTGTAAAAAGACGGGATTACGATTTTTTCTTATAGATTGATTTTTTTTTCAACCTGTAGATGTTTTCACAAATTTTTCTTGTTATCCTTTATCAGCATCAGTTTTAACATTCAAATAACGACGTTTCTTGTTTTTATTGCATTAATTGATTGCACTAAATTTAATTGAGCCACTATTTATTCACATTCTACAATTGTGTCTGCACGACATTTTTTCCACAATCTTTTAATTTTTCACCTTAAAACGATCTTACCTGCACACCCCTTTGACCAGACACTCCGGCCGCGCAGGAGAGACCCGGATAAAGCAGTTTTTCTGCGGACTGCAACTTTTTAGAAGTTCCGCGAGATTTCGTGAAAATAATGATAAAGTTCAATTTTTGAACTTAACAATATTTTTTACCTTTTTCTAAAATATTTTAACATAAATGAATTAAGCGAATGACAATCATTCAACCGAATATTCATTCTTGAATATATGGTAAGAATTTTAATGAAATATATGAACGTCGTCAATGGATTGTTGAAATAATTTCATGATTAGGAATACAAAATTTATTTGAAACTTCATTGGATTGAAATGAGTGAAAAGCTCGATGTGAGCTTTTATTGAGCTTTTTCAACCAATCATTATCTATCAAATTCTACATATTTCAGGCATTTTGATTATGTAAACGTTTCTTGTAAAAGTTTTAATTTATGAATTGAATATTTCAGAACGCAATGCTATGAAATTAAAAGCATTATTTTTTTTTGAGATTTTTTTATTGGTTTTTCAAAGAAAAAAATCATCATACAAAAGTCAAAGTGATCGTATTGTTTTTTTCAATTTTTTTTTGTTACTTTGTAGTATTACATTAATTTTTTTGTTTTGCATATAAAAAAATTTGATTCAATTCGAAGATTTTCTCGGCATAGTAATTTAAGACATTATTCCAATTCGATGAACTTGTTTATAAATTGTTTCGTTTAATGATTTTAAGATTGGCGATTCGATTACTTATTATGAAGATGTTATGATTTTATAATGAAACTGATTTCCAGATAATTATGAAGATGTTCCATTCCTTAATTTTAAATGCATTTGAAATGGTGATGATGTGAAATAGTCATAAATAAATGCCAAGAAACTTCTCCGAAGCGATGATTTTTTTTATTTACATTTTTCCATTTTTTTTTATTTAGTATTATTTTCCGTTGAGTTGTATTTAAATGTCCTGTAATCAGTTGTTAATTTTTTCATCCTAACTTGTTTATTTGCTGATCTGATTTTATTTCTGCTTAGCGATCTTAAACTTTCCTTTTTTCCGACAATTTTTTTCTGTTGTTATTTTATTTTCATAAATAAGAAAACGAAAAGGTAATTTTCGCAAAAATTGAGACACTTACTAGCAATTCTTTATCTTCATCTTCTATATTTGTGATTCTTTTTTGTAAATTATAAGGACATTTTCAAACTCCTGCTTAAAATTTATACTTTGCTTTCATTCGGTCTACTGGATGTTAATTGTTTTTTCTTCTTCTAAAAGTCATTGTGTGGGATTTTAAAAACTTTTTGCTTTCCATTTGTTTCAAAAAAAAGTTCTCGTTCATATTATTGAACGATTGCTGATGTGAATTCTTTTATTTTATGTGTTTTTCAAAATTATTTTTATTCATCTTGATAATTTGAATCAGTTGATGTCGATTCTCAAGAGCTTTAAATTTTCATTCGCAATGTGCTTGCTTTTAAGATTTTTTTTCCTTTCACTCAAATACAATTATAAATGTTTTCACTGATTTTATTTTTCTTTAAGATATTATAGATTATTGTTATATAGAAAAACTGCTCAAAAAAGAAATGACGACGAGACGATTTTTTTAATACCGAATTAGTGTGGGTGGTGTTTAAAAGGTGGATATACGAATGTGTGCCTTTCACACGCCAAGCTTCTTTTCCTTTATTACCTCTCATCTGAAAGTGAACATTTCTTACGCTTTTGGAGAGCATAGTTGTCAACACCATTACCTACCACCACACTTAATTTATTTTTATTTTTTTAATTCATCACTCATTAATATTTCTTTTTGGTACTCGATAATTTTACGCGCGATATTCATATATCAACCGTCTGAAACGCGAAGGAAAAATGTGTTGCGGTTGGTCACAAAACTCGTGTCATTTCTTTTTACGCCAGTGCATTTTTTTGCCTTAAAATGTTTTTCTTAGTTGCGATTTCTTTACTTTTTTGCTTAAATTTCATTACATTTAGATTTCTTAATCAATGCAAGTTTTTTTTTCTCATCTTTAGTTATAAAGTACAATTTAATTTAATTCAATTCAATCATAAAAATGAGAAGAAAGCGTTCTACAAAAATGAAATTATAAAAAGAAGCAAAGTCTAATCAGATGTCTGATGTTAATTTAAAGTCAAAAACAAAGCCAAACCAGATTTTTTTATTTTGTGTAGAAAAACATTTATTGTAAAAAATCTAAATTTCGCCATTAAAAGTGTCTAAGTGTATAAAGAGAGGCAAAATTTACTTTAATCCTTATCATTTCTTTACTAAGTAGCCAACAACTAAGCTTTATTTGTTCTGAGACACGTTTTTCAATTGTTGCTTTCAGATTAAAATAAATTTTGCACTCTCAAGGCGAATGAAAGATGAAAAGTTTAATTTTTTTTATTCATCATCCGAAGATGTTGTTTTTGTTTTCTGAATCCATAAATCAATTGTAAAAAAAATTAATAAAAAAATGTTAATTAGATGATTTTTCTTCTCTCTCATCGTTAAGATTTACATACGATTCTCATTATAATTTCGTCAATATTCTGTATTTCTGTGATTTCATTTTTTCTTTCTGTATGCTTAAGTATTTTTGATGTTAGAAAAACTTCCTAGGATATTTCTGCAAGATTTTTTTCTGTTATTTAAGGGATAATAATCAGAGTTATTTGTTTTCATGTTTTTTTGAGTTTTATAGATATTCTTGAAAATGTAAAATGTGGATTTTAATTCACCCGATTGACAAACTTATGCGGTGCTTTCAGTTGTTGTATTCTGAACGGCTTGACCATCATTCTGCTTCAGTTTTCAAAGGTTTAAATATATTTCAAAAAAAGAAGAAGAGAAAAGAAAAAAGAAATTAAAACGATTGATTACATTTAAACTTAATGAAATAAGAGAACAAAAAATGATAGAAAAATATAAACAGTGCAAGTTATAAATAAAAATAATGACAAACAAAATGCATAAATATTATGAGTTATCACCTTCGACACAAATAAAAAACACATAAATATGAAATTAAATTGAAGGATGTTGAGAAAAATATACAATGAAGTTAGTACGAAGATAAGGAAAATGAAAGCAAACAGTGTAGAATGTCAAACGAAATTCTCATATTTATATCCGTTAACTTTCTTCCCTCCTACACATATCAACCAACAGGTGCAAACATTAAACACACAATGTGAATTTATTTCTCATTTCCTTACACCTGTTAGTCATGCTTTTTTGGTCTCATTATTCTTTTCATTCATTCCTGATGATCTTTGTGATTTACATTTATCAATTATTACAATTCTAAAGCCTATAAACTTAGTTTTTTTTTCACATTAGTTCTTAGTACATTTTCTTTCAAGTCATGATCTTTAATAAACAAGATTAATAATTAAATTCAATAATTGTATTAAATACTCTCAAACTAAGCACACATTTTGTTTTCCTTTATTACAAAATTCGATAGTAGTAGTTTTGTTATCGGCAAATGGAGTGTTGTCTTTAGCTAGGTAGAAGCATTACGAACAATTTTAAGAAGGGAGAGGAGAGCGGAGGCGATAAAGGATGTTAAAAGGGGGAAGAATGAACGCCATTCAATAAGAAGGTAAACTGACTAAAGTGAATTGGTTTCATTTCAATTAAGTAAATGCAAGTTATCCAATCTTTCTAGTGATGCGAACGCTGATGGTTTCTTTTTTTATATTTTGTTTTGTTGGGTGAACGTGAACGAGATGGAGATGCGCGTGTTTGTGAATGCAAACGACACCGATTCACTTAATTATCAAAGTTATTTACCTTTTCACCCTGAGCAGGTTTTCCACCTGATTCACTATTTTGTGAACGTCTCGGTCCAGATCGGCCAAAGCGTCTGGTTCGTCTACCACGATTTTCATTGCGTGGCGCACCGTCACCCCCTGCATTTTCATGATTTGAATCGCCATTTGGTACACCTGAATATGAGTCAAAGTCTAAGATATTGATGGTTAGAATAACAAAAGGAAATTTGTTGTTTTCACTCGTGTCTTGTCATTTAATCATGGCATTAATGAACTAATTTATGCTACTAAAAATACTTCTTTAAATACAAAAAAAAAAGCAATTTCTTTTTTACCAAACAAAGCCGAAATAAATTAAAATTATAGTAAATACCAAAAAGAATGATCATGGATATGAATGAGAATGAATGACCGAATTATTTATCTTAATTTTGTTTTTTCTTTTAATACAATTTGAGACTTTTCAGCTATTAATTAATAATTTTCGTCCAATTATTTTTCTTATGTGTTCTTAGATGATAAATTAATGATGATAACTCAAAAAAATTTTGAATTTATAAATTTTTGTTTGTTTTGTCTTTTTTTATTAGAATGTGAATGTTGTGAATCAGAAAGTGTCAATTATTGATGAAAGTTAATGTTTTAATTTTCATTGTCACAATAATTACCACTGCGAGGCGGGCCTGAACGACGAGGTCCCCCAGATCCACGAGGTCCACCTCTGAAGCGTCTGAAGCCACCACCACCACGGCGTTGACGTTGTGGACGATCGCCACCATTTCTTGGGCCACGTTCACCTTCTGATTCTCCGGCAGTGTCATTTCCTTCAGAAACTTGTCCGTCGCGTCTTGGTGCACGACGACGATATCCATAGGATCCATTACCGAAACCACGACCGCTACCGCCACGTCCGAATGGACGACGGAAACGACGTTGTCTTGGCTTATCCCCACCATCAGATTGAGCGCCGGTGTCTGATTGATCTCCATTCTCTCCATTTTCTTTCTTACGGTCACCACCAGAACGACGATTCTGATTTTTCGATGTCCAATAGCGTTGTCCTCGTCTCTTATCTGCGGCATATGGTGAACCTTTAACAGGCTCGCCTTCAGGTCCAGTTACGTTAGCGGCTTCACTTCCCTTCTCGCCAGCAACAACATCGAACTCAACGACTTCCCCATCACCAACAGATCGGACGGCCTTCTTTGGATTGTTACGAATAATGGCGCTTTGATGAACGAAGATGTCTTGTTTATTATCATTACGGTTAATAAAACCGTATCCGCTCTTTACATTGAACCATTTGACGGTACCGGTGACTTTGCATGCTAAAACGATTGCAAATATAAGAAATGAAAGTTTAATTGTTTTAATTTCAATTTGTTTATAAACAAAAATAAAAATAAAAACGAACTGCAAGATTAATGCTTGACAAATTTCATGAATTGACCGATATAAAATATTTGTAGATATAATTAGATTATTGAACTGCGTTAGAAACACAAATTATTACAGCGAAAACTCTTTGAGAAATTAGTTCTAATAATAACACATGAGCAGCGTTGTCTCCAAATGAATCAATCGGCTTAAGAGCGATTTTTTCCTTGGCTTCGTTTTGTGTACACAAAGGAAAAACAAGAAAAAAAATAAGTATTTTTCGTTCTGCAAGCCATGCGGTTTTCATTTCATTATTTCTTACTATCATTTTTTTCTGAAGGAGATAAAGAGTTAGTTAGTGTAGATTTAATCTAAACAGATGCACAACACAGAATCTTTCTATGTTCTATCAAGACCAATTAAAATATTTTCTCTGTATAGTTGAATATCACGCAATGGATTCAAAAGATTAAAGGCGAAGAAATTTTCTTCATGATTATCAAACACACAACTACACAGTCCTATGAATGAAAAAAATAGTAAATATGGCGGCGGGCGAACACACAAAAAGCAAGCCGGGCATTTTGTTATTTTGAAAATCACTTAAAACCATAGAATAGATTGAAAATATTATCTAAGAATTATCACATTTTATCAAACATTTTCATTTGCGTAATGTCGCGTAACTATTTTAATTGAAATGCGGTTTTTAATCGTTTTTTCTTCATGAGCACATTTTTTCCATCAAGCTTTATTTTTTCAGGTTGTGAGTAAAATTTTTCACGCTTTGTATTAAGGACTTAATTATTTTTTAACACTAGAATGTTTATATTTCTCAACAATAATTAATTTGTGACTCACCGATAACTTCCTTTTGAACTGGTTCAGCGGCTTTTTGTGGAGCCTCAGTTGCGACTGGAGCTGGAAATCACAAAAAATGCATTAAAACATAGGCTGAACAAGTTTTAAGGGTATTTTGTTGAATAATAAACAAAAAAAAATTATTAAAAACAATACATTGGTATTTAACAATCAATTAATATAAAAGACGCATTTTTACCTTCAGTGTCTGTCATTTTATCTGATTTTTCCCTCCTTGCAAACACGAAAATACAAAATATTTGATGTTATTTTGTCTTAGATGTTGTCAGTATCTCAATTGTGTCTTTATGAGTGATGAATTTTGAGTTCTAAGGTGTTAAATTCACTCTTTTATGGTCTTAATACTTTCCGATGTTATCCGTCTCCGATGTTAGACTGACTGTTCCTCTTGAGGTTGTGCTGAAATTGAAGAAGTAACTTTCTCTCGACCACAAACACGAGTGCTGAAGTTGAAGATAATTAAAGTAACTATCCACAGCCCTGCAAACACGACCCTGCAGAAATCACTTTTAAAATAAAATTCGTTAAATTTCATCATATCAAAGATAAAAAATTTCAATTTATAAAAACAAAAAAATCACACAGGTAATTCTGGAAAGGGTATAAATACGATGATGTTGAGTAGATTCAACTGACATATAAGTGTGCAGTTATTACATCTAATGCCTTAAGAAGGAAATAATATAATTTCTTAATGCATACATAAATGAAATAACAGTGTTAAGTAGAATTTGCATTTCTCTTTCATTTGCAGTTTATTTTTATCCATTTCTCTATTTCTTCCTATCATCTTAAATGTAATCTCTTCCTGGATATTGAGGAAAATAGATAACTTTACATTTTAATTGAACAAATTTTACTCATTGAAATTAATGTTTTTATGTTCGTACGAAATTTTTATCACTCTAATTTTTTATAATTGTTTGAAATAAAATCAAACAATATTCGCCTAAATTCCAAGCACTCGACAAAGTGTGTAATATTTTTTCATCAATTTTGGATCATCAAGACATCCATAAAGGTCGTTCACTTTCAAACAGTCAGTCTGTGAAAGTGATTTACGTTGACCAATCTTCATTCCCGGCACTTTTGCAGTTAAAGTTGGTTTTCCTTTTTTCTTACTAAAATAAGATTTTCCATAGTGCATGATTGAGCTCTAATGAATTTCAAAAATAAATTGTTAATAAATTTTTGTACGGTTGACAATGTTAAGAACACTTGCATAATCATATTCAAAGCTATATGTTGTATTTCGTAAGGATTGCTTTTCAAAATTTCCTTTATATCCTGGTAAAATCTGAGATTAAATTTATGATTTAATGTTGCTCTATTTAAATATTTAAAGCGCTTACATTATCCCAATGAACCTTAACAAATCTATCTCGGTCTGCACGACTTTGTTCATGAAAAATTCCGACAGCATGCAGTATTTCATGAAGTGTTCGACCTACACAATAAGAGTAGAAAGTAAATCGTTAGTGTATATGTTAGCCTAAAATTAAGATTTTACCTTCTCCACCTAAGCAATTTGGCCCAGTTCTGTGAAAATTGAAAAGTGAATATTATTAAAATATATTTAATTCATTACATCAAACAAACTTATCAGGAGGTTGAAGGGATAGAATCTGTGGACCGCCAGTTTTTCCCACATACGACCAACATCCTTTAGGGAATTTTATCGGCCAAATCAAAAGAAAATCTTCCTCCACTCCATTCCACCTTTTAAACTTAAGACAAGTCATAAAGTTGAGAGTTCTAATTGCAGTCAATATTGTAACTTTATCTTCAGGCTCATAAAGTGGTGAGATTGCGTAAGGAATGGTTCGATTTGGCCAAAGCTTTTCAGGGAAAACATCCCAACGTAATCCGACTCGGTAATAAGAGAAAAGTTCGTTATCAATAGCTTGATCACCTTCAAAAAGTCCCGGCGTTATCTCAGGATCTTGATCAACCAAATGACGTAAATCTTCTAATTTAACTGTGAAATTATATGAGATTAATTCGATTGATCTGTCGAAACTTTCTGTTTCAATCTAACGGGTCTACTTCAATTATTTGTTTTTCACAGAAAATATTTTTACTTCTTTTTTAATAGTGACACTTACACTCATCTGGAATTAATGAATCACGATTAATGTAATCTGGAATTCTAGGGAAAACAACTCGTCCAAAAACTAAACTTTCAGTTGCCAAAATAACTAAAACTTTAATCCAATAAAACATGTTTGCTTTCAAAGTAAACAAAGTCAGCTGATTTTAGACAACAAACTTTTTTTTCCCTATTTAAAAGAGTTTCAGTCCGATCACTTACAACATCGTCGAGCTACTGAAGAACAGCCAACCTTTTTAAAACGTGAGAGACAAATAACGGTTCTAAGGCCGCGCAACACTCAAACGACACGCATGATAAAGTGAATCAATGGTTTCGCTAAGAGAAAATGACAATCAAAAAGAAATCACTTTTTTTTTGTATTCTTGTCGTTTAACAATCGATCGACTTCGGCTTGAAGTCGACGAGCAATTTGCTTCGGATGGTGTTGAAAATTTAAATTTCTACTCGATAATTCACATGTGGTTAAATTTTTGCAGACAAAAGATTAAAATATGTTATTTATTCATCATAAGTGTAAAATGTATCAGGGTCACGTGAATAAAAAAGGAATTTTAAATGAGATGAGATAGATTTGAAGCATAATTTTAGATAATTATAAGGAGGGATGAGAGAGAGAGCATGACAAGAAACTAATAATATGACAAATGACTCCAATAATGTGTTGTTATTATTTCAAATCTTTTCCACCACTTCGCTTGTCGCTGAGTTGATAAAAGTAAGCTTCATTTTCCATATTATTGTATTTGTTATTTGCATCGTATGGAATAAAGTTTTGGTAAACTTTCTCTGAGTTTGAGTCAGAATATGTATGTGGTCGGCCATAAATTTCATTATTTTGATTTTCAAAGTTCCCGGTTGCATAAACAAGCTTTTTCAATTCTTCAATCTCCTTGTCTCTGGCAATGCTTATTAGTTTGTTTTTCAATTCCGTGTCACCCTCTAAAGCTTTATCAAAATCTGTCCAGGAAACATATTTCAAGTCACCGTCAACGAAAACTTCATCAGATAAAAAGTCAAGAATAAATTTAGAGTCAAATGGTTGAACATGATTGTAAAATTTAAACTCATCGACAGTTCTTGGCAATGCTTCACTGCGTCGTCCTAATCTTGGAATATTTTTCCCTCCTTGTTTGAGAAATGGATTGTTACGTTTTCCTAGCTAATAAATTAATTTTATAAAATATAATTTTAGATTTCAAGTTAATTTTTGTTACCCGTGGAATATTCTTAGCCGTTTTGAGGAAAAATCCGGGAGCGTCTTCAGCTGCAATGAAGCAAAAAAGCAAAACTGATCCAATCAAAAGTGTTAACTTCATTTTACTATTCTGATAACAACTGATAGTGGTAAGTTTTTAAAACGATTCTTTTATAGTAAATTCTTCATTAACATAAAAGTATTTTCCTAATAGAATTTAAAATTAGAAGCCTGCATGGGAATTGATTGGAATACTTAATGAAGTCGAATATGTTTCAATGATGGCAAGTAAATGCAGAAAAGTTACATATTTGCGGTGTTTTGTAGAAATTAAAAGATGTTTTAGAACAAATATGAATGACACACGATGTAAAACTAAAATTAATTGTCATCTGCAACTCAAACAAATCAGCTTGGAGAAAAAAGTCGTTTGAAGTACTGCTACGAATTATGACAATAAAATTCTTTACTACATATCAAAATGGAAAGCTTGATTAAATTGTAAACTCACATCAAACTTACGAGAAAACCTAAAATTGGTTTTTTATTGCATTGCATACACGACTGTATGAAGTCAGAGAAAAATGCATGAAATTTATGATATTTATGCAACGTTTTTTTATCTTTAATTGGTTTTTCCGATTGAATTTGTGACAACATTAATTATGTTTCTTTATCTTTTGATAGAGGTTATCATCAACATAATTTGGTTTAATAGAAAATTGTAACAAAATTAATAAAGAAAAAAGAACGGCGGAAATATTGTGGGTTGTTTATACCCACTTACAAGTTCGTCATTGGCTTTGCGTTATCTTGTTCAGAATAAAATTCTCATTTCAGAATCTCATCTGTGTTTGTGTTACTGTGCGCAGAGCAGAAAAAAGCTTCCGATATGAAAGATTTTCCTATAAAAATGAGAGAGAATCTTCTAACTACGATCAGTTTTAAAAAAGACTTCAAAGTGAGTTGAAGGAGTGGTAAATCAAGGAATCAAACATTTTACGGATTTTTTGGAAATTTGTGAGTGATGTGAAAATAAAGTCAATTTTAATTAAAAGTTAAATTTTGAAATTACAAAATTTACAATTAAAACAAGACGATGTTGTTGAAAGAAGCTGAAAAGTTTATGATCAATCAGAATGTTTGCTTCATAAAGTTTGAAGTATTTCACACTTGAAGCAGTTTTTGTCATTTTGTTACCAAATTTCGTAATGATTTGCAAACAAATGAGCACATTTTCCTCTGAAACTAAAATCAATCAAACTGTTTACACAATATCTGCTATAAACGTTTTTGTAATGATTCTGAAATGTTCTCTTAATTAATTTTTACAATTTTATATTCACTGCGTGAGCACTTTGAAAGAATTTTTTATGACTTTCAAAGCTCTCTTTTTTCGTTTATAAACTCACATGAAATGCAACACAAAAAAGTTTATCATAAAGCACGGCCTTAGGTGTTATTTATGAATCCCACCAGGGACTGAAATTTATGACCGTTAAATGTCAAAAATTGATAACTTCAATTTTAAACATTTTTAATTTAAATTTTTCTCATTTCAATCTTTAAGAAAAGTGAGAAAATTTCATCGTGTTAAGATCGAAATTATTTCCATCCCTGAACCAAACATCCCTTTTCCGTCTATTCATGCATTGTTAAAAATATTTTTAGGTCCCATTTCCTTAGGTAGATATAATTTTCTAAATTTTCATGTAAACACCTAATATTTGCATTCACGACGTACATGCCTTAACTAGATAAGTAACGAAAGATTTCCTTATAAATGTTTGCATCGCTGTCAATCGGCAGGAGAACAAGAAAGATTTCATTACGAGCTTTCTTTTCTCATTAAGGGATGATCCGAATATAAGATATTAAAAATATTCTCAAAAGTATAATAAAAAGTCGAACTTGTGAAAAATTACTTTTACCTAAGGTATTCATGTATACATTAATTAATATGTTTCATTAACACCTTGTTAATTATGCAAATGTTAATTGAAAACAGTTTGCGGAACAAAACTTTAATGGAAAGCGTCCTTTTCTATGCGATTTTTAATGAACTAATTATTGTTCAATTAAGTTGCGATAACTTATCAACCACAAAAGCATATTGCTAGCATGCTTTATTAAAAAAGAGAACTTAGTCGTTTTATTGACTTTAACAGCAATTGTAAATGAAACATGATATAAGCTCTTTCGCCTTTATTTGGTTTATGATGTTTCAATTTGTTTTTGTTCTGAATTGCCGATATCTGCTGAGAATTTTTCACACCAATCATCTAATTGAGTTCTTTACCTTGTCTTGACATGACGAATATCGTTTATTTTTAAAAGATTAAGTAATTAAGTACTTGAGTCATTTTGTTAAAAGGTCTTCAAATATTTACATCATTTCAGATGATGAACTCTTAGAAAAAGTTCAAGAATCCCAACCGGAAGTTGCATTTGTTGTTCCAATCATTTCTCGAATATTCATGACTGAGAACTTCTTTCCAAAAAAACCTTTTCTGTACTCCCGTAGGAGGTCTGAATCTAGCAAAAGTAAATATTTGCACTAAATTTTAATATTTTCTTTTCTTCTATCTTACGAAGAAAAAGTTTAAAAGGATAATCGTGTTTCTATTATGTAAAATGTTCATGAAGATTAGGATGAGATTAAGTGTTGTAATCTGAATGAATTTATGGGAAAGGAAAATGCTTCCCAAATCACAAGAAAATATTATTTATAAAAGTGTTAATTGGAGAAAAATATTAGACACTCTCATCTATCATCGGGGATTATCACAGCGAAGTAACTTTTCACAAAATTAAGAAAGTATTGATGGCGAACAGTGTTGACGAATATTGACATATATTTCGTCATATTTACACAGCAAATTTTCTTGAAATAAAAAAAGCAACAAAAACATAGAAATATCAACTTACAAACTTCCGCCTTGTACTCACTGAATATCATCCAATATTTCAATTTCCAATATTTTTCCCCTTTTTTTCACTTTACTTTCAGTGCTCAAAGGCAGGAAACAAGAGACGAATTGATTTATCGGATACAATATTTTTTTTCTATAATAAAACAGCATTCACCTTTGATAACATGACAACGTTATCAACATCATGGATTCTCTTGGCCGCTATGTTTTTGGTCAGCACGTTTCTAATAATGGCATCGGCAACAGGAAATGAAATTTATGAGAATCGAGGATTGAAAAGTGATGAAATAAATGGAGATAAAGGTATCAAAATGCTTGACACAAATGATTTATTATAAATTTGTATACAAAGTCGACTTTCACAGATAAAAAACAATTTTTCATGGGCAGTCGTTATGGTCGATCACAATCAGATTTAACCAGCATGGATGAGAATGGAAAGACATCAAATATGGCAAGAATAGTTCCAAGAAATGATCGATTCTTTTTTGGAAGTCGATATGGAAAACGATCTGCTCCGATCAGTGCGATGAATGAAGACAACAACCAATTTCTATCTTGTTTCTACACAGGTCTTACGAATTTATTCAGATGCATTGAGTGAGAACTTTTTTATCCTATTTTTAATTCTTTATAAAAATTCTTCCCTTTTTTGTCAATAGAAAAATGGAACTTCAATTTAATGTGGACGAAGTAAAGTAATTTCTCCATAAAAATGACACCCACACAGTCTCAACATTCCTTGGATATTTATTTATTTAATTTCTTTTTTTCCTTCGATGAAACTTCTATCGGCTGGGAAAATCATAACTGAAGTTTTATTGAACGAAAATCAATGACTTTAAGTTGAAGAAAATTTTCTAATTCGATGGTTTTGAGTGAATGCGACAAATACGAGACATTCCCTTTCTCTCCCACGCTTTAGGAAATAAATGATTATACCAAATTCTTTGTGATATTTTCCGATTTTAATTTTGAGATCATTGATGTAAAGTGGCTAAAGAAATCACCGTTAATTGATGACAAAAAGAATCAAAATACCAAGAAAAAGGAAAAATCAAAGGCGACTGATTCCATAAAGAGAATTTTTTTGGGGAATAAAATATTAAATGAAACTTTCAATGTATTTATGATGTTAATAAATATTCATTTAGAATTAAAATATGCAAAATCTTAAAAGGAGCATAAAAAATAAAACTTTATTTGTCATGAATGAAATTCCTTCTCAACAATCAAAATTAAGCAGCGAGGTGAAAGTTTATCGTTTTGAAGCTTCTTTACAGAGATGTTTAAATTTAAATTCCTAAGTTTTCCAATCTCTTCGATGTAACGAATGCGATCAATTAAGACGAGATTCTCACAATTGTTCTGTATCGTCGTTTGAAAGCAAAATAGATTTTCACTTAGTTCTTCACCATTTGGATATTTTTGTCTCAAATTTTTAAATCTTTCTTTGTGCTCGTCAGACCATTCTTTTGATCTTCCACTCGTTTTTTCCAGTAATTGATATTTCATAATAATATCGTTCATTGTGACGCGATTTTCGGGAATGCTGATGTTATTAATTCGTTTAGTCGTCTCATCTTGCTTTATCAGCGCTTCTACTAAAGCTCGTTCAAACATATTTTTACCATGAGTCCAATGGTCTTCTTTTGACATTTCCTTCCACTTGGCTGGAGATTGTTGACCGGCGAGTCTGAGAAACGGTCGATTAAGGAATATCGGATAGTTTTTTAGAACTGACTTTAGTTCATGGCTTAGTGGAAAGTAATTAAATTCATTTTTATCAGATGTTTTCGGTGTCATTTTGTGATAACAACACGGTATGAAAATCAGTTTATTTACTCTTTCGATGTCAAGAAAAAGTTTAATCGCTGTAATTGTTAAATCGCCACATCCATGAAGACCAAATATTGCAAGAGGCATTTCGTTGCCTTCAAATTGGTTTATAAGAAAGTTTGCAGAGTTCATGGTGATGAAATGTTGTTCAAACTTCACACATCCTTTTGAGTTTGGAAAATATTTTTCTTGCCGCTCTCTCGCCTTCAAAACTCTATCTTCTTCGTATTCCAGTCCAAGAACTTTGTAATTAAACTTATCAAACATGTACTGAGCCAAGTATCCAACACCACATCCAAAATCAATTAGTTGCGTCACTTTATCACCACAAACCGAATAAATTACTTTCGAAACATTTTCGATTTCATATTGCTTCTTTATGCTCATCTTTTTGATCGGTGTTATCTTCCAAGAGTCTGTCTCTAGAATGTCGTAGAATATTTTGAATCTATTAACATGTTCTATGAATTCTTTCAGGAACTTGGGGAAATTATTTCGTGATTCACTCAGTTCGGGAAAATTATTTAAATCCGGATGATTTAAACTCTCTAAGAAACATTTATTCTCAATTATCACATCTTCGTTAATGTATTGTGTATTTAGTGTTTTAAACATCCATTTATATGAATTAAGAAACGGAACTAAATCTTCTAGATAATTCTTATTTATATCTTTAAAATCACTCATGTTTTTGAGAAATTCTTGAAAAATTTGTAAACAAAACCGACTGGAAAATGAAACTCGTGAGCTTTCTATATATCCAACACATGCTTACATCGGTATGCATTCAAGTATGCATGCTTGCATGCAATTGCATGTTAAAGCTTCAAGAACTTGGAACGATTTTTGCGTTTTATTAAATTAAATTAATTTTCATTGAAATGAATATTTCTCATTGGTACAAAACATCATCAGAATCATATGAAACATTTTCATTCTTTATAAATACAAAATGTTACTATTCGGAGCTTAATTTTGTACATGAACCGATTGACAGACCGACAGATTACAACCTATATGGCCATCAAATTTCATACAAAAACAAGCTAACTTAAATATGTGTTTTTGCGTTTTCCAGATCAATTGTAAAAAAACTGATTCATAATTTGAAATTATATCATCAACTAGTTGTAGAGTTAATTTAAAAGGTTCTAAGAGTAACAAAGTGAAGAAATGGTATGAAATAAAACACCAGAAAAGATAAAATGATGAGAAATACAAATTGAATGTAAAAATAAATATTTTAGCTTTCAGCGTTTCGTAAGAAGAAGATCAAATCACTTCCAATTCGTGTCTGTAGCTTGGATTCTAATTTAGAATTTAATTTAGATTATAATGCAACAGGTAGAATGATGAATATATTTTTAAGATTGATGTAAAGTGCAAAATACTTAAGTAAAATCTTGACTTTTTATAGGATTGGAATTGTATGATCAAGTAAGTTTATTTTTACATTTAATTATTTTTTCTCAATACTTACAAGATGATCTTTTCTGCTATGTTAGTGTTGCCGAGCATTAGGTCTTAGGGAAGAATGGTAAGATCAACAATATTGAAGAAAATAAATGTAAACAAATAATAAAAATTCTTTTTCCAGGTATTTTGGTTTACAATATGAAGACACTAAAGGAAACATCTGTTGGTTGAAGAAAGAAAAACGAGTTGTTGATCAAAACATAAACAAAGAAAATTGTGTCTTCATGTTTATCGCTAAATTCTTTCCGGAAAATGTTCAAGATGATCTCATACAAGAGATCACTCAACATTTATTCTTTCTTCAAATTAAACAAGCAATTTTAACAATGGGTGAGTACTTAAATATAATAAAAATAGTAACAATGTAATAATAATGCTTGTAAAAATCTTTAGAATATTATTGTCCACCAGAAGCATCTGTTTTGCTTGCAAGTTATTACGTACAAGCAAAATATGGCGATTATGATGATTCATTGTGGAATAAAACTGGTATGTTGTCATCTGAAGATCTCCTTCCCCAAAGAGTCATCGATCAATACTCAATGACACCGCAAATGTGGTTTGAAAGAATCAAAACCTGGTACGCTGATCATAAAGGCATGAGTAGAGATGAAGCCGAAATGGAATATTTAAAGATCGCACAAGATCTTGACATGTTTGGCGTTAATTATTTTCCGATAGCGAATAAGAAACATTCCGATCTTTGGTTAGGCATTACATCACTTGGATTAAATATCTACGAGAGGGAAAATAAGTTGACACCAAAGACAGTTTTTCAATGGAGCGAAATAAAGAATGTTTCGTTTGATGATAAAAAGTTCACAATTAAACCCATCGACAAAGGAAGTCCAAACTTTGTGTTTTTCTCTACAAGACTTCGAATGAATGAACTCATATTGGATCTTTGCATCGGCAATCATGAACTTTTCATGCGTCGTCGTAAGCCTGACACTATGGAAATTCAACAAATGAAAGCACAAGCAAAGGAGGAAAAACAACGACGACAAATTGAAAGAAATAAACTTGCAAGGGAGAAACAGATGAGGGAACAAGCTGAAAGAGATAAAGCAGTGCTTGAAGCACGTTTGCATCAACTCCAGGAAGAGATGAGAAATGCAAATGCTGCATTGGTAAGAAATTAAAATCAATCACAATAACTTACATTTCACTTCTTTTAATTTCTTATTTAGAAACGATCAGAAGAAGCGGCGGAACTTCTTGAACAGAAAAATCATTTGGCAGAAGAAGAAGCGATGTTGTTGAGTCGTAAAGCCATGGAAGTTGAACAAGAAATTCTAAAATTGAAAAACTACGCTCTTAAAACCGAAGAAGAAAAACTTCAGTTTGAAAGAAAGTCAAGAGAAGCTGAAACATTGACAGCTCGATTAGGTAAAATTATAATTTTCTTATCGCACTTTCACTGATTTGAACATTTCCAACAGTCGAAGAATCACAAAAACGCGCTTCAGAAGCCGATCGATTGAAAACTGAACTTATAAATGCGCGGCTTGCAGAACGAGAAGCAAAAACCAAACTTTTCTCGTTTTTGAGCGCAACCATTGCTTCTCCTGAACCCACGCCGGTTACCGTAGCTCATATTGTATCATCACCTGAAAGAGTTTTAACAGCTTCAACAAACTCTCTCAATGAATCAAACGGAGCACAAAACACTGAAGAATGTTATTCGTATGACTTCGTTGAAAACAATGACATTAATGAGATTTCTCTTGAAATCGAAAGAGAACGAACCGAATATTTAGCGAAATTTAAACAAGTTCAATCACAGTTGAAAGATTTACGATCTGAGATTGAAATGTTGAAAATAAGTGAATCAGAATTCGATCGAATCAACAATGAACAACTTAAACTCGGCGAAAACAAATACTCAACATTGAAAAAGGCTTTAAAACAGAAATTCTTTTTCCTCTAACACAATAAAAGTCTATTTATCTTCTTAAATCTTAAACGATTGCTTCGTGACACTTTTTTTTGATTCTCCAAGTAAAACGTTTTATGTGTTGAATTCATGACAAATTATGGTGAAACGAAATGAAAAGAAATTTGTATAAAAATTATTTTCAAGTGTTAAACATTTGTCGTAAGTCGTGACCACTAAATATTTTTAAGAATTATCCAATGTGCCTTAAAACGATCAAGTGAAATGTTTTAACAAAATATCTTCTCACATTTTAATGTAAATTGTCCTAAAATAATATATTGTACTATATTTTGTTGAGTAAAATAACAATAAAAATGACAAATGATTTATTTTTAAAATGAAATATTCTTTTATATATTTTAGAATGTAAGACCGAAGAAACTTCGCAGAAGAGTAGAATTTGTTACTTCTTTTAAACAACATAAACAAAAAACCTTATTGAAAATCACAAGCTTTCATGATCATTAATATATTTAATGAAACTTCGTTCTTGGATAATAATTGACCGTGAAACTTCTACTGAACAAATTTCATTTTATTCCTTTAAAATTTGAGCAGAAATTTTTTTTTCATGATGATACTGTCAAATATCTATTTTTATAAAGAATGTTTAGCCAGAGGTAGATTTTAATCTTTTTTATGAATGCAAATGATATCAGAAAAAAAAATCATGACAATAACATGTACAAGATCATCACGAGATCAAATAATTCATTATTTTTTTCATTCTTTCCTAATTTTTATTACAAAAAGAAGAGAACATAATAATCTGCGTCAAATATTCTAAACTAAGCGTTTTCAACTAGTGAGAGACATAAAGAAATTTGGCAAAAAATATTCGAAGAAAATTTAATAATCGCCATGATTCGACATATTTCACACCGAGCAATTTTTTTTCCTAAATTTCTCAAGTTTATTGAAGAATATCGTGACGCAAGTTTTGTGTATTTAATTTATCAGATATGTTCTCTTTAAGTTTAAAATTAGAGTCAAATATAAATTTACTAATGAAGAAGGAAAACATTTGATTACTTCATTATCAGTCGCTCCAATATTTCTAAAGAAACACTGAATAGTTCTCTTTACTGTTTCTAATTTTATTTAAAATGCGTCTCTTGTTGAAGTCTTTTTCAAGATTATCATTACACTTTTGTTGATTGCGTCATACAATTATATTTTACTTAAGAATACCAAATAAAAAAAGAAAGAAAAGTAATTGCGTCATAGATTTATCGATCTCAGTCCTCAATTTTGTTAAGATCATTTCAACAATAACACTGCGTACATTATAAAAATTATTACGAAGCATGTTCCTGTAACTATCTACTTACCTACCTATATGTTTAAATATAATTGAAGTGTTTCAAACTAATTTAATTCCCACATTTATTTTTCTTGAAACTTTTATTAAGCTTTACATTTCACACGTGGACTAAACAAAGGCATTCACATAAAAAGTGTTTTTAACTGTTTACAGTATAGATAGCATCTGCATCGTCATAGTCAAAGATCATATAGATTCGATTATTTCATTTAAGCTCTACACGTGCTGTAGTTTGACAGCAGAAAAGAAAAGAAGAAGTGAAAAAGCTTCTCATAACAGACTTCGAGGAATGTAAGCTGATACATGTGATGCATGGTCGTAGTTTTTTCATACAAATAACCTTGAGTCGAACAATTAGGCTCTGATACCGCTTAATTTTGACAATTTCAATTAAAAATTCACAATGAAAAGATAATTAGAAATGCTTTAGTTTAAAGAAAAAACTCGCGACGTCTCATGACTTGAATGTAAAGTTAAGTGAAGAAGGAACACCGAAATGTTTAGTTCCATCTTCTTTCATTGTCTTCAAGCTCTAAACGACAACAATTCTTATTTTTTCATCAAATCTTTTGAAGACGCTTTTTAAATAATAATAATCGTTAATACAAAAAGTCGTTGCGATGGTATGCATGTATTTGAACAAGTCTAATTAAAAAATATTTATAATCTTCTATGATCTAATAATCTTGAAAGTGTTCATTTACGAAAACTTTTTCGTTTCTTAGTCTAAAGTGAACCTTCTATTGTGGTTACCATTCAATGAACTGGATGTGAATGAACGTAAATATTCACTTACTGTGAGTCAATAACAATTTGATTCAATAATTCAAGGTATCTATGTTTATTTTGTTAATTGTCTACATAGTCTCATCTTTTCCGACGACGAATAACCTTATTATTTTCTGCACATGTAAACGCTTTAAGAAATCTCGTACAGGAACAATTTCAAATGTTTTTTCATGAGTGTGCATGTATACATATCATTTACTACTTGAATTACTTCTGTTCATAATCCTAAACATAATTTAGAGGCCTATCATATTGAAAACTCTATTAGAGGTCAATTATTTAATTGAAAAGATTGATTAATTAGTAATTGTCATCATGCAATTGTAAGACATCAATAATTCGTAAGATTATTTAAAAGAAGCTTCGCATACAAAAAATATTGAAAATATTCAAACATACAAATTTAAAATATTAACAATAAAAAAACTTTTTGCATTAATACACAAATTTTTATTAACAATATTTGAGAAAAAATATTTTAATACAAATTTAAATTTGCGCATTGGTTTCAAGTGGATAAAAAAGAATTCAACATCTTCAGAACGACAAATACATTTTTTCTCCAACAATGCCGTGAGCACTCTCGTCGAATTATATTTTTTATTTGAACTGCGAACCTCACTCATTCATTCATTCTTTACGCTCTGATCAGATCCTTGTTATTTGATCTTCTTCAGAAGAAATGACGTACGAACTACTATATAGGTTACTTATTTTATGACTCATATTTGAAGTTGTATTATTCATCGATTTCATTTTTTTGTCGATATCGATCGACCATCAAATAAATTTGAACATTTCGATCATGAAAAAGTTATGTTAGTATTTTTCGATATTAACATAATTAATGAAGAAAAAAAGCTTTTCAAGATTGAAATCTTCATATTAATACTTTTGCAATTACTCGATACTTAATTGAAATGATCTTAACGTCATAATATTATTACTTATATTAACCAAAATTTTCAAAAAAAAAGTTCTTAAGTTCAATAAATGAAGTAAAAGAATCCTTAACTAAGCACACAATAAAGCTGATTGATATTTACGCGAAGTATTCGGATGATAAATCGCTCAAGCTTTTGCAAAAGTGTTTGTGCCATGCCGCACCGTCTTATTTCAACGTGAAATAAAATCGCAATATAAACGACCAGCATCCAAAGAGTTGCTTTCAGTATCTTTTATGAAATCGAACTATTCACATCATTAACATGGCATTATTACTGTCAGGATTATATTTTGCTGTGTTTGTTCTCATCATTGGAAAATTTCTTTATGATAGAAGGAATTTAATATTTTTAAATATTCCAAATCCTGCACTATCATCAAATATAGTTTATCCAGTCATAGCATTGGGACTCGTTTCAGCTGAATATCGCTTCAAAAGAATTGGAGAATATTGTTTCACTTATCCCGATTGGTTTAAATTTTGGTTTGGGCCTAAATTTATGGTCTGGATTAACAGCCCAGAAAAAATACAAAAAGTTTTATCGTCACAAAAGTGTTTGGAAAAATGGAATTTCTTCTATGGATTAATGGAACGAGATTACGGATTAATTTCGGGAAGTGTGAAGGAAAAGTGGAGAGATCATCGAAAGTTCTTCAATTTTTCATTCAATTTGAAGATCTTGGAAAGTTTTCTTCCGACGTTCATCGATTATAGTGAAGTGTTGTGTGATAATTTGGAGAAAAAGGTTGAAGATGGAAAAGAATTTGATTTTTTCCTGTACGCGAAGAAAATTTCTTTTGATATTCTTTGTGCAACTTCGCTTGGGACCAACATGAAGGATTACAGCAACAAACCACTTTACGAGAAAGTTTTCCATGCGTATGAAACGTAAGATTTTTAAATTAAATTACTTTAGTATTAAAATTAATTCAAATCCATTTCAACAGAACTGAACTTGCAATGAACGCCAAATTTTCGATTCCATTTTTGTATCCGCAAACGCTCTTCAAGTTCACAAAATTGTATCGTGAAGAGAAAAAAGCTCAGAAAATTCTCAACGAATTCCAAAGAGATATTTTGAATGAACGAAGGAAAATTATTGGAAAATCAAAGCTGAATGCGAATAACAACGATGGAGAAACTGTCGAAAGAAATATTTTGATTGATCACATCATTCTGAATGAAGAAAACTTTACCGAGAAACAAATTCTCGATCACATCTTAACTTTCGTCTCAGGATATGAAACATGGGCTAATGCATTGGCACATGGAATGTTGCTGCTTGCAATGCATCCCGAAGTTCAAGAACAATTGTATCATGAGATTAAAACAAACATAAAGTCACAGGAAGAATTGAAAAATTCTCAGAACGTCAACAATCTTTCATACCTTGACATGGTCTTCAAGGAAATCTTGCGATTGTTGCCAACAGTGCCGATGATTTTACGAGAGACTTTGGAAGATTTTGAAATTGAACCTGGTGTCGTGATTCCCAAGGAAACAAATATATTAATTAATTTCTACTGCCTACATCGCCACAAGCATATTTGGTGAGAAGACGCTGACGAGTTTAAACCAGAAAGATTTCAACCCGAGCTGGTTGCGAAACGACATCAATTTTCGTTCCTTCCATTTTCTTCGGGATCTCGAATTTGCATCGGCTATAAATATTCCATAATTTCACTTAAGATAGCGATAATCCTTTTACTCCAACGATTCAAATTCAACACGTCTATGGCAATGAAAGATATTCGTTTAAGGTCATACATTTCATTAAAACTTTGCACTCCACATTTGTTATCAATTGAGAAAAGAAATTAAAACTTTCGGTTGAGGTTCTTGATGATAATTGTGATAGGCAAATATGTTTAAACATAGATAAAAGTTGTTTTAGATTTTTTAATTATTTTAATGGTCTCACATGTCTTAGAAATAAAATATTAAATGGCTGGCTCCTAAATTGTTTCATGAATTCTCAATTACCTTGAATGAAATTTAAGGTGAGTGAGTCTTGTAAGTTACAAGAAGTTTTAGGGCACAAAGTTACGTTACGATTCATGGTGAACAATAAATCAATAAACAATCTCATATCATTAAAACTTTATTTAATAGACATTCAATTTCTTTTAAAATAAAACATAAATAAAATTGAGTTCATCAATATATTAAAAAAAATTTCATTCAGAATTAGTTTCTATTTTTATTTAAGTTTCATAAAATTTATAGCGGTGTTGGGAAGCATCAAAATATGTTTTTCTATGACAGATTATCTGAGAAACAGAAGATAGAAATTTAATTCAATGTTATTTTATGACGTCATGTTATAAAACAAGAAGAAGTCCAATGATAGGAAGAATTTAAGAACAGCGCTACGTACGTCTTTTGTTCACTGTTCTCTTAAAAAAATTGTAAAATTTCATAATTATCGTCATGTCAATCAATTTATAAATTCCTAAAGCCGATTACCTAATTGAATAATCATCATAGAGCATGTTACTGGCTAAATTTATGTGTAGCTAAATTTTGAAAGTTTACTTCAGTCTCCAATTTTTTTGCAGTTTTTATGTTATTAATGATGCTTTAAATTTCGCACGTGGAATGAACAAAGGCATTTTAAATGGTAAGTGTTTGTAACCGTCTACTGTAGCAAATATCATCTTCATCGTCATAGTCAAAGTTCATATAGTTTCGTTTAAGCTTTGCGCGTGCTGTCAAAATGAAAAAAATAAGTGAAAAAGCTTCTCGTAACGGACTTCGAGGAATGTAAGTAGAGACGTATGATGCATGATCGCAGTTTTTTCATACAATTAACCTTGAGTCAAACAAACATTCAATAAGATTCATCTTCAAAATGTATGCAATCGCAAGTTACGAATGCAAGATTGGAAATGTGTTTTAATAAAATTTTCTTACACATTCAAATCTCAGAAATCTCTATTTACGAAAAAAATCTTTTTAACGACGAAAAATTCAATTGAATTCGTTTGAATATCAAGACATTGAATTTCTTCAAAAACTATACAAAAAAAATCCTCAGATTAGTATTCATAAAGTGAAGTTCTTCTTCAATACTTTGCTAATTGCAAACTCTCATCTCTTGGGATTACGAGTATAAAATTTTATATTAAGTTCGCACATGCCTTCTTACATTGAAGCTTGAAAGATATTTTCTAAGCATTTTTCCTCTTTGAATGGATTGCTTGTTGACAAGTAGATTAATGTTCTGAGAAAATCTTAAAAGTCTTATTCTACATTTTGACAAAAAAAAATTCTTTCAATGATCTCTTTTTATATTTCTGGAATGCCAATGAGAGTCTTCGATTTCGAAATTATAATGTTGAATTTATGTGGTTAAATTTTAGTGATGACATGAATTCAGCTTACTTGATAAGTACTAAGTATGACGGAGATTGAAAAACTTAAACTATGATTTTATTCTTCAAACTGTTCGGATCCTTGTCTTTTGATCTTCTTCAAAAGGTAGATATGACGTACGGATGACTAAGGTTGATTAACTAAAAGTAAATTTTAGTTACATTTCTCTTAAAATCATTCGTATTTGAAATATTTTAATAATAATTATTATTATTAAGTTTCGTTGTTCGTCATAATATTCACACTTAACTAAGCACACAATGAAGCTGATTGATGTGCACAGGAACATTCTGATGACAAATCGCTAAAGCTTTTGTAAAAGTGTTTGTGTTTTGTCGCACGTCTCATTTCAACGAGAAATGGATTTCGAAATAAAATTACAATATAAATGGACAGCATCCCAAGATTCGTTTCAGTATCTTTAAAGCAGTCGCATCATCAACATGGCATTATTACTATCAGGATTATATTTTGCCGTGTTTGTTGTCTTAATTGGAAAATTAATTTATGATAGAAGGAAATTAATCTCTCTAAATATTCCAGCTCCTATAAAGTATAATGTTCTTTATCCAGTTGTTGTACTTGGACTTGCTTCAGCTGAGAAACGTTTCCAAATATTTGCAGAATATTGTTTTAATTATCCCGAGTGGCTGAAATTTTGGTTAGGACCAAAATGTATGATCTGGATTAACAGCCCAGAAAAAATGCAAAAAGTTTTATCATCACAAAAGTGTTTGGAAAAATGGAATTTCTTCTATGGATTAATGGAACGAGATTACGGATTAATTTCGGGAAGTGTGAAGGAAAAGTGGAGAGATCATCGAAAGTTCTTCAACTTTTCATTCAATTTGAAGATTTTGGAAAGTTTTCTTCCGACGTTCATCGATTATAGTGAAGTGCTGTGTGATAATTTGGAGAAAAAGGTCGAAGATGGAAAAGAATTTGATTTTTTCCTGTACGCGAAGAAAATTTCTTTTGATATTCTTTGTGCAACTTCGCTTGGGACCAACATGAAGGATTACAGCAACAAACCACTTTACGAGAAAGTTTTCGATGCGTATGAAACGTAAGATTTTTAAATTTAATTACTTTAATGTTAAAATTAATTCAAATCCATTTCAACAGAACTGAAATCGCAATGAATGCCAAATTTTCGATTCCATTTTTGTATCCGCAAACGCTCTTCAAGTTCACAAAATTGTATCGTGAAGAGAAAAAAGCTCAGAAAATTCTCAACGAATTCCAAAGAGATATTTTGAATGAACGAAGGAAAATTATTGGAAAATCAAAGCTGAATGCGAATAACAACGATGGAGAAACTGTCGAAAGAAATATTTTGATTGATCACATCATTCTGAATGAAGAAAACTTTACCGAGAAACAAATTCTCGATCACATCTTAACTTTCGTCTCAGGATATGAAACATGGGCTAATGCATTGGCACATGGAATGTTGCTGCTTGCAATGCATCCCGAAGTTCAAGAACAATTGTATCATGAGATTAAAACAAACATAAAGTCACAGGAAGAATTGAAAAATTCTCAGAACGTCAACAATCTTTCATACCTTGACATGGTCTTCAAGGAAATCTTGCGATTGTTGCCAACAGTGCCGATGATTTTACGAGAGACTTTGGAAGATTTTGAAATTGAGCCTGGTGTGGTCATTCCCAAGGAAACAAATATATTAATTCACTTTTACTCCCTACATCGCCACAAGCATATTTGGGGAGAAGACGCTGACGAGTTTAAACCAGAAAGATTTCAACCCGAGCTGGTTGCGAAACGACATCAATTTTCGTTCCTTCCATTTTCTTCGGGATCTCGAATTTGCATCGGCTATAAATATTCCATAATTTCACTTAAGATAGCGATAATCCTTTTACTCCAACGATTCAAATTCAACACGTCTATGGCAATGAAAGATATTCGTTTAAGATCATACATTTCATTAAAACTTTGCACTCCACATTTGTTATCAATTGGGAAAAGAAATTAAAACTTTCGGTTGAGGTTCTTGATGATGATTGTGATAGGCAAATATGTTTAAACATCGAAAAAAAAAGTTGTTTTAGATTATTTAATTGTTTTAATGGTCTCACATGTCTTAGAAAAAATAAAGATATTAAATGGCTGGCTCCTAAATTGTTCTTTGAATTCGAACTAATATTATTGATTATTAACGTGAGTGAGTCTTGTAAGTTATAAGAAGTTTTAGGGCACAAAATTGCATTACAATTCATGGTGAACAATAAAACAACAAACAATCTCATTTCAAGTAATTCCATTCATTCAACATAAATCATCGCTTTAAATTGCTTTTAAATGCTTCAAAACTATGAACGGATTTTTTGTTGTCTACGAAAATAAAGAAAGAAACTTACACAAATAATGTTTCAAAAGAAAAATCTTTTATTTTAACTGCCTAGTTTTTCAAGGTTCAAAGGCACTTCAAGATTTGCACGATTGAGTAATGTTTACTTGAAAACCTCATTCACAGTTTATTTGCGTCATCAGAAATGCACATATTTTTGCTTCTAAGTAAAAGTTTTTGAAAAACCACTTGAGAGCTTTTAGGCTTAAGAGCTTAACAAGTAGTTTTATTTACAATAATATTCTCAAAAAAAAACTTTCGTTAAGTGCTGAGGTCATTAAATACATTTAAATATTATTTTAAATATGTACTGTTATTGTTTTCAATTTCGTTAAAGTTGACATGAAACTCAGAACATAATCAAATATTAAATTTTATCATTGAGAAAAGCTTACTTAGACAGCTTTCATGCTGATCTATCGCAGAAGTTTCTATCAAACTATCATCATTATTAGATATTTGATGATCATTGATGACGATCAATCATTGCTTTGTTTCAAATTCAAGAGCATTCCATAATCATTTCAATTACCGATTGCAAAACTTAACCGGTTGAAAGTAAACAAAATTGAAATTTATTAAATTATTATTAAAATATTTCCAATAATATTTAAAGAATGGCAAATCATGGAGTAAACATAGGACCATTTTGGAAAGATGGCCCAAGTGCTGGAAGTTTCTACAATTTCCCAGGAAACTCTACGAATCAATCTGCAAATGATTACGGAAAACAAGCTTCAACGTAAGTCAAAATTAAGCCTTTCTGTTGCTCTTATTCAATTAAATGTCAAAAAAATGGATTAAAAAGAGTAAAGATTTTACAAAAGTGCTATTCAGATTCTTCTTCAGTAATTATTAGGGACTTTTAACATGACTAACCAATAACCTTAAAAGTGTCAAGTCATTACTAATATTTTTAATGATTCGTTCTTTTTTAGAGGTCCAATAACAACTGGAACATCCATTGTTGCTGTAAAATATGACAGAGGTGTGATTATAGCTGGTGACATGCTTGTATCTTACGGAAGTCTCGCTCGTTATCATAATGTCGATCGAGTTTTTCAAATCAACGAAAATATTATTCTTGGCATCACTGGTGACTACGCTGACTTTCAGTTTATAAAGCAAGTCATCGATGAGACAATCCTTGCTGATTTCTCAATGGATGATAAAATTGCAATGAAACCAAAAGATCTCTACACTTGGCTTACAAGAGTCTTATACAATCGTCGTAGTCGCTTCAATCCTTTGTGGCTTGACATGGTTGTTGGTGGAATGCAATATGATGAACCATTCCTTGGTCACATTAACTTCCGTGGACGAGCATACACAAGTGATGTCATTTCAACAGGTTTTGGTACTCATTTGGCACTTCCCATTTTACGTGAACGCTCAGAAAAGGGAACAATGAGTGAAGCAGATGCTCAAGAAGTGGTCAAGAAATCAATGGAAGTTCTTTTCTATCGTGATTGTCGTGGTTATCCGAGATACTCTCAAGCTAACATCAACGATCAGGGATGTACCGTAACTAAACATGATGTCCAACAAAACTGGGATGTTGCTTATCTCATCAAGGGCTATTAGGAGTGATCTTTGTGAAATATACAAAAATAACAATTTTCGGTTTGGAAAATATTTCCTTAAAATTTTCTTTAATAAATATTCAATTTCTTTTAAAATATAACAATTAAAAAATGTTTTTATTCAGAATTAATTTTTTTCTTTTATTTAAGTTTCATAAAATTTATAGCAGTGTTGGGAAGCATCAAAATATGTTTTTCTATGACAGATTACCTGAGGAACAGAAGAAAGAAATTTATTTTTATGATTCTGATGATATTTGAATACGTCATACAAACAAAAGAAGCAGAGATCAACGAAAGGAAGAATTTAAGAACGGCGCTACGTCCGTTTTTTGTTCAATGTTCTCTAAAAAAAATTATGAAATTTCATAAATATCGTCACGTCAATCAATTTATGGATTCTCAAAACCGAATAATTGAATAATTATCATAGAGCATGTTACTGGCTAAATTTATGTGTAGCTAAATCTTTTAAGAAGAATTGAAGAAACTTCTCATAATAGACTGCAAGGAATGATGTGTGCTTGTATTTTTTTTACATTAACCTTGAGTCGGACAAACATTTATTTGGATACTTCTTTTCCTCGTGATGGATTTCGAAAAAAATTACAATATAAATGGACAGCGTCCCAAGATTCGTTTCAGTATCTTTAAAGCAGTCGCATCATCAACATGGCATTATTACTATCAGGATTATATTTTGCCGTGTTTGTTCTCTTCATTGGAAAATTTCTTTATGATAGAAGGAAATTAATCTCTCTAAATATTCCATCTCCTATAACTTATAATGTTCTTTATCCAGTTGTTATACTTGGACTTGCTTCAGCTGAAAGACGTTTCCAAATATTTACAGAATATATTACGGCTTATCCAGAGTGGCTGAAAATGTGGTTAGGACCAAAATTTATGGTCTGGATTAGCAGCCCAGAAAAAATACAAAAAGTTTTATCATCACAAAAGTGTTTGGAAAAATGGAATTTCTTCTATCGATTAATGGAACGAGATTACGGATTAATTTCGGGAAGTGTGAAGGAAAAGTGGAGAGATCATCGAAAGTTCTTCAACTTTTCATTCAATTTGAAGATTTTGGAAAGTTTTCTTCCGACGTTCATCGATTATAGTGAAGTGCTGTGTGATAATTTGGAGAAAAAGGTCGAAGATGGAAAAGAATTTGATTTTTTCCTGTACGCGAAGAAAATTTCTTTTGATATTCTTTGTGCAACTTCGCTTGGGACCAACATGAAGGATTACAGCAACAAACCACTTTACGAGAAAGTTTTCGATGCGTATGAAACGTAAGATTTTTAAATTTAATTACTTTAATGTTAAAATTAATTCAAATCCATTTCAACAGAACTGAAATCGCAATGAATGCCAAATTTTCGATTCCATTTTTGTATCCGCAAACGCTCTTCAAGTTCACAAAATTGTATCGTGAAGAGAAAAAAGCTCAGAAAATTCTCAACGAATTCCAAAGAGATATTTTGAATGAACGAAGGAAAATTATTGGAAAATCAAAGCTGAATGCGAATAACAACGATGGAGAAACTGTCGAAAGAAATATTTTGATTGATCACATCATTCTGAATGAAGAAAACTTTACCGAGAAACAAATTCTCGATCACATCTTGACTTTCGTCTCAGGATATGAAACATGGGCTAATGCGTTGGCACATGGAATGTTGCTGCTTGCAATGCATCCCGAAGTTCAAGAACAATTGTATCATGAGATTAAAACAAACATAAAGTCACAGGAAGAATTGAAAAATTCTCAGAACGTCAACAATCTTTCATACCTTGACATGGTCTTCAAGGAAATCTTGCGATTGTTGCCAACAGTGCCGATGATTTTACGAGAGACTTTGGAAGATTTTGAAATTGAGCCTGGTGTGGTCATTCCCAAGGAAACAAATATATTAATTCACTTTTACTCCCTACATCGCCACAAGCATATTTGGGGAGAAGACGCTGACGAGTTTAAACCAGAAAGATTTCAACCCGAGCTGGTTGCGAAACGACATCAATTTTCGTTCCTTCCATTTTCTTCGGGATCTCGAATTTGCATCGGCTATAAATATTCCATAATTTCACTTAAGATAGCGATAATCCTTTTACTCCAACGATTCAAATTCAACACGTCTATGGCAATGAAAGATATTCGTTTAAGGTCATACATTTCATTAAAACTTTGCACTCCACATTTGTTATCAATTGAGAAAAGAAATTAAAACTTTCGGTTGAGGTTCTTGATGATAATTGTGATAGGCAAATATGTTTAAACATAGATAAAAGTTGTTTTAGATTTTTTAATTATTTTAATGGTCTCACATGTCTTAGAAATAAAATATTAAATGGCTGGCTCCTAAATTGTTTCATGAATTCTCAATTACCTTGAATGAAATTTAAGGTGAGTGAGTCTTGTAAGTTACAAGAAGTTTTAGGGCACAAAGTTACGTTACGATTCATGGTGAACAATAAATCAATAAACAATCTCATATCATTAAAACTTTATTTAATAGACATTCAATTTCTTTTAAAATAAAACATAAATAAAATTGAGTTCATCAATATATTAAAAAAAATTTCATTCAGAATTAGTTTCTATTTTTATTTAAGTTTCATAAAATTTATAGCGGTGTTGGGAAGCATCAAAATATGTTTTTCTATGACAGATTATCTGAGAAACAGAAGATAGAAATTTAATTCAATGTTATTTTATGACGTCATGTTATAAAACAAGAAGAAGTCCAATGATAGGAAGAATTTAAGAACAGCGCTACGTACGTCTTTTGTTCACTGTTCTCTTAAAAAAATTGTAAAATTTCATAATTATCGTCATGTCAATCAATTTATAAATTCCTAAAGCCGATTACCTAATTGAATAATCATCATAGAGCATGTTACTGGCTAAATTTATGTGTAGCTAAATTTTGAAAGTTTACTTCAGTCTCCAATTTTTTTGCAGTTTTTATGTTATTAATGATGCTTTAAATTTCGCACGTGGAATGAACAAAGGCATTTTAAATGGTAAGTGTTTGTAACCGTCTACAGTAGCAAATATCATCTTCATCGTCATAGTCAAAGTTCATATAGTTTCGTTTAAGCTTTGCGCGTGCTGTCAAAATGAAAAAAATAAGTGAAAAAGCTCCTCGTAACGGACTTCGAGGAATGTAAGTAGAGACGTATGATGCATGATCGCAGTTTTTTCATACAATTAACCTTGAGTCAAACAAACATTCAATAAGATTCATCTTCAAAATGTATGCAATCGCAAGTTACGAATGCAAGATTGGAAATGTGTTTTAATAAAATTTTCTTACACATTCAAATCTCAGAAATCTCTATTTACGAAAAAAATCTTTTTAACGACGAAAAATTCAATTGAATTCGTTTGAATATCAAGACATTGAATTTCTTCAAAAACTATACAAAAAAAATCCTCAGATTAGTATTCATAAAGTGAAGTTCTTCTTCAATACTTTGCTAATTGCAAACTCTCATCTCTTGGGATTACGAGTATAAAATTTTATATTAAGTTCGCACATGCCTTCTTACATTGAAGCTTGAAAGATATTTTCTAAGCATTTTTCCTCTTTGAATGGATTGCTTGTTGACAAGTAGATTAATGTTCTGAGAAAATCTTAAAAGTCTTATTCTACATTTTGACAAAAAAAAATTCTTTCAATGATCTCTTTTTATATTTCTGGAATGCCAATGAGAGTCTTCGATTTCGAAATTATAATGTTGAATTTATGTGGTTAAATTTTAGTGATGACATGAATTCAGCTTACTTGATAAGTACTAAGTATGACGGAGATTGAAAAACTTAAACTATGATTTTATTCTTCAAACTGTTCGGATCCTTGTCTTTTGATCTTCTTCAAAAGGTAGATATGACGTACGGATGACTAAGGTTGATTAACTAAAAGTAAATTTTAGTTACATTTCTCTTAAAATCATTCGTATTTGAAATATTTTAATAATAATTATTATTATTAAGTTTCGTTGTTCGTCATAATATTCACACTTAACTAAGCACACAATGAAGCTGATTGATGTCACATCAATGATGTNAGGATTAAGAGCTTAACAAGTAGTTTTATTTACAATAATATTCTCAAAAAAATACTTTCGTTAAGTGCTGAGGTCATTAAATACATTTAAATATTATTTTAAATATGTACTGTTATTGTTTTCAATTTCGTTAAAGTTGACATGAAACTCAGAACATAATCAAATATTAAATTTTATCATTGAGAAAAGCTTACTTAGACAGCTTTCATGCTGATCTATCGCAGAAGTTTCTATCAAACTATCATCATTATTAGATATTTGATGATCATTGATGACGATCAATCATTGCTTTGTTTCAAATTCAAGAGCATTCCATATTCTCGTTTGTTCCGCATAATCATTTCATTTACCGATTGCAAAACTTAACCGGTTGAAAGTAAACAAAATTGAAATTAATTAAATTTAGATATTATTATAAATACTCTCTGTAATACTCAAAAAATGACAAACCATGGAGGTGACATAGAACCACTTTGAACAGAAGGTCCTATTCTCATGCAATAAAAATCAGATGCTGCTAAAGGCCTTTAAATAATGTATACGAAAAATAAATAAAAACAACAATTTTTTATTTTGGAAAACGTTTCCTTGAAATTTTCTTTAATAAATATTCAATTTCTTATACAATAAAATAATTGAAAAACATTTTTCTCTCGTTTGTGCAAGTTCGACTTGCTCAGACTCGACTTATAAATTTCATTCAAGTGTAATTAAGGCAGTGCCTCAAACTTTTTCGTGTCGCGGTAAATTGAGCGACTGATATAGGTAATGTGGAAAGACTACAAGTTTTGGCCTATTATTAATAAGTATTGCAAATGATGAAAAATATTTTCATATTGCTTGCGACACGAAGTTTGAGGGCCACTGAGCTAAGAAATGTTACTTTTATAAAGTTTTTAAGAGAAATTCTTGTCATTCCTCATCGAGGACTAAGCTAAAAATATTTAATAGTTTTCAAAAAGATTAGTCAAAAGAACTTGGTTCTGGTGTACTTTTTTTCCTTAAAAACTTATCACAAGGAAAGTGGAGAAGGATTTTCTTGATATGAAATTCTGTCAGTGCGAAATTTAATTTCTAATTATAAATTCTGAATTGAAACTTTGACAAGACTTTGTGATGATTCACATAGGACGGTCAAGTCAAATTGTTCACTTCATAAATTGTCGATGCGCTAAAATGTGATTTGCGATTCCTTTAAAAGTTCTTGGACTACTGCAATCAATGCTTTCCATCGATGACATTCGTCGAATCTCATTTGCTGAGAATCTTTCAATTATTGCTTTAACAATGTTCGAGGGAACATGTGAGTCACCTAAAAAAGAAATCAAATAAAGAAATATTATTCTGTTGAAATTAAAAGCAAACAGATAAGAATACGCCATCAAAAGCAAAAATAAAAAATGATGATGAATTGAATTTTGTTTCATTTCTACAATTTAAAAAATAAAATTTACCAAATCCATTCCATCATCAAACAAATAAATTCAAAATAAAGTCAATTAATCAGCAACCACAATTATGCATTCAATTACATTCAAAGAAAAACAAAATAATCAGCAAAAAAGACAAAAATCAAATGTTGAATTATTTCAAACTACGATAACTTCTTACGGGTTTGAGTACTTTTTGTGAACTTTCTTGTTATTATTACTAAGAGAACATGATGATCTAGAAGACGCCACATGAGGATGAAACCTCCGTAATATTTCCAAATTATTGTAATCTCAAGAAATTTATTTTAAATCATTTGATTGAAAGAGAATTAAATTTAAAATAATTTATCGGATATTTACCTAATAATCCTCGATATCCCAGAACTGAATGTTCATGAATATGATTCGACAAATGTTGATTACGTAGAAATGTGTCCGTGTCAACACCCCGAACTTGAGATGGTTTAAGAAATCTGAAAAATAAATGAGTTGAAAATTAATCTCACAATAATCTCAAAAGTTTTCTCGTTTTTCTAACCTTTTTGGAATCTTTGACAAAACGTCATCATTGCCATGTACTGGTCCGAATCCTAAATTTACTAAAATTGCTTCCGCATCAGGTCTTCGAGCTTCAAGTAACGACTCGACACTTGAGCAATGACTCGAATCAGACTTTTTGTAAAAACAGAAAATTAATATAAGATAATAAACTTTATTCTGTTGTAACAAACCTGAAACGATGAATCTCTAAGGAGTGGATTTTTGTGCTGAACTTGAGGGCTTTGATGACCTTCAGATACGGTGTGCTCTCGCATTGGCCTTGCTTGAAGCAGATTAGCTCGCACAGGAGCTATTTGACTATTACTCAAACTATTTGTTGTGTTATTACTAATAATACTCGGGCTCGTGTTAAGCGATGGAATTGTAATTGAAATGTCTTCATCGGCATCATAAATTAAATTTTCCGATGATGCTTGTGCTGGTGGCAATTCATTCTCATTTGCTACACTAAAACTTCGTCCTATTTCAACTAAACGTCGATTACGTGATGACAATGGGCTGGGATTCTCACTGGAACTTCTTCCAAGAACACCAATTCGAGTTCGCGGCGCTGACAAATTATCTACATTTGAAACAATTTCTTCATTTTTCGAAGAATCTTCTTCATTGTCATCTTTTATGTTTGCTACCGCTTCATTGGTTAAGTTTTCGTCATTTTTCTGCTCCATCGGTGGATCACTTGAAGATTCATTTACTAATTTTTGTGTGGTTTTTGCTATAAGATTCTTAAGACCAATCTTTTTACTCTTTAACTTCTCATTTACATTCAATTTATTGCATAAATCATTGAGCCTCTCTTTAATGTTTTCAGTTGTGCCGCTTGTTGATGGTTGGTTAGTTTTAAGTTCGCTACTGCTGCTATCACAAGTTTCTTCTTCGATTGTTTCAAACGCTTTTACATTACTTGAGTTGTCACTTTCATCAACAGCTATTGAATCAACCCATTTTTGTATTGTTGCTGGTGACTTCTTACGCATCTCATTGACAAAGTCACTAACCCAACTGCTAACACGTTTTGAAACTAAACAAATAAAAATTGATTTTAATAAAAATATTTCAGCGAAATTTTCGAATGATATCATTGAATGTTGATCACATGCGACTGTTGACCAACTGAAAGAGGCGACGATAAATATTCAATATTTGTGCAAAAAAGATTAATAAAAAAAGAAGCAAATGAGTCGGCAAAAAATAAACTTCTTTCTATTTTTTTAATATTTCTTTTGTGCTAATGAGGTGTAGAGCGAAAAGAACATAAATAGTTACAAGGAGAGTAGCCACAACTCTAAATATAGAATAGCAGCAATTGTGATAAAAGCATCGCCAGATGTTTTCAATTGATGACTTAACATTGACGTTAGTTTAATTTGAAAAACAACAGAACTTTTCTACTCTGAATCTTTTAAATGTTATGACAACAAGATAGATAAATAAACAATCAAATTGCTTTTTAACAAAACGAGAAATGTTGAATAAATGGAAAAATCAATGTCTGTAGAAATGTTGTAAGGAAACCATAAAATAAAAGTTTAGATAAAAAATTTCCTTTGATTGTGGTGCAGTGTGAAAGCACGTGTAGGAAAATGATTTTATATTTGATCAATCGGAATTACTTATAAGCTGATTAAGTCGTGTTTTATCAGTTTATATTAATAAACTTCACGTTAAACTCGATACAATTAAGTCAACATTAATGTCGTGATAACAGAGCTTAGACTCAACTTGCTGTTTAATTATCAATGTCGTTTTACTGTCTTATCTGTCACAAAACATATTCAATGAATGCTGCATGAACAACCATGTCAATAATGACACACTTGGCTGTTGCTATTCACAAATACACGCGTCTGTCAATTAAACTTTGAAACTTCTTTATCAATTCAGGATTTTTTTTCTTTCTCTCTTAATCCCATTCGCAACACTCGTGATCATCTTGAATCAAATAAATTCTTAAACTTGAACTCACAATTTCTTTTTTATATTTTTTTTTAATGTTTTGCAATTAAAATAAAAAACAACGAAAAATAAATACTCGTTCGTCTGTTTGTTAAAATTGCCAGGCTTTTCGATGTTCCTCAACTGAGTATACAAAAGCGAATGAGAATTGATGGAAAATGTGAGAAGAAAAATATTTACTATCAGTGATCAACGCAAGAGAAGTTGTTTAAAATAACATATATATGCAAGTCATGTCACTATGCTTCGCAATCATATTGAAGCTTTTGCAAACTTCGAGAGACTGAACTTGTAAATGAACCCTCAAAACATGTAACAACTGTGAGAATTACTATTTCTTCTCTCGTTCTTTTTCTCGTGTTATTGTTAAAATTATTTTCCTTGAATTTCAACGTTACATAAACTCAGATAGTTAATTAATAATTTTTATCACTCATAACATTTGATTTTATTTTCTTCACACGGAACCGGATCTTTAAGATTAAGTTGTTTCATAATATTTTATAGTATTGGCTTGTTTATGTGTGTATTTAATTAAATTAAAATATTTTGAAGATAAATTGTGATTTAGAATATTGAGAGACATAGAAGAGTATCTAAGTTATGCATTTACGAGTGAAATTGTTTGCTCAAAAGGGTGCAACAATCTACAGGTCTACGACACCTACCACCAGGAATCTTACCATCCTGATCATCGGCATCATCATCTTCTGTTGTTGTTTTCATTTGTTGAGCTTCTTTGTTATTTTAACTATAAAATTTCCCAACGAGGTGATTGAAAAAGCGATTAAATCAAAGTTAATTGAAAAATCACATGATCAACAGTTGATAATTTATTGTCGCTCAAAAGTCACACACAAATACTCAATGAAAAGAATCACAACTCAGAAATCTATATCACAATAAGCAGAAACAACGCGTAGATCAATTTAGTTAATTGTTGAACATAAAAAATACATTTTTCGACAAATTGAATCAAATAGGGTCGTTCTGATAAATTATTTTGTATCATACTTTTCAATTTTAAACACATTTCCTTCTTCTTTATTGATTCGTGAAGTGGCAAAACAGAAGAAGAAGAAAGAAACTTGATTTGACCTCTATATAATTTCATTAGGAAAAGATTTTACCTGTTTTAACTCTTTTGTGACGTTTAATAATTGATTGAGAAAGTTCACAACAAAAAGGTCACTAAGTACGGAATGTTAAGTAACAGATTAAGTAAAAAGTTAATCAAATAACAACTAAGTTTATCACTACATTAACAAAATTAAAATGAAAAATAGTTTCATCACAATAAGCGTAATGAAAACAACTGAAAATCCAAAGGGAATCATGTGCGAATTATGGAACTTTTTTCCGCGGAAATGAGCTTTCAACCGATTGAATTTGAATTTCATGAGCTTTTTTTAGCAGTTGAGCTTTCAAAAAGCTTTATTAAATATTCTTTAGCAGCACGAAAATAAATGATAAATTGAAAAACCAATCTTCATAGCTATGAATTTAAGAACTTTTATTTCAGTTTTGATAGTATACAATTTTCAATTAGCTCCAAATTTCAAGAATTTCATTTTATTTTACAATTTTTTTCGTCGATTCCAACACTATGCCCAAAAGAAGAAGATTTATGCTTTTTTAATTTGAGTTTTGTCCATTTTAATTAAGCCAAAAAAATGTTTTCTGAAAGCTTGAAGTTTCCCTTTTTTTCTATTGAAGTGCTTTAAAAAATTGTTAAATCAAAATTCTACACTGAATTAATTATCACAGGCGATTGATATTGTTAAATGAATCTTGGATGGAACTGTAAATTATTCACGCAGAAGCAATATTGTTCATTGTCGGATTAACTATTCTTGAAATTTCCTTCCAGAGTGAGCTAAATTATTTTTCACAAATTATTATTAACATTATTTTGCTTCAAGTTTCTTAATTTCTTTTTTATTTACTTTCCCGTATACATGACCTCTTAAATTTGGTTTAATATTGATTTCTTACTTGAGCAAAGGAAAATCAGTTATCTAATATTTTCTTTTGAAACAATCAGGATCTTTTGTAATTAAATGTTCATGATGTCAATAAATTTTCTTAGGAACTTATCTACTTAAATATTTCATATTGTAATGAAATTAAATTTTAAAATGTTTGTGTCTAGGTAGTTTGTTTGCTCAAGAACTTTAATTTCTTAAACTAAATAAGATATTTACTTACGAGATGTTATTCACAAACGTTCCTTTACTTCATTTCTAAATGTAATAAGTTCATCAAACAATATACCAAAGCATATGATGATATCTAAATAAATTTGATTTATTAAAAGAGCTTAAAATCAAAAAATTAGTACGATTATTGAGGTAATGAATTTCTCAGTTATTTACGTATACGTTTTCTTTGTTTCTTTTATGTATCAGTATACTTTTCATATTGGTTTGACTTGTATTCATAAATTAATTTTCTTTTCAAGCTTTTCTTTCATTCCATTGATTCATGTTGAAGCAAAGAATTGAAAGATCATTCTCGATCAACTTAACGTTCTACTTAGCATTTTTTTTACGTATATCAGTTTCGATTTTTCGTATTGAAAAAGTTTCTTTTAAGGATTTTCATTTTCATTTTTTACAACAAATGTTTTTTTTTTCATTTCTATAAGTTTTAGTAAAATATCTTAAATGTTTTCTATCATTGCAGATTTTTTCATCATCATCATTTTTCTGTCATTAAATTTAATTGTTTATAAAGCATTTAGAAATCATTGAATTTTATTATGGCACATTAAAGAGAACAATTGAGATTTTTCATCATGTCATAAAACTTCAAAAATATTTATTTTTAGTAGCGGATTTAAATGTTGTTGACTTCGGGGGTGGAGGAGAAAAAGGATTATTGGGATAATTTTTAATTCAACTATAATTTTGCTTTCTGTTGAATCACATCTTAAACCTAAATTTAATTTTTAAATTGTAGCATTTTTACGTATATTTGTTACAAGTTTACCATCAATCGATGGATCAGTTTATCGAGACGATGTGTCGTATACCAAAAAAATTGTTGATTCTTTATTTAATTTCATGGATATTTAAATATTTTCTTTCTTTAAAACATAAATTGAATGAAAAGAAGAAGAAATGAAGTTCTTTCTGGAAGCATACTGTTGTTTAAATTGCATTAAAGTAACATTTAAATTCTAGTCAAAATAGTATACAAGTTTATCATCTTTCTTCTTGAGTTTTCCTTTATTTTGGTGGATGTTTTAATGTTGTTGATTAATCAGCAAACCCTCATCGTTACTTTCATCAGAACTGTAGAATTGTTGTTGCAACTTATGTTGTGTCACAATCGCTAAAAGCCTCTCCGAATCCATTCGATTAATATTAGCGCTGATATTCTCGATGTTTGCCTCAATGGGAAGTTGATTCGAGTTTTGTGAGTTTGCCAACTGTTCAGTCCAAAATCGTTTCGCTATCGTAATCTGATCGGATTGCTGCTGTTCTGGTGATTTTTTATTAGCTAAATTAAAGTTTTAACAAAAAATCTAAGAAGTGAAAATGCAAAACGTAAAACTTACATGAACTATCGGAAGCATGCTCAAGCATTGGAGTTAAAATTCTTCTTCGAGCGTTGATGAACCAGTTGTTGACTTGGAGTAGGGTGAGATTGGTTTGTGCAGCAATGGCTCGCTTTTCATCTTCTGTTGGGTAAGGATGCTATAAAGCATACGAGAATCATAAATCAATTCGAAATTCAATAAAATGTTGATTGCATTTCTCACCACCAAATGTTGAAATAGCCAAGCTCGCATGACGCTCGTTGCATGTTTTGGTAAAATTCCACGTTTTTGTCGTTTCGATCCCGAATTCAGCGAATAGTTAGAACCAATATCATCGGCATTTGATTCAAGCTCTGAATCGATTTCATCATCTGAATCACCTCCACAGGACGGTGACAATTGAGCTGAGTAATGATCAAGATTCAATGGTGGACATCCGATTTGACTGAGTGGTGTCGAACCAAGAATTTGATGTGGATGTGTTGCTGGAATTCCACCACTGGTAATCGTTGTATTTGCTCCACCACCAACAGCTAGAATTGGAATGTTTATCTCCGTATTTGACATGTTCAAAGATCCATCCATTCCATTTGTAGAATTTAAGTGAGTTGCAAGTGAAGTTCGTGAATTAATAAATCCACCATGATTACTGCTGTTATTATTCGAGTAATCATCAGTCGTATTAGATAAAAAATCATTGTTACTGTTGCTATTGCCAAAAAAAGTCGGTTGATTCGAAAGTGCTTCCTATTAGAAATGAAATTAAATTTATGAAACAAATTCAAAGATTTTTGAGTTACCTGATCACCTGGACTGTTAACCGGACTATTAGAGTTTGACATGTTACTATTGCTTATATGCTCCATAGCATAATCAGATCGAAGTAAGTTCTCCGATTGCATCTTACCCCGTAAGCATGCAATGTATCTGGTGCAGAAGTCGCGACAAAGTTCTTGAACCTTCTCTAGTTCCAACAAATGAATACGAAGAACTTGAAGTGCTTTTATCATCAGACCATCAAGTTCAGCATTATTAGTCAGAAGTGGACGCTTCTCTTTCTCTATTAACTGTACAAATGCCTGAAAAATTAAGTCACAAAATCAATTAAAATCTGTCAATTTTCCAGCTTTCTGTAGCTTACTTGAATATCCCTAGAAAAACTATCATTTTCATTGTTATTTGTTGACGCATTTGGACTCGATGTTGATGATGAATTTGACGAGTTGGATGGAATGTAGCCTTGTGTTGCTTGTTCACATTTCTCTAACAATAACGCAAGTAGTGAGAAGAGTGGATGTCTGAAATAAACATATATTTAATTAAAATAAATATCAGAGACTGAACTTTAAATCGATGTGCGTTGAACTTTGAATATTGATATTCTTGATATTTAAATTCAGAGAAAAGATTCTTGCATTCTTCTTCTGTTTCTTGTCATGAACAAGAATCATTGCTTGAAATTCTGTAAGCTCGCAACATGCATTTCATTCTCAACTTTATTGATGAAATTTCCATTCAATTGCCCAAGAGAATGAACTGGAAGGAATAAAAATATCTGATTCCCCAAAAATAAACAAACATGAAACTGCATAAATGCATATCATCGCTTTCTTGATAATATTCATCGAATAAATATTTCACTCATATCGTGAAGTTTTTTTTTCTGTGTTTCAGTAGCAAAGGAAAGGAAAACGAAATGTTTATTTAATCGCTTGAGAGAGTGGTGAAAAGAAGAACATCATTCGAAGAAGTGAACGAACATTGCTTAGTTATGATGAGTAAAGAGTTGAAGCTTAAACATTTTACAATTGCTCACATCCGAGAATGTTTTATTTTTCTTCCTTTTCCTACCTTCTTCGACAAATAAGAAGTAAAGATGAGTCTCTGACCTCATTTGAATGTTAAATGTAAATTTATTCTTTAATGTAATTCACATCGAAGAAACTAAGCGACGAAGGAATGGTGCTCCATGAAAAATGTACACGAATTTATTTATTTAAAAGTTTTTCATTCAATTTTAAATGTAAAATGTGCATGAAAAACTCAACAGTCATGTTTTTTAGAAAAAAAAAACGCTTCAAGACATCAACGAAGTTTCAGGAAGATATTAGAGAGTAATTTGCAATCTACATTGATCTGTTCTCATCTCTGATACAATTTTCCTCATCATGTGGAAAAATTCATGGCTCTTCAAAAACTCTTTCATGGAAAGATGGTGAAAAGTTAATGAGATTTTTCTTCCTTTCAGGCGTTCTCTCAAAATCGGTAATTTCTTCCAGCTTATAGCTTCACAAAAGCGACAAAACTATACGAAGGAAAGCTAAAAAAAGTATGTTTGTCTTGGGTCGGAGAGTTGTGCAAATGATATGCGGGAGAGGGTGAAAGGGCTACTCTTTTTCTATTTATTTTTATTAGTTTTATCGTCCACTTACTGTGATAGAATTTCAGAATAAAACAAAAAAAAAGTGTTTCAGCTGAACGGATAGAAAGAAAGAAAAAGGAAAGTCATGAATGAAAATCGAAGTTTCTATCCGTGCAGCAACATCAGATCAAAAATATGTATGTAGCCATCAAAAAACATTCTCTAATCTACTCACTTGTATACTGCACGTTTGTCTGCCTCAAACTGTGCTTGATCGATATCATTTGCATTTGATGTCGATGTGTTTGTGTTTGATGTAATATCGTTTCCTTTCTCATTCCCCGTGGGTGATGTTTCCGATGATGATGATGCGGTTACTGATGTTATTCTATTTTCTTGCATTTTCCTACTATTTTCTTCTTCTTCTTCTATGTTTTTTTTTGGTGAATTTTACACAAGATGAAGATTGTTTTTCCGAATGATGGTAAGGGTGGCAGTAATAGTGGTGGTTGGGGAATATCAAGGGATGAAGCGATAGAAAATTAAGAAGGAAGAGAAGAAATAACAATAAAACTTTATGAAAAGTTCGTATACAAATAACCTTGCACTTACTTGATGCCTTTTGCTTTTGCTTTTGTGGACGATAGATAATGTAAAGAGTGTCAGTAGAAACGCAGTAGAGATTCTTTGAGTGTGGGTGGGTAACTTAAGAAAAGTTTTTTGAGAAGACGATGGAAGAAAAAGAAGACAAAAACTTTTCACTCGAAGACAGTTTTCAAATTTTGATAAAACGATGCTCTCGTCTCCATTATTCAAAGATGTAGTTGAACTATGACAATTCTCTCTGTCTGTCGTTGTTCGGGGTAGATTTTCACAAAGAACAGCGCAAGTTGAACGAAGAAAAAAGAAACTTCTCGCTTCAAAAGTTTTTTATTATTTTGTTTGTGACGATTTAAACTTTTATTGTGCTTTTCTTTTTTCTTTTGTTAGTCGATGAAATTTTTAGGATTTTCTCACTTTTTTCCTTTCTTCTTGTTTGCTGTAATTGTTTGTCAATGTTTGATGAATGTTTTTATCTGCAATTAAAGAGACGAAGGCAAGAATGTCAGTTATGATAAGTAACATTATAAATTTGAATAAAATTTACTAATTTATATGAAAATCAAGTCAAACATTGAACTTTGACTCTACACATTTAAAATAAAACATATTTTCAAGAACTCATTTCAATTTTCAACTTGAGTTTTACAATGCATTTAAGAAGGAGACAAAAACGATTGTTTCAATTTGACAATGCAAATATTTTTCATGTCGTTTTCCTTATTCACCTCCTTTTGTTAAAATTTAAAGATAAGAAAAACTCGAAGAAAGTTATGAAAAGAAATGAATCTTATTGTTCTCCTCATGAATTGCACGAAGAGTTTAAGTTTCTTCATACATAAAGAGCTGTGTGTGTGTGTGTTTGTGTAATATTTGCTGCATTCAAATGACTGACATTCATGAGTCTTTTGAGGATTTCTTTATCTCGTCATTATCAAATATTGCATGAATTTTTCAAATCAACATCTTCAAGAACTTCATAGCGATGAAATTTTCTAATTTACAGAAAAAGAAAAATATTTAATAATAATTTATGAAAAAAGTTTTTTTTGTGAGAAAAGCCATTAAAAGTCTTTTATTGGATTATCTTAATTTCAACACTGACTGTGAACAAGATTCACTTTCATAAACGAAACTCACAACTATTTCGAAATAATTTTTAATTCTTAAACTTTTTAGTGTGGCTTAAAGTTATGAATTATTTTCACAACTCAAAGCTTTATAGTTGTTAATTTGAATGTAGATGGGGTGTAAAGAATAAATAATTTAATTATAAAATTTATCTCTTACTGCCTTCTTTTCCGTCTTTTTCATATCCCAAGCCTCCATTACACTTCTTTCTCTCCAACACCTCATTCGCAAGAGTAAGAAGAATGAAACACATTAACGTGTTAATTTTTCGCCTCCGACTTTATTAGCATTTTAACATTTTGAAACTCTCGAAAAATAAGGCAATTGAGCATCGCGAAAAAAAATAAAAACAAGAAGAAGAAGGAAATATAATAAAATAATAATTGTCTGTTTACGCTTCTCTGTTGATATTCGACGACATGAATTGAAAACTCGAAAACAGAGCAAAATGAATAATTAAGAAATGAGTTTGAAACCCTTTCTTTAAACATTCATTTCCTAAGAATGAATGTTTGATTATATTGAATGACATTCTGTCGCATTTCTTGTTGAAGATTTCAACCAAAGACGGAGGAAAATTCAGACGATGTTGATGTCTGCTCTCCCACGGGAATCGCTTTTTTGTTGGAAGCAATTTTAAAGGTTTGTGCTTTATTTTTAATTTAAAAGAAATGTTTAGTAAATTACACAAGAACGAGAAGAGAATCTTCAGTTGTGTATCAATTCCATTTTATGGAGTTAATTATATTCTAGAGGTTTCGTAAATGCTCCATTTTATATACTGTACATAAGGTGCTGTTAAATTTAATGTTTAAACGCTTTCGAAAACCCAACATTAAACAATTCATCACGGGATGAAAAAGGACTAAAAGCTTTTTAAGAGTTGAAAGGATGATAAGTTAATTTCGAAGTTACCTTATTTTCCACAAAAAATATTCTCAAGTTATGTCACAATCAATGTCGAATTAAAACTACATAAACGCTTCAAACAGAGACATCTAATCATTTGTTGTGACATTTAAATTATTTAGACAAAACCAACATTATTCAATTACATCGAAATATCGGATTTCGTTTTCAAATATTTTCCAGCCGAGAATTCAAAGTGGAAGCAAATCACGAGAGTCTACTGAAAATGGGTCGGTGATGTTTTAATTGAAATTTTGCTTAAAATGCAAGCATTCCGATGGATCTTCTTTGACTTGTCCACATGATGTATATCGAGTTGTTTGATGTTTTAAACTTCAATCGTGTTTGATATACAATACAGACGGTATTGAGTTGGCCAAAACGAATCAATAGTAGTCCGACAACAACTTCAAGGGCTGGCATCGAATATCTTTTTGCACAATGTTTTATCTCATTGATTTTTTGTTAAATAAAACGTCAGACCTTTTATAAACCTTTGGCTATGGAGCAAGCCTCAAAGTCTCGCACTCGTCTCATTTGTTAAATTTTTTAATTCCGATGGGCGTTTGAGTGCTTTTGCTTTTTATTTTACTTTGTCTTTTTTTTCTTCATCTCGAATCGCTTCGCAGAATCTTCGGAAACTTCAATTTCGTTGTTTATTAGCGACGAGACAATTTAAAACCTTCATCAGACTTTTAATCATAATTGTTTCATGGCAAGTAGCGCATCTAACGACATTCGTTTGCTTTTATTTAAATGTAAATTTTCAGATGAATTTAAATAGAATTTTAAATCATCTTAAAACAGGGAATGGAAGTAAAGTAAACAGCGAAATGCATACGAGAAACGAATTTTATTTTTAGTCATGGAAACTTTTTTTTTTCGACTCTCGTAGTGTAAAGAATTAAAACTTGATGAATTATTTACTTCATGTGAGTCGTGTCTGTTCGGGGAGTATTCAATGGTTCAGTCAATTCTCTTTCTACACTTTTTGCAGAGCAAGAAAGTTGAAATTTTAATCAGATGACGCTTAAAGATTAGAATAAAGAAAGGAAAATCTCATGAAATGTTAAAAATTCAATTACTTCCTACATTTCATAATGCGAGTGTAATTCCAAGGGTAAACAGTGGTTTTGTAGAATTTAAGCATTTATCAGGTTGGAAAGAATTGTAATTGAATTTATGAGTACATTTTTCACTCATCTCACACCTGATAAGCGAAGATTTCTTTAAAATTTCTCTCCTTTGTTTACTATTTTCAAGATACAAATTCGTTCGTTTATTTAGAGCTGGTAGCTTATCACGCAATGTTCTCATTCTGTATCCACATAATACAAATGGTAGCATTAATAACTTTTATCTTATCGCGCTCAATTGTTTAGCCCTTGAGACTTAAAATTACTTGAAATGCTGTTCAACGTTGCTTTACTGTTTTATGGCAAACAATTAGATTTAATTATTAGAAGTTATTAAACGCTACCTGATTAAATTCAATCTTCAATGAAGTCTTTGATAATGTTTTACAGATGATTTATTTAAACGAGCGACAATTATTCTCTCGAAAGCTCTCTAAACGATGAAAGTAAAAGTCTAAAATACTTCAAATGTTTTTTTAACGAGATTTGTCAGTTCACGGGATTATCAAAATAAATTTTCATGACGATTTTATTAATGGTTCATGTAAATTTAGTAAAAATTCGCGTTAAACGTTGTCATAACATTTTGTGAATGTTTTTATTATTTAAATGAATTAAATGCTTAATAATCAAGGTCTGATAAGCATCAATATTTGTGACAGTTTAGTTTAGAATGTTTACATTTTAATGTCACAATGTTATCAACTGTCGAATGACCTCATAATCGATTAGATTCTTACTCATTTCTTCTGTTTTAAACATGACAAAAGAATAATATTCCATAATGTCTGAGACAATTCATCTAAATCTTCAATGTTGCACAAAATAAATGCTTAACATCAACTTATATTTATGTAGTACAATTGCAATTGATGTCACAAGATTGAAGGAAACTCCGACAATAATGATGACTTCAATGTGACTGAATTCAAGCACGAACGATGTCTCTTTATCGATGTTCGTCTATACATGAAAAAAGAAGACACAAAAAACCAGTAGCAGAAGTTTGAAATACTTATTACGAGTCATAAATATGCAATACAGCAACCGCAAGAATAAGCAGCCATCGTTTTCGAAACAAAAATCACATTTCACACCAAAAAAAGAAACAAACGAGTGAGAGAGGGAGAGAAAGAGACCCGCTATTGATGTTATTGTTGTTGCGGCTGCTTCTTCATTCCTCCCTCACCCAAATCATATCGTTATGCGCGTCGAGTCTGGATAATCCTCAACTTTCCACCACCACACAACCCCTCAGACAAAAAATGCAAAAATTTTTGTAATAATATCATTACATTTTTCTTGTCATGTATCGCTTTTATTATTGTTTGTTGTATATTTTATTACCCGAACAACAACTGAACGAACGAAAAGCATTCAGCTCTAAATCCATTCTTGTCGTTGCTTCTTTTTCTTTCACTTTTTTTTTTGATTTTCATATATTTATCGTAGTTATTGTTTGGTGTGTGTATGTTGTATTCGACTTCTTTTTCTTCCTTGTTGAAAACTCACAACGCGTCTCAGTTAAAAGGAAATTCGAAGGCATTGATTCATAAACAGACTGCTGGCAGTCTTCGAGAATCGAGAATGAAAAACGAAGAGAAACACCACAGCAGAGCAGAGAATTGTGTAACGATTTGAAATGGAACTTTCTTCTTCTTCTTTTTCATTATCCGTTCAAAACGGAATATGACAGTCGACATTCCTACATTCGATGATGAATAATTTAAGAGTAAAAGTTTCACATTTCGTGAGTTCTAAAAGAATTGTCACTGTAAAAGTATTTTATGTATCATGTGTATTCCAAAGTCATACATCCACAGTTGGAGAGGAATAATAATAAAAAAAGTAAATAAATAAATATAAAAAAAACAACACAGCAAATAAATGAATAAAAACATATCTTTTGAATTTATTTACCGTGGTGGATTTGATACTTTTCTTACGTAGCAAGTACTTTATCTACTCTTTGTCTCGTCCTAAACCTTCCAATATGATTCCTTCTTTCTCTCATTTATTCATATTTTTGATTCGTAAAGGTTGACAATAAAAGAAACTCAATCATTGTTACTCTACTTGAGAAATATTCCCACAACATTTATGCCAAAGCATAACTTGAACATATATTTTGGATTTGGTGGGATTAGTGATGCTGTTGGTGATGGTCGGAAACGAGTAAAGCTAGAAATGCTTTTGCTTAGAGATAGTTACTTATGACGAGTGTTGTATTTAAGAACGATTTCACGATTACCATTAATTCATTCCGAACTCATAAACATTGTACAAGTGACTCTATTGACTGCTTATAGCACATGGCTCCAAGCGTAAACTGCTGTGAAGCAAAGAACAAGACGATCTAACTTTTTGTAGTTAAACATTAAATCAAAAAGTTCAGCAGTGATTCTCGACTTTTCCTCATCGCTTCTTCGTTTCAAGTGTATTTTGACTCGACTTTCCTTTTTCTCATATCGCCAAAGCGTGTTTTATTTTTCTTTCTCTCGCAGCCTTTTTTTTTCTTCAATGTTCTGTGTAAAAATCATATTAAAACCACATGCTACATGTTTGTGGATTCTTCTGCTGCTCTTTTTTTTCTTCCTGCGAGAACGACGATTTTTTTTTCATTTGCTTTTGGTTCTGTGTCGCATTTCACTACGGCGGTTGTGAATAAAAAGAAAATGTCACATTTGTATCAATGCGGAATCAGAAGCGTTTAATGAAAAAAAGAAGCACACAAAGTTTCGAGTCATGTTTGGAATTGAATTCTTTAAATTTTCTCATGTTGCCAAATACTTTCCTTACATTACATTCTTAATAATGAAAGTTCCACTCAAGATCATCTTAAATTCTCAAAAGCATTCCAAAAACTTTAAATGTCGAATTTTTAAAGAAATATTTCTCGTCAGACACACTTCAGCCAAAAACTCGTCTGCATTTATAGTCTTCTGTTGTAAAATTTTCCCCGACGACTACTAAATATTCTCACATCATTCATTCATGTACACGTCTTGCACACTATAAAGCTGACAAGGCGACAAAAATAAACTATCACGTCATAAGACAAATGTTACTTTTACAAATTTGCATTCTCAACATTTTCAACAACAAGAATTTTCCAATTCTAACTTCATGAAATAATATTTAAGAAAAAAAACAAGAAATAAAAATAATTAAACCACCCCCGACACATAAATATCTCTTTTTTTTCTTCTCTTTAAAACATTATTTGATATCATTTGATGAAAAATAATCCAACATACATACAGCAAAGTCATCACTCCAACAGTCTGCAAAATATTATTTCTTCCATTCATTCTTTTTATTTTGGAAGATATTTCTAAGCTCACAATTCGAACAAGCGAAAAAAAAAAATGTAAAAAGCGAGATGCCTTGGATGAGAAAGAGAACCGAAACTAAAGTAAACTCACTGGGATATAACAGAAGAAAATTGCAATAAAATCCAAATGTTACCTTAATATTTCTCCATGTTATCCATGCAACACACTCTTTCATCCTCACAGCACAACACAGAAATTCTTTTTTTATTTTAATTTTATCCATATCGGAATCATCTTCTTATTCCTTTGGTTGTTTGAGTAGATGTGAAACTCACTTGCTGTAGATTGTTTTTCTATTCATCTCGGTTCGCTTATTGTTCAGTAGCAGTTTTCATAGAAGATGAATTTTCAGCACTCTTTTGCCCTTCACCCTCCCGTTTTTGGCGCAACTGAAACTGCTGTTGCTTCAGAAGCATCTTTTGCTTGCTTCTGTGGTTTTAGTGTATAATAAAATTATAAATATCATGAATTATATGGGAAACATATTTTCCTCTCCCCGCAAAACGCTAAACTTGCATCAAAACTTTTCTTTCACTTCTTTGAAAGGAGTTTTATGTGAAAATGTTGTATTTATGTATTTACAAGAAGCAAAACATGATGAGTTGAGTTAAACGATAAAAAATAATATGCAAAATGCTTTTCTTACTGCTTTTAAAAGGTACAAAGGGAAACAAAGAAGAGTTTGGAGTAAGAAATATTTTTGCATTACACATTTGTAATTTCATCAAATTTTAATTATTTCATGTAGATAATTAATAATATTTAATCATTCTCTTAATCACCCACTCCGCCCTCGCATATTAAATTCTCTTAATGAAAATTGCATCACGACAAAAGCTAAAACTATGCACATTCGTACCATAATAAAAATGTGATGTCGTTTAATTTATTGCTTAAGAACATAATGCATGCTTCCTTCTTTAATATCCAACTTCTTCTCGAAATGTTCTTTTTTTTTGGGAAAAGATGGAAGAAGAAAAGTTCTTTCATAAGAAAATAGTTTCATTCATCGTGTTGGATGTGAAGAAACTCGTTCAGCTTCTTTCCCCTATTCTTGCTCACAAAATTTCCATTTTTCCTACTCGAAAATGAGCGTAGCATAAAATTTATGGGTGTTTATGCAATGTAATAAAACATATTGCACATTATATGAGCATGATGAAAATGTGCATGGGATTAAAGATCATTCTTTAACACGATGCACAATTCAGTAATGATGAGGCGGGAAAGAATTTTTATGGTTCATTCATTCCTCTCAACATTCAAATGTTCAACATTAAAAGGTGATTATTTTCAATTCGAATGTAATTGTTAGGAAAATTTCCACTTAATCACATCATCATAAAGTGCTCTTGAATTTATGAGCAATTTTGTTGTTTCTCTTACTTTTTAAGTATAAATAGCACAGCACACGCTTAATTTATCAATTTAAACGAAGACAAATTACGAGGAATAAGAAAAATGTATATTCTAAGTACGATAATCTTGAAATGATGCAGACAACCTCGGAGATATCTAAAAAAAAGAGAGAAATGTGCCCATGCCACCCACGGCGACCTTTTACTTTCATGTTTATTTATTATTTGTTATGTTATCACTGTTTGTATCGCGATCATGAAATGCAAGGAACAATGTTGCTTTCTTTCTCTCGTTTTCCATCTCACTTCATGCCACCACTCGTCGTATAACACAAAAACAAACAATGCGTAACCGCACCATTATCACTTCTTTATTACTTTTTTATTGAGAATTTTTGCCATTGCCAAGCGATATAAAAATCTCTTTCCGCTGATTATTTTGGGTGCGCGGAGATTTCTTTCCTTCTTTCTGCTCTTTTCTGTTTTCGCCCCTTTTTTCTTCGTTTTCCAGCACCCAATTTTAATTTTATTTGTAAATAATAAAAATTCCTAATTTTTTTCCGTTTGTTGTGAAATAGAAACGTCTTAAGTATGTTTGTCTGTTTAATTATCGTATAATGGGTTTCTCTCTTATAATTTTTTTTTCAAAACATTATTTAGAGTCGATTTGAAACTCAAGTGGATGTTTCGTTTAGCATACCAAACTTCATCTAAGGATTCTTCAACAAGCGGCGCTGCTTGGCAAACAACAGCTTCGAAAAATCATTTTGCTACTTTAAAACTAAAATAAATGAAATCATGTGGCAAGATAAATAAACGAATGAAAGTCAAGCGTAGTTGTTTCTATTTAATCAAAAGAAGAACGTTCCGCTAGTTTAGCTGGTTTTGTATTGATGATAAATAGAAACAAGAGTTTTTATTTTCCTTATTGTAGATAAATCATTGATTATTAATTAACACCACAAAGACGGTAGCATCATGTTTTCGGGTGGCATGTAAATGTTTGCTAAATATCTATGTTATCTCATCAAATAGTAAAATCTTTCCAAAATTTATGGAATTTAACTTTTGCACAAATCATTTAACACATTCCCATTCGAGTAACGCCACTGCGTGCTATTTAAATGATGTCTAAATTGCTTATGTAATTAGAAGAAAATCGATTCCAGCTAAATATACTTTGCTGTAAATTGAAACACTTGAAACTTGTCATGTCGCGGCATTTCGACGGTGAAATTTTGTTTTTATTTTTTTCATTCTTTCTTTTTTGAATAAAACGTGTTGTCGTCGTGCAATGGTTAAGGCAGAACGTAATCTAATGAGATTTTAATGCACACAACAATATGGTGCTGGTGTAATATCCTCTTCCACTCATCTCCCTCTTCTTTCCTCCCGCAAAGCATGTTTATGCAATCAGACACTGATTTGATGCCACATCTGATGGCGTACTTGCGAAAGAAGACGAGAAGGAAATGCTATCTGATCACTTTTCTCTGATTTTCCTTTTTCATTATTTCTTTTGCCTTTCTTTGAGGTTTATCGTCGTCACGAAAAAAAAAAGTTCAAAGAAGCAATTTTCCAAGAGTGAAAAAAAGTATTTTCGCATCATGTTCGGCAATCTGTTAAGGCGTTCGGAATTCCTCAATCACAACTCGACACAAAAGCCAAAACTTTGTTTATGAAAAAAAAAAGATTTTTCCTTGTCGATGATTCCAATCCGCGTCGTCAAAGTGAGAGAAAAATTGAAGCAGGAAATTGAAAAAAAAATTCTTGTTTTACTCGACAGAAAACGAATAAGCTTTTTGATAAATCTGAAACTCTTTAGTTAGCTGCAAATATTTATCTGTAATTTGGATCTGAAGTTTTCTGATATACGAGATACATATAGAAGGTGTAAAGTAGAAGGTAGTGATGGCTCAAGACGAAAGCAAAAATAAAAGAACAAGCACAATAAGTGAATCTCTAAACCAATCTGATCCCTACAATAAACTCTATCAACACGCACAAACAGAACGTTATGGTAAACTGCTGCCATGCTCACAGCTCATCGACATTTGAGTTAGTTTTTCTGCTTTGTGTTGTTTTCATTTCACAAGCAAGAAGCAATGAATCCAATGAATAGTAATGAACATTATGCAAATCCTTTTAACCAATGTACTTTTTTTCCTTTTCTACTTGACTGTTTTCTCCTTCTTTTGTGAAAATTCATGCATAGCTTTCAATGTTAATTTGCTAAGATTGCAAAGGAAAAGACGGAATAAAAAAAAGGGAAGTGCTGTGTACTGAAAATGTATGTAATTGTGCGGGTGGATATTTTTATCATTAGATTTGAAAACGAAGGAATAAAATCCTTGACTTTAAGGAAAATTTTTGATGATTAAGAAATTTACGCTTTGTATTTATGAAGCAATTTTTTTATCAAGGAAATTTTCCGATAAGCAGAAATTCTTTAGAATTCCAATTAGGTTTTTGAATATTAAACAGGAAGCGAAATTTTAATGAAGTTACCCTGTATTGTCTTCAATTCTATCTCCGATCAACAAGTACGTTTTAAAGTGCTACTGAAGATAATTAAGTTCTAGATAGGTATTTAAATTTTTATCCTTCAATATTTTTGTTTGTAACAATTTGAATTTCAACTGTTAATTTAATTTAAAAAGCTTCGTTAAATTTACTCTTAACGAAAGTTTCAGCCTGAATTTTTTTCGTTTAGTTCTTTCACAAGCAAGCAACGAAAAGTTGAAAAGTTAAATCAATTGAATAATTAATCAACTAAACTTTAGATAAGTTTGCATTGTGTAAGCTCAAAAGTAATGCTTGAAAACATAAAAGCGTCTTGAAATTATTTTTATTTACACACTAGAAATTTGATTAAGATCAAAATTTATTATCTGACTACTTGGATTCGATTTGATTCAAACTTGGAATTTTTATATTAATTTATTATGATTTATTGATAACATTCAACAAGTGCTTCTTTAATTCTAATCTTAAATATTGCTTTATTCATTCCATTCACAGAAAACGAAATATAACCTAAAATGGGTAAAATAATGAAAACAGGAAAAGTTGTGATCGTTCTCAGCGGTCGCTATGCTGGTCGAAAAGGGATTATAATGAAATCTCTTGAAGAAGGCACAAACGATAAGCAATTCGGACAAGCAATAATAGCAGGTATTCAACGATATCCACGTCGTGTTTCTCGCAAAATGAGTAAAGCAAAGGTACACAAGAATTGCCGTATTAAGCCGTTTGTCAAGGTAAGCCAACAACATTTTCAACTAATACAGAATGTTCCTAAGATATATTCAAATATAGATATTCAATTATAACCATCTGATGCCAACACGTTACAATGTTTCTGATTTGAGTATCGATAACAAATACACTATTAAAGATTTAAAAGATCCTGTCAAACGCAAGAAGATTCGCTTCCAAATTCGAATGAGATTGGAGGATCGTTTTAAATGTGGAAGAAACAAATGGTTCTTCTCTAAACTTCGCTTCTAAAGCTGATTTTTGATTTATGAATTGATATTTCGAATTTGATTGTTGAAATCAATAAAAAAGGAATTTAAATTGTTTAATTTTTCATCTTTTTTGATACTGAACTTAATTAAATAACAACAAACATTCGATGGAGGAAAAACTATTTATGAACTTCACTTGGTTTAAGAAATGTATAAAGTTTTCATCAGTTTATTAAAATTCTCTATGAATGTGAAAATTTCAGAATGACCGAACACGTGTCGCTTTAGAATATTTTAAAAACAAAAGAAAATTCTCTTCAATATAAGATTAAATCGTGACCTAGGAAAGGAACCGACCCCATCTCAACTTAAAAGTCACATGAAAAAGTTTTATATTTGCCGAAGGTTTTCTTTTTGTTTCTTTCTTGCAAGTATGAAGAAAACGTCACAACTTTGTTATGAAAAGATTTCATGCGATTTGAGTAAAAGTTGTTTGTTGCTTTGTTAAGGGCTGAGAGTAACAACATGAAGAGTAAGCGAATGAAAAAAGTTTTCCACGAGCCGTTCGATATGAAGCTTTCGCCAGGCATGAAAAGAACAAGAAATTTTTTTAATCAAAACACCGTTGTTGTATTATTTAAGGACGCACCAGTAGAGAGAAAAATTATAAGATAGAAAGCGGTAAATTAAGAAAGATTTTTTCATCCTCCGGTCATAATGGCGATGTTGTTAGTAAATGGAGTTTAGTGGGATATTTATGAATACTTTCCGAAAAAGAAAAAAAAGTATCATTTCATTGAGGCTTCTTAAAGCCAATCTAAAATTCACTCTCGACTTTATGGAAATGTATCGACATCTGGAGAGAGATTGTTCGAGCTCAAACAAGATTACATCTTACGAGAAGCAGTAGAAATTTATTCAATTTCCGAGCAGACTTCACTACATAAAATAGCGCATATTTATAGAGCATTTGCCCCAACATCACCCACTGCTACCAATGATATGCTACGATGTAAGAACATCATCCCGTTGAAGAGAGATAAAAGAAATTATTTACAACTGCGACATCGCCATTAAAACCCATCGCAGCCGAATAAGTAATTGTATTTCATCTCGTCCCCAACAGTAGCAAAAGACATTTTTTGATGTTAAGTAAATTGTCAATTTAAGGTTCTGGATTAAAGTTAGTAACTTCTTTGAAATTTACGTACTTATGTCATTTGAGAAAGTTTCTCGCCTTCGTATCATTTTATGCCATTTATCCCAAAATGAATTACGAAACAGATTTTCGTTCCGATTTCCGAAGACACTTTTACGGTTTTCTTCGCTTGTCTCGTCTCTTTTTCTTTCTTATCATCATCTCATCAATATTACAATCCAATAATCATGATTCGGATGAACGTTTTTCTTAAAATTATTCGCCTTAAAGTGCTTTCCTTGCATTCACAACGAAATTTTTTTATTTTTGTCTTCTCGTCAGCATCGCAAAAGATTTCAGAGTAAAAAAAACGAGAAAAAGAAATCAAAAAATGTTTTTGGCATGATTTGAGGGAGCTGAAGATGGAAGAAAACGATAATCTTTCTCTCCAGTATCCTTCTACGTTTTCTTTTTCTTTTTTTCCTTCCCTTTCTCATTGCAGAAACATTTCATAAAATAAAAAAAGTTTTCGTCTTTATCGCTGTTGTTGGATGTTTCGAGCAACGAGAGATCGTCAGGGAGTTTGACATTATTTGCCATTTCCGAAAAAAAGAAGGAAAAAAAAAGTTTCTGAAGACAAACAATGAATTTAAATTTTTAATCTTTTAAACGGCTTTAAAGGGAATGCACAAAGAAGTTGAAATCGTCGCAAAGCGCGGTTGATGATAAGCAGTCAGTGAATGGCAATGACGTTTGAATGGTTGTTGGTTCTTGCTTGCTTTTCATGAAGTAGTGATTTGGGAGGTTTTGTGAATTTCGTCACAGTATAATTATGTTGATGGCAATTATGATAAGATCATAATAATAGTTGGATGATCATCATTTATTCAAAATTTTCTTCATTACATTTCATCACCACAAGATCATCTCAAGCTTAAAACTCAACAAAACCATAAAATTCTTACCAACAACATCTCGAAATTTATTTCATTTTAATTTAATCTCGAATCGATATTTTGTTCATCTCATGACAGAAAATAAAGTCCTTTCGTATTGTCGACATTGTCATGCATTGCAAGTTTCACTCAGCAATATAAATTCGTCTCATCTTTAAACAAAACTTTGTTTATTTTTCTTATGAAATTATTGTCATTTCGTTTGGTCGTTGGCGCTTGCTTATCCTGAGGGTTTATATGAATTTTTCAGGTTTTCGGTGTTTCTCGAAATAAAAAGAAGAAGCGAAGGAAAAATGCCACAGCATATCTTAATCTTAAGTAACTTCCTGCTTTCACTCGCAATGCCCATGAGAATGCAAAAGGGAGGTGGAGGACTATATAAAGTCAACATTGTAATAACCATAATTCGACTAAATTTTATGCAAAGCAGAAGGACTCATTTCAATGTTCTCGCAAGTCGGAACTCAATGTCTCGGTGACTGTTTGTTTTCCTTCTCCCCTCTACAGCTTTCATATAAGAAATCTTCATTTTGATGTTTCTTATTTTTCGGTTATGATTCTCTCGTACTAAACTCATCACAAGTTGCAGACAGTATCAGACATCGACGACAGAAACAATGATTTTGATGATGATGATAAGGCAATGGCATCAATTGGAAAGAAACTTTCATGTTTCCTTTGATCAAATATTTAATAGATTAAATTACAAACACAAAGCTTACAAATTATAAAATAAAGTTTAAAAACAATTTAATCTTAAAATGAGTTGAATTTTATTTGAAAATCTCCGGAAATTCTTCTTTTCTCTCATCTTAAAAGCTTTCTTATCGCCTAAAAAGTTCCCATCAGAGCTTTAAAATAAACAATTTTTAATCCTTTTATTCCATCTCAAAGTTTCTCTATAATTTTCATTTTATTCATTCCATCTCTCGCCTTTACTCCAACACAACCCATCTTCGTCGTCTTTCGAAGATGAACGATGAAAGAATTTTTATTTTATTTTCTGCAGTTACAGCTGGCTGTGTCTGTAACGTTTGATTTCTCTTCTCTCGATTTTGCTGACAAAGATGATGGAAAATCATGTAGCCAAAAGATGGTAAAAATCGATTTTCTTTCTCATCTTTTCCCCCACAGTCACATTCAACCACTGAACTTTGAGCTTACTTTCTTCTCATGACTTAACTCTGTTGTCTTGTAACTTTTCCTTAACGAACGACTTGTTAGGAGATTTTTATTGTAAAAGGAAAATGGAAATGATTCTTGTAATTGTTTTTCTGTGGCTGGATTTCGCAATTTTTACGGTAGAATTTAATTAAAATATGTGGTAAGGAAGGAGAACGTAAACGAGGGCGAAAATTCAATTAGGAGTTGTTCTAATTTCCAGGAAAACTTATCGAGAGATGTCATTAGACCTGTAGCGGGTTATTCTACTAAATAAATATTCAATGAATTCTCTCTCTTATTCTTTCCGAATAAATATTTAAACTGACTTACAAATCTCAAAAGGAATTCGATCAATCGTTAAACATCATCAATTTTATTTCACGCTTATTCATTCGATGCTAATTTGACTGCAAAGTCTATTCAACCGTGAATTTAAAACGTCATCTTCAACAGCGATGTCATATAGCGACGGTAATTTTCAACCCATTCTTCCTTCTCCAACGAAAAAGTTGTCATTACACGACGAAAAAAAAAGTAGAAAAGAAAGGAAAGAAAATTTCTCCCACAAAACGTAATGACGAAGAAAAAGCAGTTTCGGCTGATGGAAAATTTCCATAAATTTTGTCCTTTTTAGGATCTCGTGTAATAAACGGAAAATGTGTCTAAAAAATATCTACTGTACAAAGAGTGAGTAAATCTCGACCCACACCGACCCGATTTCACACATTTTTTTCACTCTTGCAAACCAACAGAATAACCCGAGTAATAAAAGGGCGACAATGGACCGCCAGGGTTAACTTTTCACTTGCCTTTTTCCATACCTTTTCATTCATGTGTGTATGATGTTTTTTAATGGCTTCGATCTAACTAGTTTTTCTGTACTTCTATTATATGCCGCTTCTTTTCATCATGAACATTGTCCGATATATGTGTATGTTCGTTTATGTATGTTTACAAAAAGAAATCATCTTAAATAAGCGTTTTTGATTTCCCTTCTATCATGGCGAACCATGCAACGTTTTGTGTGCGAAAAAGTGATGATTTGTTATTTTATTTTTTTTCTTGCTTCTCCTAAGTAAGGAACATATTTATTCAAAGGAAAAACAACCTCAGTTATTCAGAAAGTATTTAATTTTGTCACTATGAACGTACGCAATGAGTCAATGTATTTAAACACTTCCCCAGAAATGAATGTGTGGAAGATTTTTGATCATCTTCATCTTCATGTTGAAATCGTGCAACTTTTAGAGAAGAAGACATTAACATTTCTAAACAAAAATATCTTTGCAATTTCCCTCCAACATATGAAATTCTCTCTCATGATCTCGAAGGAAACTGTCACGATACATTCGACAAAAAAAATTGTTTCCCTTTAAATATCAACAACGACATTGATGAAAAAAATATTTTTCGTCAATCTCATGTTCCTCCTTACTCCATCTTTATCAACCCCAAACCTCGCGTTTAGCTTCACCCACGTTACGATACTTTTCAGAATTTCATCATAATTTAGATCTTATCAGTTTTATTGTGGTACATGCTTACATTACATCAAAAAATATAAACAGAAAGCAGTTTTTTTTTTTCATATTTTTTTCCGTACACACATTGGTTCTGATATGACGGTGCTATTGTGAGTTCGGTGTTCTGTCTCTCATGCTCCATTAGATTTTTGTTCAGGGAGAAATTGTCTTTAATGCGAATAAAGCATTTTCGTTTGGGATTGTATGGAGTAAAAGGTTGTGTTGTGAAACAATACAACAGATTTTCGTCCCCATCATCTCCCCAGAGATCTAAATTACATCGACACAAATTTTAATGGTTGAAAAGTTTATTAGCATCACTTCTGTGTAAAAGTTAATGAAGATTGTTTGCTTTGTCCGCCTGAAGCACGATGGCAATATTAAATGGTCTTGCTTCATTGACTCGACTCTAGGAGTCAATTTTCATGTTTGACAAGGAAATGCAAATCTTGAACTTTTTACCTCGGATGACTGCTGTGACACTTACAACTTACAAGTTAACTTGCTTGTTTAATCGAGCATGAAATTTGATAGTAGACGAAGATGTCTCTTCTCTGTTTAGTAGACAAAAGAATTGTCAACCCTTTTTTTTCTATTTATCTAACTCTCTTTTTTGTGTTGTCGCATTTCAAAAACGAGCATCAACATTTCTGATAACGAATCTCAGGGCACATTGGGTTGCTTGAAGATAACCGACTTTTACACTCAGTTTTTTTTTTTCGTTTATTCTTTGCCCAAACCATACTGCAGGACATAATTAAGTTTTTTTTGTTACTTCTTCTCGAATATATTAAGGAACGTCTCTAAAGGGAAATTACACATTCCGGAGTGTTATGTTGGAAAGGGCAAGCGAAGGGAGGAAAAAAGGTCAACTACAAGCACGATTAGATAACTGGATTATAAAGTTTTCACTTCTGCAATCTTTCCACCACCTTAACTGCCCGTCGCCCCCGCAAATCTTTTGTTTTCTTGGATAAAAACTTTTGATATTAAATATTTGGAGAAGTTTCCTTTCTTTCTTGTTTTTATTTCGTTGAAGTTTCGCCAAAGAATCTTTTATTCTTTTTCATGGACGACGAATCGACAGCAAGCTACTACAAGAGTAAAGTAAATACATAAACAATTCTATTCTTTTGCCATCATTTTTAACTTTTCCGTGATTCTTTTTAATGTCATTTCTTTGAAAAACAAATAAATAATTTTTTTTCCTTTATTAATTTTCTTCAACTTTGGAATCGTTTTTTTCGCTTGTTTAAAACTTTCATCGACACGATGAACATGAAAGACAAAAAGAATCAAATAACAACAAAAAATATCAAATTGTGATTAAAATTCCAAATGTGTTGGTTGAGAGAACCAAAAATTAATATATGTGCATTTGTTTTGTTTGAAATGAAAGATTTCCTGATTAAATTAAATATTTTTATATTTTGTTGTTTATGTAAATGGAAGCAGCTACACACATGGGGAATCTGAATAGATAATAAAAATCTACATGACATTTATTTGAGTGCTTCTCAATCTACCTACAATCGGGCTACTGAATAAAATATTAAGTCAATGTTGGGACTGAACAATCGCACTTATTTTAATCTTATCTATGAAATAAATTAAGTATAAAGCAGAAATTATAAGTCAATACGCTCAACTCACTCAATTACTAAATAGACGAAAGCGTCAAAACTTCACACACAAACGACTGTTGAGTGGCGTTAGCATTTTTATCAAATTCATTTTCATTTTAATGACGCCAAACACCATTCGCATTTTTATTACAGCATAAGGTGAGTGCATTATAAATTGAAATGTTCGTCTTAGGTAGTGGATTTGAATGTTTGCGTCTAATTTAACAGTGGCAAAGGCGATTAGAAAAAGAAGAAAATTGCGGAGATCCTGTGAAATATTTATATTCACACCCACAATCATATGAATCCCTCTCGACTGCTGCCTTTCATTTCGTTCGTTGATTTTTTTTCTTTTTATTTTTGTTCTGTTCTTTACTTTTGCGACTATCGCCCTCTGAATGTTTATGCAATATTAATGAATTGCTTTTCAGTTCGCATTCTCACTGAATCGGAATTGTTTAATTTTCCATATTTTTCTTTCGAACGTTTTTTTGTTTCGTTTTTTGCTTCCTTCTCGTCGCCAATCGACATCTAAATTGTGCGCTAACATAAACCATCAAAGACCGACGCTGTTCATCGTTTGTATTATCATTCAATTTTCAAAAACAAAATTTTATAAAAAAAATCTATTTTTGATGTTTTAAAGTCCATGATTTTTGTATTTCTGGCACATATATTATTGAATTTAAATTCGACACAATATGAAGTGGAAAAAGAAATCAAAATGAGAACATAATTAACTTTAGATCGATAAATATTGTATTGCGAAGTAATTTGTATTTTGCATTAATTAAAATTATATGTTTTGTGTCATTGACAATGAGAGATAAATTTTTAAACAAACCAATAATGAACAGATAAACTTCTAGAATTTCATGTTCACTTGTATTGAATTTATTTTATTGTTTTGGTTTTCATTACATGAATCTTGAGAACATGTGGAAGAGCGGCAGAGGCCGTAAAGGCAAAAAGCATGAAGACACAAACCAGACGATTTTTATTTCCAAAGTCGTAAAAATCCATTCATTCATAAAACGAGTCGCGTAAGAACTTCGACTCACCCCGCGAGTGATTTTTACGACTGGGAAATTACTTTGCCTCCACTTCACTCCCTGACAATATAAACAAACAAATTATACTTACATTTCTTTCTTTTTTTGGCACGTTTAAAAGTTGTTAACGATGATTGATGCTGAGAAGTTTGTCAGCTTTTGCTTTCATTAACAATTTACTGACAACGAAAGTCAAGATGACGTTGAAACTTTGGCGGCTGATTTTTCATGTAACTATGCACAACATAGACAAAAGATTAACGAACGATTCACGGTTGGAAAATTATTTCTCATAAAGTTTTCCGCATACCAAACGTGTTCAACTCTCACTTCTCTTTCTATCCTTCTCACTCTTTGTTTTGTTAGTTTTTCTTCTCAACTTTTCTTTTTATTTCCTTTCTAACGAGAAGAAATATTTTCTCGTTTGACGAGCGAAAGGCGAAAGACGAAGGAGGAAAATTCAAAACGAAAAATAATGATTTCACATAAAATACAACTTTGGAATTTTCCACGCACACACTGAGGGAGATGTTGTGTATTAACTTTTCTGTCTGTTTTTATTTCTGTTTTCTCCCTTCAATGTTATTGGACAAGGGATGCCTCTTCATCCGAATTTATCGTGCGAAAACGACACTTACGTCTGCAGCAAGCTTGACGAGAAAAGATTGATTTGTCTGAGAATTGTCGACTTTAATTGAGATTGACACTTTATGTCTGCGCTGTCATGTAAATTTTCTTTTCGTTTCTACACTTATACGAGAGAAAGAAAGAATAGTTCTTGTTGTTTTCTCAAGATTTTTTTCTTTTGAATTTTTCACCGCAAAACGAAAGCTTGAAATACTTTTTCGTGTAAGAGTTCACCCAAAATACACGATTTTTAATTCACAAAACATCAATGATAAGAAAGTGAAAAAGGAACTTTTTACAACGTCATGCTTAACAAAAACTCTATTTGGGAAATGTTTACTTTACATTCCATGAAGAACACCGAACTACTCAAATTAACGTCTGCCACACATCTGAGCATGAAATATCATCACACAGCTTTATATAAATAAAAATTTATTTTTTGCTAAACTTTCTCATTTTCAGATTACGCTGATTTCTCTCCCGAAGTTGGATTACACGGATATCTGATTTTGAATTTCAAAAGACCGTTAAATATTATAATCGTGTGCATGTTTTCTTTTTCTCTTGTGTTTATTATTGTCTTAATTCCATCAATTATAGTTCGCCATTAAAATATAAGATTTATTATAATTACTTTCCAATTTTAATCCATAATATTTTCAGTAATTTCCTCTAATCAAATAATAATTCCCCCTAATAACATTAAAAATAGTCTCGAAATACGTCTGAAGGTCGCGAGAAAGTTTTTAATTGAGTAAGTCGATGAGTGAGTATATAAACAATTATACACAGAGTTGTTGTACTTATCGCTCAGCTTGAATAAAAAAAGAGCCAATAATTGAGCAATTTATACACAAAAGTCAAAAACAATTATGGCGTTGAGGTCATTAAGCAGCAAAACATACTCCAAGTTGAATATGAATATCTTCGATTAAAGCATGCAATGATTTTTCAGTCAGAAAAAACTCTATCAAAACTGATTTATATTTGTACCGGTTGAGATTCTCTCTCTCTCGAGAGAGAATATCTTAGTCAGTGTAGAGCGAGCCGCGGTCGAGTAAAGACGCGGAAAAGAATAAAAACATAATCAAAATAATATATATCGTCGCATTCATCGTTACCGAGTCAGGAGGCATTCTAGCGACGTTACAATATTCACAAACAGGCACAGAGATGTCGAATACAAATTATCAGTTAGTAAGCATAAAGCTTTTCAATATCGACTCATGTTTTGCACAGTTTATAAAATGATTTCAGAACGTTTGGATGTTATAATCTTTGGAGCAACCGGTTACACGGGTAGATTCACTGTTTGTAACGCTGTTAAGCTTTTAGAAGGTCTCAATTGGGGAATTGCTGGTCGTTGTGAAGAAAAACTCAAGAATGTTCTTTTAAATGCTGGCGAAAAAGTTAAAAAAAATCTTTCAATAATTCCAATAATCATTGCGGATATAAACGACCAACATTCGCTTATTGCAATGGCAAAGCAAGCAAAAGTTATTGTAAACTGTTGTGGACCTTATCACAAGTTTGGTGAACAAGTAGTTTCAGCTTGCATAGAAGGTGGTGCACATCAAGTTGACCTGTCAGCTGAGCCACATCATATGGAAGTAATTCAATTAAAATATGATGCAGAAGCGCGAGAGAAAAATGTCTACATTGTATCCGGTTGTGGCTTTGATTCAATTCCTGCCGAAATGGGGACAATCTTTTTGCATGAGAAGTTTGATGGAACTTTGAACTCTGTTGAGATGTTTTTGTACACTAATTTGCTAGAAGATTTGATTCCAAAAGCTCGAGTCAATTATGGAACATGGGAATCAATCATCTACGTATTCGCTCATTACAATGAATTGCGACAAATCAGATGTCAATTGTTTCCAACAAGAACGCCTTCTTTTGAACCGAAAATGCCAAAACATCCATTAATATACAAATCAGATGTTGTCGGTAATCGTTGGTGTCTGCCTTTTCCAAACACGGACCGTTCGGTCGTCTTGAGAACCCACCGATATTTTTATGACAAGTGTAAGAAACGGCCAATTCAATTGCGATCAAATCTTGTGGTCGATTCATTCCTTCATGTCGTTGCTATAGTTCTATTTGCAGCAATTGCTTTAATCATGTTGACTTTTTCTTGTAGCAGAAAATTAATGTTGAGACATTCAAAGTTATTTTCATTCGGTCTAATAACTAAGGAAGGTCCAAAAGATGAAATTAATGAGAATTCATACTTCGATCTTACACTTGTTGGTGAAGGTTGGGCTGAAAAATTCGATAACGAAATGGAAGATGTCAAATTAAAAACAAATAAAAGATTAAGAGTTCAAATATCAGCTGAAAATCCTGGTTATGGTGCAACATGCATTGCTGTCTTATTATCAGCTAAAACAATCTTAAATGAAACTTCAAAAATACCGCAGTCTGGTGGAGTTTTAACTCCTGGAGTTGCTTTTCAACACACTTCACTGATCAACGAACTACAACGAAATGGTTTCACATTTAAAGTATTGAATGAATGAACTGGACATTATCGATTGCGAAAGATGAGTATCTTGAGTCATTTACAACTGTTACAACTCACGTGAATCCAAAACCAGTTGATTATAAATGCACAATGTCATTTATAACACTTTCATTTAATCCGCTATGACGAATCGAAAGAAATATCTGAATGAGACATCATTCGATACGTCACGATTAGGATATTCATTCATTTCAATTATAAACTTGTAACTGAATCATAAAAATATATTTTCACTAAATAAGCATAAAGATGAACAGTTTTATTTTGCTATCGCTTCTGTACAGTTCAGTTTTAACTTTTTAAATAGTTTTCAATTTTTAATGAAATTAGAAATGAATTTAAGGTGAAGAAATAAATTTAAATTGTAATGTTTCAATTATATTAATAAAGTTTATTTCGATTCAGTGTTTTTCTAGTATTTTGGATTGTCATTCCATTATCGTTTATAAAAGCAACTTATGCTGCACCTTTAGATATCAACTTTAATGTGGCTGAAAGCATAGAAAGTGTCTCGCAAACAATAACAAACTCCTTAAGTGACTTTATTAAAGATATGTACAAAAATAACAAACAAGCTTTTTGGATAGCTTCAGCAGCGACATTTGTCTTAATTATATTCGTATGTTGTAAAATGTTTAAGGAAATTGTAATTTTTTTAATAATTGTGATATTATTATGTATAGCTTCAACATTCTTATCGAATAAAATATCTTGAAGATCATTGTTCTTAACATTTAAATTACATTTTATGACTTCAAAATTTAGTACAATCGTCACGCTCATGCAAGAGCTTTATATGGTCATTTAATATTTAAATATACTTGATTTTAGTATGCTGATTCATTATGTATATCGTCAAGTGTAGTTACAAATCTGTGTGTTCTACTTTAATAAACTTGATAAGCTTCTCCATTTAGATCACTTGTTATCAGCTCCATATTATCTATTGGACCATCGCGGTTAGCGTTGCGTCTGTAAATTACGCAATATGAGATCCCGACAATATTTAAGAAGATTGAGAAGAAGAGAAGGAAAATTAAAGGAACATGACTAGGTGAAAGTTCATGATCACCGAATGTCTGTTCTGCTTTTATTACTGCACACTCCTCGAGATCAAGAATTGAGTCCGAGCAACATTTTAATTCTTTATAAACGTCAGATTTCCATGGAACGATTCTTTTATCAACGCAAATGTTATTATTCAAGTTCAAGCTTTCCAGTTTTTTCAGATGTGCGAAAGTATTGTTGTCGATAAACGAAATATCATTGTGGTCGAAATTCAATGTCGTTAACTCAAGATTCTGTGCGAATTGATCAAAGGAAATGATTTTAATGAAGTTATTGTCGAGGTGTAAATCATCAAGACTTTCAAGTGATCTGAAGAGGTGAAGCGGTAAATTTGAAATTCGATTAAATGATAAGATCAAAGCTCTAAGCTCAGTCAGACCGAAGAAAGCAAACGAGCTGATTGAAGAGATTTCATTGTTCTGAAGCTTTAGTGACTGGAGATATGTTGCATTACTAAATGGAAAGTCCGTCAAAATTTTTATTTTGTTGTGCGATAAAATGAGATATCGAAGTTCGCTAGCTTTACCAAATGTCTCGAAATAAATCTCTTCGATTGAAGTGTTTCTCGCAATGAATTCACGAACGTCATTAAATCGATTGAAGATTTCTGGTGGAATGAAAAACATTGATGAATTAATCACAAGTTCCTGTGGTTGCTGTTGCTGTTGAACTTCTTCAATGATTATCGTCGCATTTTTATCATTCGCTGTAATCTTAAGACCTTCATTTGTACACTTGAAGTAGAATACGCCTTTCATGCAATCGAAATTCATAACAATCTTTCTATCTCCACTGCATAAGCGAAGACCAGAATAAAACGTCAACAACAACAATCTGGAATGTGGAATGTTTTTATCTTCACATGACCGTGATTTCTACTTCTACTCTCATAGATTTTATTTTCACCTGAAACAAATGGTCACGAAATATTTACTTTTCTTCATTATTAACGCCAGTTAGCACGACTATTCTCCACTCTGTTTACTGATTTCCTTCTTCTCAACACTTCTTTCTAAATTGAATACTTTCACGATTGAAAATTGATTTATATTCACTTCCTGGGGAACAACAAACAAAACTAACTTTTAATCATCTCTCGAGCGAGAAATTCTCTCAGTTTTGGGAGTTGTTTTTCACTTCAATAAAAAGAATTAAAATTAGAACTGATAAGAAAGTGATCTGCTATTATTCTCGTGAGAATCATTCTCATGAAAGTATATAAAACAAGGCAATCGAGAGTGAATTTAGGAAGAATATGTTAAGTCAGATATAAATTTTTATCTTTATGTATAAATAAATAGTTCGCGTAACTGTTTTGTTGTCACACAACTGGATGTTAAGTGTACCGTCGCCGCATGCATTTATTTTTCCTTACCGTCTGATTTTTAGAACGAATAACTTTTTCACCATTTTGGCATAGACTTTCTCGACTTTAGATACTTCATGTAAAAAACTCGTTTCACCTCAGATTTGCATTCTATAAATTGAATACCTAGTTAGATACATGTACATAGCATAAATGTAAGACAAATGTTCAATTATTTCTTTTTATTTCAGACTAAAAATTAAAACATTAAAAATCTAATCCAGTTTGTTGTTTTCTGCAAGGCTTTCTTTCTCTACATCAAATAAAAGTTCTATAAACTGGTTTTAAACATTGCTGATATCAAACGTATACATTCTTTTATCGTTCTTAAATTGCACAATCACAAAGCTAATTTTATTCTGAATTTCCAATTATAAAGGCTTCTAGGGCTTGCGCAATAAGCATCTTAGCAATAAAGCTGTTTATTATTCTATTCTCTGTGCAAACACAATGCTTCTTATGCTGCTCGATTTACTCGCGCATTGACTCGCTCCGAGATTTTTTTTTCTTCTCTTGAATGAAAACAACATCTTTTGTTGAGCTTAGTTTTATTCAAGTGCTCGTAAGTTGAACATCGTTGCCGTGGGTCTAGCATTAATAATCAGGCCTCAAACTTAATTGTGTAGAATAAGTACTTAGACAAAAATAAAGATTAAAAGACTTCTTGACAATATTTTTCAAGTATCAACTACTGAAGTTGTAAATTATAATAACGTAGAACAAATTAATTTTAATCTTTCTGCTTTTTATGATTCATCAAAGTTTCAACATTTGAAGTTGGCTCTCTTTTCGTAACATTCCAATCATTTCAAGTGTAATTATGTGGTGTAAAAATTGTCAATGATACTACAAAAAGTAATTGAGTGACATAAAAATTGCATTACAGTTAGAGAAGCATTGAGCTTGCGTAAAAAAATGGTTTTGTGCTAAACAATGATATGATTTCAAGCAATTGATATTATTAATATCTGTAAGATCGTCGAGTGTGTGAAAAATGAAAACTTTGCATGCTTTCGACAGAAGAGAATTGTAAAGTAATTTAAAAAGAAACTTGCAAAGAATATTGTAGAAATATCATAATTTTGCTTCTGGTGTCTATAAAAAGAAAAGTATTGGAAGAAAAAATAAATCAAAAGACTTAAATGAAAGTAACATGAGTTACTAGGTTTTAAAAAATATCTTGAATAAAATTAAGTAATAAAAAAGTCGAAAGGTGAGTTTATTTCTCTTTTTATCAATTTTTGAACAACATAAAATGCCGAAGTGTTTCACTGTCGGATTATGAAATAAAAATCGTGATATTACATCAAACAGCCTTTAATCGCAATTTTCGATGTCAAAAGCCGTGACGATGACACGAGGAAGCAATTTTACAAGTCACAACATAAAATCTCAGTGTGAAAATGAAAGTGGAAAACGAAAAATAATGTCTTAATGATCATGAGAAAACTATCTTGATCGGAAACATAAAGATACATACAATTGATAGTAATTTAATTAAAATTTAATGCGAAGTTCGATTTAAAATCTAAAATGTGTCAAAACCGAACGTTGTTTCGACAACCTGCAGCGAAACTTTTTCGTGATCTTTTATTAAAGCATTTTTGAATAGAAGAATAATTACAATTGTGGAATCTTCATCTGACCATCGCAATTAATTATCTAAAAAATGAAGAAAAAAACAAGTTAACAAAGCCAAATATTTGTAATCAATTTTCACTGCAATTAAGATCTTCTTTTTTTACTTTCAATTTTATGTTTAATTTTTCTCTAATTTGGACATTTTTTTTCTTTATTCATGTTTAATTGCTTTTCAGTGCTTGTTAGTTGAGAAGAAAATTAAATGAAAATGAAAAAAGATGGACATTGATTGAAAGAGTTCATGCTTTTTGATGCTGAAAATGAAGGTTTGTGTTTTCATTTCTTCAAAGTTTTCAAAGTTAAGTCGCTTTAGCCGCTCCTCAAGATGCATGAATTCACTTTAAGGAAACTCGCTAACGTTCCACATCATGGATAGTTGAATAAATACTTGAGCATAGTGAAATGGCTAACACAATCGCCTTAGTCTACTTACTATTCTGATATTTAATGTTATGCATGTATATTTCGCAATACGAGTAAAACGCCATGGAATTGTACATACAAATAGCATAATATTTTTTTTTTTGTTTTTATTGCTACTTGTTTACGGTTTGATGGAAACTCAAGACTCACATTTTATATTACGCGTTTATGCTCTACTACGAACGGAAATTATGAAAAATAATTCTGTTCATCTTCATTTTAAGGTGATGATGAAGATTTTTATTTAAAAAGCTTTTATCAAACAGAGAAGGAAAAAGTTTTTAATTGTCATGACCGGTGAAATTTAGAGATTTTTGACCTCAATTTAATCAGCTGGAAATAAGTGCATTATTTAAATTCTTGACTTTATGTTCATGGTGTGTAAGCAGCGAAAGATGATTTTTTTTTTCTTTCTTAATCCTAATTTTATGATCAAAGTGCAGGTAGTCACGACTTTGTTCCAATAAAACGAATCGCTTTTCGCAGAAGATAGAAAATTGCACAATGTGAGCGATGAATATGCAATGGAAAACTTAACGGGTTGCTTTTAATGGATCATTGATTGTGTATCATTCAATCACATTAATATCATAAACTAGAACAAATTTACTTAACAGGCTAAACATTCTGTTATGATGTAATGTTGTTCAAGTTCATTCTGATGACATCATAAACGTAAAAACCCCAACCAACTTCTTATTCAACGCGAGAAGGAAGAGAAAAACAAACGAATTAAGTTCAGAGGGAAACAAAAAATAAATTAAAACTTTTTCATGTTTTAATCAACAACTGAAGGCATGAAATTGATTAGGAAATATAATAAAATTCATTGTCAGTTGAAATAATTGCATGAAAGCCCTAGACAGACAGAATCGACCTAAAGTCTATAGTTAAACATGATTCCTAATATGGTTTTAGTCAAGTGCTTGTTGTGTAAATAAATTCATGAAACAATGAACAGAAAAAACTCTTTTTTTCCTCTCTAAAGGTCATTACTACTTCGCAGCATTGAAATGAAGCTAACGATAGTACCGAGTATCTTAATTGTTGCAAGGAGAGAAAGAAGTAAATTGTTGTGGTTTTTTTTGAAAGTCTCATCGTTTTAACGCATCGTTTAAGACCATCAAATGTCAAAGTCATTCATAATTATTGTGTTATTAAAAAGTTTCGAAAATGTTTTGATTTCAAAGGTAATTTCTTAATCTTTTTTCGTCTCCCCTTTAATTATTTATTTGAAAATGAAAAGAAAAAGATGAAGAAGGAAGTTGTATGAGTACCACTTTGGAGACTTTTCTACTCGCATGGTATCTTGATCTTTAAATTATCATTTTCCATTCATAATACTTGAAAAGCCAAAACAACGTGAAGATCGTTCATCTCCAAATGATAAGTTCATTGAAGGAATCTTCACATTGTGATGCGACGACTTGACAAACATGGAGAGACAACTGAACGAAGGCGGTTTAATGAATTATCTTCTTGAGACGTTAGGACCGGAGATAAATTTCAGCATTCACACGATACAGAAAAGTTCGTACACTACATTTGATAAACATCAATAATAATGAGCTTCAAAACTCTTTACCACCACCTACGGAAATTAATCATTCGCTTGAAATGTTTAAACAATTAATCTCTTTACAGCTCTTTGCAAAAACAACTAACTCAATTGCACACGAGAAATCTACTCGAAGGACACTAAACTTCAGTTTATAGATCAGCATCTCGAGCTTTTGCATTCGTTTTCATATTTATTATCACAAAAATGGCTTCGAGCTGTCAAAGCAGAAAACATTGACTTTCAATGTTGCTTCACATGAAAAATTGTTTACGAAAATTCGCAGACCTACACGCAATAATCAGTTTGGAGACTCAAATTCGATCGAGAAAATTTTTGTCTCTTTTTTTGCAAATAAATTAAAATGATTAATTTGCAATGACTTTTAAATTTTTATTTATGTATGTCTGAAGTTGTCTTCGATTCCAAAGGCAAAAACGATCATTTTAGTTCAAGCTCACATTGCAGTTAGTTATGGATTCGTTCACTACCAAATTAATGCGAAATCACGCCGCTTAACGTTGCACAATCATTTCTATTACTATATTTGATACGTCGCGGGCAACAATGTTTCTTACGACACTTAACTTTGCTTTTCAGCGAGGAGCTTCATTGTTGTAACAAGTAAAAGCTCGCAATGACATGAATGTGATTGTGAAATTACTTTTTTAGACGTCATGATAGTGAATTTGTCATGAAGGAAAAAAATAAAATTAAATCCAAACGACTGTCGACTTCATTAATCAATTTATTATCTTTCAAATGCCTATGCTGATCCAAAACACTACCTCAATGTGTAGTAAATGAAAGGCGGTTCACACAATAAAAATCACAGACAAATGGATAATGTCTCAATTTTGATTTTATCAATCGTGGAAGTAAATGAAATGATGCTTTTGGCATTGTGAAGATTTTCACTGGAAGATTTAAAGACAACAAAAACAACAACGAGAAAATAAAATAACAAACAATCGACGGATAAACATTGAGAAAGAAAGAAGTCACAAAAGCCATAAAATATTTGTACTTACATGAAATTATTCGCGCTTGTGCGGATCGGTTCGAAGTGAAAGTGAACCAACAAAAATATAAAAAGCCAGCGTCAATATATCTTGATATATTTCTTACATTTCTTTAAGCGAATGTCAAAGAAAGGTATTACGAAATGTATTATGAAGTGCGAGTTCATCGATGAAGAAAAGGAAAATCGTGAAATCAAAAAAAATCTCAAAAGCTTCTTTGATATTGGAACCTTTATTTTAGAAATTTTGCAAGCAATCCATTACTTGAAAAATATTTCTCTTTCTTAATTGCCGACAATTTCAAGCATTTTTTGAACTATGCGCCATGATAAGAAAGAAAACAAAAGCTTTATGCAACAAATGAACGCTTAAATATTGTTTCTGTGGCTGTCCACACATCTACAAACGTTTAACAACCACACGTTCAAATTTCCTTCACGTTCGACTGCATTTCTTCATCGATTTAACTTTTCTTTCCTCAGTTTATGTTTCGGTGTCGTGAGCGTAAGATCGTGGATAGCTAAAAACTTATTAATATTCTTCTCCTTCGTCTTGCTGTTAATGAAAAATGATGTTGCAGGTCGATTGAAAAAAAATAAATTCGATAAGAAAACGAAACCATCATAAAGTTGTCTTGTGGTGAAATAAAAAATAAAACTTTTAATTGCAAAATTGTGTTGATCTTTGAAATCATTCATGACAAAATTCGCTATGACCATAAAAAGCTAAATTTGGAATCAAATAAAAGAAATAAAAATACAAAATAAGGTAAAAGAAGTGATAATTAAATTTTTGTTCACAACATGTTTTTGATGTAACCTCCCATATGGAGTAACCGTTGGATAATTTGTTTTCGTGTATTATTCAGATCAATAAGTGTTTGCATAATTTAATTTTCCATCACTTATAAATAAATGAAAGAAGAAGATGAAAAATGAAGATAGAAAAAATCTAAAATCACTTGGATTAATAAGAAAATCAATCATTGTTGATGTGCAAATGCTTCATTAAGAAACCGAGATGAAACAGATCATCGAAATTAAATTGTGAGAGTTTTTCTTACTTCTCAAAACAACAATTATCATTGAATAGTAAAAGAATAGTTTTTTATTCTACCCACTTTGACTTTGAGTTTGACTTAAAAGTAATTTAATGTACTCATAAGAACTTTGAGAAATGGCCTTACAACAGTTCACTCTACCGCTATTTTTATGACGCCAAGTGAAGAAAAGAAAGAATACAAAATAAAAATAATAAAAAACCAAAAAAAGAACATCATCGCTAATTTATTTTGGTCAGAAAGTCTACGAACGAGTTTTATGAGTAAATGGGTGAGTTGGCAGCACTTTTAAAGATCGCTTTTATTTTAGAAAATTTCAATAGCTGAGTGCACTATATTTATAGTTGGTAAACCGTCGACTTTGCTATTTTAGTCACATTCTTTCCTTCAACAACATAAGCAATCTCAAACCATCACGTTTCAGGTGAATGGTGCGCGGATTTTTAAGTAACAGAAATAAGTTTCTTTAATTACATTAACAAAATTAGAAGCATAAGCAGTAAGCACATGTTTATCAACATTCCATTGAATCGATAAATGAAAGTTTGCGATGTTGTTTGACTTTTTATGGTTTAATGTTTTGAGTAAACAAAAATAACTTTTGTTTGTTGTGTATCGAGAGGCACGGTTATGATTGCGAGTAAAGTGAATGATAATGTCAACTTTAGACTCTCCCAACGATGTGATCTTCGATTTCCTAACATATTAATGGTCATAACTGAAGAAGCTGTAATTTAGAAACTTTCAATCGTATACGTGCATATGCGTGACATTGCATTAGTAACGACCCTTTACAGTTGAATGGCTTTTCAAATTGAATTTTCATTTACCGGCAACATGTATAGTTGTTGATTGAAAAGCTGAAGTGTAAACATAAGTCAATTGTACATAACATAGATATCCATGTTTAGCCGTCGTCAATGAAGAAAGAAAGTTTCCCAAACATTTCCACGTTGACTTGAATTATTGGTTTCAATTCAATTGAATATTTTCTCCCTTTTTCTAAATCAAACAGAGAGCTTAAATTTCATTGTGTAATGACGAAAAATGAGCTTTGATGTGAGGATTATAATTTCTTGTTGTGATGTTACGGAGACTTACCGCTTTGTGTGCGGCAACTTTTTGAATGATCATAAATAAAGTTTCACTCTGTCTAGCATACAAGTTTAGCATACGCTTAGCTCACACATTAACGACAACGTGAAGTAATAAAAATATTTGCCGTTTTTCATATCGTGTCGTATTAACATTTTGCCCACATCCGAAGATTTCACTTTCAACATAAATAAGTAATCTTTGTTCATTAACGAGAGTGTTTGCTTGGAAAATCATCCAAAAACATCCAACCAATATTCGGTAATGAAAACAGTCAGCTTTTATTGTCTTACGACTCTAAAAATAATAAAAAAGAAGTGGAAAACAAGAAGAAACATTTTTAATATTTTTAATTTGTTGATTACGTAAAAGAAATCTCGGTCAATTTATGGAATGTTATTCAATTTTCTTTTTATTTAAGTTGTGGAATTATTCGTGTGATGATTGAATGCATCTTTCATTCAATTTAATTATGCAGGTTCGTTAACGCGAGCGGATATTTTCTGACATTTAGAAGATGAAATGTGATATTAAGTTGTCTTCAAGAATGATAGAAAGTTTCTCTGCTTTCTGGTTCAATGATAATCTTATTAAGGTTGAAGATTAATGAGATTAGCCTGAGAGTGCTAATAGTGCAGGTCATGTGAACATAACTTAATTATTACAGTTATCTTAAGCCTATTACATTGTTGTTAAACTTTCATCATTAAGCGTTGTTTTGGATTAAACCTAAAGACTCAGAAATTGTTTAAGAAACATTTTTGTTTCTTCTTTTGCTTGGACGATTTTCTTTTGTGAATTAAAATCAAAAAGAGATAAAATAAATTTTTTCTTAATGATTTCGTTTGCAATTAATTGTTCAATGGCTGTAAACGAAAGCAATCAACTGCCATTTAATCGGCTGTTAAGTGATGTTTTTGTAGCAACACAAATCAAATACCAGCAAAACAAAAATCGCAATAATTAATGTTGAATATTTCGTCTCTTTTTTTGTGAAATATGTAAATGAATAATTTTATTGAAAATGAAAGTTTTATGTCTGTTATCAAGTTTCTTACTAAGTTGGCTGCTTGTCTTGTCATGTCTTGTTTTGTCTGTCCATTAAATAGATTTATGCTTGTTTGGATACTTCATTTCTTCCTTCCTTCGTTAATACTTTTACTTTTCATGCACTTCTTGTAATAAAGAAATTAAGAAAAATTAAAGTCACACCAATTTGTGGCACTTACTTACACAAGAAGCCTAANACACTCGTTCTCCTCATAACAAGGAGAGGATCCTCCAGTTCCACCCCCGCGAGCTCCTCAACATTAATGACAGTGTGGTCAAAAATCCTGATGATTGACTTTAAAACGTGAAGGACGAAATAAGAGCAACAAACATGATTTGTCCGTTCGAAATCTTCAACACGAAAATCAGGAAGAGGGGGGAATTTTGGGAATTTATTCTACAAACCTTCAGAGAAAAAAGTCGAAAGCGGATTTCCGCTTACCGGCGTTCAACTGTAGAATATGAGCGAAATTTTCTATGATTAAATGAGTGTTGTTTTATGTGGAAATAAAATTTCAATGAAACAGATAGAGAATGAAAGTCCTTTTGAATAGATTGTTCTTGAAGTTTTCGTAAATTTGGGACGTAAAATTTCCGTACATTTGAGACGTAATTTATGATATACTCAAATTTTTGTAAATTAAAGACGTCATTTATGATACTCTCCCATTTTTGTTTATTTAAATTTGAGAGGTCATTGTTGTTGCTCCTGAAATTTTTGAAATACGAGACGTCAATTATTGAGCGCCCCTTGATATGTGACATAGAAAGGTCATTTTTGATGCACTCATATGTGAGTCCATATGGACAAAATGATTGTTTACCTTTGCGAAAATTAATATTCTTCAATTTATGAGGCAGTTTTAGGATCAAATCATCAGGAATGCTACCTATGAACACACTTAAATTCCAAATTCTCTCTTTAACTGAAAACTGAGATGATACTAAATTCCTGTGAAAAGAAAATTTTAAAAATGAAACTAAGTTCCTGTAAAAATAAAATTTTGAAAATGGCGCTGTGAAAGCATTACAGCAGATGCAGATGAAACCATCATCATAATTATAGCTAGTGAAACCATCACTTGAAGCTTTAAAGACTTTAAATTTGAAACAACTTCTTAGCAGCGCTAGAAGATGATTTTGCAACCAGCAACAAGATTTCTTTAGTTTTGTTGCGGGAAAAAATGAAAGACCGCATTTTGTATACATACCTATGGAATACACTAAAACTTTAAAATGGACACTGAAATAAGCATAAAAGTAAGTGTTCTTCAGGCTACCCTTATTTAACAGGTTGTGTAGCTAGACGAACACTAGTTTTATTTAATTTATTTTGTGTAAAAATCACTTAAATTAAATAAATACTAATTTCATCGAGCCAACCTGACGGACAGTCCGACCCATCTCTCATATGTAAATGAATAATTTTATTGAAAATGAAAGTTTTATGTCTGTTATCAAGTTTCTTACTAAGTTGGCTGCTTGTCTTGTCATGTCTTGTTTTGTCTGTCCATTAAATAGATTTATGCTTGTTTGGATACTTCATTTCTTCCTTCCTTCGTTAATACTTTTACTTTTCATGCACTTCTTGTAATAAAGAAATTAAGAAAAATTAAAGTCACACCAATTTGTGGCACTTACTTACACAAGAAGCCTAATTTATGAATTATTTCCCTTAATTAATCAAACTATTATTCATTCAAATTTGGTGAGATTAGGAGGAGGAGACATGAATTATGCTAATCGTTTGATTCACTTAAGTTTTTTGTTTGTTTACTTATTATTATTTTTTAAATAATGGCAAGCAAGACACCTTAAATGCTTTTCGCGCGATCAAATATTTTAGATCGACAGTATCCGCCAGTTGCGTAATTGTTATATCGTTTGAAATGTTGAGGATTTAAACATCAATCCCTCGACACTAATGAATATGATTTGACTAGTCATTAATCATGCTATACTGTCATCATGTTGCTCACGGTTACACAACTGATCGCCATTCCCTCTTCATAATGAATCTATACAAACAGAATTTGGTCATGTTGCCTTCTAATATTATTAACATGACTCGAAATCTTTTTATGTTACGTTCAAGAGACTTTAAAATCTCAGCCTCAGTTTTATATTTTCATTTGCTCGTTTTCTTATTTCGTTACGTTTCGATGATTTGGATACAAACGTAAATAAAAGTAATGTGCAAAATACTATGCTCAGTTATATTATTTCACATCCATCGACCCCATGAATTAAATACTGCGGTGAAGCGCAGAATCTAATTATCAATGTCTATGATTTTATAGTTCATTTCTATCTCTTTGCGGTCATGAATATCGCGCTCTGTCTCGCGGTTCTCGAAAGCGTTTCTTCATTTTCTTTTAATCACAAACGGAAGCAATCGCGTTTGGTTCTTCTGTCCAATCATCTTTTACATACTTTCTTACTTACTCATCATGCAGTTAATGATCAAAGGCGAAAAGGGGAAAGAATAAAGGAAAGAAAACAAAATAAAAGAAAGAACAAATGTTGATTGTCTGAAGCATAAAATTTCCGAGTAAGATTCTTGGACGATGGAAGTTTCCGCTCTGTAGAACGATGAATCACCAACATTGAAAAGGAACCAACTTGTAATTGCTAATTTAAATTCAAACACAAACATCAACATTGCGTCATAGAATCTAATTTTAATGCGTGCAAGTAAACCTTGTAATTGATTCCTGGGAAAGCGAATAAGAAATTTGTTTGGGGAAAAATAAATGTTTGAATGGAAGAATCGCTTAAAAACATAATCATTTGTCTTCCCAAAACATTTTTGAGACACATTGTTACTAAAATTCATTGGCAAACGTATATAAAATTTCTCTCAAAAGAATAGAAACTTCTGGAATCACTTGACCTAACTTTAATCGTCGACTTTCCCACGATTACCATCTCGTCTGATGCTAGCAGCGAACAATTAAAATCAGTAAACATATTTCGGACAGAATTTCTCAAGCAATATTCCCTCGATTTGTCGTTCTTCTTCATCATTCTTGAACTGAAAGAGATATCTTAGGTGTTTGTGTGTTCATAACGGAAGAACGCAGTCGTGCGGTAGTCAAAGCCAAGAATGATTTTTTTTTGCGCAGAAAGGCAGATAAACAAAATAAAATCTTTGTTGCTAATTATTCCCGCACCATTCTTAGAGTAGTAAGAGAAAGATTACTATGAATGGAAGAGAAAGAATTCGTGATGAATCGCATTATCGCGATATAATAGTGCACTCATTAATCTATGTTGAGATTGTAATTGTAAGACATTGAGTAACGGGAGAAAAGGTAGCAGCAAGCCAGCAAGCGTTGAAGTTATGAAAGAAAAACTTAAACTATTGCCATGATACATAATTGCATGCTTTTTATACTTGTGATAATGATAATGAGATGGTTAGACGTGGAAAGTAATCATTTTTTTTATTAGCTGTTTTTGATTAGCAATTTGAACTTTTCCCCTCTGGTTTCGAAAACATTAAATCAAAGTTAAAAGTATGAACATACTATAATGGATAATTAATTAATTTACGCTTATGTATGTAGTTTTGTGGCTTGAAGGTAACAACTCGAAGTTACAAAGCTCCCATCAGCGGTCAGCCTCATGTTGATTATGTTCGTAGGTTTGACGTAAAGTTCACAAGACCCCCGTCTTGATATGATTTTGAAAAGTTTCTCCGACAACATCAACCAGAACCTTTCATATTAATTCGAAGGTCAAAAACCTGCTGCTTGTATCTCTTAAGCGACTTCCGTAACATGCTTCGCGTGCATTGTAGTTAATTGAAAACGAAACTTCGTACCCAAAGCTTGTACTTTGTTAAGTAGCGAAACTCAGCAGCAGATCATATCATCCAAAAAATATCAAATAAAAAATAATTTTATTATATTTCGAACTCATTGCGAGCTTCCTCGTTTACCGTAAATTAACATAAATTGTGAATATCACAAACAAAAAGCTTTTGCAGTGTCAATTCCGTTTTAATGGCCTACGATTAATGACTCTTCGATTCCCAAGCTTTGCGAAAAAAAAATTATTTGAAGTTAAAGATTTTTGTTTGACAAACACGAGCGGTTTTTTCTTAATATTTCAATCATACAGAAATTGAATTTTCTTACACACTTTTTTTTTCTTCGAATGGTTTTGACGGGCCACTCGATTGTAGTTAGTTAGCGGTATGCGTGTTTATAGCGACGGCGCGAGAGGTGCGACCTTCACGTCATAAATGCGTTTTTTTATTGCTATTTGATTGAAGTTGATGAAAAACGAGCTCTTAACAGCGACCTCATGTTGTGAAAAGAATTCGAGACATCCAAACAGGGATTGTATTCATCTAATGAATATTATTACGAAATGCACAGTCAATTCAATTCATCGAACAGTGCTGCAAGTGTCTTAATAGCTAACTAATATCTGTCGATAGGTTAATGCTGATTTTTGACATTTCAGATTTGATTTGTCTCTTGTTTTTTGCTTTCATCATAAATTTGATAGAAAACCAGTCAATTCATTTATCAATTTAGAGGCTGAAATTGTAGATCAGTAAAGAACGCTTAATGTCTTCTTAAAATATCACTTCAAGCCGGACGTTTGCAAATTCCACTCTCACGCGTTTTATTTGTGTTTATTTAAAGAAATTTTGTTTGTTTCTGGGTTTGGACAAAAAAAGCTTTTTTTTCATTAATCTCAAAGTCAATCAGAAAGCTTGAAATGTGTATCATCGGTAAACTAAAATATTTATCCGTGGGCACGTTCGAGATCATAAACTTTTAATATGGAGATTAGCTGGAAGTATAAACAAGCAGTTGTTATGCAATTTACGATAATGGGTCTTCATGGCCCTACCAGTTCAACATCGACAAACTATCGTTACTGAAGCCAAAATAAAAAAAAGACTTCGAACACGAAATCCATTTACACAAATACAAAAACGCGTTGTTTACAAATTGGATTTAGCCGATCAATTTTAGCCTTGTCTTGTAACATCAATAAGACATGCGAAGGTGTTATTGATGCCGTCAAGCGCAGCCGAATGGACGATGAAATAAAAAAAATCAATGGCTTTAAAAGACATTCGATTGTTTGCGAAAATATGATGGATCCACTCAATTAGACAGTCAAGGTATTGGGGAAATGAAACAAAAGAACATAATGACAATTGCTTAGCCCACACCTGTCCCTAATGGATACAAAAATGTGCGTGCTTTAATTTGAGTTTCATTCTTCTTCCTTTAATGTCGCTTTGTGATCTGCTTAAAATCAAACAAAGGCGACATTTACTAGTCATGGATAATTTCGTGAATTTTGTTTTTAATGCTTGGTTCTCGTCATCATCATCGTTTTAGTCATGGTTGAACTTTTATGTTTTCCTCTAATTTGTCATCTTTGACAAATTATTTTCTATTAATTTTTTTTTATTTTCGTGAATTTCTTTTCCATAGAATTTTTTTGTAATATTCTGCAATAATGAAGGCTTAATGATAATTTGAGATACTTGTTGCATACATACAGCCATCACATGATGATTAATTGTTTTTCTATATTCTATCGCCAACAGACATGATTCCCGACGAAAAATTTGAAGCACACTGTACAATGATGCTTGTTACAGGAGATGAACATCAACAAAAAGAACAAATCGAACAACAAGAGCAACAACAACCGTATGACATAAGGCTCAGCGCATTCAGCGACATATACAACGAATATTTATCAGATCATTCAGAAATTGAAACAGCGTCAACATCTGATACAGATTCGTCGTCAAGTGCATCACTTTCGAATCCAACAAGCATAACATCGAAGGAAAATTACGAGAACATCAGAAACAATCAAAAAAAGTCGCCGGATATACGCAGTAACTTACACAACAATCAATTGTTTGGTGTACAGTTGGAAGTGAATTTTCTATTGTTAGAGGCCGAACGAAGGAAACTTAAAGTTTTAAAACAGGAACTGAATCTCTCGCTCGATGACTGTGACAAACTCGAGCGTAAAAAGAGAAGTCATAATCAATGTCATGAACTTTTACTCGCAATTTCGTAAGTTGATTTTCTTCCCCCATTCCATTGCGTAACATATTTTTAAAAACATTTATGTTTCAGACGAATACAATCGCAACATAATTTGCTTGAAAAGGAGCTTGCCGATCACACGATTGACATTTTAAAATATTCAAACATCAGAATCATTGAAAAGGTGAATAATTTCATAAAACTTTTTTTTTCATGCCGCTTTTGTTTTGATTTTGTTTCACATGAAAAATTTTCTCGACCAAGACAGTGAAAAAGGAAAAACGCTGAACTTTTCACTGCGCATGGTCGTAGGAACTAGGAAAGAAGGGAGAGACAAGATTTTTTTTCTGATATCAGCTAAACATAGAATCACATCGTCGGAACAAGTGAAAAGTAGTTTTTTAAATTTCTTGAATGAAAAGTGAAGTTAATTAGTTGAAAAACGATTGAAAAGTGTAGAATAAGAAATAATAATTTCAATAATCTATTCAGATATCATTTAAACACCAAGTTTCATCAGAAAAACGCACAAGACTCTCAGAAGTTTTTTTACTAATTTCCACCCCTTCTCAAACATAGTTAAAAAAATACAAAATAGCGTGAAAACATTTGGAAGGAAAACAACAAGAACAACATACGTGCATATGAACAAATAACCCTCAAGGGTTAAAGAGTGAAGAAAAAAATATTCGTGGCTATGTGTTTTATCATCGTTTCGTGCAGACAATTTTATTGAATAGAATGTGAATAAAAGTTATAAGAAAATCATAAATAAACCGCTTGATTGCTAATTTAACTTCAAATCAATACCAATTAAGTCAATCGAGAAAGGGTGGATACAAAGACATACGATGAGTGATAGACATGAGATAATGCTTATAAATAAATCACAATAAGTTGAAACTGCCGCATGTAGAAGACTTAAAACATAAATTTTTTGATACGACGAGCATAAGTGGAATTTAATAGAATGAAAGAGCTTTCAAAACGTGACTAATAAATGATTCTATACTACCAGATTAGAGATTCTTAATTGTTTAAGAGTCGCCTTAAAATATTTGAAGGAATTTATATCGTCGCAAAGTCTGATCACGATTGAATACAAGAGAGCGAGCGAGCATAAGCCGAGACATAATATTTTAATATTCTAGTACTACAGATAAAAGAAATGATTCAAAAACCAGTTCCATCTAACAATAAGCCGCCGATTCCAACCAAGCCTAAGATAGCTCAGAAAACAAATTACATCATTGTCGGAGCAGAAAACCAAATTAAAGTTCAATCAGCGAAAAATGGAAGAAAAGTTAACAATGAACAATGCAATGAAAATCAACCCTTGCTGCCACAGAAAGTGCAGAAAGAAGGCAGTCATTATATTTTGCCCTCATCACCGCCCAACTACTCAGATTGCACAAATGATTGCTGTGGTATTTTAAATATTAACAACAATAAACAGACTGAATGCATTCGAAGACAGATGAACAATAAGAATGGTGAATCGGAAGATGCGAATGGATCGAGTTTCCTGAAATGGAGAGAAAATGACAACCGCAATGTTGTTGATGATAAACAATTTAAAACCTCATCACAATCTTCTGACACTCTTTCATCCAGTTCAGGCGGTTTTAAAGACTATGAATTTGTTTCGAAAACTAAAGCTGTATATGAGATGTATGAAAGAGACAATGGAAATTCAAGCGACCATGAAACACCAGCATATCAAATACCAATTGGCAGCAGTAAAGTGCAAGAAATGAAATCTAAACTTTTAGCACAACAAAAGCAGCAACAACAAAATCACTCACAATGTGAGCCTTCCAAGCCCGTGAACCGGCAAAACGTTCAGAAATCTTCTCGAGAACTTGAGAAAGTTCTTGGCATGCGAATAGAAAAAGAAATTCGCCCGAAATTGTCGACGCATGCACTTCAAGAGAAAGCAGTGAGAAGATTATCAAAGAGTTTTGATGATGCTCAAGAGAGTAGTTTTTCTTCCATAGCCAATCAAATAGGCGCAAATATATCAAAGCAAATACAACAGAAACTTACAGAGGAAATGAAGCAACAGTGCGAGATAATCAAAGAGAAGTTCTTAATTGAGAAAATACCCGTGCAAGAGCATTATAATGATTACATGGTATATATGATCTAGTAGAATGGAACTTATTCCCCTCAACTCGTTTATTTTTCAATTATCATCTTTCGTCTCTTCTTTCTTCAGTTCAAGAGTCAAGAAGAACAATTTTGTCTAGAATAAATTTCCATGCATTTTGATACATTTCCATTAACATTTCTCATCTTTTTTTCAATTACAGAATAATCGAAATCAACCTGCAATTGGACTGAAACAAACTTCTAAAGCGAGGGTGAGTCATACTTCCTTTTACAAAAATTTCTTGAAATATCATTGCATTACAAAAAAGGATACATAAAAGTCAACATGTTTTTCCTGAATGGAAGAAGATTGAAGATGAGTCATAAAAAAAAATATTTTTCTCTCGTGTCATTCTATTTATTTCATTTTATTGGGGAAAGTTATAGATAGATTGGTTTGCTTTATATAAATGCAATTCATCAAAAAGTTAACTCGAGATAATCGATAAGTCTGTAAATTTCTTAAAGTTTTCTAAGAAAACCGTTGTGAATTTTTTCAAACTGTTAATCTAGTACAAAATGTAATGTTGTCTGGTGCAAAATGGAAAAACATTGCAACATTGACACAAAACATTGAGGCAAAAATTCAAATCAACAAAGGGCGTGCAACTACTGCAATTTTTTTCTAGCTTAACAAGTCCTCAATTAAACAATTTTTTAAACAGAATGTTAGAAAATCATCCACTTCCGATTTCTCTATCAATCATATGAAAATATATTTTTAATCGAGTGCAGTAGTTTGACACCTCATTGAATTCATTTCATGACGTCAGAAACACTGAAAGAGACAACATTGAAACAATAAACATGAAAACAATCTGTGAGCGAAACATTCCCATCTACAAACTTATAAGAATCATTCAGTGTGCAACTACGGCGCGAGGCATTTGTGTAGACATTGCTGTCTGTAAAAGTGTAAAAAAAGAACTCCAAAAAATCATTAGAGCAAAATTTTTAAAATATTTGGGATTCTACATCAAGAATTTGATGATTTCGCGTGTGTTTATTGTTCATGTTGTTTTATGGAAAGATTCCCGGAAAAGGCAGTGAATCATCAGATTTTTTTAGTGAAGAAAAGGTTTTAACACAAAAGAACTGTAAGCATAAAGCAAACTAAAAGCGTGACGTCATGTCTGTAGCTTCTGCAAGAAGAAAAAAAGCAAAATAAAAGAATAAGGAAGAAAATTCATGAGTTTCATGGTTGAAAAACACAAGAATTAATTGAATCGCTCAATTTAGATCACACGAGGAGAATAAAGTAAAAAAAAACATATTAAAAGCCACAAAAAACAATTCTCTCAAAGGAGGAAAAGAAAAATAAAAGCAGCATTAATTAACAATTTCAAAGCAGACTGAGCAGGTGTTGGTGATAGTGAAGCGTGTAGTTTGCTTTTTAAAAAAGCGAAAACATAAACTTACCATTGACGTGAAAACAGAAGCAGATAAAAAGACGTTCATTTCAGACGAGCATTAAATTGAAAAACAAATCAAAAGAATGAGACACCAGAAGCTAAATCAAATGATTTATGAGTCGCAACATTCGATGTTAGGGAAGACTAAGAAAAATTAAAGAATATCTCAAGGGCAGAAAAAAAAGAGAGAATTTCTTATAAAAACAAAAATTAAAAGAACCTATTTAACTTCTTCCACAAATCAAATAACACAAGAAGAGGAAGAAGAAAGAAATAAAGTGAAACTTTAAGGGCATTTTGTGTGCAGAAATAAACTCCGAGGGAAACGACATATCAAAAATCTCCCATTCAAGACCTCAATCCACAACAGCAGAAAGAAAACAGAAAAATCCCAATCAACATCAGTCGTGTATGTATTTCTTACTCAACATTTAGCTTGCTTGATTCTTTATTTTCTTATTCAAACAAATGACCCAATTTAACCAACGCCGCATCATGATGAAGTTTATTTTTTCCTCTGCTTCATCATGCTTTGAGTGTTAAATGCAGCAGCAGAAAATTAAAAATATGAAAAAAATCGTGAACATCTAACAATGACAACACCAGCATAGTTCAAGTGGAAAATTTTATGCTTATGTTATCTTTCAAATGCATTCACACAGTTTTATTATTCGCCTTTTTTATTTCTTTTCGACCTGATAAGCGAAGAAACACCTTGTTGTTTGTTACTTAGTTGAAAAACGCTTGCCACGATGTTTAACAGAGGTAAACAGGTTGTCTCTTTGAAGCGATAACAAAAACTTAAGCTTATTATAAACATTGAATAAAGTTCGTTTTGTCGTCGATATCGTTCATGGAAAAACTCGATTGAGACCGCAATTTCTTATCACAAATAAAATAACTTTTTTCTTGGCTCATTTAAAAATTATGCAAATTCGCATTCATTTGCAACTTGCAAAATTTTACTGCCATTTGTTGATGATCTTTTTCTGAAATTCAAATGAGACTCGAAGTGTGTCGTTTCGATAAAAAAATTTTTTTTGTATCATTTTCGAAATCGAGACATAAAAATTGAAGAAAAATATTCTAAGAAGATTCAGAAAGAAACATTTTTGTGGGGAAAAGAAGAAAGAACGAAACTAGTTTTTTGAACTTTAAAATCGTCTCCCGTGTCGAAAAACGTTTATATGAACATGGATACAGATTGCGTCGATAAATATGCATTAGATGGAATTAACATTGGTCGTCTGACACTTTAAGCTCTTAATTCATTGCCTTGTTTTTTCATCTGACTTAATCAGTGGTTGATTGACAGCCCAACTAATTCTCTGACAAAAATTCATGAAATCTGCAATTGCAATTTAATTATTTTCCTTATTCAAGATTGCAACAACGAAAAAAAATCTCTTTTTGCTTGTACCCACCTCAAAATCATCGCCAGAGATATAAAATTACAATAATTTCATGGACGACTTCACCTTCACAATGGGCGAGAGAAGTCAAATGAAAATAAAAAATCTGACAACGCAGCATGTTCAAATAAAAATTAAAGCATTGCCATGAGAAGGTGTAAAAAAATTACATTCAACATTTTACTTCGACCGCATTACATATTAACAAATGTGGAAATTTGTTGAAATTCTCTTTGAGCACATAAAACAGAACACTTTTTTATGTCAGTGCGAAATACTTACGGCTTCTTTGTATAAAAGAAGCTAAAGGGCTTTGTTATGAACAGATTTAAAAGTTAAATGAATCCGGATTAATGTTGCATGACAACTTCATCCTACTTCTATAATTCTTTTTGTTAAATCTGAAAAAATCATAAAAAAAGAAATTGCCGGAAGAGATTCGATTCTTCCATCCTTTCTCCTAGACTAATATTGACTTTCAGACTTTTTGTCGGCAAACACAAGAAAAAGAATGAAAATAAATGTTTTCAACATAAAAGATGAGAAAACAATCGTTTTCATCACTTTAATCATTGTCAAATATTTTGTGTTTGAGTAAATATGAAAAATGATTCTAAGAATCTTCAACATCAATCAAAGTCCAGTGGACATTTTAAGATCAAAATAGAAGGAAGTAACTTCGACCTTCCAACGATTCATTTTTCTCAAAGCTATTTAAAATATTACAAAACACTTTGTGTAATGAATCTGTCAGTCGTTTATCATAGAACGAAATAGTTTCATGTGTCGCAAATAAAATTGTTCAAGTTAAACAATGTATCAACATTCGCTTTCCCCCTAACGCAACAAATTGTTAATAATTTTTATTAATGCGTAATATTTACATTGATATTAGGTTTGTTCATTTAATTCAATTCAAAGGTCGAAGGCATTTGAAGTGACATCGAATAAATTCGCCTTCAATCGTTTTAGAACGCGTGCGTTAAATGCAGTCAGTCGCAATTCGAATTGGAATGTTAAAAGGAAAACTTTCATTTACATAATCTCTAAATAATTTGCATTGTTTCGCCACCCCCAAATTCATTTATCAAAATTTAACTTCCACTGAATATTTGAGAAGTGTGAAAATTTATGTACATAAATTACGAGTTTTGTGACAAGTTTTCTTCATCCCCACTGGGTCAGACATGAAAATGTGCTGTTTAATGTCGCTTTGTCACGTGTGACTTTCGTCTTTCAAATCAGTGTCAAAAGATCTTGTCGACGTTCGCTCAATCAACATAAATGTTGTTATTTTAAACTCGATACTACTTTTCGTCTAGGACAGTGTTTAAATGAGTCAACGTCGCTAGAATGCTTAATGAGTTTATATTTTTAAGTAAAGAAACAAAAAAAAATTGTGATTGTTTGTAGATAATCACGGAAAGTTCTATTAGTCTACTTCTGAAGCGTGCAGAAAGATTTATTGAATTAAATATTACAATAAATAAAAAGAAAAACTCGCGAAAGTGCGTTGCTTTGGAAAAACCTTTTTTTCTCTTACTTATCTACCTCTAATTAATAAATCATTGTTTCGTTTTTTACATTTATGGATCTGAATTCCAAGAGGCCGTAATTGATTTATTTTTCTTTGCTATGCGAACATGAAATGAGTTTTAGAAATGTAATATGATTGAGAGAAGCCGAAAGGAAAAGTTTCAACATTGAATGTTCACTCAACTAAGCTTTAAAAAAAAATTTTTTTGTTACTAATTTATCGCTTTAACAGTCATAATTTTGATTTATTCTCTTCGAACCTATAAAACCGATTTTTTTGTCGAAGGGCGATGAATTAAGGGGGGCGATTTGAAGTCATATCTGTAGATGAAAAGTCATAAAATTCTAATCATAAAAATGATAGTACAAAAACTTGGTCAGTTTGTATGTTTTATGCTTAGCGTTAGCTGTTAAAAAGAATATTTTAATAAGCTCTCGGAGCTCTTTATTCATTTATGACTCGTAAAAGATGGAAACAATAACAGAAGCCAGCTAATAGTCTTACCATAATTAGACAAAGATGCTTAAATGATGAACATTTCCCATAAAGAAAATACAAAGTTTGGAAAACATTACCAACGTTTGAACATTCACATAAAATTTTATGAAAATTGCGCTTAAAAATTTTTTTTTGTGAAAATCCATAAATTATAAAACAGATCGAGAAAAGTATCAGCAATATAAAGTCATTCGATATTTTTATTGCTTTTCCAAGGTTATGATAAACGAACAAAACGTAGCTATAAAAATCAAATCTTCCAAGATTTTGCTTTCAAGTCTAATGTAAAGATCGTAAAAATTAATCAGCATTTTAAAATTCTTTTAAGTAGTTTTAGATTGGGAAAGGTTTCAAATATATTTTTGAATAGCATGAGCATAGTGCTAGTTGAATATGTTAATCTTAACGGCAATTTTATCTGTGTGGCCTGGCCCGTTTTTCTTTATTTAATACGAGAGATTTCTGTCTCGTCTGCGACGACAACAAAAGCAGAACCGTATGAAAATAAATACTTAAAATAGGTTCGAGAACTAACAAGCCAATAAACATTTCTTGAATCAACAAATCCTTATTATTTTTCTTGTAAAATATTTCTTCACTCTTTTATCGCACATACGAGCAGAAGTTTTGTTGGCTGTTGTTCTCATTCTGAATGTAGGAAGCTAAAGTATCAATTATTGAACGATTCCCTTTCGATTCTTCTTTTATTCATGTGAATGCTACCTAACAAAAGAAAGAAATTGTAGAGAGTGGATGAATGTCTGTAGCTGGTCGATAAATAGTAATTTTATTTTAACTATTCTCCCAGATTCTATCTATTGCGTGATACCTTCCATCCGTTCAATTCTTAAACGTTTCTCTTCCCTTCTTTCCTCCACAAAAGCAAAGCAACTTAATGAATGAGAGCAAACGTTTAAAAAATTGAAGTTCATTCCGGGCCATGTTGCGAAAATAACAATAAAATTCAATTTCATCATCTTTTAATTAAATTTCCAGCAACTCATTCATTAATTGTCCGAAAATTTGGTAGAGCGAATGAAACAACCAAAAATTAAAATACCGTTCGTTGTTCTCACATTTTTTTCTGTTACAAAACGAGAAAATAAATAAAACAAAAAATTCTTTTTTTCTCTCTCGATCGGTACAAGCATTGCAGGCCACAATAATATGTTAAAAATGGATATTTATAGCCATAGAGGTTTAGTTCAAAATTTATGCGATTTATGCAGAACAACAATCATAAAACATTATGACATTTTCTGCACCAAGCATTTGGGTGAAGAGGAAACATAAAAAAAGGGAAATTTACGACATGAAATGATGCTGGAAGGATTGCTTATCTTAAATTTTTATGTTAAAGTATTTAAAGAAAATTATGAAGATTTGGCAACAATGTAAAAAGAAAAATTTTTTTTGATTGCCATTTAAGTTAACATTGCAGTTGCATCTCGCTGTTCATTTAAAAAATATCCAATAATGACGTAATTTCCATTTAATTGCTTTAAAACTGACCAGATCTGCATGCAAACAGCAAATTAAAGAAATTTCCGACTTTTCTGAAACGAAATAATTTAAATTCACATCAGTGAATGGTTGGATAGTTGCAAAAACAAAAGCAAACTCTACAAGACTTGCTTAAGTGATTTTTATTTTCAAGTAAATCGTGGATAGGAAAACAAGTCGTTGCGAGTGAAAAGTGGAAAGACGAGCAGAAGTAAAAACAAGTAGTCACCTTTAAATTACAGGCTCAATCACGCTCTGATCGTAAACGTATAGCAAATTGCACATTATTTTATGTTATTGACATGAATATGTCTTTATGGCTCATGATATCGTTATTATTGAAAACTTCACTGAATTCGTCTTGTTGTTGTGCTTCGACGAGAAAGCTCATTGAGTTCACTCCTTTTTAACCTTGCAGGCAATAAATGAATCATTTGGTCAGCTAACAGCTTTTAATAAACTTGAAAGTCCATAAATTGATGAAAGAACTTTGTAACCTTCTGCTCAACAGCTCTAGTTAGTCTCGTAAGCAGAAAACTTTTTTGAAAAATTGACTGAATATGTTGAAATGTAGAAGAACGTGACGATTGAGAGAAAACTCCTACTCGGTTAACAGATCAAAGATCATAAATGTGTGAATCATGATAACTCTACACGTGACTTGATTTCACAAATTTATAACATTAATTATTAAACGCTTTGAGTAAGTTTGCTCATGAAAGCTAAAAGATGATGTCTACATTTACTGCATTAAGCCTTGCATGTCTGTGGAGCTTATGACGTAACAAATTTCATTCCCTCGTTCTTTTTTTTGCGCGCGTTTAACTTGATTCAATGAAGAAATTTTTATTGCCATGTTTGTTTTGTTTGCCTTCTGCCTTCCTACGTCGCATGATAATTTTTATTTTCAATTCATTCACAGCTAGATCGCGAATCTTATGTGTAAATGAGACGCTAATTTGTACATTGCAAAATATTCACAAACTAATTGATCGAGTGAACTGAGCGTTGAGGGTAAAGTCAGGGTGAAGGCAAGTGAATAACTCAGCAAAGCAATTAAGCAAAGTATTCTTGAACTTCTCTCAACTTTACTTAATTTACATTTTAAATTATTCTTTAGTTTGTGCAAATAACGAACAAAATTTGTTTTCAAAGAAATTCGTCAAAAAAGTTGAATTGTTAAGCGATATTGTTTTTCTGCCTTTTCTTCTTTATGAATAATTTTTTTATGGGTTGGTCGTGGTGCGTGTTAAGATCTTTAAGTCATACTTTCAATGACAAAGTCGCTTTTTCTAACATAAACTCATTTGCTATTTTTATAAATTATAATGCTATTGAGTACAAAAGGCGATATCACTGCGACATCGCGAAAATAAATCTTAAAGCTTATAACTACAAAAACTAAAATTATTTGAAGCGTGGAGAAATCACTGAGCCCGTAATCTTCATTTACCTCCACACCCCGATTCGCAATTCACGTCTTGTTAGCATTTCGTTGGTTGTCGCTTCGCTTGAGTTGAATGGCAGAAGAAAAATAATTGAAACAACTTATCAATGCGTGCTGATAAGTCAAAACATACTCGAATGCTGTACAAGTTATACAAGATGAAATAGCAGAAGTTTGTTTACATTACATAAATGTAAATTAACTCTCGAATTAAGATAAAAACAAATGAAATACAAGGTTTCAATGAGTTAATGTAATAAAGTTTTTCTTTTTCATTTTCCAATCTTTACTGATATAAACTTGCTGATGTTTATGTTACGAGTTTATTTGTAATTTGCTAATGGACGTACTTATCTTGCAAACTACTTTCTTCCCATCTTGAGAGTAACGAGACGTAAACTCTTTTAAAAGATTTGCAAAAAAAAGAATCGATAGAAATAAATTTTCTTTGGAAAGATGTTTTCACTTCTTCCAAAACCAGACGTCAGTATTGATTGACTTGTCTCGTCTTTATAAAGATGAAAATATTATTTGAAATTGAATTCATAGGATGAGTTGAGTCTTCTGTGGTTTTTCATGTTTAGTCTGTCGTCTGGTGATGTTTCGAGGTTTTTTGTATTATTTTCGCATTTATTTTCTGGCGGCTGATGAAAAACATGAGCATCGCCCATAAAGTAGCGCTAAACCTACAACTGACACATGAAATATTTGTCTAAAAGAATTTTTATCGTCATCTTTGAGTTATTCTCTATGTGTGAAGTCATCACCATTCGACATTCTTCTCTTAAAATAAAGTTTCTTCAACCGGCAACAAATGTAAACTTTTTCGCGTAAAAACCACATGTTGACACGTTTTAAAAATATTTCTCATTGAATTAGCACTTTGTCGACATTAAAAACGAACATCAAATATTTTAACTACCAATTTTTGAGACGGTTTTAAGCAGTGATGTTTATGTTTATATAAAGTAATTTATTTGTCAGCGAACTGTCGACAATTTATTAAATTACTTTACATTTCATCGTTAGAAAACTGACGAAGTGATGCGATGAACATCGTTAGAAAACTGACGAAGTGATGCGATGAACATCGTCGGCAGCAAGCAAGCAATCACCGCAATCAAAGATTAAACAGTTCAATAGTGAAGTTTAGAAAATAAACGCTTTTCTCCGGTAAAACTTTCTATCCGCTGCTCAACAAAAAAACAAAGTCGGCAATGAAGTAAAATTGTTGTTTGTGGCAGCTACAAGGCACTCGCGCAAGTTGTTGCACATTAAAAATAAATGATTCGAAGTTATGCGGTTACTTTCCATTATTTCTCCTTTTACAGTTGGTGGAAAATTGCGAAGCATTGAATTTCAATTTCCTATGTATGCAAAACGAGTACTTTAGGTAGATATTTATGTAAAGGATTTCGCTGAAAACGAAAATTTATGCAATAATTTGTTGCAACATAATCAAGACACGAACGTGTAAAACTCTCATTTCCTATTAATTGATTTATTAGATTTTGCATATCTGATTAATATCTGAGTTTTTGTTAAACTCATCTGACAATTAAATCTTGCTGTGAAGCAAGTTTACTTACTCAAGTTTGCAGCATAATTAATATTAATTGGACTGTGTGTTTTAAAGGAACAAACTTGTGAGTGAAGTTTCCAACATTTCATGTTAATTAAGTTTTCCCTCAAATACTTAAAGCGAGAAGATTTACGATTCCGAAATGTTCACGATCAGGTTGTTGGGAAAGGAAAGTTTTTGTGAATTGTTGCAGAAGAAATTGTAAGGGTCCATGCTGAGTTACAAGAAATTTTCTCATTTATTATCTTTGTCTTTGAAGAATTTTCTTACTTCCCTAGGAAAAGGGAGAAGGGAAATAAATCCGATATCGATGGCTGGCTGACAAACGAAAGCATTTAAGATGAACCGTCAATTTATTCTTTTCTTTGAAAGCGGATAAATGGGGTGCATTTCAATTTAAAATTTAAATTAATGCTTCTATTTATGATTTCAGCAGTCAGGAAATTGACGGCAGACAAAATTTATTTTATGTTTCCCTCGAAAAATTTCTTCTTCTTGCTCATTCCCGGAGATGTTGATGAAGTGAATCCGGTACATGCCAGATCTTAAATCGATAAACACTTACACATAAAATTATTAAACTGGAAAGAACTCATTTTTTATGAATGAAAATGATTTACGAATTACCATAAACTGTCATGAAAATGAAAATGAAAATGAAAAATTTTCTAGCAATAAATTTAATAATTGCGAAATGAAGCGAATGAAATTCTTTCGTTTTAAGCACGCAAACATCTGCACTTGGCAGAGATAAAAATAAGATACGTTTAATGACTGTTAATAAAACTATAAATTCCCATAAAGGCAGCTTTTGACGTTCCGCTCAGAACCTTCAAATTACAACAAAGTTAAGTTGAATCATTTGTCGAGTTTAATTTAAATTTTAGTCAAATTTGCATAAACAATCAATGGAAAGGAAAATTTTCTATTCTCGTCGCATGTCATCGTTGCCTTGAGTTTTTGTCATTTAAAACGTTCACTTAGTGTAAGCTTTAAATCGTGGCTTTGAAGTCTGCGGCAAACGATCAAAGGCGAGCAATATTTATTGCTTTTCAAGAGAAACGTCAAGGATTCTACTTAGATTATTGAATTACATTTAACTTTGCTATTTCTATTCCAAAGATGAACTCAATTTACTCTCAAAAGCAAATGCTATTAGCACGTTGAAAGCGAAAGATTATTTTTATATTTCTTTTAAAAATATAAACCTCGATATTGATTCTAATGAAGGCACGTTCGAAACATTTTCCGCAATTTTGTTAAATTCCGAAAATTCCAGTGAAGGGTGTAGCACAACATCAAACGAAATCATAAACTTTTCATAGATTTAAAGGCGTTAAATGAATGGTTATGATATCAACAAATGATATTCCATCCACGCACAAACTCAAAAACAGATCAATTTCTCGCTTTATTTAAATTCTATTAAATTAGCCTCGCTTTTAGTTCACTCAAAGCATGATTCCAAATGAAATGTTTAGTTCATAAATGCTTCTCTTATACTGCTAAGTTTGGCTTATGTCCGTACTCGAAAACAAACTATGAAGTTTCATTGAGAGCATGTGAATGTTTGTTTATTTATGTTGATTCCGAATGGAGAAAGTTGTTGTTGAATTTAAAAATTTAGTTAAAATATCGAATTGTTTATTCATAGGTACGCGTTGTTATTCGTTGAAATGAACTGGAAAAAAATCGCTTCTCCGTCTTAAGCAAAAGTTTACAATCACGATGACATCAACAACCGTTTGAACAAATACATCGTGTCATCACTTGTTCTCTTATTATTGTGTTGATGATGATGATTCTCCTTCCAGTTGTTTTATTTTGTTGTTCAGACGTGGGCTTGTTAAAAGTTTATTAATAAATTGAACATCATTTAAATTTGAATATCTGACACCAACAAAATAAATCATTCTACGATATGAAGCGGGCGAGACAAGACACAAGAAACAAGAAAATGCTTGAATCGTTGCATCATAAGATTTCATTTAAAGACAATTTAGCATCAATCAGTCAGAGTATTTATTGATTTATTTGTTTTCGACATATTCAATTTGAGTATTGATGAATTTTATGAGACGTCAATTAATGCAAGAATGGAAATGTTGAATTGAAGTTGAAATAAGAATTAATAAAATTAGTTACGGGTTGAAGAACTTTTGATTTTGATGTCGATTATTATCTTCCACCACGTCAAGAATAGCTTGTAGTGTTAAAATCACAGTCAGCATTGTAAGGAAACAAAAAATAGCTTCAGAGTGGAGTTGTCGATTGCGGCGTAACTTAATAATTGGCAGTTTGAGAATCATTCACCAGTTAATTGTATGAATGATACAATTCTTGCTTGTCATACTTCAAAGTTTCGCAAGAAAAACGTAAAGCAAAACTTTTACTGTTCTCACCGAGAAGAAAATCATTAAGATTGATGAAATCGTCAGAACGAGAGAGAGTGAAGCGTTTAATTAACTTTTTTATCAGCAAAAACTTTTCCTTCATCAAGAAACATTAACAATGTCAGCAAGAAAATCTCCTGAATATTTAAATTAAGTTCTTACAGTCAGTCGTAAGTTTTCCTTCTCTATTCAAGCAATTTAAGAAAAGAATTTCCATTGTAATTAGTTTCATTTTAATTTTCCTTTTCCTTCTACCCATCGGACTTTTCTTCTTAATTGCGTTCACTTATTCACGACGCTTCTCAAGTCTGACCATTTCAATTGAAGTTGATGTTTATAAATTCCATCTGGTTTTCTCTTTTAAGTCTTGAAATCATTACACCAACGACGACCACTTAGTGATGAAAAATCTTTTCTTCCATCCGTTTTCGTTCGATTTAAGATACTTTCTTCTCATAATTGAATCGCTGATGATTCAATTATTTTTGTATCTGTTTGAGTTTAATTTATGTAGGAGGAAAAAAGCAGAAACAATGTCAGGTTTTTGTAAGCTTCTCAAGCAACAACCAAAAATCTTTTCTTAAAATACTTTCAGTGTAATCAATAATTATGCCACTAATTTTCCAACTAATTTCAACTCATAAAGATTTCGATTCAAAATAGAAATGATACGAAATCTCAAGCGGTGAGCAATTAGCGTAGCGAAGTATTTTCTACAGTATCGTTTAATACCGATGTCATTAAGGCGCTTGGAATGATCGTTTTAGCTATGGCGAATGGTAGTCATAATACAAGAGTTGCGTGGGAGTAAAACATGTGTGATTTTGGAAGGTTTTCCGGGGCTTGTATTAACTTCAAGCCTCTCAAATGTGATGTTGAAAAAACCCATAAATAAAGTCGAGAGATCAGATAGAGCAGATTTTTATTAAATTAATTTCGGTGGGCGTCTGTTAAAACTTCCAATTAAAATTTCCGTGATATGAGATAAAAGTAAATTGCATTTCTACTAATCGAGATATGAGACTTTTAGGTGCGGTTGGGTAAAAAAATTAAACAATCTGCCATTCAAATTTCAATTTCCTTTATTTTAGTTTTTTTTTGATTAATTCAATGAAATGAAAGAAAAACAAGAGAAGAATTATGAAAGATTTTTTTCCCTTTATCGTCTGGGAATAACAACAAAGGAGAATTCCAGAGATTTATTGCCTCAAATGTGATCTTACAGATCTCAAAAGAAACTTTCCCTTCGTAGGCAATAAAATTTATTGCACAAACAAATTGAGAAATTTCCACAAGAGTCAGCGACATGAAGGAAATCGAAATGAAAACGATTTTGTTATCAATCATTGAGAACAGCATTTCTATTGTTATGACGAAAGTATTCTTAAGTCATGTACAAATTTAAAGAAATCAATCAAAAACTGAACTTAAAATTCCAATATCTTAAAAACTTGAAGTGAAATTCAAACTTGTTTGCGTCATTGACGTTTTTCTTTGAATTTATCGATTGATTGCTTACACAGTTGCTTGCAATCAAGTAAAAAGCCTCATAAGTGCATTACAAAGACAATAAATAAATAAAAAAGAAAGTCTTTCAAATACTCTTCAATTGCATTAAAAGTTTAAAATTTGTGATAGGAAAACAGACGCAAATTAATTTAATGGATTTGCTTTGAAAACAAAGAGTCGTTGAAGTGAATAAATAAAAAAGAAATCTTCTCGTTTTTAATATTCACAAATTGCATCTAATAAAATTAAACTTGTTTTTCAATTATCGAAAAAGCAAATTTATCGCAGCAATAAATTGTGGAGCATGGCAATAAAATTAGAAAATTGTTTTTTTATTAGATGTGAGACTTGGTGGCATTGTAACTACAAACCTGATTTTGTTTGTTTACTACTCAGCTGTAAAATTGTTCTTAACGTCATTTATATATTTTGTCATGACGATACTTGCTTGCTTGATCAATATCCTCAACTATTTACAAACAACACTTCTCCTGATGACTAAAACCGGTTTTGCTTTGTTCCATTTCTTGACTGCTTTGAGGTAATCGAACTGTTTTGTAATCGATTTTGTTCTTTCCTTCGTTACACACACGAAAAATCTATTCGTTTAAATGGCAATCTGTGTCAATGTACTTCATTTTGTCATGTTGATGACATGATACATGAGAATCATAATCTATGTTTATGACACTTGATACTTTAGATAAAGTCGTCATTGTGCTAAAAAATATTCTAAGATTAATAAACAGACCTTCGTTAGGCATCATCTTTTGTGCAAAAAAGAAACATATGTCACTGAAAACATTAACTTGGATAACAACGTAACTCAATACGAAATGTTTTTGCTGAAACTGAGAAGCACATCGAGTTGAAATGGGATGTCAGAAGCACTTTAATTGATTGGCAACAGAAACATCAACACTTAAGTTCGATGGAAATTTTCCATTTCATAATATGACAGTAGGAAGCATCTTCGGGAAATAATTTCAGACTTCGTTGATGTTTGCGTCACTCTCAATTATCGCCTGAATATTAAAGCTGATGGTAATCTTTTGCAATTTATGAGCGAGAAAAGATTGTATTTGAGCCATGTGTAATAAAACTGCCATCAACATAATAAAGAAAGTCTCTCAAAAAACGATTACATGACAAATAAGAAGAAAATCTCAGTTGATTGAAGTTGTTCGAGGAGTTGAGGAAGGAATCACTTATTTCTCTGACAAATTATTTATTGCTTTAATTACAATTTCAAATCTTGTTGCTCAACTGTGAAGAAAATAATAAACTGTAATTAGTAGCGCGAAGCACAAACAGCAGACAAACATCTTTTGACCTGACAATGCTATCAATCTTCACAGTTCTTATTCCGTGAATAAATTTACATTATAATGAAGTTCTCGTTTGTTATGCAATCGCTAAGTATCCGCCGATGTGTGCTGATAAATTGAATAGATTAAATTTTTGATATTAATCACGATTCAAGGATTTCAAGTCAATTGTATTATTTAGTTAGATTTCTAAGTATTTAAAATAAAAGGAGATTAAAACAATTCTCAAAGATTGCATAGTTAATGTAAGTGAGTATTGAAATAATTCATGAATAAGACGAGCTGTTCGCTTCTCAAGGCATAAATTACCAGAATGTCAATCATAAAATGACACAATTTATTGACATTTCTCGATGCTTATCTGAATATTTCAATATCATAAGCAAAAATATCTTGATTTAAACTTAAAATGACAGACAATGACATTTAACAGAACATTTATTAGAATTTTAATGCGCACATGTGACTTGGGAATGACTTCAACAAGAACGAAAGAACAAAAATAAAATAAAAAAACAGCTGGAAGTGATATTGTTGATGTGACGAACGCGCTCGTTCTCTTACATAACTTTCGGGAAGCACTTTAATCATTTCCTGAATATTCCTCGTCTTGATACGTGATGACACATCTTTCAAGATCACTTCTTGCTTTATGCTTTAACTGATTTATTTCTTTTTTAAGGCGTCAATTTAAGCCGACTTTTTTATTTATTTTCACGACACATATAAAGAAGTGAAAATTTCTTTAAAGAAGATTTAACAATCTAACAAACATAAAACGTCGTCGATCGTAACTTAACAGAGAGATGGAGGTATAAAAACTTTGATTTGATCAGGATAAATTGCCTCGTTATCTCAATTGACGGTTTTCATTTATCACTTGGAAGACATGGAAGTGTAATGATGTTTCGATTTCCCTTTTTCCGACATCACAAAACGACAGATTTCCCGACTGATTCGATTGATTGATTCCAATTTAAGGCTTAATGGTTCAGATTTTCCCTTCAGGGACTGTCTTCACTTGTTTACGAAAAAGATTTCCTTTACAAAATGTCGCCTTGTGATAAGAGATACGCTTTTCTATTTGAATTTCTGCTTGCTCCTATAAGTAACTCCATCGTTTCGTTTGCATGACTCGCAAGCTTAAAGATATAATCTTGTTGAGAGTAAACATTGACATGACTCCACATCAGAGCATCCGAATAAAAGGAACGATTTGTAAATATAATTTTCATCGTTTTTTTGAGGGAAATTTTCTTTCTCTTTCTTTTCGCTTGTAGCCGAATTGAGTTGCGATGATTCATCGGATTTATACTCGTGAGTTTAGACACGGAAATTTAATGGGGGAGTAAAGAATTTGAATGCTGAATTCTGAACATTCTTTAAGAGCGCTTCAGGCTTCAATTATTTACTTGTTTTCTGTTTTTCCCTAAATTTCCCTGTCAGTTTTATGATTATGGGAAATTTCCGCAATTTGGTGATGGAGAATATAAATGTGTAACTAAATTAAGATGATTGTACCTGCTTTTCCTCTAACCATCATTGAAAACAACGAGGAAAAAGTTTTTCCAATAAAACGTGCTTATGAAAAATTTAAAATTCGATTGAAATTTCATTTAAAAAGTTCAAAACTCATTGACTCATCAATGAACGAATTGGTTGATAACGGAAATAGATATGATGAAATGATTTTTAACGACTTCAACGGCACAATTCTAAACTCCCTTGAAGTCATCACAAATGGTAAAAATGAAAATTTAAAACATATGTGAATGCGTGAGGGTTGGTTGAGTTGCTTACGGCTTTGAACATAACAAACAAGGAATGGAATGAACTGAATTTTAATTTACTAAATGATGTGTTTTTCTCTCTCCTACTCGTATTCATATAAATATAACAACCGGGAAATCTTCGAACTTATTTAATTGTAGACATGAACAAACAAACAAACATTAAATATTTGAAAAGAAATTATGAGAGTTGGTTGTTTAGATTTGTCATAAAAGGAAATTTTAAGTGTAAACGCATGTACATGATGAGTTAGCAAAAATAATTGCTGCCAACGACACTTTAACAAGAACGTCACATTAATCATATTTCTTGAGCTTCAACCCCTCATGAAACCTAATTTTGTTGCATATCGTGCACAATGCATGGTTGATATGTTCAAGTTTAATGACTTACTGCGTATGAGGGATCAAAATATAATTTCCATCAAGGATTAATATGTAATTTCAAACCATTAATGCCACTGGAACTCTCAGAATGTATTAAGAGAAGATTACATCTCACATCCATTTCTCCAAATCCCAAATGATTTCAATCGATACTTGAAAGCAAACTGAAACTTGGATTATTCATTCATGATATAAATTAATATAAAAGCCTCAAAGCAACGATTCAAGGTTTATTCGTGTGTTTCCATAAATCATAAAAGAAGATTTTAAAACGTTTAATAGTTTAAACAATAGAATGTTGATTACATTACGTCATATTTTTGTTTTAAAGGAGAATATTAACTTGCGCTTACGATATTTTATGACATGAATGAGTAAGTAATTCATCATCATCGCGCGTTTTTTTTCCTTTCATTCCTTTTATTTGCACAACATAATTTTCAAACGTCTCGATCGAATCGTTTTCAAATTAAATAAACAACAGAAAAAAAGAATTTTTAATGTTCATTTGTCTTGTTCTTCTTGCTGTTGAATTAGTCACAACATAAGTTAGACAATGAACCGTTGGGCTGAGCAAATAAGGTGTAAGAAAACTAACATTGTTTGTGTATATTTTGATAAGAATTGAAATGTTTTTCTCATTGCGTCATCGTCTTATTTTATAGCGCCACAGTTCTTCGACATTTCAAATATTGTCTACGATAATAAAATTATTATTCTTTTGAGTTAGATACTTTCTGATCCGACTTGTGGGTGGAACTTAAAAATTCAAAACTTATTTCTGATAGCTCTTTTACATTTTGTTTTGTTTGTTGTTATTGGTTCATTTGAATTCTGTGTTCACAAACATGCTTTTTGTCTTGAAATATTCAATAACATTCTATCGAGAGAATGAAAACATGTTGCGATAATGGAACGCCTTCCCAGAAATAACATCTCTTCAACTTGACCATCTGTTTAGGTTTCCAGGTTCAAAGGATTTGTGAATAAACATTAAAATTGCAGAAGCATAAAACTCTTCAGATGACTCATACAAAGTCTATTGAACTGTGAAATCATTCAACACATTGGCGCCATCTATTGGTGACAATTAAGTGTGGGTGGCAAGCAACATCAAAAATAAATTAATCCTTCTTCGAATTCATTAAACAGAAAGCAATTTTCTTAATGTTATGATAATCTTTCTTACTGCAGGCGAAATGAAATAAAATAAAAACAATTCGACGATAAGTAAACGAATAAGAATCTACCAAAAATTGATGAAAATGAATAAATAGAAAAAAGCATATTGCATTTGAGGGTTGGAAAAGAGAAATCATCATTTCCAGTTGAAAAATTTCCTACGAACATATTTCTTTCTCTTAAGTTTTATTCAACTACGCTTTTCCTTTATGGTTATGAGATTTTACTTTCCTTCAACTTGCAATTCGTACAATTTCATTTTTTTGTAGATATCTAAAATAGAAAAGAAAGGAAAGAAGAAGGAAAACTCTTTATGATGATGCCGTGGGGTGCAAAAAAAATTCCCTCCGCTTCGCACCATCGCCGACATTCAAGAAAAAGAAAATTTTCTTATGCAATGTTTTATGAGTCTTTTGGGGTTTATTTGCTTCCCTAGGATTGCGATACATCACCCCAGCACAAAATGACTCATAAGTAAAATATTTTCTGCCTTCAACAGCAATATTTTTCCTACTTCTTTAAAAGTGAAAACTCTCTAAGTGAAAGAAAAATTGCGGTGAGTTCATCGACACTGCTGCCGAAAAGTTCTTCTCACTCCATGAGGAAATTTATTGCATGCTTTTCTCTCGCAGTAAATAAATAAATAAATATTTCAGTGGTAAACTTGCGACACAATTTCACTGCCTAATGATGACTTCATGTGGTGCAAAAAGGCTTTAAAAGTCAATTTGGGAATTTGAGAGAAATCTTAAAGTGTCATCAAGAAAAAAAAATGAAATTTTATGTTTGCACTTGTTCCATATTGAATTTTTACGAGCCGTTACACCACATAAATTCATTCGGTGATTTTACTTTATTGAAACATAACTCTTTAATAAAACTGCGTTGTGATTGCGTGTTGATTGGAGTTTCAGATTTCTTCATTCTCATTTACCAATGACAAATTAATCACGCTGAAGTCAACAATAATTAAATCGGTCAATAATCCTTTTTCTTGTCTTCTTCATCCTTCTCAACTCAAATTAAAGAGCTACAAAAACATTGGTAGATTAATTATAGATCAGGCAAAAAGGGATTGTTGCCTTTTCTCGTGTTAATTTTTTAATGTCAGTTCGTGCTGTTTTTGAATAACAATTTCTGCTTCCACTGTGGGATAACAAATCATCAATTATCGTTTTTTTTTAATATTTATTTACTACGCTTGAACACATGCGAGTGTTTGCGCACACAAAATTGAAACTCGCGAAATTCAAGGCTCATGTGACTGTGAACAGAAAAAGTATCAATTTTCGAATGATTGATGTTGACAACAACATAAATACTTTAGTTTGCTGCAAGAACAGAACAGAAGCGCTTTCTTCACTTTTATTTACGTGACTATATTGATATTGAACCGCGTAATTAACAAAAATCAGAGCTGTTGTTGCTGCTTTGTTTTTTGTTATCATAATAAAAGCTTAATGGAAATACATCAATTTAATTCAATTAAACTCGACATGATAACGAAATCAACAACAATTTACGGTTCATATAATTTTTCAGGCGTTTCGTGTGATAACAACGCGAGCACACGAAGCTTCATCTAAAATTGAAATCACATTTATGTAGATCAACAGCCACGAAGTGATGAAGCAATTAACGGGATGGGATGTTTGCGCAAATGTTTGTAAAATGATATGAAAGTTAATTGTTCATCACGCAATAATATGTAGAGAAAATGGTTTTACTTTCTTTTAAACGATTATTCATTCAGACACGATTCAGTTGATGTCATTTCACTTAATTTCTTCTTCATCAAATGTCGACTATTCATCCGGTCATCGCTTGACTATTTCTATTATTAAGAATGCTTATAAAGAAAACAATTTGAGAATTTCCACGGCTCATCTTTCACTTATTGTGAAACGAATTATTACGTAACTCAGCTTAATTAAGACTAAATTGTCGTAAAGAGCGTGACCAGATCTCACATTTACGCTAAAATGGAGAATACTTCGAATTTAATTAGCGCCCATGAAATTGCGTTAACAATTAAAATTATTTTGTTATGTGTTGGTTAACAGCATTTGGTAAATTGATGGAAACAAACGGAAACATGAAAAAATATTTAACAACATTCCATAAAAAAAATTTTACAAAATAGTTTCATTTTGTAATTAACTCAGATAATTGAATTCATTTCAATATTACTCACTTGAAATATCTCTCGAGTGAATTCTTTTTTTTTCCTATCGATAGATTAGATTTGAAATGAACAAGTTTTTGATGGACAGTGTGACTGTCTCCACATTGACATTTTACCCTATCATGATAAATCTAAAAAAATAATTAATTAGCGTTCTGAAATGTCACTGACTGACATCATTTTTTTCCACTGCTATTGCTGCTGCTGCTGCTGTAACACTCAAAGTCATCTAAAAATAATCTCGATCTGAAAATTCGGTCATTTAAAACAAATATTAAGAGTGTAAACAACGTGAATCCACAAAGTCATGAGAATAAAATTAATTTTTGCAGATTCATCTAGAAGGAAGAACTGAGACAAAAAACGGAAAAAAAGAATCGTCATAGCTTCTTTAAGTTTGTATGATGGATGAAGAAATATTGAAGACAGTTGAGGCTGTTTTAGGGAAAGACGTTGAGATAGTTGATTGTCAGAAAACGAAATCAGTGCAGGAAGAAGAAGTTTTGTTGATTAATGGTCAGCCTGTAAAGCTTGAAGGTAAAGACGCGGCTGCGATAAAGAAAGCGTTGATGACCGGTCAGATCCCGCCTTGCGATTTGCTCAATCAAATATTGTTCCGTGCGGGTATCCTTCGACAGCCAGTTCGCCTCGAAACATCGTTGAGTGTTAAATCAAGTCTCACGACAACAGAAGAAATACGAGTTGCACGTAACGGTTGCATACTTGACGAACGATCACTTGAGACGAAAGAAGACAATTTCTACACAAGTTCATGCAGTGAAGTTTGGGAGCCAATTGGTAAAGTTTCATCGGTAAGAACTACAAACTGTGCTGTTGATGAAAATTGTCTGCCAACGGCAGGTGATGATAACAATTTGGAATACGTGAAACGCAAGAAAAGTTCGTCATCAACACAAATTCCGCCAATGCGACAGAATTCTGTCTGCACCAACGATTCAATTTATTCGTCGTCAGCATCGTCATCATCGCGTCCGACGAGTGATTTATCTGTCAATATAAGCAGCAGCGATATGAACCTTTACGATAACATTCAATCGTATTTAATTAATCATCATGGACATGCGAACAATAATATCGTCGATAATTCCACGAAACTTAACCAAAGTTTAAGCTGCGACTCAGGTCATCACGACTACAGTCTCACATCAACCACAGTCAATGATGATGAATACGCGATACCATCAACAACGACACAGTCATCAATTACAACGCAAAGTTCATTAAATGGGAAGACGGCGAATAACTCAACAGCATCCATCGACGAGGTTGATTTCCAACGCTGTCGCGTCAAAGATCTACCTACGATAGTGAAATTGAAACCGCAGCATCATTTGGTAAATCATCTGTCATAAATAGTTTTTCTTCTTCTTTTTATTCACTTTTAAGAATTCAATTAACATTTTCAACCTCTCATGGAGACCTTCCCAGTTCCATAGTGATGTCATTTAACATGGAACTTTTCTCAAATGAAAAACAAAGAATTTTAATGGATTTTCTATTTCTGCCTCGTCCATTATTGCGTTTTTTATTATTTTCGTTTAACTTGAAAGCTGATTCGATGTTTGTTGAAGGCATCCATAGAAACACTTTGTCTTTGTGAAAAACGATTCGTATCATGTCAACAAACAGACAAAAGTTTTGGAATGTTTTTAAAAGAATTTTCCATTAAAAAGACGTAGCATAATTTATGTAATGTGCTTGAAGATTTGATTTCTTTTTACCTCACGACATCACACTTCCTTCATCTGCTGCAATAAAATTAAATTCCCAACAATTTTCAACTCACATTTTACGAATTTCTGCTTGTTAAAGCCGAAAGTGTTCAGCAGAGAAAAGCCCTTGACGTTGAAACGCCATCGACCATTTAAATAAATAATTGCAAGTAAATATGTGAAGCTGTTCTTCGCAGACCATTGTTGGCATGTGTTATGACATGTAAAACATTTCACGAATAGGAAAAAATTGTACAAATGTTCGGCGATTAATTTTCTCTTTCAATGTTTCTTGTGTCTTAATTTCTGACAGTTCATGATGAAGTCATTTATGATGTCTGTCGACTTAAAATAAAGTTTAAATTGCTTCGAGATGAAAACATAAATATCAATTAAATTTCGCTTTAAAAAAGATGAAAATTTTCTTTCTCACATCAGATTTGTTTGGGAAAATATTTCAATTCTGTTTATAAAATTGCCGAGATAGAAGAAAAAGATTTTTTTTATGACTCATCTTTACGGAATCTCCATTAATGCGATTATTATTTAACATTTAGAAGTCAACAGAGATTAACAAAACAAAAAAATGTTTAACCCTTTCAATCTGCCTAATTTCAGCCAACAATTTTCGGCACAGTGGCGTCAGATCAAAGCCCGAAAGACATTTCTAGTCGTCGAGTAAGCAAACCCACACGCAATCCTAACATTCTGAAATTTATATTTATTATTTAATTCTTTTAGGGCCTTCCACAAACCGTGTCTGGCCATCAGGTGATTTCATCAACTTCGGAATCAAGCGTGAAAGATTTTGAGTCTGATGAGAATGTAAGTTGCGTCATATTTCCAAATATTGTTTCAATTTAAAGATGACGTCACGTCGTCGCACATGTGTAACAATTTAATTATTTACGCTTCCGAAAACATTCAATTTGTTTCAGACTTTAATTTATCGCGATGGAAACTTACTTTCGGCGTCATTGGAGGCATTGATTCAACATATGGTGCCAACCAATGATTATTATCCCGATCGTTCTTACTTATTTGCATTTCTTTTGAGCTCGAGACTCTTCATCAAACCCTATCAGCTGTTGTCAAAGATTTGGGATTTGTCACAGCAACAACAAAACTTGAAGTCATTCATTCAAGTAAGTATAAAAGCTAATGATTAACAGATGATGGTTTGGTATCCTAACCAGACCAAAATCGTGTGAAAAGAAAGAAAAATAATTATAAATCATTAATCCTCCCATCAAAACAAAAAAAAACAGCAAAAGCTCGCTCACAATAATCCAAAGTTGAGTCGATTTACACAATATTTGATTCAATTACTTGCCGAATGGACTGACACATTCCCTTACGACTTCCGTGACGAGCGGTTAATGACACAGATTCGTGACATCACACAAATCTCGATTCAAATTAATCCCAGCCTTCGCAGTGACGTGTCGCAATTACTTCAGAATCTTTTATCAAAGCTTCAATCACTTGAGAAGTATGAAGAGTACATGGAGAAATTAAATCAAAAAACTTCTGGAGGCGATGAAGTGGATGCAAATGAGAAATCGACAAATGGATTGCAACAACAAATCTCCGTGCATTCAAATCACAGCCATAAGAGTAATTCATCGAATAGTTCATCGATCGTCTCAACGCTCACACATCAAACTGACATTTCGGAAATGTGTTCATCGCCACTTATTCTCGCCCATCAACTCACGCACATTGAGCTTGAAAGGTTGTCACACATTGGACCGGAAGAGTTTGTTCAAGCTTTCACCAAAGAGCATCCATCAATTGAAACATCATTTAAAGATCTGAAGAAGACACGCAACCTTGAGTCGTATGTGACGTGGTTCAATCGTCTCAGTTATCTCGTAGCGACAGATGTTATTAAAGTACGTGTTGTTATTTCCTACGTCGTTTATGCATGTTGACGTTTCCTTTTATATTCCATTTTCATCTTTAGCATCAAAAGAAGAAGCAGAGAGCACGAATAATTGAGTTTTGGATTGAGACAGCTCGTGAATCTTTCAACATTGGCAACTTTAACAGTCTCATGGCTATCATTGCTGGCCTTAACATGTCACCAATCTCAAGACTTAAGAAAACTGTGAGTTGTTTATATAATTAACTATGCAAAGACAGAGAGAGAAAGTTGATCATTATAATATTTTTTTTTACAGTGGGCAAAAATCCAATCTGCAAAGTTTTCTATCCTTGAACATCAAATGGATTCATCAAGTAACTTCAGTAGTTATCGATCAACACTTAAGGCAGCTATGTGGCGATCTGCCGGAGCCACCGATGAACGTGAAAGAATTGTCATTCCATTCTTCTCACTTCTCGTTAAAGATCTTTACTTTTTAAATGAAGGATGTTCAAACAAGTTAGTAAACTTTCTTGATTTTATTAACAACATTTTTATACTTTCAAATAATCTTTAGATTGCCAAATGGTCACATAAATTTTGAAAAGTTCTGGCAGCTTGCGAAACAAGTGACTGAGTTCATCGCATGGAAACAAGTCACATGTCCCTTCGAAAAGAATGAAAAGCTCATTCATTATCTACAAACAACGAGCATTCTCAATGAAAATACATTGGCACTTGCATCTTTTGAGTGTGAACCACCTGACAACAATCATGAGAAGGATCACTACAAGTTTCTTAAGAATGAATATCAGAAGTAAATCGATAAGACGACAGACTTAAACAGAAAAGTATTTTATATGTGATTGAATGTTTTGCTATGAGTCAATGTTTTACACAATAGAGAATTCGTTTATTTTACAGTAGAAATCTTATTTTACAGCTGACAGTTAAATAACTGCGTGTTCATAAGTTAGGTTGAGCTAGAAAAAGTGTTCAAGATTCATATATGTAGTCGATGTACCATAATTGGCCTACGCTCCCTAAGCCTTTATGTGAATCAATGTTTTCTTTTTATGATTTAACTTTCCATTTGGCAAAAGCGAATGAAGAAAAACAAAAGTTTTATTATTTCTTTTTGTACCTGGCTTTGTAACCGATGCGTCGGACATTAAAAAGAAGAAAAAACTTTTTTGTCAATTTGTAGCCACTCGATTGTCAAATGTCGAGTTGAAAAGAAAAAAAAAAGCTTAAGGCAGATAAATAATCTTTGACAACTATTTTTGTATTCATAAATAAACAAATGTCTTCTGAAATGAGATCAACAATTTTTTTTATATCTTAAGCGGAATGAAACGCAAGTTAATCAATCAATCGATGGGCTAATAAATAATGTTTGATGAACATTTATTTAGAAGTAATAAAAAAGCTAAGTAAGAATCATAAGGATTTATATTCTAGTCACTAATCTTATATTATTTACAACTTTAATACAATTAGATCATAAGAACCATTCATAAATGTTTTTATTATAAGTTAAAGATTTTATTCGTTTAGTTTCTAAAGTAAAATAAGTTTCTCAAAATCAAACACAAAAATCACATTTGATGACAAAGTTTTATTAAAAAAATACTTTCAGTTGTCATTCCAGACAGTTTCAAAAGAACATTTATACAAAAATCATAGTATTACAATAAAACTCTTAAAGAAATCTCAGAAATCAATCCAAGAAGCATCATTTCTTACAAATTTTATCAAATTCTTAATAATAAAGTGACAAATTCTAGTTATTATTCTTAACTCTCTTTCTATTACTTATCATCAGAGATTGTAATGATTATCTGAATGATTACTTATCATGATATTGATTTTTATAAAATTAAATGAACCTAAATCATGAATTTTGATAATCCATACATAAAACTTAAATAAAACATAAAATAAAAATATGAGAAAAAGTTTTTTCATCCTAATTTTAAAATTCCTTTCAGAAAACTTTCGGCGAAGTTATTTTCGTGTTAAAAAGTTTCGAAGAGTATAAAAATCTTTCCAGTCTTTCTTCTCTTTGATATACTTGTTAATTAAGTAAATTGATTGATTCACAGGGCATTGAGTACGTGGCACTTTTAACAAATTACAATTCCGTGGTTAAATCTCTTCGGCTGAGAATATTTGGATGCAGAAACTTGTAATATACGAGCATGGCACTAATTCCAATTAAAAATGAAAGAATTGGTATGGAAGCAAAAAGAATAATAAAGTTTCTTGATATTTCTGTGTACAAGATAAACAAGATGACAGCAAGAAAGTTTTCGAGTCCCGTGAGTATGTAGAAGAACGTATAACGTGAACACGTCTTCTTGGTTTCTCTGGGAAGAATGTACGTGAAAATAAAAACAGCTCCGAAAATCATTGAAAAAGCAAAACTATGGAAGATTGTGTAAGAGCAAAAAGGTGACCGGTCGAGCAGAAATATCCATAAAGTCATGAAAAATGCATGACTAGCGATGGCAATCACGATCTGAATAGGAAATACAGAAGCAAGTAAAACGATGGAAATAACTCGCGATAATGGTACACAAAAATGCCAGACACATTGTGCAAGCATGCCAATAAGACTAAGTGGTCTTTTATCAGGTTGTGCAAGTCGATTGCATCTTGAATAAGCAGCTAAACTCCATGAAAACCCCGTGAAGGCTGAGGTCAATGACAAACTTTGAAGTACTGTTGGTTGCAGTCCCGATTGAAGTATTGCCGTCATGTGAATTATTTTATGTGGACATGCATCCAGAAAGCATTCAATAATTCTAATTAAAGCGACATCGCTTTCTTCCATTACCATTAACTTGTAATAGTGTCTTTGTCTTTCCGAGTCTTTGTTCTTTTCAGCGCGCAAGCTTTTCACTTGATAAATTAGCGATTGCATGAACCTGAAAAAAGGTTGAACGTTGAACATCAAACAGCTTTTACTTTTAATGTTCTCTGAATTGCACTCACCTTAAAGTATATGGGAAAATGATAACAAAAAGAATCAAGTGACAAAATCCTTTCTTTCTTAAATTTTCTTTCTTCGAGTCTTCATAATGTCTGAAAGCAATTTATAAAAAGTTTTTTTCTTTCTTTCAAACAACTTTCAAGAAGTTTATAAACTCACAAAGTTATCGATAAGAGAACTGAAATAAATGCCGGGATTAAGATGAAGCACAGTGTCATTTTAAAGAAGAAATATTCTCCTTTTGTGTAATATTCGTAAGCTAAATTTGCATTGAACAACACCGTAAATAAACGCAACAAAATTGAAATGACATTTGATAGAATATCCCAGCCTGAGACACGCATATCTATTTCTTCTGATAACATTGTATTCCTCATTGTATTCAAAATTTTCGCAGATGTTTCGTCGTTGAAGATTTTCATCTCTCTGGTTTCAACCATTTCACTTATCATAAGTTATGCAGACAAAAACTTAAATCAACACATTTTTTAATTCTTGAACTCTTAAAAAAGACACGTTTCTTTTAGGATTAATAAAATAATACTCAGACTTCTTGATATTTACAAAAGAATGTTTATATTTGTAAATAATCAAATATTACGAGAAACACTTTTAAGGTCTTTTTGCATCCGACTGTCTGATATTTTCTTCGAAATGTTTGAATAAAAGTTGCTATAAAAATTTTGCAATATTTCACAACTTAACTTTTATAGGAAATAAACGCCATCTGTTATGTGATAGTAATAATTTCAGTCATAATTTTTCTTAGTTCGAATGTTATTTAATAAAATTTCATTTTTATTGCATTAAAATTTTCATGTTGAATTATTTTGATCAAAATCTTAATTCTAACTGTGCACAGAGACCTCTGTGAGAATTTTCAAAACACCGCATGATCCTTTGGAAAGCTCTCATTGGAAAAATCTTATTCTCAATTACTGCATTTTCAACGACTCATACGTTTGTGTTCATCATATAACATCTCCGATTTACATTTTCAGTCGTATAATTTTTGTGAACGGGATGGGAGATCAAAATTTTCTCAATGAAATCACAGAATTTTCATGAGAAAATTAATTTTTCCTACTGTCTGAAATAAATTCAGAAATATTAAATAAGTTTTTAAGACGTGAATCTCATCGGAGTGCGGAATTTACTTTACTTGTAATTGAATCTTGATCGGAAATTAAGTGTAAAAATAAGGAAATCAAATGAATGAATAATGATGATCAAGAAAGGCTTAAAAGGCAAAGAGAAATTCGATTAGGAATTATAATTTATTCATCGGTGAAAAAGGCAAAACTCGTAAAACGAAAACCAAACAATCGGAAAAAGAGAAATTTCGGTGATTTATTTGATTTTTCGATTTTTTGGTGCTTTTCACGGTGAAAAAGAAAATCCAAAGATTGAAACAAAGAAAGACTTTTATCGAGAATCCTTCGGGTTGCCAAAACGAGAAGAAAAACGAAATAAAAACTTTTCAGCAACTTCAACAATATTCTTCGCTTCTCCGCGGTCGTCGTTCTTAGCTTAAAAGAAAAACAGGGAAAAACCTTACATAATAACTTTTCGCCAAGTGAAATTTCCCGCCCCTTAAGGAAAAAGGCGAGAAATGTAAGTATAATGAGAAACTTGAAACTATATCCCCCTTTTAACGCAAAAATAAACTCGCCTTTTGTTAGTTCATTAAAAACGGAAAAATCTGTTTAATTTTCAATTTCTTGCGTATTCTTTCCTTGTTTCAACTAACTCGCTCATGAGCCAAATTATTTTTAACAGCGAAAGAGAAAAATCCGCCAGGTATTTTCATCGTCCCACGAGTTCCGTACTAAGTAGTGAAGAGAAAACTTTGTTTGAGTTGGGTCAGTTATATCGAGCGAGTCCATGATTTTTCTTTCTCCATATTCCAACTTTCATTTCTCTTTGTTCTCATGAAGTCACTCCGAAAAGTAAACTTTCCCACACCCCCGCATCGTTTTATTAGATAATTTTCTGCTTTTACTCGTGAAGCTTCAACTTAATTGATGTCAGTGTACTGGAAAATTCCTTGTGAACAAATGAAAACGAGAAAGAATTCATAACAAAATAAAATGCGAATATTTTCATCGCGTTAAGTTTTGAATGAAAGGGAGAGCGAGCGTATACGAAGGAATCGTAAATCATATCGTTAAAATATAAATAGTCTCGTTTACCTTTAACTAATTATGAATTAATTAAGTTTTAATTAATTTACGAGTGAGATTGTACGTGATTTCAACCCTGCTTTATGAAGTGGAAAAATGGGTCAACGTATGTGTAATGTATGGGTCGATGGTGAGATCTTGAGATGGGATATCAAGGGAAATCTCGATGATCATTTTCCCACCCATGAAACGCTAATGACACATGAAATTCGTACACGTTAAATAGCAAAAGCACGTAGCAAAGAGAGCTTTAAAATATGGTGACTAAAAGAAGTGTCAAGAGACTTGAATTAATACGACTGAAAATAAAGTAAACCATTAGCTTATTAAATTTCATATAGTTAATAAACAATGACGTCAGTTAAGGAATTACCCCAGGGTTTATTTTAAAACAAAGTGAACGAGTGGGGGGATTAGTGAAGTTGTGGCGCCCAATTTAGACTAATTTGGCGTCGAGAAACTTTATTTTCTTTATGTTTATATTTTCTTACTGAATTTTCATTCCGTGTCTGTTGTCGTTGGGTCATCGAGAAACATGAGAAAAGGAAAAGAAGAGGAAAATGTTTTTAAAACAATCAGCAATAAAAGAAATGAAGAGAAAGACTATTAAAGTTTCCTTTTTGATTTTCCACGTTTTATTTCCACTGTATTATTGATGACGGAAAATTTTATGTGCATTTTCTCATCAAGTGATGTGCATTGCTTTTCTTAAGAAAAAAATATTTTCTTCACATCTCTAATGAGATTTATTTTTAATACAACATGTCTCTGACAGTGACCTCATTCATCTACTCTCAAGTGTTTAAAATAACGTATGAAAACATTTTATAAATTGAACGATATGTTTCATGTCTTCTTACCGTAAGCTCCACATATTTCAAATTCCTGATCTTATAATGTTTATCTGAGTTAACCGTGTAAACCATTACAACCTACATGTGTTTGCTTCTAATGTGTTCTTTCTCACGATCAATAAAATAAATCATTCCTCGAAGTGTCCAATGTGGAATTAAAAAATGAGAAAATATTGAGAAAAGATAGAAAAAAAACCAAAAAATTTTTAATAAGCGACAAAATCTGTGTCAATTGCTTCATCACTAAAATAATTCTTCACTATGTATGTTTACACATATGATTTTTGTGCAATATGAAAAAGTGCAGAAAGAAAATTTAAGAAAGCGAGAAGAAGAAAACAAAATGTTTGTCTTAAAGGGTGGAGAGGCTAAAAATATAATAACATCAAGCTAATTTGCCAAACGATGATAGCAGATAAATGTTTAAATGAACAAGAGAAAAATATTGTCATCGTCATAGGAAGAGTGTCGAAATCTCTGATTTCTTATGAGTATATTGACGAAGAAAACCACGAAGATTTTCGTTTACAATATTGTGAGTTAGAAAAGAGAGAAGAAATAAAAAATACTACCGAGGTTTATAGTCACCTAGGAAAAAAAATTAAAAGAAAAACATTCGCAAGAGGGAAAAAATCGTTAAAATAAACTGCAAAGTAAGAAATAATAATAATAAAAAAAAATTCAATGGCAGAGCCATGAAACCGTGTTGATGTGAGTGAAACAAAAACATTTAAGAAAATCTAATTTTACACTTGATGCACTCGTCTAAGAATAAATATTTTGATTTACTTTGTCATTTTGTGCTTTGCGAGTAATTATGATTCTTTTTAAATAAAATGTAAAAGAAAGTTCACAAGCGCCATTGAAGATAATAAAAAGTTTAAAAGATTCCAGCTTATTATTTATTTACATCATGTATAAACAAACACAAATGCACACAAAGAGTCATAAGCCATCAAAAGAAATGAATATGATTGTAATAAAAATTCAGATCCATCATGAATGAAAATGTGAGGAAAAATGAAGGAAAAGCAAAAGCACAACAAAATTATTGATTTGTGTCTCGTACACTTTGTATTCGTAAAGCAGAATCGAAATAGCAAAACATTTGATAGCGGAGGTGGTTAGGAAAGCACAATGAGACAACACAGAGAAAAAAAAAAGAAGGTGTGGTGCATATTGAACCTGTTTGGAATAATCTTCATTTCATTAAAAGTCATTAAATTCAAGCGCACAACGAACAAAATAAAAAAAAAAGTTCAAAGCAACTCATTTTCCACACTTTCTACCCGATTTTCTTGGGATGAACGAACGTTTTGAATAAATATCTCGTTTCTTTGCTGTTATGACTCTTCAGAGACCAACTCATAAAACTTCACCTATCGATTTTCCTATTTAAGGAAGAAAAAAGTGATGGAAATTAAAAGAATTTCTCAACTTTACATCCCAAGACCCAAATCCACTTCATATGAGTTTCCAATGTTTCAAATTTCCTTGCCTTCAATTCGTCCCTTTTTCTTTGTTTCTTTATGTTTTTGTTTTTTGAATACAGAACGACAATAAAATGACAAAACGAAGTCTCATGTATTTGATTATGTAAAGCAGGCGATCTGAAACAATACCGAAACAAAGACAAGAAAAAAAAGTCAACTTTCAAACAGAGCTTTTCTTGTTTTCTTTCTTATTTTCTGATCTAAACATTTTTAACATAAAAAATGCTAATTAATGCGAATTTAAATAGAATAAATTATATTAATTGATAGGGAGGTAGCAAATTGTGATACTTTCTTAAGAAAGTTGTTCGTCCTTTTCTTACAATGCTCTGAGGTAGTCCGAGAGAAAGTATCGTGAAAAGCTCTTAGCTTAGTGTTCAATTTTCTTCGCATCATTAAATATTTATTACGAGATATTTTTTTATTAAATTTAACGTGAAATTATTCTGCTCTTGGATCCTTGTGTAATTCATCACATCACATATTTGTAAAACATGAGCTGGTGCTTTGATTGTAGGCACGTTTTTCATCTTCACGACTTCCAACCGAGTCATGTATGTATCATCTTTCACACAACTGACATTCAATGATAAATTTCTTCCTGAAATGTTTACGCTTATTATTGTTATGTTGGCAGCAAATAATTTTTTGCCTTCTTAAAAACTGAAAGCAGTGAAGAAACTTTTTCCTTCCATTCTCAATAATCAATAATTCGCTGTTAAATTGGTGCTACGTATTCTGATCGTGCTCGCTCTCTCGTCGCGTTTGATTACTTAAAAATAAGTATTGAAAAGGAGAACAGTGAACAAGGAGCAAATTGGCTTTTTCCATTGAAGCTAAGTAAGTATGTAAACAGCTTTTTTACTCGAACTGTGATGTCGTCTCTCTCTTGTCATGAACATATGATTTATTTTCTTCATAGCATTGTGTAAGTTCATCGTGTTTTCTTTCCTTTGTGTGCTTGCTTGTGCTTCTTGTAGTACACACTCCAAAATACTTTTCCACATACATAAATGATAAAAGTAAGTCGGCTTGGAATGAACATGAAAAAAAAGTTAAAGCGAACAAAATGTGTATGAAAATGATGTTTTTTCCTTTCCACTACTGTAAACATTTTTCATTTTGATAAATGAATATTTGACATGGGAAAAAATTATTCTCTATGGGGTACAAAAGGATGTTCCGTGCATTGTTATAAAAGCTAGAATGAGCAGGTTGAGACATCATCATTTTATTCTTAGAAATTCATTCTTTCATAACAAAGAAGCTTAAATAATAATTGAGATTTATTTACCGACAATTTAAAGTAAATAATTATTGGTTTTAGGCGAGAAAGACGAAAATGATTCACGCCCCAACTTCAGACACGAATCACATTTCATGCTTTTCACTTTGACTTATTTTTCACACGTTATATTTGTTGAGCTTTGAACAGCCATTGAAAAGATACGCACAAATAAAGTTCAAAGCCATTTATACAATAAGTTGGAAAGAAAAAACTTCCAAAACCATTAAGAATGGTGGTAAAGGATCCGAAAACATTTGATTTTTATTGTAGGGAAATGTGAATGGTAGAGAATTGAAAAAAAGGGAAAAAGAATAGAAGCAACTTGAATTTATGGGTGGATATGAAATTATTCATTTTCCTATTTTTATCCATTTTTCGTGATCCTTGAGCCATCCATAACATGACACTTAACAAGAGATATGGGTTGAGGTCTTCCATGGGAATTAACTTTCACTCATGGACTACAATCAAAATATATTTCCTTTCATTTACTGTCATTTTCGCTCTGCTTGCTTCCTTTAAGTTGATCTTTTAGGGTTCGAACGAGTTTAAGGCTTTCCCATGTCAACTTTCACTTCAAATCATTCTTTTATTTTCTTTCAATTATCCACATTGATTAAATCAACATCAAATTGAATTATTTACAAAAACTCTCAATGGTTTTTAATTTCTTGTTCAAGTTGAGCGTAAAGTTGAAAAGTCATGGGGATTGAGGCGAACTTTTTTGTTGACTTTTGAAATTGCTTTTGATTTCGACAACTGAGTTTCGTTGGTCCCTCGAGATGAAAGAATTCTGAAAGTAGTCTGAATGAATTTATTCGATTTCCTACTTTTTCTTTTGCTCTGTTGATGCGTGTACTATTCACAGATTACAAAAACGATGAAAGAACTTTGTCAGCAATGTTAAAAGGGCATTCTTACCTAAAGCTTTCCGAAAGCACGTCCTTATTTATGAAGTAAACCTTGTGCTGACAAGAAAATCTTTTTATGCTGAAAACATGCGGTAAATATTTGAAAATGAATTTCTAACTTATGAATGAACATGTAAAATCTATTTCGCAAAGTAAGTTAATGTGTTTGCTACAGGGATTCGATTTAATTAAATTATAATTCCAATCACTGACTTTTATAAACTTTCTTACTAACATTCATGATCACACAGTTGGAAGTAAAAGTCACCATAAAATCTTTCATTTCTCGTTCTTTATACCAGAAGAAAATTTACAATGTAACATAAAGCATAAAAGTAAATAGTGGGATGAAACAAAAGGGGAAAAGGGAAAAAAGTTTATTTATAATTATACTTATCGAGCAATAATTCACAATATTTAATGGCTTCAAAGGGAAATTACAGCAAAATCTTTATTTCCTTGACACCTGATAAAAGCAACAATAATTTCACTCAACAAGCCAATAGCTTTACGTCAACATAATAGCGACATTACACAACACATTGCTATTTTAATTCAACACATAAAAGAAACGATTCAATTTCCTCTATCCATAAACTAAAAGTATTGTTGCGAGTCGAAAAAAGAAAGGAATTTTTCAATAAGAAAAAGAAATTTTAAATTGAAGTGTCTATAAATAGAAGAGTTTGAACATGCAAGGACAAATTTGCTTTGTTGAAGATCTATACCTTAATGTTCTTTATATAAAAATATATTCAGTGAGCTTTTACAGCTTGTAAAGTTCATTAAAATTGAAAATATACCTTAAGGATCTGCTATTTGCGAGTCACAACTTGTAACAAGATAACAAAAGTGACTTGAGGGAAATTAGGGAAACCTGTTTGAATGTGATTCTGGAGTTAAGTTAACTCAATGTTTTGGACATCAACAGCAGATTACACAGTCCAGCTATTCATGAAGAAGGAAAACAGGTGAAGAAGACGAAGGAAAAGAAAATTAGTGAAAGAAAATATTTTTTCTTTTCCCGGAAGCTAAAAAACAAACAAAACGAAGTTTTTCTATCATTTCGAAACGACAGAACAGGAAGGAAGGTCTGTGAAATTGAATCTGCTTCTGATGCTTTTTATAGCCTTGTTTAAGCTCAAAATTTATTTATTTTATATTTTCGTCATAAACACACATTAAGCTTATGACTGATGTCCCAACCATAACGCAATTTACATCTGCATATTAAATGAAAGGAAAACATGTGCTTTTATTTTCGTTTCACGAGAACATGGCAGTGCCAAAGTTCTCTCGTCTTTTTATTTCATATCAAAATTATTTGTGATGGATGAGCAAACGAATATTGACAGAATGCCGATTCAGAAAATGGAAAAGCGTGGGTGAATTAATGGTGACATGAAAGGGAAGAAGGAAGAGAGGAAAGTAACAAATTTGTCGCTGTTGAATTTTCTCTTCAATGTTATGTTTTGATAGCCTTTTTCTCGACGGTAATTGATACATGACATTTCAATAATTTCCTATTTCATGAAGTGAAACTAAATTGTACGTACATTGAGTGAAAAACGAAATTATGTCTGTCCATTTATTAAGATGACAAGACAGAATTGGGTTCACGGTCATGAAGTGACAGTAAGTGAAACTAGACAAGACAAGACAACTCTTTTAACTAATAAAAGAACAAGTTTGGATAAGAATATAAATAACTACAGAGCTTTGGTGTCAAAGTGTAACGACGAGGGAATAAATAGTTTTTCATCTTCATAACTCGACATTGTGGCGTCTCTAAGCAGTTTCAATAAACATATCAAACTCAAATATTTGTATTAATGTTCTCGCTTTATGTCTTCGTCAGTAAACGATACAAAATTTCTCCCTTGAACGCCGTAAAAGAAACTTCCAAAAACTTGTCGATTGTTGCTAACCACAAAACTTTAATAATTTAATAAATAAATCATCATTTAATTATACTCACTTGTTTCCTTCCTTTCTCGCCATCATCGTGTTTGAAAGATCGGGGAAAAAGTTTTCTTCCGTAGCACAGAGAAAATGAGGAAAATGGAAAAGTTTATTCAGAAGTGACTCTGATCAGTTTCATCAAGCACTTCATGTTTTATTTTGACTAACGAGTTTTAATTAATGCACTCTTGGGGGGCGGTACGAGATTGGATATTTTCGCTCTCTTCATTACTTTGTCGCTTTTACTGGGTTTGAAGTATACTGTCGACAGTTAGACTTGGATATCATTAATTTTAATGAACAAACATAAACGCTAAAGAGTCAACAAGCAAATTTGAATTTTCTACCAATTATGAATAAAAGCAAAGCGGCGTTAAATGAAAAGACGTCATTCAGCTGTTGTCAACACATTTCTAAATGTTCATTGGTAAATAAAATTTAATGATAATTCAATTTTCTTTAAATGGACAAAATGAAAATATGAGTTCAATCGATCGTCAAATTGTTTCCAATGATTAAGTTTTTCTCACTTAATTAAACTGACACTCAATAATTTATTTTTCAGTTTCAATAAAATTATGAAGTTTGCACAATGCAACAGATGAAAATGATTTATTGTTATGTAGTTATGGGCAATACAAAGTAAAAGAAAGCTCGATAAATTCTTTCTACGCTATTTAAGATGAAAAATTGCATTTCTTTTAAGCATGTACTTATTAAAAGAGTTATTGAGAAACTTTTCTAATAGTGTTTTTCACATTTGTGGATTATTTTAAGCGTGGGTGGCATTAGAAGGTTATACATAAAACTTAATGCTTTACTTGTCTAGCAAGACTCACATTAAAGCATAAGAAGATTACTTAGGAAGTGAGGAAAAGTTAAGACAGTGAAATATGGAAACATTAAATATCTTCTTAAATAAATAAGTTTGCTTTTAAGAAATATTTTTTCTCTCATCACAAATCACTCCCACATTACCTTTAATACCTAGACTTCTATGTTCTTTTCTAAAGTCAAATTAATATTTCAGGTTCATTTACTTTTTCGTTTCGGATGTCAACCTTGCTCCAATTTCCAGCTCAATATTTCATTCAAACGAAATACGATGTCTCGCAAGTTTTCACATAAAAGAAGAAATCTGCAAAAACGATTTTCAAAACGACTTCTTTTGATACTTATTTCATACAAGAAAAGGAAAGAAAGACAGAAGCTGAAATTTTGATATCAAAATTATGGGAATTTATTTCAATTGCATTCTTAATTATTTTCTTTTACATTTTTATTGTTTTTCTTTCTCTGAAATTCTTCACGAATTTTTATGGCACGCTATATATAAAATGAAAAAGAAAAGTCCTTGAAAAATATTCCTTCTTCAAGTACTGACAAGAAATATTTCCTTATGTATGTGTTTTTCTCGGAAAAATCGATGGAAAAATGAATAAAACTTTTCAAGTGATCGTTAGTTTCGAAAGAACTGAAGGCTTTAAAAGAAGAACGCTTAATTAGCTTTTAACGACATATGGCGTAAATGTGTTATAACTTTGAACAAACCTTATTAGTTTATGATTAAATATGAAAATATTAAAGCATCGACGAAAGCTTTAAGGCATGTTGCAAGGAAAAACATATAATAATGAAAGCATATGAGCGAAATTTGATCAGAAAATTGTGCCATTAAAAAAGTCTTTAAAATAGAACATCAAATTAGACAACAGCAATTCTGCTTCATATTTCACCGAAATGATGACTTTTTGGGGTTAAAATTTCATGCGCTTAATATTTAGATGTTGATATTGAATTAGTTGAAGCATAACAATCTTGTTCATGCAGTAAGTAATTATAATTCGATAGTCAACTAAAGCTAAAAGCAAATGTTATTAATAATATTCATATTTTCGAGCGTGTTATTAAGTTTGAGTCAAAATTGTTGTTCAATCGTTATTTATGTAATGTAGATGTGTTTATATATCTCATTCTGACAGTTAAAATAGCGCACGAGAGCCTACGGCACATGAGTAATTAATTATGTAGTATGTGATTTAGGTAAATATAGCACATTGACTTTTACTGTCTTTCACCCGAGACATCAAGACCGACCGACTGAATCACAAATAGCACAAAGTTGAAACTCAACAAAAGTCACGAATAAAATTAAAATAAGAGAGAAACAGAAGCCAAGAGATACCTCAAACAGAGAAACAATGTTATGATAGATATTTTCAGTTATTTCTTTACTCAAAAAGAAACTTTAACACAAAATTCGAAAGAAAAACGATGGAAATATTTTATTATTTATTACGAGCACGCGAAAGCTTCTTAATAAAAAATTTCATTTAATTTCGCTTGTCATAAAATTCAGCGTTTCGTTAAACTATAGTTTTTCTTTACCTCCCCCCTTCTCTCTCTCTCACTCACTTTTTTCCCGATGCTTAATATTTTTATGCTTTCATTTTTTCCCAATGAGCGCGTGATGCTTACAGTGTTATGTTTGGTAGAATTAAACGCTCATTTTCCATTAAAAAATATTTTTATTTATTCTTTTTATTTGTTCACGTAGCAACATGAATGGTTGGCCAACTCAGCATGTGAAGTCACAGCTTTTATAAATGTTCTTTTGATAGTGAAAAATGATTTACTTTTTTAATTAATTGATCGTTTGAAGAATGGCTTGGTCAATTAAAAGTTTCTATCAATAAGGTAATCGCGATCGAATCCGACCTAAAAACAATTTAAGTGTAATTAAGGTTTAGTATACCCCAACGGTTTAATTGGAAAAAGAATGCTTTCCTGAGCTTTTTTCTTTATTTTTGATAATCTCTTCTTCTTATCTTTTTGTTTTTTTTTTTTTCAATTTTCTTTTTCATGAAACCAAAGTTACACAACAACATAAATTTAAGGATGATATCTGTGAAAACTCACGCTACAACCTTTTATAATTTTAAGTCTTGTTATTTTCTGGTGAAGAATAAAATTTGTAACTGTGGTGATGAAGAAGAAGAAGAAGAAAATTAAAAATAGGAAGAAGAAGAGAAAAGTCTTTTATTATGTAAATGCCACAAAATATAAATTTAAATCTAATAGCGTCATAAGAACAGCTTTTAGGTCAACCATTTATCGTACCGCGAGAGTATGAACATAAGGGATGAAGTTTATGCAACTGTTGTTGTTTTACATTATGTTTTGGCCCCTTGCTAACAACCTTTTTGTGTCATCTGTATGACATTGCGAGAACCTAAAATCACAATTTATTCATACTCATGTAGTCAAGGCGAGTTTTCTTTTTGTCATGGTCACAAATATAGAAATAAAAAAGAAATATTCAACATGGTGCATTAATTATAATTTATGGCGTCAATTTACTTATTTTTCACTCCTTCTCCGGAAAAATAGGAGGGAAAAGAGGGGAAAAAAGAAAAAGAAAATCAGCAAGTCGTTTCCTTTCCAATTTGAAAGTTTCGTTTTGAAATGTGACATTAATAAGATCTGTTGCGACAATGATTAAGGCTTAGATACGCTCATAATAAATTAATGGAATATTTGGGGGAGGAAAACTTTCTATACTGATTTGAAAGACGACATAAGAAAACTTAACTTCACCAGAGCGGAGAGAAATGTTTTTCATCTGGTTTGGTGAAAAAAATATTTTTGAACTTTTCTTTACAGACTTTGAGTCATTAAACTTTTTATGAGCTTTTTGAGGAAACATTAATCTTTTATGTTTGATAAGTTATCGAATGATTTATGATGATTACAAGTTGTGAGAATTTTTTAAAGTTAATTTAATTTATTAATGTAAATATTTGAAGTGAAAAAAATAAAATTGTTTCAGCTTTCATGATCTTCAAAACCACCTAAAGCGTTTCTTTAGAGGAAAGTTTTCTCTGGTCACGAAATCAATAAAACAGAAATAATTCTTCAAGTCATATTTATAACTGACAGAATGAATATTCCTTGAAAGTTTGATGAAGAGAAGGCGCACAATTTTATTATTCATGGGATATGCATGTAAACGAAATACGTTGAGTTAAGAACTTTTGAAACATATTCTCTGATATGAATGAATGAACGATATATTTTATTCTTCCAAACCAAAAGAAATATTTCTCCTTTCCTTCATCCGTAAATGTTTTGCATCAACGAAAAAGAAAACTCGAGAAATCTCTTTTTTATATGAAGTTTCATGAAGGTTCTCCAGGTGGCAATTGAAATTTATGTCCAATACTTATGGAAAACATTCCTACAAATCAAAAGATTATTCAATATTCGAAAAGATTGCTAACCTTATTTAAGAATCTTTCCCAGAACATTGTGAAGAAGTGAATTTGAGATATTGTGTAATAAAAGATTTTTTCTTTCTTTCCTTCTTGTGCTTCAATGTTCGGTTTTCAGTGAAAGAAGAAGAAGCGGAAGGTTTTATTCTTTCTGGCTTTTCATCGCTTTCAAACATAATGAAAGTTTATTCATGATGAAGCTCCAGGATAAAGTAACTTTTGTATAAGTTATTGCGAGTGAATAAAATATTATAAGCTTAAAATTGTCAGTAATTATGTGAATACAGCAAAATCCAATCAAATTTTAGCATCTTTCTTTTAATCACTTTATTGAAAATCTTTGATTTCTTATCAGAAATTGTTATTTCTTCGCGAACGATGTCATAAACTTTACTCGTGGGAAGAATTTTCAATAACCATTTTCCTTGAAAATTTTTGAGGTTTTGCCGATGAAATCTATTTAATGGAATGAAAACCATAACAAGCTTATACACTAATCCGGAAGTGAATAAAGTGAAAGCTGTTCGCAATAAATGTCGAATCACCGCGATGAAGCGATTTGTGGTTTACGATAGATTGGAAACTGTAATCAGAAAAACGGAAAAGTTTATTCCATTCAACAATCAAAAAAAAATAATTGAAAAACAGAAAATCTCTGGAAAGTTTTAATATCATTAACATAAGATTTACCCTTTCAGATGTAGAAATGTCGTTCCTTCATCCTTTCAAATGAATTTAAAGGGACAACAGCACAGAAGAAGAAAAACCAGAAAGTTATTTGCATTTTATATTTATTTCTTACTCGAAGGCAACCGAGAAAGTAACAACATGAAGAAGCTGAATATAAATTTTATTATCTTGTCTTTTTACAATAGAAATTTATCGATTATGACTTTGTAAGGCTCTGCTTAAGGGTAAAAGTCATCCTTTAGACAACAGTGTAATATTTAGCTAGAAATCTACCATAAATATGTATGAAAATATATAAAAAGAAGAAGAAAACGTTTTTTTTAAGTCTCCCTGCATTACAAGAGATAATAACGACGACAATCTTCTTGGGATTTGTGATGTTTACTCAATGATAACAGCGTGAATTGTAATTGGAGAAAGTCTTTTTGGCTTTTATGAGCTTTATAAAATGATCGAAGCTTTTCTGGCATTTTTCCTTTCTTCAATTCTCCTTTTGATTATATTCTAAATGAGAATGAATAAAGTTGAGAGATTAACGGACAACTGTAGGCCAATGTAATGCTTTTTATCTCGTCACTTTTACACGGACTCAAGTCAGAGTCAATTGACATAAAACAAAATCACTTGAATTGTAGGAAAATTTCCTAACCGATAAAAGATACTCGAACTCTATGTCAATTTATATTATCTTGTCTTTATTTTTGTTCTTTTCTCCTCTCTCCTTCCAGATGTCTTCTTAAGAACAGCTTGTCAATCCGTAAAACATTGCCAACACGTTCGATCGCAATTTTCGAAGAAGAAAGAAACTAAAAGTGGATATTCAGCTAATTCCACATTCAACGCCCCCCAAAAATCCAATGACATCGGCTTCTTCAATGAACCATGACATAATAAGAAAATCAATAAGCAAACAGCCGAAACAAAGAACTGATAATGGAGACATACTAGGATTTACAACACAGCATCCAACTCAAGAAATTCAATCACCTACAAACACACACAAACCTTTCATTCCATCATCTCCACCTACACTTTCATCACTTTCCGATGTTAACCGTCGGATAGATAAAAGACGAATTGCAACGGCAATTGGGTTGAAGCATTCATTATGGCTTTATACAGCTTTGAGTGTCGCTTTAGCATTATGCTGTTTCGCAACACAAACGAATGCAAGCGAGAACGACATTCATCTACTTCCTTTGTAAGTTCTTTAAACTTTCGTATAACTGTTGTTGTTCTTGTGTTCTAAATATTTCTTGAATACGAAAATGAAAATAAAGTGTTAAGTGTTTGACATCTTCAGAACATTCAAGAGGGTGCTTAAAGAAACATGACGTCTTAAAGCGTTTATAAAGCTTCTTTTTTATATGTCAGAGTAGAGTTGAAGAAGCTTTTTATGAACATTTATGTAGAAGCTTATGAAGCGCTTTAAGCATCAATTCAGGAACATTCAATATAAATATTTATACATCAAGATCTGGATAAGAAAATTAATGAATAAATTTTTATATTCTCTTATCATTAAATCCTGCACAACAATCACTCAACATTGATTTAGCTTTGCCGAAGGAAAGTCAGACAAGGAGATTCTAGATCAGCTATTAAATAATTCCAGATACGATAAACGTCTTTTGCCACCTATTAATGGTAAAATGTTTATGGAAAACTTTTCAACCTTTTTCACTTCTTTTTTTTGTATTTATTTATTGACGAATGAAAAAGTTTTCTGTGACACTCTGAATTTTCCATTCAATTTTCTTTTCAATTCTTTATTTTTCTTAATTTTCTCTTAGGAACTTTAACTGTAAACGTTAGCGTATTATTATTAAGTTTAGCATCACCAGATGAATCTAGTTTAGTAAGTTTCCAGTTGATGTTGTGATTTTTTTCCTTCGCTCAAGGAATATTTTTTCACACAAACATTTTTCCGATATTTTCCTTTTATTCAATCAGAAATATGAAGTGGAATTTCTTCTACAACAGCAATGGTATGATCCGAGACTGAGATATGCGAATCAATCGTCATATGAATTTCTCAATGCCATTCATCATTACGACAAGATGTGGCTAACCGACACGTACTTTATCATGCATGGTGATTTCAAAGATAATCCAATCATACCGATGCACTTTGCCTTAAGGATATTTCGTAATGGAACAATCAATTATTTGATGAGGTGAAAGAAAACAAACAAAAAGAACAACAAGTATAAGACCTGTTAAAAGAACTTTCTCTTGATCTCGATGTCATTGCAGAAGACATTTGATTCTCTCGTGTCAAGGACGCTTGAACATCTTTCCGTTCGATGATCCGCTTTGTTCCTTCTTGATGGAAAGCAGTAAGTAGATACAGTAAAATACAAATGATGCTAGAGAATGAAAGCTTTTACAAGCTTTTACAAGTTTATTCACAAGAAGAAATTTCAAAGAAAAATGAAACTCTTAAGTGAGAATGAAAAAGCACATAAATTTAGGGAAGCAAAGAAAAGGGAAACAATTCTTGATTACTTAAGTGAAATGAAAGAAAACTCGAATGGCTTCTTTAGAATTCTTGAAACACTTGAATGAACAACATCATCAAGCATTCAAGCTTCTTTTTTCATTATCAATTTGTCTTGCTTTTATTTAATTCTTAATTCTTCACAGTATCGTATGAGGAACATGCAATCACCTATGTGTGGGGAAACGACGAAGGTACGCTAAGGAAAAGTCCTTCATTAACCACTTTGAACGCTTATCTAATCAAAAATGCAACTGATTTTTGTGATAAAAAAGGATATTGGAGAGGTGAGAATGAGAGGGAAATTTTTTCATGCGCTTCATGTCGTAATTTATTTTCCAGGGAATTATTCATGTTTAAAAGTAGAATTGACATTCACGAGGGATCGAGCTTTCTATTTTACGACAGTTTTTATACCCGTAAGTTTATAATTAGAATCGGAGTTTCATGGTAAATTATTTTTGTATTTACATTCCCAGGGAATTATCCTTGTAACATCTTCGTTCATAACGTTTTGGCTTGAATGGAACGCTGTACCCGCAAGGTAAGCAATCTTAAATCTTTATTGTCCTTTTATGGATGACATCACAGTCAATCACTAGAGAGAAAAACCTAGAAGATAATAAAACTTTTGTGATGTTTTCCTTTGTCAGAAAGTTCTCTTATTAACCAAACTTACATAAATATTGTGTTTTTTTTCTAAATCCAACAGAGTCATGATTGGTAAGTTTCACTACCTTTTACCTTTTCAACAGACTTGTTGAATTTTTTATTAACGATTTAAATGGAAAAAGTTGAAAACATTGACATTTCTTATTAATACAACATCAGAATTAAGTGAAGCTTTTATCGAAGCGCTTTGCAAAAAAAGGCATTAATAATGGAGTTCCATTAAAATTAATATCACAACTCAATATCGTGTTTCTGCAAAGAAGGAAGCTACTCATTTTCATTCATAGAAATTTATTTTCTTCCTGATATTCATAAATATCAAATGAGAATCGCTTTGATTTCCTCAATTTATATTTTTGCCTTGTTATTATTATTGACGACCGAAGGAAAAAAAATATAAATGCGAGTGGCCGAGAGAGCTCCTCAAGGCAAATCAAGAGAAATATCTTTCAATTTTTTATCAATTTCCTGGTCATTCATATAACTTTCTTTCTTTATTTATTTTCTCTTCTTCTTGAATCTTTTTCTGTCTGGGATTTATTTTCATGTCATGAAGGCGTTACAACAATGCTTAACTTTTTCACAACATCGAACGGCTTCCGAAGTACTTTACCAGTGGTTTCCAATCTGACAGCTATGAATGTGTGGGACGGTGTGTGTATGTGCTTCATTTATGCATCTCTTTTGGAATTCGTTTGTGTCAATTACGTGGGAAGGAAGCGACCAATGCACAATGTTGTTTATCGTCCTGGCGAAAATCCCGTCACTCAGGTGAATTAATTTTCTTTAACCTTCCAACATTCAATTTGCTTTTCATATCTATTTAAATATATATAAAAGACAAAAAACAAATTTGTAATTGTCATTCATCAGTCTTCATCATGCATAAAAAAAAGATAAAACAAAATTCTGATGCGGAAGATGAGAATTGGAGAAAGGAAACAAATCAATTTCAATGTTTGAAAAGTTGAGGCTTATTCTCTCTTTTATCCTTCTGTTGAATCAATAATTTGTTTCGTAAGCTTCACTGCATACATGCAAACGTATATTTCAATCAAACTTAAAGCTTAAAGCTTTAAAAATTTCATTGATTGACATCAGACAGCTTACATTTTCCATTTTTTCTCTTCTTCCGTATCTCATCCATAAAGGCAATAATTTTAATGATAAAAGACATTTCATGTCTCATAATGAAATGAGATTATGTCAAAATTATGCTTTCTTTATCACATTCACACACTTCCATCTTCTGTTTACCTTTGTTAACCATCAACATCATCATTTTGTGGAAGTTTAAGAGTTTTATTTGTGAAAATTGTTTGCTGCTTTCTTGTGACAACAAATCAGCTAACTTTCTAACGAAAACTTTTCGCTTGTTTAATTTTTTTTGGAGTGATTTTCAAATTAACTTTGGAAAGAATTTTTATGTAATTTTACGAGTTAACTTGTCATGTTTTGTTTTAACATTTTTTTTATATAAAAAAAAGTCAAGAATGACGATTTGTTATGCAACTTTGGATTAACAATAAACATTTATACACGTGAGATGAAAACTGTAAGTGACAAGTAATGACTATAAATGGAGAAATTGTTTTGAGAAAGTGAAACAGTAAAAGCACACACTAAACATAGCTTGTGATTTATATTAAGATAGATGTTTTGTAGAAGATAAAATGTGGTGAAGGGAAATTTTAAACCACAGAGATAGATGAAAATTACTTTCCTTCATCTGCGGTTACTCTCTATAGAGCTTTTGAAGCGAATATAAACCATGTCACTTTTCCCTTTTGCAAATGCTTTTAATTCCCAATGCTCTCACTTATGTAACATGAAAAATATTTTCAGCTTCACTTCGAAGCTTTTTCTTTGTGCGAGTTGAGTTCACTATTCACCATTAATATTTTGTTTGGTTTGAACTTATTCCCAACATTTCTCTTCCACATTTTCCATTTCCTTAAAATAATCTATCTTTCCCAATGGATCAACTTTATCAAATTGCCTGAAGAAAATTTCCTTCTTCAATTTCTATTTCCATTTCTTCTCTTTTTACCACGTAAAAAATGCACATCACCAAATGTAATTTGTGTGTAATCCAATTTTTTGTAGCGTCTTCCAGCGGTTCTCAGTCGATTTGGAATGATATTGGCGAGTCCTTTGGTAAGCTTTTACTTCTTTCACTATTTTTTATAAACTTTTATTATCTACCTTAGTAGCAATTCTTCTTCTTTTCTGCGATAAATTTCAATCTTTCACTGATAATTCTTTTATTGATCTGATTGTTTCGTAATTCGTAGTTTTGTACTTTTTTTTTAATATCATTTGGCAATGCCAAAAAATTCAAATATCCCGATTGACAGGATGAAGCTTATGTAATTTATGTAGAACTGTTTATTAGTCACTAAAGTTATTTGACACGACACGTTGCAGTAAAAAGTAGATAAGAGTTATTTGTTGCCAAAAAAAATGTAGTAAAAGAAATTGTCGCCATAAATTTACTCAATCATAACAGATCAAAGTACTTTAATAAAATCAGATAATTTATACATATTTTCCGCAGAAACCAAACATAAATTTTTGATATATTTTGAATGCATAAACGTTTTTGGTAATAATAACTTCAAATGACGCTTTAATTTTATTTTCTTCTGCATTCAAATTGTTATTGTGGGTAAAATATTTGAATATAATCGCAACCGATAGCAAACCATAGAAAATGAATTTAATGTCGCAATATGTGCTGAAAAAAGTGGCGGATCACATGCTACAACACGCCCATCAACATCTACAGCAGCACTTTCAGCAGACACAGCAACAACAAGTACTGCAACTCTTGGTAGTAGCGTCAAATCGACGCCGACAGAGAAAATTGACTGTCTCGAAACGGAGCTCCCAATGAAGCCGATTCGAAATAGATCGAAATCAAATCCACCGGTTGAAACGACAATCGATAACTTGGATGATGAAAACGATGTGAGTTTCCGGAAACGTGTGTGGATAATGGCAACTAACACTCTAGCGATTACAAAGATAAACAAAAATCATTATTGATTTTTAAAAAATATATTTCTATATTTATATTTATACCTTCAACTTATACCCCACTAGTTTTAGCCTTCAGCCTTGGTAGATATTTTTAGATTCTCTTTGCATGCTTTAAAATTTATTTTCAAATCAATATTTAAGCTCGTCTCGTTCTTTCCCTTTTTATTCTGCTTTGCTTATTTTTGCGGCTGCTGCTGTTTAATTTAGTTGAAAATGTCAACAAATTTTACTACAATTTTTCTTCTTTTCATTTTTCATTTAAATAAAAATGTCAATTTGATATTCTTACAGGGTGAAAAGCGTCGAGAACCGAGTGGTCCCAATGAAATTGTAGCTTGTACGAGCTGTGGTAGTGATGGAAGTCCTTGTACTCACTCCGCAACCAATAATGGATGTGCCACTGAGGTAATCTTATATTTTAATATTTTTGTTTTTATTCTTTTTTTTTTCAATTTATTATTTTTATTTTTCTCGAAAAGCTCTCAAGCGAGTTTTCACAATTTTTATATATTTTTTATATAAAGTAAGCAGAAGTGCATAAAAAAGAAACATTTCAAAGCTAATTTTCACAAATTAATTATGATTAATAAGAAAATGTGAAAAGAAATAATCTCTAAATCCGTAGAAAGGTTTCTGATCATGTAAGCCTTTTGACAGCTCATAATTCCATTATCCGAAAAGCGTCACAAGCATTTTCATTTTCAAATATCTTTCTTTATGCTTTTCTAAAGCTTTGTGATATTTTTCATCTCAGATGGGATGTTAAATTCTTAAAGCTCTTTTATTATATTTTTAATATTTGTTTGCAAGTTACAACCAGCACATTTTTTGACTCAAAATATGAAAGTTTCCATCGTGAAACTCTTTTGAATTCTTTCCGACAGCACATCATAAAAATTATTTGTAACTTTCGTTGAATTAATCTTCTTACTTAAGTAGTGAAATCTTAATGAAAGCGCTCTTTTGCTCTAATTTAATTCACAATGTCGTGAACAGAAATCCATTAGTCAACCCGTAAAAGGGAAATGCGCAATTTTACGCATCAGAATTTCTATACCGAATACAGACCAATTCATAATTCAACTCGTGCTCATGTTCGCCTTGCCAGAAATAATCCAAACGACATTGCCGTGATTCCATTACGAATTAAACAGATTGAAAGCATTTCCGGAAGACTTAAATGGTCTTAAGAATCATAACAAGGATTCAGTTGTGAAGAAAATTGATCTCGCTTTATATGCCATCATCTGATTCCATTTATTTGATAACTTCAACAAGCCGAAGACGACTTTACACCAAAGCCATTTAAAACAGGAATAAATTCGAGGAGAACTAAATCTTTCAGATAGCTGGCTTTTCTTTTCCTTTTTTTGTTTTCATGCTCCGTCAAGTTACAGAAGGAAAACAGCAGAAATAAACCATGAAAAAGATTCTTGTAAAGCTTCTCCCATTACACTTCTCATTGAATTCTTCAAGGAAAAAAATTTGTTTTCACAAATCCTCAACACCAAATGAGACTTAGCGATGTTTGGATTTTCTCATGATTCCAATTTTCTTTTCTTTTAAATTTTCTGCCATAGACTTGCTTTGTTCAGATGAGGAAGAAAGAGCCGCCGCATCCTATACGTGTTGCTAAAACCATCGATGTCATAGCAAGGTAAGAAAAAAGACGAAATAACATGTTTGAATAATTTATCATATAAACTTTCTTACGATATTGATATTGATCGGATTTTTTTGTCTTTTTCTTTTTTCTCTATAGAATAACTTTTCCTGTTGCCTACGCTCTGTTTTTGGTGATTTTCTTTGCACATAAAAAATTTTTTGCCAGTGATTCCGAATGATATTATCAAATGTGTCATTTCACAGTTTGTTACTCTGTTTATATATCGAAGAAGAAAAGCGAGAAGAGATACTTAAGAAGAAAAATAAACATTTGTATCATCCTAAATAAATAAATAACTTAAAAAGCCATGAAATTGTGTTGAGATAAAAAGACAAAAGGAAAATGATTTTAAAATATTTATAGTTGAATTATAATCTCAATTTAATTGCACGTACAATTTATATCAAACCCAAAACAAACAAAAATATCTCAATAGCGTATTCATTTTCTTTTTTTGAATAAATATTACATTAATGATAACGGCATATCATGAAATTGTGTTAAAAAGTTGAACTTGTTGTTTTCCTGACTTTCCGAGATTTTTTTACATTAAGTTTTTTCCGTGATTTCAGCTTTTTTAGTCGGCAGCATCATCAATTATTCAATTTGCGTAGCATTTTCACTCGAAAATTTCAACAAGAAAAATATTTGGATTGCCAGATAAGATCGACTGTTCCAAAAAGATTATATGTACCTGAAACAACAACATCAACAGCATTCTAAAGTGAAAGCTTGCTGATAAATTTTCTTAATTTTACTAATTTATGCAAATGAAACTCTACCTCCTAGGTGTCAATGACATTAAACGACTTTAGGTAGATATTTCTATCGTGGAAGAAGTTCATGAATGAACATTTTTCAAATAACAATCGAAATATAGAAGAAAGAAACAATTTTTGTTCGTCATATTTTTAAGCTTAACGTCTAGCCGACATTAATAGTTTTTATTTACATGCTTTTTTCATCAAAATAAAAGAAAAATTATGAGTTTATTGAACCTTCAACGAAATAAGGAACCATTCGAATTAGTCATATCTTCAATTCTTAACTCGAACATCAACACACCAACTCAATGTGAGGAAATTGCGATTCTTAATGACGGCGGCAGTAAAATTAATTTAAGCATGGAAATCGAAAAAAAAGTTTCGGTTGTTATCAAGATCAATTTCAACAGCAGGGAAACATTTCATAAAAAAGAAAGCGAAAACCATATGACTCGGCTTTTTTATTCCTTCCTTTTAGGACTTTACCAACAACAAGTTGATGGTGTCAAAAAAATGAAAAGCTTTTGTAATATGAAAAAATGGAACAAAGAAATCATAACAAAGTTATTTGAGTGAGTTTTTGTCTCACTCTCTGCTGCTGCTTTCCTTTCGTTTAGCAATGGGTAAAACGTGCTTCATGTTGTTCGTATACGTTGCTGTCTTTCTTTCTTGTCGGAAAGTGCATAAATAATTCACGATGCGCATGCTTTCTTCGGCTCTTCTTAGCGATCGCAGCGGACTCTACTGGAAAACTTTCATTGTGATTGAATGTTGAGCTTTTTTTCTTATCTATTATTACAAATCATCATAATTTCCTTTTACGATCAATTTTTTATTGAATTTTTTGACCATAATCATAAAAACGGAATCTTTGTTATCATGATGAAATCAATAAAAAAAAGAAAACAACATAAAATCTTTAATATTCCATAGACTATTCCAACATTCAAGCACATGCTCTTGCCTCTCTATTCTCATAACGTAATTTTCGTATTCGCTCGAAGAAAATATCCTCAAAACGAGTAAGTGTATTTCCATTCGAATTGTCTCATTGCACTCAGTCTGCTGCGGATTTCAAAACGGTAAACATCTAAAAACTGTCACGTCTTAATAGTTGGAAAGAAAAAGAAAACTCACTTCAAATATTCTAATTATTTATATACAAACAAAAACAAAAAATAGAAAAATAAAAAGAATGAAAAAAATAGCAAAAGAAAAATTTTACAATTAATTTTTTTGTTTTCTCGTGTAGTGGCAAATGATGAAAGGGAAGAGAGAAATGAAGAGAGATAGGTGAAGTGAAAAGAGTTAAAACAAAAAATGTGATAACTTATTGTAGCAACATCAAGTAACTTAATTACGGTGGAGGAGAAAATTAACGTAAAATATTCATTTTTTTGTATTCATTACTAAGAAACGTTTTTATTTTTGGTTTTGTGTTGCTTGTGACCGAAGCGAAAATCGATATCAACTAAGAGAATAAAGCCACATATATTTTCCGTGTTGTGATATCGAATTAAAGGAAAAAATAAGGATTTTTTCGTTTTATTTTTTGATAAAAAATATAAGAAAGAGAAAGAATAAATACAAACAGATCAGAATCAACTTGATGAGGATTACTTTTGGAATTTTAAAAAACAAATTCATTTCACAAAGGATATTATGATTGTAAGTGGACTGGTGTGATAAGTTGCGATGGGATCATCAGTATTTATACTATGGGATATCCGGAAGTAACCTTTTTTTTGCTTGGTCGTCGCCAATCTAAAAATCACATCGTGAAGTTGACTAAGGTCGTGAATCACTCGAGTAATCAAGATTAGATGATAATTTCATTAGTCGACTTGGTCTCATTTCCGTCAACCACAACAAATCCTTTAACAAATTGTAGTGGTTTTCCGTGAAGAAAAAAAGGAAGAAGCAACTGGTCGTAAAAAGGTTCAAAAGAACTGTAAAAGTTGTTATGAGACTTTTTCGATTAGTGGACAATAAAAAAAAAGAAAGAAGAAAACATATTTTAACTAATTAAATGCAACAATCTAAATTGAAAGCTTTTCGAAATGAAGACATTTATTTTTCAAAGATCTACTAATTTCTGATATCGTTTTGATAACAACTGTTTAATTACATTCTACATTTTCAAAGTCATCAAACCGCCATTTGAGTTTATGTGAGTGAATGTAAAATGAAAAATTAAATTTTAGAGTCTTTCATGAGCTTTTCGACAATTTTAGGAACGCTTTGCGAGCAAAGCACGGGTTAGTAGCGAGAATTGGGTTAATACGAGTTGTAAAAAAAAGTTTACAGCTTCTCGGGAAAAAAATAACGAGAGGATAATTTACATTTTAAGAATGTGCATAAAATTTTATCAGGAAAATGAAACATTCGACAGCGTGAATGAATAAACTTTTCTGATGATTATTCTTCAGTTGAGAAAAGAAACTTCCAAGAAGGAAGAAGTTTTATCAGTTGTGCTATTTCAGTTGAAAATTATTTCGCAAGTTGGGATTAGATTTCACTGGGGAGAGCCGTCGTCGGTACTAAGTAAACAGTTTTTTTGACGAAGTTAAAAAACAATGGCTTCTAATTAGAAAAATTTCAACGCAGCTTTTATTTCTCCAACCTTTTCTAAAGAAAACAAAGATTTTTGTGTATTTTGTTTTTTTTCTTCCGTTGAAAAGCTCAGTGGAAAAGTTTTCATGTCGGAGAGAAAAGGAAATGAAAACTTGAAAAGTATGTTTGTGAAGCAGTGAAGAATAAGAATTAAGATCCACTGAGGCGTCAGTCATCATTACTTCTTAATTTTGTGGTTCCTTGTCACACATCAATGTAATAACACCTGTTGTTTTGCTTCTAAATATTTTCTCATGTTAAATATTTTAAAAAATCACAAAACTTTGATCTTGAATGATGTTGACAAACAAACATTAAAGTCTGTTTAATTCATCTAGAAATAACATGGGAAAAAGGAGATTTTTCAATAAGTGATATCCATGTGTCATTGTGACATTTTGAAAGGATCTCTCCATCATTCAACCTTTCCATTTTCATTATTCACGTGCAAATATGCGAGAAGGAAAACTGAATGAAAAAGGAAAAAATATTTCGCGAAACTGAAGCAGGCAATAAAACATTCCGAGCGAATTAAAAAGCTTACTCAGTCAACATAACTCTAGAATATAAAAGCTACAATGTAACGGCTTCAAACGCATCAATTAAGATGAGAACTGTCACAGCTTGATGCGGCTGCACACCGAGACGAAATATGAAAAGCTTTGTCCAAAAATAAATTTTCAATACAATGTTTTCTCGATTCTCATTCCTTCCGCAATTTTTTTTTATAGTTTTTCGCTCTGTTTCTGTCCTATACACATTCAGTCAGCACACAAATATTCAGTTTGGTGAGTGAGTCAAACGTCACAACGGGTGGAAAAATATGTGAATGAAAATTAACTCGTGCTTCTGAAGGCAAAGAAGGAGAGAGAAAAATCGATAAAGTTTGATTCGTCATTGATGAAACGAGAAAACGAAATAATTTATCGGAGAACTAAGTTAAGTGGGCAACGTTTATAACTCCGTTCGATAAATGCACCGTCACAATTTCTAGCTTCGATGCTATTGAATGTTATTAGTAATGCGGGTTAGATGAATGTTCTGTCAAAGTATGACCAATTTGTTTAATGAGAAGCTTTTGTAGCTTATAAATTACTTCTATAAAAGTCAAGTTAAGGTACTTAATTTCCTTACGATCCCTAATCAGAAGACTATTAAGAGGGTTTTCAAGGTTCATTGGATATCTTCTTGGAAGAAATCAAATTTCATTGTTCACATGCTTCACATCATCTTAAACTCGTTTTCATGTTATTGTTAACATGCTGGAATGTTTCGGGGAAATTATTTCGCTTGAATTAATGATAAGGTCAGAATCTAACGAAACTAATAAACTTCTCGACATGTGATACGGTCTTCAGTCTTGATCGCAGAATAAAAGCTCCCTATAAAGGAAAATGATATGTTTTCCATATTTATGTAACATCTCTAATTAAAATCTCGTCGGATGAACCTTTTTATTCTTCATTAGAAAAGTTTTATGTTATATACGATGATTTAGGATACGATTTTAAGTAGAACATGGCCTTGTAAGTGATAAAAGAGTTTAATAATTTCATCGAATATCAAGATTAAAGAATTAAACAAATGCTTTTAAATAATTAGGTACTAACATAGCTTGTTGGCGGGTGACGAAAGCTATTAAGAGAGTTTACGAACTATCACGCATAAAGTTTAACTGACTAGACGGACGGTGATAAAAAATATTTGTACAGTTGTGAAGAGTAAAAATAGTTACAAAGTTTTCAATTCCCTTCCGAATACGACAGCTGAGCGAGATTGATCCCAAGAAATAAATTCACAAATGTCTTCTTTCGAGTTCACCTTCATTTCTCATCTACTTTTCAGATAATATGGGTTTGAAATGCAATGAACTGGAAAGCACATTGAAAGATGAAGTGAACTACGAAGACAAGCAAAGATCATCAAGTTCATTGACGAATACGTCAAGGAAAAGACGAAAGCATGCCACAAACAAGCTGAAAAGCTTTCTTCATACACTTTTCAAATGGTATTTCAAATCGAGAGCTCTTCACGATGAGTTCTCACAAGCAGGCACAAATGATTATGAAATTTCGATTGAAAATATTAGCGCACTAAATTGTAGTGATGACGAAGCTAGTCTAGCTTATAGACAACATAAATATCTGCAACAAATACGTACGTCGACGACGAAAATTTCACATGCTCCATCTTCATCAAGTTCAAATCTATCACATAGTCACTATTTAGTAAGGCAATCAATATGCTTATACGCAGCATCCAGTGTGATATTAGCTCTATGCTATTTAGCGACACCCTCTTCGGCAACGACAGACACGTCATCACATCCAGTGTAAGTATCTTTATTCATAATACATCGATCATAAGTTATATTGAATTAAAGTCGTCAATCATTTACTGTTCATTGCGTCAACACTTTTTCTTATCACTAAGTACATATCTTCTTTCATTATTCTCTTTTTCTTCTTTATTGATTTTCCAGTTTTTCCGATGGGAAATCTGACAAAGAAATTCTAGATCATCTCTTAAGGAACTCGCGTTATGACAAACGCTTACTACCACCCGTCGATGGTAAATTATTAAAACCATTATTTAAACACAAAATACCAAAATCCTTTGATGTTTAAACTTTTCTCTCTGAAGTTTGAAGTTTGCTTTGCTATGTTTAATTAAAAACAAAAGAAAAAGATATTGCTCTGATGGGAAAGATGAAAGAAAAGCTTTACAAACAATTTGGAGATACTTGCGATATTTAAATAATTGTTTCTTCACTTAAACATTCGAAATTTGCTTAAAACATTTCTTTATCAATCAATTTGATGTTGTGTTCAATTTCAAGCTTTGAAACAATTAAAATAAATTATATTTACTGCTTTATCTTCGTTAACAATCTCAATATGTATATCTCATGACCTACCACAAATCTATTGCCAAAAAGTTGAGCCAACATTGAGTAATTAAATCAGTACACAAAATAACAATTTATCGTTTCCCGAGAGAAGAGACAAAAAGGCAGCAACATGACAGCGTTTATAAATCATCTTTTATGCTTTTCTTTTGATTCGATTTCATAGTCAATTGACGAAATGGAAAATCAATGTTTTTATGAAATATCACTCGAACTTTTTACGATGCAATTTAACTCGGAAAATGTTAAATTAGAGCAGACGAAAAAACTTTAATTTAATTTAATTATTATGTAATTTAATTATTATGGCATTATTCTGAGTGAAATGTCCTAATGTTCATGAACTTTTTCAAGTTGAGTTGTTTTTTGTCATACGATCACGTACACCTTTTCAATAAAGTTCGTAAATTAGCATTCTACAGTCTCTCGAGCTATCTCTGGAACTTCAGATGAATTTTTATGTGCTTCAAAAAGCAGCGAACTTCTCCCTTGATTCTCTTTTTTGTCTTGTTTTTGTTCCAAAAGAACATTTTTTTGCTTGTTTAAAATCGAATTTTCCATAATTTATTGACTTTAACGATTTCAGTCATAAGAAATGAATATTTTTGTCTCGAAGTGAGTTAAAATGTTTCATTTCTTTTCGATGAATCACAACAAGCATGAAAAGGAATATTTCAATACTTATTGTAAATATTTTTGCAGATGCAGATTTTTGCTGTAATTTAAAGTCGCCATCTGACAATATCGTTCTTAACTCAACTTTACTACCGGGACATTTGAGGCACAGTCGTGGTCCGTTGCAAACCAAAGTTCTTAAACAAAGAAAAACAAACTTTTAAACAGACTTTTCAAATGATTTTGATCGAGATTGATTTATTCTTCGATATTTATGGTCATAAATTTTCGAAAGACATAAAACTTGCCTTTTCTTTTATCTTAATTTTTTATATAACTCTGCAGCCCACTGCAGTAGTTAAGATTTCTTTCAACTTTATCAACAGAAGCAGCAAGAGAAAGAAAAGTTTACTTTAAGAGTTTTTTTTATGATTGAAAAATTTCAAACGATTAAAACACAAAATTTAAGCCATTGCCACCTTAAACGTTTTAAGTGCATCCGACATTCATTCTCTCGATCAGCATCATTTGAAATGTGAATTCAACTGTTGTTGTTGTTGATGTTGTTAGAATAATGTCACACGTTTCGATGATTTTCTTTATATATTTTCTTTTGATTTCAATTTTCAAGATATCTGTTGTTTTCAGAGGTGGAGAAATCTCGAGCACAATTTTATTTCTTTTTTTTTGGCTTTCATGAGAATTTCGTACTTCCCTCTTTTTTTTCTTTTTGACACAATGTCAACATTAAAATTGTCGACACAAATTCTTTTACGTTTTATATTGTACGCTTCTTAGGTCACCAACATGAGTGTGAAATTTATTTTATTTCAATTCAATTTGCAATGTGACACAATCAACGTACAATTTCTAATCATTTCTAGGTTTTCCTCCGGAATAAAAGATTATTATTAATGTAAATGAATGGAAGAAAAGAAATCAACAGGCAGGCTCGATGACATTTGACACTTGATAACAACGACAAAATCACTTAAAGTGTTAAATATTTATGTTGAATGTTATCGAAGCATTGCATTGTCGATTTCTGTTCGCTGCACATAATTTGTTCTGAAAAAACTTTTTTTTCATGCTGTCTACAATTTATGTTCTGTTTCCGCAAATTTATAAGCTTTGAGATGAAATTTATTGCGAAAGAAAGTTTAGTTTCAAGGAATGAGTTTGCATAACAAAAATGAATGAGAGAATGTCAGAGTTTGCTGATATTTGACAACATTTTGCTATTTTTATTTTCAAACTTATGCTGCACAATTTTAATCTCATTTTCTTTGTACTCAATGTTTCACAAGCAATTTGTTTTTAGTCGATATTTTCCTTCTCAAAGCCTCGATCTTTTATTTCTGATAACAATTGAAACTTCTTTCAGAACTTGTTTTTGTAACAAAGTTAAATTAACTTTTCAGGAACTTTGACTGTAAACGTTAGCGTATTATTATTAAGTTTAGCATCACCAGATGAATCTAGTTTAGTAAGTTAATCAACTCTTTTTCAGACGATTATGTGAGAAAAAGCTTTAATGATTCTTTATTTCCTTTGTTCCTTAATTGCTTGCATAAACTCGCAGAAATACGAAGTGGAATTTCTTCTACAACAGCAATGGTATGATCCGAGACTGAGATATGCGAATCAATCGCAATATGAATTTCTAAATGCCATTCATCATCATGAAGACATCTGGCTACCCGACACGTACTTTATCATGCATGGTGATTTTAAAGATCCCATCATACCGATGCATTTCGCCTTAAGAATTTATCGTAATGGAACAATCAATTATTTGATGAGGTAAGTAAAGCGAAAGAATTAAATGAAGGTGGAAAGAATTCTTAACTCATAAAAATGTTGTTGAACTCACATTGTAATTACAGAAGACATTTAATCCTATCATGTCAGGGAAGTCTCAACATATTTCCATTCGACGATCCTCTTTGTTCTTTCGCTTTGGAAAGTAGTAAGTTGTACAGCCGAGGGATGGGATTAATTTATCGTTCAATTCATTTAATTTTATTTTATCTCATTCTCCCAAGTTTCTTATGAACAATCAGCCATCACTTACGTATGGAAGAACGATGAGGATACTCTCCGTAAAAGCCCTTCACTGACAACACTAAATGCATATCTTATTCAGAACCAAACAATCGCTTGCGAAATCAAAGGAAGCTGGAGAGGTTTGTATATGAATGTTTACGTCAAGTTGTTTGAAAATGCTATTTATTTATATCTACTAGAAAGCGCAATTTATGATAGAGATTACTCTTTTTAAATTGGATTTTTTACATGACTACTTAGACAGCAAAATGAAAAAAGAAAAAAAAAATTCTTTCATAGTTTTCTAGTTTTCATTTTTAAAAATAATTTGTAACTGCTGATAGTTCTTTTAGGTAGAACTTCCTTTTCCAATCTCCATACAAACGAATTGCGCGACTTTACATAAAAGTAAATTTCTCTACATATAATAGATAAATAATATTTTGTTACACTATTATTCATGTGAAGATATCGATCCATCTTTAAAAGATGTTTACGGAGGTAAAATTATTTTTGTTCTCATACATAAATTTCTTAAAACATAATGCAACAAATATATAATGCAACATATATCGAATCGAAAAGCTGTATAGTTAGTCACGCGTTTGAACAATGAACATATCAAGCTACATATAAGGAGATTACCGTTTATTTTCATAACATAAGGATTCGTTCATAAATTGTGTTTCTTTTAATACATTCTTATTCATGTACATATAAGCTTACTTACAACAACGTAACAACACAAAAGGCGACAAGGAATTTATGATTGCAACAAATTTCTCTCTTTCGTGATGAGAAACCACGAATGCTTATCTTTATCTTATTTACTCGAGATATTTTCAAAGTTATTTTATAAAAATGATAATTTGATGTATCCTTTTATGAGTTCAAATGCAATGCTCTATAAAATGTTTTTCATGTTGCAATCATAAATACTTAATGAATGCTCATAAAATATGTTAACACTTTGTTGGCTTCATATTATTATTATGTTTTATTTTAGAAGATTATTGGCTTATTCAGATGTGCAATGTGATACTTAATTTATTTTTCATAATATGATGTGTCCACCCCCCCTCCCTCCCCTGTGTAATGACCTTTTAAACATTGTGAAAAAGCTTTCAAAATTAGATATTCATGTAACATCATTCCAAAAAATGCATTCATCATAATCTCTGTCATGTTCAAATATCGTTCAATGAAAACTTTTGTAATTTGAAATTTAAATTGAGCAAATTAGAGGGAGAGAGAGAGTGACAGAGATAGACAAATGGAAAGATTAATGTAAAGTTAATGTTACTTCACACTTTAATATTCTGCAGTTTCTTTTTGAAAACGTCAGCATTATTCCCAGGACTTTCCTTCAAAAAGACATTTTGTTGTCCTAGGTTTTCATTTAATGTCACTTCTTTATTATCAATCAGAATATTCAAGCATAGTTTTAAAAGTTGAGGTGCAAAGAGAATAATCTTCATGGCTTTCCCTCATTTAAAGTGATACATTAAACTTGTGAATATTTCTATGCTTCACTTGTAAAATCTTCAACCGTTCAAGCGACGATCCTTCAATGGAATCAACATCCGTTCAAGTCACGTTTTGGTTGTTTAGAAAAGTACTTTTTTATATGTAGTGCACAAAAATTCTAAAATAATTGCAAAGTATTGCAGTCAAACCAACCGTGATAACCTGCGCTATCTCAAGGTGTGTCACAAGTTGTGCTCTGTTCACATGTAAATTGAAAGAACATAAATTTATAAAAAGAAGAAAAATGTATGCAGAAGCAAAGTCAACACATTAGCTTTCTAAAGCCATTTTCACATTCATGTCAGCAAGTAAATTGGATATTCACTACAAACATAGCATATAAAAGCATGTGCCAGTAAATAACCAAAAAAGGAAAATTTCCATTTCGCTATAAAAGCTTTAACATGCTTTCTGTGAATACAACACAAAAATAATCCAAGACGATTGCATTTTGCTTAAATTTCATTTCGTTTGATGGAAAATTGCTTGAAGGCGAAGAAAATCCAAACAATAAACTGCTTCATCACTTAACAAATGCCCACATGAAAATGAAGGCTGAAGGTTTTATAAATTTCGCTTCTTTTTCTTCACCCTGAATGAATAATTCTAGGCAACTACAGTTGTTTGAAAGTGAATCTTATCTTTACACGAGATCGATCCTTTTATTTTACTACGGTGTTCATCCCAGGAATTATCCTTGTCACATCGTCATTTATCACATTCTGGCTTGAGTGGAATGCTGTGCCAGCAAGATCGATGATAGGTAAACATCGTTGAACCTTGACTTTTTACTAGCATAAGAACATACCAAGATATAAAAATGAAAACAATAATCAAATACATTTGCAAAACTTACATAAATAATTTGATCCTCATAGTAGTAATGTTGTTAAGGAGATATTTACAATGCTGCTTTATCTTTTAAAAAATATTTATATGTAAGAACATAATCCATGACGTGATTTGTAAATATTTTATCACCATCATCCTTTCGGTTGGGAACAGAAAGTCGATGTACGTTGCTAATAAAATAAGAAGATAAATTGACGCACGTATAAAGTTTTGCTTATTTTTTCTAGCATGCGATTGCGAATACCAAACATAAAAATAAATAAATAAATAGCATTTGAAAATGTATCATGATAATTGAAAAATAATGAAAAGCTTTGCTCCGCTGCTTATAATTAAAATGCAAAACCAAATTTGTTCTTTTTTTCTTTGTACATTTTCCCTAATGACCAAAAACCAAAACAAAAAAAATCATAAAAATCCAAAGGCAATTATTCATGCTTGAGAGTTTTGCTAACATTTACACGAGATCGACACTTTTATTTCACGACGGTCTTCATTCCGGGTAAGTGGTGATTGAGTCGAACCACCATTAACCACCATTAAGGAAATTAAAACATGAATTTCAGGAATAATTCTCGTAACATCTTCGTTTATTACATTCTGGCTTGAGTGGAATGCTGTCCCAGCGAGGTAATGTTTCCACTTTCAAATTATCTGCCACCATCCTCATATTATCTTAATTTTTTTCAGAGTGATGATAGGTAAGTAAGCAGCTGTTAACTTCCCTTTTTTTTGCTACATAACAATTAAGGATTAAACCTTATGCCGCCTTAGATAATATAAAATATCTCCTTAATTTTCAACACATAAAATTAATAAGATAAGAAGAAAAACAGCACGAGGATATTTTAAAAGCAATTCTATTAAAAATAAATTCAATTTATAGAACTTGTACACAATGCACGATATCTATTGCTTTAAAAATAAATGTTGACATGCTATTTCTAGGGACGTACTCTGTGGTGGGAGTCGTGTTTCATTATCAATTTTTGATTGAATCTAATTTTGTTGATTTGTTTTGGTTTTTTTTTTGAAAATTCCTTTAGGAGTCACAACAATGCTTAATTTTTTCACAACATCGAACGGCTTCCGAAGTACTTTACCAGTGGGTTCCAATCTGACAGCTATGAATGTGTGGGACGGTGTGTGTATGTGCTTCATTTATGCATCTCTTTTGGAATTCGTTTGTGTCAATTACGTGGGAAGGAAGCGACCATTGCACAATGTTGTTTATCGTCCTGGCGAGAATCCCGTCACTCAGGTTCGTTTTTGTTTTAAATCTTCTGTCCATGTTTATCTTTACGGATAATTAATTTTTCTCCTAGTATTTAATTATAAAATAACGCTAATTGAAACAAACGACTAAACTTTTCAATAAATCGAATTTAGTTTTTTCCTTTTGTGAAGCTTCAAAATCTGCTGCTTCGAATTGGTTTTAACTTTCTTATCTTCTTCCTTTTCTTAAATATATCGTCTAAAGCACTACTTTGAAAACTTTTATGTGTAGCTTGTTTGAAGTTGTTTGTTTTTGAGAACAAAAAAGGAAAAAAAGTTATTTATTAGTTCACAAAATCAATTGGTTGATTAAATTTTGTTTCATTAAATCCTTAACAATAAAAAATTTGTTGAAAGTTTACTTTTTTTTGTAGAAAAGTCAAACTTTTCGATAGTCATTGTCATCTTTGACATTGTACAATAAAATTGTTTGTTAATTTTATTTTAATTACCAAATCAGTTGGCAAAATATTTTCCACTCAAGAGATCAATTATCGTAAAGTTTGCACTCTACTAAAGTAGACTTACGCTAAGTAATCTTTTATTCATCACATGTATTTCCCTTTTCTTTCGTCTCTCGTCTTTTGATCACATTATGAGCATGCTTAATGTTATTTGATTATTGACGAAAACAAAAGAGAATAAACGATAAAAAAATTAAAGTGTGTCTAGTACCAATCAAATTGTGTGTATACTCGTCTTTTAGCGACTCCCCGAAGTCCTCAGTCGTTTTGGAATGATCCTGGCAATGGTAAGCCATCTTTATTTGAATGCAAAATGCAACAAAGAAATACCAAATTTCAAGTCATCTTTTTTGGGCGCTCATAAACTCTCGCGACCTGTCCAATTTACTTTACAAACTTTTGTTTTGTCTTTTGATACTTGAACTTTAATTAAAAACAAAATGACTTAAGGTTGGACAGGTTACACATCTTTTCTTTTTAATTTCATTTACAATGTTACCAACATAATCGTTTTTGTAAAAGTTGCTATGGAAGCTTCTGTTGGTTGTCGTTAGGCAAATTAATATAATTTGCTTTTGGACTCTGAAATGTTGTCCAATTTCGTTTTCCTAGCCAACGAATGTAGACAGAAATTTTCCATTATTTTGATGCTTTAATTCCTTCTTTTTTTTTGATTTAAGTTTTCTATTTTTCGATCATTCCATATCTTCGTCAGACGCCCTTTTAATTAAGCACACATTCGTAGTACTTTACACACGTCAAAATGCATGATGCTTAAGCTTTTCGTCTCAAACATTTTCGTTTTTATTCTTTCTTTGTTAAAACTTTTAAAGTTTTCACCTTTTATACATTGCACAGTGCATTGTGTAGAGAAGCTTACTTATCTGGCAAAAATATTTGCCAGACGCGATAATTTTGATGTTTACTGCTCTGCTGTTAGTGTTGATGGTGTGAACAAGAATTGTTATAAATTCAAAGTCTTTTAAAATGACTTCTTTGTCATGATTTAATTCAAAATTCTTTTTCACCCATGCAAATTAAAATTTAAAGTCAGAAAAAATAACAAATTTTCACGTCTACTTATTCCAAGTACTTACACAACAAAGACATGACTTCATTTTTAATCTTGGTTTTAATTAACTTTTGCCACATTTTTATTTTCCTTTACATATAAATTTTCAAAGAAAGCTTTATGATTTTAATTAATATTTTCATGAAACCAAAAAAACTTTTTAATTTTAAGGAAATTTTGAGTTTCCGCAAGGCATATAAATCTCACAAGCACCGCGTGGACTCATCGCAAGCTTCTCCGAAAATTCATATAAGCAAACACAAAACTGAGTCTTCTGTAACCAAGAAAACTTTGATAAATGAGCAAGTGTTTATAGAAACCGAATTCCTTGCGCCGCGTCGAAACAGCTCGCCCCAAGCGTCTCAAGAAGTAAATAAAAGCACAAAATTGTGAAGAGTGTTTCGTTCCGTTTTTACCTTTTTTCAAGTGGCATTAAAATATGTTTTTTTCCTAAACACCATCTAACCACACACAAATACTTAACAACAGAAAAAAAATCCTACAATAATTATCAACATGCCCTTAAACAACTCCGGCTTAACGTTGAAATTATCTTATAATTAAATGAATTTATTAACAAACTAATTTACTCCATTTGTTGTTTTCTCTTCCATGGAATAATTATTTTTCTTCTTTTTTTCTTATTTCGCATTTCTAAAGCCGGTAAATATGAAAATTTTTTACTAAGTCGAAATAAAATGTTTGCCCTGTGTGTGTGTATATGTATTCACTAAGCGTTAACGGGTTATATTGTGTAATGGAAAACAAAACGCAATTATTGATGTTACATAAAAATTGCGAAGATAATGTGCAAATGTTACAGAGATCATTAAAAAAAGTTGAACTTTTGACTAGAGAGTTATATCTTAAATTATAATGAACCACAAAAGGGATCTCAAGCAATAATAAATGTTTTCCATCCTTCCAAGAAATAAAGCAACCTTATCATGAGTGCGAAGCATGCATGAAACACACAACAACAAGAAAAAAAAAGATTTCACTTCATTTCTTTTAAATATTTTCGCGTGCTTAACATTCAACAATGACGACTTTAAAGCATGATAACAACTTACACACTAAATTATTCGACGAAGTATTTCGTGTCGCTAATAATTAAAATTTATTATCTTACACAATTTCTTTCGTCACTAAAACACAAAATTGTGAATTAAAAGAATGAAAAGAAGCGAGATGCAGCCGGTCCCAATGAAATGGTGGCGTGTACAAGTTGTGGTGGAAACAGTCCCTGCACGCACTCAGCTAATAATGGATGCGCAACAGAGGTATGTTGTAGAATAAATCTAATCAAACTTTGATTATCAAAGCACTTTGATTTAATTGCATTAACATTGATTTCTTTCAGACGTGTTTCGTTCAAGTGAGGAAGAAAGAACCGCCGCATCCCATACGAGTTGCTAAAACAATTGATGTTATAGCAAGGTAAACTTACATTTATCTTACATTGATGGGAAAATCTTGTCAACCTGTACTTAATAAGCCAATTTATTCTCTACTCTTCACAGGATAACTTTCCCCTCAGCGTATGCTGTCTTCTTAATATTTTTCTTCATCCACTATAAAGGATTCTCGTAATGAAATTTTCGAATAATGGAAAATTTCCATATAGCAACATATAATGATACCCGAAGATACAATGAATCCAAAATTCCGCGAAATAAACTGCCTTTAAGTCATCGATTTAGTCACCTGCAAATATCAACAGAAACTCCCACACACACACAACACACAAACACATATGCATAATCATATTACTTATATTGGAAAAGAATGTAAAGAATATTTGATTAAAACCTTAAAGAAAATTCATGATGATAGGAGAAAATCAAAGGAAAATCACGAGAAAGGAAAGAAAAATCAATTTTTAAAGAATTTTATTACATTTTAATAATAAATCATAAAAGAATATATAAAAGACATTTTTGAAAATTTGGTTATTCAGTAGTGAATGTATAATAAAAGAAATATATAAATATGTATCGATAAACGAGCATCTTAACGTATTAGAAATAAAAAGAAATAATTTTCTGAAAGAATGTCAACGATCGAAAAGAGTTCGTGCGATTATGAACTTCATAAATCGAATAAAAGTCTCTTGATGATGTCACGAACTATAAAAAGTGAAAAAGTGTAAAAGTTCATCACCTGACAATTCCTTTCGAAAAATAAATAAAAGAACGGCAATATTTTCATCCAAAAGCTTTTAAAAATTGGACCAAAAAGAATTCTAAAAGGAAACAAGATTAATTTGTATAGAATGATTCAAGAATGATGAATCGTTCACCTCTCACAATTTTCCTGAACAATGAACGAAGTGTAATGAAAACGGACAAACTATGTTCACACGTGTTTTAATGTAATCGAAATGATCTCACAATGATAAGAAAGAATAATGTAATTATTTTTTCTTAATGAAAATGTTATTCTTGCCCTGACATAAAAAAGAAAAATAATAATAAAGAAACTCCCACACACACTCAAATTGTGTATACTGCACAAAAGAAGGAAAGAGAAAAGAAATAACGAAAATATCTTTGTAAATTCCTGTGAAACTATCCCACGCACGCTGCGGGACTAAATCTCTTATGAACTATATGAAAATATGCCATAATAACATATCATTTAATGAAACCTGCTATTAATGACGATAGGTTCTAAATGCGAAAATTTCTTACAGAAAATTTCACGCCTTTCTTATAACCACGAAGAAGAAAATAAAATTAAAACGTTAACTTCAATCTGTTGATTTTTCTCTTGAGCTTAAACAAAAATAATACTCGCTTTTGTTTTCTGAAAGCTTCAAAGTTCAAAATGAAATTATTTCGCAATTTAAATTCAATTCATCAACTTCAACAATGAAGATGTTTATCCTTATTATCTTTTACCATAGAATACAAATGTTCATGTTTAAAAGCCTTGACAGTGATACGAGATTTTCTTTTATCAACAAAGCTTTTCTTTCAAAACCACCACCACCCTCCTGCTGGTTGGTTGGTTGGTTGGTTGTCTTATGAAAATATTTTCTCACTCTGAGTAAATTTTTCAAAATAATATCAGCCCTTAGCTTGTCTCAAATCTTAAAAAAATGTTTTTCTTTTCCGTATAAACACTTGAACCATTTGCTGAACAACTTGATGAAGTGTTTGTAACTTCATCTTTATCTAATAACCAAATAATGTTAAATATTTTTATTTCTCTCCAGTGATTTCAACATTTTTAGTTAATTTATGAAGGAAGTTAAATGAAGATGAAAAAGAAAAATAGAATAAAATTGATGTTATGTGAAGGCAGAGGTTGAGATTTCATTGGAATTTTCATGATGGTAATGAGATTAAATTTCGTTTAGTTCTCGGATATTTTCGGTCAATAACATAATTATTTAATGAGGTTAATATCATGAAAGAGCATAAATAGCAAATTATATCGGTTTGATCCTCATCTCGAATCAATTTAAATTCCAATCTCAACCTTTGTATGAAAGTATAAAATTAAAATCTCAAAATAGATCAGCTCAGCTAAAAATGTGATTATATTTTAATAAAAAATACGTAGATATGTAAGATGAAGTAGTTAAATTTAAGTGTTATTATCAAGCCCAATTTAAATTCAAAGACAAAAATAAAGACGAGAATAAAAGGAAAGCAAAAGGATTCAAGAAACCGAACACAAAGCTAACATAAAATCTACTTGCTTTTCATTGCAATTACACTTAATAGAAAAAAGTAACAAAGAATTGTAAGGAAAGTGGAAGATTTAATCAGTTATCTGAATTGGAAAATTCCACTCTTTTCTTCACATCCTACAAAAGCATCAATCAATTCATTATGCTTTCCAATTCTCTTATGCTGTAAGTTTCCCCTCGCCCTTAAAAGTTCACAAAAAAAAAGTAACAAGAAAAACAACTGTCGTTATACATGATGTTCGAGTAATATGGGTAAAATATTAATGAAAATTAAAGAAAATATTCATGCATTCATGTAAGTGCATGTAAAAGTTTCTTCATTTCAATCTCGATTTAAATTATCATCAATATTTAGTTATAGATGTGACATTAAAAAGAAAAATGAAACAAAGGAATTCTCTGATTATTATGAACTTTAGTCGATACTTATATATGTAAATGAGATTTAATTAGAATTTGTCTCTCCCTTCATTCCATCCCCAACAAATGTTCTTGAATTGTTTGCTTATTAACTGTTGAGTTTGAAACTTACGCATATTTTTATCAAAGTTATTATGAATATTACGGGATCATTAACAAGTTCATGATCCGAAACAAATTACTGTTGATTAAATTATCGGAAGTCTGTATATATTTATCTAATGATTATGCAAAATTTGTCATTTCCTTTTCGTTTTTATGTCAAAAATAAAGCTATGTAAATATTTTAGCACAACATAATGAAGAAATTTTCATTTTAATTAGGCCACAATCCATTCTTGTAACTGGTCATGAATATAACAGTTTAAACAATTTGAAATTTTAAATTAAATGGAAAGGCACAAAAACTATTGTTGACCACAAAATATAAATGCTGTTGAAGGAAAATTCTCAAAATTGACTTTTCATCTCAAGAGATTTGTGTTTGTATAAAAAAAGTACAGGAAAATTTTAAAAGTTTTTGAATAACAACTTGATTGCTTTTCCCTGGTTACATTCGTGACTGAAAAGCTTTCAAACAATTTTCTCTTTCAAGGATTTTCCAATCAAGAAATGAACAATGCAAAATTCTAATTTAATTTTCATGACCATTACATAAAAATTTATTGTAGAAATTGTTTTCATGTAGAAGCAATTGACATTTCTCACGAAATGTTGAGTTAATCAATCATTTTGCAGCGAATTTTCCAATATTTTAAAGCAACATTTTATGTTTGTATGACGAAAAGCTCTTCGCGAATTTATGTTCATATTTTTCATTCATGTGAAAATTTTCACAGAAAACAATGATAAAAAAAAGAAATAAAGAACAAAGGAAAATATCAATTTAAATTCCTGTACATACCAAAAATATATTTTTTCTCTCTCTTCAATCTAGACAAAACGTTATTTGTTCAAATTAATATAAAATATTGCCATACGAAAAAGAAAGAAAAAAAATCTTAATTGTAATTAAAATACAACATTGTAGATAGAATTTATTTTAATGATTTCGATTTTTCATGTTTTGTTTACACCAAAATTGATTTATGATGATGATAATGATGAACAATTAATACTACTAAAATATGTTACAATTTCATAAGTCATAATTGGAAATAAAAATTTAAGTCACATTTCAAACTTTCTCGTTTTCTTTTCTAACTAATGAAAAGCTTTTAAATGAAGTTATTAAGATCTTTTACTTGAAAAGCTGTCTTCAATTTGTTGCAATGTTTTGTTTTTGGTTTCAGGCAGAATTACATAAAGAACGATAGTACCAATAAGGGCAATGCAACCATAAACCAGGAAAACGCCAAAGGTTTCCAAAGTTTCACTGAGATCTACAAAAGTTTTAACAACGACAAAAAAGCAAATAAAGTTGAAAGATGATGTCAAACCCGAACTGAAGCCTCTCGTAACTTGTTGCAACATTTCTCCCTGAAGCACCCAGGGAAGAGGGAAAATTCCAAAACTGATGAAGCAGATGTAGCCAATTAAGAAGGTCATGGACAACCAAGAATAATTGGAATTGTTGGGTGTCGTCTTGTCAAAGTACATAAACATTGAAACGGATAGTAAACAAACAGATGTTCCCACGCCAGATATCAGCATCAATGTTCGTCGATAACATATTTTCAGAAAAATACAAGCGATAAATGACACTAAAACTCTCACTGTATCGATTATGATCATTGATAAATATTCATTCCCTGCACCGGTGATGTTTTTCATTAAACTGACAGTGTAGAAGGCGACAGAATTGACACCAGAAAATTGCATGACGAAGAAGAAGAACAGAATGATAGCCAATGGCATTACAAATTCTGGTTTTGCTAAGTTTGTTTTCAGTTTTTCATACGAGCTTTGCTCTTCAGTTGCGTCTTCTTCTTTTTTAAGTATATCGTGCTTCTTCACTAAGCTTTCTAATTCAAACAAAGCATCATGTGAGTTACCTCGTAACCAAAGAAAAGCTTCTTCTGCTTCCTTCAATCGATGTTGTGTCATAAGCCAAGAGGGTGATTCAGGTACAAACGATAAAATGATGAACATCGTAATGGGAAATACTCCCGCAACACAAGCTACAATACGCCAGTGATAAAATGTTCCCAACACATGGCACAATAATATGCCAAATGATAAAGAAAATGTTATTGATGCGAGAAGAAATCCGCGATACTTTGGTTCACTGTGAATAAATAATCAAGAAAACACTTTCATGTTAACATGATGAGAAGAATTAATTGAATGTGAAAGAGAAAAATTTAATTCCTTTCATCATCTTTAAAAGGAAAATATTTTGAATATATTCGTTGAGGGTGGATTATGGTAATAAAAGATTTTCGTCATAATAATCAATATTTTGTTTATACTTAAGTAGTTCACCTCGTTTCACCGATGTATACACTGGCAGGCGGTCCCAGCAACCCAGTAGCTAATCCTAACAAAATTTCATTCAAAAAGAATAATTTATGAGTCTTATACAAGTTGTTTATATTTTCCATGTTTATTTACCCGTCAAGAGTCTTCCAAGTATTAAGAACGGAACATTTTTAGCGAACAAAATTGACAGCCATCCAAGGATTGTCGGTATGCAGAGAAAATATTGTGCAAATTTCCGTCCATATTTTTGCATTATAAATCCTCCAATTAAACAGCCTGGTGCCATGCCTGGGTAATAAGGAAGTAATAAAATCCACAATGAAGTCAGAAAAGAAGAAGATATTCAGCATTACCGAAAGCAGCAATGCTTGCAATCCATGATGATTCCTCGTTTGTTACATTAATACTGCTTGAATTAGATTGAATTTGTGGTAGGAATATTGCAGAAAAGCCTGTGGTGAAACCAGCTGCAACAGTTGATAATATCGGTGCACCAGCAGTCAAAATCTGAAAAGCAAACAACGTCGAATATTTTAAATTTATTGACATCATTAGCAGATAACAAATGATTTATATTCTTACCTGCCTTAACAGTGGCGAAAACTTTGACGCATTTTCTCTTTTCATGTAACACTGCCCAGATGAATCACTACACAAGCTACTTTTGCTTTCATTTTCACTCTTAATATTTGATTTTGTAATCAGTTTTGATGATTTAACAGATGATTTCTCCATTTCATTTGCTGGGATATCTATTTAAACTAATTAAAATAAATAATGGTAGATATGCACTATGAAATTAAACTACTGAAACAATTTTTACTTTCATCATGTTTACATAGCTTGCAATTTCTACGCAAAACATTTCAAAGATAGCAAAGATAATCCATTTAGATATTTAAGTGGCGTCGCACAACACCGTATTAAAGCTCTTGATTTATGATGCAACTTTATCTTCGAAGATATTCAGAAAAAAATCAAAAGAAGAGAAAGAAGTTCACGATCAAGAAGACGTTTTAAAATCATTGTGCAAATATGAGTTTTATAATAAGAGAAACTGAAATGTGAATTAAAAAATGCAGTTGAATCAACTTTATTAAACTAATTTCTTATCATCATGAAAACTTGAAACAAATAAATATTTATGTACTTAGAAATATTTCATTCTCTCATTTAAACTCATTATCTATTAACTAAAGCAAATAAAATACTCTCAAATATTGCATCACTGAATAATTTAGATATAATTGTTGTTTTGTAAATTTAAAACTTTCGGTTTTATAAACTTGTAAAATATGAAGAATATACAAAACCACGACCAGACAACAACTGGCCCGTAAATATTTTGAAAATTCTCTTTAACTTTCTTTCTCACGTAACAGTTTAAAACTGTATCTGTGTCAGGAAGAAATTTAAAAACAATTCTGGTAATATGGAAGACCTTTGAAAATCAAAATGTTTTCTTCACATTTCATAACAAGATCCTATTTAGATCGTTCATAATATTTCCATAGTCATAAAAAATCAGATGCAGTTAGAATGCATTTTACCTTTATTTCAAATATTTAATTAACTACTGACACATATTTGACAAAATTATTTTTATTAACTTTCGACTTAATGAACGAACGATCAACGACACACTGAACATTGACAAACAATTTTAAGCTTGAATTTGAGTGCAACAAGATAATAAAGAAGAGAAAAAGAGAAAGAAATACGATCAAGAAATGCGATACAAGCAATAGCAAAGAGTGAGTTGAGGCTTTACCGTTTATGAATCGTAAAGAGAGTAAAGTTAAATTGATCTGAATCAGCGGCCGTAACATAAATTTATTTGTTATCATTGATATCACTCACATAAAGAACTAACGAGAATTGACCCACCCGCAACATCTCAACTTCCAACTTTTACAACTGAACAATTACCCATGAGTAATAAATTCCATTAATTGCCATAGAGAATAAAATGTATAGATATTATGTGCTATCAGCAATTCTTATAGATCCAGAAACCCAAACGACGTAACAAAAATTTTTTTCTTAAACAACATCAACAACAATTGATGTATGTTTGGAAAAAATTTCCTGCAACAAATAAAAAACTTCGCAAGCGATTCAGCTTCGCACTACAAACAATACGTAAAACGTAACGTAACGTAGAAAGTCTGTGGCTTGATTTGAAGCTTTAAAACATTTATATAAAATAAAACTGTTGTATGGTTTCAATCTGCGAACAGCAATTTTGCTTAATGGAAAAAATCAGAAAATTTGTATTATGCTAAACGTATGAAACATCAAACAAAAAATCTCTTATATACGACAACTTAACATTAACAACAAGAAACAGGCACTTCTCATGCTATAAAATGCTGTGATTAATTATCCTGATCCTAAGAACATTTTTAATCAACGCATAATTAAGCAACATGAAAAAAATGTTTCAAGCTCTTAAAATTCTAAAGAGAGAAAAAAAGAACATTTCCATCATACTATTGATTTTGTCATTAGACGTTTGTGATTTTACTTGGCATTTAATTCTTACGCGATGTTGATCAACGAAGAGTTTATGTCATTTATCATAACATTTTCTTTACACCAATTTTAGCTGTTGTTGCTTTGCGAAACTGTCGTGCTTTCAAATTAACAAACGAATAACGATAAACAAGAAGAGTTTAATTTGTTGATGACTAAATGAATATACTGACAAGACAATCATTACATCCTTTATTAATTTGTTTGGGATTTCCTTTTGTTGTTGGCGATAATGTTTATTATTTTTATTGATTTCATTGTATCGAAGTGTTAGAAAATATCTCAAACATGGAACCTTTCAAGATTATAGTTTAACTTTTATCCTTAAATGCGCTTGCCCACATATGCATTATGAAGTTTTGAAAATAAATGTATTATTAACTTCCTTTTTTATCTCTCGATTCAATCTATGATTACACGGAAAGCTTGTCGAAAGCATTTCATTCGACTTGATTATCCTCGCTTCTGCTTTTATTGACGTCAGCGACGTCACATAGCGAAACTATTCAAACAAGAAATAAAAGAGTAGAAAAAGAAATCAGGGAAATCGATTTTGAACACAGTGACGGGTACAGCCTACATTTGTTTCCGTAGGAATTCCGACCGAAAAGGAAACGTTGAATAATTTACGGCACATGCTATCATCAACAAAACAAGTTGAAGAAAAGAAAATATTTTAAATTTAAAAACCTTCCCTTTAGATAATTTGATTTTCATCATCTGTAGATCCTTTTTCACTGGATTCTCTTTTCTTTGTTTTCTTTCGTCATCAAACGTTGAAATTATGGATTAATGTTTGATAAGCAAGTACAACAACAGTGCAATTGCGCAATTTATGTGTTAACATGAAAGAATTCTCATATGCCGTCGAATGTCTAGACAATAATATAATTTTAAAACGCAAAATTTTCTTTGAAATAATCTAAGGAAATATTTATTTATGTGAATTCAAACATTGTATAGTTCGTTGGAATATAATTTAAATGTTTTTCATATTCAAATTCAGTTTAAATAAAATTCGCTTTTAATTTTCTTTGATATTCAAGAGTCTTGAACGTTGAGAAAGTTTCGTTGTGTAAGTGACATTAACAAAAGAATTTCCAACATCACCGAGCGCTTAAATTTAGCTATAAAGCGTTCTGGTCCGTTACACATTTCTGCTGATGGCTTGATACGTGTACTCGTACATACCAATTCATTCTCATTTTGTGAATAATTTTTATTTGTTTGACTCGGGAAATGTAATTGGGAATGAATTTAAATAACATTTGAAAAATAAAAATAAGCTAAAACTTCACTTGTTACGTTCGAGAGAATCGAGCGGGTGAATTAAAAGCCAACATGTGTTCTTGCATTCAATCTCAATTGTTTCCAAATTTTTCAGAGTGGTTTTCTTATGTGTGTACATTCACCGACTCTATCGACATGTTATTTTGTTTTAGGTCAATTGGAAATGTTGCTTTTTGGCACAATTCCCTTTCATATCCTGAACATGATACATCGAGTAACTTACGACATGTGTTCCTAGACCCCTACGTGCACTTTAAATATAGCTTAGTTGATCAGGTGAATTAAGGTTCATGAAACTTCGTAACATCAGATCGAACTTATGACCGTGAAATTATTATGACAATTTCACCTCACTGTTAACGGTTTTCTTATTTCATTCTTTCCTTCTCCAATTAAGAAAGTTTTGAATCCAATTTCACATTCAAACGATGATTGATTTATTTGTTCTAAAGGAGTTAATGCTTTATGGATGGAAAAATGATTAATAATTAAACAATCGACTGAATTCTGAAAAGGACAAGGCAAATGAACTATGTATGTAAATAAACCAATTCAATCGTTGTGTTGGTGGTGTGACTGTTATTATATCGATTTTTTTTCCTTCATTATAATTTTTATATTATAAATTTAGATATCATTTGTCTTTCACAAACAGAAGTGCTTGATCATAGCAGTTGTTTGCTTTCTTCGTTATTCTTTATAGTTTTATGCACCTTCCTTCCTTCCTTCTTTCTACAATGTGTGCACTTTGCGCTTTTTTTAACGGATAAATGCCTTTCTCGTTTTATTGCTTTTAAAAACACCTGACTCACAATTTTTAATTTCATTAACGTCTGCCTAATGTGCTGTCATGTTTTCATTTCTCTTTCATTCACATACAGTTTCGGTTTTAAATTATCTTAGCGAATATCTTACCAGGTAAAGTTCTTATCGTGAACATCATCATCAAATGTTAAATGATGAAAGTTTCGCTGCAGATGCTAATTGACAGATTATTTCTCATATTTATGCGACATAATTGTTTTATGAGAAACACAACCGAACAAAAGAACTTCTGATTAATCCTTTAACATGTAAATTACCAACGATTTCATTCTTATTTAATTATTCTGACTGTATTTATAATGTGTCGTGAACATACTCATTTCACTTATTAACATTTCTGATTGTGCAATTTTTCTTTTCCATGTCAGTTGTAACTTTGCGTTTTTCTGCGATATAATTACGACAGCATAATACTCTCGTTTTAACTCTTTCCACCCCCACAATTTTACTCGCTTTTATTTCATCCAACACGATATTTAGATTTCTTTTTACTTCTATACAGCAAGCAGGCAGGCAGGCAGGAGAAAGTCAATATTTATAGAATATTCTCGTTTCAGTTTTTCCTTACATGAATTTTCATAAATTGAGTTTTAATTACGTTTGTGAATGTTTCAGGTAATTTTGTTTGATGATTAAAGGGAAAGAACATGTAGAGTGGGAAAGTTTACAATAAATAAATGAACAATGTAAAGTATTGTGTTGTATTCTTGGAATTAACAATAAATATCTGTTAAAAAGATGTTTGATTTCATTTTTAATAGCTTCATGAAGACTGACAAATGACAATTATAATTCGAAAATCGCGCTTGATTTTCACATTGACATCAACATCGACTAATAATTTCCTCAATCACGTAATTTTCATATAAATATAAGTAGAAGGGAAAAGAAATCACAAATAGATGATAATAATTGTCGACAATATTTATTCGAAACCCTCGGAAAAAGAAGAAAAAAAATTCAACGACCCAATCGTCATTCACAATTCTTGACTCTTTTATACTTTCTTCCTTTATTTCTTTTTATCCTTGGTCCAAGTTACAACTCAAATAGCTTTTACTTGAGCTAATGTCATAGATAAAACCGCATAATCACCTCATACCCATTAAAAGTTGTGCTCGTACTACATAAACTTTATTCTTTCTTCCTTTCAAATTATTATAGCAACAAACCACCCTTTAATTATTTTTTTAGTAACAGAGGAATGGTCGTCGGTGTGGTCACGCTTTCTCCGATAATTCATACTTAATAAATTCTGAAGAACATGGGAATTCGCTACAAAAGAACCAAATGATTCCCAAGCGCATGAATGTGTTTGTCTAGGGTAAGCGAGGGTGGCGTTCGATGAGGCGACTGAGATAAGAAAGCCTCGACTCAAAGCAAATCACGCACTATAGCGCTACTTTTATACACGACTTCTAATCGCGATATTTTCCTACCTACCTACATATAAGCATGTAGATATGTATATCGCAATAAATATGATGTAGAAAATGATTTCTTAGTGCACGGAAAAGAATTTCGCTTCTTTCGCTTGTTTTCCCTCGACCTTCTTCTCCTTTCTCTTTGTGCCCACATCGACATTGTTGGTGGATTCCACCTTTTCGTGCCAACATCGGATTATGCTCAATATATCAGGTAGAATGAAAAAAGAAGAAGAATATTCTACGCTAGTTTTTCGATTTCATCAAAAATGTTTTTTTAGTTTGAAGTTGAATAAAATCAGCGGGCAGTGTGCTGTCTATAAAAGCCTCAGACGATGATAATAACTTTGCAATATTTAATGTTCACGATGAATGAGAAAAAAGGAATGTTTTTCACAATCATAAATCAACTGATCGATCATTTTACTTCCTGGGCGAATCGTAAAATTTTCTTTGGAAATTTTAATCCAAGCAGATATTCAGAACTTCAATCGGACCCTAATTCATTCAATATACACCGCAATCAATATTACATTAAGTTTTTCCCATTGTTCTTTGATCATTTAAATTCATACAAACAAAATTAAACACAAACACACACACATGTTATCAGATGCACGGATACATCCACAGGGTTCTTTTCCATTCTTTTGGACAGGTGCTGGGGAAGGTGAAAGAAACCATTCACCGCGACACAAACTGTTGTGTTTCATGTAGAAATAAACATACAAAGTAGATGGATACATGTGACTGAATGTGAGTAATTAATGAAATTACGGTCACTAGCCCTGACTCGACTGAAGCTGAACTATAAACACATACAATTTTCTGTTTTCATATAATTTGAAGCTTATTTTGCTTTGCCGCTTCACACGCACACGACCAACCGTATATTTTTAATCAAACCATCTGAAATTCTACCCGAAAAAATAAAAAATATATAGAAAAGAAAAAAGCCATCATCATCATACCACTTCACCCAACCAACACGCGGACGGTGAATTTTTTTTATTATACTTATTCATTCTCATTTCAAAGCTGGGGGCTGAAGCAAAATAACTTAAATAGTTCTCGACAGTATTTTTTAGTTTTTCGTTTGTTGTTGTCAAGGATACATTGCACGGTTGCCCAGAGGAACGAATAACTTCAAAACATAAGAAAAGGATATTCAATAATTCTCTTCCTGCCTGACTTATATAGTCAAGTGTATGGTTTGGAATATCGTGGAATGAAGGAGAAATTGTATTAAGAAAATTAGAAATTATTCAGTTTTTGAGCTTTTTGCTCGCAAGTTTTTCTTTTTTTTTCGCTGCCTTACTTCGGTCGATGTTGGTTGTGGATGGAAAAATTTATTTAACTCATCAGATTTAGTTTGGATTTATTCGTTGACAGTGCTAAAGCTCTTGAAGCTATTTTTTATTTTTATTCATCATTTTTTTTCATTCTTTTTTATTAAGTTTGAAAAATTAATTCTAAATCAATTTTAAGAAAAAGTGTTTGTTATAAGAAAAATTATTTTGAACTCTCGTTAAATTCTTCAAGAATAATAAAATAAAAGTGAATAATGTGAGTAGCAATTTATGTAAGTAAAGTTTATAAATTTATGAAATTTGTCCATTCGTAAACGTTTTAATGTAACATGACATTAAGTAAAATTATCCGGCCGGCCTTTGGCTTCGGTCAAACGTTTCTCGTAAGCGCTTGATGTAATACTTGTAAAGTAAATCGCGCTATCGCGAGTAGAAAATCTATTTTTATGTCCATTTCTATCTGTTCTCTACGCCTTATTTTCATTTCGTATAAAAATATTATAGTTGATAAGCACACTAAAACTTCAACCAGAAAAGAACATAAAACAAACTGGGGGAAAATAAGCGATGGATGAGAATTTTTTACGGGCACATTTTCACATTATTGTTCTGAGGCCTTGCGATGAAACAGCCAGATTGAAGAAAAATGTTGCTTTCAGTATGATCAAAAGCATTGTCAGTTATTCTCTGTCATTGGCCTTTTTGATGGTCACTAACAGCGTGGAAAAATTGCATTTAGAACCGAGAAGTTTAATGATGAAAAAAAAAGACAAAAATCCCCTTCATCACAATAAAAAAAATTCCAAACTAATTTTCACATACAAAACAGTCATAACTTCCGTTCGTGAGTCGAATGTTTTCCTCATTCTTGTTATTTTGTGTCCACTAAGAACGATGATGAACGATGTGGAAAGAATAGAATAGAAAAATGAAAATAAATTTCCACTGAGTCAGGATTTTAAATTAACTGACGTGCTAGAAAATTCCTTTCATGTGCATTGTCATTTTGCATATTGAGAATGTTATAATAAATGTCGATTGACGAATCTTGGCACTTGGAGAATTCACAGTTGTTACTTAATAAAATTCTGTGGATCTTTTGGTGCCATTATTTGTTAATTGCCAACTCAGCTTATGACGCAATAGATAATGGAAAATGTTCATGTTTTATTTTGACATTTTAATGTACATTAAGAATCATTGACATTCATTCATTCATTTCAAGTGTCCATGAAAGAACATCGCGAGCTTCAATTCTTTTAACAATAGAAGTATAGCTTTTCATGAGAAAAGTCATGGAAATTGACACCGAAAAAGTTCGCCTTTCTTCTTGACTTAGTAGCTCAGAGAAGCTTTAAATCAAATGATCATCTCGGTCGGTTATATAAAGTAAAATAAAATACATGAAGACGACGTTAAGTCAGAAAATAAGCCCAATTTCAAGAATTCCTCCATTCGGAAAACAGACAATTGAAATGTTTTTCAAACACGAGAAGTTTAACAAAGAAATTATTTCTTAATGGTGAGAAATCACTGTCAGTCACAAAAACAAAAGACGAAACGAAAGAAACAAGAAAAGATGAAACAAAAAATCGCTCAATGTTGCTCTTGTTGTGAGTTGAAACTGAATGAACTTTCAATTTTTAATGCCATTTCATTATCATTGAGCAGCAAGCTCACCTGCGAAGTATTTCACTCTTTAATCTCCCAAGAGTGGCCCAACGTGATGGTTGTTAAATTACTGCGTCCGGAGAAGGTGAATTGAAACCAAAAGTAATTTAATTTCACGTGAAAAGCTATTGTGAATTTACGGCTTGCGCGATATTTTGTGAGTGCTTTGTGTCGTTCAATTAAATTTTAAAGAAACAAAAAAAAAGTTAATTAATGGTTGGATGTCTGACAATTAAAAGGTAATTCTGTGTGAACCGCAAAGCACATTTAGATATGTTCCATTTCTCAATGATCTTCTTGTGGCTTGTGGTGGAAGGAATTGATTGAACTTTTCGTGCTTAAAAGTGTCAACTTAAGTAAATTGTATAATCATCATAACTTGTTACTAGCTTAAAATCCCCATGAAGATACTTAAAACAAAAATCGATAAGTTAAAAAAAACTTTTTATTGTCATAGCTAATTATTATTTTTTTATGCATGATTCGTGTGTGTGCATGATTGTTTCAATCTTTCGTGATAGCTTTGCCTTCTCCAGGCTTAATTTTATTTCTATAAAAAAAGAAGAAAACTTTTCGTCGCCATGCAAATTAACAATGTATACCAATGCATGTTGTCGCCATAAAAAAGCAAACACTGAGAGTCTCAAAGTTGAATAAAAAAAAAAGAACTAACTAAATAAAAGTTTGAACTTAAAAGCAGCAAACTTTCTTTAATGGTTTTATTATCAATAAATGATTCCTTGCATGCAATAAAAAATAAATCAATGTTAATTTCTATTTTAAGCATGAGCTTTTTATTCGCAAAAAAGGGGCCGTGAATTGTGTGTTCGTGCTTAGTAAATTTCATTCTATGATGATTATAAAAGAATATCGTTTTATATTTTTCATGCCCTCCTTATGCATGTAGCTAGAGACCCATGAAGGGCAGTAAATCAGCCTCGATCTAAACAACAAAAAAATGTAAGCGAAGAAGTAGTGAAATAAATTTTATTATCATGACGATGATGATTCCTTTTTAAGCTACAAAAGTATTTTCCATGTAAAACTTTATATTGACGTAAAGCGAAGGAAATCAAAGTTTTTTCGTCGCGAAAAAGAAAAAGAAAAGCAAATGAAAATTCGAAAAGCGACTGAAGTTATAAAGCAAAGAATGTTTGAGCAACTTCTATGAAACATTTTTTTTATTGATTTAATAACTATAGTAGATTTTAGCTTTAGTTTCGTTTATTTTCTCTCTCACTTACTCAACTTTTCCGTGCTTATAATTTGCCTTTTTTTCCAGACATGAATGTGAATGTAGCAAAGCAAAATATGGCACCACAAAACTCAACCTTAATAAATTTAATAAATGATGATATTAAATCGATAACATCAGAGCGTTTGAGTCCTATTGAGAGAAACGTAGGAGGGACGAGTTGCAGTGATGAAGAAGAGGTTTGTTGAAATTTCTTTAACAAACTTTTCAATTTTTCATGCCTTAACTTTTTCTTTTGTTTCTTCGTTTGTTAATTCACAGGATGAATACGATGACGAAATTCCAATATATATTGGTCACGTAGCGCGTTATGTCTCCGGAATAAATCGAAAAACAACATGTAATGACATCATAAAAGGTAATTTATACAAACGAAAAATGAAATTCATCAACGTCACTTTCCCACCAGTAAACATTTTCTGACACTTCTGACTCCCCCTCTTGATAAATAAAAATGGAAGAGAATTTTTAGCTTCTAATGATAAAGTGAAAACATAAAAAGCGTCCACTTTTCAAAGCACTACTTTTATTTCATGAATATTAATTATTCTACTTAAATATTTATTTTCTCACCCTCAACCCCCCAACATTTTTCCCTTTTTTTGTGCATTCTCTCACTCACTCACTTTTTTTATTCTTTAACACGACTTTAGCTTTGATCGATGACGAATTGGCCAACACGAAAGTTAGTAAACAATTAATTTGTGAGCCGCAGCACTACACCATTTACGAGCGATTTCAAGATATCGAGCACGCACTTGGTGGCGATGAACTGATTTATGATTTATGGCGGAATTGGGGCGGCCACCGAAATGACGTACAATTTCGTTTGAAAATTAAGAAAGAAAGTATCGAACCGGATAATGATGATGATGTTGTTGTTGGTGAATGTAAATTAAAGTCAAAGGTGAAGAGGAAGAATTTAATTTTCTGTTGTTCTACATTCTAATTTGTAATTTTCTTTTGTTTTTTTGATATTTTGATTTTCACAGAAGATAAAGAAAACGGGAATTAAGAAGCTATTAAAGAAAGTTCTTCACCAAGGTGAAATGATTCAAAAGCATCTTCAAGAGATTGCTAAAGCGAATAATCTTCAACAACAAATTTGCGAGTCTCGTGAATCATTCGCCTTTGAATCTGATGGACGATATTCGCCATCGATTGTGTCTGAATGGAAGAATCATGTGGATGCGACAGATACTGAAGACGAGCTTTTTCTTGTCATTGAGAATAACAATGACAACGACTCTGGCGTCTTCATCACCAAAGAACAGTTTTTTCATGACATGGAAATTGATCAACCAAAAAGTATCGACGGAACTCCAAAAAGGAAATTTCGTAACAGTCGCGATTTCCAATCATTGAAAGGTCATGCAATTACCACTTTGAACCCTCAAGAGAACTTCACTCGTGCAAGTGATGAATTCGAATTCGCTCATAAGCAAATTTGTTCTGAGATGAATGGCGTCAAGGAAATTATTGAACAAGAACGCTCATTTTTAAGAAAAATCAATAAATTCACTTATAACGATCATCATCAATTCAATAACACTTCGCAGACGAATTCTGAATTTGTTGACAACATTTATGAATATTGTGATAACAATGAGACGATAATTGTTTGATACTTTAATGATGATTGGTTTGATTTCTGTTACTGAAATTATCTAAACCAACATCAACTTAATCAACTAAAATTGTACTCAATATGAAATTTTACTCAATAAAATATGAAAATTATTTTTCTACAATTTTATCTTAAATGTTTTTATTTGACATAAATCTTTATCATTTGTTAAACTTAATTATTAAGTTGAATCAAATCATAAGATTTCTCTTAAATTATAAGAATAACTTGAGAACCTTCATTAAATTTTCAAGAATCTCGAGTTAATGATGCGATTTGAAATTGATCAATTAATTAATCTTTTTATTAAGTCGTTCTAAAATAAATGTTTTTGTTTCTGAAATACTCATTGATGTAATTTTACTCCGAATTGCTCTGTTCAGAACTTGAAGACTTCTGTTGAACGTAATGTTGATCATCAAATTTCCTTATTATTACACTTTTCACACGTGGAAGTTCGGAGTGAATTGCTTCACCATCATTATCATGAGCTTCTTCTGAACTTGGAAGCTGACTCAATGGCTTTGGGTTACTCACAATTGTCGATGACATTCTTCGTTTCTTAAAATTCTTCGATGATTTCCTACGACTTTTTGATGATTTTGATTTATTTGTTGTTGTTTTCGTTCGCCACTCATCGTCACTGGTGTCACTTTTAGAAGTTGTTGACGAACTATCACTTGATGAACTATCAAAAATACTTTTGCCCGTCACACGTTTACGAATTGGATGGTGATAAAATTTCTTTTGATTTGTTATAATGTCATCAGGTTGAGATGCAGTCGAAGTAGATGCTCCAAAATTAAGTAGATTTAAATTATCGTCTAATGTTCCACCACCTGATGCATCGGGATTACTTTCGTCATTTTTGATTTCCAAATTTATGTTAAATTTATTTTCACACATTTCTGATTTTAATTGATTTCTCGTCTCAGATAATGGTTTGTTGTCTTCTGTGTCTGAGGATGAAGAGTAAATAGATTTTGGTACTACTGGATTAGGTATGAAGACAACGTCGCTATCACTTGCTGAATCTAAACTAACTTGTTCTGGTGTTCTTAAATGCGGTGGTTTTAAAGCTAAGACAAATTGACATTCACTATCTGATGATTCTACAACCACTTCAGAGCTTGCAGGTGGAACATTTTCAGCTATCTCGCCGCTATTCATATCGTTTATTCTACAATTGTCTTCTTGAGGTCCCGTTGTTTCAAGCACAACTTCGGTGGTGACATTTTCAGGTGTTACTCGTATAACTGATGTTCCAGAATTTCCAGGAGATCCTTCATCAATTACTTGAACTTCGCCATCAGATGATTCATTTGATGAAATTTCAACTGTCGTCACATTTGCTGGTCGTGGACTGTAGTCAACACTTCGATCATACCCCACAATATCGTATGGGGAAATTGCAAAATTGTAAAATTCATGAATGAAATGATCAGTTTTATCATGCAAATATCGAATGAAATAGTCGCGAGTTAAACGGCTTTGAATATCGTGAAGACAAAGATGTTCCCGCATCTCTTCCAAGATTTGTGGAATTGCATTTGTGTGGTTGGGTGGCATAAGAACAACAAGTTCACGATTCAGCCATGGAATTAATCGATGAGTTTGTGCTGGATTTTCCCTACAAGAATTCAAAACAATTTAAAATTGTTTAAATTTATTAGAAATATTTTACTCACCTATAGAATTCTGCACTACATTCTCTATGTCTGCCTGTGAGATCAGGGAGTGGTAACGCATAAAGATTCCTATCGTAAATATATCTTCGCCATTCAGCTGGTGTAAGTCGAGTATAATCGTTTTCAGATCGACTGCCAAACAATTCCTGAATTCTTTCATTCTGTTCTAATGTAGCTTCAAATCTCGTACGATAAGTAAATCTTCGTCTTGGCGAGTGATTTGTTACAAAATTCACACGATGAAATACGGAATTGAGTTCGATTGGAACAATAGGAATCACCAAGTCACTTAAATTGATGGGCGAGTCCGATGGACCTCTATTTGCTACAATTACTTGATGTCTATCATATTCAGTCTTCGACTTTACATTATGAATGATTATGTCGAAATCTGTAAGAAAAAAAATGAGAATTTTTTAGTTGAAATCGATGTGTGTCCATATTGGTTTTTTTCTAAGTTTCCCAATAAAAGCTTATAAAATATAAAAATTCACTACTAAATTATTCTTTTGTCTTACCTTTCTTACACAATGGACATTGATTTTTCTGTTTGCTCCATTTGCAAAGGCATTCGAAACAGAATATATGCAAACAACACTCAGGAAAACTTTTTTGACCTTCTTTTACAGATGAATAGCAAATCACACAAATATTATTCTCGAGAAGTTTTAATTTTGATACACGAGCTTCCTCAAGATAGCTAGACGATCCCTCCAACACTTCTTCAGGAGTTGGAGGACAATTTTCTAATCTTTCAGGAGTTTCCATAACAAAATCCTGATTTTTTAAAGTCTTGTATTTTTAATTTTATTCATAAAAACAAGGTTTTACAATGCGCGTGGTTTTTGTTTATGCTGTCTCGAGAACTATTTGCCTCGTACCCCGACGGTTCGCGCGGATTTGACCTTCCATACAAAATGGTGTCCGTGCACGAGATTTATTTCCGACCACGAGATTTGCGATGGCAGCGCCGCCAATGAAACTGCAATAACAAAAGTAAGGAAGCGAAGAGGCAAGCACGCTTGCCGAACAAAATCACTTCTTAAATGATTTAAATTATTTTGCAATCAAAGAATCTATCGCAATCATGTCTGGTGATATTCAAACACGTCAGAGACGAAAGGAAAAACGAAAACAAAAGAGAGGTATGACACTTTATCAGTGATAAGAAAATTTTGCTTCGAAAAAAGAAAATTCTTGCTTGATCATTTGCGGGCTCTCATTCTATAAATAAAATTCGCTCTCTTTGCTGAAAAGGAAAATTATTAGAAAAAAATAATATAACGTTAAAAACTTACCTATATCACGAAGAAGAAAGAAACAGCATTTCAACACTTTCCAATTGTATTTTGTTTAATTAAAAATCATCTTTCGACATTAATTTATCAGCTGATTTATGTGTTTGTAGATAGTATCGATCAACATGCTCTGCCCAAGAAATTTAGCTTATCGGAAGGTTTGATATTATCAACTTGTTCTTCCTGTTGTTCCGCATTCATCCAGTTTTGATTATAATTTTTCTTTCTAAACTCTTTTTTAAGTTTCTTTTTCCTACCCATCTAAACTTGTCAAAATTATTTTTCTTATAATATTTTTATTTTTTTATTAAATGAAAAACATTAAAGATGAACCGGCAATTGGAGTCGATACAACAAAAATCAAAGAGAGTGAAAAGAAAGATGTTCAAATGCACATTCATGATCAGCATGATCACGGTGTCGGATGGTGTGCGAAAATAGTTTTCTTCTCGCTTATGGCGATTCTAGCTGGATTAGTTGTGCTAATTGTGCTTGAAAATCGGGGACAATCAGATGGTGAGAATATTCACTTTGAAGTAATGCACAGTGATGAAGAAATGTTTAATTAAATTTTCAGTTGACACGCCATTATCAGAGTCGAGATTCTCAGAATATCTCCAAGGCTGGGTTGATGAGACAAGAGAAGAAGAACATCATGACGAAGTTCATTTCACTCCGCCAGATGATGATGAACATGATGATGATGGCCATGAAACGACAGCAATTCCAGATGATGAACCTTATCCCGAAGAGAAAGATTACTCAACACCAGAAGAAAATAACGAATCAGAGGAATTGAATGCAGAAATTAATGCAGATGAATCAACACAAGATGAACAAAGTGACAATCAAGAAGATGATGACGATGACGATGAAACAGTGGAAGCTAATGAGACACCAAGCAACAATGATGATGAAGACGAAGTGGAAACTCGAGGTGATCAGCAACCAGAAGAAGTTGATGACAAAGAAGACGAAGTTCCAAACATGTTTGAAGACAGTACACCATTTGAAGAGGTAAGAAAAGTCTCTAAACCTTGTTGTAAGTTTAACTTATAAAGTGTGCTTATGAATATCTAACAAAATAGTCAGAACTTAAAATAACTGGAAATAAGTTGGAAAGTCAGGTAGATGAACTTTTTGATACGTTTAATGACATCGCAAAAATCCTTGGCAAAGAAACTGTCAACTCAAAACCGACAGAAAACATGTCAAATGATGATATTTTGGACGCTGCAATAATTGGCAAGGTCTGTTCGTTTGTGATTTTATTGTTTTAATTTGTGCTGCGTTGTTTATTCATCGTAAATTTATTTTAATATAAATAAATTTTCCTTCCTGCAGGAAGACAATGACGATGACTTTGAAGATGTCATCGATAATGATGTGGGTGAAGATTTACTGCTTCAGAAGTTAGCTGAACAAAGTGAAGCTGCTGCAGCACAAGCTGATGAAAATCAAGAAGAAACTGATGAGGCTGAAGCTGAAGGTTCTTCTTCACGTAAGTTGTCATTAATTAAGATGAATATTTATACATAAGTTTATAACGGAATCAAATGCTCTTATTAAATTAATTGTAATTTTATTAACTTAAACAAAAAAAAGTAATTTTGATCATTTAAAGTGCAAGGAGATGAGAAAGTTTCATCAATTTTTAACACAAATCTTTGGAAAAGAAAAACAAAAAACAAATGTTTGATTAAATTGTAATCTTTTATCCCAATGAATCCTTTCAGTTGGCGTTAAAATCGGGGTCGGTGTTCTTCTCGCTATAGTTGCCCATCAAATTATTATTAAAAAAATATCAGCAACTAGTGAGTTCTTTTTTTTCTTTAACTTTCTTTAAATGTCGTTGTTTTTGATGTTGTTTTTACGCCTTCTTTTCTCTTTATTATTAATTATTATTAATCTTTTCATTTTTCTCATTCACTAATCATAAATTTGAAGAAAAATTCGATTTTAATAAGAAGCTCAGAAACTATTTTAATTACTTTATAATTATGAAGCATGTAAAGTTGGCCAATAGGAAAAGTTTTTCTTTAGTTCGAATTGCACTTTCTGAATCAAGATTATTCTTTTCTCTAAATAAATCTTTTTAAAGTAGGCAATTAACAATTTGTTTGCTTTGATTGTTTTATGTTAATTGATAAATTTTAATTATCAAGTATCTTGAATTCATTAAGATAGGACGGAAATAATGCCAGAAGTGGAAATAATGAGTAAAGAAGAGCTTTTAAGTAAGAGACGATTAACGATGTTAACTGGATCTGAAGAGCGACTGATAAATGATGAATTGGATGATGAAGAAATCGTTGAAGGTTTGATTTGATCTTCGACGATGAAAAGATGATTAATTTAACTGCCATAATTATCATCACTCAGTTATGATGGTGTCTGGCGCACATTTGAACGATGACGATGATGAAGAAGAAGCTTACACAGATTCGGAAGATATTGGCGAGGAAGAGGAAGAAGAAGATTACAGCGACGGACGGGATTCTAAGAAACCTTTCGTTCCAAGAACATTTGAAGATTTCCAAACATTATTTAAGCATCAATTTGAACCAACATTAGAGGAAGAAGGAATTCAAGAACCAACAAGCGACAGTTCTGAACCTCAACCTGTTGATGATGAGATGGAAAAACGAGTTGAAGAAGCTTTAATGCAAAAACCATTTAAAAAAGTGATTGAAACTAAAATTCAAGAACCTGAATCATCTCCAGATGAAGCTCCATATTCACAGGAAGATGATTATGACGCTGATGAACCTGAAGAATTCTCAGGTTGAAATCGATTTGAATTTTATTTAATGAGAATTCTTAAAATTTTCTTTTCACGATCAGGCGAAGAAATTCTTGAAGAAGAGGAAGAAGACGAAGAAAATGATTATGAAGATGAAATGGAAAGTGATGAAGATATGTCTGACATTGATGACACTGATTTGATGAAACGACTTGAAGCGAAATATGGAAAAATCAGTGGTGAAAATTCAGAAGATGAAGAAGACCCTGAGGCTTGGACAAGTAACTTTATTGCTAAGAATTTACTAACAGAAAGCTTTTGATTCCGTTAAATTATTGCGATCGTTTAATGAACGTATGTTGATCATTTTTCATCTACTCTTCCTTTATTTAGAAATTCCAAAAGAAGGTGGAGAGAAAAGCTACTTAGATCAGCTTTTAGAAGATCAAGTTCGAATGGATAATGTAAGAATATTTCTTAATCAAACTAGAAACTGAAACTAGAATTAGAAATTGAAAAATTTCCTGTCTCTGACTTCAATTCATTCTTTTTATTTATTCCACTTTTCAGAACAATTATTAAACTTCTTTTTTTTTAATATCCAATCCACTAGTCAATCAAAGCTTTAATTATGTTGCACTTTTTTATTGCTTTTTAATTTTCTTTTTTATTTAGTTTGTTTAGTTGTGTGGAAACTTTTTTTCTATAGATTTTTATGAATTTTTCGAAGAACTAATCTTAACATTATCAGACCAGAATTCAATGTTTTGATTACTTCTTTGGCTGTGATCGTTTGCTTTGTGAACTAACAAAAATAATTTTTGTTTTTTTTCCTGCATTGCATTTCGATGGGATTTTTGAATGAATTTTAACAAAAATGCTGTTGCCAACTAATACAAATTTGCGTATTAATATCAAATACGATAAATCAGAGTGAAGAAATTGAAGAAATGCTACTTGAGGCTAAGATAACCGATGCTCGAGCTGAGAAAGAACAAAGTAACAAAAGACTGATGGAAGCCATCGAATTGTATAAAGACTTACTGATAACACACGGTGATAAATTAAATGCTTCAATTTTCAAAGAAGTTGCCGAAAGATGCATCGAGCGAATGAGATTCATTGGAAAATTTAAAGCAGCTGTTAAGATCCACAGATTGCTTATTGAAAGATTCAGCGATGAGCCGAATTATCCAAATCAACTTGCAGTCACTTATTTGCTTGGAAATCAGTAAGAAATTTTATTTTCTTCCAGAATTTTAATTAAATTGAACAATTTCAGTCTTTCAGAAGCAAAGCTCATTCTTCATGAAATTTTAATGCGTTGGCGTTTCAATGGCTTCGCTCTCGTTCATTACGGTTTTGTTCTTAAGAATCTTGATAAAGATTATGAGAATGCAGCGCTTTATATTAAAGAAGGAATTGATTCAAATGAACCAGGAACACAAGACGGTAGATTTTATTTCAATCTCGGTGATGCTTTACAAAGACTTGGAAAGAATGACGAAGCAAGAGAAGTAAGTGAATTCCAGCTGTTCTAATAACTTTTATTAATACATTTAATTCCCAGGTTTACAAGAAAGGTGCAAAAATTGGATTGTTTCTATCGGAACACCAACGATCTCTATACAATGTCGATCATTTAAAGTCGACACCATTTTGGACAAAAGTGCAAACAACTTATAAAGATGATCTCATGGAAATACAAAAATATTGGCAACTTATCAGAGATGAAGGTCTGAAGTTGTTGTCAGAAGATGGTCGCTTCTCAAATGAAGCTGAGAATCTCAAAGATACTGGTGATTGGAAGCAATTTGAGCTGTTTGCTCGTGGAAGAAAAACCAAACATTGTATGCTTGCACCAATCACATGTCAAATTATTGAAAACTTTGACGCTGCGGCGACTTGTAAAAGGGGACAAGTGAAGTTCAGTGTTCTTCATCCAAAAACACATATTCACAGCCACACAGGTCCAACAAATTGTCGTGTCAGATGTCATCTTGGATTGAAAGTTCCTGAAAAAACATTTCTTCGCGTTGCTGATGAAACTCGATCATGGAAAGACGGCGAATGGTTGATTTTTGATGATAGCTTTGAGCATGAAGTTTGGCATAATGGAACGGGATTAAGACTGGTACTTATAGGTATGTTATGAATAATTAAATGTCTGACTCAATTTAATAAATATTTTCACTTTTTATAGTTGATGTTTGGCATCCTCAATTAACTGACTTAGAAAAACAAAGTATGAGTCCAATTTAAGCTTCCAAAAAACAAAAAAGTTTCAATTCATTCGGAATCTCTTAAACTAACCAAAGTGAATATTTTCAATGTGCCTCATTAGATAATAAAATAAAAAATTGTGTTTTGTTAATTTTAATAAATATAAATTTGTTTTTAATTTAAAAGTTAAAGATTTTCAGACAAAAATGCAAAAACCGTTAAATCTGTTTATTTGAATTTTCGATGTTTTTTCATCGCTTCGGATTCGACGAAAACATAGAAAAATACAAAAATTATAAAAGAAAACAAAAATTTAAGAATGTCCAAGAAATGCGATATAAAAGGTTGTGATGCAAGCAACAAAGCAAATATTTTCACAATCTCAACTACGGAAAATTCAAATTGGTTTAAATACATTGACAAAAGAAAAGTAAGGAATGAAAATAATTTGTTTTCAATCTGCAGACTTCATTTCGAAGATAAATTTATAAACAAACATCGTGATAATTCACCGGTAACCCTGAAGAAAAATGCCATCCCTACTTTACATTTATTAAAGTTCGAAGCTGGATTATCAACAAGTGACGACTCTAAATATAGACATGAGGAGTCTGATCAATCACAAAACACAATTGTTAAGAAGAAAAGAGGATCATCAGGCTTGGCTAATTTACAAAAAGCTCGAATGAGGAAACTTCTTCGACGTGAAAGAATGAAAAGCTTAAAAGAAGCTAGAAGAGCGAATAAAAAATTTCATGTTGGCAATAATGATGTGAAGAAGGAAAACATAAAACAATCCACAGAAGACAACAAACATCTAAGAAGCGAAGATTACTTTCTTGGAAATAGAGAAATTACTCCGGCAGAGAAGCTCATTGTACCATTACGTTCACATGAACTTCTTAAACGTCTTCATGATGGATCGAAACTTTGCAAAATTCCACCAGCATCGATCAGAGATCAAACAAAGTTTCCAATTTTCAACAAGATTCGTCAAATGGAAAATTTAAACGCTGATATTAATCCAATTCATTGGTCAATCAACGAAGCTAACATTTTCATATCAACAATCGCATCAAAAGCCATTGCAAACAATTTTCTATGTGAAGAAATTGACGGAGAAGCGATTATCAACTTGACCCTCAGAGATCTCACTGAAGTCTTTCAAATTGAAAAGTTCACCGCTGATAGTCTCATTTCAGTATTCTCTCAACTACGTAAGGAAATTATTCAACGATATGTTAACATTTAATTTTTATTCTTTATTAAAGAGCTTTAAAGACAAAAAGAGAAATGAACAGAAATTTGTTTTCTTAATTTTAAACGTTGATAAACTTCATAAAAACTTCTTCACGTAATTCCATAATGCGATTATAGATTTTAATTGATGGACCAGCTTTGATAGTCATAAGATTTGTCAAATCATCTTGACACAAACACATGAGCGCCCTTCCGTCAATTTCCTGCTCTTTAAATTGTGCCACAATGTCAATGTCGTCGATAAATTTTGTAAGAAATGTTCCAACATCGTAGACACTCCATTCATTTGGATTTTGTGTTAATGATCCACAAAGTTCAGCACGTTTTAAGACTTTTGAGTTCTCTTTCCATAAATTGTACGAATATTGAAATTGCGGTCCATAATCTTCGAGGAAGTCTTTGAATAATTTTAATTTTTTTTCAGGCATCTCAATTAAGTTACTGCTTTCAGTTTTCACTATTTTATGTTTTCTTCCTCTGCTCTTTGTCGCAGTTGTCATCGTCGTTGATGCTTCCACACTATCATCAATAATCATGACTTGATCATCAAAATTCTCTCGTTTAACTTTCGAATTTACTTCTTTTGTCTTTGATGAAATGTCTTGATTAACTAATTTTATGTTGCTAAAATGTAAAATAAAATTCAGATTGAATATTTAAAAGAAGTTCAAACAATTCTTACCGTTTTGCAAGGATTTTTGTGTCAAGTCTTGTTCCAAGTTTCCGATTTAAAATCTTCTTCCAATTTTGTTTCTCATACGGACATTCAGCAACATTATCATGGAAATAACGATCAGTAAAGGTTCCATTTCCAATTCCACGACAGCCAGCTGTTGGACATAAATCACTGCCTATTGATTTGTTGAAACCAGCGGGATGTTCAATCGGATGTCCAGTTTTCTCACACCAATTAATCGGATGAATATCTTCAGAGTCATCGTCAAGCCAGAAAGCAAATGAAATATCAAATCCATCAAAGATTACTTGAATCTTAAAATGGTCACGTCTTAGAATTGTCGCTGGTCGAATGAGTTGTCGATTAACTGGATCAACAACTTCAACTTTATGTCCTGGTTCGAAGCAGTTTACTTCACGTTTACGATAAATCAGGAAATCGATTGTCGCCTCTTCACTTTCAGTTGATTTCAAGTAATCTTTCCAATCAAACGGCGGATTTGTGGGTGAAATGAAAGGATAATCAACTGTCAAATGATAATTACATGGGCGTAGATAAGGTGAGAAAATATCTTTCCATTTACAGCCAATTTCTGGATGTCCATCAAACTCAATCAACATTCGATTGTCAAGAAGATCAATGATTGTCGCTGCATATAATTTATCGTCATTCATTGCTTCTAATTTGTCTCCGATTTTAAAGCGACTTTCATTTAAAACTTCCGACGATGCTTTCATTAATCGTGGAAACATTGAACGTTGTGCACCAATGGAATTTGTACGATCAAGATATTCACTCCAATCGAACTTTTGTTTAGTCCATCTTGGTGGCGTGTTAAGAACGCGATTATTACTTTGACAGAAGCCAGCTGGAAAGATGTTTGGTGAGTCAGCATTCACCCAAAAGTCATAATTCGGCGAGAATCCATCGAAATGAAGCTTTATACGATAGCCAAGTTTCTCCTCAACCGTACAAACGCAAAACATTTTCTGATTTTCAGGATCGATTGCTTCGACACGCATTCCAACTTTAAAAGGATTTTCATGACGTGGATATGGTGATTGAAAGAGATTGAGTGGAGCTGGGACACTCTTTTCAGTCAAGTATGTGTCCCATTGGAATTTCATTTCAGGCGCTGCTATTAATGAACGTTTATTACGAACACGTTTCGATCCTGGCACTTGTTGTTCAAGTAAATGTTGTTGAAGTTGCTGCAATGGAATCATTTCCCCACCAAACATTAATTTACGTTCATCAACTGGCGTCGTTACACCAGATTCCGATGATGATTCTCTGCCACCACCACCAACAACATTAAATTCGCTGGTTTTCCTTTTCGTTATTGCTAAACATGATTCACTGCAACATTCTGGTGAGAAAAAATCACGAATTGTTCCCATTTTTGAACAAACCATGCAAACAAATTGATCAATTGGATCAACAATTTTACGTAATTTTATTGACGATGTATTATCAATTTTAATTGTTGGCTCCAATTGCTTCAACTTTGCCATGGCATCTTTCTTATTGATGACTTCGAGAAGTCCAAATTCATCGTAACCGAAGAGTTTGTTGCAATTGTTGAGACCGCCAATTCCATCATCCCATTGAATCTTATTAAGAGGATCATGAAAATCAAGCTCGAATTCTAGCTTCTTTTCACCTTTCGATTTTCTTCCACTTGGTTGTGATGGTTTGTAAGGAAGTCCCAAAGTTGCAATGATTGTTGGATTTTTCGCTTTTCTCGTTCGTTTTGATTTTCCTGTCTCAACGACAGATTTTATTTCCTGTTCTGTGTCTTTCTTTGTAATAATTTCTGTTTTTGTCAAAGACTCCTCATAATCTTGAAGCTTTCGACGTTTTACATCACTCAATGATGATGTATCGCTTATTGAATCCTCCTCCAAAACAATCTCGAAATTCTCCTTGTCGCATTCTTCTTCTTGTTTCAATGCCTGCTCCAAATTCTTCTTCACATCATTCATTGATGAATTGATTTCGCTCGTGTCAACATTGTTGTCGCTGCCATTTGATTGAGTTGGCGTTGTCGCATCCTCTTTCTTCTTTTCATTGTTGTCTGGTGGTGTGACGTCAGGGGAGACATTTTCAATTTTCTCATCACAAAGTAACATCGATGAGGATGAGTCACCGATTTCAGATGTGAGTTTTTGTGGTGATTCTTCGACTGCTTCTCTTTCTTCATTCAAATTTATTTCTTCATCGTCATCACCTTCAATTATTCTTTTTACTTCCAAGAATCTTTCTTCTTGTGAAGTTCGTTTCTGTAGTTTTTCTGGCGTCTTCTCAACAACAACAGCAGCAGCAGCAGCAGCAGGAACTTCCATTTCCTCTTTTTCATCATCATCCAACAACTTTTCAGTAACTTTTAAAGGTTTTGGTTGAATTCTCGCTAAAGGTGGAACTGCTGATGAGAATGTTGAACTTGCTGGTAACATCCATTTTTGTGTTGTTGCATTAAATCTTGCATAAGCTGTTGTTCCAATGGGAATTGATAAAACTGATTTCTGTGGTTGTGGCTGAGCTTGAATAACGATATTTTGTTGAAGATTCGAATCAATTTTAGGACGAATTGGAACAGGTTTTGTCACTGAACTTTGAGTGGTTTTTGATGCACTCGAAACAATTTTTTGTGTTGTTGCTGGAATTTTTCCACTAACAGTAACTCGAGGGAGCGACGATGATGATAAAGTGGGCGGCGGTTGATGAGAAAATGTAACGTTTTTCAGTGAACTTGGAAGTGTTGTCGCAGCTAAATTACCAGGATTTTTTATGACCATTGGTGCTTGAAGAAGAAGAGTATGACCCGCTGGAGTTTTCATAGTGACGTCACTTGTGGATTTGCTACGAAATGCAGTTACAGTTTGCGGTGTTGCCGATGAGATTTCTTTGTTTACATTTGTAATTTTAGAAGTTTCCTGAACCTTGTTGATTGAAGTCATTTGAGGTTTACTTGATGATGGAGTTGATTGAGCTCGAATTAGAATTTTTCCTGAAGGTGAAGAAATTTTTTGTTGTGAAGTTGTTGACGTTTGTTGTTGAATGACTTGAACCATTTGTTGTGATGATGGATTTGGTGGAACTGACGATTGAACTAATTGTTGTGGTTTAAAACTGAATACTTGCTGATTGTTTTCAGGATTACCACTGGCTAAGAAATTCTTTGATGGATCGAATTTAAAGTTCGCCAAGGTTGGCTATTTTAATGAAAAATATAAATTTTATGTTAAACTAAATTTAGATTAAAACAAAAATGAGATTGAATGAATTTAAAAGGATTTAAAAGTTTTTCAAGGGATGGAGAAAATGAAATTCCTAATTTTGATGTTTATTATTATTTTGTTCTATTTCCCAAAGAATCTTTTATATCTATCGCATGCTTACCATATTCTTCATTGATAAAACAATAACTTTGTTATTCGATGCAATTTTGTCAGGATGGTTTCTTGTTGGATCGGGTGGATTTGCGTTGGACATGTCTGAAGTCCTTGCTAGTCACTCTTTCAATGATAAGGAAATGAATACCTGACATGAAAGAAAATTTACCAACGAATTATCAAATAGTCAGACAATAACATGGAAATGTTTTTTGCAATAATATATACATGAAAATCACTCACCAGATGAAATATCAACTACCAAATGTCGATAATAACACTTTCAAATACTAATTCCACTGATATGTGAAAATAATGTTTGAATACTTTCTTTCGTTTGCGACGTGATATACGAAGATTTCCATTCCCTTTACGAGGGGTTAATTTTAAGCGCTAAAATTCAAATTTGAAATTTACAAAGTCGGTAAATTCTTTTTCTATCCCAGGTAGATATGCAACATAGCAAAAAGATATGATGAACAAAAACCTCATTAAGTAAAACAATAAAAACAATCCTTATCTCCCATAACGTCATCAAGATAAAAATTCAAACAAAAAATACTTTTTACAAGCAATTTTTTTCTTAATCAGTTCTCTTTGAGTCAGATGGAGTGTAAGGTGAAATAGAAATGAGTTTTTATTTTTGGTTCTTCTTTTTTCTTGTGCCATTATTCTTAGTCATAATTTTGTTTGGAGCAAATAGACGAAGACAAAGATTGAATGGTCGCGTAATTCAACCGATAGCTAATCCTGTAGTTTATACTGTGCCTACTGCAGTATATGTACAGCCGGTACATAATAACTTTCCTAATACAAGACACGTCGCACCTTCTACTTTAATGGTAGAACAAAGGCTAAATCAACATTATCATAATCAACAACAACCACCCCCGCCATACAACACTTCAAATCCAACACAACGATATTGAAAACTTATCAAAAGCTTCAAACTTATCACTGATTAGTAATCATTTGTTCGTCGGTGTAGAAGGAATCATTCAGAAAGCTTAAACAAAATATTTATGTGAAAAATGCAAACTTGGCTTATCATTTTAATAACGATTTTATCGGGTCTTGCAGTATTTGTGTTGTTATTTATAATTAAGAAAAAACGCAGTGAAAAGCGTCATCGAGAACGTGCCGCAATGGCTCAGCCTTCAATTGTCATCCCAAACACAACTACAGTCATTCCATCAACAAACAGACAACCAGCTTACAATTTAGGAAATCCAACACAAGTTCGACAATTTACGACTGTGATGTATCATTCGGGTCCAAATCCAACTTCAGGCCAAATGTATCCACCAGGGAACGCTCCACCTTATCCTTACAATCCAAATGTGATTCCACCTCCATATCAACAACAACCCCAACAGCAACAAATGTATCCACAGTATGTTAATCCAAACCCTTATCAACAACCAACGAGATTGATGCCAGTTGCAAGTGCACCGGCACATATGTAAAATTGTGATTTGTAAGATGTCATTATGCTTTTTTAATAAATTTTTATCGAACGAAGAATTATAAAATGTGTGACTAATAAATTCTTTTCATTGAAACAATAAGGCTTTATCTTATTTAGTCGTTTATCAGGTTTTGACAAATTCAGTCGGTTTTTCATTGTATCAAATTTTCAGAGTGACAAACGGAATGATAGTTACGATTTCTATTATCGCTGTTTGTGTCTTATTTTTGTGTGTTAGTTTATATTCTGTGGGAAAGTACAATTATCGAAACAAGAGACAAAGATCCCCACCTGCAAGAACCCTCCGACGATGGGGACATAATGACGGTAAATAAATTTAATTCCTTGAAATTATTCTTTGTGTTTAGTTGTAAATTTTATGATCATTAGATATTGTTTCCGTTCGGAAATAATATTTATCTTTTTGTAAACAAAAATCAGGCAACACTTTTTTGATAACAAATTGTGATAACGCCTGATCCTTAAAATTGACACAATCGCAATTTACTTGTTAAAATTTACTTTAAACAACACACGTGAAAAATTCTTTTGCTAATAATTTAATTAATTGCACTGTGAACTGATACAAATCTACTCAGAATCAATTCTTTAAATTGTTTGGAACCTACGTTACACTCAAAACTAGAGTAAAATCAACAATAACGACTTACAAAAGTCACAAATCATTGAACTCACATGTAAGAATATTTAAATTACATTATTGAACTCCAAACACTAAAAATCATGATCATTTTTTAGATAACATTGAAGTTTCTTGTAACAATCAAGATATTTGCTACTTTACATCAAATTTACATCGATCACTGAGTAACAATAACTCAGTTTTTCTACAAGTATGTGAGAAAATTCAGAATTTAGAGAACTTGCTAATTTTAATTGTTTTTCTAGTCATTTACACACTGATTCTCTCACAATCATTCACTGACTTTAGCTACATAGCTTTTCTACTCCAGTTGATCAGGTAGCAAATAGATTAATTGAAAACTTCAATCATTTACTTACATCACGTTCACATTTAGGTTACATTTCCTGAACATTCAACCAAAAATTGTTAAACTTAAATCGTTGAATTATCTTACAAAAAACGCCACAAGGTAACAAATTGTGCAATAACATATTGACTTAATCATTCTTAAACAAATTTTCATGAACATTTTAGGCGTTTTTCGATTAGTTTTCAATTTGTGAATCTTACTTTGAATTGGATAGAAAATAAATACTCAACATACAAAAACTGAAGTCAACAAATATTTTGAATTTTCTTATCACTTTATTCGGATACATTACTACAGTCTACTGCACTGTTTGCTACTTACAACGCGAACAGATATTATCATATTTTATTTGAAAGATAAGTAAAAGATTCGCTACTACTTGAGATTACTTAAAATTATGACTTTTGTTTTTGTTTAGTAGCAAACCAGCTGGTGAGGGAATAAGATTCGTGAAGTTTATGTGATTGATATTTATAAAGTCATGGTCGTGATGATTCTTTTGTTCATTTCTATCGCTATTATTTTTATAGTGTATAAATCAAGTCGAAAGTTAGTTCGTAGCCCTCCAGGTAAAGAATATTTTCGTAACACTTAATTGATATTGCGAATGCATTTTTATCCTCTCTGAATCTGTCATTGAAATTATTAAATAAATTACAGTAAATTCCATTTGATTAGTTATCGTTCTTATTGATTTGTTGATAACAGAGAATTGATTTCTTTTTTATTTCCAATTATAATTTTTCGAATGCTCAATCGTTGAGTTGGCATCGACATAAAAAGTTTGACTTTGATCATGATTTTGCTTATAATTATTGTGATAATTTTACTTTCATCCATAATGTGGTTCATGTTTGTACGTGAGACTTTGAAATTTATCAAATAATCTGATTAGTTAGTGAAAATCCTTAAATCTTTTATTTTTTATTCGTAGTACACTTTTGAAATGAAACGTGTTAAAGAAGAAGTCGGATGTAAGTTTAAATTGATAAATCAATGTTTTCCTCAATCTTATCGCGATCAAATTTTTCGTTGTCTTTTATTTGTCGATAAAGAATTCTTCAATGTCAGTCAGTTAGTTGGAAGTTTAAGGAAAGGAGCTGCAATTTATTTATTTATATTTCTGTGACTAATCATGTGGATTTTATATCTTAGTCTTATTTTTGTGCCTGTAATTTTAATTTGGTTTATGCTTTGGGCAATTGAAAAGAAAATACCGACAAGACTTTATGAAGAAGATCTAAGACGACGTGAGTTTGTGATTTATTCTTGAAAGATTTTATTGACTGTCAATGAGAAATTTGTCATAATATTTCGTGATGTTTTGAAATGTGAAATCAGTGCTGGTTTCCATGTGAACACGAATCTTCAATGATTTAGAAATTTCCCACTTTTCTCCACATAGTCACCTTTAATCTTATCATATAATCCTTCTCTTAATTTCGGACTATTAATCCAAACATTTCATTTATCTATGTGGATATCTCTTGATGGAATAAATTTTAATTTTTGTCAGTTTTGTATCAGCTTTCAAAACCATCACCAAGAAAGTGTCTTCAAAAAGGAATTTAAGATCCATGGCAATGGATGCATTTCTTTTTCTTTTCTTTATCTGTTTTCCGGTCTTTGTTATTTGGTATATGCTGTGGAAGAATCAGAAAAATATAACAAATAATAGAGCTCGAGAGGAAAGTGCCGAGAGAGGTTTGTGGAAGTTTTATCGTTCGAAACCTTTTTTTTCGTTAATGACCGCGAAATTGTGATTGATATCGCGAAATTCACAAAAAATTAATCGTAGACAGAATGTTGTTATTGAGATAAGTTAAGCCTTTTATCAAAGTTGAATAATTTTTCCACCACACATTTCAGTTTCACTTCAGACCTTCACTTCAGTGATTTCAGTTTTCTATTTTTTCCAAATGGAATTTTTTACATTTTTATTTCTATTTTTTGTTCTGCCTGTTGTCTTCATCTACTTGAGCTTAAAAACAGCTCAAAAGCGAAGAATTCGTTTGCATAATTCTGGTGAGAATTCTGTTAAAACTGGTGAAAGATTTTTAATAAAATTTAATCTTGCGGAAACTACGACAGTAAAAATTAGATATTTGTCTTGTGGATAAATTATTGAAACGTGCATATGGCAACGTTACCAAGATTATTTCCCTCGTTATCTTTTTGTTATCACTGATAACAGTTATCACAAAATATTGTTTAAAAACTGAATGCTTTAAAAAAAGTGACATTTAGTCAGTTACTCATAAATAGTTATGAATGTCGAAAGCTTCTCTATAAGAATTTAATTATAGCATCTCAATGTGGTATTCATTTATATACGTTTTCCTTATTTTACTAACAATTATCTGTGCGCTTCTATTAATGATCAGATGGGATAGAAAAATTCGAATGATGGGTGTTCGTAGGCAAGGTGTATGTAAGTTGAGAACTTCTGTTCAATTTTGAGTGGTAGTGGAAAATGATTAACATTGGAAATAGTTTGTAAAAGCCAAGACAAAACAAGGTTGTCATTTCTTAAAATAATAATTTTGAAACGTAAAATCACGATTCAACTATTTCATTTTAATCTATTTTGAAGAACACTAGACATTCAAAACAAACTCATCATTAATTTAATCATTGACACACAACTGCGAGTGTTTTTGTGCAAATGATAAAAATATCAACCAAACCATTGTCAGACTGAGTTTCTACCAAAAATCAACTGACGTCATAATCGTTCATTTACCGATATGTTTCCTAATTTTTTCTTATCAGCTCAACCTGTTGTGACAACAACAGCAAATGTGATTTATACAATTCCCACAAATAATCCTACGAGGTTTTCTCAAGCAAATGTATCTGCATCAGCTTCAGTGCATCATGGTAAGTTGTCCATAATTAAATTTTCGTCTGAAATAATCTCAAACACATGTCATTAAAAATATTTTCTATCTTTAGATCTACCACCATCTTACGATCAAGTAGTACAAAGTCCACCGCAAACTCCTTCAACGCCTCTCTCTCAATCAACTACCGTAAATATTCCTGCACCACCCATGATCACACAATCACAAGAAGTACCAAAGCCAGCGTAGTTGTGAACCCGAATCAATCAATTATCATTTTATATATTTCATTTTTATTTTGTTATACAATCTTATTTTAAAAGAAATAATCACAAGACAAAATTATCTTATCAGGAACAACTTGAGCGAATTATTTTTTGTTTATTGATTTGTTTCCAGTGGCACAATTAATTCCCAGTTCTTGGCGGTTCGGTAGACTCGGACGTGTTTGGAGTGCTTTCAATTTTATGCATTTTTATTGCCACATCATAAGAAGGTGGAAGTTCATGTTCCATAATTATGCGAGGTGCTGATGGAGAATTTGGAGACGGAGGCATGTTTGAACCATAATTAACTAATGTTCTCCGTCCATTTTCGACTGTGTACACGGAGAATCGATAACTTGGAATATTTCCTGAAGAATTTCTTTGCTGCTGTTCTAAAATGTTTTAAATTATTAACTGAATCTTTTAATTTATTTTCTTTCTTTACCTTCAAACTCTCTTCTCTCCTGGTTATATTGTCTCATCGATTTGTTAAACCAATGACAAGAAAACTGAAAATATTCTCCATTAAATGAAAGAATCTTTTTTATTAATTATCATATCGTACCATTAGAAATGGGAAGATCACAGCACATATTAAATAAAACACTATTGTACTACTATCATCAGCCATTATGAAAATTATTAGTTAAAATTCCTTCCAAAAATGTGACAGTTTAACACAACAAGCATTTAAAACGAGACTAACATTACCACTTGAAATCAGTTTCACAAATGATGATGATTGGCAATAATAGAACGACGATGATAACAAACGAATGTTGATAACGCTGATATCTTTAATAAGTATTCGCAGTTATTAATATCATGAAACAAATTAACAATTTGATAAATTAAAATTCATGAAAAACTGGAAACTATTCGTGAGAATATCTCAACAATCACAACATCAAGTTTTCTATTACATGTAAAAAGTAATTTTGCCTTTATTTTCCATTTCTTTTACCTTCAACTCAACAAGATATTTCAGATGCTCATTGAAAAATCTATTCAAGTGCCGAAAAAAAAATAAAAATCGACCAGATAATTAATCTAAGATAATTAAGTATTGTGCTAGAAACTAATTTACAAGCTTTGATTAGAATTGTTTATTGTAAGTCTTTGAAACCTTTTCTCCTTCCTTGGTAAGTAAATTTCATTTCATTTTTTTTTTGTATTGAAGTTTCATTCATGGATGGGAACGTTCAAGGATTATCAAGTGCTGTACCATATTTTTATGTTTAATCTCTAGAAGTTAATTTTCAATAATTATTTTAGAGGTCAGCAGATAATTTTGTGTTTAAGCTAAATGCACATCATTGCTGTGTAAATCTAATATTCGAATAAGAACCTCGTTCAGAAGAAGACAAGTGACGAAGATAAGAAGACTGAACTCGATGTATTTAAATTAAATTCTTCTTCATTCCATGCCAATTTTCCTCGTTATTACCAACTAAATTTATTTATTGAATTTCTCTAAACTTTTGGTAGATTGCAACCTATAACCCTGATCACTTTCGCTGAGATTTCACAACCAACTTCTATACATTCTCGTGTGGTTTTTCCTTCCATGAGAGCGTAAATAAATCCAGCAACGAAACTATCACCGGCACCTGTTGTATCGATAATCTCATTAGCATCAACTTGAGGAACGTTTACGAGATCTGATTGAATTTGTGAAGAGTTTCCTTCATAGAAAAACACTGGATTGGCTCCATCAGTGACAACGATAATTTTTTTCTGCTCATTTGGTTTATTGTACTCATTCAAGAGATCTGTTAACAAATCTTCCATCGTTTCAAACCCATTCATACTCGCCAACTCTTCAAACTCATCTCGATTACCGAAAACAATGTCGGCCTTCTTTGTGAGCCAACTTATATCTTTCGGGAACGTTTTAACAATGTATGGTGCATTTAAGTTTGTTATCAGCTTAGAATTTTGATACTTTTCATGGAGAAACCGACAAATGTGCATTTTCTCAGGAATGAAAAAGCCTTCGATGTAATATAAAGCTGGCAATGACGACGACAAACTCTTTATACTCTCCTCAATAAACGATTTATCAACCTTCATTGCTGCACCAACGTACGCAGTTAAACTTCGATCTTCACCTTGACAGAGACACAAACACGTTCCAGTTCTCACGTCTTTTCGTTGTTGTAATCTAAAAATAGAATCAATGAATCATGTGATAATTTTATATAATTAAAAACGTGGCTTTTGTTTATTCTCACCGTGCATTCACCATTGAACGTTTTAAAATTTCTTTCACAACTTTTCCATTTTGATCTTCACCGATAGCGCCAAAAAATATGACATCCAATTGTCCCATAGCAGCAAGAATTCTCGTTGAATTTAATCCAGATCCACCAAGAGAAAATTTCAATATTTTGTTTCTAAAATAGAAAATAAATAAATAATTAATGAATGACCTTCAATGTCAATGATATTTAAGAAAATTTTCATTCTATAATTCTTTTAAACTTGCGAGACAAAAAAAGCAATAGAATGGTGTTGTTTAATCGATGATATGATAAGTTTTCGTACCTGTCTTTGGCATCTCCAATTATTTTATTCAACTTTTCTGACGAAACTTCTTTCTGCCCATTACGCTCCAAATTATACTTTCTCAACAATTCGTCATTTTTTATTTGCACGGTAACATCTAATAAGGCATTTCCAAACACCCACAGCTTTGCTGACGATGTTTCACAACTGCAATCGAAATTACAAGTTAAATTTTATATAACTTTTAATCATTTTCACATTAAATTGTCATCACCTTTGCGATGTTGATGAATGATTTGTGCTATTCGTCATCTCGTTTTCAACAAAGAGCAACAGTCAGATCAATAAAACCGGTGGAATAAATAAAGAAACGTGACTCGCACGATGAAAATTAAAAGCGCATCTGATTACGTTTTTATTTTGCCGTGAAATTATGAATGAAGAAAATGTTTTATTGGAAGAAAGTCAAATGTGTTGTTGAAGTGCAAGTCAGATTTAGCTTTATGTGTTTGATTTTAGAGTCGATATTTGTGTGCTGATTTTAGTAGATATCAATGCGCAGGTCAGGAATTGGTAGACATCGACGTCACGTTTGTTTAAATTGTTATAAAACGATTTTTACAAAAACTTGTCTTTATTTAGCTTTTCTCTTTATTATTTTCATCGCATCAACAGAAACTTTTGCCAAACCTTGACTTTTTTAAAATAAACATGATTTTTGCTGATAATAATCGCTCGTTTAAAAGTCACATGCAGCGACTCCTCCAAACAAAAGTCATTCTCGATGACGTGCAGCAAAAACTCAAAGATCAACCCGATGATGTCATCAAAGCTTCTCTGTTTACTCACCAAATAGAGACTTTGTGGAAACATCTGATAACGCTTTTCAATTGCATCACCATGACTTGTGTAAATTTTAAAGTTTCCTGATATGGCGATAACTGCGACACAGAAAATGTCAAGTAGGAACTTTTTCTTATCATCATCCAATAAATCTTTTTCGACAAAACGATTTTGCATCGAAATAAGGAATTCTGCGATCCATTTTTTCTTTGGAAATGATTCTGAGGTCGAGAAAATCAAGTGAAACGTCTTGAAGAAATCATGACGATCATCACCAGATATCAAATTTTCTGTTATCATTCCGTTTATTAAATTTTCGAGAAACATTGATGGAATCAATCTGATTAAATCTTCTCCTGGTTTATTGTACATCATGTAAGTTGATAACATCGTCGTAAGGTTCTCTCGATTCGTCACATCTTTTTCATGTTCAAGACATTTTCCTATCTTCTTCTCATAATCCTTTGCTTTGAAATCTTTAAAGATGTAATGACAAAAGGTCCGAAAGATATCAACTGTCACTCCATTACATAAATCAATTAAAACATCCAAAACAATTTCAACGTCAGATTCATTTGATTTGTCGAGATTAACAAGAAAGTTTTCAATTAATCGTTTGGATGTTCCTGATATGGTTGACTGCTTCGATGCGATGTGAAGACATTCTCTCTTTAATAAAGCACTTTTATGAAGAAGATCATGAAGAAAACACCAATTGAGTGGTGGCAATGGACGACAATATTTATATGACAATACTTTGAATGCTTCGATTAGAATTGAAATGTCCATAATCTTCTCCGCTTTCTCAGTCGTCACTTGTTGAATCACAAAAGCAATGAGTGGCTTAAGAATGCTTTGCTTCGACAAATTCTTATAATTCATCGGTTCTGGTTGTCCTTCTTTGACAAGATAGTGACCGGATCTAAATTCAGATACTTCAAAAGCGATGTAATGTCGCATCAAATCACCAACTGAACCAATCGCTTCTTCATGAACTTTAGTCAGAAGTTGGACGAAACATTCACCAGGAACTTCCATGTCAAGAATGCAAGCTTCCATTCCTTGTGGTGTAACTGGAAGTTTAATTCCTTCTCGATAAATATCCGGAATAATATCCAAAGTCAATAATTCTTGTTTCCAACTCTTCAATGCTTCTAAGGCATATTTTATCTCATAAATATTTCCCCATTGTATCATGTACCACAATTTCCCTAAAATTTCTTTCATAAAGTTTTCATACTCCAAATTAGTTCGTTTAAGTGACGGAACAATAGCGAAAAATTGACATAAACTTTTAACAATTCTTGGCCGTTTCTCGTATTTGGTTTTTAAATTTATCTCCTTCCATGTTGACATGATGCTAATGACGTGATTTTGACAAAGTACAGTAATTGAATTGATTGCTAAAGCAGCTTGAATTTCCCCATCTTTTGATTCCAATGAGTTGTTGAGAATTTCTGAGATGATGCTGACTAAGTCGGGGCCATGTTGTGGTTTTAAATCACAAATTTCATTTATAGCTGCAGCACGAACAATTTCAAGATCAGAATCATGTTCATCAGTTTTACTTTTCTCAGCTAAAGCTTTGTGAAGAAAAGGATAAGTTCGCGGTTCGGCTCGCCAAAGTCTTAAATGAAGATCGATGGATATTGATCGGTAAATTCCTTTTGCTGACAATGCTTTGAAAGTGTTGAAGATTTCAGTGGTAGCTCCAAGTTGTGCGATGTTTTTTAAGATTTGAATTTTAATTTGAGGATTTGTACTTGATGAGAGTTTAAACAACAAAGGCATGATAATGGAGCTTTTCAATTTGTCGTCATCTTTTGCAATATTCACTAAATTAATTAAGATTAAAGTCCAAGTATTTGAGCCAATTGAGTCGTCGAAAAATAATCCACGAAGAACCAAATGATTTCTCGTCCAAAATATTTTTTCCTCTTCCGTTGTTATTGATCGGAAATTGAAATTTTCTTTTGATTCTAACATAAATGAAATGTCGCGAGCATTCAAAAGATCGAAACTTGAATAAATGATTTCTGATGTGGCCATTGAAGTTCGAATGTTGCTGTTGACTTTGTTATTATTGATGAAGTTGACGAGATGTTCAACGGAATTCAAATTTCCTTTTGAGAATGACGGATAAGCCAACACTTGAATAAGACCATCAAGTATCATGTTGAGGATTATTGGATGTCCTAATTTTCCTTTAATTATGAGCATTTCAAAAATCTTTATCAACTTTGACATGTGGAAGATTGAAGTCTCCTGAAGTATTTCGGCGAGTAAAATTAAAATTATGTTTGACGTTTCAGGTTGTTTAATAATTTTATCCGTATGTTTAAGAATAACTTCGAAATTCTCTGTAGGATTAATGGAAAAGGTGACAAGATGTTTAGTTGAAAGCACGAGAAGTAATAATATTTCAATCATTTTCTCATCTTCTGCAGTTTCCAGAATTGTTAGCACCATTGAATTGAAAATTAAACATGAAGTCGTCGATGTTGTTCTTCTCATTGAAATGATCTCATATTTAATTGAACTGTATTTGATATTTCTCCAGACTTCCGTTAATTCGCTGTAGATTTGGTCATTACAAAATAACATCAAAAGAACTGGTCGAAGAAATTCCACAACGTTGGATTGAATTACGCTTTTAAGAAGAAATTAAATTAAAGTTCTTAATTAGGTATCTTATAATAAAAATAATAACTTTCATTACCTGTTAGAATGACTCAAAACTTTAATAATCTTTTGACTAAAATACAACATTCTTTCAACTGATCCATCAATAAGAAACAACAATGGATGAGCTTTCTGAAGAATTCCAAAAGGACATTTATAATTAGGAAATTTCAAGTCGTTTAAGAGAATTTTAAATATTCCATCAGCAACTATTTCAAAGTTAGTCGATGGAAGTCGTGACAATGTAGAGACGAGAGTGTTTAATGCGAATCCATTATCATTTGCGTCTATCAAAACATTCACCGCATTCTCACAAAAATTTCGATTTTCATTTAGTAATTGCTCTTTAATCCATTCAATCTCCTTTGTGTATGATTGATTATTTCTTTTATTTTCATGAATCTTAAGTAAAATTTTATAAAAGTTGTTATTAATTGATAAAATTGAATTGTTTTGCGGAAAATTCATGTTTGTTTTTATTTTTGAAACACAAAACTAGCAAAATGCCCGATCTTTTGTCTGTTGTTAATTAATCCGATCGTTCATCTAACATTTAACATCAAATACATCCATGAATGGAAATGTAGCTTTATTTGGTTCCAACATGTCAATTAAGAAGCAAATAGCGCCAGCATAACCTTCATAAAGAGTGGAAGGATTGTCAGGAGGTCTTGCATGTTCTTTGAAGTCGGCGTTGATTAAAAATTTTGCAAAGCATGACGCTCTGTATAAATGTTTGAGATCATTCGTTAAACGATAGAGAAGGAGAAAAACGTAGCCGTTGCCTGAAACTCCATGACAAATGCCAGGACCTTTACGAAGCAATCCTTTGTTCCAAACAAGTTCCCCACATTTCAAACAGGATTTCAAATATTTTTGTTCTTTAAAGATTAAGTAAGCTTTTGCCATGAGATAAACGACACCAGGAGCTCCATGACACCAATGAACAAGTTTATGGTCAGTTTCCCTTGCATTTTCCATAGTACATGGAAAATTTCCATCATGACCTTGCATTTGAAGAAGACCGTCAACCGAAGCTTTTACAAGATTTTGTTTTTCATTCATTTTTTCGAGATTTCCAGCAAATAATGGTGATTCAAGAAGCATTTGAAGAATTGCTGATACTCCATGAGCTGCACCCAAATACTGGTCTCCATAACATTCCCACATCAAAGGAACGTTTAATTTATGTCGTTTTGAATATTGTATGCCAGATTCAATAATAACATCACAAATTTTTGTAATAATCGCTCCCGATATTCGTTGAGAAGAAGGGAGGTGCTGGTTGAGCCAATAAATTCCACTAAGATAGCCAGCTCGACCAAAAAGTATTTCATCAGATCCATATTTGTTGAAATTTATTTTTTGGCACACAGCATTTCCTTCCAAAAATTTTTCAAGATCTTTCTGACATTCCTGTAAGTTTCCTGCACAATGATTAATGACTAATGACACTGCATAAATTCCAGCATTACCACAGAGAAGCGAAGCTGAATCTTCCGGTTTAGATTTTCTTATCAAAGTTTTAGCTTTATCAATGCTTAATTTTGCACAAAGAAGAGATTCTTGTGTTTTGGCTTCTTCAATTTTCCGAGATTGATGTAACTTCAAATATGCATAAGCAATTCCACTTGTTCCCACATATAAAGCACCATCTCGACTAGAATTTTCGTTTTTGCGTATGCTTTGAATGTACCAATCAATTATTTTCCTGATTTCATTATTTGTGTCAGCTTGTTGAGTACCATCATAATCAGGATATGGATTAAGAAAATGTCTCATTTTTATTTTTTAACTTGTGATGTTATTGAGAGAAAAATATTTGCGGCTCAAGGTTTGTTATTGTTCGGATGTCTGTTCGGATTAAATAATTTGTTCTACCGTATTTTGTGCATCCATAAAAAATCTACCTAATATAAGTTATTGGTAATTGTTATTTCAAATAAAGTTTAACATTCGTATCGACAAGATCATTTAAGCATTCTAAGTTGCTTCTTTAATCTTAAAATTATCAACTAAATTAAGAATCAGTTATTCTTTATTCTGATAGATTCATAAATTGGTCCAATTCATCAGTGACAATAAATTAATTATTTACCTTTAATCGTTTCGTGAACAAAACATTTAAAATAAAATAAATCAAATTTAAGAAGAAAAACTCTTATAAATATTGAAATGGCAGATAATCAATTAATTGAAGGACCTTTAAAAGAAGGAAAGGAAAAGTTTGAGACATCGGAGAAAGCTAGAACAGAAAAAGGAAAAAGGAAGCATTCGGTATCATCAGCATCATCTGATTATTCATCAGAATCAGAGAATGACGACCAAAAGAAGAAATTAAAGTCTCACGTTGAAAAAGTTTCTCCTAAGATACAGAAGAAGTATAAACGGAGATCTTCAAGATCCTCAAAAAACTCATCTGAAGATGAAAAGAGTCCAAAAAAGGACAACAAACGAAGAAGTAGGACACCGGATCGTTACAGAAGAAATCGTTCACCTAGCTTTGAGAGAAAACGCGATGATTATTATCCCAAGCGGAATTACACAAGCTACTATGATATTGGATCGTCAAAAGACAGGAATCGAGAAAGATCCAGATCGCAAACCCGTCGTGAAAGGCGAACGCTAACTCCGGAACTTCCGAAACAAGCAGAACCACCAAGAGTAAAAAAAACTGACATATTAACATCAAAAACTGGCGGTGCTTATATTCCTCCAGCAAAACTTCGAATGATGCAGGCAGAAATAACAGACAAATCATCAGAAGCTTACCAACGAATCTCTTGGGAAGCTTTGAAGAAATCCATTCATGGATTCATCAACAAAATCAATGTTGATAATATTGGCATTGTTACTCGCGAGCTACTTAAGGAAAACATTGTTCGAGGAAGAGGACTTTTATGTCGTTCAATAATTCAAGCACAGGCAGCATCACCAACATTCACTCATGTTTATGCAGCTCTTGCTGCAATTATAAACTCAAAATTTCCAAATATTGGCGAACTTTTGTTACAACGACTCGTGTTGACTTTCCGAAGAGGTTTTCGAAGAAACGATAAAACAATTTGCGTTACTGCTTCGAAGTTTATCGCTCATCTGGTGAATCAACGTGTTGCTCATGAAATTCTTGCTCTTGAAATTCTTACTCTTCTCGTCGAAACTCCAACAGACGATTCAGTGGAAGTTGCTATTGCTTTCCTCAAAGAATGTGGACAAAAATTAACGGAAGTGTCTGGAAAAGGTGTAAATGCAATCTTTGAGATGTTAAAAAATATTCTTCATGAAGGTCGATTGGAAAAACGTGTTCAATATATGATTGAAGTGATTTTTCAAGTTCGAAAAGATGGGTTCAAAGACCATGTGCCAGTAATCGAACAGTTGGAATTGGTTGAAGAAGATGATCAATTTACTCATCTGATTATGCTCGAAGAAGCAACTGACACACAAGACATCTTGAGTAAGTTCAAAATATTTTTTTATGTCCTTTAATTTATAACAAAAATAATTTATTTTCAGATGTTTTCAAATTGGATCCAAGTTATCAAGAAAATGAAGAAAAATATAGAACACTTTGCAAAGAACTTCTAGGAAGTGATGGTGAATCAGGATCAGATGGCAGTGGTTCTGACTCAGATTCAGATGACGATTCGAGTGATAGTGAAACTGAAGAAAAGAAACAAGAAATCATAGACAACACTGAGACAAATTTGATTGCTTTAAGACGAACAATTTACTTGACAATTCATTCCAGTTTGGACTTTGAGGAATGTGCACATAAATTAATGAAAATGCAATTGAAACCAGGTCAAGAAGGAGAATTATGTCACATGTTCTTAGATTGTTGTGCTGAACAAAGAACTTATGAGAAATTTTATGGTCTGCTTGCACAACGGTTTTGTACCATTAACAGAATCTACACAGAAAAGTTTGAAGAAATTTTCAAAGATATTTACGACACAACTCATCGTTTGGACACAAACCGGCTAAGAAATGTTAGTAAATTCTTTGCACACCTTTTATATTCTGATTCCATTGGATGGACTGTGTTCGAATGCATAAAATTGAATGAAGATGACACAACAAGTTCGAGTCGTGTTTTCATCAAAATTCTCTTTCAAGAACTTGCTGAGTTTATGGGAATTAAGAAGTTCAATGCAAGACTTCAAGATGCAACTTTACAAGAATATTTCAGTGGACTCTTTCCTCGAGAAAATCCAAGAGATACGCGCTTCTCAATCAATTTCTTTACATCGATCGGCCTTGGTGGTTTAACGGATGACTTGAGAGATTTTCTTAAATCTATGTCAAAAAAGAAGTAATGAATTTTGGCAATGTCATGTAAACTTTTTCCTTTTCTTTTAATTTCATTCATTCGTAAATTTATAATAAAGAAATTATTTTAAAATTTAACGGAAAACTTTTCAAAAATAAAAATAATTGGCAACACTCAAACAGCATGTTTTCATCTGATCTGGCAACACTCTTCCTTTTTCCCCTTAAATTTGTCAACGAGTTGTAAAGTAAGTGAATTTTAATTAAAAAATAGTGTTAAAACAACTTTAAAGTATGTGAATTTATGCAGAAATTTTTGATAACTTCTATAGCTTTCATAGTGTAATGGATGTATCTCTCAAATCGTATCGTAATAACTGTACACAAAAAAATTATCACGATGAACAATTTTGATTTTATTTTTTAAAAAAATATTGCCCAAAGAAAAAGCTTATTTAATATTAATAAATTTTCGATATTTATTTAAATGAATTACTGTATTTATATTTGCCACTCCTATTTTGTACTTTAATTAAAAATTTCTGCATAAATATTTAACATCTTTAAAGGTTATGTTATTGTTGAAATATTCTCTGAACTTAAATTATAAGGCAGCAATTTTCTCTTTTTCTATAGTCAACTTCTAACTCAAGATGAAGGGCAATCAAATGATTCCAAATGCCCACTTTCACAAGTGGTGGCAACGTTTTGTACGAACATGGTTCAACCAACCAGCTCGTAAATATCGCAGACGTCAAAACCGCATCAAGAAAGCAAAGGCTGCATTCCCACGTCCAGCTGCTGGAGCATTGCGTCCTATTATTCGCTGCCCATCAATCCGCTACCACACTAAACTCCGAACAGGACGTGGATTTTCATTAGCCGAATTGAAGGTAACTTTTTCTACTTTAAAATGTTTGCTTTTTATTTGAATAATTATTTTATTTGTTATTTAAGGCTGCTGGTCTTACAAGTGGATTCGCTCGTACAGTTGGAATTTCTGTAGATCGTCGACGACGTAATAAATCAGTTGAATCACGTCAACAAAATGTTCAACGTTTGAAGGAGTATCAGAACAAGTTGATCCTCTTCCCGATCCACGAAAACCGCAAATTGCGTAAGGGTGAAGCAACTGAGGAAGAACGTAAATTGGCAACACAACTGACCGGTCCAGTTATGCCATTAGTGAAACCGAAACCTGTCATCGAATTCCGTGCTATCAAGGAAGACGAAAAGAAATTCTCTGCTTTTAACGCTCTTCATTGTGCTCGTGTTGCTGCCCGTACAGCTGGTCAACGTGCAAAGAAAGCAAAGGAAGCTCAAGAAGCCCAGGAGAATGCACCATCAAAGAAGTAGATTTGAATTAAAAACATTTGTGAAAACTTCTCTCCATCAACGCGATAAGAAAATAAAAATGTTATTTGTAACATAAAAAATAACGTTTTATTCGTTTCCTTCACAGTTCACCACTCAAATTATCGATTTTCAATGATTTTTGCAGGCTCTTCGGGAAATTGAAGAAAATTCCTATTGAATTACACCTAAGAATTTCAAACTGTTTGTATGTGAAGTGATTGAGAAATAAACTAAAACCTAACGGTTTTCAAAAATTTAAAAAAAGTCAAGGCAACTGCAAAACGTTTTACAATTTTTGAAACATCATCGACATTCGATGTCTAGTTCCTTCCTCGCAAAGCAGATGAAAATTTAATAATATTTTTTTTGTGTAAAGTGCGCTAGATATATCAGTAAAAATCATTTACGTTAAGTCATAATGAGTGCAGCTCCTCAAACACCTGCCGTACTTCCTCTAAAGAAAGGCATTGTTAAGCAAGTGAGTATAATTGAAATGTGAATTTTTTTTGGTTATTTCCATCGTGCCAACTCAACATTCGAAATCAAGTTGGAACATGTTTTCACTGCAGGAGTCCTCTAATTAAGTATCTTTTTTGTGATATCTTAAAAGTGTTCTCATTACTTCCACTAAGAGATTGACTGATAATGCAAAGTTGGTCAACTCACTTTTAATTTAAATTTCGGCTCAAATGATAATTTTTCAGTCATTGACCTCTTTTCATTAAAACTTGATCTTTTCGATGGCTAATGAATTAGTCAATGCGTAATTCATGCATATTCTTGTGCATACAACTTTTAAATTGTAGATTTTCCATTAAAACTCATTTGATTCATAAACAATATGTTTTCCGGCTGGAAACTTTTAAGCTAGTCTTATCAATACATTGATAAAAAAGAGGTTAAAATAAATCTACAATCTTTCATTCTCTTCTTTTTTTGCTTCATATATGATTTTATAGAAATGCCAACGTGAATGGGAATTTAAAGTTCCATGTTGGAACCAACCAACAAAGCAAAAGAAGAAAAAAAAAGAGATATGAAGAAAGTATCGGATTTTTGATCAAAAAAAATTGTAAAGTGTGCAAGCACAATTTTAATTATGAAACTACATTAATACATACGCAAACGACTTTCAATCTACATCTTTTTTTTATTTTCTTTTTCTTTCATAGTCAACTTTCTTTTAATTCAGACATGAATTTACGTTTTATTTTAGGTTCTTTCGGGTGATTCTGTTATCATTCGAGGACAGCCAAAAAATGGACCACCTGCGGAAAAGCAAATCAATTTTAGCAATGTCATAGCCCCAAAGTTGGCAAGACGTCCAACAAAGTAAGACTCATTATCATTTTTTTATTGTTCATTCGTTTATTTGTGATATTTTAAGTCCTGCTGATGATTCCTCTAAAGATGAGCCTTGGGCTTGGGAATCTCGAGAATTTTTACGTCGTTTACTCGTTGGCGAAGAAGTTTTCTTCCAAGCTGAACGTAAACCTAATGCAACCCGCGATTATGGTGTCGTTTTCCTCGGAAAGGATCCAAACAATCTTTCGAACGTCACTGAATTGGCGGTAAGCGAAGGTTTACTTCAAGTTCGTCGTGAAGGTGTCAGGAGCACACCCGAACTTCAAAAATTGATTGAACTTGAGGAGCAAGCAAAAGCGCAAGGAAAAGGTCGCTTCAGCTCTCAAACGCCAACTCAACGTAGTATCGTTTGGTCAATAGAAAACCCCCGCCACTTCGTCGATCTTCAAAGTGGAAAGCCAATTCGCGCAATTATCGAACATGTCCGCGATGGTTCCACTGTTCGTGCATTCCTTCTGCCGGGCTTCCAATACGTCACTCTAATGATCAGTGGCATCCGCTGTCCTGGCTTCAAACTTGACACCGAAGGCAAACCAGATCCATCGGTTATCGTTCCCTATTCCGAAGAAGCCCGTTTTTTTGTCGAGTCGCGTCTTTTGCAACGAGACGTTGAAATCATCCTAGAGTCGGTGAACAATTCAAACTTCGTCGGAACAATTCTTTATCCCAAGGGAAACATCGCTGAAGCTCTGCTACGTGAAGGTTTTGCAAAATGTGTTGACTGGAGTATGGCATTTATGAAAAGCGGTAGGTTTTGAGTTTTCATTTCATGTACACTATACAGGGCCTTGACTTGACTTAAACATTTCCTTTGACTTGAATTACTTCGGTGACTTGACTTAAGGCAAACCCAAACGACCCGGTCAAGACCCTACCACAGCATTCACGAGTCATTTCAACAGGAAAATGTTTTTAATCATTTTCAAAATCACAACTCGGTGTGCAAGATAAAAAAGTTGTTTCTAAGATGTTCATTGTTTTTATTTATCTGACATGAACGTCATTTCACCCTTCTGACATAATTTTACTTTTTTATTTTTTAATTAATTTAATTAATTTGATAATTTAATATTATGAAGGTGTTGATAAGCTTCGTGCTGCTGAACGTCATGCGAAGACCAATCGTGTTCGTTTATGGAAAGATTACCAGCCACCAACAGCAATTTATAGTGGAAAGGAAAAAGATTTCACTGGAACTGTTTTCGAAATTATCAGCGCTGATGCAATTTCGGTGAAGACATCGAATGGACAAGCAAAGAAAGTGTTCTTATCAAGTATTCGTGCACCGAGAGAAACTGGAAAGTAAGTTGAGAAGTTTTAATTTGTTTGGGAAAGAAGTTTAAATGTTTGATAATTTCAGACCTGCTGAAGATGACAAGCCAATACCACCAAAACCCAAGAACTTCAAGCCACTTTATGAGATCCCGTGGCTGTTTGAAGCTCGTGAATTCCTGCGAAAGAAGTTAGTCGGTAAGACTGTCAAGTGTCAATTAGATTATGTGTCGCCAGTTCGTGACAATTTCCCTGAGAAGTTTTGCTATACGGTGACGGTAAGTGGAACAAATGTCGCTGAAGCTCTGGTTAGCAAAGGCTTGGCAACACTCATTCGTCATCGGCAAGACGATGATCAACGTTCTTCGAAATACGATGATCTGTTAGCTGCCGAAGCACAAGCTATCAAACAACAAAAGGGCATTCATGCTAAGAAAGATATTCCATCGCATCGCATTAATGACTTAACCATCGCTCCAGACTCTTCCCGCATTAAACATCAATATTTGCCATCGTGGCAACGCGCATTACGAACTGAAGCGATTGTTGAGTTTGTTGCAAGTGGCTCACGATTCCGTTTATTCATTCCGAAAGAATCGTGTCTTGTGACATTCCTTCTTGCTGGAATCACATGCCCGCGTACATCTCGTCCAACAACGGACAAGCAGAAAGGAACTGAGGCTGAGCCATTTGGCGATGAAGCATTTAATTTCGTGAAGGAACGAATTTTGCAACGTGACATAAGCGTTCATATGGATACAACTGATAAAAGCGGTTCAGCTGTTATTGGATGGATGTGGTTGGAGAACAACGTTAACTTATCTGTTTTGCTTGTTGAAGAAGGCTATGCAGCTGTTCATTTCACTGCCGAAAAGTCTGAATATTATCGTGCATTAAAAGCTGCCGAAGATCAAGCAAAGGCTACGAAAAAGAATCGTTGGGCTGATTGGGTTGAACCAGATCCAGCAGCTGAAGAATTGAAGAATAATGAAGGTGGTGAAAGTGAATTGATTGAGAAAGACGAGAAGGCACCAGTGGAACGTAAAACGAAAATGGAAAATATTGTTGTCACGGAAGTTACACCAGAACTTCATTTCTTTGCACAGCACACTGAAAGTGGACCTAAATTGGAGCAGCTTATGACGAAATTACGTCAAGACTTTAAAGCATCACCGCCACTTACTGGAAGTTATAATCCAAGAAAAGGTGAATTGTGTGCTGCAAAATTCTCAGAAGACGAGGAATGGTATCGTGCAAAGATCGAGAATATTTCTGGTGGTAAAGCAACGATCAGATACATTGATTATGGAAATTCTGAGGTGAGTTTCTGTAGTTTCTCTAATGACTTAAGCAGGTTCCTTAGATCCGCATTCGTTTGTCCATCGAAAGCGCTTGAGTCATAAACTTGCAAGACTAAAAGTTTTGGATTCTGAAATTATCATTAAAGGAATTTCATCCATAAAGAGTGATTGTTTAAAAGGAATCTGAAAAGATATCATTAATCATTATGGTAGTTGGAATGCGACGTTAATTAACGTAAACAGAAGTGGCAGAGTTTTTTTGTCATTTCATTATGTTTGTTGTTATTGATGAAGCTGAGAAGATTATCGATTAATGATGTTGAATTAAGATTCTGATCACTTGCTTCATGTAATGTTTTTCCACTTCATTTTCAATCCGACATTAATTTAAAAATGATAAAGTTTTAATGAAAAAATGTTTTCAGATTGTGCCAACACCTCGCCTTGCTATTCTTCCACCCGCCTTTACAAAAGATAGTGCTTATGCGACTGAATATGCACTCGCTTGGGCCGTCCTGCCAATTGATGAAGAAGACAAACAAGAAGCTTATAAAACCTTCGCCCAAGATGTTCTCAATAAGACGCTTCAACTTAATGTGGAATTTACGTGAGTTATCTCGAAGTTTATTTCTATAAAGTTTAATTTTATTAATATTTTGAATACTTTCAACAGGAACAACGGCTTGCAAAATGCCACTTTACATGATCCTTCAACGAAAACTGACATCGGACGAGCACTGATTCAAGATGGTTTCATTATGGTTGAAAAACGTCCAGGACGACGATTTGCTAAATTTGTAAGTTGAATTTCTCTTAAATGTTGATAACTTGTTAAATCGCCACATTTTCAAGGCAGAATTTGCATAGATTATTATAATATGACAAATTTGTTCAATTTGTGGTAAATTAATTTTCGTATTAACCTCGGATGGAATTTCAAAATAATTCCTGATGTTTTTCTACTAGCCTCGAAACATTTTTCTTCTTAATTTTCATTAGAAATCTTTTAAATTAATTAAATTTTTGATGTATTTATTTAGGTCAACGAATACAAGGACATTGAGCAACAAGCAAGAAAGAACCATATCGGCATATGGAAATATGGAGATATGTAAGTGTTCAATCATCACTTCAAATATTGACAAACAAGAAGAAAATATTGATAAACTTTACTTTCTTTTTCTCTACTCCAACAGTTCCGAAGATAATGCCGTTGAGTTTGGTTAAACACTTTCATTCAACAAGATCGCTATTTCAGGTTCGCCACTTTACATCTTTATATTTTCTTAATAAATAAATATTGAAATCAAACGAGAAGACATTGAGAACTCATCTAATTCCTCAAATGTCGAGGCTTTTTGAACAATCGTACTTTGGATTACAGAAACAAAATTAAATTCGCTCCAGAACCCGGGTAACCATAAACAACCCGTCATGAAAAAAGAAAGTTGTGGGCTTGTGTCACCAGTTATAATATTTTTTTTTGAATTCATCATTAATTTTTTTTTTCTTATGATACCCATTAATAAAGTAATGAAAATAAACTGATCATTTATATAGATTTTTGAAATTGGAAGAATTAAAAGGAAATTTGTTTTATTTGTCAAGATATTTGATAATTCAATCCGAGGATATTTTATTTCAGAATTTATGATAAATGAAGCTTTCGAAGTAGAAATCAAATTTCTATTGAAGTAGAACTCAAACATCTACTGCATGAGATCATCAAGTAGATCAAAAGGAAGGAAAAAAGCTCACAATTTAATCAACCAGAAAAGTTGCAGTAAACATGTTGAAAACGTTGAAAAATACGCGTTTTTTTGTTAACATCACACAAAAACAAAAACTTTTTTATGGCTTCAAGAAAAATTCTTTTGCAAACCGCACGACGAAAGTTTTAGTTTTCCTTTAACATTCACCGAGTAAACAACAAAACTGGAAAGAAAATTTTTGGGATGAGATTAGCAGTGAAAATTTTCTTCATTACCTTTGTAATTGAAAATTTCGCTGAGAGTTTTTCATATCAGCGATCATTTCGACAATCTGAAATCTGTGGCTATCACAATGGCCATAGAAAATATTTAGAGTTGGGTGATAATGGAGAAATGTTTGCTAGCAACATCACAATACCGCAAGTAAGTTCAAGAAAAATTGATTTTCTTATTTTCCCTCACTAATTGGATTAAATTTATTGACTTTAATTTCTTACGCAACAAAACTGTTCATGACCTGCACAAATCACTTAGAATCTATTTGAATTGCTAATCTTTTTCACACGTCTGAAAACTCTCACAAATTTATTTTTCAGAACGTTAAAGATATAACAAAAGGTTTTAATCAATCCTTAACATTGCAATGTTCTTTGGAGCTTGTAACATGTCCATCATGCATAATTAAAATCAAATTTACCTATGCGAATCTTCTGTCAAATTGCGAACATGCCAAAGACGATTCAAGCGTTTGTCGTTGTGATCACATTACATTTAATGAACCACCTTACAACAATAAACAGAATACTGTTTATAATTGTGGATCTGCAACGACTTATCGATCAAAAACACGATCAGTTTTAATTAAATTTATTTATTGGAATAACTATGCAGACGCTTTTCATTTTGAGTATGTGGCTGAACGTAAGTTTTCCCTCTTTTTCAATCAAAAGAAAAAGAAAATTTTTGATTAACTTCTGTTTAGGTAATCGCGAAATCATAACAATGACTCCTGGTGAGTCAACAGAACTAAACAACGTCATTCTTGAGTCTCCTTTCTTTCCTCAACCATATCCACGTGACCACAGCATGGAACATGTTCTCACATGTGACATCGATAAATGTCGAATTCGTTTAGTGTTCTCTGACTTTCAGCTTTCACGGTCATCAACGATTGAATTCTTTGATACAAATGGTGAAAGACTTTTCGTGACAGGAAATCTTTTTCGTCCACCAATTCTTCTTAGTTCTGGGCCGAGGTTAATAATCAATTGAATGATTTAGTTTTTATTCTTCTAACTTTTTTTCACGATCACAGTTTGATGGTGAAATTCTCAGCAAATGACGACACTGACATTGGCTATCGTGCGAAAGCAACTTTCTTGACTGTTGAAGAATCTTCAAATTCAAATTTAAAAGTTCAAATTGGGTGTGGTGGTTTAGTTGAATCAGTTGGTGGTGCAATCACAATGATGAACATGGTTTCAAAGAATGTTAATGAAAGCGATAATCAGAACAATTTTGACTGCATTTGGCTTGTTCGACCACCGCAAGGCTATATGCGGATCAAGACACATATCTCATTAAAGGTTGAAGTATTCGAGAAGATGGCAGGGAAATCTGAGATAATTATCATCGAAGGAATGACTTCAAACCGTCCGATTCTTGAACAACTTGAATCGTCAACTGAAACTTCAGTTTCATCAAGAAATCTTGTTTTGCCGATTTCGTCAGGTTTCTACATACGATTAAGAGGGAAATTCAATTCTGAATCACGTCTTGCAATTGTCTACACAGCATTCAGTTATTCACGTAAATTATTTTCTTATTTCAGAAGAAAATCTTAAACAATTTTCTTTTTTTTACTTACATTCTCTAGAATGTTACTTGGGCGACATTGAATGTCAAAATCAAAGATGCATTCCAATGATTTTAAAATGCGATGGTTTTAATCAATGTGGTGATAATTCAGATGAACCTGAAACATGTCCAAACGAATGGGCTAACAGTGTTGTTGACCGTCGATGGTATTCTCATACACCAAATTATTATTTTCCTAAAAATGAACGATTTCCAGATTTCAAGATAACAACTTTAGCATTTATTGTCAGTTCAACATCATTCATGTTTGTGATTGTTTGTTTAATCATGACAATTTATCGTAATGGCAACAGAGTTCGTGAACAAGAAGAACTTCAAAATCAATTGCAAACTATAAGTCAATTGTTGGGTTGGTTAAACTTTTTTTTAATGATTAGTTAATTGTAAAAATTATTTCGAAAATCTTTAAATCACTCAAAGATGGCAACAATAATAATAACAACAATCGTGAAGAAGTTATTGAACCACCGCCATTATATGAAGCGCCTCCGAATTACGATGAAGTTATTAAGATTGGAATGGATGAACAAATTAATAGCAGCAAGAGGGAAAGACGATCGGGACGAAAGAGTCGCATGCATAGAGCAAGGTAAGGAAGAATTTCAATGAAATTTAATTGAAAATTAATTTCTGTTTCTTCTTCTTTTCAGACGCTCAGACGATCCCGCAGTTTCATATCAAAATGAATTGTTACAAGTCGCTAGAGATGACAGCGATATTCCATCTACAAGTTCTATCGGATCAGATTCGTCATATTTCTATTCAAGAAACGCAAGTCACGATAGTTTTTTGCCGTCAATTCACATGCTGGGTATGTTTTTAGTTCAATAAACTTCATTAGTAAAGATATTTGAAAAAGACTTTGATCAATCTTAGAATCTCATTTACAGAAATTACAGAAACGTCTGAGACAACAACGTCATGTACGGTCGAAGGTTGTGGGCACCAAACGACAAGAGTTCAAGACTTTCCAAATGCAATTACAACAAGGAGGTGAATAATTTTGATTTTGATCAGTTGATTGAGTTTACTTAATTGGCATTGAACTTGCAGCCCATTTCAGAGTTCCTCAAATGACTCGTTAAATTCTTCTTCGTCAAATTTCAATCGATCATCTGATAGTAAGAATAACACAATTTCATTCATTCTTAAATTTAATAACATTAAAAAATGTTTTCAGATTTAATTCCAAGACATCTTTGGTCAGACGAGAGTAAATTCAGAAAATCTTGGATTTTATTCAATTCAGATGATCAAAGATTGGCGCCTTATGATAAAATTAATTTAACACGATCACCAATTGATGGGTTTGAATAATTGAAAACTTATTGATATTAACTATAAATTCTTAAGTTTATTTCACAGATCATATCAGCAACACGAAAGTTTAACAACGCCGAGAGATTCCATCGTCAGTTTAAATTCATGTTTTTGTGACTCATCGCAATCAATCTTCAGTGAAAATTTTAAAACTTCTTTAATGATACAAAAGTTGGAGTGCGATCGTTGTAGGAATTTAATTTTGCGACAGGAAAATCGTCGATGTTCAATGTGCATGAATTGTGTGGAAAAACTTTATTCACCGAAAACTTGCAATGGATGCAATGGAAGAATTTCATTTCATGATCTTAAATTGATAAGAATGAATTCTGACAAGCGAGTTGATGTCACAAGAAATTATTCTGTTGACAATTTTAATCTGAAACTTTGCAATTGTTTCCCAAAATTTCCATCACAACGATTAAGTTCAATTCAAACGAGTGATCCTAATGAGATTCAAATTCTTCCACAAATCACACGTAAAGCTTGTTCTTACACTGAACTCTTAAAGTTTCAAAGAAAAAAGGCGATAAGTCCCCAATTTCACTCTCAAAGTTGCCTACCTAACAAAGTACTTCAAAGTGATGACTCGTCATGTGGAGAAGATTAAATATTAATTACATTAACTGATGATTGTGTCAAAGGAAAATTATTTAATTTAAATTAATCTCTGAAAATATATTTCTTGAAATAAAATTAAAATGTTAATTAAAATAGAACAAAATGTCTTCATTCTTCAATTAAATAATCTTCAAAGAAGTGTCTTTATTATTCAATTCGATTTAATCTCAAAAAGTTATTTACAATAATTTTTGTATACTTTATAAATATCGAGGAAAATTTTCTGGCACGAAGTAAGTTCAAGTTCTAAGAGAGTTGGAAAAATATTTTTAATTTTATTATTTACAACACTACACGATCATTCATGAAACAAAAATCATGATTCATGACGTCGTCGTCGGTCCCACAGATGTTTCTCATGTTTAGATAGATAACCTTTTTAGTAACAATTTCAAAAATGAACAATAGAACGAGAAGTTGAGAAGGAATTTTATTAAAAATTTAATTTTTCTATCCTACTTTAATTTAAAAAGTTCTTTTATAAAATAAAATTTATTCCTAATTTTTGTAATGTTTTCTTGAACGTCTACGATTTCTTTCGTTTAATGCAAAAACAATATTTCTTCAAGTAATCAATATTAACGCAATAACTTTGTGACGAATATTCATTGAGTCGAGAAATACTGCCAGTGATTTCGAAAGATGTCTTTGCATTGTGATAACTTCTGACTGTTGACTCGAATTTGGCATTCGATGGTGAGACGTCAAACGTCAACAAATAATCAGTGTATTCGTTGTTTTTATTATCATTCCTAACTTCAGATTTTTTGGCCGTTTTGATCGATTTCAGATACATGTGTGCACATAATGGTTTGGTGCTGTTTGACACCCGAGCATTCTTATCGAGATCTTCATTTATCGAGTCTATAACGAATTTCACAGCCTTTTTAACGATCTCATCTTGCTTATTGATTGAAGTGTAAGTTGTACATGCACACCAATGCGCTTCAATGCCTGCGTCACTGCAACTTCGATTCCATGGTGTGACATTGAAAATACTTTGACAATCGGGACAACTTTCAGATGGTGGAAGATTGTCAATTCTTCCTGAAAGCTCAAGTGTGTGCTTTAATGTCATGTGCAGATCATAAGGATTTGTTAGTCGATTTCTATTTATCTTTAAGCTTCTCACGATTTCAGGATGTTTCGTTTTGAACCACTCTGGTAACCAAATGAAAATGAATGGTAAACGTTCTTCAAACCAACCAGTAAGTAGTTGACGTACGGGACCGAATCTTATTCCATGATCACTGAAGAACACAACAGCGCTTGTGTTGAGTACACCACGATTATCTAACTCTTCTAAATATGATTTTATCCGTTCATCCATTGACGAAGGGTCGCTGATGTCGTTGTGACTGAATGTATTGCTCCAGAAAAGTCCAAAGAATGGATCGTCTTTATAAGCTGTTGCAAAATCAAGCGCATATTGATAAATAAAATCAGCGTAATTTTGAAATCCAAGACAAAACTTTAATGAACTTTTCAGTTTGATTTTCAGATATTTCTCGGCGGCTAACGAAAATGGACGAAAATAATGATTTGTTGGTTGATTAAGGAAACCGAGTTTGTGATAATTAAATGTTCCGATTTTTGCTTCATCTTCGGCATACCCAGTCACGTATCCACTATTCTGGAAATGTTTCCAGATGAACGGGCAATTGTCAAGATGTCCAATTTGTTTCGGATCGCATGCATGGTAGGCGTAAGTTCGATTGAAACCGGTGAGAATTGCCATGAGATTTGGAAACGTGTTATCGTCCATCTGTGAATATTTGTAGAAGAAATCAAATTATTATTCTATATTCGAACTGAAATCATCAGAGATGTTTATTTAACTTGATTTATCTCGTACATTTTTCCATAACTTAATAAAAACTTTTGTTATTCCTTACCTTATTGTATCCTTTCAACTCAAACCATCCACGATCGTATAAATGCTGAGCTGTAAATGGCATTGAACGAATTAAATTGAGTCTCGAAATCGAATCAATTCCCATCATCAGAACACTCAATGGACGTTGATCTGGATATAAAGTTTTAAAGCTATCGAAGGTTTTTTGCATTTGTGGTTTACGTCTGACTATTGCATGAGCATTTGAGTAAACAGTCTTAACTTTCTTCTTGTCTTTGGAGTTGCTGCCTTTACATTGAATAAGAATGAACTCAATTCCAGTGGGAAGATCGAAAGATTGATCAAAATATTGACATTTTGATAAGCTAAATTAATTAAAATGAATTTCAAGAATTTTCCCTTAATTTGTAATGAAATTTTCATACTTAAACTTATCATCTGCTGTTGCATTTGATCCACCTCTTGTTATCTCCTTATAACAGCATTCAAGTTGATTCTGATCAGATGAAAGATATTTTGATTTAAGTCCATGATGGAGAATAACTTTGACCGTGTCGTCGTCAAAGTTTTGTTCGATTGATGTCAGCGGATGTTTCTTTGAACATGGCTCAAAAACTTCCTTAGAAAAAAGTTTCATGACATCAGGTGCAAGGGGCTCAAGGGAAGGCATTTTGCATTGTGGTGACCATACTAAGTAACCTGGCACTGATTTCATTGGATTATTTGCGGATGTATTTTGGTTTTCTATATATTTTTGTGTTTGTTTTATGTTCATGTACATCACAAAGTGCAAGCACATAAACAGTCATATGATGTTTTTAATTTATTTATTTAGTTGTGCAGGGGAGTGTTGGTTGATTGGGAGGTGAAAGGGAGAAAGAAACCACAAACGGCAAAAAGTAATTCATCAATTGCCAATTTAGATAAAGTATTATTCGATATGTCGAAAATTGATCAAATAAACATTTATCAAGAAAACGATATTTAGCGTCAGTAAAAGCAATGAAATTTCCCAAAGGCACGAATATTGAATGATGACGTTCATACGTGCACATGTGATTGCCATAAATTGCCAGTTGATTTACATAACATCAAAAAAAGAAAAAAAACATAAAAATTTATTACAAAATTATCAAAACATTACATTATTGATATTTACACGGGAATCTAGAAATGACATGCAAAAATCTATGAAAACACAATAAAATGATAATTGCTGGGAAATTTTACAGATGATTTGATTTTGAGTTATTTTTGCGTCAATACTTTCTTGACTTTGGTTTTTAAAATAATTTTTAAAACATAAAATCTTCTTGACATTAAAGCATAAGCTAAAGAAGGCATTGAATTGATTCAAAGTTTTACCTTTTGGTCCCGGAATATCTTGATCATCTTCCGGAATTCTCACGACTATCATATTTTGATAAGGTTTGAGATTTGTGAGATAAATCAATAGAAATGCGAAAGCACACAAGACTGCTAACAATCGTATTCGTCCACATTTTTCTTGATAAGCTTTGGGATCACGTCTTCTTAAATTTAATCCACTAAACTTCGCTTTCTTATTGATTCGCCATCGATTGTTCTTAGCAATTTCTTCATAAGCAGGCGGTAGTGATGATGACTCAAGTAATGGCTCTTCCAAGTGTGAGTCGGATTTATTAAATGACATCGCCAATCATTTCTGATGAATAAGGAACAGAATTGATTGGGTTATTACCTTGATAATCAATGAAATTATTTATGATTTTGTTTATTAGAGATTAATTAATTTGTCGCTGAAAACCTGATGTGAACAATAGCAAATTAAGAATAACAAAAGATAATTGATCTACCAGGAAGTCTTCTAAAATAATTCTTCATTCGCGTTATTAATTTATTATTGTATGACGAACATTAAAAAAGATTTTTTATCTCCATTCACACGCTTCATCCATCAAAGTGACAAAATCTTTTGATACAAGACGACATTTTTATCTTAGTCTGAAAAGGTCAACAAAAACTTTTGAACATTTGAAAATCACCACGAAGTGAAGAATTTAAAAGAAGTTTCAATTTGTGTTTAGTCAATCTCAATTGTGATTTGTTATTCTGTTCAGTAAATTAACGAAACTTTAATATTGTCGTCATGCGACTTTAATGGGCGCCAATGAAATTGTACACTTTTGTCGTTTCGCATTAAAGAGTTTGCATGTTATCAGAAAATCATCTACGCACTCAATCTTCCGTGCTGTTTATGCGATTAACTGAGTTCCCGTCCGTCTCTCAAATGGCGACAATTATTACTTTGCTTAGACTTCAAATAGAAGCTTTCAAGTTATCGTGAGCTTTATGAAACCTTTCATTTGAATTCTCTGAATTATATGAAAATTTATTGTTTTGCAATCTCTCTTCAAGCTTTTATAAGTAAGGACTTTGAAGGTCTACAGATTGCGTGATGGTTAAACATTAACAACTTTGAATAAATTTCATAGAAAATGAAACTTTCAAAGCATGATTCTTAATGCTTACTTGATAGTTGTTGTCAAGAACTTCTCATGGTCAATTGTTATGTTTAGCAAAAAAAAAACAAAATTTGTTTTTAATGTGCGTTGTATGTTTAAAATTTATGAAAATTAAGCGGTAAGTTTGAGATAGAAATGTAAAATAATTATTTATCTTGAACACGCTAGACACGCGAAAACAAATCGTGATTAATTTTTGCGTTTTTCTTATCTTGCTTTAACTAATAACGTGCTATCAAGAGACTCCTGAAAGAAGATATTCATACTTAGTCGCACATGATAAAATAGCTTTATTTGTAACATATAAATTGCTTCTTTTTTCCTGCTTTCCGAGAATGAAGGAAAAAAGAAACCAAGCAAAGAAGTAGAAGAAAAACGATTCAACAAGTTAAACATTAAAAATTTCTTTCAACGCGAAAATTGATGATGGTTTGAATGGAAATTTGGAATTCTTTCAAATAAAAATTTCAGAAATTGATTTTTAATTATTCAAAAGAAAAACGAAAATGTCAGATAAAAAAGTTGAATTTTTCCTACGATTTTTTATTTCATTCCACCATCGGAAAATCATAAATAAACAACATTTTCGTGTAGATATTTTTTTCCTGCTTTTCCTTTCTCCACTCACTTTAATTTTCACTCTCGTGCCCTACATAAGTAAAAGGAACTCTTTCATTGTTTATTCTTCCTGAAGTAGAAGGTGCCTTGAAAGCTTTTCGCTTGTTATTTTTTAATCTCAATTGATTTGTCATGTTCAGTGTTAGAGCGTCGCGTTGTTTTTACTTGGAAACCGCTGAGCAAGAAAATCAATAAGATTGTTGAAAAGTTAAAGATTTTTGTAATATTTTGAAGAAGAAATGACTCAGCGATCTAACGTTGATTAAAATCGTATTAAAAAAGGTGTGATACACTAAATGACACATAATGTAAATGATGATGGCGAAGCAAGGCAAAGTAAAGACAAACATTTGTTTCAAATAATTGGTTTGGTAAGAGATTTGTCGTGAATTTCACGTCTGATTGTTTTGTTGACCATTAATCATGACTAATTGTGTTGTTTGGTGATTCCCCAATCACATTATTTTCATTTTACTTTTTTTAATCTTCCACCAGATCTTCAAATATAAATCTAAGCAGATGAATGCGAATCAATTGTTCGAGATACATAATTAAGAGATCATTAAAAACATCCGTCCGGCTTTTGTCATGATGTGTGAAAATATCTTTTGTTATGAATTTTATTCATTCATAATTCATAATTCATATCGCAATCTTCATTAAAATAATTATAATGATTGTCAATGTCTATTTAATATTTATATATGCGAACTCAACAAGTACTTAGTGGTCACATAATTAAATATCCGTTTGCCAAACATCACAACACATGAACTTTAAGGAATCAAACGCTTCAGTACTTCGAACTTCAATTTTAACTTTGATAGATGTTTCGTTTTCTTCGCAACATGACGTAAATCATCTCCGACAGATGAACATAAAATTCTATTTCTTCTCTTTTTCTTTCATTGTTCAGCATAAAATTGATCGCGAAAGCTGAAGAGATATTTGGCGCTTAATCAAGTCTCTTAGAAAACGAGATTAATGACTATCACGATGAAGTCAATGATTTCGTTCTTCTAAGATTTTCTTAAGATCTTTCGTAAGTTTTAAAAAGAATTCAGAATTGTGAGAGACTGAACAACGAGTAAATTATTTTAAACAGCATAAAAAGTCAATAAATCAAATTATATGAACGGAGAAGTTTACACTTTTAGTTTGTTTTCTTTTGTTTTGTAATAATATTGCAAAGAATATCAAGAATTAAGCCATTAGGAATTTTACTTGATATTATCAAGAAACAAGCAACTAAATCATGACATTTGACGAAGAGAATTAATGAAATTTTATCACAGATAATATCCAACATAAAGTGTAAAGATAAACAAATTATTAAAGTTAGTAAATAATGCGGAAATAATTCATTTAAATATCAGCTGCTTAGATATCAAATTAACAACTCTTAGAAAAATTATGTCATTTTAACTTAGAAATGTGATAAACAAAATGTTTTTCTCCTTTCGATTTTTATTTAGTTATATTTAAAGTTAGATTTTCATGTTTTTTTTTTCACTTGTAGAGGCAGACGTAGCGTTGTAGCCTATTTAGAAAATAAAGAAATTCACAAGGGACTCTCTACACACACTCAACGTTATTTTCTACTGTTCAACTTGCTCTATTGTTGAGATAATATTTGAAAGTTTATTTCTTCTCACTTTAGTGATTATTAGTTATACTCATCGTAAATATCTTAAACATGTTTATTGAAACTTTGTCACTTGGGTCCACTTGGCTTTCTCACCTTTTTTTCTATCTTCTTCACTATCAAATTGCTTGATTCGAGAACAAATTCTTTTTAGTGTCACTCCTACAATTTCTGTGAGTGGATGTTATCAACAAATTTTATTCTGAATGTTTTTTCTTCTTTTCAAGTACAGCAAAGATTTTTTTTATTGTTCAGAGAACTCACGAAAATGAATTCTCTTCAAAATGAGCTTTTTTCACTTCACAGCTCTTTACTGCTTTGTATTCATAGCATGTCTAATAACAGACTGATGTGAATTATTTTTTGACGCTGTTTACATCTCCGAAACAGAGCTGAGAGAATTCTTTTTTCTATTTTTTCTCGTCTCTAAATACTTTGTGCTTTTTGATATTGATTTCACTTTCAATGATGATTTGCAATAAATCCTTGCAGCAATTGATTTCACGGTGATAATTGATTGATTGTGCTGCGTTTTTAATTTATTATGAAAGCTTTCTTCCTAATTTCAAAGCATTATTTCATCAATTATTGTTCAATATTAAAACCTTTTTCTACAGAAATATGAAACAGTCTGTAAATACGAGAACGAACTGAAAAAGTCGAAAGATTTTCGCACACTGGATGTAAGAAAAAAAGTTTTTCAGTTTTTTTCTCCTCTGCTTTTGATTGCAAGATTCTGCGCATGAATTTTCACGAATATTGTAACAGGATTTTATTTTTCTGGTTCACTTTAATACAAAACTTTTTCTCTTGAGTTGCAACGAAGAGTCAGAAATGATAATGAAGGAAATGAATAATTTTGTTCACTGCCAACAGCATGGCATAAGTTTGCAGTTACTGGACATTAAACATTAATTAGTAAACATATTTAAAGTCATGGTAATGGATGAAATTGAATATTACAACAATCCTTGTTCATTTTAATCATCTATCATGTGGACTTTTTAATAAACGACATCATAAATTGTTAATTCACGTGGAACTTTCCCACAATGCATAAATGGACTTCTGACATATCACAGAAACATTGCAGAAAGGAAAAATTCACCGATCTACAATCCAAGGTTATTTTTAAGTGGCAAAAAGTATTTTTAAATCCAATAATTCATATTCACGGAAGTATTTTCCGATTATTGCTACTTGCTTTCAATCATTCTTGCCTTTTCCAAGCCAATCAAAATTTTATTATTTATCATTAAGTCTGAAAGTATAAAATCTCAAATACGTTATGTTATTAAACATTTATTTTTGAAGCTATCAGTAATTTAATACCAGCCTCGTTTCTATCATTAAATTTCCTAAAGTCATGCCTCGATTCCAACTGCGTCACGTGAGTTTCATAAATATATTTTACAACCATCAACAACCCGAAATTAAAAGGGAAAAAAATTTGCAAATTAAATTAAATAAAAATTTACATTCTATTGTATATAAATATTGTGCCACCCTCGCGTACTCTCATTACAAAAAGTATATGAATGAAGGGAAATGTAATTGGGACAACGTTTAATGACTCCATTCAAACCCCTCTAAGTTTTCATAATTTTTCCAAGCAAAGTTTTTATGTAAAGAACTTTTTTGCTTAATTGAAATTCTTTCAATTTATATTATTAATGTAAGATTAGCATAAATGAAGAGCAGTTTATTATGGCAATGAAATACTTACCTACTTATACTTTTGAAGGTTCCAAGTGTATTTTATCTCAAGTACTAATTACAATATCGAGTGGATAGAAATGTTTTTCTTTTGTTAAAAGACACGAAAACTCAAATCACTTCATGACAACAATGAAAATCAAGAAATTTCTTTCACTTTATCAAAAAACATTCGTTATCACCAGCGTCGTTGTTTAGAAGTATTCGAACTGCGAAGTTATGATGCAATGCTGAATAGTGATGAAAGGAAACTATGAAGGTGTGCGACGGATAGACGAGTTAATTTACTTAATTAATTTACCTTGCCTTGTGGGACGTCTGATAATAAAATTTTATAAATAGCGTTGGTGTCGGGACGAACAATTAATGTAGGTTTGTGTACGATCGCTGACAGGGGGATTACTTGGATGTACAAAACAATTATTAGCGTTTATTCACCCAGAATTTCCTTCACATATCGACATTCTCTTCGTCAATTTTACGATGACGACGATAATGTCAAGCAATAAAATTGTTCACGCTTGAAGGAAAAGTTCAACCAATGTGGATTGTTGCAAAATACAAAGAAATGAAGAGAAATAAAAATGATACATCGATTTTCCCACAATCTCAACCGTTTTCCGAAACCATTTTCTCCTCTTAAGTATATCGGGCATTAAAAATCAATTTGATTGAAATTTGATATTTTGTGTTTTTCAATGATGTGGGAAACGAAATGAGATGGGTCGTTGGGGAAAAATGTTGATGAAATCTCCCGAAGGAGTCTTTAAAAATCTCAAGTTCTTCTTACGACGAAACTTTTTTAACTTGAGAACAAACATTTCTGCTTTAAAAAATGTTAATAAAAATGAATGGGAAATTAAGTAATGAATAAGAATTTTAGCATTCAGAATTCATAAATACGAATTTATTAGATTTTTTTACACTACAAAACGTGTTTTTTAAACTTAGCGATACAGCTTGAATTGATTTGACTTCTATTAATTTTTAATGTTTTCACTAACCCATTGACGCAACTTATCAGTATCCTGTGGTGTGCGATAAGCATTGTGAGTTATATAAATTAAAATAAATGTTTAATAAACTTACCTGTAATCCAATCATTTTATTAGTAACTTTTCCGTTCTTTACCACAGCCAAAACAGGAACTGATTGAACATCATATTCAAGAGAAAGGTCTGTCAGTTCATCAATATCAACCTAATGAAATTTTTGAAGTGTGAAATATAAAATTGTTTACAGTTTAAATTGAGCTCACCTTCGCTAATGAAACTTTCCCTTTATGTTCATCAATGACGGCCTCAATTCTCGGAGTTAACATTTTACAAGGCATACACCATGTCGCAAAAAAATCAACAACCTTTTAGAAGAGAAATTTTGAACTTTATCTGATCATGAAATTCTTTAAAGGAAGTTGATCTCGTGGGGTGACATTGAAATGACAACAAACGAGTTCAATACACACGATGCGCTGTCAAGAGGTCATGAAAATTATAAACTTACCACTGGAGTTTTACTTTTTATAACTCTTTCCTCAAAATCTTTTTCACTCTGAAATTAATGACGAATTAGATGATAAAGTCTTGAAATTCGTATCTTAATTGTATCACCTGAATCTTGAAAATATCATTTAATCTGTAAGATGTTGAAATGCTCCTTTGATTGGAAACCAATGAGGACTTTGGGATGTTTAATCTGGTGAGTATACGAAGCATAATTACCTTTTATTTTGATTAATAATTTGATGAAGAAATTCTTTCTTTGATAAAATTTAGCGAAAGTAATGTAAACATTACTTCCTCACTCCCTGATAAAAAAATCACTCCGATATTGCGATGGCGGCGCTGCGATCGATTATCTGACACGGAGAAATTATCTGATCACGGAGAAATTTTTGTGTTAAGTATGGGAGGTCAAATCCGCGCGAACGTACCAAAGTCGGAAATGATGACTGAGTACATCATAAACATGGGCCCGAGCTTTCACTTCCTGAAATTTCTGGGAGATGTCGCCTTAACGGATTTTAAAATGCCGCTACAAAAAAGTAAATCACAAGATTTGACAGTCAAATTTATTTAATTAACTCTTAAAAACAAACTAATTCGAATTGATTTGAATTATATGCTAATGCGCCACCATTTGTAAAAAATGTTTCAATTTTCCGTCAGATGTCGCTAGAACACACTCGAGTAAATACACATCGATTACAATACTATTACACATCAATTACACATAAANAATGAGGACTTTGGGATGTTTAATCTGGTGAGTATACGAAGCATAATTACCTTTTATTTTGATTAATAATTTGATGAAGAAATTCCTTCTTTGACAAAATTTAGCGTTTTTAATGTTTCAATTTTCCGTCAGATGTCGCTAGAACACACCCGAGTAAATACACATCGATTACAATACTATTACACATCAATTACAAATAAAAATAATAAAGTTTTTACGAGTAAAAAGAAATCAATTGACTTAGCTTCGAATAGTTTTTCATCCATTTAACTAGTTTAATCTTAAAAAATACTTTTTTCTCTAGAATACGTGCATGTTTTTAAAGATGTGAAAATGAATTAAAAGCAGTTTTCCACTAAAAGAACTAGTTGAGTTTGAAATCGAGATCATTCGAAAAGAAAAATTAGTTTTTTGTTCAAAATCTAGTGAAATAACAAATTATTCGTTATGGAAAATGCTCCAGAGTGTAGAATATGTAGAACTGAAGCAACAGCAGGTGAGATTATAATGACATCATATGATAATAAAAAACTATTAAGAGAAGTTGTGACGAAACGATATGTTTAGTTATCGCTTTATTACAGAACAACTCTACGTGCATTGAGATCCAGATGATCTGATTGTTTACATTTTACTTCTCTCCTTTTCTTAGACCGTCCTCTGTTCTTTCCATGCATTTGCACTGGTAGCATAAAATATATACATCAGGAGTGTTTAACACAATGGATGAGATATTCGAGAAAAGAATATTGCGAGTTATGTGGACACAAATTCTCGTTCACGCCAATTTATTCACCAGATATGCCAAGAGTTCTACCTCTACGAGTTGTTGCTGGTGGACTCGTTTCTTCAATAGCTACTGCTGTTAAATATTGGCTTCATTACACGCTTGTTGCTGGTGAGTACAAATCAACATTGAACGTGAATAAAAAATTAATAATTTTTAATATTTTTCATTTCAGTCGCATGGCTGGGGATTGTCCCACTCACTGCTTATCGCACATATCGTTTTTTCTTCTCGGGATCACTTGATATGCTTGTTTCTCTTCCATTTGAGATGTTTTCAACAGAAAATCTTGCTGCAGATGTTTTTCGTGGTTGTTTTGTTGTGACGTGCACACTTTTTGCTTTCATTGGACTTGTATGGCTTCGTGAACAGATTCTTCATGGTGGTGGTCCTGACTGGCTTGAAAGAGACGAAGGAAATAATGTTAATGAAGAGATTCCACGTCCAGCTCCACCCCCACAAGCAGATAATCTTCAAGAACCACTCGATGAAGATCCAAACGGCAACAACAATGATGAAAACTTCAATAACAATAACAACAACAACGTTCTGGATGCAAATCTTGCATTCCCAGCAGCTCAAGATAACGGCATTGAGCCAATGATTGGTCCACAATTACCACCACCAAATCAAGAAATTCCACAAAACAATCCAATAAATAATGCGGAACCTCCAATTGCTGACAACGACGAAGAAGCTGAACCAGGAATTGAAGCTGACAATGTAAATAACGACGATGGAAATGAAGGAATTTGGAATCCAATGGAATTCAATAATAATGGCGCTGAATTAGAACTGACATGGGAAAGACTTCTTGGTCTTGATGGATCGATGGTGTTCTTAGAGCACGTCTTTTGGGTCGTTTCACTCGACACACTTTTCATCTTTATTTTCGCTTTCATCCCATACACAATTGGCAATTGTTTCATTTCGTTTCTGGGTATTAAACAACTTCATTTTCATGGACTTGTGACGACACTTACTGGCTATTGCATAGTTGGTGTTGCGCTTGTAAAACTCCACACAATTTCGAAGCTTCTTAAGTTGAGACGACCACGAAGGATTCTTGGATTATGTTACATCGTCGTGAAGGTTTCGTTACTCTCAGTTGTTGAAATCGGCGTCCTTCCACTCATCTGTGGCTGGTGGTTGGACTTGTGCAGTTTACCAATGTTTGATGCTTCACTAAAAGATCGCAAAGCGAGCTTCAAATCAGCACCAGGAACTTCACTTTTCATTCATTGGATGTTTGGAATGGTTTACGTTTATTATTTCGCATCGTTCATTGTGCTGTTGAGAGAAGTTTTACGACCAGGCGTCTTATGGTTTCTACGCAACTTAAATGATCCCGACTTTTCACCAATTCAAGTAAGTTTTCATTCTTTTAAATTTATTCATTCTACAACTTTAATTAAATTCGATTCTGTGAATATATTTTTATTATTCAGAAAGATTTTCATTAAACATTTATTTATTCACAGGAAATGATTCATTTATCAATTTTACGACACATTCGTCGACTGATTGCATCGGCAATAATATTCGGAACTGCTGTTTTGTTGATGCTTTGGCTTCCGATAAAGATTCTTAAAGTTCTTTGGCCAGCGTTTCTACCCTACACACTGTCAGGTGATTCAGAAGTAAATGAGCTAAGCTTACAACTGCTGCTTCTTCAAATCATTCTTCCGGGCTTCTTCGAACAATCACAGACGAGAATTTGGCTGAAGGGATTAGTAAAAGTTTGGTGTAGTGCAATTGCGTGGGTGTTGGGAATAAAAAGTTATTTACTTGGAACTGAGCCACGTCCCAATGACGATGAGCCGAGAGCTCAAGAACAACAAGGGATTGGTGGTGGTGGATTAGCTGCAGCTCATCAAGCACTTCTCCAACGAGACGTCCCTGTTGGTTATCAACCTTTCGATCGTCCATCATTCTTCCCCATCAGACTCTTCGGACTTTTAGTCTTCATGTGCATAAGTCTCGTAATTGGAAGCTTACTTACATTGACAGTTCCCGTATGGATTGGTCGTCATGGAATGATGGTGTGGTCGATGAGTACGGGATTAGCATCGGGAAAAGTTGTCAATACGGATGATCTGAATATTGGTGGGAACATTGTCGATGCTTTAGACATAAACAAATCAACGCCGGCGACTGTTCCCACATCAAAACCACATGAGCTTTACACAGCTGCCATTGGCATTTATCTTTGTTGGTTGATATCGAAAGGAATCGCTTTGGCTGTTAATCTTTTCCCTCAAGGACGAACAGCGATAGTTGAGAAGTTCAAACATTGGTGTTCAGTCGCTGTTTCATATGGCCTTGCTGCTGTAATCTTCGTGCTTATGCTTGGAGTTGTTCCATTGATGTTTGGACTTCTACTTGAGCTTGTTATTGTCGTGCCATTAAGAGTTCCATTAAATCAAACTCCGGTGCTCTTTTTGTGGCAAGATTGGGCTCTTGGAGTGCTCTACACGAAAATTGCCTGTGCTCTTATCTTCATGGGTCCTGAATGGGGATTGAAGCGTGCAATTGAACAAGCATATCATGATGGACTACGAGAGATGGACTTAAAATTCATTATCCGAGAATTGGCAACGCCTGTGATTTCGTGCTTTGGATTGTCATTAGCTGTTCCATATGTCATTGCACATTCAATAATGCCAATGTTCTTTAAGAATCAAATGACGAGAGTTCTTATCGCTAGGAGAATTTATCCTTTCTTTCTCATTATTATCATCTTATGTGGAATTATTGTGTTTCAAATCAAACAGTTTAAGAAGCTTTATGTGGCGATAAAGAACGATAAATATCTGGTTGGAAAGAGACTTGTAAATTACGATCATCAACGACAAAAATTGCTTCAGCAACAGCAACAATCACAAGAAGTCACCCAGCAATAAAGAAATGATAATGAGTAGTAGAAGCTGTGATTGCGTAGGCGTAATTTCATGTAAAATGAATGCGATGTTGTTTTCTATCAAAAAAAGGATATTGAAATGATTTTTAGTTTATTTTTTGTGGATTTCTTGTAAAAATTTGGATTCTTACACATTTTTTTTGTTTTTAAATTGATTGAAATTAAGGGTAAAATATCGGATTTTGAAAGGGTTTTATCTGCTTTGGAAAATTGACCTTAAGGTTGAAGGTTTAAGGCTAATATTTGCAAAACATTGACTTTCTGATTTCGGTATTTAACTCTCCCGTTTTTGGCTGTATAGAATGAATGTTTAAAAGTTTAATATTGTATAAAAGCAAAGTACGAATCTAACTTAAGTTTAATTAAGCAATATTATTTCAATGTAGCATGAACATTTCTAACTTCTTTTCTATCCAACCAAATACGGTGAAACTTTTATGGGAAAAAATTAAAACCAAGGAGCTTGTCCAATATTTAAATTGACCTAATTCATCAAAATATTTATGAATTTAAAACAGAAACAACATAAAAAATGTTAAAATATTGATGAAAAAAGAGAGAAAGATGTATAAAATATTGATTGATGCATATATTTAATTAAGTTCTGAAGTAGAATTAATTAAAACTTTGTAAATGCTTAAACAAATTAATATTTTCCCTTTTCCAAACATCCCAGATAATCTTAATACGAAAAACTATTTGAAGAATAAAAAATAAGAAAATTCATCATTTGGACGATGGAGATTTACATTTATTGAATACTTCATAGCTTGATATTTCCGGACGGATATTCTCAAGAAAATCTACTTATGAAGAGGAAATTTGTTTTTGTTTTATTTATTCCGAAGAAATAAAAAAAAAGGATAAGAAATTAAGAAAAATTCATTTCAATCATTTTTAAATTAAATTTGTTGATTATTTTCAGAGGCTTCAATTTAATTTATTCAGTGACGATCCTGCAGAAAAATTCTTTAAATAATTAAAAATGAATTTATTTAACGAAATAATTATCAACAACCTCACGGTTCAATTTATTTCGATAATGAACATGAATAATTGTGCTGATGTTAACAACAAATGTGATGATTCAATTGAACCGCTTGTGGAAGTTTTGCCTTCATGTTAATACGATAAATTTTAAATGAAGCTTCAAAAAGAAAAGGAGAATGTTTTACAATTGTGAAAATTGAAAAGTGCAATGGCATAACTCTCTTCCACAAAAAGCAATCAAGACAATGAATACTTTAACCGCAAGCTACGAAACTACGAACAATTTCAATATCTAAGCCTTTCAGACACTCGATAATTTTCCAAAGCGATTTCATGCAATTTTGCTTCCTGATTGTTTGTTGTGGCAGCTTTTAACAACTTTATTTTTTTCCTCTCAAAGTTTTAATTTCAGGAACTTTTGTGTTGTTAATAAAAGCTGAACTATTTAATTGCTTCTCCATGACCTTTTTTGAAATCAATATTGTGTAAATCTAACTCACATGAATTGTTTCCAAATTGAAAAATCAAAATTTATTCAATTCTGATGGATTATCTCAAGAGTGATGGAATGAGTATAAAGTTCAAATTTGCTAAACTGAAATCCTTTATGATCAAAAAACTTCGAGGCTATTTGATTATTTTCTGACAGAAGCAATAAACATCAAATTTTAATTCTAATTCAGAGTTTAAAGTTTATGTAAAATAGACCATTTTATGGTCCTTCAGAAAGTAAGTAAACATTGCTAAGAAAGCTCATAAAAGCATTAATACATCTCGAGTGTATGTTTTATGTCATGTCATGTTTTCTTAACACTCTTATCGATTCTCTTGTTCATAAAATTTTCGTCACGTTTTCCTGAAATCTCTCAAGAATATGACAAGAAGTCTGAATGAAAAGAATAGAATAAATTGAAATTGAAATTTATATAGATTGTTAAATATAGCATAATTTAAAAGATTGAATCTTTAGTGTTCTTTTAAAAGTTCTCCTCAATGTGAATTATGAGATTTTATTATTATTTTTCACCTTTTCGACACTGAATTTTTCTTATCTATGCAAAACCTTTCACAAAAATTAGTTTTTCATTTTTCATCAACGAAAATTTTGCTACGTTCGTAAAATCGCGAAATTAAAATTCTTTTCAGTGCAAAACTTTTATTTTTATACATCCGATTTGGATATTCTTCATGAAGAGAGCATAATTTAGCATAATTGGATCCCATTTCATGCAATTTTAATGTGCTCATGTCAGTTAAAGTAAATTAAGAGCACACATTATATTAAACCAGAAATTGAACTCACATTTTTATTGACTCATTTTTCTTCTTTCTTTTTTGTAAGTTTAACTCATTTTTGTTGTTCATTATATTGTACGTTATGAATGCAGAATAAAATATTTTCACTCAGTCATATTTCATACCAAAAATGTATTTTCGGGAAAGCATAGATTTGTATAAATTTCTTTGATTGCGCACTTATTTCAGAATGAAGAAGCGGAATGTTTGTGCTTATATGAAAACATTCCTTTTAAAATGTCACAGATTTATGCAGCTTTAAAAGTATGAGAAGAAAACAGTTTTATGAAGTTGGGTAGGTCATGAAGTGGCAGTCAATTTAATTTCGGTTAAGCTAGTATAGAAAGCATTTATGTTTTTCACAACATATTAACAGAAGAAGAATCGTCTGAACATTGCTTTTGTAAAGAGCTTTTGTGAAATTGAGAAAAATCATTAAGGTTACTTCCGCCTGCTCCACTCGTACTGCTTTGAGCTTGTAAACATTTATGCAATCATTTATGTTTATGTAAACGACTAACAAGAAAAGGTTTTAAAAGAAAAAAATGTTTTGAGTTAAAAACCCATTACAAGGGTTTGTTTTCATGTTAAATGTAGGGCATTTCATTTAATAATTGTGGTTGTTTTTTGGTTGCAAGTATCCTCAATGAACAGAACGAGGCTACCTGAAGTAATCTATGTCTGCTTGTTTACATGCAACACTAATAAAATATAATTTTTACTTTTTCAAAGTTAAATCTTCTTTTCCATGTTTTTAACAAACTGAATAACTTGGAAGTTATTGAAACGCCTCGAAATATTTTTCAGTTTTGCCATTTGATTAGAGTTATCCAGGTCGGGTATTCTTCGGGTTTAAGTACGGTCTTTTCGTCCAGTCGTTTTACTTAAAGGAGCAAAAATTGGGGAATTTGCAGCCGTAAAAACTCTTGGTGGAAATACAGTGAAGTTGAATCCTGATATTGCTGAAGGTCATAAGCTTCTTGAATGGTTTAAAATTGGTGGTCATCAAGAAGATGCTAAATCACTATCTTGCACCAATGGAAACTTCTTCACAGAATGGGCATTTATTATTGACATAAACCCACCCCGTCATTTTAAACCTAAATTACCAGGTTTTTATCGGGTTAAAGGATCAATCAAAAAAATTATACCTGATTACTATGAAGCTTGCATCAACGCTGGATGTTTCAAAAAAGTTGCAGAAAGGAATGGAACATATAAATGCCTAAAATGCAACATTAAAAGTACAGAATTCAAATATAGTGTACTGATAAATGTAAGTTCTTTTTAATTATTTAAAAATATTTACTTTATATCCACTTGGGATTATTAATTTTAGATGTGTATTGATGATTGGACATCAGAATGTTGGGCAGTAGGTTTTTCAGAAGTTTCTGAAAAATTATTGAATACAAATTCAAACGAAATCATTGAAATGATCAGAAACAATAGTATTGATACTGTGATCAAAGACCTCAAACACCACAATCTGTTCTACCCATTACTGATGATGATGATGATGACCTCAAACACCAACAGTAGAGTTTTCCAAAACCCGTATTTAAAAAAACCTACGGGTTTCGGGTCGGGTTTTTAAATTTTTTTTCCATCGTCGAAGAATCATAAGAAAATGAAGCAATTACCGGGGTTTTGCGATGCTTAAAATTATTATTAATATTACTTTCTTTTATTATTTATTTTTGTATTGTCGTTTATTTTTCTTGAAGCTAGAATACATTATTGACTAAATATACCTAATTTTAATAAAATTATGGTTAATGAAATCCGTTAAATTTTAAAATTTTTTACTTACTCCGCGAGTTCTTTCTAAGATCTACTTGGGTAGACCAAAAGCTTTCTTCCCATAAAGTTGTAGATTTTTCAAGCAACATCAACTCTTTCTGATAATTATTTAATTTTATAAAGTAAAACAACGAAATAATAGATAACTGATTATAAATGCATCATGACTGACGGTAAAAGACAATTAACTATCTATTTGTTCTTTGAGAGATTGATGTTACGTCTGATGTAGAATTTTAATTTGATGTTTTTAAATCGGCTTTACAGACAAAATATCAGTTTTTCTTGATCTTTATCTTTTCATTTTTAATTATATTGTAGAGATTCCTGATGATGATCATTTTCCCCGGGGTTTTCCCCAAGGGGATTCCCGGGGGAATTTTCCTCGAATCCCCATTACTCATGTCATTAATCAAAATGTCACAAGAGTCGAAAGGAAGACTCGTATTGAGAGAGAGAATTATATTTATTTAATTATTTCCTAACTTTATACAAAATGGAGAATAAGAATTTTAATTAAGCACCAGCCTTTCTAAAGCTTTAATCTTAATTTGAGAACAACTTGCATCTGTTTTAACTAATAAAATGATTAAATTATCTTCAACTTCTTAAATAAATAACAAAAAATTCTTTTTACCATTCTTTTTCATGGTGTTGATGTTCATGATCTTGTTGACTACTAAAAAGATTTTTAACACTGGTACTTCCAATGTCCAAGTTGCGTAGCTTGATGGAAATTTACCAAAACACCTTCAAAATTGTCGTCTTCTTCATCATCCATCAGAACGTCATATTGTTCTTCTTGATCTTCACCAATCAAAATATCATCTTCTTCTTCATCATCCATCAGAACGTCATCTTGTTCTTCTTGATCAAAAGAAGACAATTTTTGATATTCGACTCCTTTAAAGCCGACTTTGAAGCAGTGATATTTTAGAAAGTTTTTAATTTGCAATGGATTGTTGCTGCAAATATCCTCCAATCCAATTTCTGCATTTATTTTGTCGATCTCGGACTCGTCGACGATCAGCTTCAGGGCGACTTTTGAATGTGTAGATTAGTTTGCAACAAATTCTTTAGCGTTTGAAATAGTTGCACCTCCCTTGGATCTATTGCTAGCAGCAAGCTTAAGGCCTCCACCAATTCCATCGGCAGCGCTTTTGCCGTGCTGTGCAGCGAGATAATGCCATATAATCTTCTTTTGATGTTTTTTCTGTAATGCTGGAAGTAAAGCCATGGTGTATTTGTTTTTGAACTGGCCTAGAGCATTATCTGAGAAGATATGGACGGTTGTGGCTGTAGTGGGGATCTCTTCATTGAACAATTTGTCGAGACAAGGAATAATCGTCTTTTTCGTTTTGTCCTTCGAATTCAAAGCGCCAGCCATTGATTGCTTTCCACGATGCCACATCATGGCAGTAAAAATTGAAACTTCCTTTTTGTCTCTGTCCCAATAAACATCATGAATTTCATTCTGGCAGAAGCACTGGTAGTTTTTAGACCAATCCACTTGAAGGACAGCTGTTGTTGCATCCTCAGATTTTGCTTGCTTGCGATATGACTCGAGACACGCTGCCTGGTTTCGCTTAACAAGCACATGAAGTAAGAATTTGACCTTCATTTCTTCAATATGCTTGAGCAGGTCAGGTACAGTGCCGGTCTTCTTAACTCTTTTTACGTGTTCAAAAGCTGTTCTATCAATCACCCATTGCTCCCATGTCACCGATTTTGAGGCATTGACTTCGTTTTCTTCGAACTTTTCGAAGAACGCTGGTGATTGTTTACATAAGTGACATTTTTTTGAAAAGCATACTTTTTTGTCACCATCGCAAATAAAGTTACTGTGCATGTTACATCCAATAGCTACATCTTTGAATGTAGGATCGGCAAGAGCTAATGCTTTCAGTGCAAATCCCATATTTTCATGGATACTGCAAAGACATGTGCGGTGTGGAATTTGGCTTTTTAATTTAACAAAATGTGGTCTCAATTTTGCAAATTTTTTATGGCTGATTTTTTGGTCAGGGAAATCTACATTAAATTTATCATATGCTTCGTGTATAGTATACAGCATATAGCGAACGTATGTTCCATCTTTCAGCACAATATTAGTTGAAATTTGACTGATGTTATCGTTAATGTAGTAGTCCCTTACCAATTTTTCTTTTTCCAAAATCTTTTTTGATTTCCGCATACTTAAAGTACCAACAACAAGACCAAGTCTTTTAGCAAATCCGGCAAAGAGTGCTTTTTTCTTTTCGTCATCTTCAGGGAGAGCATTCCAATACTTTTCGAATTCTGTTTCTCCTATTTCTTCTATATTTTTGAGCGGTCTTATTGATACGTTTCTTTTCTTTAAGCATTCTTTTCTCCAACTAGCTCTTTCGCGGTTGTACTTTTTAAATTCAGCATGTTTCTTGGGGTCGGCTGCAAACAACTCTTTGCGTTTCCCATAATATATTTTCGTTTTTTCATTTTGACTCTTCATAAACTGGTCAAGTAATTCGGGGTTGGCATTTAGGATGGCTTTTTTTTTCTTATTTGACTTCGCTTGCCTCAAGTTCTTCTTTTTCAATTGTTCAGCATGTTTCTTGGGATTATTTGCTTTCGTATTATTATATAGATTTCTTTTGCGCAAGTTGTCCCTTTCCAGTTTTAAAGCATATTCCTTTGGATTTTCTTTTAGAATTTTTCTTGCTTTTGCACAGCGCAAGTTGTCCCTTTCCCGATATAAAGCATATTCCTTTGGATTTTCTTTTTTAATTTTTCTATTTTTTGCACAGCGCAACTTGCTCCTTTCCATATATAAAGCATATCTCTCGGGGAAATTGGCTTTTTGATATGCAGCACTATTCTTATTTACGCTGGTCATATTTATGCTGATGGAAAGTATGTATAATATGTTATCCAAACAGTCATATTTCAGATTAATTGAAATAACTTTATCGATTCCATGAATTTTATCTTGAAGTTTAGCAATTCAATTCATAAATCGATAAAGTTATTTCAATTTGTTAATTAAATATCGAGTTGGATAACGGCAAAAGAAACTGAAACAACTTCGAAGAAGGCAAAACTTGAAGACATCTTGAAACAAGAGAAGGAAAGTTCAGGTCTCTCTTCTTTTCATGTTCAATCAATCTTAATTTCATTCATCAATTGATGCTTCATACACAGTTCCCACTTCAACTGGTTTTTCACTAGTCTTAAGTGGCTTTGGAGCATATTTGCTTGATATGAGATATTACGGATCAATAAACGATAAGAAAGATTGGGGGTCTTTTCAACATGTGCGGTGTGGAATTTGGCTTCTTAATTTTATAAAACGCGTTGGTCTCAATGAAAAAAATTTTGTAAGGCTAATTTTGTGGTGCGGGAAATCTACCTTAAATTTTTGCTCTCATCATATGCTTCTCGAATAGTATGCAGCATAAAGCGAACGGGTGTTGTCTCACTTCCACCTTTTTCAATTGGCACAACCGCGTGGACATTTGAAATTTGACTGGTCTCATCGTTACTGTAGAAGTCCCTTACCGATTTTTCTACTTCCAAAGTCTCTCTTGATTTCGGTTTAGGTAAAGATCCAACAACAAGACCCATTCTTTTAGCTAATTTAGTTCAAGTCTAAATTGTCGAAACAATGTCGGATATAAAGTCTTAAGGAAAGTTTGCAATTTAACTCATTTTCATCCAATTCCACCAACCTTAAGCTCATTCACAATATGTTTAAATGTATTGAAAAGGTTGATGCTTAATAAAATCATTAATAATAACAAGGATCTGGTGAGTGACAATGACTATTAATTTTATAGTTTTAAGAGTGGAAGGGAGAATGAGAGAAAGATAGAAGTAAGAGAGAGAAGGGGGTAGAGAGAGATTAAAATATTTTATGTATAATATTTATATTTTATTAAATAAAAAAAATTCATTATTGCTATTTTACTAATTCTCATGATATTTTATTGAGAAGGTCCATGAGTGGGGAGGTCCACCATATCTTGAAACTCCACGTAGAACTAAAAATTATGCGTATGTCATTTTCCCCGGGGTTTTCCCCAAGGGGATTCCCGGGGGAATTTTCCTCGAATCCCCATTACTCATGTCATTAGTCAATCAATAATCAAAATGTCACAAGAAACTTTTTAAGCATCGCAAAGCCCCGGTAATTGCTTCATTTTCTTATGATTCTTCGACGATGGAGAAAAATATGTAAAAACCCGACCCAAGCCGAAACCCGCGGGTTTTTTAAAACCAGACCCGAAAATTCGGGATTTTTTACATACGGGTTTTGGAAAACTCTACATTTGATGAAAGTTTATTGAATTTTGCAACTATAATTTGATTTTTTTAAAAATTTATAAAGCTTAAATAATTTTCAATTTCAGACACAGATTAATCGGTCAGTTGTCGTCGCTTATGGCGTCGTCAAAACCTGTCAGATTTAAATCAGTTGATCAAATGACAAAATCAATTTTCTAAGAGATTAATAGTTGATGATGGTTTATAAGTTATAAACTAAACTGAATTTACCACATAATCAACTGAATTTATGAGCAGGTTGCAAAATGCACTGAGACACAAACTCTACAAACAATACTCAACTTCGTATCAGTGAAAATTCAATTTGTGAAATCAAATCTTCATCAACATTTGATATCATGTGCAGAGATTCGATTTTGTCTCACTCACATCATTCGCTTCTTTCGCTTTTCTCGACTTTTAACAGGAAATGTTTTTATATGAACGTTAAATATCGACAAAAGCTTTCTCTTCCTGAAAATATTGAATTACCATGTGATTGACGTGTGCGATATTTCTGATTAAATTTATAAAATCGCAAAGGTTGTGGCAATGATTTGGATTTGATTCGTCATCGATGCAATGCAGAGTTGTTGAGTGTTGTAGCATTTTTATTTGACCTGTTGACATTAATGTGTCTAAAGTTCATTTAAGTTCATTTGAAGCTTTAGATGTCATTAGTTTTTATGACATTCCTGATGCACAATTTGTTGTTTACGGTTGTTCAGTTGCACTTCGATTTTTATTAGTTTTTTTATCGGCGAATGCCATGCATGCCAATTGTTGAAATTATTTGAAATTTAACACAAACATCAATAAATTAAAATGCTGAAAGCATTCATATGGTAAAAAATTTCGAGAAATATCTCGATTCACAGTCTCTCATGAATTATTAATCGATTTAAAGATAGAATTCGATATTCAATGTAACTAAATTATTATGTTTTATTTCTGAAATCCTTTTTCAAATAATCTACATTGTTTTTCTCTTTTTGATTAAATCTTAAATTCTTCATACAACTTGAGTTCATTTCGGAGATAATTTTACAAGAAATTGAAAGAACAAATCGAATTTAAGAAATTATCTATTATTTTTAAAAAGTTTTCTATAATCTTTTCGATTAGAATTCTTAATTAACAGTTTTTTATTGCCAATATCAATCATTGAGAATTGAATCTGGCAGACAATAATGGAAAATTTTATCGGAGTAAAATAGTTTTCTTTGTTTAGTGGCTTGTGAATGTATCTTGAAAAATTTCTTTTAATTACTTGAGGCTATGCAAACCTTTGCCCCAAAACTAATCTTGGGGATGCTCTTAACAACATTTTAATCCTTGTTTCATTACCCTTTTCATTCACATCTACTCACTCACCACATTACATGATTTTTTTCTCATTCAGTTGAGCTGTTAAATGTATCATTACATCGAATGAGAGTTGGGCAACTAATTGAAATGAAAATCATGTAACATCATGAAATAATCGTCGAGAAACATAAATGTTAACTGATAAGATCTTAACTGTTATATTAGGTAATAAAATACATACATAAACAAGCCAAAGCATTAATTCTACTATGTTGATGGGAGTAGATACTTGCTCGTGTTTTATTCAATTGAATGCCAACATGAATCTACTTTTGAAATAAAACCGCCATCATCGTCTTCTTCACTATGCAGCCCCGCGCTTAACATCAATTCATCTTCAAAGCTTCGTCTTGAGCCTTTATCGATTTTCAATTTAAAACTTGAATCATTGGTTTTGAATGTGAAAGGTTATAACCATAAGTGTAGTAGATACATAGTTGAATCCATTACGAAGATTGATATTTGGGAAAGTTTTATGATTTGCAATTTCTTTTACTTTTTATTTATTTATCTTGAAATTAAAATTCATTGTGACGAATGATTATAATCAAAAGTGTTCAACTATTTCTTACAAAGACATTAATTAACCTTTGCTATTCATGTCATTAGATACATAATTAATGATGATTTATGTAGTAATGATTATGTATTAATATCTAAAGAATAATTTCTGTCGCTTTCCTAAATCTCATCATCTTTGTAAGTCACAACTTTGCTTTCATATTTAAGACTTTAATTAAATTTTTCGTTGAGAATTATCAAAGATCTAGTAGTTAATAATGTTTAGGATATTAATTTCTAAGTCCTCACATGATTTTAAAGTTGAATTCATTATTTTCTTTTAAAATAATTTAAATGAAATGTGAAAAAGTTTTCATCATTTAACGTGAACTTGTCACATTGCTTGTTATTGTGGATTCATTGCTTGATGACGTCTTCTGTTCTATGCATGAAAGGCAGCAATGTCCATTCTTTCTTCCAACAATTAAGCCTTTGTCACATGACGGCTCTTCATCGGGACATTTTTCAGTCGTGCACGTTATCTGACGATGCTGACAGAGACAATTTGTGCAATCATCTTCCATCCAAATTTCATTGTTCAGTCGGTTTATGCCTTTCTTGTCCACGCATTGATAGTGATGTTTTATGGATTTTCCACCGCTGTTTTTATCTTTATTGTCAACGCTTTCACTTGCTTGCTTATTTGTTACATTTATAGCTCGTGAAAGTTCATCGTTCGATTCTTTAAGCTTTCGAATTTCCCGTCGCATCTTTTTCAATGTCTTCTGAAATGACTCAATCAATTGCTCAAGACCTTCAATTCGCTCTTCGTTCATGTCAAAATAATCATTATCGATGCTGAAGTGCACGTCGTCATGTTCAATTGAATTTTCGTTCACGAACTTATCAGCATTCACTTCTTTCACATCACGTCTGAATCGACTCTGACGAGGTAATTTTGTAATGTCAAGATTATAAGCAGCCCGATGATTACAGTTACTACAATCCGTCCAGACCTTTAATGACACCATTGGTATGTCTGTGCATTGCTTATAGCCATCTTGAAGTGAAGGAAGAATGAAGACATTCTCAGTCACTCGTGTGATGTTATCGCCATTATCACAAAGAATTCGACCCAAAGTTGATTGTTTGATTTCAGTCAATTGTTCAGGTTTAAAAACTGATGGGTTCTCGTAAAAGAAACGATCGCCATCACGAAGTCTTCTGAATTGATCAATCAACATACATCTGAACAGTGGACCGACCTTTGCGCCCGTCATTTGATCTTCAAGAATTCCACCAGTCCAAACGTCAATGTTGTCAACATGTCCATAAATCTCCTTCAATTTCTCTTTAACATGTTGACTTGAAATATCGTGAAGTGTCTCAAATGATTCTGACACTGGTAAGTCGCATAATTTCCTGTAAACCATGTAATTGGGAATCGCATGATCTCGACCTCTTTGAATATTTATGGCTGCCAAGTCAAGTGACACAGCATGTGCTGTTGTAAATAATTTCTCAGTTAAGTCAGAATTTAGGTTTTGTTCAGGTTTTTTCAACTTCGCTGGGACAGTAAAAAGTCCACGAAGTAATGGATCAACGCCACCTTCGTAAACAACGCGCCATGGTGCAAAGAATGCTTGATGCAATGGTAAATGTCCTTGTTCAATTGGTTGGAAATTCCAATCAAGTCGATGGAGAATTGGATTAATCAATGAGTGACCAAAACGGAATGCAGCGGTTGCAAACTCGTTAGAAATTGAAGGATTCACGCTTGAATCGTAACCTTTGTATTCACCCATTACATCCATTCCTTCCTTTCCAATGATGTTAGGAAGCCAATATTTGTATGTTATGTGTTGCATCATCGCACCAACAATTTTTCTCGATTCTTGATAAACTTGTTCGCCACTCCAATGAGGATTTATTTCGTTAAAAACTGTAGCAATTCTGTTATGTTCTCGCATCCAAACTGTGTGCATAGCTAATAAACCAACTTGTTCATTCACACGAATATCTCCAGCTGTGAAGCAATTAACTGAACTTTCCGCTAAATTTCGTCGACAATCAACGCCGTCTGTTGGTGATGCGAATGGCAGCATCGATTTTTGATTGGGGAAGTGAACACCTTCACGAAGATAACCGTTGTCTTCACCATCAAGTGAAATGTTTCTTAAGTCACGACTAAATTGTTCAGTGTATCCATAAACTTGCGATGCATCAATAAATGACGTTTTCTGATTTATCTGTTCACGTGGCTGAATCTTTCCGAAGAAAACTGAAGTCATACCCGAACCACAGGTTGAACTTGATCTAGTAAAATCAAGACAACGTCGATTGTTAACGCGTGGATCATTTTGCGGCACTTCAATTGGAAAGCATGGTGGAGAATAATCGCAAGTCTTCTTGCAATCAACGCCATCCCAACTTTCGGAACTGACTGCTGGCAATGCATGATCCATATCGTGATCTAAAAATTGACCCCATTGCATCATCATGTGAGTTATTTGCGTGTCTTGCTCAATCACGTCAGTTTTAATCAACGTTGTCGAGACTAAACGTGCGCTTGGAAGTTTATATCCGTTATACTTTCGATCTTTATTCCATCCTTTAGGTGTGTTGAAGCCATTTTCATATTCAGGCGGTAGAAGGCGTCGAAAAGCACTCAACGATGTTCCCCACATAGGATTTTGGAAATTATTACAGCTGCCGTCAATCGTGCGATATTTCCCATGATAACACATGTCGGTACAATTCGGCATAATTCGATGTGCCGTGCAGTCAGAAAGTTGTGCCAACAAATCCAAATATTCAGCAGACAAAAGATCGTCATATTTAAAATCGGTAACATTTGTTGTTATATTTTTACCCACGTTAATATGTTTACGAATGTTGACAAGTGTTCGCTCATAAATTTCACTCGCTCGCGCCAATTCACGTGCTGGTCCCGTTGGAAATCTAACAATTCGAAATAAATCACTGTGGTTCTTCATTGCGTTTCTATCATTTGAGTTGTTGATGAAGAGAGATGCAACTGTTTGATTGATTGCCGAATCAACTTCAGAAGAGGCCTCTGAGAAAGCGATGCGAATAAATTTATCACCCGGCGCCAAGTCTTCTCGTCTTCTAAAATCATGAATTTTCATCGTTCGTTGTCGATGTTGTTGTTGTGTAAAAGAAAATGGTGAAAAGAAAAATAAAAAATAAAAGTTTATTAGTAGAGATAAATCATTTGATGTCCGTTGCAGTTCTCGCGATGAAAATGAAGGCAATTTATGCGCAGAAACGATTGCTACCGTTAGATAAGAGTTTATGAATCTTCTTATAACATTTCCCTGAACTTCCTTGCCTCATGGCAACTAATAAGCTATCTAATAAGCTATTAAATTATCGAGAAAGGTCGTCAGCATACCCCAAAAACGGAAATTCAACTTTTCCGCATCATTCTCGATCGATATGTGTATGAATGTTTCTGTTTCTTCTCTAAGCTCACATTTATGTTCATCTCATTTTGTCATTAAATGAATTTTTGACCATGCAGTTTAGATTTAAGAGGGATGCGAAGATTTCATATTCATGATTTCATATCTAAATGGCTTCATTCAGAAAGATGACATATTGTTGTGAAGTTTCTTCTTTGAGGGTCAAAATATTTTCCCAAGAGTTTTCTAAGAAAACATTTTTTTAATCAGATTTCTTCTCCTAACAAATCATAAAAAATTCCCAACAGAACCCAAAATACTGAACATCTGAATTTGCACATGTGGAGTGTTGACTTTAATTAAAGTTCAACGAATTCATATAAATTCTTGAATTTCAACTATAATTTAGTGTGCATCTGTAGAATTTATCTTCTAAATTGTGCAACCATTTGAAAAATATGTTGAAGGAAAAAAGAAGTCAAATGAAAGAATTTTTCTTCAAAATATTTTACCTGACAGTAACGACACATGATGCTGTAGCTCGTCCAAACTCATTCGCCACTGTGCATTCGTATCTACCAGCATCAAAGTCATTTATATTCGAAATGAAGATACTGCCGGCTGGTGAGAAATTATACTTTATTGATTGTGTCAATGTTCGTCCATCTTTCTTCCATTTCGACTGTGAATGTCAAGATTTATGTTTCTCTTGAATGAATGGTGTGAGTGGAAAGATTTTTACTTACCAATGGTGGTGGATCACCCTCAGCACCGCAAGGCAACTCAATGGTTGTTCCGGGTATTGCTTCCAAATCATAAGGCTCGAAAATCAAATTTGGTGGGCCATGTGCATTTCTCACATCCACTTGTGCCGTTGCTTCATCTGAACCGAGAATATTTTCTGCTACACAAGCATACAATCCCGCATCAGACTCTTTAATGTGCTCAATATTCAATGTTTTATTATCCGTGGTAAAATTAATGCGAACTGAACTTCTCAATGTGCGATCGTCCTTCGTCCAAAAGAAATTCGGTTCCGGATTGCCTTCGGCATCACAAGATAGAACCAGATTTTCTCCCGTTTTAACCTTCTTGTCTTCCAGTGTTACTGTAAGAACAGGAACTAAAAGAAAAGTTTTATTGGCTAATGACAATTTATTCGCTAGCTTCTTTTAAATTTCATAATTTAAAAAATGGAAAAACTGATTCAACGGTAGCTTAATGAGAAGAAAACTGCGTCGTCTCATTTTAATAATAAGAAAATTGAGAATCTTCTCCTGCCAACCCTGAAGATATTTTTGAAGGAAAACGAGAAAAATTACAACGTTTAAAAAGTTTAACAAAACATTGTTGATTCCAAGCATATTCAAACTAGTTTTAGTTATTTTTTAATTTCAATTTAAACCAGCACAGCAAATTTTTTTTCTTAAGATAAAGAAAGAGAAAGTGAGAGAGAATGATGAATAAATTTTTAAGGTGAAAAGTTTTTTAATATCCCTCAAGCTTTTTAGCTGAAACTTTTCTGTGTTAAACAATTTTTCTTTTAATTTTTCTCACTCATATTTCAAGCATCGCATCGTTCATGTTTTGCCGCCTAGTCTCGAAACATAAATTTTTGAAGAGAATACTACAAGATGAAGTGAGTAAGTTTTATTTTTCCCGATGTAACTTGAAGCTCTTTACCTCTTATGCCATGTCAAAACAGTACCAAATGAGATTAGCTCCCCTTTGGTAATAGAGCAATTAATAATGAACAAGCTTGCATGAATATTCGCCTTCTAATTCATGCTTTCTTCTTCTTGTCTTGCTATTCTCCCCACATCTAACTTCACATTGAGACATCTCTTTATGGTGTATAGTGTAGAGTCTTAAGAAATTTATGCCAGGTAAATACTTATGTTTTCCGCAAGATGCTTTAATGATGTCAAATATTTCAACAGGATTCTACTATACTTAGTTGAGATAGAAGGAGAAAGTCTCCTTGAAAGGATAAAAATGTTCGCAGATCTAAACTAAAACAACCCATAAAGTTAAATCTTTCTCTTTCCTCGTTGTAATGCGCATTTAAAATTAAGTTGTAAGTTTCATCGTCCCAATTTTACCAACAAAATAAAACAAGATGCGATATGTAAAGTAGAAGCATATTTCTAATTAGTTTGCACTTTAAACAAGCACAAATGTTTCTGTCATTGAATTTAATTCTTTACTTTAACGTGAAAATAAAATATGAATGGAAGCATCTGCTTGCAATGTATAAGAAATTAAAGCAAAAGTTTTTCTTTTTGAATGGATCGAGTTAAATGTTTGAATTAAATATTTTACACCTTAATGCACCATGAGGCATTTCATCTTAGTCACAACAAAGGTACATAAGCAGATAGTTTTGTTTCATTGAAAACCTCATTCATTTACCTCTTCCGTTGGTTTGAGTTTTTCTCGTTTTGTTTGCTGCTTGCGTGTTTTGCATGGATTAGAAGGAAAAGAGAAACGAAGAATGAAGGAAAGCAAAGTTTATGTGAAAGTTCTTAAGATGTTTTCAAGGATGAAATAAAGTTCCTATTGTTCCCTGTTAGTTATTGACTTACCATTAATATTGAAATTTGCCACTGTCGAAATACTGCCAAGGTAGTTTGTGGCTTCACACCTATATGCACCTTCATCTTCTTCGGTAGGACTGTGAATGACTAACGTTCCATTGTCATGAATCTCGATTTTGTCATCGTCATCATGTAGTGGTTGATTGTTAAACTTCCATATGATTTGTGGTTGAGGAAAACCAGTCGCCACACAATGCATAACTATGTAATCGGAAACCTCATCAAAGACAACGTGACCGGCAGGTATTTGTACGAATTGTGGTCTTATTGCTTCATTTTGTGGTCCCTGAATTATCGTCATGCGAGCTTCTCTTGATAATGTTTCACCAATGGAGTTCTTCGCCATGCACGTGTAAGTTCCTTGAGGGTGAAATGAAATTATAAAAGTATCGTAAAATTGAGAAAAGTTGAGTGGGTGTATCAGCCGAATGAATTTGCTAAATAAATCGAAAGCCCCCCATGAATTTCTTCATAATTTTCTTCATTAGGAACTCGTCTTGAAAAAGGTTATACAATAAACCTAGAAATTATTATGAAATCCCAATGAAATATTCATCATTCATAATGCAAAATCAAACAAACATTGGAGATTATTGATTTTCCATTACGAGTTCAGACAAACACACCTTGATCTCGTGTATCAATCCTATCAATCTGCAAGGTTCCATCAACCGCAACACGAACCCTTAAATCGCTCGAATCAATTTCATTCGAGTTGAGCATCCATTTAATTTCAGGTTTGGGATCACCTTCAGCTGTACATTTAAAAATGGCAGATGCTCCAAAAGTGACTTCAACATCATTTGGATTTTGCAATATTTCAGGTTTTTCTATTGGAAAGAAAATAAAAACATCGCAGAAAAATAGAAATGAAAGTTAGAAAAACGCCAAAAAATTTGTAGTCAACTCAACTGCAATGAAAATCCTCTTCGGTCATGTCGACTAAGTTCTTCCCTTCCATAAAGTCGGGTGATTTACAGTTTGCCGAAGCTCTTAAATGATTTCTCGTCGCATGTAAATGCTTCACAAGCCACATCACAGAACAGTCACATTCTAATAAATTGCTATCTAAACGAAGCAAGTTTAGCGAATTCATATTGTCGAATGTTCCAAATGGAATCCTTTGAATCTTATTTCCATATAAATTCCTGAATAAGGATAAAAGAATTGCAATGAGGATCAAGAAATGTAAATGACTAAAAAAATTCTGTATAAGAATAAATTAACGAAAAGGCAAAACTTCTTTATTTAAATATCGAAAGATTTTCTTTTTTTTAATTTATCTATATGATGAATTTTCACCATCACTTGGGAAACTTAAATTTTGAATATTTATGTTCAAAGTTTTATTTGTGATATATATTTCAAACTTTTCATCAGCATCCAAACATTATGCTGAAACTTTTTAAAATTTATGTTGAAAACACTTTGAAAAACTTTCGTTCAATATTTGACCACTCTGATGGTTTTCTGTGTACAGAAGTAGAATATTTACTAGGCAGACTCAAATTCGCAAATGTTCATTATTTCACTGTCTAGTTATGCGTGAATTTGCTGAGATTTTTCTTTTTCCCCTTTTATTTTGCATAGATTTTTAGATATTGTGGAAACGTTTCACTTTTCCATTTTCAAACAATTTTCGTTTTATTGACACTTTCCGCTCTTTTCTCGCCACAATAAAATTATTTTGTGAATTTTCAAAAATTTTCACTAAATAAAAAATATTTTTGAGAGTAAAATAAAATGACAAAAGCGGAAATTGACAATTTCCAGATTTCCTTTTATCAGAAGATGTTAAAACTTCTCTTATAAGTTTGTAAAAGGAAGATAAATTTCCTATTTTGCCGCAAAATAAAATGTTTTCACATCGTCTGTTAAACTCTTTACCATTTAAAAGTTATTACAAAAGTCAACGGAAATGTTAAATTTTATTCGCCACACTGAGCTCGTTTAAAGTTTTCGGAATATTTTTTCAGACATTTGCAAGATGTTTATTTACTTGCGATTAATTTCCACCCACAAATATTCGTGAAGAAAAATTTATACTCACAATCGCTCAAGCATTGTTAGATTGACGAATGCACCAGGTTCGATATTTTTAATGTGATTCTGATTCAAATACAAATATCTCAAATACGGTAATCCATTGAAAGCGCCTTCATTGAGTGTCGTGATTTGATTCTCATTCAGAAAAATTGAGTGAAGTTGAGTCAAACCTCTGAATGCATTCGATGGCACTTCTTTGATATGATTGTAACGCAAATCTCTGAAAAGGGAATTCAATTAAATTAAAATTTTATCTCAATACTGTAATATTAAATCTTTTACAGCAAGGACAGACACGTGGGAAAAGCCGAAAGAATAAAAATTTTGATTGTACCACAAGTGGGTGTCTTTATCAGCATTAATTTTGCTTCTTCATGTCCTCGGCTCATTTTTCATAACGCACCCCAAGGTCATTTTTTATCAGACGTTCCCATATGAATTCATTTATTTAAATGAAGATAAAAGGAAGAAGAAGTCAAATAAATTGTTTTATGTCTGGACGCAGGAGGTGGAATTGAGGTAAAATTTGTTTCTTCACTCACAAAAGGAAAATCAATAAATAACAGGAAAAAGTTGAAAGTTATTCAATGTTGAGGAATTTTCCCTCGGCAAATATTAAAAGCATTGAAGTTCGCTATCAACTTACATTATGTTGGTATCTGTCGGCAATTCCGGTATGAATTTCAACTGCTGACGAACACATCGTACTGTTCGTTGTGCACAAGAACATTTCTCTGGGCATCCTATAGCATTTACACAACTTAAAAACGAGATGCATAATAATGCGATTGTCACGACAAATTGTTTGTTTTTTGCTTCCTTCATGACTACTGCTTACTTCACTGATGGCACTATTAAGATTCCAGATTCCCTTAAGCACAATAAAAAGATTTCCCTTTCTCTTACTTGCACTTCCCAGTTTCTGATTCAATTAATTAATTTTTTCTGAGTTAAACTGCTCATGTTATGATCTTGTTCAACTTTATGTTTATGAAATGTTTTCTTATTATTTTTGTCTGGAAGGAAAAAGTGAAGACTTTTCAGTTTTCTGATATTTATGTTGCTTTACTATTGTTTCGTCATAAATTATTTTAACTGTCAGATAAAGTTCTTATCATAAAAATTCTTCCATGGTCTTTTTAAATATCCTGAGGGAATAATATCAAATCACCATCGATTCTCATAAATCTTTTGCAACATAATGTTTAGAAAGACAGGAAGAGATAAAAAAAATTGCAACAGAAGCTGAACTTCGTCAAGGAGAAATTCAATTTATTAAATAATTTTTCAATTTATTTTTTCACTCGCCATTCTATCGAGCAAAAAATCGTGATGCATGTTATTCGATAAATTGAAATCGGTTGAAATATGTTTTGTTTGCCCAACAATATTTTTATCCTCTTAGGATAACACCGAAAATAAAAATTTTTGATTCAGATTGAAGCCTCGATGGACATGAGAAAAATCGGCAGGCAAGATTAAGTATACATAAATACAAGAAGCACTTTGGAAATAAATTTTATATAAAGATATTTGGTTTGCAGCTTCAAGTTACACACCATCTCAAGGGTTTTTTTTTATATTTCTGTTGCTTTCAACGAAATCAATTTCTCCTTGTGATTGATTGAAGCGGCTGCTTTCGCCTTAAAACAATTTTATTTTTCAACAAAATATTTCACAAACTCATCGATTGTTATTTATGTTGGTTGAATTGAAAATTCCTTTTTGATTCCTTGTGGACGAGTCGTAAGTCATGTCTTGATTAATGATTTAATAAAATTCATTAAATAGTATAAAGCTTAGATAATTAAAATTTATATTGGAGAAATTTCCGCGTAAATAAATTTGTCATGTTCGTTTATTTACTTATTGAGAAATTTTCAAGAACATAAATGACAATGAAAATTTATTTAGCGATGATTTTGGCTTTTTTGAAGGTCTCCAAAATTCTTTTCTTTGGAAATCTCGATATGCATGTACCAAGCTATCTAAATCTTCGCTTCAGACGTTACTCGTAAATCATAAGAAACTGGAAGAGTCTTCTTCCGATAAAACTGTGCTTTCATCTGCTTCTGTCGACGATAAACTATAATGCACAATTTGTTTGCTCAAGCTGAGAATTGTCTTGCAACTAAAAACACACAAAATAAAATGAAAACTGTGAGATAAAACATGATTTTAATTATAGAGTCTCGAATAATTTTTTTTTTTTTATAATTTTTTTAATTCTTTNAAAAGTATCGTAAAATTGAGAAAAGTTGAGTGGGTGTATCAGCCGAATGAATTTGCTAAATAAATCGAAAGCCCCCCATGAATTTCTTCATAATTTTCTTCATTAGGAACTCGTCTTGAAAAAGGTTATACAATAAACCTAGAAATTATTATGAAATCCCAATGAAATATTCATCATTCATAATGCAAAATCAAACAAACATTGGAGATTATTGATTTTCCATTACGAGTTCAGACAAACACACCTTGATCTCGTGTATCAATCCTATCAATCTGCAAGGTTCCATCAACCGCAACACGAACCCTTAAATCGCTCGAATCAATTTCATTCGAGTTGAGCATCCATTTAATTTCAGGTTTGGGATCACCTTCAGCTGTACATTTAAAAATGGCAGATGCTCCAAAAGTGACTTCAACATCATTTGGATTTTGCAATATTTCAGGTTTTTCTATTGGAAAGAAAATAAAAACATCGCAGAAAAATAGAAATGAAAGTTAGAAAAACGCCAAAAAATTTGTAGTCAACTCAACTGCAATGAAAATCCTCTTCGGTCATGTCGACTAAGTTCTTCCCTTCCATAAAGTCGGGTGATTTACAGTTTGCCGAAGCTCTTAAATGATTTCTCGTCGCATGTAAATGCTTCACAAGCCACATCACAGAACAGTCACATTCTAATAAATTGCTATCTAAACGAAGCAAGTTTAGCGAATTCATATTGTCGAATGTTCCAAATGGAATCCTTTGAATCTTATTTCCATATAAATTCCTGAACAAGGATAAAAGAATTGCAATGAGGATCAAGAAATGTAAATGACTAAAAAATTTCTGTATAAGAATAAATTAACGAAAAGGCAAAACTTCTTTTTTTAAAATCGAAAGATTTTCTTTTTTTTTAATTTATCTATATGATGAATTTTCACCATCACT